GTCGAGGCCGAGCAGATGTACCAGCGGGCGCTACAAGGCAAGGAAAAGGCATGGGGTCTAAAGCACACGTCGACGCTCAACACGGTCAACAACCTAGCAGCCCTCTACAAAAACCAAGGCAAGCTAGTCGAGGCCGAGCAGATGTACCAGCGGGCGCTGCAAGGCAAGGAAAAGGCATGGGGTCTAGAGCACACATCGACGCTCGATACGGTTAATAACCTAGCAATCCTCTACGCCGACCAAGGCAAGCTAGTCGTGGCCGAGCAGATGTACCAGCGGGCGCTACAAGGCTACGAAAAGGCATGGGGTCCAGAGCACACGTCGACGCTCGATACGGTCAATAACCTAGCAACCCTCTACCAAAACCAAGGCAAGCTAGTCGAAGCCGAGCAAATGTACCAGCGGGCGCTGCAAGGCTACGAGAAAGCGATCGGTCCGGATAATATTATCACTTACGTGCCAGCGCTCAACACAATCTGGGGTTTCGGCTCTCTCTTTGAACGTCAAGCTGATCTAGCGAAGGCTAGGACTATGTTTTCAAAGGCGTTGCGTGGGTATGAGCAAGTCTTTGGACCTGATCATGCTAATTCCAAGATTTTGCGGAACAAATTACGTCTTTTAGATGCCGTGATGAAGAGCGATGTCTCAATAGACACAAAAGACCGCGCAGACGACCTGCATGTGAGACCGATCAAAAAGCCTCTCTCAACATCAAAACGGCATAAGCTGTTTCGAAAGCTTGGCCTAAGGCCTTGACCTGTGGCTTTACAGCGAATATTATGTATATTAGTTCTTTCTTTACTTTTTTACAGTAAAAACATTCTAATCATTCAAATTACCTTTGCATATGAATATCTAGACGTTGTGGAGAAGCTGACTTATATGCTTGGCAATGATTACGTAAGTGAATTTCAGTCACCTGGTGTGTTAATTATGTGCCCTACGCGGCTGCTTGATTGAGGTACCAAACCGGGTGGCGATGTGGCATGAATTTACACACTATAGCAGCCACAACGCTTATAACAATTTCCAGTTTAAAAATAAGGCCGTTAAGATTCGATGCGGCCCTTTTATATATATCTTAGAAAATAAGAGCTAGATCATCGAGCTGTTCTTAAGGAACTTTATTATACTATAAAATAAGACTACCCGTAAATCAGGCGTGAAGACGACGACACAAACATAATTCACAAGTGGAAAAGACCTAGAGTATTCAGGAGCAGCCACGGAATACGACTTAAATAAAATTATAATATATATCGATAAATTCATAGAGTTTAATTTGCTCGAAATCAAAGTATCTACCATTTTTCTCGGCACGGGTGGGTTTCTCGCTACGCAGGGACGGACGTTACTTACTCTTTTTTATTCTGAAGGCTTTGTCTTGTGGGGTCTATTTGGATTACAAAGCGAGAGCTCGAGTCTGGTTCTAAGACTCGACATTTAATCGTAGGAAAATCTTTGAGATGGGGTATTATAGTTGACGATTTTCGTTACGCGCCTCGAGCACGGTATTCATGCTCAAAAGGCTGGCTATATACCTAGTTCCGCTAGGCTTGTACCTAAAGCTTTATACAAACAATATACACAATATCCAAGTCTCCTTGTCTGTGCAAATCGCAAATCGCAACCCGTAAGGTACAGTTACATTACAGTACAACATCCGTCCAACTTCTTCATTATCCTTGGCAATAGCTTCATAGCCAATTTCTCCAATTCGTCATTCTGGCCATTATTTTGTTGATTACCCTGTTGATATCCTCCCTGTTGCTGTTGTTGCTGACCAGGATAGCCACCACCTTGTTGATAGCCGCCCTGCTGCTGTCCCTGAGGTTGATTATGAAATCCGCCATGCTGTCCCCCAGGTTGATACGCATTCTGCGGCGGCATAGTCGCCGGCCCGCCTTGAAGATTGATATACATCCTCCCGGCATTCTCCTCCGTCGCATACTGGAGCCCTAATTCTTGACACACTTGCTCGACTTTCGGTTTGATTTTCTGGATGTGGTTTACGGAGTGGTTGCCTTTGCCCACGATACTATGACATATATCTATCAACTCCAATCCTATATAAAGAATAGAGAAGGACTTGATGATGATCGGAGGAAAGGGAAGGGAAGGAGGACTTACACGTGCAAATGAGTCTGCCCATTCTGCTGCGCATACCGAATCCTCTGCTCCAGAATCTCCTCCCCCTCCTCGACAAACTGTCCATGAAGATCAATCGTGTCATCCGCTACGCGACCCAGCGCATTGTTCTGCCGGAAGATGTAGTCGGACGCTTGCTTATTATACTGGTCCATCTTGGCAGCGTGTTGTTTGCCTTCCTCTGAGAGCTGGTGAGCTGCGGCTCCGTCGCCACTTGAGTAGGCGTTGTGTGCCTGTTTGTTGCTTTTGTGAGAATTTGGTGGTAATTGGGACGGATGGGAGAGCGGAGACGGAGATGTGGGGAGCAGGAACGTACTTTATCGAAACAAGAACTCCGCTTCCCAGCTTCTTGTCGTGCAAGGTCGCGTAGTCGGTCATATTCTGCTTCTGCGTCGCTGCTAGAGGAATGATTGAATGCTGTAGTCTCTCATCAGTTCGATTCTTGTTTTTTGTGAGGCTTGGCGGGGAAGATGTACGTTTTGCGCCCATAGACTGCATTTGATATGAATTGGCCGCCATTTTGACGTTCTATGTATGAATGCGATCGAGAATTTTGCAATTGAGAGGAGATTGAGGGAGGGTGGTGATGTTGTTGTTGTATTCTCGAGGATACTTGAAGGTTGGATTTCTTGGTTCAGCTTGGTTTGCTAGCCTCGGTTTGGTGCAGGGTCTCGAGAAAGGGAAGGAGCGGATCACTACAGGCATCTCGAGCGGATGCATGCATCTTTCAGCCTCGTTACAAACCTCACCTCCTCAACTGAACATGAATTTCCTCACCCACTCATTTGGTGCCGACATCTGGACCGATTTCGAATACACTGATATCGTTGATGTCTGGGACGGATAATCTGTGATGGGAGAAGCTGTTTGGCTCTCAGCTGTTCAGATGATGCAGGCCCTTTCAAACGATGTCCTGTGAGCGACTGAAAGCGGTTCACAAATTCAAAGGTCTCTTCCGCTCACGGTCGAGATCCACGGCTTCGGATAAGAGTACAGAGAGTCAAGGTACTTCTAATGACAATGTCCCATCACGGACGGATGACGCTGTCAGTCCCGCGCCTGTGATACCGACGACTGCCTCGACAGACACTACAGCCGCCGAGCCTGACGAGAGCAAGAAAGCTTCATCAGAAGCCTCTCCTCCTGAAACGGATATCTGGAAGCTAGCCTACGAACGTCTTACCAAAGAAAAGCCAAGCCTCGTCGAGCATTATGAACAGATTCTCGCCCAAGAAGAAGCAGATTCGTCCGCTAAAAGCCAGGACTCACCAGAGAACATCACTAATTCAATCACTCGCCTGACAGATCTTGCATCGAAAAAGCTTGCTCATCTTGATGACTCGAGGTTGAAGATTCGGTTGAGATCCAAGACCTTTGTTGTCAAAGATGGAGTGGACCAAGTCTTGGAGATTGTCGTTGCGGCGAAGGACTTTGTATCTGGAATCGTGGCATCAGATCCTCATGTAGCGATCGCGTGGACGGGTGTTTGTGTTTTGCTTCCTGTAAGTTGCTCTCTGGAGATTTCGAAGCACTGGCATGTCAGGATCGACTTCCAAAGTTGTCCTCAATTTGATCGTATTGCAAATCATTACCTATGGCTATTCCTATGAGTCAGAAGAGTTTCGCAGCTAACAGTACAAAGCTCCTCTTGAACCCAAAAGCACAATACGACGATGCATCAGCGGGCCTGCTTGAGATACCGCTCATCATTCGTCGCTATCAAGTCCTCGAACCTCTGTATCAGCGTCGAAGTGCAGAAAACGAATCCTTGAAAGGAGATTTTGAGAGGAAACTCACTGATCTTTACTGCACTATATTAGAATATCAAGCTAGAGCCGTCTGTCAATGGTCTCGGGATGCACTCCATCAATATGGCCGCGATGTCTTTAAAGCCGATAGTTGGGCCAAGTTATTCAAGGAGATCAAGGATCAGGACTCAGCATGCAAAGAGATTGCAACCACTTTGGATGCCGGACTTTGGGAGAAGACGCTTCAAACCGAAAGTCGACATCTCCAAGAAATACTTCAATCTTGGCAAGAAGAAGAGAGAAAGACTCTGCAAGACCTACAAGAATCAATGAGGAAGTTACACGGCTTGGCTGAAGATCGGCAGACTCGACAATTGTCGATTGAACAGCAAAAAGAGGAAGCCGATTGTCATCAATCATTTGGACCGATGGATTATAGAGACCACAAGGACCAAAACCCTTCCCGAGTTCCTGGCACCTGTACCTGGTTCCTGGAGCATCGAAGCTTTCTTGAGTGGAAGCAAGAGACGAATTCGGCCTTATTATGGGTTTCTGCAGATCCTGGCTGTGGCAAATCTGTCTTGATGAAAAGTCTGGTCGATGAAGGATTGTTGGGGAAGGTTCAGTCCCGGCCTCGGTTTGCTACTTCTTCAAGAACGGATTTGTCGGCCAACAAGGTTTGGCAAGATGCATCTCTGCCATTCTCCACCAACTCTTCTCGCAGAATCCGTACCTCATACAATATGCACTTCCAGACTTTCGGAGAGACCGACGTGCGGCAGACAACTTCAGTGTCGTTTGGGACATACTGGTGAAGGCCGCGTCTGCTTCCGAAGCAGGTGAGCTCGTTTGTGTTCTAGACGCTTTGGATGAGTGCGAAGAAAAGGCTCGTGAACAACTCATCGAACACCTGAAGCGACTCTACCTGGATCAGGATAAATGTCAAGGGATGAAACTGAAATTCCTTGTTTCAAGTCGACCCTACCCAATTATTGAGCGTCGCTTTCGAGCCCTGATCAAAGATTTTCCTAGCATTCATCTGAAAGGAGAGCAAGAATCTGATACCATCAGCGAAGAAATAAATCTGGTCATCCAAAAGCGGGTTCCGGAGATCGCTGTGGACCCAGAATTGTCACCTGAAGCGCAACAAAGCCTGCTCGAAAATCTCTTGAGTGTACAAAACCGAACATATTTGTGGCTTCATCTGATCTTTGAAGCAATCTTGAAGAGCCTCGGAGCCACTTCCGCAAAGGGCCTGGCGAAGATCATCAAGCAACTTCCGGAATCAGTGGATGAGGCATATGACAAGATCCTTGCGAAAGCATCTGATCCACAAGTTTGCCGAAAGTTACTTCACATCATTCTAGCTGCGAGAGAGCCTCTAAGCATTGCACAGGTGAATGTGGCTTTACATGTGGACGAAAGCGCGACTTGTGTAGAAGATCTGGATTTAGAGGCTGACGAATATTTTGAAAAGACAGTGCGTGGTTTGTGTGGTTTTTTTGTTAGTGTGGTTGGTAAAAAGGTGTTTCTCATCCACCAAACTGCTCGAGAGTACTTGCAGGGAAACTCTCCGGAGACATCAAATTTGAAACACTCGTTTCCAGACTTTGATAGTGAAACAATTTTTGCAAGGTCATGCATTGTGTACCTTCAATACGCCGACTTCAGGCTCGAGCGCCCATCACAAAGTAATGATGATGACGAGGAAGTTATCGATTGTGCAGATGAGAATATAGACATTGACGAAGAACTCGACACTTCGCAAGCGTTTAGCAAGGTCCATTTCGAACCGCCGCTCGCTCTGCAAATCAAATCCCTCGCAGATAAATATCCATTCTTTGGCTACGCCGCGATCAATTGGGCGGCTCACTTTGAAGTATCAGCCAAAATCGAGCTTCTAAAAGTAGCAATGCCCCTTTGCGATCCAAAGTCCGAAATCTTTCTTGCTTGGTTCAACTACTACATATACATGCCGCGACCTGCGATCTTCCTCGCACCAGATGCTGAAATATCATCATTAATGGTGGCTGTTAGATTGTCTTCGGGTATACTAATTGAGAAATTCTTATCTGAAATCAACCACACGACGACAAGCGGGGTGACAGCTTTAATGATTGCGGCGTATTCCAGTACCGCTGAATGTTTTGCAAAACTTTTTCAAAGCGGTGCTAACGCGGAGGCATCCGATAGAGACGGTTGGCGTGCGATCCGTTATGCCATCTGTGCTGGCTCCCATGCGATCACATACCCACTCGTTACGCAGGGTGTTGATTTGAACTGCGCTTCCAAAGATGGTACTCCACTCGTTCTGACGGTCTATGGTGGCCACAACAAAATCGTACAACACCTGTGCAAACACGGAGCACGAATTAATGAGGTTTCCAGGGGTCGCACAGCTACAGAGACTGCGTTGTGTGCAGCGGTTCGCTGGAATCATCTCGATGTCGCGAAGACATTATTGGAACTTGGTGCAGATCTTACACAAGAGTTTGATGGAAGCAATGTCTTCGAGTTCGCGATCTCGACGTCAAATATGGAGGCATTGAAGCTCTTGCTTCAGCACAAACCGGAGCTATACCTCGAAGCTCCAAGACTTGCACTCACAGCTGCTATTAAGTACGGAGATAGCAAAGCGGTAAAAATTATCCTCTGGTATACCAACTTGACACCATCTCTATTACATGCCGCGCAAGAAGACATAGTTCGGATTCTTCAAGAGGGTCTACAATCTAAGGCTTCGAGGGAGGAAAAAGAACGCTTGGATCGCTTGCCTGAGATTGGTCACTTGATCGATATATTTTTATCAAGTAAAACTATCATCGATAATAACAATGAGTTAGATGACTTATCCGAGATGACGGCACCCCACAAACCAAGAGACCTGAAATTATATGGCGAATCTCGAATGCTGAATATACGAACTTTTTGGGATGAACTTTGGCTACTCGACTGAGAGACGGCTGCTTCTCCATTTCAAGGATGAACTGTGCGGAATTCAAATTCCTGCTGAAGACAAAAGTCGTCCTAGTGTGTTTTGAGAGAAGCTTCGACATCCACCTGTTCCCGGAGCTCCCCAGAAGCTGCGACATTGAGACGAGAGACCAGACCATCTCAAACAATCATCAGTCATGTTTCATGCAGTTTCTCAGCTTTTTCAAACAATCAGACCATCCAATGCTCGAGTTTGATTGGATCATTTTGAGCTACATTGTCTGTGAATGGTCGGAGCCTTCAGGGAAAAGTGTGTCAACTTCACGGGAACCATCTTTTTGATATTGTGATAGGTATTCCAATCCGATGATATTCGGCAGAAGAAGTGCATGCTGGAACGATATTAAGTGGAAGCGAGAGGGTAGCACGGCAAGGAGTAGCGGAGTGCCAAAACGAGCTTTCAAATATCTTATGGTATAGCCCAAATTCCGACTGTAAGCCAGCTCTAAAGGCTCAAAACAAGTTCGAGCACAATCGAGATGCAGGTCAATCGGCTCAGAAGACACATCGGCCGCTGAAGCACCCACGGATTCAGCTTTTGAAATTGATGCAAGCGTCAATCCATGCAAGGCGTAATCTGCCGTATCATGGATCTTTCGACATTCATCCTTCCGTCTACTCCAGAATCCACCCGCCGCAACTTGGAGGGATTATTGCTTCACTACCACGAACGGTGAAGATGGAGGAGAACACACCGTGTACACACTGAAAGTGTTATTGTTATTGAGAAGTCATCCATGTATATACATATCTAATACTCCAGCGGCGATTCCTAGACAAGTGTCGAAGTCTACACGTTCAAGGCTTTTCGTTCGTCGAATTTTCCGTGTCTTGTCCAAGAAATCCGTCAAGAATCGACCGATTTCATGGATGTGCTGACTCTTCACAAGTTATCCCCTCTTTCTTGATCTTTGCCAACCATCTTGCAGTCTTCAATAACCAAAGATCAAAGCTAGCAATCTCTACAAACGAAACCAGTGTCATTCTCGCTAGATGCACAACACCCATCACGTGGTCCCCCTTTCCGCCCCTTTTCCAACACGTGATACATCTTCCTTCTTTCCTTTTCGCAGTATTCCAGCCCTTTCGGAGCAGAGATTCTGCAGCACACCACCCATAATACAACATACCATACTAATCTGTTGATATCAGTGCCTCGTCAAATCCTGATCCCAACACCCTCATCTCACCGCTTTCCCCATCAAGACACACACATCCAAACCACTTCCCCATCAAGACATACCTGCATCTGCATCAACGGGAGAACCCACACATCCGTCCAGCAGACTGGGATATGCTCCTCCGATATCGATGCAGAAAATCATGCAGAAAATTCAAGAAAAGCATCGCAGAAAAAGCAACTTACCATTACCCCGCATCTCACCATAATTGCTTTTGTCTTCCCAGGTCGCCTTGCAACACCGTGGCGATGAGGGAAATAAATATCTGGCAGTGGAATCGATGGTAATGATGACATGTGTCTAGGGGTAATATCTTGGGTGAGACAACATATTCGGCGAATGAGATAGACAAGACAAGACAGACGCATATACATGGCAATCAAGCACGGCGATTGAAGAAAACCGTCTCACGCCAAATCAAATGTCCCAAAGGGCAAAAACAAGAAACAACCTCCGGGGAAGCTCCCGGACGAATCCCAATTTCCCATCGCCAATCTCATCAAACGCCCAGCCTTTCCCACCGCTCTTCCTTCCCGCCCCGTTTCTCCACAATCTCAATCTCGATCTCTCTCTAAAGCAGCCCTCCATTTCCATCTCAGCCCTCCTATCCCAAAAAGCAAAAAACTCACCGAGCTCAATCTGACCCGAACGAAAATACCTAATTAAGATTCGCCACTCCCTCCCTATCCAGACACAGCCACAGCCACACGGAACGCCCGCGTGGCGAGCCGTGCCGTCGCTTGCTTGCTGACCTGAACACCGCAGCCGCAGTCAGCCGATACCGGGATCGGGGGCTGTTGCGAGGTCGGGAAATTTTTCTTAAGTTGAGTTGAGTCACAGAGAAAGCAAGAAAATAGGGGATTCCGATTTCGGGAAGAAGGAATTGAATTGGGCAGGTCTTGCGATAGAAGGTTGATTCGTATGCATTGGCCCTTGGGAAATGAGGCTCAGCTAGCGGTGGGTGACGTTGCCCTTTCTCAATTGTAAACGAGGGAAGGGCGGAGAGTGGTTGGCTGGCTGTCGGCATTCAACTGCAGGTAGGTATGTAGGGCAGGCATGTACCGAAATCGGGAAAATCGAAATTCTTTTGAATTGGGAAATTGCCGTGACTCACTACTCACTAGGTTGGGCGTACCTTTCCCGGGCGATTCTCCGATGCCGAGTAGAAAGTTCCTTCCCGATTCAGGATATTGGGAATGCAGGATCGGGAAATCGAGCCGCTGGAGAGTGAGGTTTGAGGCTCTCTCGGGCGTTGCTAGAGATGCGTGCGCCCTCTTTGAGCAGGGTTTCTCCATGTTACGAGACATCTCTCTCGCGGCTTTGGAAGACATTCCGAGTTGTTCTACTTCAATACGGCGTGCCGAATGAAAGGGCTGAAGAAACATTGCCTACTCGGGTCTCAATGCAGCTTCGCAACGTAAGCCTCTTACTCAATAGGGCTGAAAGACCATCACCCCGCACTTTGGGTTGGTTGATGTCTCGCCTCATCAAGAACGGTCTGAAATGTGCCTTCAAGCCTTTCTCAACTTCGAGCATGCTAAGGAAGCCACGATAAAGGAATCATCCGGCGTGCTGCCTTCTTTCCATTTACCCCACAAATATTGCAATATGGCCGGCCGCTGAAGAAACATCACCTCATAACCTGATTGGTCCTCGAACAGCTTCTCAACATCAGCCCCTCCTCGAGATCGGTGCTTGTCGACTTACTACCTGCGAAGTCGCTTTTCGATGCCTTTTCTCAATTACACGAAAGAAACAACAACAACAAGAGGGCTAAAGCAACGTCACCCCACATTGTCGTTGGTCTTCTCTAAGTAAGCCCCAAGAGCGGTCGGTACATCCCGACTTGAAATGTCTTACTGCTCGCCAAGGAGCCTCCTCAATTGCATAAAAGAATCGGCAACAGGGCATCTCTCAAATGACTCCCCAACGGTACAATACATCCCGACTAGAAATGCCCTACTGTTTGCTAAGAGAAAAATTGGTTTGAACTGCTTTTCTTCTATTTGCAATAAGGCTGAAAGAATATCACCCCACAGTCTCAAGACAGTTGCCTGCCAACATTAAAGCTCAAGAACGGTACATCCTGAGTTGAGATGCCTTGTTGCCCTTCTTTCTCATTCACAATTACAAAATTTGGAAATAGAGCTGAAGGAACATCACCCCAAAATCTGGCATGTGTTCCAAACTCTCTCGTCTCAACGTGAAGTAAGCCTCAAAAACGGTATATCCCGAGCTTGAGACTTCTTGGCAATGTCTTGCCAAGAAGTCTCTCAGCGTAGGTCTCATACGAGCAGTGAAGTAAGGCTGAGAGAGGGATTCGAGACAGACTGTCCTCTGGGCGGTTTTGAGTTGGAACATGCCGACCAGTGCAAAAAGCCAACGAAGTGAAACTTCAAAGCACACTGGAAAACTTTCCCCCAAAAATGAAGCTCGAAGAAAGCCCTCTCCCGGCACTTACCATAACAGCAAAATCGGCACATACCCACCACATCCCTCCTCCTCATCTGACACACGCCTGATAATCATCAGATACCTACACACCTTCCTCGCCCCCATCACCTGACGCCCACCACCACAACCACCACAACCGCAACTGAAACATACATAAGCTCCAGCTAAGCCCTAACCCACCGCATCCGGTCATGTTTACTTTTTCTCGGATACAGTGTGCCGAATATTGCTGACCGAGAAATGGTAGCTGAGAATAGAAATCGTGGGGTTAACCATCATCATCACCTGAGCTGTCCACTCAGACTTCCCAACCCGTCTAGCGGCAGTACGACGTTGGGGCTGACGAGAGAGAGCGAGCCATTGGTGACACAAGATAAAGTGCTTTCTAGTTATTCATCAGACCAACAAGATCTGCAATGCAGATGAGGAATCAACCAACACGCATCTTCTAGCGGATACGGTGGTTGGTGTGACGGAGATGAGATGAGATAGATAAGATGCAAACAAACAAACATTGAACATCCCACTCTGGTGCTACTAAGCATTTACCACCCCTCCCCAACTCCGGTAAGCTATACAGTACAGTACATATGCAGGAAGTATGGGAATCTAGAATTTTGCCCATTCCATCGGGGCGTACACACAACATGGGCAAATTGAAGTTGCTTGCTTTTTTTTGTCTGCCGCTGCTGCCTGGACTTGTACCGAGCCACTGGTAACAGTCGCACCGCACAGGTACGGACCGGGGATCCGGCCAATGAGATGGGAGATGGGTTGGTGTTCAGGTACACTGCAGGTTTTATCTTTGCTGCAGTATCGGCGTGTTTTTTCTCTCTCTTCTTCTGCTCATGTTGTGACCATCTATCATCAGCTTCAGCAGCGAGCGGGGTGTCCGATGTTACCTAGCACTACTGAGGTATGCAGGATCGTAATCGGTCGATTATTTGATTGATTGATTGCAGGGTACTGCGGCTGAGCATTGAAAGAGAGGACGGCAGATGGGAGGGAAGAAAGAAACAACAAAATGCAATTAATGACATGTAATAAGTAAGACAAGCGCAGTAAGACAAATCAATCAAGTGGCAGCAGAAAAGTTGGAAGCAAATGGCAATCGGCCACATCTCCAGGCAGACACTTGACAGCTGCATTTGGACGTTCACGAGCGCGGGGGGTTATATCTCATGTGGCACAGTCGACCCTCATAATGTCAGCCCCTCCCAAGGAAGTTTGTGACCTGTCTGATTCTTGTGGCCAGACAGACAAAGACGGCTTGGGGAATTCAGCAGCGCGGCGGGCCGAGCAGAGAACAGACCATTGGTACTGAGGTTGGGAATGTGTGTGGGAGGAGGACACGGTTCGTCAGCCCTTCCCAAGGCTGTTGAAGATGTGAGCTATCATATGAGCAGCACGGGAAATGGATGCAGTTAGAGGACGGCTAACTGCACCGCAAGCGATGCAACCTGCATGCAACAACAGGAATTGTGCACCCTGAAAGAGGAAACAAGGTGAGGGGTAGTCGGTCCCTCGTATGCAAAGCTTGACCGCATGAATCTCGACGACCTGCGAGTCGTGAGTCGTGTGCCGACGTGATCATCCGGTCTTGGAAGCCCGAAAAAGAGATCAAACTCGGCCCGGTCGGATGGGTGCATGCAGAAAGCTGATATTTTGAGGGTCTTTTTGTGTCCATTTCGCGCTACAGCCAAATAGGAAATGAGCTCACGAATTGACTTTGTTGGAGTCGTACTGCAGTAGTATTGCAGGAGTCGTACAGCAGGTGAGGTTGGACGAATGCGGGGCTTTCCCCGATTCCGATCATCTGGTGTCACGGCGGAGAGCCTCTTGACGAAAGATTCTGCGAGAGAATGCCGTGCTCCTGTGTAACGTCTGTTAACGTGCCTGAGTGTCGAAAGAGAGCGAGATTCGCATTCTGATGCCAATAGATGTCGCTTATGTCAGACCAAGGCTTGGAGACATGCGCCTTGCAGGTAATGCTCATCTTTGCCAATCAAAACAGAAGTTGCATGCAGCAACAAGAACACCGACTGCATGCATCAAACTGCTGATGATTGCGAAATCCTCTGTCTCGGGACACCGTTGCTATTCGAGGAGTGTTTTCTAGAGTGCTATTAGTTGTTTCGTAAGGCTGCTGTTTGTAATACAGGACCCTACACCTCTTCAACCTTAATCTATTGTGAAATTGGGGGCGAAGTCCTGTCCTTCCAGGCGAAACGGCGGTCGGAAATTATTGAATAAGGATCTGACGACCCTCACCCTCACCATCTCTCCCCACATTCTATTTGCGTGATTCTGAGGTTGATTGCAGCACAGATAACATGGCTTGCGTACCCGCAGATCACCATGGCGTATGAAACATGTGGTCGTCAGGGTTGTTGACCTTCCAGAAGGATGTGAGACGGGAAATCCATGGCTCGCTTGCCAACTTCGTACCATGGACGCTGCACCCAGCAGGCACGGATCTCCGGAATTGCGAAGGATGAGAATTGCTTCAGCGAAGCCCGGTGGTGATCAGAATCCCTGAATATTTATTACACAGCGGCACAACCATGGATACTGGTCAAGGTCAAGGTCGAGGAATGTGTGTCATGCAGATGATATTCGGGGTACGTGGGAATTATCAGAATCCTTGCTTTTCCTCTGTGTTGGGCTTATCGGTTAGATTGTGTTTTTGAATGAAAGGACGAACTTGCACACTTAGCAATCAGGAAGGACCCGAAGTAAAAGTCCCCAGGCTGCTGGGTTGAGGGGGGAGTAGGTGACGACGGTGGAATTAATTAATTAAATGGGAAAGGAGGATGCCTGGGCGCGAGTGAGGAACAAAAGACCTGTTTTTGACGCCGAGCAATGGAATGTGAGGATTGTCGCAGCACTGACGACGCGTCCTTACGAAGGCTCATGGAACAGGAACTCCAGTCGTTGCTCGCCCTGAGTTCAACGACGTCGATAGTGGCTGGGGTCTGGATCGACGAGGAGATGCGGGACACATTCCTTCTCCTGCAGAGCGATAGGCTTCTCTTTGCGCTGATGACTTCTTCTTTGCATCATTTGTGCATCACCGCATGGATTGTGGGAGATTCTCAAGCAGCGTATCATCATTCCCCCTCACCGCTGCCGTACCCAATAAAGCAAGTCGTCCTCTCGCAAGGGCAAGAACAAGTAGCAGAGCAGGAAGCAAGCAAGCAGCAGCCCAAGTGATGCAGGAAATGCCGTGTCTTCGTCACAATCGTATCATGGTACGAACGTCGGGGGCCAAGGCACAAAGGCACTTGACGCTGACCTGCAACTGGCGACAGCATCCTCGAATCAGCAGCGCGCAGGGCCGCCGTATTTCGATCCGAGGTGACCCGAATTCGTGTCACTCCCCACAGTCAGAGGGTGCCAAGCTTTCAGCGAGCGTTGCGGTGGCTCGCTAAGTGTCCAACGGCGCGGGAGCGATGGATGACGGGGTCGTTCGTGCTGCTTTGTGAGACCTTTTGGTGGGCAAAAAATGACTACGTCGGGCTTAGTCGGGCTCCAGCACACTGGTAAAAAGGGGCAGGGGGAGCGGGTGAAGCAGCGACAGGCATCCCCCGATGCTGTTCCTCCTCTTCCACACAACTCTCTCTTTCTTTGCTCCTGTTGGCAGCAATTGGCTCCGGTCCGTTTTGGCGCTGGTCCTCGTGCGTGGAAACCTGCAAATCAGAATCATACTATTAAGTAAATAATAGTCCACAATCATAATGTCCCATCAGGGCTAGCCTCCACGGTCTTTCATCCACGCGAGCCCTATGATTCCCAGCGACGAGGATCCGTCGTATTCTTTTCTTTCTTCTACGCCACCCTGAAGTACCCCGTTCTCGTAGCGCCAACCTCCAGGCCCAGTTTGAAGGTGTTGGGAGCGGCCTGGCGCGCCGTTACGATTGGATGGGTGGATAATCCCTTCTCGCCCGACGTTAGCCTCGTCTTGCCTTGCCTCCGATGTTTGTGTTGGTCAGGAACGTGAAACATCCGTCCTTCCTCGGTACAAAAGCTAGATATCCGCAAAATTTGGACAACAGATGAACACAGATTACAGTGGAGTACCGTTTCGCGTGGTCGTGACACGGTGGCAGCAGCAGCAGCAGCAGCGCGGGAGGAGATGAGAAGCGGAGAGCGCTGGTCCCTGGAGATGGAGAGGCTCAGATGAGGATCTGCCTGCAACATCGTATCATCATCATGCCGTGCGCAACCTATCAGGTGCCCAACGTCGAAGGGGTTTTGGATAATTGGGCCATGGATCGATTGCGGATAACGGAGAGAACGACGGTCAAGTCAACAGCAGCACAACTGAAGTGCGCGCATGGTTTGATGAGTGACAGTGGGGGCTTTGAGCCATGAGCCTTGTTGAGAGAACACAGAAAGAAAGTCTGATGGAGTCATGATCTGCTGGCTTAGTGAGCTGTGCTCGCCTGGGATAGGATAGGGATAGTCGGCGTAGCCTTAAGAGCAGGGCAAGCAGAGTTATCGTGCTGTTTTAACAGTTAATGGGGGCCGCGCGACGCAGGCCATGGGCGGTGGAGTATCGACAGGGAATCCCACATGGTTTTGCTGGGCTCCTCCACGCTCGCACGTCACTTAAAAGCGTCGAGGTCGTGGTGATTGGCGGAACTCTGCCCTACCACGCCCACTTCCTCGTGCCTGAATGCTGATGATCATGCTCGCATTCGACCTTCTGCTGGAAATCCGCAGCAGCAGCAGCAGAAAAGCAGAAACAGCAAACAGCTCAGCTCTCTGCACCGCCATCTTCTTCTCTTCCTCTTCCTGCTGCCTCTCCGAGGGATACGAAGAGCATAAGTGGAGCCTGCTCCTTGGTGCAGTAGCTTGCGGGCGAGTGCAGCAGTACGGCTACTGTACAGAATTGATGTACAGACGAAGGGGCACATCATGTCGCATCCCTCCACCGCCTGTACCTCACAGGCACATGAACTCGTGAGTAAGGTCCTGTGGTGGTATTTGCTGTCGACCGACATCCAGAAATAACCCAGACCCTCCATTCTTGCATCATGCAGCCCGGCCTCAAATCAGCGCGCATTCTGAGGGGCTTGCTGGCTGCTCAGCTGTGGTTGGACTCCGTTGGGAACCTTCTCCTCGAGCAGACCAACGCCGACGGCCTCTGTGTTTCTGCGCGCAAAAAGGAGTAATCGACTGGTAATCGCAATGACCAGGAGCAAGTTGCGAGTGAGAATGGGTTGGATATGGCCTCTTAGTCAGGAGAACGTGACCCGTTCCGCCGCTCTGGCATTGGTCTTGTTTCCAGCTGTAAGATACCGATGATATCTGTCCGCAAACCCGCAGGGTGATAAGGAAGATTCAATGGAGCCGATTCTACGATAGAGATTCATCGTGCATGAAATCCCTGCGGATGCTGCCCCTGCTCGCTGGTTCAGCGTGTCCACCGAGCCCAGCGAGTCGATGATTCTCATGAAACGAACCAGCCATCCTGGTCACTATGACGCGCTGCTGTGCACTGCTGCAGAGAGCGACTTTGCCCACGAGGGACAAGGGTCCACCAGGAGACAGGCAGGTAGGTAGGTAGGCAGGCAGGCAGGCAGGCAGGCAGGCAGGCAGGCAGGCAGGACTTGGTGACTTGACTTGACTTGACGATTTGGTGACTGCTTGGAGTAATAATGCCCGTAACGGGATAAGTGTTGCATGCTGCTTGCTTTTGAAAGAGAGGTGTCTGTCAAGCGCCAAGACACTGGACTCAGGACACAGGAGAAGACTGAGGAAGTAACGTGCGTGGTGTGAGAGAGCGAGAGAGGCGTGCTGCTGCAGTCTCATCATCAATACTGTAATTCCCCAATACGACCGCCCTCAGAGTAATGCCGGACAGGCTAGGCAAGGCAAGCTGGGCGCAAAACGGAGGCAAAGAATCCCCATTCCACTCATCCCATCACATCCAGTCCAGTCCAGTCCAGTCCAGTCGTCGGCGCGGGTCGAACGGCCCCTGCCCTGTGGTCGCTGGCATGTCTCATCAAAAATGATCATGGCCTGCCCGAGTCGGTGAGAAGTGCCTTGTGGCCGATGGGTGGACGTGGCTGCTATTGGGCTGCCACCACGGCGGAAGGCGTGTACCTGGCCTCGCCCCTGTCGCGAATCTGTTCACGAGACCATGAGCTGGTATGAAGGGCCTGATGCAACGAACAGCTCGCGCTCGACTCTCCTCTCCTCGGAGGCAAGGCGGAGGAGAGCGGTGAAAAGAAAAGAGAGAAAAAATTAGAATTGGGATTGGGATTGGGATTGGGATTGGACTCAGCAGTCGTGCTCTGCTCGTCGGCTCTGGGGCCAGTCACAGAAGTGCAGCCAGGACAGACAAGCCTCCTCCTCCTTCTTCTCCTTTGCATGTCAAGACTGGACTGGCCATCATCGTCAGTCAATTTGCCAGAAAATAATAATACCAAGCTCTCTCCCCCGTACTGCCTCCCTCACTCACCCATTTATTACTTACTTTACTTACGTCCACCATCCTCACTCAACTCAGCACTCAGCACTCACACGCCCTCCATAGTACCACTTACTACTTACTTACTCACTCACCACTTACTTACTGCTGGTTGTCTATCCATTGGGCCAATACTGCAACCCGTCCCTTCCCATCCCACCTCATATCCCACGCAGCCAGCATACTACTTAATGCTCCTGGCCCCGACTACTCTCTGCATCTACAGTACAGGCAACATTATCATCATTGCACCTGAAGAACCCCGGCCCGGCCCTATTGTTGTGTCTGATAGATTGCCGGCCTCACGCGGTGCTGCGCATTCTGACTTACTGGTCGTGCCCTTGAACCCTTCTCGTACATCTAAGGCCGTCGAAGCCTCGAAGGATCAACGACGAGAACGATCAACATCCACAAGCACATCCACCGCGCCATCTATTTTCTGCATCCGCGACCTAGGCTGACCTTGGCTACTGGTTCTTGACACTCCCCTTCTGGAGCGTTGGCATTAGCATATATCATAGCAGTAGCATAGCACCCGGTCCCATCAGGAGGCTGAGGTGTATTATTCAAGATCAAACACACGCGCGCACCCTCTCACCCAGACAACAAAGTCTAAAAACTGTTCCTCATCTGCTTCGTTCGTGGGTCGCTGTGCTGCCATCTGTTGTTTTTGCTGCCAATCCTCCTCAGCTCGTCGACTGCCGGGGATTCGAGTGCAAACTTCCACGCGCAGTTCCGCATTTTCCAGAGTCGTCAACGATCGTTAGGTTACCCCAGCTAGGCAATCCCGGGCAAAAAAAGGTCCTTGCTCTGGCTCTGGCTGCTAAGAGGCGTTCGCGAGCGAGACAGGGAACAAAAAAACTCTCCTCTCCCTTTCCATCCGAGCAGCAGCAGCACCATCACCACCACCACCACCAAGAAACTCGATCCTCGACTTTTTCTCATAAGCCCGACCACTTCACTCCGTTCTACTCCAACTTTCGCGCGTCTCCTACGGGAAAATAAAACACGCAATTCACTCCTTCGCCCTCTACTTTGTTGTTTCGCACGCGTCTGCGACCGTCGCCCTTCTGGTTTTCTGCTCGTCCCGTCACATTCGAATTTCGTCGTTTCGTCCTCCACATACGTCCTGCAGCAGGCGTGGATAATACCTTTGCGGTGCACCCCCCGTCCACGAACCCTCACCCAGATTCCGCAACTGGACAGGTGCATCACGAATAAGCTATCTCGAATGCAGCATTACCCACGGCGACCATTTACACACCACATGACTTGATATTTGCGAAAGCAAGAAGCCTTTGCATCCGCGGCGCAAAGTCCCACATTCGACTTCCTACTTCGGCCTCCCGCTTCGACAGCAACCCTTCTACCATATTGCGGCACGCAACAAGAGAAGACATGCCTTCTTGCACAGAGACCTCGTGCCATTCATAGTCCTCGACTTTCCTTCACTTACTGCTGACGTTACAAGGCCGCACCATTGGGCAATTCCTTCTGTCCACCCAGGTCGCAATGCCCGGCTCCGAAAGTCACTCACAATTGGCAACAACTCCTTCCCAAGACTCTCTCTCTACAACCATGACCACACAAACCGCGCAGACCTCCTCAGCGAGGCATACGAAACCTACCCACGTCCAAACGAATTTTCTTCCTCTCATTCACTCTTCCGCGTCGCCTATTCCTGCCTCGGCCATAAGTGCCTCTTCCGTAACGACTTCGAGCTCTCTACAAGCGTCGCCCATTATGTCTCCCGAAACCGCACAACTTACTACGAACAACTCCTCTATACAAGGCTCTCCAGAAGGCCTGCGGGGCCGTGATGCCGAATTCACCCTTCCTCCATTCGAGCTCCCCGAATCGATCGTGTCGCGCAAATCGAGTCAGAGTGCTATGAGTGAGGCTATGTCCATGAGCAAGTCTCCTGGACTGATCCGAAGACTCTCCAACCGTGCAACGCAGTTTGCAGGTCGCCGACGTCAATCGTCAACTACCGCAATGAGTCGGGATCATAGCACAGGGCCTGTCATAATGCGACGGAGAAGTGATAGCACCAACACAGCTCCAGAAGGAGGCAAAGGAGCTTTATTCTCCGACTCGGATGATGAAATTGAACTTGGAAATCTTGATAGCTACGGAGGTCCATATGGACTTGGCATTGACTTTCCAAGCACCACAGCATCCATCGGTTCCTCCACCGTCGCAAGCAGCGCTCCTGCTCCTGGTCCAGTCATCCCTTCCATTCTCTTGCAAGGCACGGCGATGACAAAAATCACCAAGAAGAAAAAGAAACTCTTGACTTTTGTTCTGGAGCGTGAAGCTGCCAAGGTATCTTGGGACAAGAATCGACCGTCGAAATCTCTCTATATCGACGATATCACAGAGATTCGAGTAGGCATTGACGCAAGAAATTACCGCCAAGAACATGGAATCTCCGAGGCTGATGAGACGAGATTCTTCACGATCATTTACAATGTTCCCGACAAATCCAAAAGCAAATCACAGAAACTTATGCATCTGATCGCCAGTGATGACCAGACATTTGAATTGTGGACAACGACACTTGAAGCCATCTCAAAACACCGTCAAGAACTCATGGCTTCACTATCGTCTTTTCACGAGAAAGCGGTGAAAGCGCACTGGCGCACCGAGATGAACAGACGATCTCCAGAGAGTTCTCATCTCGTGGACGAAGAGATTGAATTTGTCGGCGTTGAGAGACTGTGCCGCTCGCTCCACATCTACGGCTCGTCTGATTACCTCCGTACTAAATTCGAACAAGCCGATGTCTCACGTTCCGGCCGTTTGAACTTCGTCGAGTTCCAGGAATTCGTCAAGCTTATGAAGCGACGAGAAGACGTACGAGCAATCTATCGAGAATTGACAGCCGATACTGAGAAGGGCATCACCATCGAAGAGTTCTTCCGCTTCCTTGTCGAAGTCCAAGATGAGGATGTTGAAAGCAATCGCAGTCACTGGGAATCCGTCTTCGCTAAATTCGCTCGCAAGTCGAAACCAAGAGAACAAACACAGCAAGAAGGCAGCGATGCCGAGATTCCACGAATGAATGAGGCTGCACTATCCAGCTTCATGATCTCTACTTTCAACCTCCCTCTGGACAATGCGCCTGCCGAGTACTCCCTTGATCGACCGATGAACGAATACTACATTTCGAGTTCTCACAACACCTACTTGCTCGGTCGCCAAGTAGCTGGCCAATCTAGCGTGGAGGCCTACATCTCAGCCCTGAATCGAGGCTGCAGATGTGTAGAGGTTGACTGCTGGAACGGAAGCGGTGGTGAACCTGTCGTCATGCACGGTCGGACACTCACCAGCCAAGTCTCTTTCGCTGATGTGATGTCCACCATTAGCAAGTACGCCTTCGTCAAGTCTCCCTATCCATTGTGGGTATCGCTAGAGGTCCACTGCAATCCTCAACAGCAAGCAATCATGGCTGAGATTATCAAGGAGACCTGCGGTTCGAAGTTGGTCACTCAGCCAATTGATCCAACATCGGAACAGCTTCCCTCGCCGTCAGAACTACTCGGTCGCATTTTGATAAAGGTCAAGAAGCCTCGAATGTTTGAGGACGCTGTAGTTATGGAACAGACTGTCGGTCGAAATCGAGGCAACAGTCTCAATTCGCCACTCGTTCGACCTCTTCAGCTCGACAATTCTACCGTTTCAGCCGGTCTTCTGCCGCCAAGCCCATATGTCCGAGCAAATAGGATCATGACGCGCAGTCAATTAAAGTACTCTGGAAGCGAAGGTCAAGATAGCTTGAGCAGCAGCACGAGCGATAGCGAAAGTCTCACAGAAGATATTGCTCGAGCAAAGGATAGTACGCGCAGGAATAAGACGAGCAATATCATCAAAGTCCTCGGAGAACTTGGTGTCTACAGCATGGGTCTAAAGTTTCACGGCTTCGATGCTCCTGAAAGCAAGACATACAATCACGTCTTCAGCTTCATGGAGAATACTTTCGACAAGAACAGCAAGACTCAGGATGATAAGCGTATCATCACTCGTCACAACATGCGCTACATGATGCGAGTCTATCCCAATGGATGGCGTGTTGCTTCAACGAACTTTGATCCCCTCAAGTATTGGCGACGCTCGGTACAAATGGTTGCCTTGAACTGGCAGACGTATGATCTTGGAATGCAGATGAACGACGCGATGTTTGCTGCTGGCACAGATCAATCGGGTTACGTCCTCAAGCCAAGCGAAATCCGAGAGATCAAGATGCTCCCAACTGTTCCCGAGGAAGCTGGGGATGGTCACGTCAAGAGAGAGCGGAAGAATGTCACCTTCTCCATCGATGTCGTATCGGCACAACAGCTTATGCGACCCAAGACTCTTGCCTCGAACCGTTCTGTCGACCCTTACGTCGAAGTCGAAGTCTACCACGCAGATGACAAGGACAAGGAAAACAAGGGCGTTGTGGGTGAAGGTGGTCTTGATGCTTCTGGCAAGGATGGATCATCGGGCCTTGGTACACCTCATAGAAGACGTACTCAAATTGTCCGAGAGAATGGTTTCAACCCAATCTTTGACAAGAAGTTCAACTTCACCCTCACGACCAAGCATCCCGAATTGGTCTTCGTTCGTTGGACTGTCAGATGCTCAACAGATGGCAACAGCTACAATGAAAAAGGCGCGCCACTTGCTACGTACACTGCAAAGCTGTGCAGCCTCAAGCAAGGCTACCGTACTCTGCCTCTCTACGACAACAACGGCGATCAATTCTTATTCTCGACTCTCTTCTGCCGCATCAAGATCGACCCTGCTACCAGCATCTACGTCAATGGTCCCGAAGCTGCCACCACCGACAGCGTGGGAGTCCTCAAGACCATCGGCCGCACCGTCTGGAACCGCTCACCCATGTCACCAAAATCCTCTATGGACAGCGGTCACCAATAAACAGAGCTCCTTCCACCAAATTCGATTCTATTGTACAAATCTTCAATATCTTGTAAACCATCAACCAACCCGTCGACGAACATCATCGCGACATTGTACAGATAATACTTGGGCCTTTTCAGCGATTCCCCAAATTTTCTTCTTTTCGTATTTTTCAGGCGCATCACACAGAAGGACAAATGGAAGGGAACAACAGCATTCAGAACAGGGACACAACAACGCATGCATCATCATTATATACACGGGAAAGGGAAACACAAAAGCGGCTCGCGCTGCGCAACATCTGCATAAATCGGTCGTCTCATGATACTGCATGGATTTTTCTTCTTTTCTTCGGCATTATTCCAAGAAAGTTCCACTCATTACAATTTCTCCTTTGTTTTCTCTACCTTGGTTGCTACTTTTTGGATTCGGCAAATCTTCTTCTTTTCAATTCGATTCGGGCGGACTGGATCCTTTTTACTGCGAGCGAGGGAGGAATGGAGTTTTCTATTTTCAGCTGCGCTGGTTATTTGCCTTCTTTGCTTGGACTGGTTCTACCTCTCTTCCATAACGAGGATCTTTTTTTGCATGGAGAGGAATGCTTTATTAGGGATTTGATAAGGAGTTCTCTTTTTTCCCTTTCAACTTTGCGATTTGCTGGATCTGAACAGGGCGTATCATGGGAATCGGAATGGGAAGAAGGCATGCATGCATCTTTGGCTGGCTGGGGGGCATTTTATCGGGCATGGGATGGGATACCTACTACCTCCACTGAGAGAGTGTAACAATCAGAGAATTTGGCCTGCTGCATCATTGGTTTGCTTTTCTGCTGCTACTGCGGGGGAGGGGGGTTGCAACTTGCAAATTTGCTCGAGGATCAGTGGGCTTAACGACTGATAGCTGAGGAATGGGGGTGGAGGTGGGGATGTTTGCATAGATACCTAGGAATTTAATGCAATGCAAAATTTTCCATCTGAAATTTTTTGATCCGTGATGTGATAAAATTTTTTGATGTGATGTGATTCAAAGTTTTCGCCAGTGATTGATTGGAGTGAATTGATTGGAGAGGAAAAAAATTCGTTAGGCCGAGGTATGACGTATTTACTAGACTCAGACCTGATGATGGATAAAATCGCACCAGCTTAGCCGAGAAAGGAGAGGTGTGTTTACTGAAATGGGTAGGTGGACGGAAGTTAGCGAGGGCCTGGGAATTTATGTCAAGGGGTCGTGTTTTTGTTTCTTGCCGAATTTGTGAATGTCTTTTTGGGAAGGAGTGCTGGGTCGGAGTCGAGTTCTAAATTTTCCTGAACTTGAAGTTGAACTTGAGACATTCAAGAAAGGAAAGAACTTTGAGAGACGTTGGAAGTGTACCAAGGTAGAGGAGCTACGGCCGGAGCACAGGAACGTCGAACTTGCAAGGTCTTCAGATCTATTGGCAGATGCAGAAGTGCCTCGACGAAGCTCGAAGTCATGGACGACTAATTGTAGCAGATATTTGCTGGCCAACATATAGGAATGGCAAATTCTTCTTTCCTCTGCAGAGGCTGAGCAGGAGTGAGGCTGCGAGGGAAGGTACTTCTAACTCTAGGTACGGTACGGAAGAAACGGTGCAGTTGTTCTTTCCTAAAGCATTATGTTTGCTTGTTTGCAATTACCCATCTTGCAAATTCAAAGAAACCTCTTCATCTCCTTCATCAATTCATCAACATACCTCACATTCATATTTCGCTGTTGAGATCTCGGTCTCAAAGCGCCTGCAGGCTTTTCGCAAGGCATTCTCGTCGGCTTCCAACACAATGCAGCCTATGAAGTGTTGACACTTGCATCACAGCAAGGCTGTGAAATCGCACCTTGAAATCCCTCATCGCGCTGATTGTTCTTCTGCATTCTATCGTCTTTTTTCATCGATATCAATTGTCAACCATCGAAGCCACGCTGTTCTTGTTTTGATCTTTCTCCCCTGCGAGCTGAATTATCATGGACGGATTAAGTGCAGCTGCCAGCGGCATCGCAGTCGTTTCTCTCGCAATTCAGCTTGTCGACTCAGTCCGTGAGATCCAACGATTCTTACGATCGATAGCAGATGCGCCCGAGGAGCTGCACAGATTGATAGATCTACTAGATCAGCTTGAATTGATTCTCGACAGTGTGGGGAAGCTGGTCGAGCACCAGCGTATACAACAAGGCGATCTGGATATTGACGTCTCACCCATCATATTGAAGGCTGTGAAGACATGCGATAACACTCTCAAGAAACTCGATGATCTCATAGCGAAGGCAAAGAGTAATGCGAAGGCCAAAAACCCAGCGACAAAGTACTTGGGTCGCTTTCGATTAGCGTGCAAGAAGGAAGATATTGAGCAGATTGAGATGCAGTTGCATCGTGCCGTGACCAATCTTAATCTGGTAATGACGACAAATTTAGCGTATGTTCATTTCCCATTTTGCAATGTTTCATCGTCTGATTTTGCAATAGCGTCTCACATTCTCATGGATTACAAAAGCTGATGAGTGGCATATCATCGACCAATGCTGCGGCAGCTACCATCACCCAAGAACTCGTCTTACTCCGGATGGATGTCACTGATAACAAAAGTGTTTCAACACATCGAATGTCCACCAAGAAGCCTTATCAACGAATCCAATCGACGTCATATCACCGCCAATCCACCTCAAGACTGGTCTATAAGGGTGTTCTAGGAACCATCGCTGCCAAAGTAAGCTCAGAATCCGAAGAAAACCTCGAGGCAGAACATTCCACAAAGGCGTATACCAGAGAAGAAAGGTCATGGTTCATCATCCCGTCGTTCTTTTCCCGGTGTGTGCAGATACAGTATTCGAGCGCTTTCGGATCAGCTGAGAGGGTCTTACGAACTTACCCAATCATTCGAGATGATCATCCAGTATGGAAGATGTGTTCGCAAAACGATACCATCGGCCTACAACAACTGTTCAGCGACCGCGAGATTTCGCCCTACAGTGTTGACAGCCACGGAGCAACTTTATTACACGTAAGTTAATGTGACAGGTGTCTTCCCTGTTAGACCTCTTCTCACGCATTCAAAAGGACACTGTACATTGGTTCAACGTCGAAACCAGTGCTCTATTACTCAATTTTGGAGTGCAACCCGGTGTGGAAGACGCCCGTGGCAGGTAAGTGGTTGTCTTTCCAACCTCAATCTTTGGTTCGTGCTTAGATTTTTGTTTGATAATGGAGTGTCATTGGAATGGATCGCTGGAAACGTCGTTTGATATACAGTACCAATTCAGAGTACCGAAGATTCTATGGCATTGTGTTTCAGATACCATTTCGGCGGTTCGGCCATAGAGACTTGAAATTCTGACGCATTTATATACTAGGCGTCCCCGAGGCTGGTATCTCCCTCTAGAGGAGAATTCAATGATGTACAATCGTGTGACTGCTCTGTATAATCTTATCATTGGGGTAGACAAAGGAGTCGATGTGGCGGAAATTTGCCCTGCATTTTTCCTTAATATAATTTCTGATCCAATTTCGGACTTCATCTTTAGTATACACAATTATGTGACGGAGGAGAACGTCAATCTGTTTTATTCCCGTCCTCTCGAAATTGTCGTCCAGCGGATGTCTCGTCTTGGCATAGATCAGTATGAAGTCGAACAGTGGAAGCAGATTGGCAAGTTCCTGATAAATAAGAAGGCTGATCTTCACTGGTTAGGTGTCGACAGCGCGCCCCTACGAGACTTGATCGATAGTGCCTACAGCACCGGAGACAATCAATACGCCTCGGGAATTGTTGGCGTAAGACTGTTGGACATGCTGCACGATAGCAATGTGGATGTTGCAGAATATCTATCTTATGCTCGTGAGCGCCGACTTAATCCTGAGTGGGTCGAACTCGAAGCAGTTGGCGATCGGAGACGAATCCTACATATCTTCGACCGAGAACCATATTCTTTGTCTTGGGACTGGTGGATAGACCCTGATGGGCGTGCATATGAAGTCCTTCACGAATTCAGACACATGGGCCCTGTGTATCACGACTGCTGGTATGAGTTGTACTGTCCCAAGGCAATGCACAATTGGCCTTACATCTATCCGATATGGGTCAGTTGCTTTGAATGGTCGAAGGGGAGCTGGGCAGAAGAAGATATGAAAAGAGTCGCAGGACTCTTCCACCAACGCTTCGAACGCCGCTGGCAGAAGAAAATGACGAAAGTAGCCAAGATACAAGGGACGTACAAGAAGTCCAAGATGCCAGGGACATGGATTGATTGAATTTTTGGCGTTCTGCACCTGTAGGTACTGTACATGAGGTGCGGACTTCTCAGGGAAATCATTGTCTTTTTTGATGAAGCAAAAGTTCGGGATAGCTCCAAATATATCAGTGTCTTTGAAGCTGAGGGCGCTTACTGGACCACTGATCTGATCGAGCTTTGTCAATAGAGTTGAAGCTCCGATCTTGATTTGGGTTTACGTGAGGAGAAATTGTGTCATTGTCATCAGCACCGTACACCATGACAGTGCAATCATTGCATGATCCTATCGCCACCACGACAAAATCACGAAAGTTCTTCAAGAGTCATCAAACACGCGGCGATTTTCTTGACCGCAAATACTGTGGTAACGCAGGAGAAGTCTTTGAAGATGACAGGAATTCACTCGTTGATGATTCAGAAGAGGATTACGAGACGGAAAATAGCACAGCTAAATGCGCTTTGTATTCACGTTTTTGATATTTTTGCTTAGATTCTTAGTACCTCGAAACTTTCTTAGACGCGGAGGCATGGAGGCAATCAGACGGAGATGAGACATGTTCAGTCCACTTGGTTAAGGAATACGATTTAGTATTGTGCTACAAGTGCTCCCAATAGCTCTCTGTGGCTACTGTTATATTGGCGATATTTGCGCCTTCCGCGCGATTCGCGCTATATGCGCATTTTGCGCAATCTGCGCAAATATCTATAAGAGCGGATTGGATTGGAGGCTATGACAATAGTTAGAACTGATTTCCTGAAGAAGTGTTCGGGGTGTAATCGTACTCAAGAGAAGGATCTGTGATAATAGGGACGCGTATCAATGTCAAGGGAACTACATAAGTCCTATCCTGTATCTCGTCTCTTCAGCTTTGAAGGTCTTGTCTATCAGCCGGTTCTCACTTGGACTAAGAATTTGATTGTGACACCAAACCTGACGAGTGACATGGAAAATACATAACTTAGAAAATATGAATAAATAAAGTTCATCAAGAACCAAAGCTATGAAGAGATAAATAAATCCCAACCCAACCCATCCGTCCAGCGGTAATCCTCCTTCTCCACGCTAAATCAGACCCCTGCCCAAAGAAATAACGAGATCCCACCGCAATCTATGACAGACTACCTCTAATAAGAACGTATCGTACACAATAATCATAATCTCATAAAAATGTTTTTCCTTCCCTGTTCAGCCGAAATGCAACCCAACAAAAGCTCCTCCGATGTCCTGTTTCCCTTAGTTCTATATACAACATCTAGCCTCCTTCAGCAGGTCTGAATAGGTCATCAATTGCTTGACTCGAGTGTCCAGAACTGAGCCTCTAGCAAGTCGAAAGGGCTATACCCGCAACACGAAAGCACAGACTCATCTCCTCCCCCCGTAACAAATATTGTATGCATAAATAAACAAAGCCGAAAGTAAACAAGGAATCGGAAAATAAGTAGAATCATACAGCATCATACCCAGAAACTCCAGATTCCGGGCTGCTGTATTTCTTCTCGTTCTCAGAACCATGCATATCATTATGCTGATTAAAAATATCCATCGACTCACTCAGAGTCCCCGGAAGCCAATTCGGCGCCGAGTCGTCGAACCCCGCGCCCCACACCTGCCCCGGATCATGCACCGTCATCGGGAGAAAATCCCCGGCACAAGAAAGCGTTGCTGTAGAGACCGGCAGTGATGGTTGTTGCCAGACTTGTTGGTCTGGGGGAAGAGAGAGAGGGAGGCTGTAGACTTGGTTCTGGCTGTCGATTTGGCGTTCCGGACTCGCTCTCCAGGAGGTGGGAGATGGTGAGGTCCAGAGGTGATCTTGCGTGTGGGGAGGCGAGGAGGTTTTCCACATATCGTGTGGAGGGCTGGTTGAGGCGCTCCAGAGCTGTTCTTGGGGTGGGGTGTTGGGTTGCCAGAGTTGGTCTTGGGGTGGTGTGGCGGGTTGCCAGACTTGGTCTTGTGGGGGCGTGAAGACTGATGTGTTCCATTTCTCTTGGATTGAGTCTGACGTGGTTGGTTGCCAGGCTTGTGTTGTTGGTGGTGGTGTCGTGGCTTTGGCCGTCCATGTCTGTTCCTTGGTCGTGGGAGATGCTGTCCATGTTATGCCGTCTTGTGAGGATGGTGGGCTGGCAGGTACAGCTATGGAGGCTGAAGGAACGCCTGAGACGATCTTTACTTGCGTGTCGGACGAGTGGCAAGTTGTTGGTCGTAGATTCATCCGTTCACGAGCAATGTAGAGTGAAGGATGAACTAGTTGTGCCTAGACTGGTGTGAGACAACGCATAAAAAAACGCAGAAGAAACGTACCTGGAACAAGATCAAAGCCTGATTGATGCCCATCATCTCTGCAACGAACTTAAGCCGTCCTCTGAGGAAGACTCGTTGTGATGGTGACGCAAAATCCGAGCTTGCAGCTGCGAACAGCGGCCACATCACAAAGATACCAGCGAGGGGCTTGACAGAACTATAATCAGTCGCTCCGCAAGCATACTGAGATCTGTCTACCATGGCACTATCTTTGTCACGGTTCCAACCAAAGAAATAAGGGACGCTAGCCACAACGTCCTCGACCAATTGCTGGCATATTCGAGACGCCGTCGTATATTCCGGTGTAAGTCTATAGTCTCGTGGATCACCAAGCCAGGCAACACACCGGAGGATGACCGTCCATATGAATAGCCGGCACCCACGCACGATGTTGTATTTGTAAGCCATCCATAATTCACCATAGGTATCAACCCGTCCCGGATGGACCACCGAGTTTTCGAGATCGGGGACTTCGTCATCGATCCAAGAAACGGTCTTTATCGCCCAGTTCGCTGGAAGGGCCTTGATCCACTCAATATATTCTTGGTCAAGTGACTCTGCTCTTCGAAGCAATGCCAATACTTTCTCGACATTATCTGCTGTGTGTGTCTTCAAAGTTGTCGTTTGGTCGTTGTCAGCGCGAAGAGCTGCCATTTTGAGATTTATCGTCGCAAAGCTTTGTACAATGCTGTCGTAAGCTTGAACGCCTAGCCAGTCGACATCTCTGTCCACGTCCTTGGAGTTTGCTATGCATTGAAGAGTCTAGACTAGGTTAGCTGTTGAGTTGGATTGGGATTATGTAAAGTACCTTGTGAGCTCTCACCGCAATAAAAAGATCTCTTCCAACGCCGGTGGACCATCTCTGGATAGGGCAAGACTTAATCACAGCTACGGCACCGTCGATGTGGGAAGCCCAACCTCCAACCTTCATCCGTGAGGGTGTTAATTGCTACAAAGTCATCAGCAAGTGTATGGTTAAGCGGTATGTCTCGCCTTACTTCGAAAGATGCCATCAACATCACTGACGCTAATGTGGCTTCCGATGAGGCTACTTTTGGATCTTTCAGGGCGACGTTGATTTCCTTCAACGCTTTCAAGTACCAAACGTCAGCCGTGGATGCCAGGCCTTTGGAATTTGGTCTAGTGCCTAGTGCTGCCAAAGAAACAGCTGAAAAAGCGTACGCGAGTGCTGTCTGCGGGGCTTTCTGCTTCATGAGGGGTAGTACAAAGTCGAGATATCCTCGCATTGTCCCTGATTCCGGTACCAACACGAAATTGGAGAGGAAATAGCAAGCAGCTTGTTGCTGGATGGGACTTGTCATGTTTGTCGCTATGACGTTATGCTTGTGAGGATACGGTACTATGGACCTATTCCGACTTGAAGACAGTTGGGAGCTGCTACTCGATATCGAACTGCTTCGCGAGTGCGAAGCTCCATGTCCAGAGGCGACATTTGGTCCATGGTATAATTCCGCATTATAAACGAGACTGTTTGGATCTGACTGCTCTTGGTTGATTCGACGATTCAGTTTCTTTTTCGTTGACTTGCTCTCGTCGCGCAACTTCAATTCGAATGCATCTCGATAGCCTGGAGACCAATATTAATTTCATTGCATTCGACCTCGTAGAGTACGACTTACCTGGACAGACTCTCTTCGATTTCTGGCATCGCATGCAAGACGGTTTTCCTTCATCGCACTGGAATCTGTCAGTACATAACATTCACATCCTGAAGATGATGATTACTTTGATCCGTCGAGCACGACACATATAACAACCTCTTGATGGCTTTCCAGTGTTGACCATTTTGGTACCGGTTCTTGAATCAGCGGAGATGAAATTGGGTTGAGTGTTCTTGCGATTGGGTGTCTTTCAAATTTGACAGATGAAAAGGTGCCAATGCCATGCATGAACGTCTAACTAAAGCGGTATTCTTCTGGTTTGGTTTGAGACGGATCCTTATATGAATGCTGGGGTGTCGGATCTATCAGACTAAGTCGGGCTGTGCTACCACCTCATCGGGGACGCTTGTTTCGATGATGGTTTGGTGACACGGAGGATTGTAAGGTTAATTCGACGTTAGATGCACAGATTACAAAGAGGGTATAATCTGGGTGGGCGGGAAAAAATCCGAGAACGAATGAGCCGTGCGGAAATGCTTCGAATTGGAGGAAACTGGCAGTCTAGCCTGTCTCCGCGTTTGAAGTGCAGGGAGTATCCTTCGAGTGATGATTCAAGCGTGGCAGACACGTAACCAAGTACACAAGAACAAGGAAACTTATAAACTTTGGATCAGGAACTTTCGGCACCACTAGACGTTTTTCTTTATCTCATCAGACTCGGAAAAGTGACACTGAAAAGCAAATATTTGACGGCGTCAAGACCGTATATCCACAAATCCATAACGAGCACATGTCAAGATGATTTCTTCTTGTACCCCTCTTTTGTCCCTGGTATGCTGCAAGAGTGAGAAACGGAGGCACCACTGAGTGATCTGAGACCACACTTCAAACGCAGTCTAAACATTGTCCACTCATCGTCCGTCAAGCGTGTCCACATTCGATGTTGTGGACCACTTGATCCAGCAGGAGATCTGGTGGCTAGGGGTCATGCAGAACTCGGCGTCTGTGTCTGGAATCGTCGTTTTCTCAAGGCGGCTGGCAATGGTCATAGCTGTAGATTGTGGATTGTGAACAGACAGGAAGATCTTCACGAGTTGTATGACACTGCCGAAGAGCGAAGAGACTGAAGGGACGAAGCTGAAACACAACATGTCGGAAACGAGGGGGCTTAGCGTACCCGGCCCGACAGTGAGCATTTTGGGCTATGATTGGTTCAGATACGGCAGAAAAAGGCGGTCTAGCCCTTTCACTGAACCTTAATCTGGCCGTACATTTAGATGTTGAGGCTTGGATGTATCACTGGAGGAATGCTGCGTTGTATCGACGTTGCATGAAGCAGGTGTCGGGGCTCTGCTGAAGACCTCAATACGAAGACTCGAACACGAATACATCAGACACGGAGCACTGAACAGCTTTACGGTCCCGAAATACGAACTCGAATTTGGTCGCAGTGAGCTTGCCGTATTCCGCACATTGCGTCAAGGTTCATAATTGCGTCAGGCTCCTAGGTTCTCAGGGCGAAAGACGTTTCCAGTACCGATGTGGCATCTGATTTCCGAATTGGGGACCTTTGGGCCGAAGCATTTCCTCTCCCTCGAAAGCGCTTTCAAGCAACAACCCAGCAGCCGGCATCCGCGCAATCCGAGACTGATGATCGCGAATACCCGTATGATCCTCGATCCAAGCCCCTTGACGGTTTGCAAATCCTCTTGAAAGCTTGTCGTCGTAACCGCGCAAATTGACAACAAACGGCATTCGCCGTACATCATGGTTCTGTAGCCTGATGATGCCTCCAGATGTTCACCGCACGGTTCTGACCAAAGCGCTACTCCACTGAGAGGTTGGGATCTAGGGCACAAAGCCTGCAAGCAATGAACAGAAATCATCGGATAATGATGTCAGTGCTGGCCTTACTCGTTGTGCCCAGGACGATCGCACACAATGTAAAAGTGGAGGAGGAAAATCGAGTCGGCAGTTCAATATTTAGAACAGGTGACACAGCAGATTGCCATACCCCTGGACAAAGCAGAACGTCGAAGATGCAAAGAGCTTTGAATAGGAAACTTGTGCTTACTTCATGCTTCATATTTCCCTTGCAAAAATACTCACCTCAGAACCGTTTCAATATTCCGCACAGTGGTGCGTCCACACAATCTACGTGGTACCCAGGCTGCACATCATTTTCACATCAGATTATTTCAAAACCATCCAATTATTCATAGTTCTATCCCAGACGCCGATACACATTTGATTGCAGCCATTCCAGATATTCTTTCTCGACTGGTCTGACACAGATATCACAAACATGAAAACATGAACAACCTCAATAGGCGCCTTCGCATGCTGACGATCCGGGGTTCGTTAATGCACCTCCTTCAGCCTCACCCAAACCTTTCTTCCTCCAAGCGTCCACTCCCGACTCCGCCACCCTATGCAATGGAACCTCCACTCAGTTTGATTATTTGACCTAGGACCAGGAATCAGTCATCAGGCTCATCTTGTCTGCAAACTGAGAACTCACCATTGATCCATTCGCTCTCACGGCTTGCCAAGAAAGCAACTACTCTTGCAATGTCTTGTGGAACTGCGACTCTCTTTAAAGGGCAAAGGGCTGCAATTCCTTGCTCAATAGCCTCAATTGGCCAGCTGGGAGTAGCTCCAGGAGCGTAGTGCCAAGCATTTCTGATAATCAAGGTCAACAATAGATCACGTGAGGGGCCTGACAAACTTACTGCTCGAACATATCACTCTTGACTCCTCCTGGTGCAATGGCGTTGACAGTGATGCCCTTGTGGCCACAATCTGCTGAAAAGCTTCGGGTGAAGCCTTCGACAGCGGCCTTACTTCCGGCGTATAAAGCATGATTTGTGACACCTGTCATGGTTGCAGCAACTGACGACATCAAAATGATTCTTCCTCCATGTTCGAGGTGCTTGTATGCTTGTTGAGCAACGAAAAACTGTGCCTTGGTGTTGAGGTTGAAGACCTTGTCGTAATCCTCCTCTGTGATTTCTAACTCTGGCTTGAAGCTCTCGGTACCAGAGTTAGACATCACGATGTCGACATGTCCAAAGTGGTCAACAGCCTCTTGGAAGAGACGCTTCACCTCGGCTACCTTAGTCACATCGGCCTTGATTGCAAAAGCTTTGCTTCCTGTAGCTTCGATCTCAGCAACAAGCGCCTCAGCACCTTTCGAGTTGTTGTTGTAGTTAATCACAACTGATGCCCCCCGTTGTGCGAACTCCAAAGCAATTCCTTTTCCGATACCTCGACCAGATCCCGTGACCAGGGCGACTTTTCCATCAAGGGCTCCTCCCTGGTATCCCCTTGTCTTCTTCTCAACGGCGATGGAACCCATTTTTGCAAGTGTGGAGATTGGTGAGTTTGGAAGATGTGTGGGGAGTAATGAAGCGATGTTAGATGAAGATTGAATGATGAGATGATCGGAAAGAGTCAGTGAAGGACAACTTGTGTTATATATCGGAAGTCCTATGTCTCCCTGTGCTCGCAGGATCTTCCCTTCTGCCACTTCCTGTCACAGAAGTGCGTGCGTGCTCCGACACTCAAACTGAAGCTGCGTCCTGGGACCGCATCCTCAGTACTCAACAATTTTCCACTCCGTCCGTATACAAGTCCGGATGATCATGCCGAAGCCCAGGAGGTTCGCAAGGCTAAAAAGCCCCTTCCAGCACAGCTCAGGTCTGCGCAAAGCAGAATTAGTCGTTTCGGAGCGAGGGAAATTCAACATGAGGAGTCCAGTACAGCTACTCGAGCAAGCTTCAATCGTTTCATTTCCGGTCACTGTGGTTCTGGTTCTGGGTATCTACGATAACTTGGACACGAACAGACCCTTGCGTCGCATCAAAAAAAATCGGGGTGGGGCAAAGTGGCTGGTGCTCTCGCATCGTTCACGGGCCACACAAATAGCCCCCCCCTTTGAGCGGCGGATAGCCCTATCTGCGGACCGGACTGTTTGCGCGCTAAACATGCTACAACGTTTTCTCCAGTACGATTTTATATCCTCAGCTTGCGAGAGTAGACCAGGATAGATCATCGCAAGATCCGTCTTTTCAGGTTCTTTCTTACTTTCTTGGTCTCAAATACTGAGGAAGTAGTCACGTACTCGCTTACAAATTATCAGTTTGCGTACAAATTCTCTAGAATTGCTCCTCGTTCATACTGCACACCGGATAGACCAAATTCTTTAGGCCTTCCCTGGCAAACGGGAATTTTGGACAGTTGGTTCAGGGGACAGCTTGCTGCTATTCTAGACTACCGACATCTCGGGAGATCCTCCGCACTTTGACACAATCATGCCTCGCTTACCCTATATATCCGTCCGGACTCCCCCAACGAGTCCGAAAGCTCAACCACAACCTCACGATACTTTCAGATCACGTTACAGGCTGTTCGATTGGGGTTTCAAGAATCTTTGAACGATTTTGAGGTCTCGGGAACATGGAAGCAATATAATTTTCTAACCATGGTTCTGGGTTCTGATGGCTGTTTAAACTTTACCCTTCTTGACTGACTCGCATCGAATCTACAGATCTCAGGTATCACATTGAAAAGACGAGTCAGATCTGTGGTAAATAGGGTTGACTTTCCGTCGAAGTCATGATATACTTTCATAGAGTAAATCAAGCGTTAAACATCAACAAAGAAACAGATGAGATGGAGACAAACATAATTACCCTGTTCCATTGGACGGGTTTGGCTGGTCACAACATTCAAGATACACATCAATGACAACAATGTCAAGATACAAAGTATGGAATAACTTTCGTCCGAAGACCTGGCTTCCATCCCCTTCCACTATGTATCCACTTCTCATACGGTCCCAAGCTCGCAAGACCAAACCCTCTTGCGAGCTCCTGGTTCTCCTTTTCTTTCGCTTCATCGCATCACCCTCCTTCTAGAACATGATGTTTCATTTCATCCCAACATCACGAGTTTCTCTCCCTCCCAAGAAGCTTCTCTGCCAAAACTAAACAAGAAACATGACAAAAACCTTCCCATTCCGCCACACCCGCTCCCTCCCACCTTCGGACTCCGGATCAATTAAATCCGACAAGTCCATCTAAAAATACTATACTAGCTTCGGTATTTACGTTCTCTACTGTACTGTATACGAGGAGCAAACTCAATTAACCTCATTGAGCCGCAATGCAGGATGAGTTGGAGATCGGCAGTCTGAGCTAGATTGCCTTGTGAAGATAGCTATGATGTTGAATCGGAGATGAGATTTCTTAGAGGAAGGATTTTGGGTCGATGCGGGGCGAAAATTGGGGACGAGGTGATTGGACGGACGTCCGGATTTTGAGGTCGAGGTTCAGGAATGCTGGATTTGAGACGCTTAAAGCTTTAGGGAAATCGGCGGTTTATATTCCTTTTACGGATGTGTGAGATGTGTGAATGCCTTCTGCCTCAACAGATTGATGGAGACTTGGAGTGGATGGCCGGATGGCCTATGCTTGGAAAAGGGGTTACACGTGATTCAAGGAAGCGAGATTCGGGACTCGAGAGAAGTACGATTCATCTGCTTTCTCGACATATTCGCACTCAGTTCGTTGTGTTATGGTGAGTAAATATATAATTTTTTTTAAAGAATCTAGCTATCATGATTTCTTCTTTGAATCCAGCAATATGGTAAGATCTTACATTATAATGAGCGTGAAGGGAATCAAAACCGCGTTCCAAAATGCTATGTGCCCGAGCCCAATCTACATGCATGCATGCCATTAATTGTAAAGATCTAAAAAGGAAATATTAGAGAAAAGAAACGTCAATCATGACTCTTATCGCTTCATCTTCGTACCAAATCGTACATTCTAAAGCTCCAGCGCCTCCTTCATCAATGCAGCAAGTTCAGTCGTCTGTCATATTTTGTTAGCACATCCATCCCACAGTAGAGAGTCGCAAGATCAAACTTACAATAGGTTGTCTCATCATCGTGAAATGATTCCCACTCGTGCTCATGCATTTAATATTCTTCCCACCAACCAACTTCTCCCACCCGTTGCTCCCCAGATCCGTCCGGTTGTTCGTCAACCAGTACATACTATTCGGCATCTTCATCTTCGGGTCCCAATCTGGCTTGGGATCCGTCTCCTTATGCACAATGCCATCTCTCGCCCAGATCGCCGTCGTCTTCGGCATCTTCGAGACATCGATATTGTCCGCCTCACCCAGCGAGTCCGAGTAATTCGTCAACTCCCTCACCGCGCTCGCGAAATGAGGAAGTAACCACTCTGGGATCTTGGCGCCAGGCTTTCCGAGGAGACCGATGCGGTCGCAGTAGCGGTGGAATGAGGAGGGGAGTGCTTCGAGCTTGACAGGGCAAGGAGAGTCGATGAGGAGTAATCGCTCGACTTTTTCTCCCTGGGCGATGAATTGGCGGGTCATTTCGTAGGCGAGGACACCGCCTGCACTCCAGCCTCCGAGAATGTAGGGTCCCTTGGGTTGGCGACGCTTAATCTCGGCCATGTAAATTTGGCAGACGCCGGCGACGCCGATGGTGAAGTCTTCGGGTGTCTTCATGAATGGACAGTTGAGTCCATAGACGACGAGCTTCTTGGACGAGATGTCAGGGATGGGAGCATATGATGTAGCGGATCCAGAGCCATCTGGGAGGAGGAAGAGAGTGGTGGTGGCAGTTCTGGGGTTGCCTTGAAGGAGAACGGATGTAGCTGGTGGGTAGGAGGACAGATTTATGGAACTCGAAGACTTAGTAGACTTCTTTGCTTCCTTCGGTGCGCTGGTGGGAGCTGGGATGATGACAGTAGAAGATTTCTTGTGTGATGCCTTGGCTTGGATGGATCGAAGGCCAAGTGAAAGCTCAATCTGGTCGATTGAAGTGTTGTTGACAAGCAAGTCAGATTGCATTGCAAGGCCTGTCTTCTCTCGAAGGGCGCCGAGGATGCTTAGGCTCATTAAAGAGTCCATTCCCATGGTTGCAAGATCGGTGTTATCGGTGATCTCATCAAGATCAACACCCATCTCTTCAGCAATGGTGGAGCGGATGATATGAACAATGTCCGAATCACCGGTTGTCTTGCCCAACTCTTTCGATAGAGGCTCATCCATTGGAGTCTCAGTATCGGAGAACTCGGAGAAGTCGGATTCACTGTGATCACTGACCATCATTTCTGGTGTTGACATGCCAGAACTGGCTGGTGATTCAGTGACCGTCTCAAATTTTCGAAGATGCGATTTGAGATCAGCGATTGTGGGTAGATCGTTGAACACCGTGCTTGCAAAGTCAAGCTCGAGCTCCTCTCGGAATCTTCCTGCGATGCTGAGAGACATCAGTGAGTCGACACCCAGGTCTGAAAGAGCGATGGGGTCGACGAGTTCAGTCGTCTCGCAGCCAACTTCGCTAGCGATAATCGTCAAGGCTTGGGCTATCAAATTGCTAGAAACGGGGATGTTGATCTTGGCAGTGGTCTTGTTCTTCTTGCTGACCTTGACATCAACTGAGGCAGTCTTGCTCTCAGCAGGCTTCGAGACACTGACTCGAGATGTGGCTCCAAATACACTTTGCTGCTTGATCTGAGCAGCTGCGGCAGGAGAAATGGCTGGGCGAGATTGCGCTGATTTTGACGGTGACAGAAGAGTCTCCAAGAGTTGCTTTGGCACGCACTGGAACTTGACTCCACCTGCAACACCAACGACTTCGTCTCCATCAAAAACATAGACATCACCTGCGACCATCTTGCCACCACCTGGTACAGGTTGCATCTTGCACCATGATCGGTAAGTTTTGACTGCTTCAAGGCTCTTGGCGAATCGAAGAGTTTCCCATCCGTGTGAGATGTAGACTTGCTTCTTCGAATCTACAGCGTCATTGGCGTTCATGATGAATCCAGTGATATGGCAGACACTGTCAATAAAATATGGGCTCATGTAGAAGTTGCCATCCTTGGGACCGGCTTGGAACTTCACCAGAGACGTGGCTTCAAGTCCATCGCTGTGCAAGATGACTTCTTCCATACCTCTGAACTTCTCATCGTATGTGACGAGTGCCGAGAAAAGCTTGTAAGCAAGACCTCGCTGGATGCTGTGAATGCCCTTGCCACCAGCCTTGAGCATGTCGATTCTGCTCTGGACGAGGAACTTGTTTCTCTCCCACTCTTTGGTCCATGTGGATGGATCCTCGTAGGCGATATCGCATCTGGATTGGTCGACGAGCTTACCATCCGGCAAGACACTTCGATAGTTAATCGTGCCCCGGCCGCTGTTGAAGTCGAGTTTCGCCTCAACTTGTACCACCTGATGCGGATTGTTCTTGTCCACGTTGAAGACCAGTGGCTTTGTGTTCTCCATATTTGCGATATTGAAGTGTGGTTTGCCACCATCCGGTCTGCCAGCTCGCCAAGCGTAGTCGCAGAGTGTCATTGCCATATCAGCATAGAGTGTGGATGGGCACAAGCCGACTCCATTGACTTGATGTCCCTCGATCACTTGACGCAATAATGGGTTGGCAAAGTCAGATTGACCAATTATGACAGCAGAGTCCGCAGTGACCTCTTCGTGGATGATTGAGTGGATGGCGGTTGTGGAGAAATTGGGCTTCACAGGCTCTGCTTGGACAACGTCACCCTTCGTCAAGGTCCAGTTTCCTTTGTAGTCAATCCAGTACACCTTGTCGTCAAAAGCATATGATGGAAGAGAAATGACTTCGTGCGCCTTGCTGAAAGTATGATGATACTCAGACCAATTGATACCAACACCAGTATTGAATAGGGTGGACAAGCTAGTAGCCACAGTCTTCCAGGCATCGTCATTGAGGTTGAGAGATGAAACAGCAGTGGTATCCTTGCCGATGATACCCTTGATCATGTTTGAGCAAACCGGATGAGGACCAACCTCGACCCAGACTGTGCTCTCATCAATAGCACCATTTTCGAGGGCAGAACTCAATCCTCCAAGGAAGTTAACACTTTCTCGGCAGTGTCGAGCAAGATAATCTGGGCCAAACACATCAGATTGGGCAACGACGTTGCCCAGGAAAGCGGAAATGACAGGAATTCTTGGAGGGTGGAAAACGATTGACTCAGCATAAGTCTTGAAATCGTCGAGGATCGGTTCGACCTGAGCCGAGTGGAAGGCATATGGAACGTTGAGCTTCGTAGTCTTGAAACCCTCTGTTGTCAAAAGGTCTTTGAGCTGCTCGATGCAGTCGACGGTCCCGGAGAACACCAGCTCTTCTGGGGCATTGATGCAAGCTCGCTCAACATCAATGTGAGAAATGAGCGATTCGACACTCGAGAAGCTAGCACGTACTGCTAGCATAGCATGACTTCCCATTGCACATCTCGAGACGAGAAGTTCAGCTCGTTTACCAACCAATAGAATGGTGTCGAGAATCGAAAGGACGCCTGCAACCTGAAGTGCTGCGTACTCGCCCAGTGAGTGACCAATAACAACTGTTGGTTCAATGCCCCATGATCTCCATAGCTGTGCGAGCGCCATTTCAATACAAGTAATTGCTAGCTGGGTAACAATAGGCGAGACATTGACAAGGTTTTCGACTGTTCCATCGATGAGACCAATGAAGGATGGGAAGCCATGACTGCAGGCGATTTGATTGTAATCTTCAAGGTCACGACGGAATTGATCCACATCCTGAAATAGCTTCTTTCCCATACCAATGTAGTGTGATCCTTGACCTGTGAATGCGAAGCCAACAGTTGGGATCTTGCTGCTGGAGATTGGTGTTCGAGCAGCATCTGCATTCGAAGCAAGTACTTCACGAACCTGGGAGATGCTCTTGGCTTCGAAAGCTAAACGGTATTGGTAATGTGCTCGTCGAGCAGTCGTGGTGTATGCCAAGCTTGGCAGGATGGAGTCTGATTGGTCTTTGGTCCAGGCTAAGAGTCGCTTTATGTTTTGTTTGAATGATGAAAGAGATTTTGCAGTAACCAAAACCACATGACTTGATCGAGGGTCTGCTTTCAAGGGAGTGGAGATGGGTGCATCTTCAAGGAGAATTGCAGTATTGCCACCAGCCGCACTGAAGTTGTTGATGAAAACGTAGCGTGGGGCGTCTGCTGGTCGAGGGAATGGTGTCGGTTTGAAAGCTACTTGAAGTTGCCGCTCCTTGAGATCCTTCGGGAAGGTTTTATTCATCTCCGTTTTGATTCCACAGTGTGGTGGAATCAAATTCTTTTGCATCATGAGCAAGACTTTGACCATAGCACATGCTCCAGAAACAGCCTCCCCGTGCCCAATGTTGGATTTGACTGACCCCACAAAGAGCGGTTGATCTGAACGGCGCATTCTCTTTGAGCTTGCTGGAGGAGCAAAGACAGACGAGACAGAGTCCATCTCCACCCCATCGCCAGCCTGGGTTCCTGTGCCATGCATCTCGACGTACTTGACAGAGCGGACATCGATCTGAGCTTCATCCATCACCTTCTGAAACAAGAACTTTTGTGCTCCAGCGTGTGGGTGGGTAATGGATACGGCTTCAGCGCTATGATTCGTGGCGGTACCAGCAATTACACCCAGAATTGGATCTTTCTCAGTGATTGCGTCATCCAATCTCTTTAAGATCAAAGTGACGACACCATCACCACGGCAATAACCATCTGCGCCTTGATCGTACGTTTTGCAAGATCCAGTCTTCGATAAAAATTGACCTTTTGACAAACCAGAAAAGATGTCAGGATTTGTGAGTACGTTCCTTTGATACAAGTTAGCTCAGTGAGCTAGAACTGCCAGACAGCGTGGTATCGATGGCAAGGAAAGTGATACTTACATGCCGCCAGTGAAGACAGTATCGCAATCGCCTGCCCTGAGAGACGTGCATGCCAATTGGATAGCTGCAAAACTACTCGAGCATGCAGTATCAATACTGAAAGATGGCCCGCTGAATCCGAAATGATAATTGATACGGCCAGGACCAAAGGCACGCACACCGCCCGTAATCTGTCCCGTGTTAGATGTGGTTCATTGCGTGGAAATAACAACTCACGAAGTATGTGTCGATGTCTTGGGCAGCATTGATCTCTCGCCAGTCATCACTAGTCTGTCCATAATATGTGCCGATTCTGTGTGCCATCGTGGAGGGTGTTCTGTCTCTCACAAATCCAGACATTTCCATTGCTTCATAAGCTGTCGCGAGTGCCAGTCGCTGCATGGGATCGGTTTGAGTGGCTTCCCGTGGTGACATATTGAAAAACCGTGGATCGAAGAGCCCTGGCTGATCTATGAAGCACCCATATGTCGTGTGACTCTTGTTCTTGCCTTTTCCAGTCGGGTCGAAATGCGCTTTTGCATCAAACCGATCTGGAGGAACCTACATATATCAAGGTCAGTTCTATAACATGAATCATAGCAGAAGATATCTGACCTCTCGGTGCACATCAAGTCCCTGCTCTAACAATTTCCAGAATGCTTCGTGGTCTGCAGCATTCGGGAAACGTCCCGCCATACCAACGATGGCAATTTTGGCATTTTTGAGGTCTCCGTTGACGCGAGGAAGTGGATTTTGGGCAAACCAAGAGACCCCATCTTCCAATGCTATTGTGAGACCCCCTCCGACTTTGAGAGCAGACACTAGACTGTTGGTCAAGGCTGTGGGACCCATTGCCAGTACTCTCACGCCTGTCACAGCAGTTGATCGGACATCGGCTACACAGGTCCTGACAAGTGCATCCCATTGAACTTGGCGTGCAAGAACTTCCAAGACTGATAGTCTGAAGAGCTCCAGTGTCGAATTCGAGGATTTTGGTGCTGACAACCCTATTACTGGGTGTACAACAGAGTATTGCTCCAAAATCAGTGCCATGTCGCTGTCGACGATTCTTGTGACATCCGTTTGACTGTAAAGGTGGTCCGCATGGTATGGGCCGCGAATTGGAATTTCCCTTCGCTGCAAGTTCTGGAAAGCTGAAGAAGTCTCCAACAAATGACTTCGCATTGACGGTGATCCACTGATAGTGACGGACATTGATCCGACAGCACTAATGTACAGTCCCTTTGACTCTGACAGGCCCTGCAGACATTAGCCGCCAAGCACCCAGCTTCAACTCGAGATACTTACATGAGCCTTGTTGAACTCCGCAACAGCAATGCCTGCATCCTCACTACCGATCCCAAGCACGATTGTAGACCATGTTTGCGTTCGATTGGTTGGAGGCTCCAGTTGCTCTGCAACAGTAGCTACTCTTGAACCGAGACGAAAGGTGATGCGGATGGTCTGGATAGCAAGCGGGATGAGAGAGGAGAGTGATGTGCTGGAAGCAACAGCAGAAGCTGCTAGAAGTCCGGTACATACTCCGAGTATGTGAGTTGTAGATATACGAGGGTATTCGAGTGGATATTCTTCATAGTATCTGTACAAATTTAGTTTGAGCTTGGAAAGTGATGACAACACGGTTCGTCATACCCAATGAAGTGTGCTAACTGCGCCAGGCAAGTAAGAGTACTTTCCAAAGCAATGTTGGGGTTCTCCGCCGCATAATATCTCTCGACGAGCTCTGCAATATTCGAGAAGGGTGGTACAGCTGCCCGATGCGTGGACGAAAGGGAGGAAATCTCATCTTGCAAGGCAACATGTACCTGCTCCAAGAATGAAGAGAGGAGAGGGAAGCCTTTTCGACGCAAGATCTTGGTGAGGAACTGCTGCGGATCCACCGTCTGATCACCAAATAATATCACGTCCATGATGACTTGGCGTGTCTTGCACGCACGGAATGGAGTCTAAGGTCAACGAAGGGAGACGACTACCATTAAGAAGAAGATTAGAAAGTTGCTTGGAAAATCAAAGTTCAGATGTCAAAGTGATCGGAGGAGCTGATATATACTACTTCTGACTATGACATATACATGTACAAGCATCGAAGCCGTTCCAGGAGACTTCCTTCGGTTCAGCTCAGGGGACCAAACGTCGGAAGAGTAACTTCAGACCCATCAATCCGAGGACCCAATATTAGCTTACAACCGCGGACTTCGAGATAAACGTCAATGTGAATACGGAAAATGGGGAATGATATTCGCATGCCTTTCTGAAAAGGGCAAGGCGGCAAAAATAGGGGAGGCTCTGCATACACTTCTCCACTTGTGGGGTGTAGCAGGATCGCAGATCTACTCTGAGCATCTAAAGTAAACGCCCAAGAGCGCGGATCCGAAAGTCGTTAGCTGATTTCGCACAGATTTCTTGCAATGGGTATGCTCTTTCAGGCCATCTCAGACCTCATGGTTGGTCAAGACGGCGGGTAAGCATTTCAATGGACCGTGAACTGTATCATACAGCAGAGACCCGCTGTTGCAGGAGTAGAGCGACAGCAGACTGGTGGATCTGAGAGAAGAAATTTGCAGAACATCGTCCTGTGCTGGTCTCAAGCCGCCATGCGATGCGACATCCCGATCGAGCTTGTGCGTAGGCCTCAAGAAGAGCGCGGCTCGGACAAGGATAACCTGCAGAGGCTCTCCTAAATGCGGCGGATTGACACATGTCAAGCAGGACAGGCAGGAAAGCTAGAACACGAACGAGCTTCGAGCTAGGACAAGGATCATCAGGAAAGATATTCAGAAGTCTCAGGCGTGTTTCGTCGTGACGCTGGTGGAAGTGAAGTCTGTACGTGCAAATAAAGTTGGTTGTGTACCTAGCATTCGTGCCTGAGGCCGTCTTGACGCGGACTTTCGGCTGTTGTAAACCTTCCATCCGAGATGTCCACATTTGTTTCAGGTCCAACGTGTTATTTTCGACCTCACATTCAGTAGAGATTATTGCGAGCCTTCCTTCAACCACTCATTCGCAATCCGGCATTCGTCTGAGCTACTGAGCCGCGATGATCAAATGACTCTCATCCCATGCTGCTACAAATCGGCCATCAGCAGGCAAGGCGCATGCATCATCGTACAGCCTAACCTACCTGTAGGTACACGACCCAGAGAATTGTCCACTCAACACCGCGACCAAACTCAAACAACGAGATCCGCTAAACGCTACTTCCTGGAGACTTTCGATGCGGTTGGGGGAATCTCTTGGCCCTTGAAGATCCATGCCCTGCGGAGGTGGCTACGATCGACAAAATATCCCAGTTGTTTGTGATACCGAAAGCTCAAGCTGCACAGAGATCTGGGGCTGAAGGAATTGACTTTACTATCCCTGCAACCAGATCCGAAAGCCCCGAGATTGGGCTTACGAAGTAACTCCGGGAGGTACCAGGGAAGCACCAGCCTAATGTGGCCTGAACAGCGGCGAAGCTACGCATTTCCCAGTCAACACAAAGCGAATATTTTGCACTGCGAGACGTGCTACTAGAGCTTCCTCGAGAGAATTACAGCCAGTCTGCGCTGTATCACTGGTTAAACGCGTATTACTGTTAAGACTCTTCCCAATCAGTTCTGACAGCTGTATGCACACTCCTGGCTATCAAATTTCTGCCTTGGCACACAAAGAGATCAGATCAAAGAAGTAGTTTCTTTCTAACCATCAAAGAGCTTGAAAGCGGCCTGTTCTTTTCCAGAGCTTGTACCGAAGATTGGATCGACAGAGCACTTGAGCCGCTTCGACACTACCACGGACCAACACCTAACAAGCGTACTGGTGTCCGAATAAGCTCAAGATCCATGCACGTACCGGGCTTGGCAAGCGCGTGCCTTTGCGTAACGTCACTCTCTTCTCCAAGGCCGAGAATGGAATCATTTTTCACGTCTCACGTCCCTCACGGCGACCGATGTACGATGTACCTCAATAGTCTCAGGGGTAATACGAGATCGGTCAAGCTACTCCCGAGGCAATCGTTGTTTCTTTATCTGCACTGCGATCAATCAATGATGCTGCTAAACTCCGACTACGACATAATTATCAATCAAGCTCTTAGCCATCATAATCTCGTTATTCGGACCTGCTCTGGAATAACTCTCATAGCTCAAACTTACCATATCACCAGTAATCACACCGGAGATGCGAAGATCTTAAGTATGAGAGTGAAAGTTATGAGGGAAGGTGGAGGGATGGTTGGTTTCAGTCCTCAGTCTCTATTCTCTCTTTTCCACGAACAAGAAATCCAAACATGGAAGCCAGTTCCTCTCAGCGAATGATAAGTGTCGTATTTGTTCGGCCACATAGGGTTTGCTGCATACGTCAAACCTCGCATACATGAGACCGAGGTGGCAATCAAGCCTTTTGTCTTTACCGTACTTGTGGAATTCGTGATCATTCCAATCATTCATCTGGTTTCGAACTTTTGAGACATGCAGCTTCGATCGCGTGCTTGAAACCAGCTTCAGAGTTACAGTGCTTATGAAGGGCCGCGTATGAGTGGGTAGATCGACCTTGCCATCCTTTCCTCGCGACTCTTCATCCATGCTCACTTACCCCACCTCCATCAACCCACCCGTTCTCTGCTCTCTCAACATCAAGCTATTGAATTATTGCATGTAGTAATGCAGCGGAAGCAATTATACGATGTGTTGTCACAATTACTAGGTTCTCGAGGATTCGGACTCGCTTGTGGGGGAGTCCGATCAGCCGCGGAGGAACCGCCCAAGATCAAAATAGATTCAAGAACAGCCACGAAGATGACTATATCCATTTCCTCTCTCAAAAAATAAAGTGGAGGGTTGATAGTGGTCTAGAAATTCAGACGTTTTGCACAAAGTTGTGCAAGCGTTTGAGATTGCGTTGCGATTGTCGTGAATAAAGTTATGTAAGCAGCCCATTGGTTCTCGAAGCGATTTCTTGCGAGCTCGAGCTCTGCCACGTGCATCCACAAAGCCTTCGATGCGAAGCTCGGAAGGAATACAGGCAGTCTCATAACAGAGGATCCGGGGTGGCCAGGCTCCGCACTGGAGAGTGTTGTAAGATCTTACTGCTCCTCATAAGATTATCTTTTTTCAATAAGCAAAAACAAGTACATGTCCAACTATTAGAATGGGCACCAGTCAATGAAGTTATTTCGACATGGGCAATAGATCCTCAACGCTTGTGGCAACAACCACCGTTACGTCTATTAGGACCGCCACTCCAGCAGTTGTGACTTCTACACTATCTCTGATCTCATCTGTGTCCGTCATACCTGCAGCAACTTCATCGATACCAACCGTCACTACATCAGTTACTTCTTTACTTTCGACACAGATACCACCTGCACCAGCTGTACAGACAGTTCTCGTCACGCTCACTCCATCAGCCACCACTGTCACAAAAGTTTCAACGGAAGCACCAACAACAACTATTGTAGTTCAGCAAGAAGCACCAGCAACTCTTGTGGGTCTAGCAGCTGGGAGACTGGAGAATGGGTTATCGGGAACCTCTTCATCACTCTTAACAATGGCTTCAGCGAGCTCTTCACCAACACCTACGGGTCTAGCGACAGCAGGAATTGTGATATCTGGCAAGAAGGCAGTGGGTCCATTTGCCCCTCAAGAAGCAATTCTGGGCGGTATTCCAACGACATCGCTTGACTTACCTCTCAGTGCAGTTTTTCTGGTTCTCTTCTTGATTGGAGCAGCAACCCATTTCTCGATTCACGAATACAACGGCAAACGAAGTCATAAATTCCACCTTTCTGATGCGGTATTCGATTTTTGTATGGTCAGGACGGTCACTATGACGATGCGAATAGTATGGGCTTTTCGACCCAGCAATAATAGTGTCGTACTGGCGGCTTTGATTTTTGAGAACGCTGGGTAAGATAACTTTCAACTCATCAAGTGAAATGGAGCTAACTTCGGACAGTGTCGTGGTGCTTTTCGCGGTCAATGTAATCTTCACTCAGCGAATAATCAGGGCTCTCAACCCCAATCTCGGCTGGCATCCAATATTTAGTGGTTTCATTACTGCGATCATTATATCAGTCCCCATGATCATTGTCTGGAATATCGTCAACCTCACGGTCGAGTTCTTCACTTTGAACGCCCACTCAATCAAAGTCGTCAAAGATCTCCTTCTCTTTGGGTCCTGCTGGACGCTCTTCCTCTCTCTCTTCCCCATCCTTTTCGTCGGATTCCTGGCGCCATCTAATCCACTAGGCAACAAAATCGAGAACTTTGGCCTCGGTTCTTTCATGTCCAAAGTTGTAATCCTAATTTCCGCCTCTGCTCTCCTCTTCGTCGGAGCCGTCGTCCGCCTCGTAGCAGCCGTCCAGGTCCATCCCAAGGATGCACCCGGACCAATCGACAGCAAACTCGTCTTCTACCTGACTGGCTTCACTCTCGAAATCATCGTCATCTACATGTACGCCATCTCCCGCATCGATCTCCGATTCTGGGTCCCCAACGGCTCTTCACAGCCAGGAGATTACTTGAAGGCCAAGTCGGGCTTCAGACTCTCGTCCGAAGACGAAGAAGCCCTGTTCCAAGAAGTGGATTTCAAGATGCGGTTTTCATCCGGTACGGATCTTCCGCGAGACACCAAACCGCAAGGGATGTGGGATAGCGATGATACCAGTGCGAGATGGCGACCAGTTTCCGGTCCGAGGTGGCAGGACATGGCGGTCGATAGGTCGAATGCGACGAGAGAGCAGGTCCGACAAGCAATTTACGATTTGAAGCTCAACAGCGAGCTTGTTGGAGAGCCAGTGAATGTGGGAGATAAAGAGGAATTGTTGGTCTATGCTTTCAGGTGCCGGAAGGGCAGTTTTAGTGACAATGGGGAGAGAAGAGGTAGCGGTGGAAGTGCGACTTTGAGGGGGAGTGGGATCAGGGTGCCTAAGAAGATTCTTCCTCCCAGGAGTGAGAGCTGGGCAGCGAAGGATCGAGCAACACCGGAGAGGATGAGGGAGATGATCTGACAAGAGTGAAATGGGGGCCTTGAAGGCAAGATGTATAATGTCTACATGATTTGAAAGTTGGGTTCGGCTGGACCGGCTATAGCATGGAGTTTTTGGAAGTCTAAACTAAGGTTTATCGACTGCAGAGTCTGATGATTTCTTGTATAAATATTTTAGACATTTCTTTTGTTTTCACGAATTCACGAGAGTCAACAAGTATTATTAGCACCTCCTTGGCTATGTATGATTGGCAAATGCGTGAAAACATATATTTGCTCTAGCATCAGTGGCACAACAGAAGACCAACAAGTTCTCTCAGCACATTGCCGTGCAATTATGACAGCTTGTCCAGTTCTCAGTGTCTATCTAGGTTTTGGAGGCATCTCCGTGATGTCTATGACAAAGTTCGCCCGAAGGGGATTTCTGCCAAGCAGAAAATAACTCTGTCTCAGATTCCATGCAGACCACCAGTTTGAACCAGATCTGTAGCACTAGTTCACCTTATTCTCGGGATTCACGAACTGCCTGTAGCCGTTTTCTCAAAAGGAATGGGTTCTCGAGGTCCGATCCGAACTCCAATGTTGTCGGGTCCACCTCCCACTGCGAAAGTCTTGGCAACTTCCAGAAACAGCTGTCATTCCGTTCGTGGATTGCGCGAGTTCGAGTCAGTCCTAGCCACTTATCCGATGCGAAATAGCTACTTTGGATACCCGCTGTGACATTTGCTTGCGCTTGTTTTGAAACCAAAGTTGATCAGATGAATATGTGACAAGCTGCGAAGAAGCGTTTCATCGTCTCGTGCTTTGCCCACTCTGCGATAATCATGCGATGCGAGAGATTTATTCTTCGTCCTCTTGATTCCTTATCTTGGAATATTTGCCACGGCGGAGGTGGGGTTCTACAATGCCGAATGAGGCAACCATGTCGTTGCCAATCTACCCGTTTTGAATCTTGAAGGTACGTGGTGGCGGACACGACGCGAGAGGTATCCGAACTTCCTCTGCCTCTAGTTGCGAGTAGAGGCTTTACGGTAAACATTTGTCTTAGAAGGTATCTTGCGATGAGCCGATGCGTAGAGTAATTGGACGCAGTGATCAGTGATGTAGGACTGCAGCTGCCAGTGGCTGTAGGACAGGACAAAGAACATTGACAGAATCCTTGGCAAAAATTACGGTGTCGTGTACAGTGAGAGGAACAATTTTCGTCTATGAATCACCACCTCTTAAGCCAGAATAGTGAGCGCAGTCTGAAGCTTTGGCCTTGGACGTTCTCGTACCATGTCTTACCCGTACCGTCCTTATTTTGTCCGACTCCGTCCTGTTGTGCAATGGGAAATGAAGATGCACGTCCACGAGGGTGAATATTTTCGTCAGCTTCGTGGTTGGCTGCATGATTCTGGTACCACGAAGACATCAATACCACGAGAGCTTCCGCACACATGTCGGACAGAATCTACGAGTGCACATGATCGTACATTGACATTGCATTGGCTGTGTCCAACTCCAGAATGTTCGCTCTCTGCATCTTTGTACCCGGCGCTAACACTCGACCAGTAGCACAAAGAGCTATCGCGAAATGCAAGCACGGGAGGCAAAAAGAATGCGACTAGCTCAGGACATTATCGAAGGCGTGTGTCATTCGAGGACTGGTCCGTTGTACGAGCGAGGCTGACGGGTAAGCAAGGCAGTGACGATGAGGCTTGTCGACAAGTACAATGTTTGGAATCGTGGCTGACGAGAGTGAGGCTTGTCGCCTCAACATTACTCAGAAATTCATCGAGGGCTGTACGAGCAGCAATTGGGTACAGCAATCAGACGTGTAAGTCTGACTCGTTGCTGATCAAGCTGATATGAGTTCAGTTTCGACAGGGAAAAGTCCGAAAGCTGAATGCGGAGTACGGTCTCTCGAATTGAATTCATACCTAGGTTATTGGGCATGAGTTGAATGAATACAAAGGGCCGCCTGCGGGAGCAGGCCTCACATATCGATAGCCTTGTTTGAAGAGCGCCCATGCTAGGTGTTTCGATAACATGAATGACCCAAATCTCGAGTAGACCGTTTTACGGGCGACCCGAGCTGGCGAGCACTTGGCAAAGCTCCTGAAGAGGTTTGAAACTCTTGCAAGTCTGACGCTTATTATAAGTTGAGGGCAAAAGTCTGCTGATACTGCGTACTTCCTACGTAGAGCGAGAGTTATTCACCATGGTGAAGGGTGGCGCCTCGGTGTTGTGGTGCTGCGAGTCAACGAGACACACTCAAGCTGCATACGGCTGCTGAATGTTCAGATAATTTGACAGTTGAAGGAACCTCCAGCTACGGATGCTGAGCGGATTTCCCGACTTTCGATTCCGACAAAATTTCCTCGCGGAGCTTCAGAATCCTACGAGGCTGTTGACTTGATCGCGGAGACCATTCTTGGACCATTGTAGGATTCGCAACCGCACCGTGGTGTATGCAGAGCGCCATACACGCCATGATTGAAGCATAGAGTCTAGAATCCGTTCTAGCTTCAAAGTAATGTCGCTCTCCTACAGCCAAAACGCTCTTGCCCTCCAAAGTCCTGGCATGGACATTGGCACCTTCTTGTAACAAGACAGCCACAGCAACCTTGTGGCCAACTTGACGGCAATATGTAGCGCTGTCTCACCCTTTCGATTGCGTCGACCCGGGTCAGCCCCGTGGTTGACCAGGAATCGAAATATGGCTGAGAGGGTATTATTTTCCAGCCCATCGTCGAGATGGCTGACGAATGCCATTAGCACGGTATTGCCGAACTTGTCGTAACTATTGACGTCCACTCCGGATTTTATCATCTGCTGGAGCAAGCCATATCGATATTGCAGTCCTGAAGTCCATATCACCGACGGTTCAGACACAATCTGGTCCCGCTTGCGTTTTTTTGAAGTCTTCGCGCCGGAGTGCAGAACGTCTGTCACTTTGTGCAGGTCCAGTGAGACTTCTGCCAAGCAATGCAGACCGTTTCGTCCCCGTGAATCTTCTGTGTTAGGGACATCTAGCGCGAGGGCTGCTGTCTCCAGCAAACGTGCATGCATGGTAATCAAAGATACGGCGTTGGCCGAGGCAGGTAGGCGTATTTCTTCGCCGACCTCCTCAATAAAGCTTTGCTGAGATTGTGAAGGGACGTTGAAGCTGAAAGGACCAACAGCTCCAATGCCAGTTCGCCCGTAATTCGCCTGCATTATTTTCTCGGAAAGTCTCCAGTTCAGATTTGTTGGTATCCAACCGAAAGCATCTCTCTTGTGGGTCGACCTATGACTCCATACCAAGAGTTCAAAGAGATCACGAGATTCAGAATCGCGTCTGTATAAATGATTGGTAAATGCATTATAAGTTAACAGATGAGCGAAGGTCCGTCCGAAAGGATCACACGCTGTTATATCAACGCTGCATTTCACAACCAGCTGCAGGGATGATCTCGAGCTCAACTCGAAATGAAGATCTGGATTCCACAAGTCAATATATGGCAAGCAATGAAGAAAGGTCTGCCCCGCTGTATTCTTGGCGTTTCCATCCATTCCACTTGTCAAAGCATTTTGGATGAGACCTGTGCTAGCACCACGAGAAGCAAGCAAGTGCAAAATAGTGTTGCCAAAGGTATCACGATATCGAAGGTTTAAGTTGTGAAGACTGCGAGGTGGATTGGGCATATGGAGAGGAGATATTGCGTCCGGGCCAATGTACCATCTTTTGTTTGTAGGAAGACTCTCCAGATCCAGCATACACCAGCAGCTGCCAGAATCGTGCACTTTCAAACCCGGAAAGCAAGGGCCTTGTTTGGCTCGATGAAAGTCAGCAACTAGAAAAGCATTTGGTAGTGCACCTTCGGTAGGTTGAGAATATGACGGAGACTTCTCTGTTGACATGAGCTCTGTCAATGCTGTACCGGCGGACAATCTGCGAGACATATCTGTAGTCGAAGCAGCAGGAGAGTCGCAAATGGAGTAAGCCTGCAACAACTTGGTAATACCGTCTGTACCCAACGGGGAATGATTCACTAGAGTATTTTCATTGCGGTGTGTACTGATTTCGTCCAGAGATGTGTTTTGAAAATCCGCGGTTTCTTCTAGGGCTGGCATTTTGCCATTTTGCCCACCTGGTGCTGAGGTTTGAACTTGATCAAGTTAGATTCATCAACAACATAACAATGTCCCCGAACTTCCGGAGGGGTCGACTCACACTCTACTTCAGCGTTTAAATCACTATCGACGAATTGCCACAGCTCTTTTATTGCAGCTTCTGATAATTCTGGGTCTTTCATAGCCAGTAAGTCTTGCACAGGTGTGTGGGTAAATTCCGTCCAGGAGAGTCTATTGACCTCTTCACAATCTTTGCTTATAGTCTGATCGATAGGAGAATCAGGTTCGACAGTCGGCTCTTCGCTGAGATCTGGGTCATTTCTGTTCGTTATGGATTCCTCCATGATGATGTCGAAATGCTTTGCGAGCCGCGCCTGCCTGAGCTGCCGCTTCAAGTTCCTCTGCGCCTTGCAATTTGCCAGTGCCAATATTCTCTGCTCCATTTCTTCTTCGTTCTTTGGTCGAAGCCATCGTGGATCTTTGTCAAGAAGAGCATTGAAGGTTTTTGTGGTGGTCTCCTTTCTAGCAAGTGTCAGAAAAGCAACTTCAATAGATGTCAAAGGCTTACTCAGGTAGCCAGTTATCAGACCTATCATGAAGTGCTAGGCGGATGTCTTTCGGTGGCAGATTACTGTATAAGTATAGTCGTGCCAGCTTTCGTTGTCGAGATTCCGTCCATTGACTAGGTCGTCCGATCTTCTTGTTTTCCTCTGGTGGTGTAGCAATCGATGTATTGGAGCTTTCCCAGGATGATGGCTCTGAGGAATTGGAGCTTCTTGTCAAGGAATGCACCAAAGGATCATCATTAGCCATCGAGAACAGAGTCGTGTGAGTGAGCGAGCGCAGTTGATTGGGCTTCTTTCAGGCTGGATATTGTACGGTTCGAATGGCAGCGGTAGTCCCAGCAGGGAGAATTGCTTGCAGCAAGTCTTAAAGTTTGAGGACAAGTGCTTTCTCGCGATCGAGGTATTATGGAAGACGGAGACATTGTTGCAGATGTGGCAAGTCTTCTTAACAAAACAAGGCTATTGTCGTTGTGGTTCGCGCCCTTCATTGCCTTACGTGCATCGAAGTGAAGTGTAAAAATTACTAGTCTAGATTAGGAATAGCCAACGCCCCTTTTCAAGCCACTTGTAACGATAGGGATTCTTGTTTCATGTGACAACCGCAAGTGTAGAAAGTCGAACAATAGAATTATACCATGGAATAAGCTCTTTAGCCCCTTGATCTACTGCATATGACCAGCCATATGCAAGGAATGAGGCGCGGATCCGCACTGAACGTCAATGACATCCTATCGGCACATCAATTGGCTCGGGGACTCATGCAGGGTGACTTTTTACACTTCTCTATCCTTTTCGAAATTCCTGTCAGCAACGGCAACTCGACCCCAGCATTGAGTCGGCCCCTATCTTAATCGTCTCGCTAGTTTCTACACTTGAGCATATCACTGTTATATTTCTACTGCGGCTGAAACTTATCCTCTTTGGGATTGGCTGCAATCATTATCTTTAACTTCTTCCACTTTGTCTTGAGGCTCGGTCAGCTCAGCAAACACTTTCTACACTTCCTTCTCTTCGAGTTGGAACTCGAGAAAGAAAGTATAGATTCGTGCACATCATACAGCTGTGTTTTGAAGTGTAAAAACTTGCAGTCAGGTTCTCTATGTAAAAATATATAAACATCTGCGTCTGCGTCTGTCTGGCAATGCTATCATTTCCATCCTCAAATTATCTCACTGCTCCTCGTGAAACTCCGAAGCCCTTCTCTCAAGTCTCAGCGTCAGATTCACAGTCCTCACGATTCTTGATTTTGCAATCAATCCTCTACCCCAACAAGCTAGACTTTCGAGGTATCTACTTTTCAGCTCAAGATGCCTCATCCACCCTCTCCCAATAGCTTGTATGTGCTTCTTTCTATAAGCCATTCCCCATCTTTCTCCGCAACCCCACTAATCAGCCCTAGCACCTCCAATTCCGACCCTTCCCAGCACCGCCTAAGCCCCAGCACCAGAGCCCGCATCCCAAACGGCCCATCCAACATCACGATCTACCAGACCAATAACGAAATTTCGGAGCAAATGGCCATGGGCTTAACATCTGGTTCGCAAAGACAGGAAAGCACAGCCCGAGACCTTGCTTCATGGGAGAAAAATTGGCAACGGATGGGTGCTGTTTGAAGCTCTCTGACATAACCTTCTGTCTCGTGGATTTATGTGGCATACGTACCTGCTACTTGTTTCTCCTCTATATTAATCGTCTTACAATTCTGTGTCCATATACATTGAAAAATCTGTTTGTTGACTCATCCGCATCTTTCAGCTCCAGTATGCGTTCGAAGTACTACTTGCCCTCGCTCACACCCCTCACCTTGCCCTGAAAGCAACCCGTATGATTCTGATGTCGACCTTCCAACTTCTCCTATCCCATCTTCCATCACTTCTCGAAAGGCGATACTATTATCAAAGTACCCCCATCCAACTCATGGATACCTCATATCAGAAAAAAAAAATATTAATATATCACCCCACTTGCCTAATCAAGAAGGCGGGGTAGTGAGATTGAGAATTAAAACCAACCTCCTTGGAGACTGATCCAGCGCTAGCACTGACGCAACTTCATGTCTAGTCCAGGCTCGCTGAAATCATACAACCCTTTTGCGGCCGGGAACTACGAGCTTCTGAAAATCCAAAGCTTGATTCTCTCATTACTACTAATCTTCAATAACAACAATCTCACTCCCAGAATCAGCATCATCACTCGTAGAACTATCGTCCTTCTTCACCGGGGGCGCAAGAGTCTCGCTACTCTCCAAATCACCCTGGAAAATGAAATCGGGAGACGTCCCATCCTTGCCCGGGAAAACGGCCGTGATCTCCCAGCCTTCCTGAGTGATGTCCATGGAAACCGCAGGATATAGTTTCCCGCGGATATCCTGGAATGCCCGCCCTGAGCGCCCGTTAGCAATATGCAATTAGTTTCTGAACATGTGGCTTACCGATGATCTTCGCTTCTGTGACTGTATCTCCTACGACCTTGCCCCCTCTCGTGTAGAAGGCGGTATTCTCGGCAAAATTCACGCCGCAGCCGATGACCTCGCCTCCGGTATAGGGATCACTGTATAGGATTCCCTTCCATGATTGTTTCCCGTCTTCGTAGAGACAGCCGTCGTCTGAGTGGAAACCCCAAGAGCCGGCGTCCCAGCCAAGCATCCGATGCAAAGGGGCTTTGTCATCGCAGAATCCGACGACAAGGTAGCTTGAGGTTATGGTCAGTATCGTTGCAAAGGGACGATGTTGGAACTTACCCCTTCGCGGCTTTGGTGATCTTTATCTCAAAGTAAAAGACTTTATCTTTGAAGAGAGGCAGCATTGGGTAGTCTGTTCTAACGGCTCCATAGTTCGTCTCTGAGTGTCCTAGATTCTTGAATTTTGTTCCACCTATGAATAAGTCTCTCAGTATCATCTTGATTATAAGCTTTCAGTGATGGCAACTTACCAATAGTGCTGAGAGTGGTCCCGTCAGAGTTCAGATCTAGACCAGGGAATCGGTCTTTCGAATGCCAACCGGACAGCCTCTCCAAATGAAGGTCGAAGAGTGAGGTGATACCCGCCTCTTCTTGCAGGAGATCTTCCATGCGGTAAGACTGATATCTTCTGGCGGTGTACAATGGAGTCCACCCGTCCGGCCCAGGATGCTCAACATCTACATCTTCTCTCTCGAGCAGTCTGACAAGTGCTTGTTGTTTGGTCGACGCAACCGCTCCGTGAACAGCAATGTCCCAGTGCTTGGTAATGTGACCGTCGCACTCCACCAAGGCCGCGATGATTATGTCCAGCGTCCTCATTCGGGCCGCTCGCGCTGCCCAGTATAGTGGGCTACGGCCGCGACAGTCGACAATGCGCGGGTCTGCTTCGCTGTCCAAAAGTTTTCTGACAATCTCGAGATGATCGAGAGATGTGGCATGCGCCAGGGCTGTCTTTCCCTCATAGTCTTGAGCGTCGAGGATTTCAGGACTTATGTGCCCAACTTCAAGCAGCATGCTGACGATAGAATAGCTACCAAGTACGGTGGCGACAATGAGAGGGGTTTGGTGTTTGGCATCTACCTCGTCCGGATCGAAAGCGTTCAGAACGAGGAGGCAATTGACCACGTCGAGGTTGCGTTTCACAACTCCATGCATAAGAGCGGAGCGACCGTCGCTGTCCCTGGAGAGAGGATTCGCCTTAGCGAGTATCATGGCTCTTAAAATATCGTCTCGGTCATTCTTGGCTGCGGCGTGGATTGGTAATTGGCCTCCCTTTCCAGGTTTAGAGGTGTCCGCTCCGTTTTCCAACATAGTGTTGATGGTGGTCAAACCCACCCTTCCTAGGATAGCTGCGTTTAGAGGAGTATCAAGGTCACCGCCAGTCAGGTTGACATTTGCTCCCTTGCTGAGGAGTAAGTTGATAAGTGTCGTATTTGGCTGAGACGTTGCTCTCTGCAATGCTGTAGGTTGGGTTTTCTCAGCGAAAAAGTCGATGTCAGCCCCCTCATCAAGAAGCAGGCGAACTTTCTCTTCAGCATCTTTTTCGCTTTCCACAGCGGCACACAGAGGGCTGCCGTACTTGCCACCCAGCATATTGACACTTGCTTTTTTCTCCAGGAGCCACTTGACAGCATCGATATTACCCTTGGAACAGGCTGCATGTAGTGCTGTGAAATGAGGTTCTGTAATTCTGTTCACGTTAAGGCCTCGACTAACGAGGATCTCTGCTAGTTCTGGCTTGAAATATGAGCGAATTGCGTACTCGCACAGAACCGAGGCATAAATGTCCGTGATTTCACTTGTCTTGATATGCCCAAGCTTCTCAACAAGGTATTCGACTTCAGGGCGCTTGTCTTTCTGTGCAGCGATATGAAGTGCCGTGTTCCCCTCAGAGTCCTTTTCAAGGATGTTTGCAGGCGGCTTATTCTCAACAAGGAGTTTGATCAGCTCGAGGGAGTCCCCTCGCTCAAACGCCAAGTACAAGGGGGAGTTCTTAAAGTTACGCGCCAGATTTGGATTCGCGCCAGCCTCTAATAGCAGCTTTGCGGTTTTTGGATGGTTCCAACGAATAGTCAAAGCTAGAGGCGTACGCCCGGCATCGTTGAGAGCATTTGGTTTGACATCATACGTCAGCAGCAATTCGGTAATGTACGGACTATCGTATGCTGCATGAAGAAGAGTCCAGTCATCGTCGTCCTTGGTGTGGACATCTGGCTTTGGCTTGGTGTTCAAGAGTGCTTGCACTAAATCTAGATTGCCACGATATGTGGCCCGGTACAAGGGAGTTCGTTTGCGATTATCTTTTAGATCATTCTTCGCGCCAGCTTCAAGGAGGATATTGACCATTTCTGGTGTATTTGCATAGTGTATCACAGTGGAGCCGTCATTATCCTGAGCTAAGATATCACACTGTGGATTTTGAAGAAGTACCTCGATGCCTTGCAGAAATTCGCGGCCGACTGCTATGTGCAAGGGTGTGGCGCCCTCGTCGTCTTTGGCATCACACTTCCAACCTTTATCCAGAAGGAGACGCAAGATATCCATGTTTTGGTGTCGAGCAACGACGTGAAGTGGTGAGCCTCCTCGAATGAAATCTGCCTCGTCCTCTGTGGTGTTATCTAGGATTTGAAGAAATTCCTCAACTTCTTTGATATCATTTCTACCGACCACAAGGTCGAAAGCGCTGGAGTGATTTTCATCTTCCATCCATATGATTTCCTTGATCTCACATAATCTCTTTACTACCATAAGATATCCATTTTGTGCAGCATGGTGCAATGCCGTTTTTCCCTGCTTGTTGACCAGCTTAGGATCGGCACCATACTCAAGCCGAAGAACCGCCTCGACGCATGGTAGGTGTCCCTTCTTTGCCGCAAAATGCAGAGCGGTCATGGACCTCTTGTCTGCAAGATTTGTCTTCGCCTTGCGCTGGAGAAGACTCTCAACAATTTCTTTATGTCCCCCTTGAGCTGCAAGATGAAGCGCAGTCATCCCTCTCTTTTCAGTGGCATCAATTCGGAACATGCTTGCGCCTCGTGAATGTGTGAGTAGTTCGACAAGTGTCTCCGAGTGCCCTCCCTTAGCTGCGAGATGGAGTGCTGTGTTTTGACGAGCATCTGTTGCAGCTTTCGTTGAGTTGTCGTCAAGTAGAACCGAGACAATGCTGGTATGGCCGTTCTGTGCTGCTAGACAAAGAGCAAAGGCTAGCTCTTCTGGTTTCCTCCTGTCCTTTCTTGCAAGGACACGCACAATGTCTCTGTGGCCATTTTCGGCAGCCCATTCCAAAGCCGACTTTTGGTGATCCTTGCTCATAGTGAGTGGGGGAGGATTCGAGGACGAAGGTTGACTTTTCCTCTCTGGCGATACTTCAATAGTCGTCCTCCGAGTTGGCCTCCTTAGGTCGGGGAGGCGAGTGCTCAAGAGATTACCAACGGGGGTAGGAGGGGTTGATGACTTATGACGGTCATTCCTGTCATCACTTGCAATACTTTCTACGTCTCTGCTCATATCTTCGATGTCGAGCATCAAATTCAAGAGACTCAAATGTCCCTCTCGTGCCGCCAGGTGAATAGGGGATAGACCGCGGATGTTCCTGGTGTGGATAAGCTTGGCAGCATCACTGCTATTCTGTAGAAGCAGTTCTGCTGCTTTGTGGTGGCCATATGCTGCCGCCAGGTGTAACGCGGTATTTCCATCAGAGTCTGATGCTTTGTCTCCATCAACATGATATCCTCCATCCGCATTAGGCTGTAGAAGCAATGTCACCAGCTCAGGGAATCCTCCTATGGCAGCATACATCAATGGATCGTATCCGGCAGAGGTCTCCTTGTTCGCATCGGCACCCTGAGTAAGTAGAAGCTTGGCTATTTCGTGCTGACCTGTGAGTGCTGCTAATTGAAGGCTCGTCTCAGACCAAAGCAGGCCAGAAAGAACAGTTTCTATTTCCGGGAGCGACGTTTTCGTCTCATCCAAATCTGAGTCAGAGTCGGAGTCGGAGTCCAAACTGCTGTATCTGCGTCGTCGTATTCGGCGTCTTCGCCTTGATGTTGGAGACTGGAGATTTGGTGGGGGTAATGTTAGGACATTTGGTTCAGCACTTTTTGTCAAAAGCAATGACACGATATGTTTATGACCGCCACAAGTGGCATGATGAAGCGGTGCATATCGAGTTTGATCTGGTTTATCTATGTCGGAGCCAACAGCCAGGAGGCTTTCGACGACGGCTTCGAAGCCTCCTGCAGCAGCCAGACCCAGTGCTTCCGATGACCTTACGTCTTTTTGAAGCAGACGTTGAACAACATTGTTGTGGCCATTCTGGGCTGCAAGATCAAGTGACTTTCGCATCCGGTCGTCGAAGTCCTCTCTGGACTTCAAGATGTTGATGCAGTCATCGATAAGTTCTACCAGTCCAAAGTTACAGACTACCTTCAAAGGATCGTCTAGGTGTATTACATTGCTCTTTAGAGACGGCTTTAGCTGATGGTAGAGACTTTCCCAACTCTGAACCCGCTTATCGTCCTGTACAAACTGTAACACAAGATTATGAGCAGCTGATTTGAAGGCTGATGCTGCTTTTGAAAAGTGCTGGGACCAGTGTAAGGTCGCGTAGCTGAGCAGACCGAACTCTCGATCAGTGGGAAGGTAGCACCGGGTGCCGTCTTCGCATACGATAGATGCTGAGCCGTTTTCTCCGAAGATCTTCAGGTATTCGAGACAATTGAAAAGAATGCCATAATGCACATCATCCGATGCAGACCTTTGTTGTGTTGGCTCGTCCTGTTCAGATTCATCCTTTGCCGGCATCTCTTGCGTCGAGTCGTCTTTTGGTGAGCTTGCAGGTGTCTGCGGAACAGCTTTGTTAAAGGTATTTTGTAGGAAGAGACGAAAGGTGTCGTGAATTAAGTAAACTCGGTTGTCCTCGACCTTGATGAGCGGAGCCATGAAGTGTTTTAGATCACCGATGATGTCTCTACGGATCGAGTTGCTGAAATTGTCTAGCTCCTCTCTTTTCCAAGGATGTCCCCCAGGAATGTCGTCAAGTGCAACAGCTACCGCTAACTCAGTGGGTCGCAGAGGTCTAACTGCAGAGACGATCCAGTGAAGGGCCATGACCACCCAGCCGCGGTTGGCACCATCGATTACAGCCACTACTTGAGCGTAGTAGTCGTCGAGGGTTGTTGCTTGTTGCCGCAATTTATCCTTGAGGTCGCTTTTTGTGGAGTGTCTGCCAGTCCATTCGAGTAGGAGCATATTGAGCTTGGCGAGGAGATATGGTGAGTCCGCTGGTAATGAACTTAGTTGAGTAAGAGCAACATCCTCGAGTCCATGCCATGCAGAGTTTTCGAGTGCTAACTCGTGGATTCTGTCTCGTACGTACTGTCTCTTAGAGGACACCATGCCCTCACTACTTGATTCAAGGATAATCTCTCGATAATGACTTGTCTCTAAGATTGGCGCTGGAAGCTTTATTCCTGAGAGCAGAAGTTTGAATCGGTGATTTGCTAGTTTAACAAGCTCTTCCATGCGTCGGATCAGCTCTGACTGGAAAATGATGCACTCATCCACGGCGTCGATGACACAGTACACCGAGACCTCTTGATTGTCCAGCAGATGTCTCATTAAGCACTGAACCATGACACAGAAAGTCTCGGCAGTGAAAAGTCCGTTCTGTGTAAGGAAATTAGAGACGGGTGAGACATGTTGAAAGAGTCGTGGCCGGGAAGAAAGAATTTGGCGACACAGCGACAGATAAAAGCTAAATGGAGTACAAGCTCGAATGTTGTTCTTATCGAACGCGAAGCTGACGCACACAATGTCTTGTTGATCAGTTTGATCCAAGAGAGTGCCTAGAATTTGGGCCGCTATGGCTGTTGTACCTGAACCTGATGGCCCGCTGATGCGTAGCAAGCCAACAAGGGCATCACTCCTCCATGATTTAAACTCCTCGGTGCTGCGTACCCAATCCAAAGAGATGGGTGCTCCGAAATTTGGTTTCAGCCGATGAGTCTGGGAGTCAAGAAGCGAAAGTCGGTGGAGAAAATCACGGAGCAAGAAGTTTCTGCCTATGGTTCGAGTTAGCTCGACTGTGTCGGCTTTGACTCCAAGTAAACTTGACGCACCATTTTTTGTTGCAAGAATGTGTTTACAAGCTTTGTCAGCTATGGTTTTCCCGTCCCCGCTGACAAAATTCCAGAGCTCTTCATGCCGACCATCGAAGCCAATATTTATCTCATCTTGCCTGCCAAGGGTAGAGCACCGTTGGTCAAGCTAGAATGCCGGCTTAGCTCAAATAGCGCTTTTAGCTCCCCAGACGAACACTTACCAATGGATGTGGGCCGGCCTCGTAGAAGTTGACGACGTCAAAGCTGCAAGAAATCGTCCGGAAGCTTGCGCTGACACCTTCCAATTCTTCCACTAATCGCTGCACGAGCTTAAGTGGGTGGGGTGGAAGTGACCCAGACGCTGAAAGCAGCCGCAAGTAGAGATGCTCCCAGCTCATTTGCGGGGTCGCTCTATGAGATGCACCAAAAAATAGCTGGTAGTGATGCGACTTTAGTACCCGTAGATAGATACCGATTAGCAGGTGTGAATCAAAAACTTACAATAGTCGAGGTATGTAGTGCAATGTCCCGATACCTTGGCTCTTCTGTCGCGGATATGAGAGTCTCAAAAGTTTAGTGAACGTTAATTAACGCCTCTGATGTTCTCACCTGTTTCACAACAAAACCGCCAAGTCCGTGAGCGAGAAACACGATTGGGAGCTAGTGGAAGATTTTAGCACTTGCTCATACTTGATAATTCTCTAGCTTGCCGTGGAGGACCCTCGAGAGTTGTGTAACTGCTCGAGTAGCACGGTTGATCTTTGGTACAGAAGTCGCTCGCTGTCTGCAGAACTATCCATAAACAGGAACTCATCGATGAGACTCTTCGGAAACCGTTGAGTGAAGAATGTCTTTGGATCTCGATCATTCTCTAGCCGTGGGACTGCAGTCCCAGACACAAGAACTAGACTATTGTGAATGTCGTTAGCCATAGAACTTAACGCCAAAATTGAGACTTTGGGTCATCTTGGGTGAACTCACTGGAATGCATAATCCATGACTGAATATTTGGGGGCGACGAGTCACTGACAACAGTGGTGTTAATCTACAATGTTAGTTGCCAAGAGAAGGAAGGTGCAACCAGCCTGAAGTTAGACTTCGAAGCACGGAAACATTGAGTAGGCACGATTCCGAGAACGATATGGGTTGACACCGAACAGAAGCAAAGTCAGGACCATCAAGCCTTACCAACTGACTTACGATGATCGAGCATGTCGACCGACCAGCATTTCTTGGACCCCAGAACTTTGAGCCGCTTCGTCCTGTTATTGGGTCATTGATCGTCAGCTGTGCAGGTGCAGCCGCATCGAGGTGTGCGCCCGCCGCCCAAACGATATCAGTCAGAACACGGCACGAAACAGGCAGCTTGAGTGGACTGGGCCACCCAACAGAGAGACAAGGCTTCGCATGTGCGGCATTATCAAACATCATATCACACCACTTTGATTGTTTCCTCCTCCTCCTCATGCTGCCATCACGTCCGGACAAAGTATTGCACTACGGCTGGTGCCCGAAAGGTTAATTTTAGTGCACAAGTGGCGCCGAGTGTCATTGATTGTATGGATTCGTTTAAGTAGGTACTGTAGCTAGTGGAGATACAGGCATTATTTTTGACGACGAGAGAAATCAGTCCCTTGTCCGACCATTCAATAAATATCGCATAGTACCTACGGCCAATGACATCCATCACTTGGAAGCGCCTCCTTTGTGCAACAACTCTCCTCCATCCAGAAGAGTAACAACCTCCACGTCAGCTACTTTTTTCAGATCCAAGTAGTCCATTTCCTTCAAATTGTGGATCTTTGGATCCAGGCTCCTGACGGTCGAACGTGCGGCTTTCGGGAACTTCCCCGGGTCAATCTCCACCGGATCGATGGGATCCTTCCTCTCCAAGCCGAATAGCGTCTTGACTTCCCCGATGAAATCGACATCAGCTTTGACCTTGACTGTAAAGGTGAAGGCTACATCATACGGGCGTCTCAGAAGGACTGCCGCTCGCATGAACGTTGGGAGCCCGTCTGCCTTGTCTTCGTTCTCCTCCAGCGTCCAAACGACAACGTTCTCTTCTCCAACAAAACCTGTTCTGATGATCTTCTTGGTTCCGGTCAACGCAGTGTAGAACTTTCGACTCTTAACCTCCTCCACGTCCCAGTGCACGCCCGTCTCCAGATCAACAGGTCCAATTCCGGCCTTTACTCCAGCCTTGGCCCCCCACTTGATCTTCTGCACTTTGTCGGTCTTGTTGAGCGCCCACTGGCCTTCAGGAGAGATGGCATGGACGACTGGATCTTGATTCATCTTTCCTTCGGAATCCTCAAATCTAAAGGCCACTGACGCGCTCTTGAATCGCCGGCCACCTGTAGCAACGAACCGAAACTCGAAGATGAGGAGGCTGGCCAAGTCATCGCTCTCAGCAAGTTCCCCATGCGTAATTCCAACGATATCAACTTTGGTTTGGAGTTGATTTCCTCTGTCGACAAGAACCGGCCGGAACTTCTCGCCGGGCAAGTTCTTGGTGCGAAACTGTCCGTCATCGATAGGTTCTTCCAATAAGTTGACAACAAGCTGGTTGTCCATATTGCGTGGAAAGTCAGAACTGAGGTGGCGCTCTTTCAGAAAGAGGAAAGATGGACAGTTGGCCAAAATGGTTGAGAGACACGCGTCAAAGTCTATAGCCTCTGGAATAGTAGCTTGATCTGGGATATATACACCCTGGACATCCAGCTGATACCGAGTCCCCGCTGAACAGAGATGCATATGCAAGGTAGGAGGAGTAAGCACGCCCGGGCGTTCTCAGCTCCACCGATCGAAGCCTATCATTATCCTTTCCACACCCACTTGAATGTTTATCCCGCGGTTTGTCAGCGAGGCTCCGCGGCGTGTGTCTGCCCTCCACACCTCCTCAAACACAATGCGGACGCCCTTTCATATTGGTAATGTTATTGCTCCTCTTCGGGGATGCCCGTTCAAGCTGCCTTATTCCCTGTAATTCCACACCTCTTGTAATCACAGTATCCTGAGAAGACATAAGTCACTTTCTCAAGACTAACCCCGACGTAACTACTAGACATCTTCATTGACCCACTCGTGTGATCTCTTATCCCGTCGGCATTTATACAATGGCCAAATCAAAGGGAGAAAGGGGAGAGGAGGTAGAGAAGGGGGAGAAGGGCGAAAAGGGCGAGAAAGAAATGGGTGAGCGAATCAAAAAGGTTGACAAGACTAAGAAGACCAACGCCAGAACGGGAAAGGGAAGAAAGACTGAAATCCCAAAGAAAGAAGAGACTCACGAGGAGGAGAAGGAGGAGGATCTGTCTGCGCTACTGAAAAATGCACTGGACAAGTTCCCGGAGCCACACGATCCAGACAAGTCGGAGAAGCAGGACGACGACGACAACATCACCACCCAGGAGAGTAAACCGATAATGGAGGACTTTGAAAAGCTTTTCAAGACTCAGCTGAAAGACGCAACCGGCAGAGCAAAAAGTGGACAGGACAACTTGTTCCACGTCATGGTGAAAACTTTATTTTGGCCAAAAACAGCGAAGGAAAAGGCCTTCTTGAACTGGATGCTAAAACAGCAAGAACATCACCACTTGCTCAACTTACCTGATGTATTGGTCTGTACGCCAATGCACCATGCTCTTTTCAATAAGTTGTATGACTTCGTCAATTGTGTTCTCGCAGTGAAAGAGCTCAATATGATCAGCATTCTTGGGCAGAAAGGCTCGGCGGGAAATTGCCTCCATGTCGCTACTGGACAGTCCTTCCCCAATCTGGAAGACATGATCAAAAAATGCGCGGGCGACAAGAAGATCCTCATGGGTGACGACAACACTCCAGAGAACACACCTCTACACATCGCTGTCCAGCAGGTCCTGGTACCGGTCAAGATTAAACCCGTCGAAGATGACATTGATCAAGAGTCGGAAGATGGGACTGAAAAACCCGACAACAATGACGATGAGCACTCTCAACAGAACCACGAACGTGACGGGGTGTTGGAAGATTCTGATGATGACGACGAAGACTACCGTGACTCGGAGTCAGAAGTAGAGTCTGAAAGCAGTTTGGAGCACGATGAGGAAGATCAAGAACATGATGTAGAGGCACAAGAACTAGAGCCAGTAAGATACCGACTCGAAACGAAACCGGAACGAGAGACGAGGTTAAAAACAATACTCAAAAACCTCGATAAAGCGATTGTCAGGCCAACACCGCCCTCAAGGACAAAGGATACAAAGCTCAATGCCGCGCAGCATCTGGGTTCCGGAGAGGCCAAAAATGGCCTACCAGAGGAAGGAGACACTTTATCGACATCCCAGGACACGCTGACACAGGACGTAATGGAATTGCCCCTTGATCACAGCGTACGCCTACTCGTGGAGGAGTGCCCAGAAACATTGACAACCAAGAACGTACCCCGCAGAACCCCTTACCAGGAAAGAGAATATATCTTGCTTAAGGACGAAACTGTTAAGAAACTTGTAAAGGAGTACGCGGAAAAGAAAGTACGCCGTGGTGGTACGGAGGAGGTTCGCGAGGCTCGTGCCAAGCGCGAGATCGTGGTCAAAGACCCCGTTGCCCATTACATCCGGTCGTTCTGCGTGCGTAAGTCCAAATCACGGGAGGAGACCATGAAGCGGCTCTACAAGCCAGGCCAAGGTGAGTGTTCAACTCCAATTCCCGCGTTCCAGTATTAGGAATATTCAGAGTGCCGACTAAATATCGTCAAAGAATGCCATATCGAGTTTGACCTTGGAGGATTTCCCACTCCCGTCATCAAGCTTGACTATCTAGAGCAGTTAGAAAAGCATCTGAAGTTTGAGAGCATTCTCAAATATGTTGCGCTGCCTATTCTATCAGTCGAGGCCCAGCCCGTAAAGGGCCCAAGAAGGTGAGCTCTGAAGCTATCAAGACTCCCAACACAGGCAGAGCTTACATGACGTCACTTCTAGTCAATCCACACCACCCAGCGAGACACAGTCAGAGCTTCACCGTAAAGGACGGTCTGATCTCGTTGCAGTCTTTGACTGGCTGTGGCGTAGGGGCGTACGCGAGATCATTAAAGTCATGGTGGTCGACGACGGAGACATACCCCACGCCAACGACGCCATTGTAGAGGCCCTATACGGCTTCAAGGTTGAAGAGTGGGACTGGAAAAGGGTGGATCTCTGCAGTGATGTCATCTATGAGTCGTCGCCAGCCGTCAGAGAAGTGTCCCTATATTCATCGGGAAATAACGCTGTGTTGATGGGCTGGGCAAGTGCAGAGGGACTGGGCAACCGTGAAAAATTCCCTCACGTACGTTTCTGACTTAGATCCACCAGACCGAGTGCCCAAAATTTCCATGAACCATTCGACTGACATCTGTCCTGTAGCTTGAGAAGGTTAATCTCTTCGTTCAAGAAGTATGTCTCCCTAGTGCGAAGGTACGGCAAATTCGCTAATTTTTCTCTTGAGTAGGGTCTCGAAGATAAAGTGAGATGGAATTGGAATAACAATTGTTGCAAAGAAAACATTAGAAAGTATGGAGGAAAGGCGGCTAATGGCGTCGAAATCAGCGTTGAGATTATTGACGATAACAAGCCAGTCAAACGCTCCTCTGAGCTCTCTACTACGGAAAAAATTGAAGAGTAAGTCCAAGAGATCTCTTCGAAACCCCGCTTTGCTGACCAAGATCAGAGCTCCTGCATGGATCAAGAGCGTCCGGGACTTCTCGACATTCTTGATGAACGCTTCCATGTCCCTGGGGAAAGACAAGCAAGTCCCACCAGTCAAAATAGCCATCATTGACGACGGCATCGATGCTACCATGTACGACCTTCAGTCCAAGATAGCTGGGGGTGCCACCTTTTGCCCATATCCTCTTTCCCCCGATCTTGTGAACTCTTACTTTGTGCCTCGAGGCAAACATGGCACTTTGATGGCACAGCTTATTTGCAGCATGTGTCCGAGTACTCAACTATACATTGCAAGACTCGAAGAACTTCCAACGCTGACAGGGGCTGGCCGTCGTGTGACGGCGAGGTCAGCGGCCAAGGCAAGTCTGAGACCTCTCATCACTACTATAGACCACTTCTAAACTATCAAAATAGGCTGTCGATTGGGCGGTCAGCTGCAACGTCAACATCATCTCGATGAGTTGGACAATCCAAACAGCCGTGAAAGGAAATGAAGACATGAGAAAACTCGAAGATGCCATTGGCAGGGCACATGCTGCCAAAATCCTAATGTTCTGCTCAGCAAGTGATCAGGGCGCGAACAACACGGAGGCTTGTTATCCCGGTGACTGGAATCAATGTATCCGCATCGGCGGTGCCACTTTCACTGGCGAGAAATTGACATGGGTTGATAAAAATGTCGACTTCTGGTTTCCCGGCCGCAATGTTCCCTTCCCATCCAAGGACGGCTTGTCGGTTGTATACGAATCCGGCAGTTCCGTCGCCACAGCTGCTGCTTCTGGACTCGCGGGCGTGTTGATATACAGCGCTCGGCTCCTCGATCGTACACTGGACGACAAGAATAACCCCTTTCAGGACAAGAAGACATTGGTGGACGCGTTCGGCATCATGGCTAACGGATCAGATGGCAAGTTCCCGAGGACGGACGATGCGCTGAATAAGTTCTTCAAGATCAAGATCCAGGGAGTCACGAAGAAGTCGAGCAAGAATATCGATATTGATGCCTTGTCTTGGACCAAGGAATCTGGATCAGCGGAAGCGCTGCAAGCTCTGTTGAATTATCTTCAGGTACGTCTGGAAACTTAACTATGGGCTTTGCTTACATATGACTACTAGCGTTTGTAAACTTTTACCACTCGATTTAATGCTTGGTTTCTTTCTTCCCCGATCGGCATTTCGATGGCCACGCCTGTACAAGGGCGCAAGCAAATGAGGGTTCTCATTTATTCATCCGAGACCATCAGTATAATCTACGAGTCTTTACGTTCATATCCAGGAAGCAGAAACTTAGTTTTGAGGCTGAAGGATATCTCTATACCATCGCTCAGTTCCCTAGTCTTTCAAAACCTAATTCATATCTGGGTTACTTTCAAGTTGTTATGGGACATTCAGTTAGCAGCCACATAATGTCAACGTTTGAACAATTCTGTATTTCGAAACTTTCTGAATACCTGAAATTAGAACGATAGGAGTGGACACGACGAAGGGACCGCTATTGCAGTACCTACAGTCTTCCCCCAAAGGCACGTGACGTGATGAAGACCCTTGAATACATTCCAGGTTGTCAGCATATAAAGACTATTTAAATTATGAATGAACAAAGCGTAAAACAAAGAAACTCGTATTCGCATTTTCTTCTTGTTCCCGAAACTAAGGTGGTACTACTTTTTCTGCACCAAACCTGGAACTTTGGCCCACAAGCTATTATAAAGCTATTCTTTGAAACTCTTAAAGCTATTAAAAGTGTTGAAGTAGATTTTGATAAGGTTTCGGGCAATAAAGACGTAGTACCCCTCTAGTTATTGCGAATGTAAGACCTGCCACAGCCTCCGTAATTATTCGGTACCTACTAGCCGAAAATCTTGCCTCAGACTTTGTCACTCGGATGACTGAGAGCGAAAGGAGAGTAGAGTAGCACACCTTCGTGGCGTTCTTTCGTACTAAGCAAGCATCAGGTTCTAGCCGCTTTTTATTCAAAGGCTTCTCGGAACTTCCTTATACATCGAGAAAGACTTGACGTCTTACATCCTAACCTATCAAAGATGCTCTCGTAGTTATTTAAGTACGTTAATTCAGAAACATAGAATCAATAATTTTTACATTCAGCTATCATTCACTCCTATCATCAACTTCCACCTCAGCAACGTCAACTCTCTTCTTATCAGGCGCAAAATTCTCATCCTGCCCATTAACCCTCATCGGCAAAATCCTCATCTCATCTTCACCCTCATCCGAAACCAATGAAACCTGATCACTGCCAACAGTCGTCGATTCAGTATTATGCTGCACCAACCCCTGATCCGACCCCGAATTAACATGCTCAATCTCCCCGCCCTCCCTCTTCTTCTTCTCCCCCTCCTCCCCCGGCCGCCTCAGCACCGGATGTTCCAAATCCGCAATATCAAGCCCCGCCATCACCTCGCCGACCTCCGTCGTAGGCACGAGATCCGTGCAGCCGTGCCAGGTCCCTAGATTGAGCTCTTCCTGCGTCAAGCGATGCAATTGCAGCGTCTCGTTCGTAACCCATTCTAGGCGCGCGTATTCTTCGTATTTGCGCCGGCGCTGGAGGAGGCTGAAGATGGGCTCGAGGATGAAGGAGGTGAGGATTATGAGGATGGTGATTATGTAGGTGAAGAGGAGGCCGAAGAGGGAGAAGGAGGCGTAGGTTGTGCTGCGGATTTTCTGTGGGATGTGAGTATATTTCGTCGTGATGGATGGTATGCGGGATGGAAAGGAAACATACCTGGCTATTGCAATATTTGCGTTCCGCTGCGTTTTGAGGAGTGAATTGTGATTGCTCTAGAACCGGGTCTGAGTTTCCCACCGCCGTAGTGACGAACGTGGATTGCCACACAGCCAAGACGATGTTGAACCAATTGGTAACGTCGAGCTGCCATTGGTTCAACGGAATAGGGAGTTGAAACGCATCTTGAAGCAGCGATTGAGAGGCCAGCGACTCAGCTCTGAGCTCCCGAACGATGGAGGAAACGTCGGGGAATGCTTCTACTTGCGTTAAAAATGACCAAGTGAGGAGAGTGCCGATAGTTGAGTTGGACAGTGGTCGATCGATAGCATTGGGATCAAAGTCCTCTGCTGTCATGTTGAATAGCGGAGCTGCACCTGCAAAGGAGTCCCATGCACTTGCTAGAGGTCCGCATTTGTCACCGTTGCACCACTGCCAGCGTTCTATGGTCAAGTTAGCACTATAGGATATGGAGGATATGAAAGAGGATTCCAGCAATTGGGTGATATCCTTAGACAGTATATGAGAACAGAGATGTCATCCGTCTGCTGTTACCACCAATCTCCTGCCCAGAGGCTTCAAAGAGAACCATAGTATTTTGGAAAGAAAATAGACCTTACCAAAACACCCAAGCGGGCTTCCGGCTTCCTGAGGTAAATAGCCCTCCATCATCATCGTTGAAGCGTTTTCAGCAGAAGACATAACAGTCCCCGGCACAGTTCCCCGATACCAGTCATCATCCATTTCTTGTCCGTAGAACAGAACACCGTTTCCGGAAAGCAGCATGATGGATACATCTCCATCGGGTCGGAAAAGCTGGGGTATTGGCATGAAGTCCGAAAGTGCCGCCACGGCGCTTCCTGCTACTGTCTTGGACGTTGTAGCACTAATGAGGGCAAGATTAGCCTAGAACATAAAATAGTCGAGGGTTGATATGAGGAGAAACTCATACGGGGTAGTAAATGCGAGTATTTACCTCAATCTGTAATTCAAACCATAATTGCCGCCTGCTCGAAACTGGGGTGCGTTGTGCAAGAATGCATATTGAGCGTCGAGATTCGGGACATCAAACGTGTAGTTCGCCACGGTATCATTATTGGCATCAACTGCCGCCCACTCTCCATAATTATACCTCACCCAAGTCATATTATCTTCCGGAGTAACGAATTCAGAAGTGAAGCCCTCCGTCACAAGTGGTGAGCACTGAAGCACGTATCGCATTCTCAACCTTTCGGATGCCGGAGTGTTCATTCCGAGGTCATTATTACTATCCAAATAGCCACTGTCTAGGAGTAAGCTAGTCGCGTTATTTCGACAGATGGTTGAATCCGGGAATGGGCAGCTAGTATTCGTTTGCGTCGTAGTGGTCAGGAGATTTTTGATAACAAATCTATCGCAGTCGAGCATCCCAGAGCTAGAAGCTGAGTAGCACTACTGTGCGTAGTTCGCTGCGTCCTTGAGACTTTCGGACATCGTTGAATAATAGTCAGATTGGCTAGAGGTGTCATTTGGAGGGGACCCAATCCCACATTGAGAGCCCTTAAGTAACACGACGTCGCCCCGAGCTGTAGAAATTTGCGCCGATAAGCCACCGGCGACCGTGAAAGCAGAGATGCAACAAATGGCGAAGAGAGCGGTGGGAAGTAGACGAGAAAGACGTTTGTGTGTCTTTCCTGTCGGTTGTTGTGAGGTCCACCATGCGAAGAAGATGTTGAAAAGTGAAACAAGCCCTACCTCGGGCGAAGAAGAATTGCGGAGAATAATTTGTCGTTGGTGGTGAACGGCGTCACGGTGATCAGCTGTCGAGTAATAGCGATGGACAATAAGACAGAAGATGCGCCAGAATCGAGAAGCGACATAAGGTATGAGGAAAGCAGTAAAAGCAATCAAGAGATCGCCTAGTTTCCGAGTCGTTGTAAGAGTTGCACCCACTGTGGACGGTTATTTGAGTTCTTTTCGAAAGTCTGAGTTGGATACTGGAAACAAAAGAATCGATTGCTTACTAAGTCCTCCATTAGACCAGTTCGTCCACACTCCAAGGTAAACAGTGGCATTGTTCATTGCGTATGTACGGTAAAGGTGTCAGGAAGGGTAAGGATTAGGAAGCTTAGCTCAATCAAAGATTCCAGAATATGAATAGAGGGCGAGCAATCTCAAGTACAAGGGAGTTGAAAATTATCGAGGCTCTAGTATTCTAGATTAGAGGGCCAGGTTCGAGACAACTCGCAACTCGCAACTCGCAGCGAGTTTATATGAGGATTCCCTTGCTATCAAGCATTGAAAAATGTTGGTGGTCCATATCTCCAGGTCTTACCTGAGCCTTGCTGCAAGCCTTGCGGCGTCGAAATGCGGCGTCGAGCTGCGGGGGCCATTGTACGACCAATATATGCTTGTGATACGCTGGAAGAAGGGGAAGCGTCTAAGCTCTGCCGCCGGCTTATCTATGCCTCCAACCATTTCACTCCCATGTGGAAAGACCCAACAATTGCCTTAACCGAATCGCTGCTGACGCTGCTGCTTATTTATCGGCAGGGTCGGCCCGCATATGGATGCTGTGTTCTGGCGTATCAGGATGCGAGCTTCGTCTAAATCGACCAATACCAACTGGAAAGGGAGGGGTCGATTCGAAACGTGGAGGTTTTTGGGGGGCCGATTGACTTGCGGCGCAGATACTGATCTGATAGTGGGGCAGGAAATCTGTATTCCATCGTCAATGTGAGTCGGACAGTCCTCGAAAATCACTCCACCGCTCAGCAGTTGATACCTTGTGAAGTCTAATTATAGGCTACCGTATCGACTGTTTTCCAAGGTAATACTCCTGACTATGGAATTAACGAGGCTCTGGTGGCTTTGAGGGACAGCTTAGGCTTTTAAAACGACAGCCCGGCTTTTGGACGGTGAAGAAGAGTATTCAATCATTCTTTTCTTCTATCTCTATCATATTCTTTCATTGAGTGCTTCTAAATATTTGCATGCTCTCTAGCCATCCATATTCATTTACTCTTTAAGAATGCCCTCATTTTTGTACCCTTTATTTGAGAATACTTTTACCGTACGACCGCAAGATGGAAGCCACTTGGTCCAATCTTATGATTGTAGCTGGCAATTCCACAAAGAGCTATATCAGCTCATTGGTAAGCTTAGGAAAGGTAGAGCTCATCGTCGAGTATTCAGATTGATTGAGGAGATAAGTGGTGCTGTTGAGGACGGCGACCACCACCGGACGTATAACAAACCTCGACATCCTTAACTCAACAGCAAGACTCATCTGAGTTCTACGACAACTATATACTTTACTACAGTGTTCAAAGAGGACAGCGTGCCCAGACCGCATCATCCATCATCTATCGTCAAGAATGGAAGTCTGCGTCGGGTTCGCATGAGAGCACTAGGAGCACTAGGAACACTGCACTAAATGAATTGAACGCACTGAACTTACTGCACTGCACTGCTGAACGCACTACACTGACTGCACTACATTGATTACACAATTAACTACACATCGAACGCGCTAACTACTCTGGCCGTGCTAGACGGAGCAAGAAAATAAAAGCATCTCTCGAAAAAAAACCAAAAAAAAACGAGGATCAAGAATTAAAAACTAAAAAGTAAGGGATAAAAAGCTAAACCACGAAAATGAGAGCATTCCCAGAGAGTGAGGGACCAAGGACGAGCTCACGAGTAAAAGCATGACTTCATTTTGCCTGGACAGCCGGGCTGTCTCCTTGACTCCTTGAAAGCCTCGGTGGGGTATAATCACAGGCTACATGCTCTAGATGTCTTTGAATCGCATCGTAACACATCTCTATGCAATTACTTCTGGACAATGCACTCCGCGAGATTCCAAGCAGCCCCACAAGCACACACGGAGGCATTGAGACGAGACTTTCTCTCATGAATTGCTAATCGAGCTGAAGAATGTAATCTTCATCAAACCTGACCACCAGCTCCTCATTGCCCAAAAGCATGGCTTGCTTTGTCGACGGGGAAGAAGAAAGAAACCAGTTCGCATCAACGAACTACTGCCCGCCATAACGATCAGTCACATTGGCGCAATCAAAAGGTATTCATACTTGATTCGTTTCATTCATCGTAGCGATCGTGAGAGGTTTTGACACCATGGCTGTCTGTATCCATGCCTTCTATTTTATCCAGTTCGCTGAACATGAAGACAAGAGTACCCTATGTAATGTACAGCCAGAAGACGCTTCTTTTCCTTGTATAACACCACCATGCATCCAATCCCATCCATAATTTCCATCACCGAGAAGTAAAGAAAAGACAAAGTTTGCCATAAGAAAGAGGCCAGCATAGCTGTAAGAATCGAAAAAGTGTATGAAGTTGAGTTTCGTCTCATGTTCATGTCTTGGATCTAACCCAGATTCTGAAAAAGAGAGCCCAGGTGGGAAAGAAGATAGAGATGGAGATCAGAGTGAAGATCTAGAGGGATGCGCGGTTGAGGTGACGGTGCAGGTGTCTGCTCGAGCGCTTGGAGGTGCTGCTTGTAGAGTAGACACTGAGTGCCATACCACCACCACAGGTTTGAGTTCCATCACCCTCACAGGGCATGTCGCAAGATGTCTCGTTGAGAGCAGTGCTTCCATCGAGCTGGTTACCACAGAAGCATTGACCACCGTACTCAGTGCCAGCCATGGAATAGCCTGCATTGCTACAGTAGTCAACACATTTGGTGTTGGTAACAGCGTGTTGACCAACATTAGCAAGAGTGATACCACTCAGAACGCGCGCACGTGTGTCTTGGTAGCAACCGTAGTAGTACCAGCCATTTGCGACCGAGCTGCCTCCACTTGAAGTGGGAGCTGCACCAGTGGCAGTGACAGTGGTCCAGACAACGGTAGTCTCTGAAACATATGAAGTGACAACCTGGTCACCATCCGTGGATGTGGTAGCGACTTGGGTGACTAGGGTGGTTGGCTGGGAGTCGACCGGGGTTGTTGCAACACCGACAGCGGTTGAAGTGGCCTGGGTCTGAACAACTTTAACGTCGGAAGAAGAAGAGACACCAGCAGCATTTGACTGAGAGGAGACTTCCTTGACGCTGGTAGCCTTGGAACTGCTCTCGACGACTTGGCTTGAGGCCTTGCTTGAAGCTGGTGCGGAAGTGGCTGTTGGCGATTGCGACATGGATCCGGTGGTACCAGATCCTCCGCTGCCAACGACGGCGCCGACGCCCCAGCCTGACAAGGGGTTGGTACCTGGAAGTGCGGTCATAGTACCAGTGACGACCTCATTGGCAACAGGATCGGGGAGGTTGCAAGTGGTCGAGGGATCGTTGAGTCCACCCATGAGACCAGGGCACTTGTCCATGCCAGAGTCACCAGCATCACAGTTGTCAATGATCTGTTGGAGCGTATCAACATCCCAGCCAGAGATGAAATCGGCGTGGAGACCGTAGCCAGTTCGATCACCATTGGAAAGGACAAATGGCTGTGTACCTTGGCCCTGAGTCCAGCGGGAAGCAAAAGGAGGGGTGTTCCAGTAGACCTCGTAGAACAAGTGAGGAGTGTGGATCCAGCCAGTGGGGCAGTTGCCATTGGTTGGGAATTGCATGTTCTCCTTGTAGTTGTCAAGACCAGCAGCTGGGTTGTAGCATGATGGGAAGTGGATATCAGCTCTGAGAGGGGAGGCAAATCCGTCGCAGTTCTGGTCTGGGAAACCTACACCCGCACCTTTGTTGCCAGGATCTTGAATACCAACACCATCGAGACCAGTGGAGTCGGTAGGGTAGAGAGGTGAGTTTGTGTTTGTTCGAGGGCAGGTGAATTGGACTGGTTGAGGTGTACCGTCGGACAGATCAGTAATTGACTGACCACCAGTAGCAGGAGGGGTGCGGAGTTCAGGGTTGCCAACGACCATACGGTGACCAGGCTGGAAAGCTTCGATCTTATCGGTTGTAGCCTCAAAGCTGTAATCGGTTAGCATAGATTGATCTGCTTAAGCTGGTCAACGTACAAGTAGTACACGTTCATGTAGAACATGTCAACAAACTCGAGCTCCTTAGTGACCGGATCTTGGAAGTAGAGAGATGGAGTCCAGTAGTTGCTCTTGTCGTTCTTGACGAGGGAAGACGTGCAGGTAGATTGGTCCAAAGCTTGAGTATCAGTCATAGTCATACCGAAGGCATTACCACCTTGAATGGCGTGAACGTGACCAGAAGGCACACCAGGGCTGATGATAGGATCAACACGACCATACATCATGGCATCCTTTCCATAGAAGTGGTTAACGGCAAAGGTACGGCCGGTAGCACTGTATGCCGAAGCAGAAGCGGCAAATGCCAGAAGGGTTGTTGCTGTGCAGCGCATCTTGTAGGAGGCCGATCTTGGTATGTGAAAGGGGGAGTTGGTTTTGATATCGAAGTAGATCGCCGGGAGTACTGGGAGGTTGTTCTTGCTCGTTGAAAGGACTGTGCAGAAGCTGTCGAAGCTGGTGAATCACGTCGAGAGATCGAGAGTGATTGTTGACACACAAGAGTGACTTTGACTCAATTGTGTGGGAATGGTGGAAGGAATGGAAGTTGGTGAATCTGTATCAACAGATGGAAAGGAAGGTAAAGGGCAAGAAAGAGCAGAAGCGAACCGAAAAAGGAGTGTGAAGTACAACGACGGACGATGAGTACAAATCGATAGTGGTGAAGAGGAAGAGATCGAAAAGTGTGCCGGGCGAGCGTGACTTATGTAGCAGCAGCCCGCACTGGGCAAGAAGGGAAGGAACGATACGTAGCGATAGCGCGTGGCTGCCCTCGATGACATCCACTCAGGGAGGTGGAAAAGACGCTAAGGACCAACTGCTTCTCGGCTCTGCACTTCCTCCTTGCTCGACAAAAACGAACAACGCAAGACAAGGAAGGAAAAGACTGTTTTTTCACCACGTCCCGTCTGGGAATGCAGGGGCGGCTTCACCACTTTTCTGGGCCACGGTAACATGGCGGCTCGCTGGGGGGGGGGGGGGGGGGGCGGGTTCAAGAGACGGGGGTCGACATCGCGACAAGTCGAAGAGCACTTGGGCCCAGAACAGCGAAAATCTCTCGAGGAAGCAAGCCGCCAAGCAGTCAGCACCGGGGATGCGACTTGGGATGAACAGCAGTGTGGGCTGGCTTCGAGCAAGGCCCCCATCACAAGCGTCAGGTACCTTGCAGCTCGAGCCTGTTAGACACGGGAAGAGAGGATCGGTACCAGGGCTTTCACAGCACTACTGCAAGCCACCGTCGCCAGCAACAGCCACCAACCTGGACGAATGTCCCTCTTTAAGCATAGTCCGGTCGTCAAGGCGTGGAAAGTACAGTAGAAAAGGCTCAGCCAGCGCGACGGGAAACCAGACTGGTTCAGGGCTGCACCGCGTGTTTCGAAACATCAAGCGAACCATTCACGACAATGTTTCCGGCTGCACCTGGATATCCGGCGGTGCTTCTTCTCCCCCTGAGTTGGTCTATCTAATCTCTCTATCCCGTGGGCTCTGAGCTGAGTCGCCCCGTTTCGAGTTGGCGCAGTGTTTATCTCCGCCCCCCCCCTCCCAGCGAGAAGACTATTTTGTGGAAATCACATCTGGGCCCGAAGATCCATCCGCTGAAACAATTCTAATCAGACGTCCAACGGAGGTCATATCCACGGTCACACAACCAACACCATCATCTATCATATGCCAACACCAATACCAACACCAACCCCGAATATATTGTACACGTCAAAGGTTCTTTGATTGCAATAGAATGTCCTCAGTATTGCAGCGTCAGACAACCAGGAGCGGGAGGGGACACCAATTGGCATTGAGTGCAGCTTCTAAAACAGGTTATTATCCCCTTCTGCTATTTCTCGTGCTCACGGTGCAGCGCCGTGTAACCCTGAGCTGCACGGATTATGTGTACCTGCAGCTCTGAACGAACAAGAGCCTGAAGAAAATGCAAGCACAGAGCCAATCATGAGAAAGCCAGGACCTCGTTCAGCATCCACATCCAATGAATAATGGCCATTCGCGCAAGGCCAGCTATTTCCTCGAGCGCATGCAGCTCGCAAGGCCATCGTTTTCTGGCCGCATTCACGCATTTACACTTCCGAGAATCCCTCGTCTACGGTGCCTGAGAAAGTCAACATGAGGATTGCTTTTCTGTCATTTTCTTCCGTGAAGGCAAATTTGCGACTGACGAACATATAATTAGAAGGATGCGAAGGATTGAACCCTATCACGAATCATTTTAACCTTACGACTTCAGATTTCAGAGCAGGAACACGAGAGTCGGCCACAGCGGCGATGCCCTGGTCCGGACCTCGCTCTTGTTCCACCCTCCCAGGTTTTTCTTTCTCTCATCTCATCACCTCGCAGAGTCCTTGAAACGCAGCCGAAAAAACAGAACATGTTTCCCCAGACCTGTCGAATCGGATTCTGGGTAAGCATCGCCTGGTACCTGCATCCGCCATGATCCCATCCTTCTTCTTTTGGCCTGGACTCTCCAACTGAGTCGCGAAGGATCTGCCGCCGCCGTCAACGACAAGGAAAGGTCCGCCCCACGGTCGCTTTTTTAATCCTGTCGTTTCGACCAGATCTGAACTCTCCGCCCCTCGATTTTTGATCTCCTCGCCGCAAAAAGCTTCTTCTCCTGCATCATACATTTTCTTTACGTGGGCCGCGGTGCCTGATTCAGAGCCTAGAAGTAGAAAGTCCCAGAACATTGCAATCCACATGCTAAAAAGGTAGAACAAGGACTAATGCCTGTGAACATCTATCAGCAAATAGGAATAGATCAAGATATGGATCATGAAGTCTCTGCACAGAGTCTGCATAAAAGCTGCATAACGGTTCTTTTCAACCACATCAACCCACCCGAAGGAGGGTGTCTATCGAGATGTATTGGCTCTGACATCCCACAGATGATCCGGTAGTTCTCGTTGATTTTGTCATCTAGGTGAAGTATGATGAATGTTCTACAAAACTCTTTATCGGACACAGGTCCGGAGAAGTCTTTGCTCGTCATGACTACTGACTACCAATTATTCTAGATCTTCCGATCGACAAACTGATGGTTTTCGTCCACCAAAATTCTTTTGACACCTCAACGTAAAACATTGCACTGCATTCCCTTCCCAATCACTGTGTCAGCCACCCGCAATCATTCCCTCGCAGTACAGTGGCCCGTCTCACTGCATCTCCTGTGTCTATCAATCTATCTAAAGAAAGCTCCAAATAAACAACAGCAGATCTGCCGTTGAAACAATCGCGGGTACGGACATTGATAGGTCACTGTCACCCCAAAAATACGTGCCAGATAGCTCTTTTTTCATCCCATCCAACGGTTTCTGCAGTCAGCGACACGCTTTCAGATGAAAAGGGGTTGATTGGCTAGGAATTTTTAGGGGCTCTTGAAACATCCCGATAGCGGCTGCGATGCGCTGGGGAGCATCATGTGATTTGGGGGTATGTAGGTGACGGAGGAACATTGAAGCGCTTGAGAAGAAGAAGCGTGTCGCTGTGCTGCTTTGGATGTCTTTGATCACGACGAGTTGGTTATGTGAATGAGGCCGAAGAAAAGGGTGTGAAAATCGCCCCCTGACCTCAAGCGGGCGATAAGCGATAAGATAACCGATAACCAACTTGGCGGGCTCGCCGGGTTCAAGATTTTCTCTATTCAGTCTCTACAACCTCAACCTCCTCATCTCTCCCCACCACCAAAAATGCCCACCCCCATCCCAATCACAATCCTAACCGGCTTCCTCGGCTCCGGCAAAACCACCCTCCTCCTCTCCCTCCTCCCCCAACTCCACGCCCTCAACCCCTCCTACAAACTCGCCCTCCTCAAAAACGAATTCGGAGACCTAGCCATCGACTCCCAACTCGCGCGCTCCTCCTCCATCTCCTCCGTCCGGGAACTGCTCAACGGCTGCATCTGCTGCAACCTCGTCGGCTCCCTCTCCTCCGCCCTGGCCGAGCTCTCTTCGGCCCAAAATCCAGACCGCATCGTCATCGAGACCTCCGGGTCCGCGTTCCCCGCCACGCTAGCTATGGAGGTTAATCGGCTCGCGAGAGAAACGGGAGGTAGGTATGCGTTAGATGGCGTGGTCACGGTGCTGGATGTGGAGAATTGGAAGGGGTACGAGGATACGAGTTTCACGGCCAAGATACAGGCGCGGTACACGGATCTGGTGGTTTTTAATAAGTGGGAGGTGGCGGGGGAGAGGAGGATGGAGGAGTGTTTGGATCGGTTGGGGGATTTGGAGGGCGTGGATGTGGCGTGGGTTAAGAGTGAGAGGGGAAGGGTGGATGTTGGGTTGGTTTTTGGGATTGATGGTGGATTGGCGAGGGGGTTGGTCGATGATGGACATGCGCGTGAGCATGCGCATGAGAATGGGGAGAAACATGAGCATGCAGATGGGAAGGGACATCAATCCGAAGTCGAAGTCCTATCCATAACCCTCACCTCTCCCTCTCCCTCCTCAACGATCTCTCCATCCCCGCTCCTGCACCTCCTGAAAACAGCTCCAAAAGACGAAGTCTACCGCATAAAAGCCGTCTTGACATCCTCGTCTCCTATCCCGTCTTCTGATCCCACCACTTCTCCTTCCCCTCCATCAAACGGCACAGGGAAATATATTCTGAACTGGGCGTTCGGTCGCTGGACATGTACACCGATGAACAGTGGAGGGGAGGAACATGAGAGTAGTAAGGGGGATGGAGTCGTGCTGAGGATGACGATGATATTGGCGCGGTACGAGAGTAAGAAGTGGAAGAAGCGGATTGAAGGGGGTGGGTATTTGGAGATAGAGGGAGGGCAGGAGAAGGGGGAGTTGAGGGTTGAGAAGATTGCTTGAATATATAGACAGGTGCATTGTGATGGAGTTTTGGGTTTGGGTGCGTGTAGAGGTGAGTGAAGAATAGATGGACTGGGACGAACTCTCGGTGACGTAGATAGCAAGAATAATAGAATTAGAGACTTTGTCCCTATCTCGGCTACGTATTTGCAAGTTTTCTTTGTCTGAGAGAGGATCTAGTGTTGACATGATGTTTACTTTGTCGCTATGTGCGACTTGAAACAAAAAATTGACGTGGAAGCAAATGTCTCTCCCATACAGATATCTAATACAGGCACTTGCGGGACTGTGAGCTGTTTAGTACCTTCCAATCTTGCCTTTAGCCCAACCAACCGTTGTGAGAGCTTTTGTTGCACGTCGCATTGCGACATATGCCAAGCACATGCTTCTGAGAATATTCTGTGTTTTCAAGTCCAAATCGCCGCAAGAAATCCTAAGCTCATTCTAAACACAGTCATTCAAACCTCACCAAACCTCTTACATCTCGACATCAGTGAATTCCCCCTCCTTGAACAAGTGTTCTTCAAGGACTTGGATTTTAGGATGGCAAGACACAATTTCTATAGCCTCTCCCTCCCCATTTGAAGAAGGGAGTATGGTTTTGGATACTTCCAAGGTCAAACTCTTGTAAATGAGGTTTTTTGAGTTTAGTCAAGATCTGACATAGCCTTTCGTGCCATAAACTAATCCAAAGACTCCATTGAAGAAAGTGACAATGTTCGATACAATCTTGCTCCGGGATTTGGAGTGATTGGGTCGCTCGAGTTTATACATTGCTGCCTGCTCTCGACAACGTCCGAAGTAGCAGTTGACACAGCTTGTACTTTTGCATTGGAACTTGCAGTTTTCAAGACTTTACGTCCCTCAAGCCCATTTCCCTCGTCTTCAAAAAGCTGCCTAAGGTACTCTGCCGACGACTTGATACACTTCGATCGCCATGATAACTGTTGTACTGCTAGCTGGGCCGTTCGAAAATTTGCTACGGTGGAGGCGTCCTCGTCCTCTAGGAGATACGGAGCAGCATAGTCTCTGATCAAAGGATCGTAAGAGCCGGAGCTAGCAGAAAATAGTCGCACAGCAAGGTGTAGGTACTGCTTAGCAGCAACTTCGCTTCCCGGTGAGTCTTGCAGCTTCAGCAACACACGTCGAACGATCCCTTGGATACAGAAACTGTAGAAAGTAGACAGCCACCAGCTCTCTTTGGCTCTCATATTGTCTTTGGTGAAGAATACCTGTGAGAGTTCGGCCAAGTACAGTTCCAGGTCTAGATGCAACTGTTTGATCCAATCGAATTGGCAGACTGGCTCGGAGCAAGAGTTGTGTTGATATGCGGAGTATAACCTTTGGTCATCAACGGCCAATGCCTCAACACCACTTCGTAGGCAATTGAGTGACTGTGCGATCAATCGGTCCTACATTCACAAGGTTAGCTATTCATTTTGCTTGATTGGGGTATGGCCTCTCGTACAGTATGGATACTTGCTTGGTACTGGGCGGCAGAACGTAGCAAAAGCACAACATCAGCCAGTTGCGAATCAACATCGTTAGACATAATGAGTCGGCAGCATGGAACGTCAAGTGTTTCCTGTACAATAGAATCGATGCACTCGTTGAGAGGTGCAATTGCCGATTCCGGTACCGATCTTGCTGGGATTAGGGTCCAGCTGAAGAGACTGAATAACCTCCGCCTCTGCTTCAAATCATATAGAGTTTGGACCGGCTCGGAGCCCGAGTGCTGAGCCAGAATGAGATTCCGCGATTCGCCCACATTCTCTTCTCGTGACTGAATATGAGAATGCAACCAATCATTCGAGCGCTTCCGTTGTTCATCAGTTGGCACAGAACCGCCAAGGATCTGCTGGGAACATAGGCGAAAAGGAAGCATCTCTTCAGCAAAAGTGCCTCGCCGACATGCCACGGAAGACCACCCGAGACGCTTAGGATTCTTGTGTGGTTTTGGACATGCTACACATGGGTCATCAAGAGAACACTAAAAGACAAGTCAGTATATCATCGTGCTTGTTCTCCGCCACATTCCAACTACAAAGCAGACTGTCACAAAATCCAAAACCGGGATCTATTCATCAAAAGGGGAAAGGTCATTAACTTACCGTCTTCCTGAGAAACTTACACCTCCAACATGCCCTGACCGCTTTCACCGCCTTTGCGGCAGCATTGCTTGCGGGGTCTAAAGGCCCCCGCCTCCCTGATGTTCCCGAAGCTGGACTTTCCATGCATGGTGATTTAGAGTTGAAAACGTACTCTCGAAATGTGCCACTGGCTGTACTTAGGAGACTAGGCCTTCGACTGGATACGTCTCGAACTCTTTTTTGCCCGCGATCCATCTTGGTACTTGAAACAGATCCAATTGAGCTCGATCTATAATTTTGTTCTTTGTAAGAAACTGAGCCTGAGTAACACAGTCTATCAGAGGGCATGATCTGGCTTTCAGGTGACACGGAACGTGGTTCCAAGGGGTCTATTCCGGCTTCCTCTTGAGTGGCTGTCACATATTTCGTATTTGGACCGAACAATTCTGATGGAAAGCCATGGCTCACCCAGTATGTCGAGTCCAGTGCCGAGGCCGTCCGCACCGCGGTTTTGGCTTTCTGAGAAACACTAGCAAGTGGATTTTCCAATTTCTTCTGTATCCTGGTGGATGAGATGTACTCTTTGACCACATCGCGGACGTCGTTAGGCTTGCCAGCAACAATATCTGAAGTAACTGAACAACAATTATTTTGAAATCCAGTCATCTCCTGATCCAGAGTGGAAAGAGCGCTAATGACAGTATGTTCGAGGCTAAAGGCATGTGTACAGCATTTTGTAAGAGGAGATGATAAGTTTCCAGAGCTTCTAGGCAGATCTGCAAGAGCTGACTCGGTTACCTGGTTGTATTTAGGAGCAAAGTCTTCACTCCTGATGCAGGTACCTGTGTGTGCTGAGTAGTCGATAATGAGAGGTTGGTGTTGAGCTATACTGTAGTCCACAGCAGCGAAAGATGGCACTGGATTCACGCGAGTTGAGGTTTCGGAAAACATATCGTGTCCAAATGTCCAGCAATGATCAGGATCCATAATCGTGGTGTTGTCCAGTCCCAAAAAGTTGAGGTTGTCATTCTCAGGATTGGTGGATTTCTCAGGCGGTGACATTCTAACCACTCTCCCTGAGTGAGTAGCCAGAGTATACTCAAAGGCAAAGCCCAACTGATGAGCCCAGGATTGGAGCATCCTTTGCTGAGGATTGTCCGGGGAAAGAAAGACCGACTCCGTCTCATGATGATTCCGATAAAAGCAGATAAGTTGCGTATAAAATGCTAGGTTGACCTTGTTGTTCATGTCTGAAATGGTCAGTAGGGTACGATGTAAATCTTGGAGAATGACTCGCCAATGCCTGTCACATCCACTAACGAGTCCATCCTGGACGATGACTCGATAGAGCAGGGAAAGGTCAGTCTGTAAAAATCCCAGGGCTCTCGAGGCAGGATCTCTCGGTCTGATCTGCATCAAAGGCTCACCTCGCAAGGCTGAGATGAGGATATACCGAACCGTTGGTGCCATTGTATTTGGTGACGACCCCAAATGATCATCGGGACTCGAATCCAGAAGGTGGGAAGTCATTAAGAATTGATGGAGAAGGGGTCAAAGAGCGAAGGCTTGATAATGAGAGAGAATCATTACGGAAGGCACGAGGCGGTCGATCATGTTGGTCTCCCGGATCTGGCAGCATGCATAACCGAGAATAATGCATCTCTCACACTTTCCACTAGATCTACACCTGTGATGTCTTATATCTCAGGCTTACTAAAACCCACTGTCAGTCTATCTTAAATATATCAAAAAAGTATCAGTGTCTATATGAATCTCTGACTTCGTGAGACCACCGCCCTTTCTGGACAGACCGACTCCACACGTGATCGGAGCCTGCTTGTCGACATCAAATGAAGTTTATTGTTGAAAGTAACGTTTTATACATGTCTCTTGTATGGAAATCGCAGTAAGGAGGAAAGCATTAGCAAGGGAGCATGACCTCGGGAGGACGGGAGGATTTCAAATCACGTGAGTAAGTATCACTTGATGAGATCGAGTGGCTCTTGAGCTTTCATTCATTTAGCATCAAATGAGGATGTGGTGTAGTATAAAACTGAATTTCCCTATTGAATATAGAGGAGTTTTCAATTACTTCCGGGTCAAATCAAAGCTCTGAACAGGAAAACTATCATGTTTCGGGTTTGTATACGATAAAAATAACAGTTACAGCACGACCACGACTTTTGTTTTCGTTGAAACAAGAGATAATACAATTAAGCCCAAAGCTAGTAATAAAATTGCTCAATAATTTGAAACACAAGAACAGTAAATTCCATCTTTCAAATTTGCTGAAAATTCATAGGTAGAGCTTCGCGCAGATAATTCTAAAAGCGGATAAATAATTGGTAATTTGTCCCAACATTTGAAGATATTTAACCCGTCTTCAAAACTTTAGCTACGAAGCTGATGCATCTGTGACAATTATATTAAAACCCCGTAATTTTTGGTATGTCAACAAACGTGCAAAAAAACAGAATATATAATTCTCAGGTGAAATTTACCTTATTCACAAAGCAGATCCAGCAGACCACAAAGGATCAGAGCAAGAGCGTCGACGTTGGCACTCTGGCATGAATTTCTGGTTTCCCGAAGGCGCTAGGCTCTTTGTTGAATCATCTCAAGATACAATATTGGGTTGAGAAACTTGACTCTTGTTTCTGCTAACGGCGGATTTCATTGCTTGGGTTCGTACACATTTTCTACTCGATTTACCTTCTCATTAGTTCTCCACTATGAGCTATGAGTGAACTATTCCAACATCAAGTCATGTCTTCTAACTTTTTAACTTCTATTTCCCATTTCGTCTGCGTGACGAGGTTGCGGAACGGCTATAGGCTTTCGAACGCCATTTACCTCTCAACTTAACTCATCAACAGAAACTTGGAACTTCTAGAACTTCCGGGTGACTTCGTGCAGATCGTCCAATGTCTCGAAAGCTTGGCATGATATCCTCTTGTCTCCACCCTGGTGACTTGTATGGTGCAGTTTATCTCTCGGGATCTGAGAGTCCATTCGATCTTGTGATTCGTCGATACTCATGCGAAGATTAGAGGATAATGCGAGCCTGGACGATGTGTTTATCGCATAGCATCTGAGTATCTTCAGAATATATTTTTCTAGAATAGACTTAACCTCGTGACAGGCCACATGTCTGCCACCTATCGCTTGTTGGTCAGCTAGCGTGAAGCTCCCTTCGCTTTCCAGAAGAGTCAACTCGGTTCTGTGTTAACTTTCAAAATCAATGCAACAATCTGCAAAGTTGCTTTTGAAAGAATCAAATTGGTAATCTTATTGGAGCCGGTACCCGAGGGAACTGTCGAGGTCAAAACTACTTTGGAGCTATCTGATCCGGTCAACGCCACTGAAGACGGGATTTCCGTTGGTTTTGTAGTTGCCCGCCCGTCGTGTTTCTTGATAGAGGATGTGGCGGCAGCACGGGACCCTTCCAGCAGAGAGAATTAGAGAAAATTGCTCGAAACGGCTCCTTTACCCTCGTGGTGCTGCGAGTGCGCAGATGATATGGACCAAGGATCTGGAGACGCGACTGCAGGAAGATTTTCCAGAGTTGCGGATGATGCTATCATTGGTGGTTGACCGCGGAGCCTTTCTCCAAACGGCTAAGGAAATCCCCTCAAATTCTCTCTTTTTCACTATCTTCAAAAATCTCGACCCTGCTCTGGACTTTTGTCAGCCAACAGCTAGATATCCCACCGCCACTGCGGGGATCTCAGAATATGGATCATATACAAAAGACTTGGCTGTGTCCATTCGACTCTGTCACAACGGATACTTCTACACCATTGATCCGTCTCTCAATTGTCATCATCATCATCATCATCAATTGCCAACATGAAGCTCTCTTCACTATTTTGGACAGCATGGGTGCTGGCTTCGTCCGTTTTAGCCGGCACACCGTTCCAGGGCTCAATCAATGGCATGCCTGTCAATCCCTACTACCCGTTCTGTGCCATGACTTGCTTGCGATCCATCTATGGCTTGACGTTGTCTTGCTCCACCATGGATGCCGGTACTCTTGGGATGATGAAGATGGAAACAACCTCGGCGTGTTGGGCAGAGAACACACCCTATCTCACTTCACTCGCCTGGTGTATGAACCAAAAGTGTGCTGAATACAACAACACCGTCGCGGAGCTCGAATACTTTTGGGAGACCGAAGCTACTGGCCAATCCAACGCTGGTCAAACAGGTGTTCCCCCGAAGTGGTCCTACTCCCAATCGCTCGCAAATGTCAGTGCCAGTCCTCCAACGACGGTACTTGCTGCAAACGCAACATGGCTCAATTCTACCTCCCTTGTCAACCCACTTGTTTATCTAGAAGAATACAGCATCTTGACCATGGTGCAGCGCGAAACGGCGCAAGAGAACGTCTTTGGGTACGGTCCAATCCAGGTTTATGTTCCTACCAATGCTAATCGCTGTGTTATGTAGTATTGCGCTACTCGTTGTGGGGTTTGGATCACCAATCGTGTTCACCTGGCTTGGATATGTTCCACTCATCTCCTCCCTTTCTAGGAAGCTCAAGCCTTACCTGATATGGCCGAGTCTCATCGGAACGTACTCAGTGCGCCCGCTTCCTTACCTCCTTGGGAATGTGCCTACCCGTGGCCAATCGCTTTACATCGCTCTATTCTTTATTCTTAACATAGTTTTGACTTCGGTCAGATACGAGTCTCGCCAGCCAAATGCTTGGTATGCGAACAGATGGGACGAGATCATGGCCTACGTTATGTACAGAACCGGAGCGCTGGCATACATATTCGCTCCTCTCATATGGCTCTTTGCTGGAAGGAACAACTTTCTTCTCTGGATAACTAATTGGTCTCATTCAACTTTCCTTTTGTTGCACCGCTGGATTGCCCGGGCTTTCACCCTCCAGGCTATCCTCCACTCCCTGGTTGCCGTGGTACTCTACCAGCATGAAGGGTCATACGATTCTGAAGTCAAACAAAAGTATTGGATTTGGGGCATCGTTGCTACCCTTTTGGCCGTCATCCTTACATTTGGAAGTGGACTTTTTGTTCGTAAATTTGCATACGAGTTCTTCTTGATCCAACATATTGTACTCTCTGTCATTATCATTATCGCAATGTGGTACCATGCCATGGATCTATATGCATTCCTCGGTGGATATCAGGATTGGTTAATTGCCATTTCTGTAGTCTGGATGTTCGACCGTCTAGGACGCATTTTGCGAATCGCTATGGTTGGAGCCCAACGAGCGAAAGTCACGCAACTCGGCGGCGACTACGTCCGAATCGACATTCCAAACGTTCGCTGGGGTATCGAGCCAGGTAAGCATGTCTATGTGTACTTCCCCACGCTCCATCCACTCCGGCCATGGGAGAATCACCCATTCTCCGTACTACAAACAGCACTAGTGCAGCCGTCTCCTACGCATATCGGCTCGGACGCCCATAGCCAGAGTTCCGCGGAACATGCAGATCAGCATCACGACGTGGAGAAGACTTACCCGGTAGCTCTGACTACCAAGCCCGTTGCGCACACTCGTCCAGATATGGGTCTCACGTTGTATGTTCGCAAAGGGACCGGCGCTACTAAACAGCTTGCTTCGTACGACAACCTCCTCACATTCATCGAGGGTCCGTATCCCAACACCTCTACTGGCGAGGTACTCCGCGCCGACCGCTTGTTGCTGATCAGTGGTGGTATCGGCATCACAGGTCTATTGCCCTATGTCAACTACCACTGGAACGTCAAACTAGCCTGGAGCGTCAGGGAAGCTGCCCGCCCTCTAGTCAATGATTTAGGCGGCACTTTGAGCTCAATTTCAGACAAGGACATTAGGATTGGAAGCCGATTCGACATCAAACAGCTCCTGCAGGAGGAGATGAATGCCGGCTGGGCAAGAGTCGGGGTAGTTGTCTGTGGACCTGGTGGACTTTGCGACGAAGTCAGGGCTGCTGTTTCGGCGGCTGCCAGGAACAGCAAGACGGAGTTCGACCTCGAGGTGGAGGCGTATTCGTGGTAAAGAGCTTATTTTCTTTGGCTTAGTATTATTTTTGAAGGAAGTATTATAAAACGTTGAAAACGATAATAATAAATAAATTTTTTTTTGGGAAAATCTGTATCATTAATAAATATGTTATTAAATATAAAAAACGTAATAACCAGACAACATTTTCCTGGAGACTTGGCTATGACACCAGACAACCAAGCGGTCACTGAGCCCGGAGTTCCAAGTCACCTGAATAGATCCCATAGCTTCAAGTCTTCGGAGCATCTCAGGGACTTTCATAACAGTCGCCATGTCAATTACTCCTTCCCCATGCGCTAAGCTAGTCGGAACATTTCCTGGTTGCAGTACATACGAGCACACACCACGACTGCGGACTTCCATGTCGAGATTATGATGGAAGCGAAGAAGAGCTGCCTTTGAAGCACTATATGCCGTGCTGAACGGAGATGTGATTGTCGCACTCCTACTAACCATAGATATGATCGTTCCCGTATTCCGCGATAACATCGATGGCAGGACAGCATGCACCATTGCCACAGGACCGCGAAGGTTGACTTCGACCACCCACCACCCACCACCAAGTCTCGAAGTCTTTTTCGTGCTCAAGCGTGTTGTATCTAAATATACCTGCGTTGTTGACAAGCATGTCAACCGCGCCGAGCAGGGCGTGCACCTTGTTCAAGATGACTTTAGGGGCCTCTGGCATGGCAACATCTGCTGCCACGGCCATTGCCTGAGATCCGAATACTTTAATGATGAATTCAACAACTTGATCGATCTCCGTCTGAGTGCGAGAGACACAGGCGATGGATGCGCCGGCTTGAGCCAGGGCGATTGTAATTGCACGTCCAATTCCTCGACCAGCTCCTATCACCAGGGCAACTTTGCCTTTCAGAGTTCCTTTGAATTTCTCAGGGTCTATGAATGAGTAGGTATGCGAGTGTTTTCCAACAGCTTCGGTATCCATGACTTGGGGATGTATGAGTTCTTTTTAGTACAAGCGATTTCAAGCCTCTTTCCTCAGTCATTCAGCTAGCGGGACCGAAAGGTCCGAGTGAGCGGGGTACCATGCCCGCCATAACCTTCATAGATCGTCTCTACGTATGGAGCTTTCCCGTAAGGCTGAGTGTTTCTGTGTTTTACAATCTCTTTGCCTTTCTGATGTCCTTTTGAAAATAAAGAAGCCTGGAATGATGGGGTCACACAATATGGTATCAACTCCGCTTGTGATTTTGGGAAGGTCCGCAACAGAGTTGATTCATCAAAATTTACGAGATTGAAAGAAGTTTTGAGTTGTAGATCAGTCGGCGTAAAGGTAGTTGGCCATCTTAGCTCACACTTCTGCGAGTGCGCGTGAGGAGACTTTTTTTAAGAGCTTTTATTTAAGTAATTTGCTTTTTGCTTTGTGTGCCGGGCCTAATCTGCACGTTCATTCCTCTCCTAGCACGCCTTGCGCGTAAGGAATTGGCCGAAGCCTTTGAGAGGCTTCTTTTGCGTTCAACTTGAGCGGAATTGCTCTTGCAGGCTCTCTTGCGGGCCCGTGGAGCTCTCCCTCTCTCCTGCTAAACCTCCCCAGACGTCCTGCAAGCCCGTAATGCTCTCTTTCCCGATCTTTAAGCCCTCCCAGCCTCACTTTCCTCTCCCTCTCCCTCCCAGCCCTTACTTGCATCCCCATCTCTAATCGTCTAGCCCTCCCAATGCTGGTGCGGGCTCTTCCGGCGTCTCTCTACGGCCTCCCTATATTCCTTTTTCTTAAATAGAGCCGCGTGGATCTCTTCTAGCCTCGGAGGACCCTCTCCCGCCCTCGGTATACCTTTCCAAGCCCCTTCTTAAGCCGTAAGGTCTTCGTTATTTAAGAGCACGTAATAGAACTCGTCCTGAAGCAAGAACCATTACAAACCGCGTAGTATAAAAGCCATACCTCCCTCTCCCCACTCCCGCCTCCTCTCCCGATATGACATCCGCGTCTTCTCCTCTTGCCATCTCGCCCGTAAGCCCTTCTCCACTACCATCGTGCCCGTGCAAGCCACCACGCTTGCCCGCCTTATGATACCAGCACCCCTTTTGCTCACGATAGGACTCTCGTCGTCGCTACTTTAATGCCCGTATTTTTTTCCGATCGAGAGGGAAGTCGAGAATCGGCCGAATACACTTGTACGTTGAGCAACAGTCTGCAGGGTCCATAACGGGGCTATTAGAGAAGAAGTCTGATATACGGCCTCAAATCATGGTGAATTTCAATCCATCGGGCGGTACAGTAGAGTATGGCAGAAACCCCTTTCGGCTAGGCTGGCCAATTCAGGTAGGGTCGAATTTGTCCAAAAAAATTCAACCTTTTGTGATCTACCAACGCTCTTTCATTGCAACAACTACTCTACCAACGTCAAAATAGGATTGAAGGCTGCTCCTCAGATGAGGGCTACTGCCGACGGAACCATAGAGCAATTCTGCCAGAAGTGCCAGTCATGAAAACCTCAGCTTCCCAACTTCAAGGCTGCCAGAGGCAACAAAATCCAACGTTCTCACACAACAACTCCAGTCTGGCCTTTGAGATCGCCCAGCGTGCTGGAGAATCGCTCGTTTGATTTGGCTGGTGGCGACATTTGTTCATGAAAAGATACACAGCATTTACTCGGGTATTTCAATACGTGTATCACAATTGAGACGCTTCAAATTCGCTTTTTTTTATGGAATGGATGTTTGCAAAAGCCACGTAAGAGAACTTATAAAAGTTCACCAGCTGTAACTTGACTATCAGCCTGGCATCCTTGTCAAATTGCTGAAGAGGCGCTCTTCTTCAGAACGCGTGGATTGTGCAGGTTGCCATCATCATGCCAGGCAAGTTCATCAATATCCTTGCTGTTACCTTTAAACTGCATAAGAAAGTAGTCCAAGCCAAACATGTGATACCTCGCGCGCTTGGCCGTCTCATTTCGTGTCAAAGTCCACTCAAAGACATCGTCATGGTAGTGCCGAAGATCATAAGCATGCTTTTCTAAGCCTTGGAAGGCGATGCGCAAGGTGTCATGGCTCCCAGGCTTGCGACGAACTTGAATGTAGAAGAGACCACCAGCGTCCCAGTAATCCCCCTCGTAAGCCCCTATGTCGTGTAAATATTAGGTTTCTTCTTCATGGCAATTTCTTTCTCCATGTCCTTGTATTTTGCAAGGCATCGATTCTTGGTCTCCTCCGAAAGAGCTAGCCAATCAATCTTCTTGCTGTCATTGAACAGGACCTGAGTCAAGCTCTGCGCGATCCAATCGGCCTGGTCTCCCAGGGCGATCGAGTTTGTGAGCACCACAATACCTGACCTTAACTCGGGAAATTGGTACAAAGAAGGGAAGTATCCGACAGTCGCACCCTGGTGGTAGAGCAGGAGACGAGATTCTGTGCCTTCTCCGATGATTGGGAGCTCGTCCAAACCGAGGATCCTGATATTATCGCCCATGACACCAGCGATTTCCGGAAGCTGGGTTCGAATCCAGCCAAGAGCGTAAGACCGCTCTCGGAAAGATGGGTTCAAGACAGGAATGTGCTGAGAGAAAAGCGTTTCGCCCTCTTTAATAGGGTTGCTGACCTCTTCAAACCCATCACTAGTGTGCATAGCATCCAGATTTGCTTTAAAAAGCTTCAGATATCGTTCAACGTGCTGTATACCCCTGCAGCAGCCTCAAAGAAATGGCCTCTGAAGTCCTGTCTCTCTTTGAGCTCGTAAGGAGTGCCATCCTCAAGTGTGGAGTATGGCTTTGCAAAATTCGGTTCCTTGTCGAAGTCGAGCTCGGTGATCGTTCTGGTGAGACCAAGGGCCTTGTTCACATGCTCTTGCAGCAGAGAGGTCAAGTTCTTGCCAGTTAATTGAGTCAACAACTCTCCCGCAATTGAATATCCGTGACTATTGTAGATCCATCTCTCCCTGAACGAAGCTGCTGGTGCTAGGGTTGGCAAGTAAGCCCAGAAGTCTTTGTTGCCAATCAGGTGATCTCCGTTGCCTTGAAACGTCGTATGAAAGGCTCCTGTCAAGCCAGTGCGGTGTCCAAGTACGTCCACCAGAGTTGAACACTCTGTGACAATCTTCGAGGATGTTGCCAGCATTGGCAGGTAGTTTTTCAATGGCTCATCCCACTTCAATTTCCCTTCAGAAACAATACTGCCAATAACGGCAGCGAAGAAGGGTTTAGAGCATGACCCAATTCCGTACAGAGTATCATCGTTGGCTTTCTCCTGAGCAGCAATGTTCTGGAAGCCATGATGATGCTTGTAGATGACTTCGCCCTCATGAATCACGCCGACTGAAGCACCCGCGATACCAGCAATCTGACATATTCTATCTATCTCGTGCTCATTCGCCTTCAAACGAGCGATGATAGATGATACGTCTCCAGAGGTGGAGCAGGATAAACGAGGTGCTGCGATTCTGAGCATGTTCTGTTCCATAGGTGTGAATTGTAGTGGAACGTTCCGGCAAGAATTTGAAAGATATGATTGAGACAAAGCGTGGGATACAGACATGAACGTAAGAAGCATAAGGGTCAGTTTGCTGAACACGGTATATGCAGACTTCAGATGGCGACTGCACTCCTCTTTACATGGTTGGACTTTAGCGGTCAAACAAACGAAATGGGCCTGGCATGGCGACTGCTTGGGCTGATACGAACGTGCATACGCTAGCGCGCCAGCCTGTTTTCATGCACGATGTCTTCGGCAACTTCATATAGGCCTGGGAATAAACGCGGGTTTTAGGGACAGCCTAGGCTTTTTCAAGCACAGCCCGGCTGTAAGTACGCGAAAATCGGGGGTTTATCGTTTTTTTTTCTATATATTTCTATATTCTCTCGCTTTTAACTTTAGTTCTTTCACTCCTCATGCTAGGGCCTAGGAGCATTGTGAGCACTAGGAGCCCTACGAACACTGCACTGAATGCACTATACTACTAAATTGCACTGACTATACTGCATTGACTACACTGCACTGAATCTACTGAATGCATTGTATTGACTACACTGCACTAACTACACTGCACTGACTCCACTGCACTGAATCCACTGTACTGACTACACTGAACTGAATACACTTTACTGACTACAGTACACTGCACTAACTAACTGCACTGTACTGCTGTACTGCGAGTCTAGCGCATTGTTAGCCTGTGGGTAGTAAATGAGTGCCGAGGACTAAGAGCTAAAACATGAAAATGAGGGCATTCCCAAAGAGTGGGGAATCAGGCACAGCTAGTCAGGATGACTTTATTCTGCTGGGACAGCCGGGCTGTCATCGAAAAAGCCTAGGCTGTCCCTAAAACCCGCGCAAAGGCCTCTCGCACACTTTTGGCATCTTATTTTATCTTTTTTTAATATTCTCCCTATCAAAAATGCTTTAGTGTCAATGCTGCCCCTCTACACATGGAGAGATCCATTGCAGCTGCAAGGCCTTGAAATCCTTCTGCCTTGCGCTCTCATGTTGGAAGATGCCTAATGCCTATTCGTGGCTACTATTTCGATTCTATTATTTAATACGATCGGTCAATTTTAGCAGTCTTTGTCGATTATTAGCGAGGTTGTGAAAAGTTGAACAAGATAGTGACGATCGAAGGAAGGGAGGAGTCGTCTGACTTCGGATATTACCGTTCTTCCTATTCGAAAGCTTCAGGTAGACTTTCATATTCTAGGTATTCTTGCTGTTGACGTCTCAGCTCTTATGCGGGTAGCTGGCGCGAGAGGGCGTTGCAAAATATCGGATATTACCCAATCCGCCCGTCGGAATGCTTCAAGTAGACAGGCGTATTCCAGGTTTTTCCCGTCGTCCGGCTACCCGGCTTCCAAGCGTGCAGCTGGCACAATCCACGCTTACACTATTTCGCGGCTGAAATGCACGAAAGGAGCTATTTCGGTGGTAAAGTGCTCAAACATTCTCGCAGCTAATTAGAGCCAACTAACTGTATATCCGTAGAGCGAATGAGCGCCACTCAAAATCGAAGAGGCTCTGTGAAAACGGAGGATCTATCCCACCGAAAAAAGTTCTCGAACTCCGACGAATACAAAATGCACATATCACCTTACCAAAAGACCTACGTTAGGAACGACAACTCCCGCATTCTACCTCATCCATTCTCACTAAAGTGTGAAAGACCCTCTTGGACCGCAACCCTTCGGAATGCAGTTAAGTACATATTGGCTTTCTCTCCCGCTGTAGCAATTATTGGAGACTTGGCGCGAGTATCATATACCATATAGAAAGACACCTCTCTTCGAACGTTCTGCGCTGCTCGAAAGGCACAACGGCTTTATCTCCTCTCAAACCTTCCCACGACTGATCTCTTCGTTTGAGTCTTAGCTGACAGCAACAAATCAACACTCACTAGCCGACCATGTCATCTCACGACGACACTCCCACCGAGGCCAGTACATATCCAGAGAAAGAGCCTGGTACCATTTCTGAAAAGGACAATGAATCAGACGGTATCGAGCATGTCAGACCAGCAAATGACGATGCGGTAGACACCAATTTCCAAGCTGGTGTCCAGAACATCGAGGCCGTGACCGTTACATGGTCGATGACTTGGCTAGTCATAGCCTATGCTCTGATCTGGATCATCTACTTCATACAGGGTCTGGTATCTGGCGTCACCGGTGCCCTCCTTCCATACGTTACCTCTGCCTTCGCTCTGCACTCGCTCACGCCCACCGTTGGAATCCTGAGCGCCGTCATCGGTGGAGTTACGAACCTCAGCATCGCCAAGATCCTTGATATTTTCGGGCGTCCACAGGGTTTTGTCTTTTGCATTGTCCTCACCGTCCTGGGCTTGATTATGTCGGCTGCTTGCAACAACGTCGAAGCCTATGCTGCCTCTCAGGTTTTCTACACCGTCGGCATCAATGGCATCGGATACAGTCTCAGCGTCTTCGTTGCCGATACATCTTCACTTCGCAATCGAGGTCTCATGCAGGCTTTTGCTGCTTCACCGAATCTGATTACCTGCTGGTTAGCAGGACCTATCTCCACGTCCTTCCTGGATGGAGCTGGATGGCGCTGGGCGTTTGGCATGTTCTGTATTATCGTCCCAGTGGTTACCCTTCCTCTCTTCGGTCTGTTCCAGTATCAATATTCGCGGGCCAAGAAGGCGGGAGTTATTTCGAAGCGCGAAAGTGGACGTACTACCTGCCAATCCATCGTCTACTACACACGCGAGTTCGACGCTCTCGGCCTCTTCCTAATATCTGCTGGTGTCGCGTTTTTCCTCCTGCCATTCAACCTTTACTACCAGCAAGCCAAGGGATGGAGATCGGCCCTCATTATCAGCTTCTTGGTTGTTGGGATCCTGCTTCTTATCGCCTTCGTGGTCTGGGAGGCATTCTTCGCGTCCATTTCATTCTTCCCCTTCGCCCTCCTCCGAGATCGAACAGTTCTAGGAGCCGGTATCCTTTCCTTCACGCTGTTCATTAGTAACTCATGCTGGGCTCTCTACTTCAGCTCCGTCCTGCAAGTGGTTTTCGATCTGAGCGTTACACACGTCAGCTACGTGGTCCAGATCCAAACCGTTGGCAGTGTCTTGACTTCTCTCGCCGGCGGTGCAGTTATATCTTATACCGGGAGATACAAGCCGATTTCTCTCTACTTCGGCGTTCCCATAACGGCCCTCGGGATGGGATTGTTGATTTACTTCCGCCATCCGGACCAGAGTATCGGATACATAGTTATGTGCCAGATCTTCATCTCTTTCGCCAGCGGTGTGCTCATCATCACGGACGAGATCGCCATCATGGCCGCGGCAGTCGAGCAACAATATTTCGCCGTCAGTATTGCCGTGCTGGGATGTTTTGGAAGCATCGGATCTGCAATTGGTCTCACTATTTCCTCCACTATCTGGCAAGACATCTTGCCAAAGAAGCTCGCTTTATATCTTCCTGCGGAGGAACTGCCCAACCTGGTCATGATCTACGGCGATCTTACGACGCAATTGTCGTATCCTCCTGGCTCGCCGACTCGTCTTGCTATTCAGCATGCTTATGGGGATGCGCAGAAACTTCTGGTGATTGCCGGTACGGCTGTCTGGGTTCTTGGCTTTCTGGCGGTGTTCATGTGGCGAGACATTAAGGTTACTGGCATCAAGCAGACCAAGGGTACTGTTGCATAGGTTGTTTGGAGCAATGCTGTAAATGAGTCGAGAATCGCTCTCCACATTTCTCAGATTGAGTGACGGAAGATAACATGGAAGTTGGGCAGAACTTAGGAAATCTAGGAAATCTATATAATGGAACGCCGTGCTATGTACAGAGTCTTCAGCATAAAGTGATGTGAACACAGGTGCTTTAGCGACTGCGATCACTACAAAAGCCCGTAAGCGAGAAAGCCCCTGAACCCACACAGCCGTTCTCGTTAAAGAAACCACTAAAACAATAATCACCCCTTTCTTAACGAGGAGAACAAAAAACTATATACCAAGAAATAGAATGCCACATTCTTCTTTTATGAACAGGTGTACATAAACATCAACTACGCTCACTTAATCTCGCCATCATTCTAAGCATAATAGGCCCCAAAAAAGGGGACCTAGAATGCAAGAAAACAGCATCGACGAAGTAGATCTCATATCCTTCGATGTCGACTTAATAGATCTTGACCCCAAGCCCAAACCCACAGAAGACGAAACGGCCCAGCCAACCCACACAGCCCCAGACACCATCCCTGCCCCCGGACAAGACCCCGCTCTCGACGACGAACCAGAAACGACGTCCCAACCCACAATCCTGTCACAAGTCAACAGCCATCTCCTCCCCTTCCAACACGCCAAAGCCCTAGGAAAACAGCTGCATGGAAAATATTTCGAAAAACTCTTGACACGCTACCTTTCTCTCCGGCGCCAGATCAGCAACACGCAACACGATGACGAGATTGAGAAATTGAAGAAAGGAGCAGAGGAGTTGGTGAAGGAATTGGTGGGCACGATTACTGGGCTTGAGCTTGGCGGAGAGGTGGGAGATGAGGGAGAAGTTGGAGAGGATGGAGAGAGAGAGGGTGGTTGAGATGGGGAGGAAAAGTTTTTAAGAGTAAGTCAGATTTGGGGTAACGCCGACTTGACCATAAAGAAGACCACTAGCGTTCCGAAAGCAAAAGTCCAAACTCCATCTCTTCCCTCCCCATTCCTTCCTATCCTTCGCTTTTCTTGACCCGAATCCTAATCCTCAAACCCCATGAACCTGCCTCAAATGTTGCCTCAAATGATCCTTCCTCGCAAATCCATTCGGAGCCGCCTTGTGACACCCCACAAAATGACACACATGATTCCTTACTCCGTTATGCACGCGTTGATGCCGATAAAGCTCGTATCGGCGCTTGTAAGATGCCTGGCAAGTTGCATGGGCGCAATTATAGCGGGTTGCGGGACTGTGTGGTATGTTAGCGTGGAAAGCGGGAGGTGAGGGGGATCACTTACCGGTGCGGGGCGGATGAGAGGGTTTGTGGTCTAGGCTAAGTGTTAGCCTGAGTTCAAGAGGGGCAGAGTGGAGGACTGACTGAATGGAATCTTGATTGTTGCGATCTGGGGCTTGTAGGGTAAATTCGTTGCTACGAGGACTTAGTATATTTGGAACTCTTCGAAGAAGTTTATACATACACTCCAGACGCAGACACTTCACTCCCTGGTGAACCGAATGTATACATTGGCTGTGATTCTTGTGTTCTGTTACCAAACAGTAAGCGAGGATCTAGAAAGTTCGAGTTTGAGAGAGAAACTCACGAGTTGAAATCAGTCTGAAAAAGCTCAGCCATTCCCATGCTAGAGTCATAGTTGAAGTCCGTCGCATTATCGAAGAGAATGAAATCGTCATTAAGGTCGAAAGTGTCGAAAGGTTGAAGGGTATCAAAGGAAAACGTTGTCGTTGGAGGGCTTTGAAAGCCAACGAGCTCGCCAGTATAATCGGTTGGCGTCCCGTAACGTATTTTATCGCTCCATAGATTGGAGGTAAATGAATCAGGCTGGTGAGAAAGCTGCATTGTCGCTGAAGTAGATGCGTTGTTGTTTGATTGCTGGTGTGAAGGTAGAAATGGGTTGGCTAAGTTTCTTTGGCAAAGCTCACTGTCTCCTGATGTGGTGACTAGTGTACGATTTCCCATCAAAGATACCATGCATCCCTCTCCTCCATCTTCTTGTTTCCACCTCTCATTTTGAATGGCCGAGTTTGGTGTAAACTGATCGTCAGATCTTTAGGCGGACCCAAAGGATCAAAGGTAAAGGGCACGAGACATCAAAGAGCGAGCAGCATGGGCAACGAGGCCCTGCTACATGTAAGCATTATGCCCTTTCGTGGGATGGAACGTACATATTGTTGTCAACTCCTGTAAGTTAGTTTTCCGAAGGATGGTGGTAGCAAGAGACAAGGGAAAACAGAGAACTTATTGGTATCCAGTAAAGAGATTTGAGTTTGAGAATCGAGATGAGAGAGAAGATAAAGCACTAAGGAGAAGGAAGATAGAAACGGATAGTGGGCAGAGCGTTGAAACTCATTGTTTGGAACAAACTCGTTGTCTCATGCCTGAACTCGCTCTATGATGTCTCGTACCCTATTCTATGTCACTGGTTAAGGGGTTCATTAGTTTGAAGCTACATGGAAGCTGAAAACTGGTGATACGTACCGAATAGGTGACGGCGAGAGAGTGAAAGAGTTGACAACGGAAGGTTGGTGGTTGGACATTGGATGGAACAAAGTTGACAGAATATCCGAGGAGAGGATTACAATAGCCAGGGTGGTCGGGAAATTCGAGTCGATGATTGAGGTAGGTGAGGTTGTTGGCCGAAAAGACGAACTTGGCATGAGTCCTTGATCCGAAAGCCGGGTATGAAGGAGGCTTGGAGCCTAGAAAACCCGAGGAAAATGACAATCTGACAGTCGAGGAGTTGTTGATCTGGGATGGTGGGCGTTATTCGTAGGCGATGTAGTCGATTTGAAGGATGATGTTGGATGTCGTGGAGATACCAGCAGCCTTGCTGCTAGATGAGTGTTGCGAATAGCCAGAATATTCCAAATGGATTTCGATCGACAACTATGGAGAGAAAGAGTAGTCGTAATGTAGTCCAGCGAGTTGGAAGAGATGGAAGAACCGATACCCCTGGAAGGTATGACTCTAAAGTGGGAAGAGGCCGTTGAAGATCATCTCGTGGTGAAAGATGAAGCTTTAAACATGTTCTATCATCCTCAATGTATCGCCCTTTCGTCAGAAATTCATTGTAGCGCTTAACTTTCGCCCTGTTCATGCACTGGAGAGTGTATAATTCTGGTGTGCGAAACCAGGGCGAGGCTACTAGCGACTCTCAACCTACCAGAGGATCGCCCTTTGAAATTTTTGACGCCTCACACTAAATTCCAACAATTGAATAACTTGAAAGAAGATACCGAAAGGACCGTAACAGGGGAACAAATCATGCGATAGAAGACGATTTAGAAAGCGCAAAGCCGCGCTGCACTGGCGCCTGGAATGGAAGCATCATCGTGAATTGTAGGAATCGAAATGACCAAAGCAGATACCGAACACATGCCCCTGGAAGGAAGTTGAGCGCAGTGTTCGGCATAATATAACTTTGCGGATTTTGCACGTTTCGCGCATCTTGCGCAATATGCGCAGTCCGCGGAAATCTATCATTTCATATATTTGAACAATTCTTCTGATAATGTACCAGCACTGAACAAAACTGCTAACAAAAGTATGCACTAGAACAAGCTGCGAGAAACGGGGAGTAGCACGAACCAGACCTTTAAAGATTGGCTTGAGAGAAGCCGGTACATGGTTTCTCACGACCTGCTGCGACATTTCCTTTGGATGAGAGTTGAGGCTCAGACCAAGATACTCTAGAGCTTGCCAAGCAAATGCACCGAGCTGTCGACTCCGACAACGTTCATGTGGCCCCAGGACAATGCAATGCTATATACCTCTATAACAGAAAATCGTAGCAGTTGGCCAACGTGACACAGCCTGATCGTCCAACAGAGGGGTATTACCAATTCCTCAGCAACAATCCCCTCCTCTGTGAGACTCTGAAGAGTGGTCCGCGACCCCCGCACAAGAAAGCCTTACAGTTCTCCTCACCAACTGAATCAATGAGCCGCCATGCTTCGTGGAGAGCTCTCATCCAAGCGATTCCCTGACTGCGCCGCGCCAAGCTCGGTGAGCGGAAACGAAAATGCGGCTCTAGAGTTTGAACTCTGAATCTGTCCCATCATTTCAGACCTTCGAAATTGATTATTGGGTGTGTCATTCTGTCTTTGTAAGATTGATAATCTGTATTGAGAACTTTGGAAGCGAAGGTTGGAACCGGAGCGAGACTGGTGATGATGAAGCTTCAGCCGCCCTCTGACCCGTGCCCTGGGGCGGGATATTCAAACCTAGGTTAGGCTTTCGACCACTGAGAAGCTGTCATTAATTACAGCGCCGAGGGTGTGCATGGCACTAGCAGGCAAGAGGAACCTCCCGTTCATCAGAACTGAACTGCTATGCTCATAAGTAAACCAATAGAGACAATGCTTCCCAGCTGCAAACAAAGGGCATTCGGCATCACTACTCCGTCTTCGAGGGTTCGGCAGAGTCAATTATTGCCCAGCCTGGAGCCCATCCCAACTGCAAACGCAAGATGTGACCGCGAGGCTGTGGTGCAAAGCCACCACAGCCTCGCGCAACCATCACAGCACAATTGGAGGCGTTCTATCAGCTGATAGCTCCCTCCAACTGGTTGGCTGAGCCCAATGCAACCTCCAGGTAGGCGTCCCCGCCCTGTTTCTCCCATCCATCCAAGTCCAAAAACTCGCGATGGGCAAACTGCAACCCACAAACATGGCACCACCTCCCCTCTATCCCCCATATCCATCCATCGAGACCAAACCCATGGCGTCACCTCCTCCTCCTCCGAAATTCAACGCCTTCGACAGTTTCCTGAAGAAAGGGAAGACGCAACGCAGTTCTTCGCCCGACGCAGAGATCCGTCGCATGAAGACGAGGCTGGAGAAGGGCGAATCGAGACAAGCGGTCCTGGCTGATAAGTTGGCAAGGACACAACTCGAATTGAAGGCTGCGAAAGAGGAATTGTCGCGAGTCAATAATCTAGATTCTGGGTTTCGGGTGTTGAATCTTGAGGATCCGAAGGAGAAGAAATTGTTTGAGACGGAGGAAAAGCTGAAGCTACAACACGCGCGAGAGACCGCTAGGTTACGGGAAGAGATTGTATCGTTGGAATCTGAACTGCAGAGTATGGAGAAGATGTCGAGTAAAGAGTCGAATCAATCGAAGAATAAGGCTAGGAATGAGATGGCGGCGATGAGGAGAGACCATGATCAGGAGAAGATGAAGATGCGTCGTGAGTTCGAGGAGCAGATGGAGAAAATGGTTCATGAACGCCAACTTCTTCAGAACCAGGAGGCAGACAAGTGGCAGACTCAAGTTTATCAAATGCGGGAACAGCACCAGAAAGATCTAACGGGTGCGATACAAGACTATGAGATCAAGGTGGTGAGCCTGGAGGCACGACTTGAGAAGCAGGAGAACGAGCTACGCATGACCAAGGCCGACAGCGACAAAATCTACGATGTCACGCAAAAGAAACATCGAGAGGAAGTGACGAAGCTTGTGATGAGGTACAACGAATTGGAAGATAATTACGGGAGACTGACACAGGAATTGGCAGTGAAAAGTGCCTCCACTTCCGAGCTTTCCAAGACAGAGATGAAAAAGCTAAAGGAAGCGCACGATGATGAAATGAGTCGGATGGCAGAGAACCTCGAGCGAGAGCGCAATGCATTCGAAGTCAAATTCGCCATGCAGGATGACCAATACCACAGGACCATAAAAGATATGGAAGGCAAGCACAACGACGAGCTCCACACAGCCATAGAACAGATAAAGACCCAGAGCCTGAAGGAACTTTCGCATGTAAATTCAGTGCTAGACGAGCTCCAAGACCAACTCGACAAGAGGACCGCCGAACTACGCCAAACCCAAGCAAGCGTCGACGATGAAAAGAAAAACACCATCGCCGAATACGAAGTCAAGATAGAGATGCTGGTAGCTCAGCACGAAAACGAAATCAAGACTCTCCGCAAGCAAGAAGACAACGACCACGCTGTCCGCGTTGCGGGCTGGGAAGCGAAACTTCGCAAGTCCGAGGACCAGCACCAGTCTGAAATCCACCGTTTAGAGCACGACCATAATAATGAGCTTGCGAGCCTGGCGGCAGAAAGGGAGAAGCTGGTCAAGAAGCTGGATCGGTATGATCACGAGGAGGGCCATACTCGGATGCTGCTTGATGATGAGAGGGAACGGCGAAACAAGGCGGTGAGGAGATTTCAGGAGGCTCAAAAACAGTGCATCTTGTTACAAGAAGAGAATAATTCCTTGAAAGAGCAGATAGCGGCTGAGGCGAAGGGATAATGGGGGCTTTTTCGGAAGCAGAGGTGTTCTTGAGAGGGGTCAAGGTATCGTTTTCATTTCAGATCCAAGCGCAAAGAAGACATGCAGTGCCATGCAATGTTTCATATGTAATACAAATGAATGACGATAAGCAATTCCTTTTCTGATGTTCTCTACAACACTCCTGTCTCATAGAGGACATCGCGGAGGCACGTGATCTCATTGAACATGGTAGGTACTGTCAGAAGTGCATAACTTCCTGCTGCCCACCCTTCGGGGAGATTCTCCAAGCTCTTGATAGTCAACAGGGATATACCTAATCATGGAACCAGGTCTATTGTGTACAGCCGTAAAATCACAGGTCTTTTATGATGCACAGGACTCGTCGCGTAGGCTCTTGGTGATCGAAGGTGCCGGTCTACTCAAAGTTAGCAGGTTCTATGAATGCGACGCTAAGACCAAAGCTCCGATCTTCTCTTGCTACGCAAAAGCATTACAGGTTACCAGGATAAATGAGAGGTACTTGTTGTCGGTTGTGACTGTGAAGCTCAAACCCCTCCAGAAATGCACGATTCGATTCGGAACTGTCTAGCTGCATTCCACAACAACGCCAGAAGCATAAACATAGCGCAAGAGAAGCAAGCTCACCTTGTAATCAAGTACCTTCATATCAACTGTCTCCTGAAAAGCCACATATTCGGCAAAAATTTGGAGACGCTCCCTCGTTGTTTCGTCACGAGTTAACTTCCGCAACTCGGGTAATTCCGAGACGAAGTCCACGACTTCTTGGATCGTCTCTCTCTCTTGAGTATCGCCGTACTTCGGTCCAGGAGAATCGTTATGATCTACTTCTTGGAAGAATCTGCTACGCATCAAGAAATGCCTAAGATAGGGAGTGGGGTTTTGATTACTTACGAGTGCATTCTTGACAACCATTGGCATAGTTGCGAATAGGGCAAACCTGAATCTCCGTTCTTGATGCCATGATCTTGCAGTACATAGACGACGAAAATCCATACAGTCCAATAAACGTTCCCAAAGTCATTTGCAAGGATCTCCCAGCGTGGCGGTACCGGTTCGTCCTCAAGTGTAGACACGAACGAGGCAAGCGGGCCATAAACCTCAGGGTACGTACGACCAAGCCAGTCATACGCACATTCGAGGGACAATATGTCGTTGCCACCAGTAAACGGAGGTGAGCGAAAGTTCTTCAAAGCCTGAGAATGAAGATGCTGAGATTGTTCGCAAAAATCATTGTGGCGAAGAATGGTCTGAACAATGGTTGTGAAGGGGAACATGGCATGCTCAAGCACAGAAGATTGCTTCTTGCGATAATCCAAGGCAAGCACTTGATTCGAGTTACGTGGTGGCCTAGAGACGTCAGTTCCAACCGTAACTTTCAGAAAAGGGACTACTCACCCAAGATCCTTGGACGTGGTTCGGAGCTTTTCGACATCGTGGAGTAGCTTGTCGTACAATAGATGATAGACGGCAATGATATTCCTCGACATAGTACCAGAGAATGTTTTGCTACCTTTCTCCAGACAGTATTCTGGGCTTGCTGAGAGGAATCTTCGTTCTCGTTCATTGGCCACTAAGCATGACAGAGTTTCTATGAGTCCATGGGACAAAAGTTGAAAGCTAAGTAATCTATCAGGCAAAGGAGGCTGTGATAGAATGTTATACATCCACTCCTCTTCTGGCTGGCGGTTGTAGTTGATGTCAATATGACATTTTTGAGAACGCCGCAAGGAGTGAGCATCGAAATCTGACTTAGCAGACAAAGTACTGCTTGACGGTGGCTGGATTTTAAGATTTACAACATCTAATGCTCCTTTATCAAGAGTGAAACCGTAGCCAACGAGTAGTCTGGAAGATCGAAGGGTCAGCTTAGCTCAATCGAAGGGTTCTAGAAGCGAAAGGATATACTAGCGATTTGGCATTGTGGCTAGATATACTTCGGAATTTGATAAAAAACTTGAAAGAAGCTTGAGCGACAGTACTTACTCGCTGTTCGACTTGATTCCATAGAAGTTGTATATCTGGCTACCTTTTGTAGTTTGAGATGTGGTGATGACACTAAAAGAATTGTTGGGTTCTGCACTCCACCGGACTGTATTCTCGCCGTTATGGTTTCCAATATCCACAATTGGAAACAGGATCGAGAAGTGGTCGTTAAGAACATGGGTAAGTGCTTTGGTGTTGTTGAAAGAGCTGGTGTCGAGGACATCCATCCCCTTGGTAGCCCAAGAGGTTGTGAGTGAAGGACGAAAGCTCCTGGTTCCAAAGATAGTCGCTGCCCACTTGTATAAATCCCAGGTATAGTGTTCAGCATTCGAGGTCAGCTTTGCTAGGCCTTTTTCGTAATCTGACTTCCAAAGAGCAATCTTCTTCTCGATGGCAGGAGCAGAGTTCTCGAACAAATTAGCTCTATATTCGAAGGGACAAGAGGATGAAGAGATTGACAAAATCGAGCAAATCTGGAGAGGCATGAAGAAAGAGAAGGTTTTGGGATACATACCGTCCCTGCAAGGAAATAAATGTCTTCCGCGGACCACCACATTGGTGTCGGCATACGCTCTGGCTCGTCGGGCTGAGGAAGCAAACTGATATATTGCCACCAGAATGACTCTTTCTCCATCAGATACTGTTGCATGAGAAAGAAGTGACCAATAATGTGAGGAAATTCATCCTCAAGCTCAGCGAGGAATTGCGGAGGAAACTCAGGTGAGTTGTATCGCGAATAGCCCAGGCTCTGGACTGCATTGAGGTATGACAAGGTAGTCGTATGAGAAGATGTGGCAATCTTGATCTCATGAGGTATTTCTTCAAGAGCTCGAAAAGAGAGTCCTGTGATAGAGTCCTGGTAAACTTCAACTCGTTCGTCAAGAGTTGTATCATGTTGCTGTCCCCAACGTAGAAGCTCACCCACGGAAGCCATACTTGGCACAACTTCTCAGACTAAGGGCGTCAACGCCAATCCTATGCATTCATGAATTTCCTCGACTTATTCTTTGCCTGATTGCAGATGTGGCTGACATAGTCACGTGATATTAGTTGTAAATTGCTTCCGGATTTGAATGAGCATGCCCGAGCTTTAACGAATTATGGACAATCTTCGGTACTCGCTACCCAGTACTTTTGAAGAAGTTCGCACAGGTATTGACCGTGGGCAGCAATCATTGTCGTTTCAAATTTTCTCTCAAGTTGCTGGCGTTGCTAGGCTGGGCTAGAAGGCTAAAAACTTTAGCGTCAACCTTAAACTTTTGTTCATCCCACTCTTCCTCACCTCACTTCACACATCTGCCACACAAACACAAACTTTGCTTGACTCTCCCTCTCTCTGCAACAGAACGTCATATTTAAGCCACAAACCTATGATCATGATCGGCTCAAGTATCTCGATCGCTCTTGCAACCTTGTTCCTGAAATAATTCCTTGTTCTGGGCGCAGCTCTGTTATCAATTTGCTGTTCTCTTCTCTTTCCAACCTGTTATACCGTGTTCTTCCTGGCTGATCACTGTGAAAATACGAATTGCATCTGATAACCCGATATATCATTTCATGCTCATACCTTCAATCACTTCAGGTTTCACTCAAACAAGCTAATTCTGCCAGATTTCCATCCCGAATTTATTACCACACTTCGTCTCTTTTCATGACAAGTTTGCTCTAGCATCCGAGTCTGAACCCTCAAGCGTCACAAAGACCCCGATCGACCGAAATATCATACCTAGATGTTGCTGTCTATGAAGAGGTTATGCATCGAGTTGCGGCCCAAGTGGAAATATCCTCTTAGATGGAGCTACCGAACGACGTGCCTGCCATTTGGCAACTTGTTATCAAGAATTATATCCATACGGGGAAAGTCCCTCTTCGTTGAAAGTCAACGAAATACAGGTTCTATGCTCCTTTGCCATACAAACATCTGGCCATCACGGACGAAGTCAAATGAGGAAAGAAGTAGGACTAGGAGTCATAAACACTTGAACATGACATGAACGAGCTGAATACCTACGACCTGGCCATAGCACGTATTGCAGCCTACCAATATGTCCGATATCTCCAGCTCGCGGATTGAGGTTAACTTTCTTGGAAGATGATACCGTTGGTCCCCGACACGATATGGCCAACGATCCAAGAAAACCGAATCGCTACCACTGAAATTACTTCGCTGGCAATCGAGAGTTTTACGAAGATAAGAAGGATACATATATGATCATCTGTCGTCCGGCATGGCTTTTACACTTGTTTACTGAAAAGTCACCGAGGCAATTAATTCGGTTGTGCGCAGTGGCTGTAAAAGCCACATGATCACTTGTAAGGGGGGGAGCCACGGTCCCAAGCTGTGAGTATTGAAGGCGAGTTCGCCAGAATGGAAAGACCTCACACGGGCAAGCAGCTGTTCGGCAAGGATCGTGATCCATTTCTATTAACACCCCCACGGCCCACTCCGGACCGTCTCTCGGAGCATCTCTCCACGAGGTTGAACCCAGCTAGATGAGTAGTTGGAATCAAGTGCGGTAACGAGCCGGGGATGTAACCACACCAGAATAATACTCAGCACCACACCAAGAACGCCACCGATTGATGATTGGACAAACTTTCAGCCTTGCTGAGGAGGCTGACGATCCTCCCTTTCCCCACACGAGGCTGTCCCAAAAAGTGGCCTGATCATAACAGATTCGGTCATTCTTGCCACCCCCATGATCACCCGTGCCTGCGCCGGAATCCGAAAATTGACATTCGACAGCAAGGATTGTGCGTAGTTAACAGCCGATTCTTCGTGCCACCAAGAATCATTTTGTTCGGATCGCACAGCCTCGAGCCACGACCTTCGAGTGTAACCTCATTTCTCAGAAAGCATCTGTGTCCCTCTACTTCCCACAATTCTTAAACAATAAAAGGGCTGCCAAAGCATCTTCAAGCAATATCAAGCGTCAAAGATTAAGCACTTACTATTTCCATTTCCAAAGACAACAATCAACCGATCGTCATGATCGAGAACAAACCTCTACACCTACTAGGTGGCGACCTCCATGTGCCAGCGGGCACGGTAACACCGCCTTCCCGAGTACCTACACCTCTGCGAGGAACTCCCAAGAGCTTACGGCCATATGTCTATGCTCTCATGGCTTTCAAACATGGTCGCACTTTTCAGACAAAGCAATCTGCTCACCGCACACGAAGACTGAGCCAGCTGGCAACTCAATTGGGCCCATTTGCACCAGCTCTAACGGTAAGCCGCTACACCGCTGTTTTTGCATTGAAAGTAGAGCTGACATCTTCAGACATTATATGCTGGAATCTCAGCAGTCTTCAGCGACTCCCACACCGCGGTAGTTGCAGTTGCAATTCACGACAATACCTACCTCCTCGATTTCTCAGTTAAGGATATTGAGCTCAATGGCGGAGCAACTGGAGAAGACCGAATTGCAGACTATGTGGTTCAGGAATTGACATCGTACGAACACAATAACCTAGCCAAGTTCGTTGGCGCGGGCTTGCCATATGAATTGCTGGCAAGAGCGCCAAAGCTATGCTCGCGGTTATGGTTGGAATTAGACATTGTTCCAATTTCAATTATGCCAGAGCTGGAGGGGCATGAAGCAGAGAGCAAGGATCGCACATTTTGGAGCGCAAAGTGCGTTGATGAGCAAGCCGACTCGATGGCAAGAAAGTGTATCATGTGAGTTTCTATCATCCCCCCCTCATATGAGCTTTTTCAGCTCGACGTTTTTTTTCGTTTGCCTCCATTGTGTGATCTTTACTGACATGCTTTTGACAGGCACTTTGGTCCAAGTCTTGCCCCAATTCTGCAAGTGGGTTATCGTGGCGTCGTAGAAGTGGATTCCGGCCAACGAGCCCACATCCTCTCACTCGAAGACTTCAAGACAACTTGTGATCCCCCCACGTGGGATGCAATGATGCATTATGTGGCGTCCTTGAAGAAGCTAGGAACAAAGATCGCCTTCTTCAGTAGCACACCACAAGGTGGTGGAGTGGCCTTGATGAGACATGCTCTGGTCCGATTAGCAAAAGTCTTAGGTGTTGATCTGACTTGGTAGGCCCTACACATGCTTGATTCTTCTACAACGTTACTAATACTCGTGATCAGGTACGTACCGAAACCAAAGCCAGGTGTCTTTCGTATCACCAAGACTGTCCACAACATCCTTCAAGGAGTTGCCGAGCCAGGTGTTGTCATTAGTGCGGAGGAGAAACAAACCTTAACAGATTGGATTGAAGACAATGCAAAGCGTTACTGGCTATCACCAGGTGGACCTTTGAGACCAGCCGAGGAGGGCGGAGCGGATGTCATCTTTGTAAGTCACATGTTGAGTCTCATAACAACACTTACTAATTGGAATAGATTGATGATCCACAAATGCCAGGTCTCATTCCTCTCATCAAGACCTTGACACCAAACCGCCCAGTGCTTTACCGTAGTCATATTCAGATCCGTAGCGATTTGGCTATGACTCCTGGCTCACCACAATCCGACATCTGGCAATTCCTCTGGTCCAACATTAAGCATGCTGACATGTTTATATCTCACCCAATTCCGTCATTTGTCCCTGCCAATGTCCCAGCCGACAAGGTTGCCTACCTTCCCGCCACAACCGACTGGCTCGACGGTCTAAACAAAGACATGAACGAATGGGATCAAGGATACTACGGCCATCTCTACAACGAACAATGCCATACCCTCCGCATGACCGAACTCACCTGGCCATTCAAGAAATACATCGTCCAAGTAGCACGCTTCGACCCCGCAAAAGGCATTCCCACCGTCATCGAATCGTACGCCGAGTTCCGCCGCCTCCTAGCAAAACACCACCCGCACATCGAGCCTCCCCAGCTCGTCATCTGCGGCAACGGCTCAGTCGATGACCCAGACGGAACCATCATCCTCGACCAAACGATGTCCCAACTCGAGCGCCGTTTCCCGCACCTCATCTCCTCCATCTCCGTCATGCGTCTCGCGCCCAACGATCAACTCCTCAACACGCTCCTCTCAGCTGCACACATCGTCCTCCAGCTCTCCACCCGAGAAGGCTTCGAAGTAAAAGTCTCCGAGGCGATCCACAAAGGCAAGCCCACCATCGCCACCAACTGCGGCGGCATCCCACTCCAAGTCCAGCACCGTAAGAACGGATACCTAGTCGAGCCTGGAGACTGGAAGGCTGTCGCGAAACACTTGCTGGATCTGTGGACTGACGAGAAGCTTTACGAGGAGATGAGTGCATTTGCTAAGATCAGCGTCAGTGATGAGGTTGGAACGGTGGGTAATGCGTTGAGTTGGTTCTACCTGGCGGATAAGTGGGCTAATGGGAAGGGAGTCGTGCCAAAGGGGAGATGGGTGAATGATTTGGCGAGAGACGAAGCTGGGGTTCCCTATGCGGAGGGGGAGAAGAGATTGCCGCGTGATTTCTGCCTTGGTCGCGTTTATGATTGATGGGAAGATGATTCGGTGAGCTTGGGTATTCGAGATTTGGTGTTTCGGGAAAAGTTAATGGTGTTTATTTCTTTCTTCTATTCTCTGGATGATAGGCATAGATTGATGAACAGGAAATTTTTGGGCCGATGATTCGGCGTATGCAATGCATGGGAATCAGAAAGGCTTTGGTAGAAGGGATCACATACACTACTCTAAGAATAGATTTGATCTTCTACACTACAACCTTTCATCAGGTCGCTCGTCTTCATTAAAGTTTGTCCCACATCAAATCTGAACAGAGCCGGTTTGCCTTTCCCCCTCATTCAGACCTCGAGATCTGCTTGTAGTGGGTTTGCACAAGTGTGCTTCTACCAACCTGCGCAAGAGATCTGCGTCTACTTTCCAGCTGTGCCGCCCTCTGGTGGCTTCCATCGAGCATCATCGAGTTCCACGAAAACATGACGGAGTCTCTTCTGTAGAGCATTGACTGTTGCCCTTTTGAGCTAGTGCCTGTTCTCGTTGCCATAAATGACTTGATGTGTCTGTATGTTGGGCTTAGGTGTTGATCATGGGTCGAATATCATGTATTAGTAGCTCTTGAGCTTGAAATTGCTCTTCAGGACATTTCAGGATCGATCTTTCCCATCATTACCTTAGCGGAGCGAGGTGCTCGCAGAAAAGCATGTCCACAGGCTGTTTCTAGTCCACGGGTCTTTACGGTACTAGCAATTTCACAGCCTGTTCTCGGAAGAGTGTTCTCCGCCAAGGTGCCCAACGCCAGGCCACATGCCAAGGGAGGAAAGCTCTTCGTCGCCATCTTCGAAGATCGACTTCAGATGGTTTTTGAAGTTGTTGACTGACGGAGTTCAACGACTCGTAACCTACGGCCAATCTGGTAACAGCACCTTCGTTCCTCAGAAAAATATCTTCCGGAGTCATGGCAGCCTCGAAGTCCTTCTGTGAACTCTAGATGATGGGTCGTACTTTCGAGAATAGGCAAAGAATAGTCGAAGTGCTAAATGTAAGAATTGTTGAGCACATACCACGGGCGCTCCAGCTCCAGGGAATAAGCAGGAGCTCTCGCTGGCGGCATCTGGAACTTCCGAAGATCAACGCAATCTGTAGTGAAAGCTGACATAATCACCCATTCATTGGAAACAGGACGATCGGTTGGTTGTCGGTTGTCGCGGGCCTGCAAATGTTGTCGGCTGTCGCGGGTCTGCAAATGTTGTCGCGAGTCTGTCGCGTGTCGGGGGTCTGCAAATGTGATGGCCCAGCACCAAAGACCAACAAGATTCTTTTGGCACCCAAATAGCCAAGGCTATTGGCCTGCTGGAAACTATGCGCAAATGTAACCAGGATATGGGGTAGGGTAAGGTTGCTTTGATCGTCAACCTCTTCCAACGATACGGAAGGTTGTGAGGGAAGTCGGACTACCATTTCACGGACAGCTGTTCGAGTGCTTTTTTCGCCGTTAGTTAGATCGTTCAAGGTTCGTAGGCTCGACGTTTCGTGGGATTCGGAGTATGGTGTACCACAGCTTCGATTACTTCGATGAGCCGTCACTTCCATTTGTCTTTCGTCTTCGCCCGTGTCACTCCAATTTTCTTCGTCTTCGTCCGTATCGCTCCAATCATCCTGGTCTTTCCAGCGTCCGAAGTTTAGGGCCAATTTCAAGATGGTCGGGGGTAGCAATTTTGTGAGTGACATAGAGGAAACGATTAGTTGGTAAATTTCAATCAGAATATCGTTTTTGCGAGCCCATTCTGATATGCACTCATTGACGAGAGTTCCCTGTTTGCATATTGCGGAGGAAAGATAGTGTATCAACTTAGTATGTTCCGGCCGAATGCTTGTTAAGCTTATAGAATGCAGATTCGGCAGCCGAGAATCGCAAGACTTGCAATTCATCTCATTGTCGATATTAAGATGTGAATTAGTTGTATCGTCGTTGCGTATCTCTTGCAAATAAGCTAGTTCTTCGATACATTTTCGGGCCTCCTCCAAAGTATAACCAAGAAAAGGGTGCTCTTCCAAATGCATGACAAATGTCAAATGCTGAGATTGTTTCCAGCTCCTCATTCTCCAGTTCCACATTGAATTTTGACCTCTTGGATCTCTTGACGGTAGAGCTAAGGCTAAATAGTCGATACTGGTTTTCGATATGATCTCGAGAGCCTTAGTTTCATCCAAGTTCAAAAAAGATGCTTCTGGTCGGCCAAGGAGGTAATCTTTTGCAGTCTGATGGATCAACTGGACCAAGTCTTCCGCTTCAACAGTTCTGTGCTGCCAGAGCATGGTAACAGTAGTTCTTCCAGCAGGAACTACTTCTATCAGGCCATCGCAGATATTCCATAGGTGTGTCTGAACAGGACCCCAGGAATGAGTTAGGTACCCGACACGATTTTCTCGGAGGAAATTGCCAGAGTCGTTTGCAAAGGAATCGTCCCAGTGAAACATGGCAATCACGTCTCGAACCTCGCTGACCCTCAAAGGCCGACTTGCAAATAGCACCCAAGAGAATATGTACCGAGCTTGCTGCTCATCTCTGTAATCGCCTTCTCTGATCTTGCCAAGGATGTCACCATAAACATCGCTGACGTTTGTGGGTATGCTAGATAGCTGTGCGCGGAGCTCTCGGACTGTGCATGATCCAGATTGTGCGACTTTGATGAGGCCTCGAATGATCATGACGACCCACAGAATAACGCCATCGGCATTCTCCACTAGGTAGTCGCGGACAAAATGCAGCTCTGGTACATCCGAGACCATGTCGATTCTGTCCTTCGATGAAGTCATTTCATGCTCGCCTACTGAAGCCCGAACTACTTCCTTGGGATTTTGATTGACCTGCTCTTCAGGTTCGTCGAAGCGGTTATGAACCAGAGCTGAAGTACTCCTTTCATGAAGGTCATCCTCAGCGTTTACTATGCACTTCCAAAGCTTGCAGATTCCAGAGCGCACAATCGTCCGAATGTCGGGCCCATTCACCTCTTTCATGTCAATCGAGTAAGGGGTTTTAAGCGTACCCCTAATATCCAGCTCTGCTCTGCTGAGTACTATTACTTTAAACACAACGTCGCCGTCCATAGCGCATAGGCGGGAGAATAGTGCAAACACATCGCGTCTTTCCAAACCATTGGTCAATTGCTTTTCTGATTCGTCAAGGCCATCAAGTAGGAGAAATATGGGGCGCTTCGGGGTTGGAATTTCCAGTGTACCTTTTGGGGTTTCTGCGAGAGAGAGAAGAATCTGTTGAAGTTCCTGGTACGGCCAAATAATCGAGTCTGGGCTCAACCCTCGAAGTTTTCGGAAGCTTTGTAGAAAAGACGTGTATAAAGAATGATCTTGCATGAGCAACTGGTAAAGAATCGATTGTAGCATTAGAGTGTGACTAGTCTCGGTCGACCCCCCCCGCGCGCTATAAAAGCTTGGCTGTCTTGTCGTTTGGGAAGTGTTTTTTGTAGGGCTGCCGCAAGTGTGGATTTCCCGCTTCCAGGCTTGCCATAGATCCACAGCATGCTAGACATTTGTGCGCACCACCTAGAATATACTGGATGAGTCCATATCCACTGGTTCGTGCCGTCTTCTGACTTCTCGACCCGGTTTCGTCGAGCATGGAGTTCAGGAAAGTAGAGTGATTCAAGACAGTCTGTCCATAACTGATTTAGCTATGTCATAGCGCAATTGTACGAAAGACAAACCTGTCGCCTCTGTTTCTTCGCATATTCTGGATGATATATCTTGGTGTCTTAGGGAGCGGTAGACCGTGTCAGGTAGCGGATTCCCAATGACTAGAAATTTGACGCCAGGTTTGAGGTGTGCCACATATTTAAGACCATCATCCAAAGCCACATATGTTTCATCATGGCAGCCGACTAAGAAGATAGTCGTAGAAGAGGCGTCTGATGCCGTCGTCTTGGCTGGGCGATTCTCAGGTTTTCTGGAGCGTCCGGAGACTCTGTCAAAGCCCCCGACAACGCTAGCAAGAAGACTCTAAAGATATTGCCATGGTGCACGGGGCGAGTAGATTGAACCCTTCCAGGAAATGATTCGGCGATCATAAGACCATTGCTTCTCTTGCCATTCGTCAACCGGATTTCCCTGTATTTCTTCCTGGAGATAATCCAATCGGGCAATAAGTTCTGGGCGAACTACAAGAATTTGACTGAGTAGGGACTGAGCAAGATGTCGATGGAGATCGCCGTCCTTGAATGTTTCTCTGGAAAGAAAAAAAACCATATCACCTCCACTTGACCCTATCTCCATCTTCTTCTGGAAGGCTCTGGCCAAAGAGAACTCCCATTCCAGAGAGTGATGATACTCGATATATAGGAACTGCTTCTGAGGAGCCCCCACAGCCCAAGATCTTGCGCCCGACATTTGTAACACCCAATCGATATCCTGGTCAGTATCGTGATTACCAATGACCTTTTCTTGCCATTGAGGCCTCGCATCTTGACTTTGAAGCTGCACTTCTTTCAGTATCACTTGGGAAGTCACATGTCAGTATGGCCACTATTAATAGGTCTCACGTTCCAGCACTGGAGAGAATAGTATTCAAGCTAGAAAACTACGTACAAGAATTAATTGGAGTTTTAAGCATGTCAACTATCAGTTGCAAAGCGTTATACACCGGCCTATACTTTTGGCTATCAGAGGATCCAAATTTGCAAATATTTCGATGGTCGGCACCTTGAATAGGCACCGCCACTTCGTTATTTATTCGAAAGCTCGCAGAGTCTCTATCAACGATCTAGAAAATAGATGAGCAGGTTGATTGTATTGTTGGAGGAGGTGGAGGACTAACCAATTGATTGCCTATCTTTACGGTCTCGTAAAACGTCCTGATGATAGAGAGATTTGCGGCTGGCTGGACGAAGGCTTGAGATATAGACGAGAGCTCAGGAGAGTTGCGCTGCAAGGCGGCCACGAAGTTTGAATTTCCACGAGCTCCAAGACTTGCGAAAGTAAGCGCGGATGTTGCAAGGTTTGCCCAGTAAGCGGTGTCAGCCCCCCGATGTGGGACTGCGAAGAAAATGGCGCATGCTGCACTTTCTTTGATATTTTTCCAATGATCAGATCGTTCATTAGCAAGAATAAGAGCCTGCTCGTCATCAAAATCATATACCCGAATAGCTGGGACTTCACTCGATTCTTACTTTCTTCACGACAATCCCACCAAGACTATGAGCAACGAATACGATGGGCCTCCGCCTCGACGATGGTTCTTGTCTTTCACCATTTAGACTGTCAATTAGGGATATCGCGGCATCGTTGATGTCTGCAACAGATGTGCTAAGAGCATGACTCGCATCGTAGCCAAATGACATAACCCTCGCATTTGGGTATTGTTTCGGTAGAAAGTCTCTCAGCCATAGTTTTCCGGAACTGCCATCCGTCCAAGTGTCTTCCCAATCCCCCCCGAGTCCATGTACTGCCACAAAACTGAATAATATATCAGAGGATCTTCTTGCTACTTTGTTTATCTACGAGCGATCTGCTTACTCGATGTCGCAAGGTTCGCACCGGGGAGGTTCGTAAAGAGTGAATAGCCCGTAGACTTCCCGAGTCTTTCGATCCTGCTGTTCTCAAATCATGAGCAGATTGACAGTCGTGAGAGATTCTTATGGTCACACATCTCTGCATTTCCAGTTGATCTGAGTGGGATTTCTGATTCATTGATAGCTCGACTGCTTCCATCGCGCTCAGCCGTGCCCTCTGCACGCTTTCGCTTTCTGCTGAACATCTTGTGACTCAGCACTGCAAAGTTACCTCGAGGATCTCAATAGCGCATGCCGAGCACATCACCTCGTCGCGTTTGGGTTCAAGCGGTGTGAATATGGATGTCGAGATGAGGCATGATCTGGGAGGCAGAGAGATTATGATGCAGGATTTCGAGGCTGAGGCGGCTTTCCCAAAACGGAAGCGGAGCTGAAATCACATGGAAACATGAAATCAATTTTGAAGAATGGGTTCAAATCGATAAGAACATAGAAAGCCAGCTGCTGACTTGTATCCACCAGTTGGGTGGAAATTATTCGAGATCGTTACTCATCCAGGCACTGAAGCAATTGATATATCACGTGATATCAACTGAGATAAAAGGGGTGGATCCGAGGGCAGCTCCACAGCATGATAGATAGCTTCATCAAAACCAATTCGCAAAATTTAATCACAATGATTCCAACAATGACTCTGTTGGACGTTTTCGCTTTCGAAATCGCAAACAACCATGATCCGAAAATCAGCCTGGATTTCTTTGTCAGTATTGTACGAAAACATCGCAACATCACCTGCATTCAAGCATCTTTGTTTCTTTCATGCCCTTGACACAATGGACCGTATAAGTCAACTTAAACTGCGAGTCCCTGTATGTACCGAGCTCTTCACCACCAGACAGTCTAGCATCCCGACAAATTCTTCCTCTCGCAAAGGAAATCAACAATGTGGCCATTCGACCACTTCACAAGCTGGTTCGGGGCCGCACCCGCTTCTCCTCCTCCTCCACCACCACCTCCTCCTAGAGCAACTGCAACCTCTAACCTACCCCCAGCTATCCAGAATGGCGCAGGTGCCAACAATCTAGTGAGATTCCAGATCGAATCAGACTGGCATCTTGAGCAAGCTCAATTTTTCGATTTAGAGTACAGAGTCTTTAGGGCCAATTTCCCGGCCCCCCAACCGGGAGATATACTCCTTCTAGCTGGCGACTGTGGTCGAGTCAATCTCGGTACTGCTAGAGCAGCCAACGGATCACTATCTGAGTTTGACTATTTTGCAGCATACCAACGGGTGCTGCAAGAGGATTTTGCTCCAACATACCGACACGTCTTTCTCATCGGAGGCAACAACGAGCCTAAGACTCTACCGCTCGGCCCCATACTCGAAGAATCGATCGTAAAGCTCAAATCCATGGAGAATGCAATCCCGAACCTTACGGTCTTGGAGAACCAGAGTGCTGATCTGTCCGGACTTGGACACGACATCACAATTCTGGGATGCACCTTGTGGTCCCGGATCCGTGAGGATGCCGCCCCAGCCAGCGGTGATGCTGGTACCTGGACTGGGGAGACCAATGCCGCGCACAACGAACGATTTGAGAGATCGTATCAATGGCTCAAAGACGAAGTCGCCAGAGTTCGGAGAGAGCGACCCACGCACCGGATTATCATCATGACGCATCACGCACCTACTATACGTGAGTCAGGCCAGCCAGGTCGCGATGGCACTCGAGCAGAAGGTCTTGTACCTGCTCAGCCCGAACAATGGAGCGGGTACCAAACTGACATTCTTGGAGGGGAAGGACTGGTCGGTCTCAGACCGGGAGACCATTGGGTTTTTGGTCACACTCATTTTTCGACACAATTTGAACAAGATGAGGTCCGATGTATTTCGAACCAGAGAGGTGGACCATCGAATGATTCCAAGCTCAGGGCTACTCGATATCGTAAGGGAGGAGTTGTTGTAGAAATTTGATGGGGCTTATGACTGTTTTTGGAGCTGCCGGATCTGGGTTGGGAGTACTGTACAATAATGCCTAGTATTAAATGCAAATCAAGGATAGAATGGACTTGAAAAGTATTTAGCGTAGAAACAGGCATCAAACGTGCACACAATCAGACCCGTATCTATCACCCACAAGAGTGAAAAGCACCTAGGCTATTTCCTCAAGACGCCGGGACATTACCATTATTCTCCCAACATTCCCTAATTGATGATTCAGACCCAAATCATTGGACTTCGGAGCCCCGAGAAAAACAGCGGCGTTGAAAGCATACATCAAATCGATATTTTCACTCATGAGAATTGATTTTGAACATTTACTCCGCCCAACGGAACGAAATCCCATATTATTTGATTCCCAAGATATTTTCAAAGTCAAGAAAGCTGGGAGAAGGCGCTATAGTAAAGGACAGTACCAAAAACATCACTACAGAAGCACAGAAAAGAATAAGGCCTCCACGCAAAGCACAAAACAATAGTCTAGGGCATTCTATATTTTGTATTTTATTCAGGCTTTTCACTTGAGAGAAGCTCTAGGCTTATAGAGCTTACGCACTTGTTCCAGAATAATACCTTAGAAACCAATCGCTACAGTAGGAGACATAGCACCAATATCAAACCAACAAACCAATACCAAAGCAACATAATCCCACACACATACACATAACCATGATCTAGCTAACACGGAACCTTAATACCAATTATTGCTTAACGAAGGACGAAACACGAGTCTTACAGTCCTTGACCAGCTCAAACATCCAACTTCGGACATCGAAGAGAACACCGCATAAGGGGCAGAGACAAATTTCTCTCGTCATATCAATAAGAACAATCTCCAACCAAAACACCAACCCCAACTCCCACTTCCCAACTCCTAACAAAGAAACTCGAAACTAAAAGCCGCGCCACACCAATCAAACCAAGACATCGGAGACTTCTCCACACCACCACACACCTTCTTAATCCATCGACCGCAAGCGATCGTCCAAACAACCAATCCCTTCTCATCAAAATTGGCAGAGTGATATACTCGGTGGAGAGGGCCTCGAGGGCCTGAGGGACGGAGATGCTTGGGCTTTTGGACAGACACATGCACTTCGCATGCCACTTCGTGCAGGATGAGGTCCAAGTAATTTCGAGTCCGCGAGGCGGAAAGTACAGAGAGATTAGGGCCGGGAAGAGACTAACAGGTTTCGAACCTAACAAGGTCTTCACAATTTGGAAAACCACTGTGAGGGTTGAATATGGCTAATATCGCTGCTTTAAGCTCCCATTGTGACCGACTTCGGGGATGAAGGTTCTATGGTGTTCAATTAGACTGTAATCGTGTAGCACATCATGACTTGAAGTGTTATGTTATCCAAGAAGAGATAGATGATGATCCAAGCATGTTATATATAGAATCTGTCTCGAGTATGTACATATTTATCCTAAATCAACTATAGGTAACAAGTCTCATTGTGAAGTGCATCGAGGTCAAGTAACACAAATAGACTATGCTTAAACAATTGGTGTGAGATGTCTACAGCATATTATGAGTTTCTCTCAACTTTCACCCGAACAACTAACTTAATAATCGCGTAGCTAAGGAAAGACATTGGAGGACTTAATTAATCAAGAAAGAAACAAACTCAACCTTATCCGCTCGAACAAAGGCTTTAGCTTCGATGACCTTTCATGTATCTAAGTCCATGGAATATTGAAAGATCGTGCATAAAGACCTTTCATACTCGATAGCCATTTGAAAAATCCCACTAGGATGAATGCAACCAACAAAGGACCGAGTCTGCAAACAAAACCAAGTATAGTGACACCGGATACGACTTGCATGCAAGTCTCCAACACATTCCCTTCATCATGACCGACCCGACGCAAAAGAGAGTGAAATTCCAGCTCTTGTCTGATCTCCACTTACAGACCAGTACCGGCTCTTACAACTATGACTTCCCCAGAAACGCAGACTACCTGCTCTTAGCTGGCGACATCGGCTCCGCGGGGCGCCCTTTGTCAAGGTTCGGTCTAAACCATCTGGAAGAGTATACAAAATTCCTCCAGCGACAATGCGAAAGGTTTAAACGGGTAATTCTGATAGCAGGAAACCACGAGTACAAGCAAAATTCTATCATGTTTGGCAATCAAGTCTTGAAGGCCTTGGAAACTGATGTGCGCATGGGTGGTAAGTTCACGTTTTTGGAGTCAGAGGTTTACGACTTGAAAGATGAAGAGACTGGGGAGACTCTCATTCATATCTTGGTAAGTCTCTGTGGCCAGCTCTATATCTCAGGAGCTTTATTAGCAGTGTTTGCGGTATATGTCTTACGTAGGCAATACTTCTACTCACTGAAAATGTGGAAGAGCCATACTGACGTCGGTTTTTTTTCTTAGGGATGCGTTATGTGGTCTAGGATCTTGCGCCAACACTTCGGTTTTCGTTACAATGACCTTGATGGTGGCGACGGTGCAGGTATCACAGGCGAAACTATCGCAGAACACAACAAACGTTTTGAAGAGGCTCTCAAATTCCTGAAATTAAGAGTTAAAACAGCTCGGATAAAATCGCGCACGCAAAGAATCTTGGTGATGACCCATCATGCTCCCGCTATAAGAGGTACATCTAGACCAGCATGGGACGGGACTGGTCCAGCATGGAGTAATTATCAGAACGATATCCTCGGAGGAGAAGGCATAGAGGGCTTGCAGGAAGGTGATGTTTGGGTATTTGGCCATACTCATTGGTCTGTCAACAAGTACATGCTCGACGAGGTAAGGTTGATTGCAAACCAACGAGGAGGTTCGCAGGAACAGACTCGAGTGAACAACGTGTATGATCCCGGCTTTACCTTCGAAATGTAAGGTAGTGGTTGTGTCGATGTATTTCGGAAGAGTTCCAGAGGCTCTGACTCTGACTTTGGCAATTGGAGTTCGGCGTTCGGGACATGGGATGTAGTCTTTTGGTCTTTATTGAGCATTCGAGATGAGTATGTATATGCGCACTACAGCTCTTTTAAGCCTTCTGCTCTGTGACTGAATTAGTTTATGTGACTTGTTGAGTTGGCATGACTCGATACGAAAAAACCACGCCCGGCATGCTCTTAAGACAGAAGGCCAGCGTGCCAGGTCGCATTGACTATCGCAGAAGAGTCGGGACGAGCAGCATCGTCAAACTTGCTAAGTCTCCTATGTGTTTGATATGCTGTATCTGTTGCTTCTGCTGGTGTTGGTGCTGCTGCTGCTGCAAAAGATCCGAGAATGCGCGTATGGAAGCGAAAGGTCCCACAGCAGTCCTTGATTTCAACACAACAATGGACCTAAAGTCTAAGGAGTGTGAGTCTGCGACCTTAAGCACTTGCTGCGAAAAAGCTACACCTTCAAAAGCCGAACGATTGCAATATCTGTGTGAAAGTCGAAATGCCATTGTGAACGCACAACTACACTTTCACTTCAGCCCAAAGCCATGGACTCTCCAACGAGCTCGAGGAGCACTGTTGGCACCTCAACTCTAGTAAGGCGAACGGGTGATCTCTGAACAAGGTTTTGCCACATGTCTTTCCAGCATGGTTTTCTGGCGGCTGTTCAGGACAATCATTGAGAGTGACTGTTGAGAATTGATTATTGATCCGTGCATAAAGTCGGCAGTGCAAAAGACATACTTCCTGATGCTCTGGACAACGCATCCTAGGGTCAACGAGGCGAAGTCCAGCCGTTCGACTCTGTTGTGCTAGGGGATAGGTGGAGAGGATCCATGGAAAACAACAATCTGTTCGATCCTTGCACTGTTTACTGGCTTTCCTGCCCGATTGTCATTTCGATACGTGGAGATTGGAAGGAGGCGGAGTAGCTTGAGCATTTTGTGCTAAAGTGTTCCTTGCCTCAATGCCACATTGATATCAGCGTCCACAGCCGTTGCCATGGTTGCTTTTCGGGCCGGGAATGTTCTGATCGTGAAAACTTGAGAAACATAATGCCGCATCTGTCGATCACCTGCAACTTAGATACGACTTCGGTAAGATGATGGTCCACAGAGAATGCACAGCCTCTATCCAACCTCACATGCAGCGGTATTTTCTCTGATACCCAAGGTGTTCTCAGGCGATTGCCCATGGGTAGTCGACACCTGGAGAGTGGAATGAAGAAATACTTTCTGCTCGTTCTAGGGTGCAATCCAGAAACGCCCGATCTAGAAGGGCGAAAGGGGTTACACGTGATACATCACATGATAGCCTATAACCCAAGTTGGCACTGGGATTGACTGCCAAGAAGGACGAGGCGGAAAAACTCTAGCCAAGTACACAGCCTCGAGACAATCCCTCGTATCGGGGTAATGAATTCTCACATCAACTCACTCGGATAGGATATCCGAGCCGAAACTTCTGAATGGTCACCACAGGCAGTGTGTCCTTGTCACTCGACTCTTGATTGATTCATCCAGTGTAGCAAAAGCTATCGTCGCATCTGCACTGCGCATTTCGTACAAGTGAGACGGAGATGAATTGCCTGTGAACCTAAGAATGCAAATCATGAGATCTCCAAACCCCTCACGGCCTGTGCGGGATCATAGTTTGTCGACAGTCTGCAAGCAATTTCCATTGGTCTGGTTGGACGTTGAAGTCTGCAGCAGGCTGCGCCTCCACGATGGGAAGACATCCGCGATGAACCAGCAAGAAAGCTGGCGAGTTTGGTCTTTGCTTGCGATAAGACCCTGGCAATTTGAGCATTTCCATTTGCGAGCAACTTGATTTGGAAGCCCGAGAAGTGAGGGGTACAGGTGATAATTCTTTGATTTGAGTCTCGACCTTCGATGGTATGAGGTTTCGAGTAGTGGCAATTAGCCCAAAGATCTGCCAGAACAGTAAGATTCTTGGCAGGGCTGAACTTCTGGATTGTGTCAGAAATCGGGCACTCTGCTCGACGGCTACCTACGTCCTGGCGCTTTTGCTCGTGTCAGAGATTTGGACTCATCAGACGAAGGCAGAATGATTGAGGCTCGTCGGACACACTGAGGTATGTTGTCGCCACGACAAATGAAGCGCAGGGTACGGATGCCAAGCATCCATCGCTTCAGGCAGGCTTCCAGAAGGACATTAGAAGGTCATGGCTATGTCGGCACGGTCAGCAGATCATTTTGTTTGCTGGAGTTCGTCTCGACTAAGCACGGGCAGGAGACAGCCCGAGCAGTGGGTTGTTTGACGTCTGGATTGTCGAATCGGTGGCGTGGGACAGGTCGCCCGAGAGGAGGATGGGGAGGATGAGGAGGTGTGTGAGGCATTACAGTACTTTTTCGAACCAGTGCAGGCAGGGTGAAGAGTGTCCTTTTTCGCTCAGTACGCGCCTTCGTTACCACGTCGCCAGGTGAGAATGGGGATGGTGATATTGGTATTGCGGCAGTGTACCTCCGTGGCCGGGTCTATCAACGTAAAAGAGCTGTGGAATGATGTTCGAAATGATGTCGTTCTGGGATGATCAACGACGATTCCACCACAATGGGGGAGGTCGCAGGGATAGCTTGGGCCACGCGAGATACTCGAATGCACCTCGATGAACTCTACTCAGCTCTAGTGGATAGCTAAGCTTTTGTGGATGCGATGGATGAGGGAGCGGGCAAGGGTCGACAAGGGGAAGGCGTTACTTCGTACCGTTTGCTCTCAAGTAGGCGCAGCATCGTGCATCTGACAGGGAGAAGCTCAAATCGCGCGCAGAAAGTGAACGGCGCATACTCTTGGAGATAGAGCTATGAGGGAAAAACAATGTCAATGTCATGATTCGGCCTTGCTCTTCGACCTGTCCCGTTGGAGAAGGAAGCTCTCTCTCCCTTGCAGATAAGAGCCATCGCCATCGCAAGGGGGGTGGGATATAAAGGAAGAGCACGTCTCAGCGTCATACATAATTCGTTTCATCGCACACATCTGATCATAAAACATCCATCAATCAATCACTCTCCGCGTGCGCTTGGACACATCGAACACAGAACGAGTTCCTTCTCATCTGTTCACTCCTCGGTCGGCCTCTTGACGTTCGCCAAGTAATTCTTACTCAATCTCAATTCACTTGGCTTGGTCCATCTCTCGTCGCTATCGTTCCCCGCAAATTGAATCACAGCCAACCCCAGTCGACGCTACTATACCTTAGCGCGAGGCAGCTCTTCCCACCACACCTACCTACCTACATAATCAGCTGCTTCCCTTGCACAACAACACACCACCTTTCTCCCTCTCTACATAATAATACGTCCCACCCACCGCGCACTCAATTCATCTCCATCGCGAATCCTTCCCCATATCTTTCACAATGTCTACCAGCTTGGATACCGGCAGCGTTGCCAAGGATGACCTTCACAAGAATGGTCAACCTAGCACCTCCCTCAACGGCGGTGGTGGCTATCGTGTTCCTGGCCGCGCCGACAACCCTCTCGTCAATGTCCAACCTCCAAAGAGAGAAGACTTGCAGCCCAGCTATGCGCAGATGCTCGGCGAAAGCGACACTGGCGCACACGGCTGGTATGGAAGCATGAGTAAGTAGCATTCCACCCACTGCTCTGCGCACACGAGCCCCAACTAACCTGCGTGCAGTTGATACTCTGGGTTCATGTCTTGGAACGATGGGTGCAATCCCCTGCTGTGTCATCTGTCCTAACCCCTACAAACCTGTCTCGCAGGGTAACGTCGGTTTGGTTACGAAGTTCGGTCGTTTCTACCGCGCCGTTGACCCTGGCTTGGTCAGAATCAACCCTCTCAGCGAACGTCTTATTCAAGTCGACGTTAAGATCCAGATTGTTGGTAAGTAATTCATCTTCCCAAGACTGCAGACTGTTCTGGCAGACGGGTTGTTCTGCTCGCTGCCATTACCAGCTTCCCACTCCACTCCGCCCCGCTTTCCCCACATCTATGGACATAGCTAATTATTTTCTACAGAGGTGCCTAAGCAAGTTTGCATGACCAAGGACAACGTCACATTACATTTGACATCGGTCATTTACTACCACATCACATCTCCACACAAGGCTGCTTTCGGTATCTCCAACGTCCGCCAAGCCCTTGTCGAGCGCACACAAACCACACTCCGTCATGTAGTGGGTGCTCGTGTTCTTCAAGACGTCATTGAACGTCGCGAGGAAATCGCACAATCGATTGGAGAGATCATCGAGGATGTTGCATCAGGATGGGGTGTCCAAGTCGAGAGCATGTTGATCAAGGATATCATCTTCAGTAACGAGCTCCAAGACTCCCTCTCCATGGCCGCACAATCCAAGCGTATCGGAGAGTCCAAGGTCATTGCTGCTCGCGCCGAAGTCGAATCCGCCAAGCTCATGCGACAAGCTGCCGACATCCTGTCCAGTGCACCAGCCATGCAGATCAGATACCTCGAAGCCATGCAAGCCATGGCCAAGACCGCCAACTCCAAGGTCATCTTCTTGCCCAGTGCCTCAACAGCTGGAGCTCAAATGAATCTAGCGGGCTCCTTCGGAGAAGGCTCTGAGCATAACGGACTTTCTGCTGCGCAGAAGTATGATAACAATCACGGAGATTTTGGAGGTCAGGATTCTGGATTCCAGAGAGCTATCAATGCCCACGTCGTCGAGAATATCTAAGGAAGACAGACGCTGATACTTAGGTGTCCGATGTAGCCTGGTCTACATAACTTAGTCCTCTACTTTGTCACACAAGTACGACTTTCTCCTAATCGCTTTTATTCGGCCCCCACCCAGCAACGAAAAATAAAATCATTGTACTTTTATATCCTGCCTTTGCTTACTTCGCTTAATGACGACAAGGGGATGGAGGTGGAGGATGAACGAAGGAAGGAGGGGTAATTGCATGTGGTATTTTCAGTGGGTTTCGATATGGTTCTTGGCAGGATACCCCGGTCTTTACGCAGCTTAGGTTCGATGATTACGAGTATTCAATGATACCAGTTATTTGATTAATACGTATTTCTCTGCTTGCTCGTGTGATGACATTCTCCCAATTGGATGATGAAACCAAACATTTTGCTCTAGAATATATTAATCATCCACTTATCTCAGACCGAGGATGTTCGCCACAGACTGAAAATCGTAGGTGAAGTCACCATTAACACCTTCACTTAGACTATTCAGGAATAGTCCGTTCGCTAACTAGCACCTGCTCCACACCCGCCTTCATTTATTAGACTACCTGTCATTGTTTAGTCTATCCTCAGCTGCTTAAGACTGGCAACTGATTCCTTAGCACATACATGACCTACCTAGGCTAAGGTCGCATTAAACGTCAAGCATCGTCTAATCTTGCATTCAATCATCATATATCTCTTCTCGTTCCTTATTAGAGATCCACATTATGCTGTTCGATGCTTATGTAGTTGACTAAACCTACTTTGCCAAGGCACCGTGTCAATTTGCGGGGAATGTCGTGATGGGGGGCGAGGTGATTGACGAGGATGGATTCTTGTTCCGAGTATTGAACTTTTTAAGTATTTCGAAACTCATGTCTTGCGATACATCATCAGGTTGAACACCATTTTCGCACAAAATAGGCTCACCAGACGCAATGGGATTTGGTTCACTGGTTGGGACCGGCCTTTCAGTGAGTTTGGGAGCTGGCGTGCTTATGACGCCGAGGGATAGGACCCTAGGTTTCGAGAATATATACACACGTTGAACGTTCTCATGAATGGGGAAAAGGACGCTTGGTTTCATTCAGAATGTGCTCTTTGTTTCCACCTAAACACACTTCCCGAGTGGTTTTGCATAGTCCAATAAACGCCAAAGTGTATTTACATAACCTATCCTTCATCAAGCCAACAAGGTCAAAGTATTAACATGAGCCTCAAGCGCCTCAAAAGTCTCCTTCGCATCCTCCCACCTCTCCTAATCCACGGTATCCAGATCCGAGTCAAAATCCTTCTCCATCAAATCCCCACTGCCCTGTTTCATATTCCACGTCGATCTACAGGAGAAGAATCCAGACTCCATGAGGTCCTCTTCCGATGCGCCGATCGAGGGCTCTGCTTCGATAATGGCGATCAGCTCTTCAAATGCTTCTGCTAGGATTTCGCTCTTAGTGCCAGAACGCTGCTGCAGCGTTTTGCGTGCGGATACCACTCTATCGGCGCTCGTCGTGCTGCGGTGGCAGTTGAGGTAGGGCGTTGCGGAGAGGATCCTGATGGTTTCTAGATCGGCGTGTAACAGCTTCAAGATCTCATGATTGTTATAGATGATGGCCATGGTTATGGGTGTTTTGCCATCCCGAGTTGTGGCACTCAGGTCGGCTCTATATTCAAGCAGCAAAAAAGCTAGATGAGGACCCAGCGAACGAGCCACGTCGTGTAGCGGTGTGATTCCCTCCGGGCCACAGCCATTAGGGTCAGCATCGGATTAGAGAAATGCTTGACGATCAGTGTATCTTTCCAATTTCTGACGGCTGCAAACAGCGGCGTACTGCGAAGGATACTGGATGGCATAACTGGGTTGGGATTGCCATCGGCTTCTAGCACGAGGCGCATACATTCAGCACTGCAGCTATCTGCCTCTTGGTGCAGTGATATCCATCGAATCCAGATCCGCGCCGTAAGAGAGTACAAGCCGGATATGTTCTTCTTCGCCTCCAGCTGCTGCCCAATTCAGCACTGTCCGACCTTGGACTTCTTTTTGGTAGACTGCGTGTGGGTTTTCCATAAGTTCAATCTCTAGAGCTTTGGAAGATGCCAAAGATAATTTGATGGACGAGGGGAAAATTCTGCTCTTCGACCCAATCACTGCCTGCGGTAATGCAGCGGAGGGCCGTCTGCTTTTCGGGACTTATTCTGCCACGGAGAGTGAAATCTCACACGTTTTTTTAGGATCTATAGACTCGTTAGCACAGCTACATTTCGCTTACTTAACTTTGAGATTTACGTTTCGTCAACGTTAAAAGGTGCTACGGACTTGCAGCAGATTTAAGTAAGCCTCAACCTCAACTGTACGGCAATGCCACCTTTTGAGCCTCGTAAGTATCATAACCTCAAAACACTCATTCGAACTCAATTTACCGGGCATTCAACGTCGAAACCATCGAACAAGGGCAGATTGTACAGTACACGTGACTTACACCAGAATACCCACCTACCTACATATGTAGATTCATTCCTGCCGAGCGTTTGGGTTGAGACTAACGAGCGTAGATTGGAACGAACTTCTGCTCACTTTGGGAAATCAGTAATATAATACCTGTGCAGATTCAAAATCTTGAAAGTGGGTCTTGCCCCCTTATTTGCCGAGAAGTTTTGCTTAGCGACCAACGTTGTCACGGCTAACTCTGAAGAAGGTGCAAGAGGAAGAGGATTCATTAAACCTAGAGCTACGCGTCGTAGGTGGAAAGAAAGACAAGAGAGGAAGAAGGTCGAAGGACGAGCTGCTAAGATATATTCGAGAGCAGCGGTCCGAGCTTCCTCTCTTATCTCCTTTAGGACTAGCTATAGTTGGCACGTGACTAACATCAGCCCGGTTAAGCCTAATAGGGCTTAGCTGCCCACGTGATCCCCAACTACAAGCACAAAGAGGCATCGAACAAAGAGACAGGATCGTAGCAAACGTCGCGCGACGATGAAGCCGTGATATATTTGCCTCAGAAGTACGAAATCTGTCATAAGAATCCGAGTCTCAAGTACAAGTAAACATAAAAGTAAACAACAAAGAAAACCATTGCTACGTATTCCCATCGCGATAAGTGTCCTCGTCCTCGCTTCCGTGCTGCCCATCGTCAAAAAAAACCCCCAAAAAAAATTTATATCAACAACAAAAGTAGCAAAATTCTCTCCCAGCCCACTTTGAAATGTGAGGTGGTCGATATAAACCTAATCTAATAGGTTTCCGTATACGAGTCGATTGTCGAATGCCTGCACCGCCGGTAAGGAGAAAGGATTGCCAAATAGGACTTGCTACCATGGTGAAGATGGCACGTATGAAAACACCCTAGTCGACTCTCCCTATTTTTTATTTTATTTTTATTTCATTTCTGGTTGTTAAACTACTACTTAAGATTATGTTAGTTAGGATAGCAAAGTGGAAATTATACGTACGTCGTGTGCCAGCCGCATTGGCGGAAGAACATTTGATTATTTAACTTTATAGACCACCGTTAGCGAAGGCGAGGCTGAGGAGACTACGTAGCTTGGGGAGCGATATCGCGAGTGTGGATGACGAAGGTCGTCCAAGAATACTATGCCTCACGAGGTGAACTGTTACCACATCTCTTGTATCCAGCTAAAGCACATTGCCATCATCAAGCTCGCGTAAACAGAATCGCAATCATCAGATGTTTTGCTCCGCCGTCAGAATCACCATTGTACGAGTATAAAGCCTGATATGTGTAGGATTTAAGATTCAAGAAGCTGTATCCGTAGTACGAAATAGTAAGGAGACCCGGTCAAAATACAAAATCCAAAGAAGCCGTGAATCATGAAGTGAAGCACAACACCGTATAACAATAAGCACGAATGAAAGACATCGCCTCGACCTTGCCTTTTTCCATGTATCCCTTCATCCGTCAAATCGTTAGCCATCCCTTCGCTCTCATCCTCCTATCACCCTCATTCTACTCTCATGTTGTAAAGCCTCGCACATGTCTCAAGACTCTTTTCTTCCAAAGACCAAAAAACTCTTGCTCCCTAATTCCTTCTCAACTTCATCCCATGGACCTTCCTCATATGCTGCCTTAGATGATCACTCCTAGCAAATCCATTCTCTCCAGACCTGTTGCAGAATGGGACGCGGCATTGATAGGCTTTGGTCTCAGCATGATCTTTCTGGTGGCGCTTCAGCTCGTGCTTTCGCTTGTAATGCCTGGTGCAGCCATCCGCGTCGCAGTGAAATCGTTGGGACTGCCTGGTTCGAGTATGTCAGTAAAAGGTATTTGAATGTGGGTTGGAGATATCTTACGGTTGATTCGTTGGGGGATGGGCTGAGTCATACACTTGCTCTCCATTGTTGAAAGGGGAGTCGATGCTTGAGACATTTGTTAGTGGATGTAGTGGAGAGAGTGACGAAACTGCAAGTTACCATTGTGGTGACTGAAGTACATCGTTTGCGAAATAGAGAGGGATGGGAGTCGACATGTCATTGGCCGAGTGAGTATCGAAAACAAAAGTGTTAGGATCCCAGAACAGCGGGTCGAAAACAGCCTGATTGAAATCGAAGGGCAAAGTCGGCACTCTAAGTACTCGGTCAGTTGTGTGCTTAAGCTTATCTGTATAAGACTAACCCAGATCCATAAAGCTCTGTATTTCCGGTGAAGGTGGCGGTCAGAGAGATATCAGACTCAAACAGCTCATTTCTGATGAGATGGGAGGTTGTATCTTGAGGCGCTTGGGATGGCCTTTGTTTCCTGCTCCAAAACAGTCGGCCACATCAACATTCGTGTGAACTAGGATGTAGCAGGGTTAGCCAAATCGGGACCAAGCACCAAGCTGTGCTTGAATGCCTCGCAATTGAGCGAGGTATCGCGAATTGGGCCAAAATCGCAAAGAACATGTTCGCTAAAACAGCAAAAGACTGGCCCCAGGATTACTTACAGTATAATCGGACCTAAGAATTAACCTACGGTAGCTCTTTGTGGCATGTTCCCCAATGGCATTGTTCCAGGGTGGGAGCATCCAAGATCTCCCGGAAACCTTGACGGGCAGGAGCATCATTACTCACGTACTGACCCCTCTCGGTAATATTGGAGAAGAGATCACCCTCAGGACAACTGTCCCAAGTGGGAGGGATATCCAAGATCTGGAGAAATGCCTGATGGACAGGAGCATCATTGCTGACGTACCTACCCCTCTCGGTAATATTGGAGAAGAGGTCATCCTCAGGACAAAAGTTCAGCATGGCATGCATGCATTCTCGCTTGTCCATTATCTTGAGCATAGAAACTATGCTAGGATGTGCTGATGCCATGTAGTGGAGCCGGATCTCCCTGGATTGGAATTTCCGCTGTCTCTTATCCAGAGGCTCTCCACTGGAATTCCCGTAGTCTCTATCCAAGGTTCTCCACTGATGGTCCAAAGAATAGAAATGAAATGTGGCCTTTCTCCACTGGAATTCCCGTAGTCCCTTATTCCAAGGTTCTCCACTGGTGGTCCAAAGAACAGAAATGAAATGTGGCCTTTTCCAACGGTGGAGAAGATGCTTGATCTTTATCGACGTATACGACGGGGTCGACGAGTAAGAGGAGAGTTGTGATGGTTTGAGAAGAGAGTTGTGGTGGTTGAGTAAGGGCGTAATGGTCGTGCGAAGGAGGAGAGAGACGAGAAAACGTCTGTCGGATTTTTGTTTGCAGATTGGAAAAATAGTTGCAGGATGCGATCATATAACCACAGCCAAGCCTCGATTCCCGCCCTCCGACCCACACCTCCTCTTCAGCCCTCCACAAAGCGCCCTTTTCTGCACCTCCCTCGCCTTGCATGCAAGCGAGTCCACTCCCGCGCATCTGGCTCGAGGCTCTCATGCAGGCTGTCTCGCCCTCCAAAAAGGACTCGTGCTCTCGATGGGGTGGAACAAGGATATGAGGCTGTAAGAAGGATGTGTTGTACGTATGCTGAATTTGTATAGGTGGAATTTGGGAAATATGAAAAGGAGAGAGGGGGAGGACGTCATTCAAATAACCATGTTGGCAAAGGAAAGAGGATGCGACCCGCAGCCTCGTCGATTATTCGGAGACAGCACCATGACTAGACCTCTCTGAAATATACATGAATAACTCAGCACTCAGGAAAACAAACAAGCATCGTCTAATTCTCTGTGATAAATCGAGACATTCGGAATGGCTCTTCTGGAGAAGTGAGCATTGGAAATTGTCCTGATGTCTGTTTGCACTTGCAACGCCGCAATTCCAAAGCGTCCTCGTGTGTCCAGAAATCCTCAAAACTTACCTCATCCTTGAACACAGCCAAACAAGAAGAGACTTGACGTTCTCATCAGCCCGCAAAAGATTTACTTTCAACCTAAGATGACCCAAACATCAGCAATACTCACACAGCAAACTTTTAATCTATCCTCTCCACTACATCATCCATCCTCTGTTGTCCCTCACTTCCATCCCCATTATTCTCTTCCGTAGCCTTGATAATCTCCTCTGCTTTCTTCTCATCTTCTGATTTCTCGTTCGCGGGGCCTTTATCAAGCTGGAAGGGGTTTCCGTGACCCTCTGGCTTTTCGATCGTAGGACCTTTGTTGAGCTGGAACATCTGCTCATGAGCTGCTTTCACCTTTTCAAGATTCATCGTTCCAGAGACTTGCATGCCGCCTCCGATAGCCATAGGTGCTCCTTGCTCGGCACTCACTGACATGCCTTGGCTATCCAGAACCGTGCCTTGGTCTTGCATCGGTGTTGGGACTTTCTCTTGACTGGGAGGTGGGCCGGTACCTACGGTGAAGCCGGTTAGGTGGTCTTGCTTGGCTTTCAGTTCATCGAGCGTCTCTTGAGTGATATGGGCGGGTTGTCCGGTGGTGATGCCTCCACCTGCTTGCACTACCTCTCCTGTCAAGCCTTTTGGGGGGTTCATTGCATCTTGCTCGAAGTGCGCATTGGCGGGCGGTGCTCCAGTTCCAGGGAACCCCCCATCAGCCGCTTTCGCAGCTTCACCAAGCAGAGTCTTGTGTGATTCCGGATCTGGAGGTGTGATATTCGGCTCCTCGAAATTTATACCACTTCCAGGTTTTGCTCCACCGACTTTCATCGCCTCCCCCAGAAGACCCTTGTGGGCATTCATGTTGGATGGGTTGGGGTTGGGCAAGTTGGACGGCTTTGGTTTTGGCAGCTTGCCTTGGACAACTTGTCCAAACTTGTACACGACTTTCTGTCCCCCAACCTCCTCCTTTTCTCTCATGAATTCGCCCTTATCATCTCCAAAGACTTTTTCATCGAAGGCACCACACACCTCATTCCACTCTAACCACTCGCCTCTGTCTGTCCAAACGCCTCCCTTTCCGCCTCTGAGATCCCACCACTGATCACCACCTTTGGCAGCGGCAGAAGCTGCAATAGGCCCATCTGGACTTCGAATATATTGGCGCATGAGAGCTCTAGCATTCGGATGAAACCACATCTTCTCCCACATCTCGCCATCAAGCAAGTACTCGCTACCATGGAAATTGAGGGATGCAGGTACAGACGAGCCTGGGACGATGACATTGGTAGAAAGTTCGATGTCTGTCCATAAAGCAGTGTCATCATGCATATTGTCAAGTTCTGTGATCGGAGGATCTGGAATTGCGCTGGACATCTGGTTCTGAAAGAAAGGTGGTGGTGCGAGAGCGAGATCTGAAGGGATGCGAATAGGATTTTTGAATGCTTTTGCAGAGATTCGTGAAGGAGAAGCAATGACAGATGGATGGTTGAACCTCACGAACCGGACGTCTTCTGCGCTATTGTTCATGACCTGAAAAACAGAACTGAAGTAATCAAGCCCAATTCCAAATTCATAGTTCTTATCTGCCTTTAGTGTGATGTTAGGCGGATTGACTGAAGGGTCTGAAGATTTCGATAGCACAGCTGAAAACCAGGAACGCCATTTCGAGGGGCCATTTCTGGCAGATGCCAACGAGAGAGTCCTTGCATACTCTTGGATACCTAGTATTTCGGAGAAAACGTATTGACTTCCTTTCTTGCCTATGTCATTAAATTCAAGCATTTCGGTGGCTTCCTTGTAGATTGGACGGAGATCTGCGACTCGTCCCATGACCATGGCGGAGCTCATATACCTAGGACGATTGTATTTGCCCTCTGGATGCCGATCGGTCTGGTCGCCATATATGTCCTTGGGAAGTGGAGATTCAGGAACGGAGTAGCAGGCTGGGTCACTCGCTGTGTTGGAGCATTGTTTTCCAGAACCAAACAAAACTTTCATGGTATATTTTTGGTGCTGAGTCGAGGATCTGGTAGCATTCTCATTATGATCGAGTCCGCCATACTTGTCGAGTAATTTGGAATTCGAGTCTTTGAGGCCATGGAAGAATCGGTTGATTGTGACTTCTGCGGGAAGCTGGAACCATGCATCTAGACCATCATCAATAAATGGATTTCATTGGTTGATGGGATACTACCTTCTTCCACCACGAGTATAAAATCATCTTCATGCACTTCTTTGCCATGTAAGAATGCAAATATATTCTTGACAACATCTGCTCCGGGTCTGGTGTCCTGTCCCTTGTTACCATAGCTGATTAGAGTTGGAGGCGGATAATTTAAAATCGCTGCAGATAACAATGTTTTGCATAGGTTCTCTGTCGGCTTATTGGCAGGTATTAGGAGATGAAATTTTGGCTTCTTGATGATCCTTGAAGTAGCATTCTCCGGGTCCACACCATCATCCCATCTCTGCTCTTCAAAGTCTCCATACTGTGCGATGACATCTGTGATACTGTCGGGAATATAGTCCTTGAGGGAAGATGCAGTGCGTGAAAGGTCGACCTAGAATTCCCCTTAGTAGATGTGTGGGCGAATAGGGAAGAACTCACTGCATGTTTCCTTCCGTAGATCAAACACAAAATGCCAGTTATTCCGAATATTGTAAAAAGCAGCCGACCACGAAACCTACTCGGTCTTCGCACTTGGTTATACAGGTGAGCAACGACCCGACCCGAGGATTTTCTCCCACGTTTGGGACTTCCTCCACCGGGAAGACCGCCGTACATGATGAAGGTCGTGGATTGCAGTGACGTCGTAACCAGTCAAAATGTCCGTTTCCGTGAACGCTCGAGCACCGAAATGGGAAGCTGCACGAATGAAAGGTCACAGCTGTAATCAACGAGAGACAAGAATTATAGAGACAGATAAGATATGACTGTGGAAGTTGTCGTCTTGGCAAGGGATGCTGATTTCAGAGGAATGTGATGTGACTTTGGGTATCTAGTACCATTTTTCCCCAATGACGAAACCACCCATTGACTAGAACGAGAAACCCAGTGAGATGCATCTCGAGCGTCTTTCATCGTTGGTCTGGTATAGATACTTCTGCTACCAAGACTCAGTAGATAGTGGAAGATTATCACACATCATGTTAGATGATGTTACTCTGTCGTTGGTGCTGTCGGGAAGTCAAATTGCGCCAACGGCCACGGTGCAGGGATGACGAACAAGGGTCCAATAGTGGGTATCATTATTATTTCGAGCAGATATCAGATTACAGTATCAAGCTCCTCGAAGCTTTTGCAATTGGCTTATAAATCCATATCCAAGAGGTTTACTCTCTTCCGGAGCAACTTCGACTTCTTCATGTAATGTTTCTACTCGCTGCCGAAGACGTGAATCCTGCTCCGCTTCTCTCAATAGATCTCTATGCCTGTCCTCCACCATCTTCGCCAGGGTATCCACGAATTTTGTTCTTGCTTTCTCCTCAGCTGTACCTTTCCAGACTGCGGCCAGTTCCTTGAGCTCTTCTACCCGTTTTGCTGCAGCCTCAATGCCTTCAATCGGATCTCCTCCTATCAAAAGGTCTGCTATTTCATCCCGTAGCTTCTTTGACACTTGTTGTCCTTTCTCTTCCGTGCTGGCCACGTCCGATCCGGGCTCTGGGGCGGAGACTGACAGAAATGAAGAGGTCACGGAGACTTCTGAAGGAGGGAATGTCCATGCCATCGCATCGCCAAATGTCTTTATTACCGTTTCCAAGCGGGAGCGTACTAAGGTCAGAGTTCGTAATTGCTGAATATAGGGAGGATCAGCGACAGCAGGGGCTTCTTCTCGTATTGGAGTCTTAGGTACTGTTATTGTGGATGATCGTCTCCTGTGTCCATTTGTTTCCGTAGCTCGCGATTGCTTCCGTGCCAGATCTTGGTCCAAGCCACCGGGCACAAATTTGACAGCATGTTCTTGTAGTCCTTCCGTCAGAGTCTCAGATAACCCCAGAGTCTCTCCCCGCAGAACTTCGACCTCATATGCTAATCGGCTGCCGCTCCTAAGGATCTCGTCGGTGAGCTGGGTCAAGGTCGTTGTCAGTCTTGTTGTGTGTGCGCTCAGATAGGAGAGAAGGGTTTGCGTCTGTGTAGAGAGTTCTGCAAGTGGCACGTTCCCCTTTGTGGAATGAGATGCGTTCGAGCCTTGTAATGAAGGTAAAGTGGCATTGAGATAATCTGCGGGATCGAATGAGGGGTTCAAGAATGGCTGGAGAGCGGGATCTGTAACGTGTGCTAATTTGGGCTCAATGATGATGCTGGGAGCCGTGGGAGGTTGCGACTGCGCGGCTCTGACTGTAGCATTGCTGTTCTGGCGCCTTCGAGCGGATTTCGAGTCCCAAGCCATGACGGCAGACGTCGAGCAGAAGGAAAGGTGATTTAAGTTTGAATGCTATTCTAGAACGCACCGGAGTTGGTGGGGAAGCTCGCTTCGTGCCGCCAAACTTACAGGGATTCAAAGTGCCATGGCAGGGCGATAGGGCGATGATCGTGGGGTCTTTTCACACCTGGAACGTCGACGTCGTTGGTCTCTACTCTTGCTCAAAGACTCCTGTAATGCAGTCGTGGTGAAATGTCCACAGTCTCCCTTCGGAGCCAGATTGGATGTGAAGTGAAGCTCACAGTCTGGTGAGTCGATTACAACGCGACTGGTCAATTTAGGCTAGGTCACGCGTTTATTGGCCGGCGGTTTGGAGCTATAGCTGCCTGGAACGAGGCTGTCGACTATTTAACTCCCACAGCACAGCCCTTTGTTAATGCCTTCTACCTCCTTCTCAACATCGGACACTTCCTGCTACCTCTACACAATGAATAGTATCGAAAGGTAGATAAATCATTCTTGTTGCGCACTATTTCCATGCTCGGACGTCCTACCCGCATCCATTCACTCTACCACCTTCGAGCTACGGCGAATAGAGGGAAGGGACCGGTCCCAATAATTCACAAGATAGTTTCCCACTTGCAAACTTTCTCCCCGATCTTCAACCCTATGTTCACGCAAGAAAGCAACACAATCGAGTGATTTGATATCTCTCAGCCTTGTCCGCTTCTCGCCGCAAAGTACAGCAGTCTACGCAAATATGCCTCGCAAGGCCTTTGTGGCAGATATACAAGCCGCTGCGGCGCAAAGTATCCCAGGTATTACATCAGTCACAAGAGGCGCCGACGACAATGACGTTATTGTGCTCTTCACACCAGCCTCTGGGCTACCCATCGAGATTACCGTTATGGTAACCCCAGGTATGTCTGCGCCTCTGATTCCTTACGAGTTGCGCCCAGCTCTATAAATCATCAAAACAACAGAGATGCATGATGGATACCCCCAGAGACTTCACATTCTCGTAGATACAATATATCCTGCATTTACTGACTTCCCCAGATGTTGCTTCTTACCCCACCGAAAGCTCTTTCATGCTCTGGACGGACACCCCAGGTGTGTCTCAAGCAGCCACGGATACCATCCAGGACATTACAGCAGGTTCCACTGGCCTTCTTGTTCCAGATTTGGTCAATACCATATCAAGAAGACTTTCTCGAGCCCTGGCCACTGGCGCTCGCAATGACCCGGTCAGCATAGATGATGATGTCGAAATGCTTGATGTGCAACAATCTGGTGACGGTACTGATGCTTCTGATACCGACTACGGCTATGAGTCCGATCACTTTGGCATCGAGGGTGGTCATGTTCCGGGCAACGGTGCGTCAAATGCAACGATCAGCCTGGCTCCTGAGGCGGCGGCAAAGATGAACAGCCGTATTCGACAAGATCTCCGGTCTGCCAAGTTTGCAGGTTTCAGCATCGGGATCTTGAGTGGTATGAAGGCCGATTCTGTTAACAGCATGTTGAGCTTGTCTATTCGCATCGCAAAGCTTGGACTTTCAGAGGAGGCTCTTCAGGCTTGGGATCTAGAACCGCACCAATACATCGTGCTGATTATTCGATACATGAGCGGCTACAAGCCCTTTGACTCTGTCATCTTGGAGGCTGCTAAGAACCTGGACATCTCGTTTCGCATCGGAGTTAGCAAGCAGTACAAGCCAAGCTTGGTCGAAGCACTTGCAGCCTTCACAGACATTACCAGAAACGCGGGTGTATCGACTTCAGAACAAGCTAGCGGAGACGGCGAACCGAGCAGTAATAATGTTGCCGGGTTCTCCAATATGTTCATCAGCAGTTCGCTCAATGACTTCGTCAACGGTCAATTCATATCTCTGCTCAAGATTCGGAGCTTAGTAGGACTCGGCTGGGATGGAGCCAAACGATATTTCAATGACAAGCAAGGCAGACTTGATCAACAAAGCAATGACCTCCCCGATATCTACTATCAAGAGACCACGAAACAGGATAGCACACTTCCAGGTGTTGTAACTGCAGATCATTTAAGCGATCAAAAATCCTCTCATCTTTCGGTACCTTTGCTAGCAGCCCAATTCTGCATGAGATATCTGACTCGCTGTACCGAGTTCTGTCTTGTGTGCCACGACAAGATTGAAGAAGAGTTTGAGGCATTGAAACCTTACGGCAAGTTTTCGAGCCTCTTTAATTTAATCCGTCTCTAACCGCTGTAATAGTCTGTAGCAAGCCTCTATGCTTGTATCAATACATGTCTCTAGGGTTCGGTCCAAGCGTTGAGCACGAGATTCTGACCCAGCCGTACGTGGTTGATCTACTGGTCAGCTTCTGTTATACGAGTGCTTTTGTAAGTTCATTCTTCTGCTTTCTTGGTGTGTATTTCAGAATTAATGATATCTTTAGAGTCAAAGATTGAGAGAATATCCAACTGGCATGAGCCTTATGGTCCCTCCAGTGGTCAATCGTATCACACAAGCATATGCGAGTTATGGCATGCGTCAAATCCCGCAATCCTCAACTGCTGCAGTCCCTGTAGCTTCAGCTGATCTTGGCGGTCTCGTCCTTGATGTCCTGTTTGACACCGGTCGACAAGAGCTGCTCTTCGAAGCAGGTCAATCTCCAACACTTCGTGTTGGCGATTGGCTCGTTGTAAATCTTGTTGGTAAGTTCAAATATCCTCTGATGTTTTGCAAGACTTGAGACGCTGATGTGGCATAGGTCGAAATGCCGAGCACTACCGAATCGAAGATGTCTCATTGTTCCCTACGATTAGATTATCTGCGGCAGTGAGCCAGACTGGAAATTTGAGCAACGGACTTCCGTCGAGAGATCCTACAGTAAATCTTGCCACACCAGCTACCACACCGCCACCCACCGCTGTTGTGCCTGCGCAAATAGCCCCCTATAACCAAAACTTCGACGATATGACAGATCCAAGTAAGGCAGAGACTATCGTCACGCTGTTGCAAACTCTACCAAGTGTCAAGGATATGCGAGCCTACCTCGTTCAACAAAGCCGCTATTCTGAGCCAAGTCTGAAAGCTTGGAAAGAACGGATCTCTCCAGCTGCACTGGGACTCCTGCGCTGGGTCATTGCCTCTAATCGTTCATGCATTGTCCAAGTCGACAAATGTCCGGGTCAGGAGGATAGCGATGCAGCTGTGGCTAAGCTTAGACTGGATCAGAGAGTCTCTAACATATCCGACAATTGGGTTCAATTCCGCTTCGCGCAAGGTTCTCCCGATAAGGAACAGAGATTCTATAATGCCTTGAAAGCTCAGCAAAGCCAGGCAGAGCTCAGCTCCACCTGGCCAACGATCTGGGCTTGGCACGGAAGTCCATTGCAAAACTGGCATAGCATCATTCGATCAGGGCTCGACTTCAAAGAGGTCCTTCATGGAAGAGCCTTTGGTGCAGGAGTGTATCATGCTATGGACCAGGCGACATCCACTGGGTACGCACAACAAGGTGGCGTAAGTGAAACTTTAACTTGTATGTACAGAGACTAACAACGTATAGACAATCTGGCATGGTTCCGAGTTGAAGATCTCGTCAGCAATGAGCTTGAATGAGATTGTCAACTGCCCTACCAAATTCTCGAGTTCGAACCCGTATCTTGTCGTCCAGTTCGTCGACTGGATCCAATGCAGATACCTATTTGTGCTATCGCAGGCAACAAGTGATGGATCCTATAATACTGGTGCCAGTTCATCTACCGTCAGCCGGTAACTACCATTTTCTGTCTTTATTCGTTTCTCACCTAACACATTCACAGTGAACCCAATCCACATCAAGAAGTTGCGCAGGACCCAAAATATACAGCCAAATCAACACTCAGTAAGCCTATTGGCGTCCCGAAATGTGCTGCCACAATCTCGAGGACATTTCGTCATGATGCAAAAGCTGCTTCTCCCACAAATAAGCGCCATAAGAATAGCATGTCAACCACTACAACTGATCTCCAAGATTGGGCTGTCAGCGAAGAGGAGATAGATGACATCCAATTTCTCATGACTGAGGATGAAGATGAACATATCAAGGGCAAAGGAAAAGCTAGCACTGTGTAAGTGCTCAAGCCGAAACATCATTGCATATAACCACTGACGTTTTAATCAGCTTGTCGACCCCGAAAGCAGATGCGAAGCCATTGACAGACTTTGTTCCTGGCTCTCTAGATCAGTCAACCCTGCCGATGTTGGAACCTCCTGCTTATGCCACACCTTCGGCCACAAAGAGTCTCAACAGAGCTTTACAAGAGGTCTTGGCGATCCAAAATAAGATCCCATTGCACGAACTCGGCTGGTACCTCGACCAGGAATTGATCAGCAACGTTTACCAGTGGATCGTTGAGCTACATTCATTCGATGCGGATCTTCCACTGGCCAAAGATATGAAGGCTGCCGGGCTCACGAGTGTCGTGCTTGAGATCCGATTTGGCAAGGACTTTCCATTCAGCCCACCGTTTGTTAGAGTTATTCGGCCTAGATTCCTCTCGTTTATGGCAGGCGGAGGCGGTCACGTCACAGCTGGTGGAGCCATGTGCATGGAGCTGCTGACTAACACCGGCTGGAGCTCTGTGTCTACCATTGAGAGCGTCCTGCTTCAAGTTCGTATGGCCATCTCGAGCACTGACCCAAAGCCTGCTCGATTGGAATCTCAAAATCATGGCAAGCAACGCGATTATGGTACTGGGGAAGCCATCGAAGCATTCAAGCGTGCCTGTCATACTCATGGATGGACTATTCCACCCGAGTTTGACAATTTCAGGGAGACTGCTGGCGCGAGTGGTTCTTTTGGCGTCTATGGCTCTTGATTTGGAAGAAGGGTGTCGGAGAGGAGATAAGTGGCATATGGAAAGTTGATGATACCATGCAAACCAGTGCGACTAGATGTCGCTAATGTGGCGTTTTCGAGGGCATTTCAAGGATTTCCTTCAGCGAGTCAATCTTAATGGGCATTGCAGGCGTTAATGGCCAAAAGGAGAGTTCATGATACCTAACCTAGTCAGCGAATAGACAGCCAGCAAAAAATTGAAGAAATAAAAGTCGCAAATATTCCGTGGAATAGTTGTTCCAAATATTTTCTAGCTCTAGTACTGTACTGTACATGCGAATGATCCTCGCCCCGCACGGTAAGGAAAAACTTTCTGCCTAGCCGGCTCGGCACCTTCCGCTAGCAAGGATCGTCACCAAGCAGCAGCGCATTCAGGTTCGAATCATCGGTGAGTGAATCTGACAATAGTAAGAATTCTTTTCTATTGTCGCCAATCCAGAGACAATACTAAATGTAACTGCCACGGACTTTTGGCGAGCACAATACTTCACATCTTCGCACAAAAGACAGCTTTCCAAACTCATTCCAACCTGCAGCTCTTTCTTCCCCCGAAAACTCCTCTTGCAACATCAACACGACAGCGCACCTTCCATTCCACCGCATACGAAAGATTACAGGAACTCGCTGAATACTTGCTGATCTAGGATAATAAGAATACTTGTTTCTGCTATTCGAAAGCTTCTTCTGCAGGATGAGTGCTTCTCCCCAGCTATCGCCCATGATGGGTTCAGCTCATCGCATCGATCGACTACAATCCACTTCACCACCCTTACCACAACAACAACTCTCGAAGCGAGACAAGAGACGTACTCAACTCCTCGAGCGATTAAACGACATGACCGCTGGCTTCTCTGCGAATCGAGACATTCACTACCGCGATCAACTGCAAGCAATCCAGGTCGACATTAATCTGATCACAAACGCCGACCCCCACAGCAAAGATGTATTGCCTGATCGGCCTGAGGAAATCGATTCATTGGTTACAAAGGAAGTACAAAGAATGATGATGAAGAGCTTGAGTGATAAGACTCCTTTACGAGCTGGCAGAATCTACGCGGATTTTGCGAAAGATGTCAATGATGCTATTGAAGAGAGAGACAGTGCTTTGACCCAACACAAGGTACGTACTAAGTCTTAGATATTCAACTACAGTTCTAATTGCTCTACAGAGAAATTTCGATGTCAAGATGACCGAAATTGCCGCTCAGCATGCTTACAAGAAGAAACTCGCAACCAACGAATACAAAGCACTGTCCAGCACAATGCGCGATCGCTTGATTAACAGCGTTACAAGCAAGAAGGCGAGACTTTCGAAGGACAAGGAAGCATTAGAAATCAATAATGACAATGCCTACCTCTTACACCCCAGTCAGTTCAGTCTCACGAACCCCGCCAGCCCAGGTGGTGTTCACGGAAAACGAGCCACAAGACACCGCCGCGAGGCAGATGAGCTCCCCAACTTTGCAGAGAGTCACAAGCGTAAGCGCAAGGCTCAAGATAGCGATGAGTCTCCTGCACCATCTCGCCAACGTCTAGAAAATGGCACCAGCACTCCGGTCTGGCATGCCGAGAAGCAGCATGCAAATGCGCTTCAATTCGACACCCCACTGTACAGCATCGAGAAGCTCTTCACGGAGAAAGAACTTTCGATGACTTACAATTCTTCTGCTCTTGCGGCATATTCCTACATGAATCGTCCTACACAAAATGGCGAGGATATTGATACTCCATCGAATGGCAAATCCGACTCAAGCTCTGAGAACGAGAAGGCCGCTGCGGCTGCTATCGAAGGGGAAGGCGATGATGCAGAATCTCCTCCAGGTGGAGTTGGCATGGAGCGTCAATACTCGCATGCAACTCGCAGCACTCGTGGCAACCACTTACAGACTGGTCTAGGCTTCGAAGCCTTCCCAGATCTTGAATACCCTGGTACTCTTGAAGCTCTCTCAAAGCAGATCCCTAAGCTACCTCCTATGATCAATTCCTTGGGTACCCGACAATTTTCAAGCAGGACCGATACCGTCGCATCTGTCAATGGTCTATCTCCAGAAGATGCTGCTGCCGAGATCGACCTCATTCGCAGAGCTAGAGCATACAATGACGAGAAGGGCATTGGCAAGAACTTGAATTTGGAACCTGGTGCAAAAAACCTCCTTGAACAAGCAGCTCAGACCAAGACCTACAAGCACCTCTTGGAAGCATTCGCTACTCCCAAGGAGTACAGCTACATCACCCCGTCCGATGTCAAGAATGTGCTCTATATGAACAAGATGCAGAACCTCGCTACCAGCAGTGTACGAGAGGAGATGGGTGGACTGGAGATGGTTCCTCAACTATCACAGGGCGCAAGCTCGATTGGCGGGACGCCAATGAGCCGTCAAGCCACTGACGATAGCATCACCAAGACGAAGTCTGGAAGAGCAAGCAAGCGCAGAACCGATTGAGTCGGGCTTGAAGTGCTGAACTGTATTTGGGGGTGTACATTTTTGGGCGTGACTTTACATAAAGGGGACCTGGGGCGTTACTGGGTTGGCTGGCTTGCTGGCTAGCTAAATGGACGATCCACCGGAATACCACATTTGCTGAACGAATTGAACAACTTGCTAATAGCTCTCTCGTCTGCCCGTGAATTGTGAATTGCGAATTTAGCAGCAAGTGCTGTAGTGAATCACTGCCATTTGGAATTTAAGTTGAGGGTTACAAAGGCATCCTCTTGAAGGCTCAGTGTATATCAGCCTAAGGCGCCTTGAAATAAGTTTTATTTGTTTCTTTGTTGCGATTCCATTCTTGATGTTTTGTTTTAACAATGCATTCTCTATGTCTAAAGTTCATCTTGGGTAATTGTGTGATTTGAGAATTGGGAAGGTATTGGTATCATTGAAAGAGGACGCGAAAACCAAAATGGCTGACGAAGTCTTGCTCGCTCCACTTCTAGAGAAGGTAAACTAAGAACGGCGAAAAGCCAAGTCAAATATAAGAGGACCAAGCCAGAGCTTGCTCCCGAAGAAGATCGCCGGTGCAATCCTAGCGGCTCAGGAGGAACAGCACTAGGCCACTCTTGCGATCTATCAAGTCTATTGCCGTGTGAAGAGCGGAGCTGCTCTACGACACAACATAAGCTCCAAATGAGTAATTTGGACTTTTGGCTCTGTAATTTGCTGCCTTCTTCACTCGAACGGACACGGCTGCCGTTGAGAATTGATCTGTAAGCAACACGGTATTCCGGCTCCAGCTCCATTCTTCTCTTCAAAAGAATAAGAGACATGTAGTTCTCAAGTTCTCTTAGCTTCATTGTCTCTACATTTTATCTCCTTCAATTCAACCATGTCATCCAAACGTGACCCTTTACAAAATGCTTTCAACCTCACCCCTTCCATCTCCCTCAAGCACCGCATTGTCCTCGCTCCAATGACAAGAATGCGCGCCTCAGATACGGGCCTTCCTCATCCACGAACAGCAGAGTACTACGCATCACGTGCAGCACCAGGAGGGTTCCTCATCTCTGAAGCCCTTGAGATCCATCCTCGAGGGAAAGGTTTCCTGCACACTCCTGGTATATTCGCCGAAGCACAGATCGAAGCCTGGAAGCCGGTTACAGCCGCAGTCCATAAGAAAGGTGGAATATTCTTTGCTCAGTTATGGCAAGTTGATCCCAAAACCTAATCCAGAGAGGGGACATTAATGTAGATGTAGCCATCCAGGCCGCGTCGCAGTCCCTTCACAGAATGGAGGATTTCCCCCATTATCCTCGACACCCAAGCCATTACCAGGTAATCATCCGAATTTCGGACAGGATAACAGTATCGGAGAGCCATACGTCGAGTCTCAAGCTATGTCTCTGTCCGATATCTCAGACGTAACTTCTCAATTCGTCCTCGCTGCTCAGAACGCTGTTCGAGCTGGTTTTGAAGGTATCGAGATCCATGCCGCGAATGGGTATCTTTTCGATCAATTCCTGCATGATAATATCAATGATCGGACAGATCGCTATGGTGGCAGTATCGAGAACCGAACGCGGTTTTTGCTGGAGACCGTTGATGCTATTGGGAAGGAGATAGGGTGTGAGAAAGTTGGTGTGAGGCTAGCGCCTTGGTATAGACAGAAGGGCACGGAGGATAGTGACCGGATTGGGACGTTTAGCAAGATGGCTGGAGCGCTGGATAGGAGAGGGTTGGCGTATGTTCATTTGATAGAGCCGAGGTATGATCTTGGGGAGAGGAATTCTCTGGCTAAAGAGTCTGGTCCTGTGGATGCAGGCAAGGTGTTCAAGGGGCTGGAAGTGAGTTTGTGGCCGTTTAGGAGGGTTTTGAAGAATACGCCTGTCATTGGTGCGGGTGGGTATGATGCTGTGATTGCTAGGGAGGCTTTGGATGAAGGTACGTATCTCTTTCGAATTTGTGGATAGTGAGATGGATGCTGATCTCATCTAGGCAGAGTTGATTTGGCTGCTTTTGGAAGGCCGTTTACGAGTAACCCTGATCTGGTAAGAAGGATCTTTGGGGGCTTACCTTTGACGAAGTATGACAGGAAGACCTTTTATACTCAAGGAATGGAGGGATATCTTGGTTGGAAGACTTGGGAAGAGGAAGAAAATGGTGAGCTCAAATGAGAGAAGCGCGGACAGTCACAAATCCCCTGATTGCATTAAGTGAGAGAGTAGAGTTTAGAAGATGATAATTCTTGGCGAACCTGGGAAGTATGCGTGATCTTGAGTGAGAGCTCCTCATCGTCGGTTCTGATATCGTTACCTTGTAACTCCCCAAGCAATCAACTTGGCATTAAGGCTTCGAGTCAGCGACGCTTTGCTTGCATGATCCTCAGGAACTCAATTGACTCATCATCAACAGACTCTGGGAATCATAACACAAGAGTAAACAACGATAGAAAACTTTCTTTCAAGTCTTATCAGCTTCGACGACATACCTTCCACCAAACTCAAGCAACATGGCGGAACGTCCAGTACACGTCAGACGCTCACCGCGAAGACCTTCAATATTGAAGAAAGGGCTCGGGTCGCCAACTGGTAACCAAAGGCCAAACCCACAAGTAAGTCCTGGCGAAGGGGGTCCTTCTTCATCTCCATTCGCACCTCGTTGCCCAGATACTGCACCACTATCTTTTGTTCCTCACCGACAGTCTGTGCAATTTCCAGGTTTCAACATCCGGTCAGAGACAGATCCGTGTAGAGCATTTACAGCACATCCACCAAACCTGGCACGTCCATCATATTCACCACAACCGCCACGCCCACCACACCCAGTACACCCAGTGCATCCATCACACAATAACAGAAACGCACACCAAGGGGCCACGAGGAGCCCGATATTCAAGGGGACGCTTCAATTGCCTGGCGATCGACCTCGGTGAGTTGATCGGCTACATTATTCTTGTGTGAGCTAATGACTGCACAGTGAAATTGTCATTGGTGAAAGAAGGGGTCAAGATAGTAGGGACTCCGGCGTTGCAGTTCAACAAAGGAGAAATAACCATCCTCAAAGCGACTTCAAAGCTAGAACTTCAGCTGGACAAGTTCTACCATACCGGTATGTTCAAGGTACAGCCGCGCGAAGAGGGCAAAGAGAATCGGGAATGAATGATATTTTCCAGAAGGCACATCGTGTTATTGATAAGATTGAAGATATAGCAAGCGTTTCTACTGGAGGTAGGAATGTGCGGGGTAGTAAGAAATGAAAATGTTTTTGATTGTATTGTACCATGATGCGAATGGCTTACAGTCGCAGATGGTGAAGATGAGCAGGAAGCATGTGATTGTTGGTACATGCCTGCGCCGCATCCTAACGTCAAGTACCGTGTCAGCCTAAACACCAGCCTTGTTTCTGCTCAGCAAAAGCAAGCTGCATATCTATCACAAGTCTCTCCAGATTCTTGTCTTCCACAGATCCAAAATGCACCGATCTATGCTGAAGACTTCTTTGTGTATATCATTCCTCGTTGCTGGATTTCTGGTCAATATGTCCTCTACAGTAAGGCTCAGGACTTGCTAATTCACCAAGCTGCTAACATCAAATAGGCTCAAATTCCCATCAGCCAACTAGTCCGATCCATGAAGATTGATCCTGAAGGAGTATTCATGCTCGGAACAGACGGTGTTCTTCGCTCCTTTGACGAGAATCATATGGTACTTGATGCTGTTGGCTTGTCACCAGAACAGATCAAAGAGATGCTTGATCAACATCCCTGGGACCAAGAAATAGAAGACAAATATCGTGGTGTGGATGGTACCAATGTGGTCGATATGAAACAACTATACGAGCCGGATGAAGACTCGAGACCAAAGGAATTGACGGAGGAAGAGATGCGACAAGCAGAGGAGGAAATCAGGGTTCACAACGAGAAGCTCATGCAGCAAATGGAACAGGATGAGAAGGATGGTGTGGATGTGGCTGAGAAGTATAGGTCGAAGAGTAATTACTAATTAGGACCAAAGTAGATGAAACTTTTCAGCTCGACTTTTCGGGTTGAGGAGGGAAATCAGGGCAAGCAAGACGGCGTTGGACATGAGAAGCACGAGTATTGCAAACTTGGATAGACAAAATCTTCGGCAACAAGGAGACGTAGCTACCTTGGTGATTTTTGAATCATTGTTTGTACATGGGATTGGTAGTTGTACGATTCGAGAAGCACCATCATACAGAAGTAGAAACATCCTCGGCGTTAAGAGTGCTGCTTAATGGAACACCTGCTAAATTTATAAATATAGCTTGCACGTGATCCACAATTCGCAGATTTCTCCGGATTTTGCCACTCCTAGTGCGAGTCTATCCACGGGTTGCACCCAGATATTCCCAGAAATTGCGTGCTCGGAAATAATGCTCAGTCAGCACCGAAACCAACTCTTCTCGTTCTCGATTTCCCCCTCGGCAGACATGCCGGCGCGGGGAAAGGTCGCAATGTTCATGTAATCCCCAATTGATTTCTAAGGGACAATGACGTGCCCGGAAGCTGACTAGTAATCGAAGCAGAGACTATGTCTTGCTCAACTATATATTTGCTACCTTCTTCGAACTCGGAGCTAACATCGTTCCTATACAGACAGACAATTGCATACAATCAGAACGAGATCTGACAACAGATCAGAATCATACACAACATCTCTATACTTATTGAACATACGCAGCACAATGGCGACAGCAGCACCACTTCAAGCCACTGCGGCACACAACCTTTCCCAATCTGCACGAACTGAAGCAGCATATCATGCGAATGAGTCGGCAGACGACACATATATACCCCGTGGTGATACAGTTGTAACACTCAACTATTTCCGCCCACCAGAAGATGGCTCTGTCCCCTTCAACTTCGTCGAAAAGCAGCCCGAGGGTCAGCCACAACGCAATTTCGGAGACTTTGACGTCCAAGTTCCCATTACCGACATTCGCGGCCGAGAATCTGAATACACACTTGACAAAGACGCTTTTGCTGTTGTATCTGGCGTACCTGAGTCTGCTGAGCGTGATTTCGTGGACGACGAATCCATTAAGAAGAACTATTACCCAGAGGTCGAGAAGTTGCTACTTGACCATGTGCCAGGGAGTAACAAGATCTTCCTCTTCGACCACACCATCCGCCGTTCAACCCCTGGTGCTCCTCGTGCTCCAGTAACTCGGGTACATATCGATCAAACGAAAAAATCGTCAACATGGAGAGTAAATCTGCACCTGCCTGAAGAGGCTGAGAAGCTGTTACAAGGTCGTTACAGGATTATCAACGTCTGGCGTCCTCTGAATGGCCCAGTCCAAGCTAATCCTTTAGGATTCGCAAGCTCCTCAACACTTAAGGACGAAGATTTGATCCCTATTGAACACAGATATCCACACAGGACCGGAGAGACTGCCGGTATCAGATACAATGATAGTCAAAAGTGGCACTATCTCTCAGGCATGAAAAACGATGAGAGGCTGTTCTTGGAGTGTTTCGACAGCGAGGCATCGAAAGATGGATCAAATGTTCTTGGCGGTCGTGTGCCACATACAGCTTTCCAAGACCCAAGGACTCCTGCAAATGCAGTTGGACGTGAATCTATCGAGGTTAGAGCTTTGGTGTTTGGTCCATGAAGCTTTTGAAGATTGGGTATGTAATTATAGCAATCGTTTTGGGATATAGCATTAGCAGGTTTGTTAAATGAGTAATGAATTGAATGAATTATGAAAAACACTGGAATCTCTCATATGTGGTGTGACGAAATATTTGATAGAACCCAAAGAAGCCGCTCGGGCGGCTCAAGATGAAGTTTACTAATAAGTCGGGTCGTCCGCCGTCTACCTCCCCCACTCACCAATCGAACGGCATTCAGCTTAGACATTCTGAGAACAGCTTATTGACCAGGAAACTCTGGGACATATTCATGGCGATTGAGATGTCGTGAGAGTCACGTGCCAAGGTGAGGCCATCGTGTCGGTCTTGCAGGGGTCAGCGGCTAGAGAACCTAAAAGTAAACAAAGAGGATCGATGTCTCATCCAAACACGATATTTATGAACGCGAGCATATTTCGTACACAATTGACCATCCAAACTATTAGGCGCCCATTACTTCTATAACAATTGCTACTTTTTCTCAACGAAATTTGCATATTGCAGAGCACATCTCGAGTTGCGACAGATGTAAACAATGGACGGCTCAATGCAATCATCGCCAGATCCCCTCAACGCCAGTCAGAGCTTCCATCCGCAACCCAGAGCGCGTCGCCCATCACGCGTGAGGACTAGCCTTCCTTTACAAGGCAGCTCTCCAAAGAAACAGACCTTCGAGCTCGACGTAGGCAATGAGCTATCACCTCAGAAGATCCGGGTGACGGTTGAGGCAGGGGAATCTGATGTAGAGAATGTTTATGCAGACTACAATGGTGGGGAAGATATATCACCAACTCCAGGACCTATTCCGCGTCGGAGAGAGCGTACCACCACTACTACGGTACCTGTGAAGGGTCTTTCGGATTCGGATTCGGAAACACAACAGGTAGCGACGCCTAAGAGAGGACGAGGTCGGCCAAGAAAGTCTGCTGGAACTCCAGTACCTGCCAAGAAGAAGGCAGCACGAAGCAATACACCAACTCAGAAGCGTGGAAGGAGGAAATCTATTGGAGAGCTTGTCGATGGAGACGATGAAGAAGATATCAATTTTGAGCTTGGCAAGAGTGTCGAGGTCAATCGAGGAAAGGGAAGATCGCGGTCCAGACCTCGGAAGGCAACAAAGCAAACACCGGCGGCTAAAACACAAGGCGATGGTACTGGGGCATCAAGTACGACTACGAGGAAAGGAAGAGGTCGTCGGAAGTCATTGCTGCCAGAAGAAGTGGAAGTCCTGGAGGATGAAAGCTGTAGGAGCAATAGTGGCCGCGAGTCGTCGTCAGTCGAGCCAACAGGGTCGCTGCGGACCATTGATAGCAATGTTCAGTCCACTTCACCTTATTCAACAATCCGATCAACAGCTTCCAATGGAGTAGGTGACACTGATATAGTCATTGCAAGGTTTAACCCTGGAAACGAAACACCTCACGGAACCGGCTGGTCGAGTCCTCGGGTTATTGAAGCTCCACGGCCCTCAAGCTCGCGGCGTAGGAGCGCCAATTACCCCTCGCTATCCTTATCTCCGAATAAAATGACATTCGATCAATCAGACAGGGAAGAAGAGCCCGTCGAAGATGATGACCAAACAGAAGTAAACGACGAGGAGGGGGCCGAGGATCACGTTGGCGAACTTCGCGAGTTTGACACTATTCTGGAAAGTGAAGGCTTTAGTATGATATCAGTCGATTCAGTTCCTTCGCTGAGAGAACATTTAAGCAGCCCAGCAGAGCAGACCAAAAGGTCCACCAGCAAGCCCTTGCAGAACAAGAGCTTACTCTCTGTGCAAGATACAGATGCCTCAGCTTATAACGACTCATTTTCCGAAATCCCAGATAAGATACTTGCTGCGGCTACCCCAGCAAAAGTAGCTCAAAACCCAAGACTACTCTCTGTACAGAGTCCGCAGGTGAACGACTCCTTTTCGAGCGTTGCACCCGAGATACTCGAAGCAGCTACACCAGCGCAAAAGCAGAATTCATCGAGATCCCTTCAGAACAGGTACTTGGGAAAACTCAAAAACGGTTCAGCACAAGCTTCGTCTGATAAGAGACCATCAGCAAGTACAAGGCAATGCTATGATGATTATGAGGATTCCTTCTCAGTAATACCAGCTGCGATTCTTGATGCCGCTACTCCATCTATTGCGCGTCAGACACGTTCCACGACGGTCAAGGCAGACGTACCAGCTCCTACGAGGCCTTCGTTCTATGTCACAAGCTCTTCTGCTACCCGCCTTTTGACACCTGAGGAGAGCCCACCACCACCAAAGGATTCGACTGGACAAGCAAATGAAGCTCTAGCTTCAGAAGTCGCAGCGCCAGCCCTGACTGAGCACAGTAAACAGGAGTCTTCTTTCATGCACTCACATATTCCTTCCTCTCCTCCAATCGCACCACGAAGATATACCTACACCGCTCATATCCGTCAACATCCTCAATTCAATCCAGATGTGACGCAAACACCATCCATTGTCTTTTCCTCTCCTTCGTTACCGCCGCCAATTCAGCCAGGAAGAGATCAGGCTTCTCTTGCTCCAGCATCTCAACACCCGGATAGGCCAACTTTGTCTCCAATTGCACGTGCTGGTCGCATGCTTCAGAACATTGTTGTGCCCTCATCACCTAGAAGTAGATCGCAAAGCTTGGGAAGTCCGTTCAAAAGCCCCGCAGCAGACAGGAGATCCTCGTCGGTTATTGCTCAGCCAGCAACTGAAAGTCCATTACTCGAACGTCGTACTGGGCCACTTCCTAAGCTGGATCTAAGCTCCCATTTCTCCGGGAGCTCTTCTCAATATCATCAGCGAAGCACTGTACGCCAGCATGAGGATCCCTTCCAAAGCAGTGTCTTGAGACAACAGAGGTCGCCTTCTCCTGAGGAGAGACAACAGTACCGCTTGGGTCTTCCCCAAGATCGCCGTTATTCTGATCCACGACTGTCAGATCTTCGATCAGGAGTCGAATCTGTCCATAGTGATAATGATATGAGTTGGCAGGCCGAAGAGGAAATATCTGTACCACTTTCGTCGGCATCAATGACAAAGGATGACGCTACTTCTATGAACACAAACGGTTCATCCTCAGAACACAGGACCCTTACATCTGAAGAGAAATGGTCCGCGGAACGCGCAGAGGTCATCAAACAAGCCGAGTCTGCTGATGCTGATCGATTGATAGTCATTGGTTCCGATGACGACGGATTCAATGATCAAGAGTTTGATGATGATGAAGGATTCGGACAACTATTGGAAACTCTCAATTCGTCATCCCCTGCGGCACCAAAAACTCAGGAAGCATCAAGAGACATTGCGGAGAAACCCAGACGCAGCAAGATTCCCAGCCCATGGAGGAAGAATAGCAAATGTCTGGTGTACAGCGATGAGCTCTCCCATCTCGCATCCTCACCTGCTGCAGCAAAGCAGACTTTGCGTGACAATTCTACGAAAAAAGCCATACCAGAGCCTGTGACGATCCGACGTTCTCTACAACCAGAGTTGAGTGACGATGTGTCTGCTGACTTTTCTGGATGGCAAATCCCTCAAAAGTCGAATTTCAACCCTCGTCCACGAGAGCCCATCAACGTTGATCTCTCAGCCCTCCTTTCGGCCTCTCCACCCAAAAGACTCCCAGTACTTCCCAAAGACCGACAGCAGCCAACCGTTCAGAAAACGACCTCGAACAAGGCATCTTCTAGCGAGCCTCCTTCTCAGGAAATTGAGCCAACTCATGAGCGCCGAACTAGCTTTGCTCCGATTCCACAGAAGATGGGTTTCAATCCACGACCTCGTGCAGATTCCTCATCCCCTGTAAAACAGCCATCTCTCGGCCAAATTCTTTTCGGCAATACGAGAAGAACCAATCTTAACACTCCACCAGAGCCTTCAAGTTCATCATCAGTTTCCAGACTACTTTCTGCCTCGTCTCCGAGCAGGACCAACACGATTCCTGCCTGTCGAACTCCATCTGCGCAGGTCTCGCCACTAAATAGCGAACGAGATTCGTCCCTAATCTCAACATCGGAAAAAGAAAACCAAGTCACCAATTCCCGCACCTTGAAATGGACGGAATCTCTTCAGCTCCACACAACTCGGACTTTAATCCAAACTCCTCTGCCACCCCCGAATCTATCTCCAACTAAATCCTGCTTGCGTTCACCAATGAAGACACCTTCCGGCCCAGGTAGCTCCGAGAATGTCAGTCCCAGCAAAGCAGTTGCATTCGTCTCATCTTCACCCATGCCATCTTCACCAACAACGGCTCCCCTCTCTTCAACAACCTGGTCCAAAGACCACTGGAAACTCCTAGACTCCATCCTCCAACAATGGAAACCAGAGAACCAGAATTCCTCCCCACTATCAGACGGGAGTGGGAGTAAAGAGAAGAGGAGAAGAAATAGCACAAGGGTCATTTCTAGGTTGCTTGGTAAGACAGTTTCGAGTCAGGGGGAGAAATTGAGGTTGGAGCAATGGCATTTGGAGGTTGTGGATGACTTTCGTGGGTATGTGCCGGGATGGGAGGAGAAGGCTGTTGCGATGAGAGTCTTCAGTTTGGTGATTGGGGAGGAGAAAAGGGCTTTGAGAGCAGCTGCGCAGAGTGCGATATTCTAGACGACAGGTCAATACTGTGTGACCTGAGGTCTGAGTAGGTTACAGTTGTTTAGTCTAAGGACAGTGTTAAATCATGGGTGGTAGATTGGGGATCCAATTTTGTAAAGCGTTGTAGGGTATAGTCAGATTGTAGATTTGAGGGATGTCTTATAGGGGCGCACGGAGTTGGATGGTTTCCTTTGTGATAGCGTAAGGATCACAATTCGAATAAAGACATTACTTGAAGTCCTCATGATTGCACGGTTCAGTGAGTGATTCGTGGATCGAAAGCATGTTTTCATTTCCTCCATCATCTGCGCCTCTATGATACAATGCATATGTTTGCATGTCATGCTCTCATCTCATCTAGCAGCCCCAGCCTTCTACTCAAGCATGCTTGCCTGGTTGGTATACAGCACATCCACCACACTGCTCAACTTCTCAATGGTAGCCAACGCGGAATCGTATCCCTCGTCTCTCTCCGTCTCATCGAAAATAATCAAACAGCCAGCGCCCTGATCCAAGACCCCAATAATAACCTTATCCAGGATCATTTGGCTCAATTTCTTCTCTACTTGTATAGTATCGAGTCCTACCATCTTGGCAATGTGGTCAATCTCAACACGAGAGAAGGGTTCGATAACTTTGATGAGATTCTGTTCCAACATCGCGTCGTAGAGACGGCGAAGGTGGTTGCGGATGAAAGGGTCACTGCCGAGCTCGTGACGGTAATCGCCAAGGGCTTTCTCGTATTCTTCGAGGGAGCGGTTGGAATGTGCTCGTGCTACGGCCTTCATAGCTTCGAGATTCTTGCCTGCATATTTGACTGCTTGCTTGGAAGTCATCAATTGATTGACATCGTCCGCGAGGTTGAGCATGATCTTGCAGAGAAGCATGTATTGCAGCGCAGCTGTGGCTTTCTCGGGTTCATCTTGAGTGTGATATCCATCGAGAGCTTCAATGAAGTAGGAGAAGGCTGTATTGAAATCCTTGTCTTCGGCATGCAGCTTTCCAGATTGCATGTCTAGTCCAGCTTGCAGAAGAGGTGGTGTGTAAACAGATGCAGCTGATGTTCGGGCACTGGTCAGTGCAGCTCGACCTTTAGCTACATTCCCTAAAGCATGGTAAACACGCGACTCCAGAAGCTGGACTTCCACGAGCACGAGCTTGTCATCAAGGCGCTTCAATTCCTTCAGCAGGCTGTTGATGAGTGTAAGGGCATCGTAATAGGAAGCTTTGGTCATGTAGAGTTGGACAAGCCTAGTCTCGAGATTCTGTCGGAGGAAGCCTCGTCGTTCGGAGGTAGCCCATTCGATGCATGACTTCGTGACGGAGATTTGGGTATCGGTGGAGCTGGGAATGCCATGGAAGAGATCAAGGAGTTGTCGCACTAGGTTAATAAGTCAGGACTTGAGCTCTATTCTACTTTCACAGCGTCCAGGATCTTGAGTTTATTTCATACCTAACTTTGCAGTCTTTGCCTTTGCAAAGGATGACAGTACTGTCCGACTCGTTGTAATGAGCTCCACCAATTCATCGGCTTTCCTACTTGACGTTAATGACACTTCAGCAGTTCCCTTTGACGCGACTTCTCACTTTTGATCCCGATATAGCTCTCCTAAACTGACTAAAGCCGTCTCATACTCTCGTACAGCGGCATCCGAAGTTGCTGATGGCGGCTTCGAAATGATCTCCTTGTATTTTGCTTCGGCCTCCCTCGGGTTCGTCTTCGTGAGCTTCTGTGCCTCCACTATCCGGGAAGAATCTGCTGGTGCCATCTTGTCGTGTGGAGATACGATTGTGAATGTTTGTGAAGGGTTGTTTGAGCTCTGGCTGGCTGGCAAGGCAAGCTTCAATGCGCGGCCGTGATGGCGCTAATCGCACTAGTGCCACTTGATCCCTGCAAAAAAGTCCTAAAAGTTCAGCCTCGAAAATATACTCCTCCAAATACACAATTGTTGCAGCTACAACACCACAACATGAAGATCAAAGCCCTTTCTCGCCCTTCGTCCTTGGCGCAGGCCCCTGGGTCTGATGTGCAACGGACGCCACGAAACCTGGATCCGGCGTTACATCCATTTGAACGTGCTCGCGAATACACCAGGGCTCTGAATGCGACCAAGATGGAGCGAATGTTTGCTGCGCCCTTCATTGGTGACTTGGGAAAAGGCCATGTCGATGGGGTATATACAATGGCAAAGGATCCGACCAATCTTCAGAGATTTGCGAGTGGTAGCGGTGACGGAGTAGTCAAAGTCTGGGATTTGACAAGCCGAGACGAGACCTGGAATACAAGTGCGCACGAGAATATCGTCAAGGGAATGTGCTGGACTCAAGATTCGAAGGTTCTCACATGCGCTTCAGACCGATCAATCAAACTCTGGTTCCCCTACGACACACCTTCTGGATCTGCACCGACCGCCACCTGGCTTGGAAGCAATGCCTTCACGAGTTTATCATCTCACAGATCGAAGGCGTCCTTTGCTGCTTCATCGGGAGTCATCTCAATATATGATCTCTCGAGACATACTGCTCCGCCGGAAGTTCTGCATTGGCCGACTTCAACAGATACCATCACAACAGTATCATTCAATCAAATAGAGACTTCAATCTTGGCATCATGTGCAACAGATCGATCCATAGTTCTCTATGACCTCCGAACATCTATGCCCCTTGCAAAAACCATCCTTAACTTTACGTCAAATGCGATTTCTTGGTCAGTCTCGCAAAAGTTCAGGAAACTTTGAGAATCGTATGCTGACAGAATTACTAGGAATCCCCAGGAAGCTTTTAACTTTGCTGTTGCAAATGAAGGTATGCGTCAAAGGGAAATGAGAAAGAGGCTCTTCTAACATAGAGATTAGATCACAACATCTACGTATTTGATATGAGAAAGATGGACAGAGCACAGAATGTTCTCAAAGATCATGTGGCAGCTGTAATGGATGTGGAATTTAGCCCAACTGGAGAAGAGTTGGTGTCAGCATCTTACGACAGGACTATCCGGTTATTTTCCAAGATGAAAGGTCATTCCCGAGATGTCTATCACACAAAGCGGATGCAAAGAGTCTTCAGCACGAAATGGTCTCCTGACTCCAAGTACATTTTGTCAGGATCTGACGATGGCAACATTCGCTTATGGCGAGCAAATGCTTCCAAGCGAGAAGGTGTTAAGTCGGCAAGACAACGCCAGGCTTTGGAGTACAATGAAGCTTTGACGGAGAGATATGCACATATGCCTGAGATCAGACGCATTCAACGGCACAGACATATACCCAAGGTTATTAAGAAGGCTGGCGAGATCAAGAGTGAGGAGCTCAAAGCTATCAAGCGCAGACAAGAGAATGAGCGAAAGCATAGTAAGAAGCAATTCCAAAAGAGGCGGCCGGAGAGAGAGAAGATGGTCCTGGCATCAGAAAAGTGATTTTGGGTGGGGTAAATCTGGTGGCGTTACGGGCACTTTCAGCATTTTTGTGGCGTTGGCTTTGTAAATGATACCACATATAACAGGTCTATAAGTCGTAGATGAGAGAGAGTTATTTTCAACCTTTCAATGAACCAAGAATCGTGGGATATTGAAAACTGATTGAATCACACCCATTGTGCCTGTACGTGACATGGAAATAAGCTTGACTTAAGTCTATCTATCTTGCCCAATATGTCCATCTCAAAATGTCCCACAGATCTAAGGACATTAAAAGTGAGGCTCTATGTCAAAGAATCTGCTACATTGTGTCCCTGATGTAGTCTGCCAGATGTCAGTAAGATTGTTGATTTTCAAAGTCCAGCCGCCCCAGGCACATTCAAAATCAATAAAAGTCAACACCCGCTATGCTCCTGCAAAATCACTAACGACCTACACCCCATATAATGCCTCTGCCTTCCTACTCCGCCTCTCCTATAGGACCGGAGCTGGAACAACCCAGATTCCGTGTAATGGTCCTGGTGGTCGTACAGCGTTCGATATCGCACTTTCTTGCCATCAAACAAAACAGCTCACATGGTCTAGTGGTTAAGACACCATCACTCGCTGCTTACTAGGGCTTCTTCTTGGATAAAAAATTGCTACGGTGTTTGGCGTTTAGGAGTTTCTAGGGTGCGTTTCGATGGAGATCCCAGGTTCGAATCCTGGTGAGAGCAAAACAATTTTTCTTTACTTCTTTTCCGTAGTTCTTTTTGTTGTTTCTCAAATCCGAGCATCTGCGGGTTCAGTTTTTTGTTAATACTCTTTTCTTCTTGTTGGGTATGAGAGAGGGGGGGTTTGGAATTGTGCAGCAGATATCCGCCGATTGCGGGGTTTCAAAGCTGCTCTTCTTTTACGCACAACTTCAATGGAGTTCTCACCTTCTTCGGATCAGTGTTTAACCGCGAAGCGAGACTTCAAGCTGTTTGTATCGACGCGCCATTTGTTCTGTATGGCTTCACGTTTTCGTTTGCGCATTTTGCCAAAATCTCGTTTCCAGTGAAGCTGCAAGAATATGATAAAGAATGGCTGTGGGCTACTTGAAACTCAGTGTTGTAGCATGTACCGATTGTAACAATACCATAGGAGAAAAAAGTGTGCAGTGATGCCCAACAGGCTTAGTAAGGACACTGGATGATTTTAGCTGTGTTGATGCTGGAGCATCATGGGCTGTGGACTTATTGCTTGTTTTGATGGCAGACGGCTTTGGCATTATCAGGAACATAAGCAGATGCAGGTGGTAGGTTTGAGCGCAATCATCACTTGTATGTAATTTCAGCAGTTGCAGGTAGAGATGGCGACACGTATATCAGGAAGACAATGCAATGGCGGACAGGTCCTGTGAATCATGCTACATTTACTTTGCGAAGACCGACATGCAACTATGCAGTCGTGTTCTCAAGATGCAACAACAGCAACGAACAAAGCAGCAATTATGAGTGTTCAAAGATTAACAAGCCAAACTCTCAACGATCTGCAAACCCCGAGCAATGCAACGCCAACGCCAGTCATGACTCATCTGTGATCCAGTGCAAGATGTCTACCCATCCATATCAACATCATCCCGTCTATCTGCTTGCTCTTTCCTAGCTTCTTTGGCCTCATCAGACATAGCTTGCCTCTCGGCTTCTCCATCTGGCTTCCCCAAAACCTCTGCAATTGCGCTCACAATTTCCCACTGAAGCTCGTCACCTGGAAACCTTTCCTCCATCTCCTCTACAATCGTGTTCAGATTCTCTGGCTTCGTTGGTCGTAGATTCATGATCATAAGTATTTCGGCTTTGGTGAAGTCCCAAGGGCGTAATCGCTCGAGAAGTGCTTTGAATACCCCATCGTGGTAGGGAAATGGTTTGGAAGCCAGTGGAGATGGAGCTTCATGGAAATAGTCCAATAGCTGCACAAATCGAATTAATATTAGCGATAGTCTCGAAGACTAGGAATCAAGCTTACCTCCTTGACCACGGTCTCCAGATTTCCTGGTCTTCGTCCCTTGGTACCAGAATATCTTCTCTTTTGCTCAGTCAAATGTTGATAGACTTCATAGTTCGTCAAAGTGGCCGACTGAGCCTCTAGAATCTTCATGGCTGTCGTCTTCTAGTGGCCGGGTTAGTATATGGACATTGTGAATCACATGAAGCTGACTGACTCGATTCCGCTCTAGAATTTTGTATGTGAGATGAATTGGGCTACTGGTATGACAGGGATTAAAATCGAGCCCGACGTGGAGATGTCTGAACACGGTTGTGTCACTTTGGTACCAGGAGGTTGTCGAAAGCACCTGTCGTACTGGCGCAAAAAGCCGTTGAGTTTCTTTCTATTCTGCCGTCTGTCACCGCTTCAGCCTCGCATGCCCCACTTTAGGCTAAGCTATAAAGAGTTAAGCCTTGTCGAGCTAGCTCGCTAGCCTTCTGAGAAGCATTTTTTTCTTGACTGCACACACGACAGTTACATGAGTCGTCCAGAACATCATCTCAAATGGGTCTCAAACTTCAAGATCTCTACGTCTTCCTCCTCTCGTCCTGACCCGGCATCTTCTTTTATTCTACCTCTTCCTCCCCATTCGCCTTGATATCACGACATATCTCCTGCGACTTTGCCGCGGCTTTGCAGCCCACTCTTTAATCCCGCATTCCACCGACGATAGCCCTCCTCAAACCTCAAAAGCACAATCGCAGTGCTATTGACTACTCAATTCGATATGGTTCGCAACATAGTCGTCCTTGGAGGCAACTCCCATCCTCAACTCGTCGACACAATCTCCAACATTCTCGGCGTTCCACCGTGCAATCGAATTCTTTCAAAATTTTCTGTCGGGGAAAGCCGTCTTGAAATCAAGGACTCCGTAAGAGGGAAGGATGTCTACATCATTCAATCTGGCGGTGGTAAGGTCAATGACAACTTTGTCGATCTTTGCATCATGATATCAGCCTGCAAGACTGGATCTGCAAAGCGCGTTACAGCTGTTCTTCCATTGTTTCCTTATTCTCGACAACCCGACTTGCCATATAACAAAGTTGGAGCACCCTTGTCAAAAGCCCCAACCGATGTCAACAGAGGAGACTTTACATTTGAAAGCCGACCTCCAACTCCTGGACCAGGTCAACCTCAGAGTCAAAGTCTGACGAATGGCAATGGTAATGGTATGGAAGGGCTTCAAAAGAAGCTAGGAAAGGCGAGCTTGGAGCAGCAGAATGGCACAACGTATACCAACGGAATCACCCCACCCAGGCGATCGGATACATTGGACTCATCGTCGTCGGTCACCGGGAGAGGTCGGGGAAGCTCTTCCAGCTCTGCATCCGCCCCTCCATTCACAACTCACGACTACGAGAATCCAACAATGTTGAAGGAAGCAGGCAAAATCTTCCAGGCCAAGCCAGGATATAAGCAATGGGTTGCTCAAGCTGGAACCCTTGTCGCAGACCTTTTGACCTGTGCTGGCGCGGATCACATCATCACTATGGATTTGCATGACCCTCAATACCAGGGCTTCTTTGATATCCCAGTGGACAATCTGTATGGCAAGGCATTGTTAAAGAGATACATTCAGACCAAGATTCCTGACTTCAAGGACGCGGTTATCGTCAGTCCAGACGCTGGCGGTGCGAAGAGAGCAACTGCTATTGCAGATGATCTTAATGTGGACTTCGCTCTGATTCACAAGGTAACACTTTCCATTGCTCTACTGCTGCGCAAACTCATCTCCTTTAGGAACGTCGACCTACACGTATCACAGACCGCCAAAATGCCACCATGATGCTCGTAGGAGAGGTTGCAGGCAAAGTCACTATACTTGTGGATGATTTGGCCGACACCTCCAACACTATCACAAGAGCTGCCAAACTCCTGAAGAAGGAGGGTGCCACAAAGGTTTATGCCCTGCTCACACATGGAGTGTTTAGCGGTGACGCTATTGCCCGTATCAATGCCTCCGCCCTGGATAAAGTCGTCGTAACCAACAGTGTTCCACAAGATGAGCATAAGAGATTGTGCCCCAAGCTGGAAGTTCTCGAAGTTGGAACGGTCTTTGCGGAAGCAATTCGTCGCGTTCATCATGGAGAATCCATTTCTGCTTTATTCTGGGAGTAGACGTCCGGTGTTTTCTTGGTTCTGGTGGTCAGCATTTCTGTTCTGGCGTTTGAGGAGAATCATAATGGGGATAGGCCATCTGGGCTGTGAGCTTTGCGTCTCGTTGACCACTTGGCATACAATTGCTATACCTCGTAACCGCATTCGCGGATCATACTGATTTGCAGTGATTCGGGAAGACATAGATAAGTCGTATATTTGGCTTCCACTGAACGCTTTCCCAAGTGCTGGATAAAAATTCGTGGAGAGTAATGTAGGACATTTCAATAGAAAAATAGGAGCAAGTTCTTCCATCCTGAAGATTGGCTGAGAGTGACTCTGTGATTTCTGATTTCCATCTTCCCCACTAAAGCTTCCCGATCGAGATGCTCCTTCTCAAGTATTGAGATTGACGTCTGCCTCGGTTGAGCTTACCGGTCCTTCTTCCAAGCCTTCTTGGCGCTTCTTTGCCAAGCATGACGTTCACTCGTATTTCGTGACGATCATTTGCATAACTCTATCTAGTACGACGGATTGAGCACGGAGGGTAGAAGGTATTCAGCAAACCCTCCTGACAGTATTCTGCCATACTGCATTGAGTAATCAGCTGCGAATGACTCGGTTAGTTCTTCCGGCTGGTAAATATGGGGGAGAAGGGCCGTCACTTTGGGATTGACATCCGTATATTTTAGCGCCAAAGGAAGACTTAACTCACTCAGGATCTTGTTTTAGACCCTCCGTGGAATTAAACCTCTCGTAGCTAGGCACTGGAGTTGATTTATGCTCATGGAAGAATTGGCTTCCGTGGCTGCGATTTCTAATGTTTCTATTTACTTATTGTCTTCCTAGCTTCAGATGGAGCCGCAACTTGAACACACCGTCTCAAGTGACCACCATCCGCGCCCTAGATTACCCCAAAGTTGGGTGCGAAAAGGGAACGCGGAAAGGGAAAATACGAGCGATCGACATCCAATGAAAGGTGGCGATGCGTTTGTCTAAAAGCATAAATTGCTGAATACGATCCCCAACTTGGTACGATTGTGAGCTTAGCTTGGCCTAGCATAATTACAACAAGGCTGAGCATGGAAATAAGGTATGCCGGTAGTGTCGGCATATGACCTCAGGTAGACTTTAAGCTTCTCCACTTGACGTTTTTTGTAGCCTATTCTCTCTACGAATGCGCCGAATGTAGGTCAAAATACTTCCCACGTGCAGATTGACGGGGTCATCCGAGTGTTACTGTGCCTCACCCATTGTGCTATCCCCGTTCTGGGATGTGCCTGCGAGTCTAATGAAGTCGCTTCTTGCTAGAGTTCTGAAGTTTTAGGGGTCCTACACCACGGTACTCGCATTCTTTCGTGGACATTAGAAGGGACATGCCAAGGCTCTATGTTAGTGGTAAGGTGCACTTTCCTACAAGGAGTAATCCGAGTGGATGAACATCTTTGTTCAAAAGGTTATTGATTGATCGAAGTATCCGAGAAGCCCAACTCTTCGGATATATAAAGACAACATATTCCTTTCCTGCAACACAGAACTGCAACAAACACATCCAACTCTACAACTCATCCTCCGTACCAGTCATCTCAAACCAAAATTCCCAAATCCACTCAAAACATAATCAAAATGTACACCAAGACAGCTCTCGTTTCAGCTCTTGCTGGCCTTGCTGCCGCTGCTCCAGCTCCTAGATCCGATAATTCCAACGTCTTTGAAGCTATCTCTCTCCACAGTGGAAGCCCAGTCCAAGGATCTACCATCAACGCAAATGGCAATCACTTCTACATTAACAAGGCAGCAAGCACATACTGCCCGTCTGGCGTCGAAGGCCTTGATTGCTCGCAATGTACGGCCATCCTAGAATTCTGCATCTCCGTATTCAACTAACATTCTCAGATGGCACTCAAACAATTTTTGCATTCAACCCTTCATCCAGCGGTCTAGCACTATATGCTGCCGTTCCTGGTGGTCAGCAAATTTACGTCGAAGCCACTGGCGCACTTGGGTACACGATTCCTCATTCCGGGGCTATTCCCAACGATGCATACGTCTCTCCATTTGAGTGTAAGTCTGACTATCTTCTTCGACTATCCATCTTATTGACACCGCTTTGTAGACATCGTCCAAACCAGCACTGGAACTGTGGGCAAATTGACATTTGAAGGCAAGGACTTCAACGCTTGTCCAACTGGTGAGACGAATGGAGAGGTCGACATCTACCAGATCTTCGCCTCTGCTGTTTCTTCAGACACTCAGACCGGCTGCATAGACATTGCTATTGGGACCGCCACTGATGTCGCCGCTCCTACAGCTTATGAGTACTCTTAAGCTGCGATGTGCTGTACACATACTAGCTGAGAAGATGAAGAGGGTTGAAATGTATATACTGGGATGTTGTTCTCGCTGAAAGACTTTCCTTGATGCATAGCGTTGGGTCTTTGGTTTTGTAATTGCATATACTTTCCTTAATATATGAATATTCCAAGTCTATATGCATGAGACTTGACCACCCTGGTGACTCCCGATAACCTTACCAAATAATGACCTCTTGTAAAGGAATCACATAGCAACACAACCACCTTCACTTAATCCGCCTTCATCTTTAGTGCTCTTCGCTGCAGTCCGGCAAATATCCTCGAACACTTCATGAACCAATTCTCCCGTGACAGCCGAGCATTCAAGGTAGCGGTCACATCTCATTTCTTGAGCAATCCTATAGCCTTCCTGAGGATATATAATTCCATTCGGATCATCCTCACTCCTGAGATCTCTTTTCAATCCCAACAACAGGACTGGGAGTTCTTTAGAAACCGTAAAGAGCCGTTTGACTTCATTGACCCACTATATAGGTCAGCTGACGGTCTTCAATTGCTCGGAGAGGAAACGAAGACTCACAATTCGCTGGACATTGATAAGAGAAAGTCGAGTTGAGATATCATAGCAGAGGACAATCACATCTGGCGTCAACAGAGTCCAGTTTTCAGGGCTAGCAGTGTCGTAGAATGAGAATCGATACGGTCGATTGAAGAACTTGATTTCGAAGATAAAGGGCTGATCATGGTCGCGGAGACGAGGGATAGGAGTCTTTGGATCGTGAGACGAGGATCCTTTGCTTATTCGACTATGGAGCGTGTCAGTACGAGCAGAGGACGAGGAGAGCATGGGTCCCGATTAAGGTGGCGGGGTAGCCGAGAGAATAAGCGTCTTCGTACCCCAAGAATGTTGACTTTCCCACTTCCGAATCACCAAGAAGCAGAATATTGACTTTGGGTGGATCATCCATATTCGAGATTCATTTTCGTCATCCACGGAGGAGGAAATAAACCCCTCATCACCAAAAGCAGCCCATTGTCGATAAGGAACCACGCTAAGATAACAAAAATTGACAAAATCTCTGACTGGTCATCGAAGAGTGAGGATACAGCGTTGAGTCATTGGCATGCGGCCTTTCTTATACCAAGCTGTACGACGGGTAGAAGCAGGTCTTCTTCCAAACAGCCTAGTCAGCTCCTCCATGTCACGCAGTCGTCGGTGGAGGAAGAATACAGAATCGAAGACAGCAGCACGTGCCGCATCTACAAGAGCAAAGATGGACGCCTTAAAAGCAGAGAAGCCTGACTATACTGCTTGGAGTCAAGAAGAGCTCATAAAGCGAGTCACATCTCTGGAGAATGAACTCAAGCTCAAGAATTCAAGGTTTTTACTCTATGCGCCTATGTCGGGATAAGCTAATAAAATCAGTATCCAAGCACCACTTACAGAAAGAAAAACCTGGAAGAAGCCACGCTCAGAACGAGCTTTTGATCCTTCCAAATACAGTACTCGCCTTATAGCACTGAAGTTGGCCTATTTGGGCAAAAGGTACAATGGCTTCGAACATCACACGGGCCACACCACGCCCTTGACGACTATCGAAGAAGAGCTCTGGAAAGCCTTAAACAAGGGAAGACTAATCTTTCCGCAAGGTAGTCATCCATTGAACCCTGGTGAAGTCAATTGGGAAGGCTGTGAGTACAGCAAGTGTGGGAGGACTGACAGAGGAGTCAGTGCTTTCGGGCAGGTGATTGGGATTAGGGTCAGAAGTAATAGACCGTTGGGGAAGAAGAAAGAGAGGGCAAAAGCACCAGCTACTGGAAATGAACTCGACAAGTTGCTGGGGCAAGTCGAGGGACCTGGCGGGATAGTCAACAACAAAGCGCCCGAAGATGGCACGAATGAGTTCAATACGCTGCCAAGGAAAAATTCTCTTGAAATGGTTTCACCGCCCCTCGCGCCATCGAGAACGCAAGGCGAAGAACAAGACGTAGAACCGGAGGACTTGGCGCTTGATGACCCAGACTTCGAAGCAGCACTGAATTTTGATCCTATCGCGGACGAGATACCATATCCATCTCTCCTAAATCGTCTCCTTCCGCCGGACATCAGGATCTTAGCATGGTGTCCAGCCCCACCAGCTGACTTCTCAGCACGATTCTCGTGTCGAGAGAGACGCTACCGATATTTCTTCACTCAACCAGCCTTTCCACCAATACCTCACCATTTCGAGTTGGAGACTCCGAGCAAAAAGAGACAGCCAAATGTTAAGGATGGTTGGCTGGATATTGATGCTATGAGAACAGCAGCAAAACTGTTTGAGGGTCTTCACGATTTTCGAAATTTCTGCAAGGTGGATCCGTCAAAGCAGATCGCTAACTTTGAGAGGAGAATCTTCTTTGCAGACATTGAAGAAGTGGATGATTCTACCAATGGGCTAAATTTTGTCAACGGACCGGAATTCGTACCAGTGGGCTCTGCAACGAGTGGTAGCCCCAAGGTCTACACATTTACGCTGCACGGTTCTGCATTTTTGTGGCATCAGGTACGGTGTATGGTTTCAATTCTGTTCTTGGTTGGACAAGGACTTGAAAAACCTTCGATCGTCTCGGAATTGCTTCATGTGGACAAGAATCCAAGAAGACCTACATATGAGATGGCGACCGACACTCCACTCGTACTATGGGACTGTGTCTTCCCTCGAGAAGACGACCCAGAAAGAAAGGATGCAATGCAATGGGTTTATGTTGGTGATGAACCAGGCAAAGGGGACACTAAGTACGGAACATCAGGCCTAGTTGATGATCTTTGGAAAGTTTGGCGAGAAAGAAAGATTGACGAGATGCTGGCGGGAACACTTATTGATGTTGTATCCAAGCAAGGAAGGCCAGTGCAGGACTTGACAGCGGGGAGGGCAAGCAAGGCAACGAAGAGCCAAAAGGTGTTTGATGGTGGAGATACGCCTAGGTTACAGGGAACCTACACGCCGGTGATGAAGAAACAGTTGATGGAGACTGTGGATGTTATCAATGAGAAGTACGCTGTGAGGAAGAGATTTGAGAATGCGGAGGATCTGAAGAAGCAAGGATTCAGGCGCTTGAATAGGCCCGAGAAGGAGAGTGAAGAGGCTTCTGTTAACGAATGAAGAAAGGAGGACTGGAACATTTCAAAGCCGTTCCTGAGAGAATGTTGCCACGAACATTGTAGATGACAGGAGCCTATATTGAACAAATCTTCTGCAATAATTATACTGTCTTATTAGATCGGACAGGCAACTGCTGTCCGTGAGAACTTTCCTCTGCCTATGGAAATGATGACAACCCTATATTATCAAACTTTCATATCTTACTTGATCACGAGTGGTGATGATAGATATGCGTGTTGGCAGAATACAAACACACGAGGACAGCGCGAATAGCGCAAATCCTGCAATGTACTATACATACACGAAATTGAAAGAGATATTTGGCTCGAATTAGAAATAGAACCTAAAGATAAACTGGTTTGGACATGTCTTATTGCATTGTATTCTCAATCCAGGTAGAAGCGTTAGAGTAGATCCGCAAATGCCATGGGCCATCTGACGGGCTACAATGTCCATCACAGCTATGGTGTTCCTTAAATGACAAGTATCTGTCCATCTGTGGATCAAGTCCTTTGAGTGGCACTCTCGTCCTCAAAGTTCGGACCTCTGATATTTTCAACCTCACAACATATCTCGTGTCGATACAGAGCCTCCTTCTTCGCGGCTTGACCCCCTGGTAAACTTTGGCTCCAGCTCAATTCATTAATCTTCAGCGAGCAATAGTCTCCTCGCTGCCGTCCACAACCTCTCACTCACCCCTTCCCAACCGCCGTATCACCCTCTTTCGCTCTCTGCTTTTCCCCAACTCCCTCAAACAAACAACCTCTCGCGCCCCTCCAAACCTTCTCCACAATTGCTCTCCTAGGCAGCAACCTTGGAAAAACAACCACAACACTTTCCTCTCCCTCTACCACGACAACTAAGTAGTATCTAACCTCGAACCCTCTGAACGCTTCATTGATAAAGATATCCTGGATCTTTTCAGTCGGTATAAATCGAGTCGTGCTTGATGATAGATATGTCGAGGACGAAGATGAGGTCTGGATGCCTAGACCACGGAGCACGAGAAGCGATTCGATGGTATGTAGTCGTAAGGAGAGAGCATATAGTAGTCCAAATGCGGTAGGGATCAAGAACAGCGCAGGGATTCGAGATGAGAGTCTACCAAAGATAGTGCCGAGGGATGATGTTGTAACATTGTAGGCAATGTGGAAGATGTAATCGGTTGTGAGAAGAGGCGGAGGACTCGAGTATGGCGTTAGTGGGAGGGAGTATGAGGATTGGAGAAATTTCGAGTAGAGGAGGAGTATGACGCTGAGCCCGGTGAGAAGTCGGAGGAGGATTGTGAATATTGTAAGAGCGCGTAGGGGGAGAGTAAGGTCTGGCGCGGTTGAGACTATGTACTCAACGGTCGTGGGAGAGGGGCGCCGTGTGCGCAGGTGAGGGGTTGTAGTCAGCATAGCTACTGCTGTTGTACAAGTCGTATGTGAGACATTGGATGTGATGGTGTTTTGAAGTGAAGTTCGATGAAGCTCGAAGTCCTGGACAGGGGAACCTTATCGATAAGAAAAATTGCCTGGCAAGGTTCCTTATTGTAGAATTTAGAAGTCACAGTCGTGGACTTTGCACAGAAGTTGATGAACATGTTCTTGCATTTCATATAATGGGTATGAGCTGTCGTTTCGTCCCATTTTGAGTTCATCAACGCCAAAGCAGCAACATAAGAGCCAGCTCCAAGCTTTCTATTCCCCTGTATCAATCTCCAAATCAATCTGCACACCGTTGCCAACTCCATAGTCCTCCAATGTCAACTGATCCTTGAACGGTCGCTCTCCCTGCCTCTTCAACAATATCTCATGTGGTTTCCTTCCAATCCTCGCCGCAACTTGTGCCTTGAATAGCTTGATCGGATCACTCGCCAGACATGGAATCGCAGCCTTCGTGCCTAACCTGTCATTCACATGAACAATGATCATTGGCTCTCCCACTGGTGCAGAAGGTGCAGAAGGTGCAGAAGCTGATGCGCGCTCAGGCGGCTTCTCTCCATCGTCCTTGGGTAGCGCTGAAGCTGTAGCTTTCTTCGAAGATCCGAATTTATCTGCGACACCGAACTTGTCCTCGACCGATGAGCCTTTGTTTTCTTGTTGCTTGTCTCTCCTTGGCGACCTCGAGCGATTTCGATATCCGCGCTCTAATCTCTTCTCGTCGCGATCGTTGTTGGTGTCTCTTCTCTTGTCCTTCCACTTGAAGCCTCCTCCGCCGCCTCGTGGTCTGTCTCGGCGATCTCGATTTCGATCTTCTCGGCGATCGCTTTCTTCTCGTCGTCGAGGCGAGCGACTTCTTTGTCTTGGTGGTCGGTCATTGGAAGGTGCTGGAGAGCGTGATCTTGATCTGGTGTCTGCCATTTTGAGGTGTTGGCGTGTATTTTGCAAGACCCAAGCAAGGCTGAAAAATTATGGAGGCGAGGTTGAACTGCCTTGTAGACCAATTAGGCTTAGCGTGATATCCAATGCCACTGAGTTTGCATGGATGCAAAGGAGAAAAGTTTCGAAAATGTTAGTTGAAGATAGAAGTATTGTGGAGTATTGTAATATAGTCTTAATCGTAATGTCGCATATGTGTTCGGTATTTGCTTATACGTTGGTTGGCGGCATTGATGGAGTAGAAGGTACTTAGGTACATCACATCAAGCAGTTTTGACCATGAAGTGAAGTTGAAATAGCTCAGCCAATCAGAGACCAGGTCGGTTTTTGTTGCATGTCTCACTTTTTACTAGCGTTCCCTTTTCTCTTTCTCTCTCTCACAAAAGAACACTCTTCTCACAGAAGAAGTTATATAAACAAATAAACGTTGGAATGTGATTGGCCAACAGCTTACTTGAGCAGACTTCATGAAATCTGCAATAATTGCGACATGCAACAAAAGAAATTAAGCTACGCGCTAAGGAAAACCTTAAAACCTTATTTGAGTTATGTGGCATCGCAACCAGAATTCCTGCTCCTCAACGAAGAACACATACAAAAAGATTCCTGTAATATGATTGGCTGACAGTTTCTTAGCGCAGAAATTCCCTGAACATGTAATTTTTGGATTCCTGAGAAAAGTTTTCGTGGTCTTGAGAGAAACTTGCAGTTTTGCGACATGCAACAAAAAAATTAAGGTTCTTAGCGCCGGCCTTACTTTTTTCCTGACTTTAAGCAGCTCAAGAGCTTTTCAATCAGAATTCCATACAAGACAACTTCTTAAATATGATTGACCAAAGGCCTAGAAATCTCCTTGCTATCAAACCCAATTTCATTTTTGAGCAATACTTCAATGGGAAAGAGCATTTTGGCGGTTGCAATGTGCATCAAAAAGCTCCTCGTTCTCTTACTGGTTTAAGCTTAATCTGGATTTTTGTTGCATGTCGCGAAATCTGGTTCTGTCTCTGGTTTTGTCTCTGGTTTTGTCTCTGGATCTGTCTCTGGATCTGTCTCTGGATCTGTCTCTGGATCTGTCTCTGGATCTGTCTCTGGATCTGTCTCTGGATCTGTCTCTGGTTCTGTCCCAAGTTCTGTCTCTGACTTTGTCCATGAAGTTGTTGTCATGGCTGTTTGAAATCCTTAGACTCACATTCGTTTTAGAGGTCATCTTTGCCCTCTCTTTTGACTATTCCCCCCCCCTCTCTTCCCCCCGCGTTCCTTGGTTCCTTGGTGTTTTCAAGATGAGTCGGACAGCAGCAATCGAATCTCTCTGCATCACAGTGCCATCAGTTGAAGTACTGCACATTCAACCCGCAGCTTTCTGAACAAACAGCATCAAGATGAAGCATCGACTCTCTCATGACCGCGTCCAAATATTGTACTTGCTTTGACAAATCATTGTAGTCACAAAATGAAGAAGCGAGAGGTAGAAACCTAGGGGAGAGTCGGATGAGAGCAACAACACTACAAATTGATCGAATCCTCAGTTATCAAACTGCGGTTCGGGACTATTCTCTCTGTTGCTAGCCCTCAGATTTTGATGAGCCAAACATAGCGAAAGTTCGATGCGAGAAATGGAAAGGGTGATCAATGGAAAGATGCCTTTGGAGCACAACTTCGAGCCTTGATATAATAGCATCATATGTTGTTCTACCTCCTGGAAGAAAGCCCACTCACCAATTACTTACTGCAACGGACTTCTTTGCCCACTTTCGAGCGGCATAAGCTAGGTGCTGAGTAAGCACCAACAATATCAGCCCAAGTAATTCCTTGAAGGTTCCTAAACAATACTCATATCCAATTTTTCAAACACTCCTACATCCAAACCTTGAGTTAACGAGTCAGTATTGTTTGGCCCACTTAAACGCACAATATATCAATTCCTGGCAATGGATCCACCAATACCCTACCCCACTCTCCAAACCTGGAAATCCCAATGCCACTCCCTAGACTCCTCGCTCTTCCTCCTCACCCTCCCAAAAATAGAACTTCACGTGCACCTCGAAGGAACCCTCACACCCTCCCTCCGATTCGCACTCGCCCGCCGAAACAACATCCCCCTCCACTCCTCCCGCTTGAACAAAGATTTCCACACCTTAGACGAGCTACAAGAAGCCTATAACCTGCTCCAGCCCAGAAGCGTGAAGGGCAGAGGTGTGAGTGCCTTCTTCGAAGCCTATTATGGCGGCATGGAAGTCTTGAGAACGGAGGAGGATTTCTATGAGCTGGCTATGGCGTATTTTGACAAGGCGAAAGCGATGAATGTGAGATATGCGGAAGTGATGTTTGATTTGCAAGCGCATACGAGAAGGGGAGTTGGTGTGGAGACCGTGATGGTAGCATTGAGAAGAGCAAGGGAAGATGCTGAGAAGCATCTGGATGTTCGTACTAGCTCCGGTACTACGAGACAAAGACAAGCATGCAGCTAATGAGAAATATGTAGGTCAAAAGTAATTTCATCGCCTGTTTCTTGCGAGATCAGAGTCTCGAGTCAGCGTTGACGCACTACGAGCTCCTGGTCCCGTACCACGATATTATCGTCGGCGTCGGCCTCGATGGCAACGAGTTTGAGCGGCCGCCGATGTTGTTCGACGAGTTGTTCAAAAGAGCGAGAAGGGACGGGTTGAGGATTACGGCGCATTGTGATGTCAAGCAGCCGAACACACTTACTAATATCAGGCAGGTTGTTGAGGAGATAGGAGGAACGGGTGCGGACCGAGTGGATCATGGGCTCGACGCAGCTGCAGATGCGAGTCTGGTACAGGCAATCAAAGCTAAGGGGACAGGTATGACGCTCTGTCCTTGGGCTTACGTCAGGCACCATACGGAGCAGGACTTGTTCGGGTTCTTGAGGGTGTTGAAGGATGAGCAGGTGAAGATCTGTATAAGTTGTGATAGCCCGGCTTATGTAGAGGATAATTGGGTATTGCAGAATTTGTCTTTGTTAAGACTGAGAGGAGGATTGACAGATGAAGAACTTTTGGGTGCGCAGAGAGATGCAATAGAGATGTGTTGGGCAAGTGAAGGTGTGAAGACATGTTTGAGGGAGGACATTCATAGGTTCTGCGAGATTTCCAGCACTTTATAGACCGTTGAGTAGATCAAGAAGAGAGCAGTAATACGATATCCGTAGCTTTCATCTGCTGTTCAGTCTCCTTCACAATTTGCTCTTTTAGGATGCCTCCTCTTCTGTTGCAACGTCTTGTTCAATACCTTTCGCTAGGCTACTGGTAGCTGGAGGAGCTGCAACAGGAAGAAACTTCTTAAACCCCTCAATCAGTCCAGGCGAGGTCGCAAAAAGGGCTTGAATTTGCTCCAAGACTTCATCGTTCGGTACTGGATCCATGCCACGTTCGGCAACGGATCTCATGATATCTAGGAATTGCTTATATGTATCAGGAGAAACGCTATTCTATTCAGCCATCAGCAACCCGCTGCTTGGTGAGTAGGAAGGCGTGGAGAAGAAGCTATTGCGCCATACTCACCTCTACATCTTTGATGTAAGTTAATGCTTGATCAAATTCAACCTTTGCAGCTGGATCTACTGCTTCCATTCTTGCGAGTATGCTGGAGCTGATAGTGCTGACTTAAGGGTGAGAAAGCCGTAGGAGATGACGTTGTGAATGGCACTTTCCATCAAAAAAGTCATGGCTGCCTTGCTGCAAGGCTGCGGCAAAGCACGGTGGATGAACTTACAAAGCCTCAGTCAAGTCATAAGCTTATCTCAGTATTCGGACTCTCCTTAGGCTACAGAAGGAACTTAGGACATCAAGTATAAACTATTCAATTTCACAAAGAATTGACTTTCGAGTATAAGAAAAGAGACTTTCATTTTCTATGTGAACTCCACGGAAATATATATTTGTATTGTCACTTGACGGGCTCTCAGCATATAGCTGGCTCCTACGGTCGACCGGCCGAGTTCGTTGACGTATCGGGTGCCAGGGCATGGTATCTGCGTGGAGGAGGATGATTCATTCTTCTATGGCAAGAGCGTCGCTATGATAGTAGGCGCTAACTACCTACGTAAGATCTTACCTACCAAACTACATCATGGTGACTGCTATGCTACCTATGCTACTACCATGGTATCGGGTTGTGTGAGACGACGAAATTTGAGCTGAATACGACCTGCAAGAGGCGACGACGAGAAGACATCCTCCTGTTCCACACTTTCTGTAAATTCCTCATCCAGCAAAGTCTCATAATTTGAGTAAATGGTAATCAGAAGCTCTTTCATCACTAGGTTTTATTTGCATCGTCAGCACGTTCTTCGATAATAAAAGTAACATTAAGAATCGTGATGGGATGGGACCACTTACCACGCGCGGAGAAATGAGTCCCAATGCACACCCGCGCGCCGCTCCCAAACGTCCAAATCCACTTCCGCATCTCCACTTCCGTCTTCTCGTCTGCTTCCAACCACCGTTGCGGTCGCCATTCATCTGGAACCGGGAAGGGGTCAGGATTAAAGTGGAGGGCCCAGGCGGAGGAGCTGACGACGGTGCCGCCGGGGACGTCGAACTTCCCCACGAGCCGGCAACCTGACTCCGGCACGAGCCGAGGAAAGGGGCCCGGACAGGGGGCACGGGTGCGCATGGTCTCGGTCACGACGGCGTCCAGCACCCGTAAATTTGGAAGGCGATGGGCCAAGCTTAACTCGCTCGGTTCGTTCAGAGTGCCGAGCTCTTTCCGGAGCGCGTGCTGCCAGTGAGGAGCGCGTGAGAGCTCGTACATGGTATATGACAAGAGGATTCCCAGGCCAATGTGGCTCGCGGAAAGATGGTCGTCGCACTCTACCGCGATGAAAGATGCCATATCGTTCAGAGACATCTCGGGATCGGCGGCCTTGAAATTATCGTAAAAGTGGTCGTACAGGCTCGCGGTGGAAGACGGCTTGGTGGGGTGGCTCCGGTAGGAGTTGGTGATCACTTGCGTGAGCCACTCTTCCCATCGGCTCCTGGCCACCGGATCGGGCCGCACGTTGCCGCCAATCCAGCTGGCGAAATAGGACATCGGCCACTCGAGGCTGGTTCGCACGTGCAGGTTTTTAGTCGTCGCTTGGGTCAGCGTGGTGAGGTCGTTCTCAAAGCTCGGGTCGAGGAGAGTGTCAGTTGCGTTCTCGCTACCAAAGAGGAAGCCGGTGACAACGTCGAGCATGCTGCACTTTGCCTGCATGTAGACGTCGACGGAGGCACCAGTGCTGGCCCACTGTGCCATTCCTTCTTGGAGGCGATGCTTCACCCGAGAGAGGATATTGTCGATGGTTCCAGAGTTGGTAATGTACGAATTGGAATAGGGGTGGGCAAGCATCCGTCGACGCCTCCGGTGCTCGTCGTTACCGATCATCGTGACCATGAAACCGGTCCTGTGCTGGATTAGAAATCGCCTTATCGTCTCATTTGATTCAAAAGGTGGAATTGCTTCAGGAAACTTACTGGTCAACTAATGCATGGTAGAAGTCCGCATCTTTGTCGAACTTGGCGCTGTAGATGGTGCGAATCCCGTCCTCGACGCAATTCACACTCAATTCACGGGGTGCAAGCCGAACGACGGGACCGAGGCGACGATGGAGGTAGATTCGGCTACGATTCTCCTTCTTTCGCCATCGGATCGACAGCAGCCACAGGCGTGAATAGGGGACGGAGAAATGAGCATTGGGAATGTCTTTTAAGCCGGACTTGTTATGGCGACGAATGGATGTAATGATCCATAATATGAGAAGAGCGGGGATGACGACTATAGCTAGCATGTCTTGAAAAGGTTTGAGTGTTCTTATAAGAATAAACAATCCCAGAAGCGGATTTGTTCTGCGGGCAGCTAGCCAGAGCGACTGGAAGCGTGGTACTTATGCGTCCAGAGGTTTCACTTGGGGGGCCATGGTTTGCTTGCTTGCTTACAGTGGGGAACTTTTCCTCACGCCGTGTAGGCCGCATCGAATGAGGGGTAAGGTGCAGGTGCAGGTGGTTACCTGTACAGTAAGGTCCCCGTAACGGCTTTCGTGCTCCGGGTATGCACGAGGGAAGTTTACATCCTTGCTCTGATAAGTGGTAAAGGGGGGTAAGACCGCTGTCTTACTGTGCCGTGCTGTCGTTGGAATATGCCGTATGACATCGAAAAGATGATCAACTGAGTACCGAGCATGCGCTGTCAAGTTCTTGGAAGTTGCCGTCCGCTCCTCACTGTTATCTTTTGGCGCGTGGTATGCCCCCACTACACATTTGTCAAGGGTTGCACACATGGAATGGTTTGGGAGTTTTTTACAATCTAATCTTCTTGTACGTAGACAGCCTCTGTAGTTCAGTTCGTGAGCATTTGCTAAGAACCCTGACAACATCATGCTATCGAGCATACAGCAAAAGACTTCCAATTCAAAGTGAACGACTCTGCATCATTGTTCCGGATCTCTGCAAGACTTGAAGCACAGACGGATCTACACCTTCACATGAGAGCCTACGGGAACTCAACTCAAGGCAGAAAGCAGCCTTTCTCATCAGCGACCAATTCTCGTCGATTAATGAGACGTGGCCGAGACTATGGAAAATAACAGCATGACGTTCACATAGGTCCAATCAACAAGCAATTTTGGAAAAGACCGTCATTTAAATCGCAATTGGCTAGCTAGTATACGTATATAGCAAGGAATGACTAATGGGTCAGTCAAGTCTTCAAGCCCGGCCAGCTCCTTCCTTCCGTCAACAGCCCCCTCCACCATCTTCCTCCCGCGTCTCACAATTCAGTTCTCCTCCTTGAGATCGGCAATGTTGGTGGTGGCGGCATTCAAGTTCTGTCTGAACAGGTTGAGCTTCAAGGGCTTGTCCTCAATCTTCTCGGTCTCGGAAGTGGCGTCGGCGCCAGATTGGGCGGTGGCGGCGGGCATCTCGGGCTTGAAGAGGCTTTGGACCTCTTGCATGGCTTGCCATGGCTGAGCGCGCTGCTCGGTGACGGTGCTGGTGGATTGAGGCTGGAGGCCAGTTAGGTATGTCATGTATAGTTGAGTGAAGTTTCCTCCTACCATGTTTGAAGAGTGGGTTTTTGGGAAGTATTGGTGGATAGTGTAAGTGATTGTGTGGTCTGTGATTTAGATGCTATCTTTGTTTGTGAGCTGATTCCGTGAATAGAGATAGTTAAAGGGGTTTATATAGACGGCTTTATCCCGATTGAATGCGTGGGTGATTTGGAAATGGGTATTCCCCGATGGATAGCCTATCGTTAAAGTAGCAATAGCGTATCAACTCCTTGTCTTCGTTGATTAATAACTTGGCTTATGTGCGGCGTATTGAAGATATGCAGGATACAGTAAGTCAACTTGCATAGCGGGGTATAGAAATAAGCAGGATAAGACGAGGTGGTCTCACTATGTCGTGCAACGAGCTACTTACCTAGTTAGTTTGACTGTGGAGACTTTCTGCATTGCTAGCGGACCTTTTCAAACATACACACTTGATGCTTACTTAGGATTTGATTCCAAAGCAGCTTCAAGGCAGCTAGATTGACGTCAGTGTGTTTGTGTTATTACGTGCTTTCTTTTTAGCAACTAAAATTGGATTCGAGAGTACTTTCAAGTGGAGCGACTCACTCTCTTGAATCCATATACAAAGTGTCGCTAACTAAACTCACATTTATGCCTAGCTCACGGCTCCCACCCAAAAGATCAACGAAAGCCTGACTTGAGTGATTAACTCAAGGTAGTAATCATTATACCACTCTTAGGCAGTTTGGCGAATTTCAAATTGTATGTTAACCGAGTAAACACTTCTCCTATGTCGTCTAGCGAGCCCCTTAGTCCCCTTGTGTCGTGCAGCGAGCTAGTGGCCGGTAGTCGTATTATGTCGCGCAGCGCGCTAGTGAGGCTCGCTGTGCCGTACAGCGAACCCCTGGTCTAATTGTGGGGTGCAGCGGGCGCGTGCGGAAAATACCAGTACGCTGGTATACGAAAGAAGCTTTTGCCCCGAAATGCTGACGGCGATGGTTGTGTAACACGGCATTTACCACTCGGATATTAATCGCTATTGCGTCGTGCAGCGATCATGTGCCAAAGAATATACAGAGGAAGCATTTCTCCGGAGGAAAGTGCTTACGGTGATGGTTGTGTAACGCGGCGTTTGCCGTGGATTTGGATCATCGTATTGCGTCAGGCAGCGAACACATGCAAGGAATATACAAAGGAAGCATTCTCCCCAAGGAAATGCTTACGGTGATGTTTTTGTGTAACACGATGGTGTTTTTGTGTAACGCGGTGTTCACGCGGGGTTTGATCCTCGCTCTCGGTCTCGTTCTTGCGTCTGTCGTGCAGCAAACTGCAGCGCAACTGCATACCCTAAGTAGCGAACTCTTCGGCTTATCTTACCAGATGGGGTCATCTTTCCGCCTACAGTTACATCATTCATTGATCTGTCAACACTGAAGGAGGCGCTTGAGCAATTTTGCGAATCGTTCGGTATTCGGTAGGAAAGTGACGTTGAAACCGTGGAAGGGTTAAATCAAAGGCTCGAGCTCTCTGTGAGTTGCAGGCTCGAGTTGTTGGATCGTGCAGTACCTAGGTACCTAGGGATGGACCGTGATGCTTGTTTGCGGGTTCTGTCATCTCCCGGTTCATCCTCCTTTCGGGCCGCTCCGTGCCGTATAGGTGCTTGGATTACGAGATAGGTAGCCTATGCGGGGAAGTGGGGGCCAAAGCAGGGTCGCATTGACCGTGTTGTGACACAAGCTTTGCCAAGTAATACAGTCGGCTTCGTGTCAAAAAGCGAAGTCGCCTATTGCTTCATCACCGGGGTAATAGTTCCAAAAACAAGGGTCGACTCGTTTGTGGAGACTTTACTCAAGCAAGTAACGATTCACTAATTTTCTAAATATTATTGGATATTGCCCCCATGCAATCGAAGAAAAACTCGAAGGCTTGGAGCAAGTATTACCCTTGTGATGAAAGTATGACGCTCGTTAGTTGAAGGGCGCGGTATATGAAACAACAGGCGAAAGTACGAGCAGACCACTCGCTGGTGCTTGTTACAACGTAGCACAACTTAGCGTAGTATTTCTGCTGAGATGTGCTAGTGCTTATTGTATTATACTAATATCACGCAATATCAATGTCAATAGAGACAATCAGAGTCTCTATTAGGCAGTTAGATGCCTTACTTAGGCGGCAATTCTACAGAGACGTGCTGCTTGTGACCGATCATCACACCACCTATGCTGACGGATATACTACACGTCAAACTCAGAGGGAGTTGCCGTTTCCCCCGCCGTTCGACTTCCAGTATCAAGGCCGTAAGCCGACGGCGTCCTCCGTTTTGAAAAGCAGTAATCGACTTTTGCAGCAAACTGTAGGGAATCAAAACTGCTTGTATCGCTGGAATTACATCTCGATTCCTAAATAGTATCTGAGCAAGACCGTTATCATTGAAGGAATACCAGAGCCTAGAAAGAGCAACACAGCAACAATGGCCACTATTGACACTGATGATACGGTTATAGGGCAGATCCAGTATCTTGCCAGAGACGACCAACACCAGCTGGTGAAACCGTATTATCTGTACCTCGACTATGACTACGACCTTGCACCCACAAACACCACCGCCGACGACCGTCTCGTCCAGATCCGCAATGCTCGGAGTCTGGACATTCCAGCGAAAGAGATGTTCTTCCAGTGGGGCTTTGCTCAATTCCATCTTGATTGTCCTTTGACTCCCGAGGAGTATTGGTATAAGGAGAAAGTGGAAAAAATCCTATACCCGAAATACAAGTCGATTGCTCGGTCTCTGTTCCCAGATGCTGCGCGAGTTGAAGTCCTTGAGCACGCTGTAAGCGGATTAAAGACCCGAAGAAGATGGAGGGCTGAAGTCAAGAGGCTGATTGACTGACTGGAGCTAGACGCGCAAACGTCACCCTCGTTGGATGTCTGAGACTATAGAACGGCACCATCTCAAGACCAACCAACCGAGTGATTATGTGCACATTGGTACGTGCTCTTCATCGTTTATATAACCCTTTGAACTTCATCCGCTGATCGATTTGAGATAGATATGACGGCCTCCTCGGCTGCCAAATGCGCCATCAAGCAATTCAACATCCACCCGAAGGATTACTCCAGATTCGTCGTTATGAAGTAAATAAATTCTATCCCAATATCCCAGAAAACCGCTGTGTCCAGGATCTAGCTGATCTCCATCTCACCAGCATATGGAAACCAATAAAAGGACCCGTATACGACTTCCCGCTCACGCTCTGCGACCGCCGCACCGTGGACTACGTATCGCAGACCACGGCCATGGATGTCGTGACCAATAATTTCGCCAACGAGAATTCGCGCGTATATTTCGACGAGAAGCACGAGTGGTACTACTGGCACGGCTTGCAGGTCGATGAGGTGGTCGCTTTTATACAGGCTGATTCTGAATTGCCGAATCGAGCAGGTACGTATTATGGACTCTATATTTATCTTTGTCGTGTTTGATAGGAATTTGTCGATTGACACAGCTGGTGCAATGTAGGAGTTCCCCATACCGCGTTTCGAGATCCGAGGAATAGGGATAATACGCAGTTAAGGGAGAGTATTGAGGCGAGAGTTTTTGTTTATTTTGACTGAATCGAGAGACTCTGATGTATCCTAATCACACAATATATAGTGATGTAGAATGAGTAACGTACTTGATCAGTGACAGACAGGACTGCCGTCATGTGGTATAGATGCTTTGGAGACCTTAAGCCGCTAATAAACCCCTGTTTCTTCGATCTATTTGATCCTGTTCCTCACTTTATAATCTAAGAACGAGTATCCCTTCTCACGTTCGTATTCCTCGCTTAAGCGGACCGCTATTGAAATTGCCAAGACTTGATGATTTAATTATTTTAAGGAGTTGAGCACGAAGCTCCTATCTACGGCAGAAGTGCCAGTACTATACAGAATCTTCGTTCTCTTTTGAACTCATCGTTTGGACCCCGGATCCAACGTCTGAATACCTTAGATCACGGTGACATCGTTCCAAACAAAATGCCTGGACCGCTTCTTACCAAAACGAGCCCGTACAACACTGGTAGAAATCATCAGAGAGGAATGAGATCCCCCTAGGACCTCTATCAGAAGACTCCTAGTCTCGTGAACACACTTTGCTAACATTTTTCTGTGCAAGCGAGCTTGGCAAGCCTCAACCCGAAAGTCTTACGGCTCATAACACAAATGTTCTCTATCGCATACTGGTATATATCGCTTACTGATCAAGTACGTTAACGTTTGCTGTGGATGACAATCAATCTATCGTCCAGACTTTAAAACTCGTTCTTTACTGCGAAACCAGTCTCCGTATCTCATCAGCAAGGCCACCGGGGGAATGAAAGTGGCTGCGATGAATGCCAGAACAGTGTTACCCCAGCCCAACCCAATGCTTGAATATAAAGGAGGGCCGATCAACGGCAGGAAAGCTCCAGCAGTCGCTCGGAAGATCACACCAGCAGCTATACCAGATGCCCCATGGATCTTGTAAACGTCCACCACGTACGTTTCGACCGGGACGGTGGAGAGTGTCGTGCTGAATGCCGCAACAGCCGTTCCGATGAGCGGCACGATATATTGAACATGATACCTCAATGCCCATCCGTAGATGAGGAAGCCTATAGGAAGAATGATTGCGGCAGCAAGCAGATGCACCAGCCGAGCCTCCGGCTTGAATGCGTCGCCCTTCTTTTTCCGCTGGTGGATCACGTAGCGGTCTGAAGTGAGACTGTAGAAGATCAAAGAGATGGTGTTGCCGATGGCGAGACTCAAAAACGTCAAGCCGACAGAGCCGCGAGAAAAGACGGTGGGGTACGTTGACTCCATGGTTTCCGTGAGGGTGGCCAGGATCAACGAGAGTAAGCCGTATTTTAAGGCCATGTAGCTCGTCGTCAGCATGAGGATGGGAGAGTGGAGAAGGATCTGCATCGGCCTCAGAACGCTTTCGAGTATGGTGGATGCATCGACACGAGCTTGATGTTTGGAACGATACTTCTTGCCGTCCACGCTCTTCTTTTGTAACCGCGCCGCCTTCCGCCTCAGAATGACGACTGCGTACGTCTCCCGGAGCACGAGAAATAAGAACAAGCTGAAGAATCCGAGCACGATGGCCGCCAGCCAAATCGACCATCGCCAACCCAAGTCCTGTGCGATATACGCTCCTGCGACGGGCGAGATGAAATCTGCTAACATCGGAGTTCCCATGACCAATGACATGGTCACGCCGGTTTGTTCCATTTCGAACAAGTCCCCGACGATGGCGGGCCCGAGGGTGAGAATCGACAGGAAGCAGCCCGTTAAGAATCGGAACGCAATCACCATGGGAATGTTCCTGCTCAGGGCGCAAGCGACCAAGCAACAGAGCGCGAGGAAATTTCCAGTGTGGAAGACGGGAAGCCGGCCGAATCTCTCAGAGAGCGGCGCAATGAAAAAAGGGCCAATGGCTTCCCCGAGCTCCCAGATCGTGACGAGCAAGGTCTGGTCGAGCGTATTGTGCGAATGGAACTCTTGTAAGATCTGTGGCGCTGTGGGCGTGATCGTCATTGTTGCAAAGACACTAAGTAATTCGGTCAGTCGACGACGGCAGATATATAGAGACTGGCGAGAAAGAAAAAAAGGACGCTCACCTAACGAAACCCATCCACGAGATAGCGAAGACCATCAGCCATTTTCGCGTTGGCGACCAATTCAAAGGGTTTTCCGGGTCGTTCTCCTCGTAGTCTACGAGAACGACATCTGAATCCACGGGGACGACATCTGGATTGCTGTCTCCGATGGAACTTTCCAATGGCTGTTGGGCGAACTTTTCATTCTCGCTTCCCGACCCAGCCACGCTCTCTTTGCCTGACAATGTCTGCGGCTCGATCGAAGACAGAAGGGGGACTGGGTGGATGAGAGCGTTGTCGATGGAAGACATTGGTGTTCAGTGGGTGGCGTATGCAAACAGTGTTTATGCAATTGCTGAGAGAAGAAGCAGGAAGAAGCACATTGCGAACCAAAGCGAGCTTTTAAATGTGTCACAGGTGAAGAGATCTGATTCTGCTCAGCACTTGTTGGGCTTATATCACATGCTCTAGCTGTACATGGCCAGGTACGTAGCGAGTGACCTGCCCTGCCCTGGCGTCCCCTTTTCTAGGTTCTTTATAAACCTCTTTCTACTGTATAGGCACTAGGTCCGGGTAACGCCGCGGGCTATGATACCTACTAGGTAGGTAACACAACCGGGTGGGGTCCAGTGGAGGGGTGCGGCAAGCCGATGATTACTGCGGGGATTCTCAGCCGAGGATTCTTACCTATGCTTTACAAGCGTCAGCCACCGGAAGCTTTTACTGCAACCCTATTTTTGATGTGGCCCACACGCTCTTGATCGGGTTTAGACCAGAATTGGCAAGAACAGACATGCACTCGTGCGGTCAGGAAGTCTGTCCCCATGCTAGCGTATTTACATTTCCCAGGGGCCATTATTCGTCAGGGATTTTTCATGTTCTATTGAACGGCTAACACAGAGACAGACTTCCTGCCGCACGAGTACCCCCGTACTGTAAGATTTCCCTGCGCCAGTCTGGTCCTAAAGTCAGCACCTCTAAGGGATGGAGGGGGTGACTCCTTCGTCGACTCGTCAGCGGTTCGTGGGCTGAAATGAGAATGCTCAAACTGCGCTTACTCGCATATGGAGCGTCATCGCCAGATTTCATTTTTCAAATGTGCAGCTTCCTGCTTTTGCATGCAACATTGAATCCTTCCCTATACCAACCTCAGTTGTTTTCTCGTCTCTCCGTGAGCTTCAGACCTGGTCGTCGACGGAGCCGCTCAAACTTTGAGGTTCAGTAGAACCTTCAAGGTCATCATCGCTCTCATTATCTTTTGTCCGTCCCTGTCTTAGCATAAAGTATAAAGTATACTGCCGCAATTTTAGCTTCCAGTTATAACGCACTTAGTTTTCTATTGCACCTAGTCACAAGAGAGGTATCACAGAGAACATACGCTACAAACACAGGGCGAACCATGGGGGAAGCACTTCCTCCCGGCTCTGTTGAGTTCATCTCGGACACAATGGAGAAGCCGCTGATGGACGATCGATCGTACCGGGTGATCCAATTGCCCAATCAATTGGAGATTCTTTTGATCCAGGATCCAGACACTGATAAAGCAGCTGCTGCGATGGATGTCAACGTTGGTAGCTTCAGCGATCCGGATGATCTGCCGGGGACCGCGCACGCAGTAGAACATTTCTGTTTCATGGGTACGAAGAAGGTGAGTGACTGATATACAGACATATTGGAAACCCAATAGCGTATTGACGAAACATATACTGACATTGCTTCGCCCAGTATCCAGGAGAGAACGAATATAACACGTACTTAACTAAGTATGGTGGTTACTCCAACGCCTACACGGCCTCGACATCGACCAATTACTATTTCGAACTGTCTGCGAGTTCGACATCTAATAGTACGGGCTCATCCGCAAATGTAAAGCAACCCAATGTTCCAATCGCCAAAGACAAGGCTCCTCTCTATGGCGCTCTCGATCGTTTCGCGCAATTCTTCATCCAGCCACTCTTTCTCGCCGATACCCTAGATCGCGAACTCCGTGCTGTGGAATCAGAGTATAGGAAGAATCTTCAGAGCGACGCGTGGCGGCTCCTACAAGTGAGCCGCAGCACTGCGAGTGAGAAACATCCCATCCACAAATTCGCTGCCGGCAATTATCGGTGTTTGTTTGAGGAACCGGTGTCACGGAGCGTCGATATCCGGAAGCGCTTCATCGACTTTTATGAGGCTTATTATTCGGCCAACCGTATGAAGCTCGTCGTTCTGGGTAGAGAGTCACTTCAGGAATTAGAGAGCTGGGTTCAGGAGCTCTTCTCTGACGTACTGAACAAGAACCTCCCCCGTTTCAGATGGGACGGTCCACCAGCCCTAGGTGAGCCGGAGCTCATGACTCAAACCTTTGTGAAGCCGGTGATGGAGCAAAGACTGTTAAATATTGATTTCACGTACCCCGATGAAGAAGCACTCTGTGCCTCCCATCCCAGTCGATATCTGGGACATCTCATTGGCCATGAGGGCCCTGGCAGTGCTCTTGCTTATCTGAGGGAGCTGGGTCTCGTGGAGTCTTTGTTCGCAGAGGCTTCTCCTCAGTGTCCCGGCACAGCAATTTTCTGTATTGAAACCCGACTCACCGAAAAGGGCATTCAGCAATACCGGGAGGTCCTCAAAATCATATTCCAGTATATTGCTATGCTGAAAGAGAACCCGCCACTTGCCTGGATTTCGGACGAAATGAGCCGCTTGGCTGAGGTGGAGTTCAAGTTCAGGCAGAAAACCCCTCCATTCCGATTTGTGAGCCGTCTGGCCCAGCTCATGCAGCAAGCTTGTATACCACGCGAGCATTTACTGAGCCCTTCCCTCATTCGCAAGTTTGATCCGGAAAACATCGAGCGCGGCTTGTCCTATCTACGTCCTGATAATTGTCGATTCTTTGTTGTTGATCAGCAGTTTCCAGGAGATTGGGATGCAAATGAAAAATGGTACGAGACCGAATACAAGCTCGAAAAGATTCCCGAAGATTTCATGCAAGATCTCTGGGCAGCCGCTCAGGCTCCGGTCACAGAGAGGCCCTCTGAACTTCACTTACCAGCTGTGAATGAATTTGTTCCGGAACGATTAGAGGTTGAACGGAAGGATGTCACAGAACCAGCTCGGCACCCTACATTGATCCGCTCTGACGACAATGTTCGTGTGTGGTTCAAAAAGGACGATCAATTCTGGGTGCCTAAAGCCAATATCAGACTCTTGCTTCGGTCCCCCGTGGCCTCTCTCACTCCTATGAATGCCGTCATGACCCGTTTATACGTTGATTTGGTCGAAGAAAGCCTCAATGAATACGCTTACGACGCGGATATAGCTGGTTTGACCTATAGTCTATCCGAAAGCGCACAGGGATTGAATATAGAAATCGACGGTTTCAACGACAAGATGTCGGTGCTTTTGGAAAAAGTATTACTGGGAGTACGAGATTTGGAAATCAAGCAGGAACGATTCGACGTGGTCAAGGAGAGAGTGAGGAAAGCGTATAAGAACTTTGAATACAGGGATCCGTACCGACAAGTCAATGCCTTCTCGCGCATGTTGATCAGTGAAAGATCTTGGGCTCCCTTTCAAATGCTCGAGGAGCTTCCAGCAGTAACAGCGGAGGACATGCGCTCGTACTTTCCCGAACTGCTGCGACAGATGCACATTGAGATCCTCGTCCATGGCAACTTGTATAAAGAAGACGCGCTAACCATTACAAAACTTGTGGAGTCAGCACTCAGCCCACGTCGATTACCAGAGAGCCAGTGGCCGTCACGCCGCGCCATTGCGCTACCAAGCGGAGCAAACTACTTATACGAATGGGTACTGAAGGACCCGGACAACGTTAATCATTGTCTCGAGTATATCATCTCAGCCGGCTCTGTCTCGGATCGTTCACAACGAGCCAAGCTGCTACTTTTTGGCCACATTGCCAACGAGCCGTGCTTCAACACGCTGCGGACAATAGAGCAGCTCGGATACATCGTCAGCTCGGATGCAAGCGTCTATGTGACGGTCGGCACATGGCGCATCCTCCTGCAGAGCGAGAGGGATTGCAAGTACCTCGAAGAGCGTTGTGATGCATTTTTGGTGAAGCTTGAGCAGGATTTGTGTGCGATGACCGACGAAACGTTCGAGGAGCATAAGATTGGATTGATCAACAAACGCTTGGAGAAAGTGAAGAACTTGAGTCAAGAGACGTCGCGCTTCTGGACTCATATTACGAGTGAGGTGTTTGACTTTGAGCAAGGTACGTTTGCTACTTTGCAAATCCTTCCCATATACGTAACCTGCACTCTTACTTTTCGTCCCTGTATATTGACTAAGCCGATTGACTAAATCTCAATAGTCTATCGCGACGTCGAAAACATTGAACCACTTACGAAGAACGACATACTCGAATTTTTCAACCTGTACATCCATCCCTCTTCTTCAACTCGCGCGAAAGTGTCCGTACATCTCATTGCACAGGCATCTACTGGAGCTTCTGCAGCAGCAGAAGACAGTGCCGCCGTTGAAGAGAACCCTAACGTAGCGTTGCGTACAGAGCAAGACGTTGTTGCAGCCAATCGACATGAGCCTTCAGTGTCCAGCGCGAAGATTCCCGTCAAGGTTGAAGATGTTAAAGCATGGAAGGCAAGTCTGCACCTGTCGGCGGCTGCAATACCAGTGACGAGCCTAAGCGAATTCGAGGAGTTTAGCTCGAAGCTATGATGTCCCTTTTCAAGTTCTTGATTCGGCCCAGTACTAGAGCCATCAGTACCCAGTGGCAGTGGCATCGTTATCTTCCAGTAGAGAGCAGTCTTGCAAGTTTGATCGTTACCTTTTGATTCCCTTCCATAGAGGATTATAGGGAAGCTCTTGAAGAGACAGAGTGCAAGGGCGATATGAGCGTTCGTCATTCATACAGATACAGCAAATTTTTTGCGTATGGTACGTTGCAGACCATTTGGGTCAAATTTCAGATACCAATGGACACTCTAGGCTCTGGGGTTCTGCACATTGGCTTCAATGACCCTCCTACCCTTCTCAACCGGTCAATAACTCCCACCATAATGCGGTCTATCCCATCTTTCCTCCTTCTTCTCCCCAAGCTCACTCCGATCATCAAAATACTGCACTCTCTTCTCCTCCGTGAGGACACGTAGATCGAAATCCTCTCTCGCATCAATCGTAGTCCCATTAACCGAAACATACGGTCTCGTCTCCATCCCTCCATCCCACTTCGCTTGCCAAACTTCCCTCTTCCCTTCCTCGCCTGGCACATCCACGACGGTGGTCTCGCCCACGCCACTAAACGTAAAGCACCGCACTCCACATTTGGGACAGAAGTAGAATTTCCGCTTCTTCTCGCAGCAGAAGTAGGTACTCAAATCACGATCCGGATCCAGTGGTGACAGGAGCATGAAATCATCGCGAGGATGCGCCGGATGCACGTGAAAGAAGTTCATCTTGTAACACGTGCGGCAGTTACAGCGGTAGACCTCCTGTCCGGTGTGTGGTGGTGGCGGATGAGATGACGAGAATGGGTGTGGAAGGATGAGGAAGACGATGTACTGCGTGAATCCGCAGTGGCAGGATCCGGGGCATGCTTGTCTCTTTGGCGCTGCTGTCTCGGACATCTTGGGGAGTGAGAGAGAGGTCTTGGAGTAAAGTCATGATCTAGAGAGGCGGATTGGTTAATCGTGGAATCGAAGAGTGCAAGGTGCTATAAGTACCTATAGTACGAGGGACCTTTGCTTTTCAAAATTGGATGGGGACTAGATAGTAGGTGGCGTTGACAAGAGACAAAGCAGAAATGCAGACAGTTTTAATCAATATCCAATAGTCCCCTCCAAAGGCGTGAAGCAGACATGGAAAGAAGAGACGAGGAGGTACGTTAGACAATCTCCACTAATCCAAATTCAGCCTAGCCTCACCTCTCAAGGCAGAGATTCAGCCTCGTCTTCTCCCACTCCCTTTCCACTCTCCCACCACTAAAATTATCTATTCCAACCCAGCCCAACATGGATTTCGACGAACTCCACGAAGACGCTTCTGCCATGGCGGCAGCAATGGGATTCTCCACCTTCGGATCCCACAAACCGCCCGCAAAGAAACGCAAATTCAATCCTGCGACCGACGCATTTGTGTCCGGCCAAGAACTAGAAAGCATCGATCGCGGGGGCAAGAAGGGGAAGGGGAGTGGTGGGAATACGATGCCGTTGGGGAAAGTGAGGCAGTTTGGAGTTGAGAGAAGGAATGAGGATGAGATTGGGTTGGATGTTGATGATGAGGAGGACGGGGAAAGTTTTGCGACGACAAGAATCGACCTTCCGGCAGAGAGGAATCATGTAGAGGTTTCTGGAAACGGTGCTATGAGATCAGAGCGGCGAGAAGGAGGCACTACAGACAAGGAGCGTTTGCCTATAAGGAGAGCTTCTCACAATGGAGGAAATGAGGACGAGATTGGTTTGGACGAGGACGAAGACGGGGTTATGGAGAAAGCTCAAAACGAGGAGGAGAATGATGGACCAGCTTATATCGTTACCAGCGAACCTGCTCCAATCGAGGCAGTACCGCCTCTAGATCCAGAAGCTGTCGAGATGCAAGCACGAATCGATGCTTTACTGGCTAGTATAGAGGAAGGTCCACCTCCAGAAGAAAATCCTATCACACAAAGTCATCTTCCACCTCCTCCACTAGACCTGCCCGCCAAACCGACGTTTATGGACCAAGGCTTTGGTGTGGGTAGCCAGAGAGGCGGACGTGGGAGGCAGGGGAGAGGGGCGTTTAGTGATACGGCGAGCGTAGCGAGTTCCAGACAGAGTCACGGAGAGAAAAATCCGAGGTGGTTTGAGGGGTATTATGATCCGACTTTTAATGAGAATCCGTGGAGGGTATTAGAGGTCGAGAAAGGCATGGAGTCGGTGGGGACGTGGCTGGGTTTGAAGGATAGACCTGGGCTGTCGCACGAATAGGATGTACATGAGGTGATGTACGCACTCGACAGAGATAGTAACATAATTAGCAAGCACCACGGGTGTGACAGAGGGAACGGTTATTTTGGGTATCAATTAATTGCTATACCTATACAATCAAAGTTTCCTCAGATGATGCCCAATCAATCGTCAAAGCCCTGAAACTCATCTTCTTCCTCCAGCTTCTTTCGCTTGACTTGCTCAATGAGGTCCTGCAACTCTCTCTCCTTAACCTTCTCCTCTTCTGTCATCACAGCCAACCTCTCTGCTTCCTTCTTCCTCCTCTTCTTTTCTCTCCTAGCCTCTTTCTCATCTTGTTGCTCATGCTTGTGACTCCAAGCCTCTCTCTCCTTCCGCTTCTTGATCTGCTCTTCACTTGGCACATAAGGGGCTTTCGTCTTCTCCTCTTCCACTGCCACCCTTCTCGCCTTTTCACGAGCTTTGTCTTTGTAGGCATATTCTGACATGTCTACCTTGACACCCAGACTCTTATCCCCTTCCCATTTTTTAAGCTCTGGCATCTTTGGTAGCCGTATCAAGCCCCAGGAGTTGCCGAGTTCAGTCCAAACAAGATCTGCGACTCGGAAAATACTGCTAGCTTGGTGCTTCGAATATGCTCTAACCCAGCTGACGAAAGCTCGCTGACCTTTGTCGTAAAGTGCTCGATCAGCCAAGACTTCTTTTCGCATCTTGGAAATCGTCTTGTTTACATCTTCATCCGTTACGAAAATTGTTGGTTTTTTGAGAAGGGCAATTGGAGTTTTTCTGATCTCGAGGAATGGGATGTAGTCTTCCTCTCGACCTGGTTGGAGGAAGATGACACTTAGTCCTTTCCTCCCTGCTCGCCCTGCACGCCCACATCGGTGGATGAATACTTTGGGATCACATGGTGGATCTATCTGCACGACTAAGTCGACTTGCGGTATATCAAGCCCTCTTGCTGCAACATCTGTAGTGAGTAGGATGGTGGGGCTGACGGCGCTGATATATCTTGCGAAATTCTTCTGGCGCACATTTGGTGGATGTTTTCCATGAAGTGGTATCAAGGAAAACTGGTCTGGCAATAGGGCGGAGAGTATATGTTGAAAGTAGTCGACTGCAGCGCATGTCGAGAGATACACTATACTCTTTTGAGGTGTAGGATCCAACTTCGATAGTAGTGATATCAGAGCGGGGAATTTGTGAGTTGGAGGAGTCAGCAAGTACGACATCTGTAGGCTGGCTGGCGTCCTGTTGTCATCTCCAGAAGCCCCTCTGACCTTCACAGCAATCTTGACTGGGTTTCTAAGACCGACTCGAACAATCTCTCCAACTGCCTCGCTAACACTTGCACTGAAAAGTCCCGTCCTTCTCTGTTTTGGTAGACGAGCAAGTATTTTCTGTAGGTCATCCTTGAATCCGAGATCCAATAACCTATCTGCCTCGTCTAAGACAAGGACTTCGAATGAAGATTGAGGGCAGTGGACGTGCGGAGAGGTAAGAAGTTCTAACAGTCGCCCAGGAGTAGAGATTAGAAGATTCGGGCTATTTTTCAGAAACCTGCTGAGGTCTTGTGCCGGTGTAGTAGTGCCTCCAAGCAGGAGCTGGGGAAGGACGGTAAGAGTCGACGTGGATCTTTTGGCATTGCCTTCTTCTGATGGATTCAATGCTTGCGAAGAAGGTTCGTGAAAGGCTAGTATGGAAAGTAGGACAGAGTGTATCTGTGTCGCAAGTTCTCGGGTTGGGGACACAATAATTGCTCCGACGTGATGTTTCTTGACGGGCTCCTCAAGTCGCAGTAGCTTTTCAATTACAGGAATGAGGAAAGCAAGAGTCTTCCCACTCCCAGTTACAGCCTAGAGCATATCAGCCGGAGCCTCATTGAACGTATGCCAGTTGTTTTACCTCTACCACGACGTCTTTATTCCCTGCGAAGAGGGGTATCGTTGAGGCTTGAACAGGAGTCATTTTGCCAAAGCCCATGGCGGTAATTGCATCGAGAATCCATTCTGCCAGAGGAGGAGTCAAGGCATCCCAAGCTCGGGGATCCTTCTTTGGGGCAGTATCTGGAGCCATGTTGTATGTGGATGTAGTTAGGTCGTCGCGGACATTGAATCGTCTCAAAAATTTATTTATCTCTTTCTTATCGATAAGGGCTAGCTTGTTCTTGAGTCGCATTTCCTTGCCACACCACGTCAATAAACAATCAGTTGCGAAGCGTCATAGCCTTATTTTGGTACACAAAAATAAAGCAGATGCCACATACTGCTGAATTTTGATGCAATATAATTTCTGTCCTCTTCATTATCATCTGTGCCAAATTTCACGCAGCTGACCTGTTCACATGTGATTTTGACACCTGTCGTGTGCTTAGGTAACCTGTTAACGGGTCAGATAACGATTCAGGGAAAATTGACTGAGACCTTCTCTCGTCACTCACCACCCTTCTCCATATCAGTCCTGCGTGCCACATCACGGCGCAAAGCAGGTCACCATATCTTCCTCTAATCATGCAGCGCTGTCCGCGCCTTTCTCTTCACTGGACTCGATAGCCTTCTTTAACTCATTTCCTTTCACGATTCGCGCTTCTAGGAAAGATAAACATCTCCACTCTACGAAATTCTGGCTTCTTCAAGTTCCTGATATTGCGGGCTTATTTACTGGCGTTGTCCGGAGACCTCTTCTGCCTCCGTTCAAGATGTCACCTTCTTCGAATTCGATTCCGGCGACTCCGAGAGTCATCAGCCCTTCACCAACACCCTCAGAGTCGCGAGATTCCGCGGATGGCTACTTTGGCCCTATGACTAGATCTGCGAGGAAGAAACAAGCGGCAGCTTCTCAGGTTCCGATCAATGAGGAGATCGACGAGGACGACGAGGTCAATGCAGAGCTTAGGAGGGCGAGATCCAAAAGTCGAAGTCCCATGAGAGTACGGAGAATGTCTGGTCTCACCGCTGTCACCAAAGCGCCAACCAAGACGGACTCGATTTTACCCTCGAAACCGGTGCAGAATGGGAAGGCTACAAATGGCCATCTCTCGCCTGACAGCGCAAGTGGTTCAGGTTGGAGTTGGAGGGACATCAGTCGAAGCCCCAGTCCCCTGGGCCTCATCCCAATTCACAGACATTTCAGAGTCTTTGTGCACAAACACGAGGTACCCAGGAAGCTCTTACATGTGTCTATTGGATTTTTCACTACCTGGCTATACGTCTCCGGCGCTCAGACTACTACCATCGCTCCGTACTTGATGTCAGCCTTGGCCCCAATTACTGCTGTGGACTTTGCACGACACAGATATGCATCTTTCAACCGATTGTATGTTCGTGTGCTTGGGGCGCTTATGCGGGAAACCGAGTATGCTGGGTGGAATGGGGTCATCTGGTATCTACTCGGTGTGTGGATCGTCTTATCGTTTTTCCCAAAGGACGTCGCTATAATGGGAGTGCTACTTCTCAGCTGGTGCGATACAGCTGCTAGCACGTTTGGACGAGCTTATGGACGCTATACACCACGTATCAGAAAAGGAAAGTCGTTGGCAGGGTCACTCGGGGCATTTGTAGTGGGAGTCCTCACAGCAGTCTTCTTTTGGGGTTGGCTTGCACCGCGAACAAGTCCGTATGCGGATGATATCAATTTTCCATTCATGTTCACAGGGACTTTATCGTTGCCCGCCCCTCTTCGAGACTTGATCGGAATTACTAAGGCTCAGGGAAGCATCAGTGGAGGATTGGCTCTGGGAATCATGTCACTCTGGACTGGGTTTGCGGCGTCTGCGAGCGAGTTGGTTGATTTATTCGGATGGGATGACAACTTGACGATACCGGTACTCAGTGGCATGGGGATGTGGGGATTCTTAAAGATCTTTGGTTAGATGTACAGATTGCGGACCAGTCTACAGTTCCCTCCCCAGTATAGACGTTTGTAGGGAAGGATCAGGCGTTTGGTGGGACAGGTAGCGTGCATTAAAGCGGAATGGAAACTCTAATGTCTCAAGGTAACGCAGCCTGCAAGAAGCATGTGGAGATTCGCTGGTCGTGCAGTGCATCAGATTGCTCCGAACTTCTGCTTATGGTGTCGGAGGCACTCGTTGCCCACTCTGCTTCTGATCTTCTCCCAAGGCAACACAATTTTGCCTCGTGAGCCTCATTGGTCCACGAGTCCTCCAGTGAAGCAGGCCTGCGAGTAATCGGTTGCGCACCGTTTGAATCGCCGCCTGGCACTGCTGGCTGGGAGTTGCCTGCGTGCGTGCTGCAGATACACCTCAGGACGACCGAGCAGACGGGATGGGATGAAGGGAGGGCTCCCTGCCCTGCCCTACCAGGCTTCGGCTTCTAGAACGATCATAGCAATCTCATAGACTTTTCGCCTTTCTCCTCTGATATGCTCGCGGTGGCTGTCGTCGGCACCCGCATCGCAACGCCATCCTGTGATCAATCACTAGCTGGTTCTGGCACTTGAGGTGTTCGCTGGATTCGCTGGGTTTGCTGCACGCCCAATGACGATCCTGTGTGCCAGGGGTCGAGAGCAAAAAAGATTTCGAAGCGAATGAACAACGCAACATACATACTCGCCTTCGATGCGTGTCTGCCCGATGAATGACAACTTCTCTGGCTCACATATTAGCCATCCAGCTTTTTTTCTTGCCCTCCACATACATCCACATTCTCATTCTGCCTTGCGGCCATGTCTCATCGCTGCTTTTGTGCGGGGCGGGTCAGCGCGCTTCTTCGTTTGAAAAAAACCACGGCGTAGTGCCTTGAAAATCCAAACCATGAGAATTCCTCTGCCCTCCCTCCCCATATCCAGCCAATGCCTATCGACTTCGGCACATGTAATGGCATGACGGCTATCTCTGAGCAATAGAAATTCCAGTCCAGACCAATCCGCCCCGGCTCCGTAAGCCAGAATTCCAGGGATCACCCCATCGTCGATACTCTCTCCAAGCTTGGGAGGGCTCGGGACAAACGTAAGAGGGCGGGAGTGCGGATCGGAGACGTTGGTGGCATGAAACTAGTGAGGAAGTCCAAGAATGATCAGCCTATCTTCATCCTCCTCGAGCGGGGTCATAGATACGGAGTCTGAACGATGGGGTCAAGTCCATCCCCCTCAATCTCCTTCGATGGTTGGTAGATACTCAAGCGAGAAGGGTTCTGAAAAGGTATAAAAGGGAGGTCGAAAGACCTTTTGGAGAGATTTCCTTTCTCTTTCCTTTCCATCAGTTTGCACACTCTCAGACCTCACTGCCTTACAAACACTTTGTCTTACAAGTTAAGCCTCACTTTGCCTTACTAGAAACATATACTCATACATATACCTACCTCTTACATCCCCTTTTACCACATCACACCTCAACACACACAACACTTCTCAACTACTTACCACTTTGTTGTCAGTTGACATTTACTCACTTTTCACAATGGCATACCAATCAACTTACTACCAAACCACCTCCCTCCCCATTGCCGTTCCTCACAAACAGCAATATGCGTATGCTCCCGCCACTCATGGCTACGCAGTCTCTGGTTATGCAGTCTCTCCACCTGAGGCTCCCGAATCTGTCACCACAGGTTCTGGAACCTACGGTCATTCTGCCTACTCTGCGACTTCCAGCAGTTACGCCGGAAGCTCAAGCGAGTACGATAGCACGTCTTCCGCCAACGGCGTAGATATGCAAGAGTACATGCAAGATCGTTTCCAGGGCGCATTCGATCCTCTCCCGCTTGATCGCACTTTGGCTGTTCAAGCGCAAACGTAAGTTCCACTCTCTGCGATTGGCAAACACTCGCTAATCTGGAGCAGCTCAGGATTGTTGAATGCCAAGCACCGAGAACTTCTCGATTTGCAAGCATTGGCGCAACAGCGAATTGCAAAGTCAAGAGCCAGATTGGCTGAAGGCTATCAAGATGCTAAGGAGGTGAAGAGGGATTTGGAGTGGACTCAAAAGCGCGTTTCGTAAGTCTTCACAATTTCGCCAATTCTCGCTTGCAGCGACTTCTCCAGGGGAAGCGCAATCAGAGCCATTTTCTACCTTATTGCTATTGAACAGTCTACTAACAGCATTTCCAGATCAATGAAGACCAAGGCTTCTCGCAAACACCCAGCAGAATACCGACAAGCGCGAGCCCGCTACCCATCGCCAGAATACTAAGCATTTCTGCCTGTCCGCCAAAAATACCCATTTCCAAAAGTGGAAGTTTATTGTCATCGTCGCTTCTTCTCCTCTATTTACTTCCTTCATGTACATATCTTATTTCCTTGCAAGCAGGACATGTCGTTGGTGGTGGGCGGCTAATGGGTCGCTTCCCCACACTGCTGCTTTACAGCGCGCGTATTCCACACGCAGGCTACGACCGTTATGACTTATGATTGGACGCTGGGATGATTGCGTGGTTCCACGGCGGCGGGCGCTGCGCTGCAGAGGCGCTGAGTGCAGTAGCTCCCGGATTGGTGTGTGCGGCCATTGTTGCATATGCCAGTCACAGTGCGCTCCTGGCCGGCCGTTCTGCGGGACGGGCGGGTGTGCCTGGGCTTCTGCGGTGCGTCGCGCCTCTGGTGGATCGCCAGGACGGGGTGGTACGTGCAGGTGGTCTGGGTGATGGGTGTGATGCGTGAGAGGGGCCACAGAACCTCTTACTCGATCTGGGCGGTTTCTTACTGCTTCTGGAGGGTATGTTGCTGTTTCAGGGAAAGCGTGGTCTTCTTTTTGGCGCATTATTCTTGGATTTCCTGCCTGAAAGGGCTGGGTATGCTTGTTTTAGTAATTCACGTGTTTTTTATGCTGTTGTGAGCTCTAACGAGATGCTGTGAGTGGTGAGATGTGTCTGGGGTGAAGTCAGATATGCCTTGTTTTGGTCTAGAGGTTGTAGCGTAACTCAAGCGTGATTGATTGCTGAGACAATGCCTGTGATAGTGGCTTCTTCCCGTCCCCTCGTGATCTGATATCCTGGAGAAAATAGGGGGGAGATGGTGCAGATGAGTCAGCATGGGGGATCGGTTGACATCGCGAGACTGTGATCGTTTGTGGACCACTCACGTGGAGGGTTGCTATATGTGATCCACTATGTGAAAGATAGATATTGCAAGCCCTAAAAGATACAAGGATTATTGGGATTGAGAAATCTGACAAGTCATTCTGCTTTAATTTATTCTCGAGCTCGAGCGAGGTGCGGCTCAAACAAGATCAACGTCTCTTCACTGTAGGATGTATTATGCAGGTACATATCAACATCAAGAAGGATGAAATGACTAGACATATAGATGTTGTTATTACAGAAAGCCCCGACGACCGCGGTTGACTTGAGTCCGGATCTTCGAGAAGTAACAAAGTCAATTGATTTGGAGACATCTGTGCTAGAATGAAGACATTGAGGAACGTTGAAGAAGAGAGTGCTACGAATAGACGACTAGTTTGCAAAGGCCATGTAGACTTGGCTATTCTGTTTCAATGCTCGGAGTTATCGTTCAAGAGAGCAGATGACGTTGACGGTGCGGCACAAAATGCACGAGACGGGAACAATTTGCACAAATAAGCGACCATGGAGAATGCGACTTTTTGACAGTGACATCATGCTTCAACTTTGTTTGCAGTTCTAACATTGAGAGCATTAATGACATGGAGTAGACTTAGCGACTGAATCGAGGACTTCACTCGAGCATATTCAATGCATCAATGTACCTTGTACATTATTTCGCAATCGCAACAAGGCTGATTCGAGATACAGCAGCTCACATCAAAAGCTGATGATGAATACTTTAAGGTTTGAAGGACTTTTATTTCATAGTTCGCCATGCTATGCTCCTATGAAGACCGAACGCACAAGAGCGGAGCGCGGTCAAGCAACTCCAATGTTTGATAGTTCAGGGCTTTCTCCGTTACCACTGAAAGAGTGACAGCAGCAAAGGCTTCTTTCCCTCATAAGAACAAATATCAAGTTGACTCCTGAGCAAAACGGCCGTATAAAAACAGTCCATTCTTTTTGTGATCGCAAGTTTACCATTCGCCAGCAGGCTTGGTGGCATCAGTAGCGGCACCCCACTCTCCAGTAGCAGTACCTGAAGCGGCCCAGTCATCAGCTCCAGTAGCATCCCAGCCAGCACCAGCTGGAGCGGCAGTAGTAGCGCCAGCAAATGCGGTAGCAGAAGGACCGGCAACCTGGTGGTGAAATTAGTCACATGATTGTTTGTATGCCAAGTAGAACAACTTACCTCCCAGTCACCTCCAGTAGCGGCGAAACCAGTCTCAATAGCAGTTGTTCCGACCTCATCAGCACCAGGAACCTTCTCCTCAAGAGCCTCCTTGTTCTCCTCAGCCTCAGGATCACGGTAGAAGTACAAATCAACCATGACATCCCACTCAGTCTCACGGTTGGCGATGGAGCCACGGAGACGGAGGACCTCACGAGCCAACATCCACCAGACCAGACCAATGGCGTGACGACCTTTGTTGTTGGTTGGAATAGCGACATCGACGAACTCAGTTGGGGAGTCGGTATCGCAGAGAGCAATAACGGGAATGTTGACGTAGGAAGCTTCCTTGATAGCTTGGGCATCGGTACGGGGATCGGTGACGATAATGAGGCGGGGTTCCTTGAAGGATCGGGTGATGTAGTTGGTGAAGTTACCGGGAGTGAAACGACCAGCAATGGCGACGGCACCGGTGTGGGCGGCGAACTTCAGGACAGCACGTTGACCGTAAGGACGAGCAGAGATCACACAAATGTCGGCTGGGTTGTCAACGGCGGCGATGATACGAGCTGCGAGAACGATCTTCTCCCTGCGATCCAAAATCTGTCAGTCCATGCGTCTGAAGAGTAGTTTGATATGCTTCGCAGCTTCTCCACGTTGTAAAATCCTGAGCCTATTTCGGGCTTCACTACGATCTTGCCCACATATCTCCCCACGAACTCAGTTTGATAACGTACCAGGTCTTTCCAATGTTGATAACATTGATTCCATCAGGGCGAGTCTTCCAGAGGTATGGCGACATGTGTGTCTGCAAGTTCTTGGATCCCAAATGGCACTGCGCAGACAGCAGCATCTCAATGTCTTGGGAGGTAGCATTGAAGATTGGGGGGAGTTGTGAAGGAGCCATCTTTGCGGTTGATTGACGTGAAGATGGTTTATCTCGGGAACCTTCGAGGTTTGAATTAACGTGAAGATGATTGTCGCCGTTCGCGATTCGAAGAAAGGAAAATTCGCGAATTTGATATTCGAATGTGGGAGGCTCAAAAGTTACTGCCGGGCGGTGGAACTAAGCGAAATTATCACGTGAAAGAGCTTCTGGCCTTGATTTCCGGGCGCTCACTGTCCGATCCGCGCTATGCTCAAATAGAATTAGTCTACAATATTCTCAATTGATGCTCAGAAAGCTTCGGGACATCGATATGAAAAAGTAACTCGTCATGCCTCCTCGAATATCGGTTCCTTTGCGCTTTAGCGTGTCGAAATGTGAGTAGATGTCGTATTAATATTCACAATACCTTCTAACCATATAAAAGTATGTCTGCGACCAGCACCAAGTCCCTCGAATCCCCAACTACCCATCATCCCAGTCGCCAATCTGGTAACAATGGCACAGCGGAGGAAATATAAAGATCCATATGCTTTAGCACAGGCGAAACAAAGGAAGGATGCCAATACATCACGGCAAGCTGAGCTTCAAAAACAACGGAAAGAAGCATTAGGAGATCCTGTCCGAGGAATCACCACAGAATTCGTACAATCCTTTGACAATGTTGGTGGCTCAGCAGTTCTCCAGGAGGTCACTTCTACCGAAAACCCTTCAGAAGGCGTACGAATCACTTCTGCAGATGATGTTCTTCTGAATCACTTCCTCAAACCTTCTGAATTAGAAGCATCCATCAGGCATTCTCAGCTTCTGACAGAACCCGTTATCGACAAGGTTAGAGATTCGGCAGATCCTGCACTGGAAGCGGCAGCAAAGAAGAAGCATGAAGAAGGTCACAAGAATGCTACGGCAGCATTGGCAAGGATTGTCAGTCTGGCAAATGCAAGTCAGAAGGATAAGACGCGAGCGAACATTATGCGGTGTATAGATATTTTTGGACGACACAAGACGGACTCTACTCTGAGACCTCGAGCTCCAACAAATCCATTGATTCTGGGAGACAAGCCGTTGCCAGAGAAGACACCAAGAGCAGGACCAGACACTGGGAGCTCCGAAGTGCAAATTGCGATATTGACAGCAAAGATTCGAGTTCTTGCAGATCAACTAGATACGAGAGGAGGCAAGAAGGATAAGGTCAACAAGAGGAACTTGAGGATTATGGTCCACAAGAGACAAAAGTTGTTAAGATACCTACGGACAAAGGAACGCGGGGGTGATAGATGGCAGCATGTGACCAACACTTTGGGATTGAGCGAAGGGACGTGGAAGGGCGAAATCAGCCTGTAAGCTTATGTACACCACAGGCCATTAAGGCATGTATTATAGAGGATATGAAGAGTACGAAGCACTTTGTAAACCATGTCCATAATCTCCCTGCGCCTCCCACCTATGATAACAACTACAAACCATGAGCAGAAGCATGTCGCTGAGGTTGAACATAAGGGACTATCAAAACATGCTGAGAATTTAGAATACACTAATGTAGTTGCCAATGCGCTCCTTCTGGTTTTGAGCTATGCACTCAGCAATCCATGTGATGTTTCGAATCTCCTGATATACAGTTAGCATTGCAACGAGGAGAACTTGGAAAGACATACCTGTTCCCGTAGTTTAACCCAAGCATAGACAATAGCGAATGTGAATTGTCTTGTGAAGGCACCCTTCGAGATCTCCATCTCCTTTTGATAGAACAAATCTTCCAAGCTCTTCCCATCTGATCCAGCCCCTCCACTCATGTTTCCAGCGCCAGTGCTGTTTTGGCCCATTCCTGTAGCTTCAAAATAGCTCTTGTAGTCACCGACACCATCAACAGCGAGTCTGACACCCTCGATGTCATCTGCTCTTGATAGCATATAGGAGCCTTCAGGATACAGACGACCGAAGGCAGGGTATAGCTTCTTTCTGTCCGCCTTTGATAGCTCTGTACCGAACGAGTTGAGAGTGATATTGATAGCTCGTCGATCAGCCTCAAATTCCAAGATCTCCGTCATAACTTCTGCTGTAGGCGTCCCAGCCATTTCTGGATCTGTATTGACGAAGTTGTGGAAGTCCTCCAGGTAGTTCTTGTACAAAGTATTTCGGACAATCTCGATGTTGAGCTCATCCAGATCCTGATGGCTCAAGCTTCCCTTGAAGTATGGTGCAAGTGGGGTTTCAATCAAGACGCTGTTATACAACTCCTCGATGTTGGTGGCCACACAAAGGACGGGCATTGTCTCGAACCAGCCCAGTGGATGACATCTTTCCAGCAATTCCCGGGTATCTCTTTCGTGTAGGGTTCCAGTAATCAGTAGAGCCACATTATCGATCATATAACCATAAGTCAGGAAGTCGATGAATTTCGCCAGTGAACCGACTGCATTTGCTCGTACATATCGGAATTCTGAGATGAGCTTGTCGGTCGTTCTCGCAGCTAAGCTCGAGGTCGAGGGGTTGGGAGGGAGGGAGGCAAGGAAGTCGCCGTACGCAGGACCAAGCTGTAATTTGAGATCTAATAGGTTAGTTGGCTGCAAAGTATCTACAGGAGATGACTTGCCGTCAATGGTGTCGCATTGCACAAGGTTATTGTAGTTTTGGCCAGTGAGAAGACTGGGACAAGAGTCAGTATCATACGTCCTATCGTAGAAGAGAACATACTTATTTCTATAACCTCTTACAATCCCTTCGATGTATCCATTATTGACGTTGAATAGAAGGCCTTCCATCTTGCGGATATGTTGCGGCGTTGATCGTTGAGTATTTCGACAGCGATGTGTAGCTACCTGCCTGAGCTTTGATCGATGTCGATATAGACCCGCTTTTCGCACCAATAGGCGACCTCGCGAAGCTACGACTAGCGCGAACAAGCAAAAACGCTAACTTTTTTATTCTCGAAGAAAATTGAGTATCGAGATTTTGGCAACATAACGACCGCAGAACAATCTTCATATTCAAGATGGGACTTTTCGTCCTCACAGAGACTGCCGCGGGCTTTGCCCTTTTCAAAGCCAAAGACAAGAAGATTCTGCAGAAAGATGACCTCTCTTCTTCAGATGCGGAGGCCATTAACGAGCTGTAAGTTCAATTGACATGCGATTGCGTTTTTACAACTTCGTCGCACAGTACTGACTACAGTGCGCTGGTAGCTTGAAATTGAAGACCTTTGAGAAATTCGATAGTGCAGCAAGTGCGCTGGAAGAAGTTGCATGTATCACTGAGGGCAAAGTCTCTGGACTTTTAGGAAAGCTGCTCGATACCCTCAAAGATGAAAAGAAAGCATCTCTGGCTGTGGCCGACCCCAAATTGGCCTCTGCTATCAATAAGCTGCCAGGCTTGACTCTTACGCCCATCTCCGACTCGACGACGAACGAGATCTACCGTGCGATTCGCGACCAACTTCCTTCTTTAATCCCAGGCCTCAAGCAAGAGAACATCTCTACAATGGCATTGGGTCTCTCACATTCGCTGTCACGTCACAAACTCAAGTTCTCCCCAGACAAGGTCGACACCATGATTATTCAAGCTATCGCACTTCTCGACGACTTGGACAAGGAATTGAATACCTATGCTATGAGAGTTAAGGAGTGGTACGGATGGCATTTCCCTGAGATGGGCAAGATCGTCAATGATAACCTTGCTTATGCTCGAGTTATTCTGACAGTTGGTATGCGCACAAACTGCTCGAATACCGATTTGTCCGAGGTTCTACCAGAGGAGATTGAGACTGCTGTTAAGGCCGCTGCGGAAGTCAGTATGGGAACTGAAATCACTCAAGAAGATTTGGACAATATCCAACTTCTCGCTGAACAAGTTGTTGGGTTCACGGAATACCGCCAGCAACTCTCCCTATACCTCACCGCTCGTATGGCAGCCATCGCACCCAACTTGACCGAAATGGTTGGCGAATTAGTCGGAGCTAGGTTGATTGCACACTCTGGATCTCTCATGAACCTTGCAAAGAGCCCTGCCAGTACCATTCAAATTCTCGGTGCTGAGAAAGCGTTGTTCAGGGCTTTGAAGACCAAGCACGACACACCAAAGTATGGTCTCATCTACCACGCTTCTTTGGTTGGTCAAGCTACAGGAAAGAACAAGGGCAAGATTGCTCGTATGTTGGCGGCTAAGGCTGCTATTGGAATCCGTGTGGATGCTCTGTCGGACTGGAGCGCTTCAGGTGAAGGCAAGGGTGACGATATTGACGATGAGGAGAGGTCGATTCTAGGTGTCACATCACGTGCAAAGATTGAGCGACATCTTCGAGCTCTTGAAGGCAAACCATTACTGCCCAGAGGCGTTGCCGTTGGACCAAATGGGAAGGCTGCCACACCGGGCAAATGGGAAGTGAAAGAGGCACGAAAGTATAACGCTGATGCCGACGGACTTACTGGTGACGAGCCTGCTGCCATCGAGCCTGTTTCCGAGAAGAAGTCGAAGAAGGAGAAAAAGGAGAAGAAAGAGAAGAAGAGCAAGGTTGAGGAAGTCAAGAAGCCCCTGATCCAAGAAGTTGACGAGGATGAAGATTCCGATGAAGAGATGGCTGATGTTGATGCTGGGCTTGGTCTCGCACCGCCAAACCTGAACGGCACCAAGGCGAAGCCAGTAGCGAACGTAAAGAAGGTTGATGAAGAGGAAGGCTCAGACTCAGAATCTGATAAGCAGTGGCAATCGTCGATAACTGGCAACACCAAGGAAGCCAAAAAGGCACGAAAGAAGGAGCGACACGAGCGCAACCTCGCAAAGGCCGCAAAGAAGGCCGAGAAAGCTGCCAAAGCCGCAGCGAAGGCAGTAGTATCTGAACCAGAACAGAACGGCGAAGATCCAGATATCAAGGCTGCCGAAGCCATGGGTCTCAGCCTGAAGAAGTACAAGAAGAAGCTAGCGAAGGGTTCCATCAAAGTCAGCGAGGACAACACACCCGTGAAAGTCAAGACACCCAAGCCATCGGAAGCGGGAAGCACACCAGACACCAGCAGCAAGAAGCGAAAAGCAGATGATGCAGAAGAAGGCGAAAAGTCAGAAAAGAAGAAAAAGAAGAAGAACAAGAACTGAATGTTCGCAATGAACGAACTTTCTTTTCTGTATCATAAATGCTGCTGCTGCTGCTACACAGGAGTCTGGCGTGGTTTGGATCGTTCTTAGGCGCTGGGCTGGATAGCTCATCTTTGTCTGCTTGTTTTTTACTTGGGTTCATTGCGGTGGTGGCATGGTGCTCTACGAGTTACATAAAAAGAATGGAAATACCACGTGCATACTTATTGGAACAATTCTGCTTTCGCCATGATGTGAACCATTCTAATGTGAATCCACTCGCTCTCATCTTAATCCTTCTCAGTCCTGTCCAACTCCAAGCACTAGAAGACCAAGCAACAAAACCCAACCCAGATTTTATAATGTCATGGGGGCCAGAACACTGCCATAGCCTGTTCTCACTTACATAGCGACGAGTACGAGGTAGTAACCACGTAAACTAAAAACAGTCAAACCAGACCCAATACATTCTACTATTCTACACTCTTTCTTTTCTCTGCCATTCCCCAACTCCATATTCTATCCTCGACTAGCAACCATCTGCTCACTAATAACCTGCGCCAACCTCCCGGACATATCACTATCCTGCTTCGCCTCCCCAACCGCAAGCAACACTTTCTTAATCCCCACACCCACCTCATCCGTGCCCGTAATAGATCTCAATTCATTCAGCGATTCCGCGAGATCGCTCTCGTGCTCGAACGCTTGTACTTCGCGCAGCACGGACGCGAGTTCCTGGTGCGAGGTGATGTTCGGCACGGCGAGTTCGCGGTTGAAGATCTGTTGGAGGTCGAGTTGGCGCATGACGGAGCGTTGGGAGGTTGTGCCTAGGATGAGGAGACGGCGGGGCTGTGGCAGTCGGTCAGTATTTAATCAATTATATACAGAAGGAGGGGAAAATACTTACAGCGGGAGGTTGTTTCGTGAGGAGAACCATCAAGGCTTGGAGGACTGGATTCGAGAATCGTGGTCCGATAGGGACCCACTCAATGATTCGCTCGATGTTGTCTACTACGACGATGTTTTGTGGTGATTTATACGCATCTGTGAAGACTTTGTTTAGGTATTGGATCTTAGCCATCTCGCTGAATCCAACCATATTTTCAGCAGAGACGAGCTTGATGAATGGGAATTGAGAGTCCTTCGCAATCTTCGCCGCAAGAGCAGTCTTTCCTGATCCTGGTGGACCATGAAGCAGAACTGACAGTAATGAAGTGGTGGCTGAATTCTTGACCAAGTCGACGAAGAGACGGCCGTCCTTGAGGATATTCTCGATATATGGGCTGTAGTGCAGAATGCCAGCGCTCATGGCAGTCTCGAGCTCCTCTTCAGAGACACCGAATGCGGGTTTGACTTCCTCAAGAGCATTCATGAAATCTCCTCTGTTGACCTTCATGTTCTCAATGTCATCACTGACACCAGCAACAGTGCCAACCTTGACATGGCGGTTGAAAGCAAAGGAAGATGCTGACTTCACCAGACCTCCAATCTCGGCTCCCGAGAAGTTCTTCGTTATGTGAGCAAGCTCAAGAACATTAACGTCCGTATCCATGACATTATTGTCCCGCATCTTCGAGGTATGAATCTTCAAGATCTGAGCTCGGCCTGCCTCGTCCGGAAGTGAGATCTCCATATGCACCTCCAAACGTCCAGGACGGAGGAGAGCATCATCAATCATGTCCATACGGTTGGTCATTCCAATCAACAGAATATTGTTGAGTTGATCCACACCATCGAGTTTCGACAGCAATTGATTGACAACGCTGTCGCCGACACCAGTTCCACCACCAGCTCCGCTACCTCTCTGTTTACAGACCGCATCCAACTCATCGAAAATGATGATGTGGAGTCCGCTCTCGTCTCCTTTCTCTTTATACTCCTTCTCAGCATCCGCGAAGAGCTTTCGAATATTCTCTTCTGATTGACCGACATACTTATTCAGCACTTCTGGACCGTTGATGACTTTCGGCTCTCTCGAATTCAACATTTTTCCAATTTGACGCGCAATAAGCGTCTTTCCGGTACCAGGAGGTCCATAAAGCAGAATACCCTTCACGTGCTGAATACCCAATTTCTCAATCAAACCCGGAGGGAAGATACGTGAAGCGAAGGCTCTTCGGAAGATGGCACTGAACTCTGTATCTAGACCACCAATTCCCATATCCTCGAACTTGAAATCTGGGGCAATGATGGAATTGGCGGCCGGCCGCTTGGAAGATCCCTTAAGCTTGATTGGTGATTTCGCATCTTTGTAAAACGTAATCGGTGTATGTCTAGTCAAGATACCCCGCGCAGCAAGATTCGATACTGTAGGCGCAGCACCAGAGCTCTTCTCCATGCTCAGATCAACCAGCTGTACAGTCTTCACCATGAACATCAGAGGGATATTCTTGTAATCCATGAGTAACCTTTGTCCCGGAGCAAAGATCTGGTTCTCGAATTGCTTGATGAACACATCCGCCAAAACATCCTGGTCATATGGAGTCTCCGTGAATTTCTTCAGAGACGCAAATCCCACATCGACATCAAGAGCTCCTAGATATGTGCTTGGGCCTTGTTGGAAGGGATCGTAAAGCTCAGCTGTAATTTGATCCATCATTCCCACATCGCACCATGTTCGCTGCGGATCCGACAGACTTATACATCCAGGAGGAAATCCCTGTAACGGTCGAGCTGTAACCACATTTCTTCCATTCAGGAGAATATAGAGATCCGAGCCATCTCGCGAGGGAGGAAAATCCATAGGCGATACCGCACATCTGTAAGGGTCGTCAGCAAGGGATTTCCTTAACCGTTACTGTTTTTTTGTGAACTCACAGATTCCCGAAAATGTATTGGCTTTGCAAAGTCTTGTCTTCTACCTTCGCTATCCTCAACGGTATTCTCTTCCCAGGAGACTTCGGCTGTGGAGGCGCTCTACCAACGGGTGGCCGTGAAGGCATTTGTCTCTCCGGAGACATAGGAGCACCATAGCTCTGTCTGGGCGGATTCCCATACTGTCTTGGATCATCATATCCGCCCACCATTACTTCGTCTCTTGGAGGAGTTGCGGGTGGACGATCGTATCCGCCTGCTGTCCGTCCGGCTTTTGGACTTTGGCCAAAGAGGTTCTGTCGGATATTCATTGCGCGGGGTCGTTATTCTTTCTGAGGCTATTCGTGTTCTTGAATGATCGTCGAGTCGTAAATCTTCGTTTCGTATAAGTGTCCTCCGCGTTAGCCTACGCCTTCGTGGCCTGTAAGCTGTAGGAGCTTACACCTCTGTCCTTTCCAGCAATGACTCTTTCAGCAAGAAGCCAAGTATCCCTCTCCACAAATCGTAAATAAAGCTGCTGCGTCGTGCTGTCCTTTGTTCCGAACTATCCTAAAATCTTTTACGGTGAAAATGCGGATTCCGTCGTGGGCAGTTCCTCTTGTTTTGCGGTTGTTGTCTCTGACAAGTTTGACATCAGCTGTAGGCGGGAGCGCAGCAGGGGGCGATCTGAGGGTCGCTGTCGGGCTGGGATTCGCTCTTTCAGGTGCTGAGAGCCCCACCAAAACGAGGTGCGGCGATTTCCCCACAGAGACAACGGCCGCGCCGACGTTATCGCAGCCGACTATCGACGGTCTCAGCCTCGACTTGGATTTGTTTGTCAAGGTGGGAGATTTGGAACTGAAGACTGCAATCATGCCTCTGTAAGTCTATCCATTTTCTTATTCTATCGTATTCTGCTCTACCTTCTATTACAGAACACACTGTAATAAAGCAACAACAATGTAACCTTCTCTCCAAGAACCTGCTAACACACCCAAGCCACCTCCTAGGCAAAAAATCATGGAACGTCTACAACACCGACAACATCGAGCGCGTCAAACGCGATGAAGCCATTGCCGCAGCCCGCGAGGCTGCCGAAGAAGAGCGCATGCAAGAGCTCGACGCCGAACGACGCATGCAAATACTTCGCGGCGAAGTCCCTACACCTTTACCCATCACCTCTTCCCAAGATGACCAGGACTCCCAACCCCGGCGAGAAGATGGCAGAGAACGTAAAAGGCGCAAGAAAGCCGGGGAGAATGATACGGATTTCGAAATGCGGGTGGTGAGAGAAGATGCCAAGCGGTCGGAGCAGACGAGCCAGCTTGTTCTGAGGAAGGATTCTGGTGCCCCGTTGACGGATCATAAGGGGCATATTTCTCTGTTCCCGGAATCTCAGCCCAAGCGTCAAGAGAAGAATGCGGAAGCGGAAGCTGAGGCTGCGAAGAAGAAGAAGGAGTATGAAGATCAGTATACTATGCGTTTCTCGAACGCAGCGGGGTTCAAACAGGATATTGGGGGTCAACCTTGGTATTCGAAGGCTGGTCGAGAAGATGAGACGGAGAGTGAGGTGGTGGTAGGGAAGGATATTTGGGGGAATGAAGATCCGAGGCGAAAGGAGAGGGAGGTGCAGAGGTTGGTTAGTAGTGATCCGTTGGCTATGATGAAAGCGGGTGCTGCGCAGGTTAGACATGTTGAGAAGGAGAGGAAGAAATGGAGGGAGGAGAAAGAGAGGGAATTGGAAGCGTTGAAGAAGGAAGATAGGAGGAGGAGGAAACGGAGACGTGATGAAGAGGATGATTTGGATAGTTTCAGGTTAGATGACGGTGAATCGAGGAGGGAGCATAGAGATGGGGATAGGAGTCGGGAAAAGGAGAGGGAGCATAAGCGAAGAGATAGTGATCCGAGGCGAAGCTCATTTAGGGGAGATGACAGACATAAAGACAGACATAAGTCTAGTCATAGTCATAGTCACCGACACAGACATCATGATCGATGAGCTACTAGTTATGATATCTAATGCCATTTCAGAGATTCAGCAACCCATGATTGTCCACCAAAGCAAAAGCTCCCTAACATCCATTATTATCTGCCCCAAACTCCAACATTAGCAATACACTCAATACTCCTCCCACACCACCCCTCTCTCACACCCCCTAAGCATCATCAACAACAACCTTCCTCATCTCCCCCCTACAAACCTCACTCACCTCCCTACACCCCAACCCCTCCAACCTCCGCAACAACTCTTCCACCAACGCGTGACTCCCCCCTCCCCTCCGATCAGAATAAACATCCACCCCCGCCGGCGTAAACAAACTCGGCGCAAACCACGTAACAACCCACCTCTCCTTCCCCCCATCCCCCTCTCCATCCCTTTCTCCCCACCCCAAGACCTCCCAATGACTACTAGTAATCCTCAACCACCCCCTCCCCATCCAATTCCACGCCGCCGGCACCTTCTCATCCGGTGTATCGACGCCCTTAATCATCCTCGGTTGTGGGAGGAACGTCTATTCCATCCCATCATCAACTTCTCTCCTTACTTTTCCCAGAAACGAAGAAAGAAAGAAAGAAAGAAAGAAACACTCACCCGTGCAGTAGGTACACTCTCAACCACATCATCCAACAACACCGGCCCCGTCCCTGTCCCCGTGCCGTTTCCGGGGATAATTTTATACGTAATCCTCACGTTCTTCGCTTTGCGCCACATGGGCAGCGTGCTATGGGTAACGGTCCATGTCCGCTCGAGGAACTCTAGTGGGGGTGGTTGCCAGGCTGGTGCTTCTTCTTGGGTAGCTGAGGCGGAGGAGGTTTGGTAGAGGGAGGGGTAGCGAATGTTGATTTGAGAGGGCGGATTTGGGGTTAGGTCTGTCATGTTGGGTTACGGTGGAGGGAGGTGCGGACTGGGTTGGGTTAGTATGCGAGAAGCTGGATGGAGAGGAAAGGTACTCACGGATCAATTCGTCAAGAGAGGTAAGTGTAATGATTGGAATAGAGGCTTTGATGGTGGGTTGTGTGAAGTGAGGTGAGTGTTGATGTTGACGAACGGCACAAGGCTAGCTGGATGGGCTCAGACAAGACGTCACTGACGATCCTGTTTCAAGATTTGGGTTTGTGCTCAACTTATTGTTTGAAACCCCCAACAATTAGATTCATTGCTTTGGAGTCTGGAGTCGATCTTCACAATGTATTATTGTCCATAGCTTGTTAATCACTAGGAATGGATATGTTCAAGGCTCCACATTCTCGCACGCAAGGCTGAGATTCCGCCTCGTCCATCCGAAGGGGTCCATCACGAGTCATATCAAAACATCAAATCAATTATTATCAGCTCAAAGCCATTTATTCATTCCTCTTCTCATCCTGACACTAGCTAGCTCCTTCCCAGCAAGATACAGTAGCTCATAGGTATCTTATCTTCCAAAATCTCGTTGCAAAAAACTGGGGTATACCATTCCATCCATACCATCACACACGCAATGCAATGCAATGCCAAATCACAATCCACCCCTTTACCAGTCCGCTATACCTACATCTCTCGCTTAGACTCCAGCGCTCAGTACAAGCAAACCGCTGGACTCCTCCATATCTACACCCACTCCATAAATTGACAATGTTGTCGTCCTCGATCATGGACAGACAATCCAAGAAAATTCGTCCCATCATAACCACTCAATAAAATAGGCCGTCGAGCCGTGACAGATAAAAACAACAAAGAATGACAGTAGTACTAAGCACATTAAAAGCAAAATATTAGGAACAAGAATCGAACGTCGAATCTCGAGCAATAAAACAATAAGTTGTTACAAGAAGTGTCCATTAGGGTATGGACTTTCGTAATGGAGACCGTAATGACCGGCCTGGTTGTTGAGGCTTGTGGAGAGTCGCTGGTGGATCCATTGTAGTCGATCATGGCTGAATGATCTTTCCGTATCTAGAAATCTCTTCGTCAGAGAGTGCAGCCATCCACAAACATCTCTCTGTGACCCCCTCGATCGGAACGAATCTGTACAGTTGACTGGCCTCCAGCAATCTCAGTAGATTCTTGACAATCGTAGCATCAGTACGGCAGCGCTCAAAGTTGACTAACGGCTCCGTGGTTGGTGTGCTTGCAATTTGGCTGGGTCTTTCCGAGTTGACAAGTAAGTCATGAGTGTAGATTCCGACGAAAGGAATGCATCCTTGATCACCTCCAGCGCCTTCCATCTCAGCTCTCAAGTTGTGGAAATTGTGTGTTGGCGTAACAAGAGTCTCAAGTTCCTTCAAGGTCTGTACATCAGCTGCTGGTACGTGTGCCCAGGTCTTTGTGAGACGCGCAACATCTTTCGAGGTAAGAGCAACAGTGAGTTGAGTCATAGTTGCAAAATTGCGGTACTTGCGACAATGTGCAGCAATATGAATGTACTTGATGATACACCGCACACGCTCTCCGAGGTCTTGGGTCAACACACACTCCGATACAGCCCACTTTACCATGATATTGAACCGGGCAATGACAACTTCAACTCCGCGGGGTTCAGAAGCGCGAAGAAAGTCAACCCAAGAACGAGATTCTGTTGAGGCATCCTTCCAACGCATCTCGATGAGATCCTTCCAGTCTATCTCATTCAGAGCATCTTTCTCGATCAAGGTGAACTGCTGAGCAAGAACCTGCGAATCAAATGCCAAAGTGAAAGGCAAATGGACTGAAGTTTTGCGAGATGCTTCAGGAATTTGATGTGACCTGAGAGGATCCATGGTTGGAGAAGCTCCTCTAGTGCCTCCAAATCCTTTAATGGGAAAGGTGGCAGTAGGAGTAATCTCTGGCGTTGGCGGAAGTGCCTTGTGCTGCTTCTGCTGCTGGTCTAATTGGCCCTCATGAACCATTGGAATGTGAGCCGTGTTGGGGGACAACTGAAGAGCTTGAATTAACGTCATGGGAGGCGATGGAGGATGAGCCAAGGGATGAGATGGAAGATCATTTTCTTTGTTGGTTCCGGAGCGGAAGGGAGGAAAGGCTCGGGTAGAAGTTGAGTCGTGCGCAGTATACTCCGTTCTTGAGATGATTTCCATGGATATTTCGGACGAAAGATCGCTACGTGCATCACTGTCAGTGTCCAGAAATGACTGACTAACACTTGGTCTCGTGTCTCCTGCGGCAATTCTCTTCATGCTGTCAGTCTCTTCGATGAAGTCAAACGAGTTGACATGGGAAGATTCAGGTGTCTGAAACTCGAAAGCAGCTCTCTCGTTGCTTGCATCTCGTAGAATCGAATGATCCGACCAGTTGCGTTCTCTACGTTCGTTGCCATCATCGGTCAGGCCTCTTTCTAAAAGTGGTATCGAGTTGTAGGACTCGACTGATCTAGGTGAGATGAGCATTGAAGACGCGGGAGGTTGCATTCTTCGAGGTTGATAGACTGTAGGCTTTAGTTCTTCGAGATTGGAGACCTGCTGAGGTCGATATGTTTCGATAAATGGTGGTGGAGTCTTTGTCATCCCAGTCTCAAGAACATGCTTCTGTCGGTGGCGTCGCTTTTCTTCCTCTTCTTCGTCGATTGTGCTGACTTGGCGACCGAAGCTGTTGCCATCCGCTAAGAGCTCTTGCGGTTGAGTTTGTCCAGATACATCAGAGCGTCTCTTCTCAAACTTGCCCTCTAACTTCAAAAGCGCAGATTCAACTCCACCGTCATCGTCCTCGTCGTCCGGAATCTGTGCAAGCATTTGAGCTTCTTTTTCAAATGATGGGCGCATGACTGGTTGAGAAGAGTGCGTGCTGAAAAGTGAAGCACGGGGTTTTGGCGAAGACTCTGCCAATGCTCCCAAGGAGAACGTCGAAGTCGTCTGGGGTTGCTCTTCTTGAGGAACGTCAACATAATCGCTAGACACATGTCCGAATAAGTATGAGCTGCGAACAGACTCCGAGTAGGTCGTCAGTGATCCTGTTGACATTGGTCTTCGGAGAGGATGAGCGTTCAGATCCCCAACATTGGAGACTGCTCGCAGATCACCTCCTGGACGTCTTCGAAGAACTCGAAGAGGCAAGGGCACTGACGGTACATCTGAGAGTCGGTGTACGTCCTCAGCTTCGGAGAAAGTTGAGGCATCGAAGCTGCGCTCACTGAGATCTCGAGTAAAGCCGCTGTGGTAAGAAGCATAGCGCCGCAAAGATAGGGATCGTTTTGACTTGTACGACTGACCTCGAGCTCCTCGCATTGCGAGCCTTCCTGGTGGCCTATGACTTGGCGAACGGCCATCATCTCCTGAAGGCCGAGAATCATTCACAAGAGAAGGGGTCTGCTCGAAGGAATGTGATCGAGTCCTAGTATGTTGGCCCAGGAGATGGGATGATCGTCGTGGGGTTCCAAGAGGAGCATCTGGGGGTGTTGAAGGTGGTGTAGGTCCTCCAGACGGATGCATAAACGTATCGGCAAATGTATCGACAGATGGGTTCATTGGCAAGGCCCCTGTCATCACTGGCAGATCGGTAGGCAGTGTATCATCTACGATGACTATTGATTTGCTGCCGGTGGTCATCTCACTGACTGGTGCTCTATGAGGAGTAGGCCGGGAATCTTCAAAGGTAATGTCTGGAGCCATCACAGAGTAGTTTAGAGCAGTCTCGTGTTCACTGCTCTTGGTTGATTTGTGATCCGCAGCTGCTCGTAGTTCTGCTTCTGCTTCCGCATCCTCTCTGACAGCCTTTTTAAAGTCTTCAGCGATTTCTGCTCCTAGCAGATCGATACGCATAGGTGCTTTCGCGCTAGTATTGCGGGGACGAGCTTGCGGGACAATTGCGGTACCAGGAAGACGATTGATTGTCGCACCTCTAACTCCCAGTGGAGGGATGTTAGGAAAGCTTCCTTGCGTTGGAGATGCATTCGGACTTTGGCCGGTCCTAGTACTCAATGCACGACGAACACTACCCAAGAGCTTTTTCATCCCAGGTCCAGACATAGCAGAAGGACCCTTCTGGTTTGCACCTGTGCCAGGAAATAATGTCGTCTGGCGATTCATTTCCGCAGGTGTACTGGGAGCGAGGACTTCGACAAAGGCCTGTCCGGGCGGGAAAAGATTTCCCCTGACGAGACTTCCAGCATAAGGAAGAGCAAGGAACAGCTCAGTACTCTTGTATATAACCTTGTGAACAGGTTGTTGCTGCGCTCTCTTATCCCTAAGCGAATCAGAGAAGCTTGCACTCCGTTTATGTGCATGCGTCGGCCGGACTCGTTTGCCAGTGAGGGCTCTCGGCGTTGTTGCTACGTGAGGTGACGTGTCATAGATTGAGCTTGCTGGGACTGGATGAGCACGTAGAGGGTTTGTGCCTCCGTTTGCTCGCGTACGTGATGGGAAAGAACAGGAGACGAAGTCTTCGCTCATTATACTTGTAGGCGATAGAGGAGGATCTTCCAAAGGATCTTCTTTCTGGATCGTCGGAATCTGGTGAGGCATAATCATGGTATCGAGATGACCAGCACGAGAAACATCTGCAAAGAAGTTTTGACGATCGGCAGCTTCCGCTTCGGAATCGATGAAATCTGGTTCAATGATACCGTCTAATCTTGGAGGTCCATTTGGATGTGTTTCCCAAAAGCTCGGGTCCAGTTTTGGATTTCGAGAACCCGCCACTCCTCCAGGTCGGATAGGAATATCAGGTCCAAGGTCTGCATCGAATTCCGGTCCATCCCAATATAATGCACACACTCTCCTCCAGCATTTCTTCAGTTCTCCAACAATCTTCAATGGAATCTTCGTGCGTACAGGATCTTGGTCTATATCGCGGGCGAAGTTGTTCATCAGATCGCAAAACGAGACCCGCAAGTCATAATCAACAACATAGTCATCCAGGAAGTAGTTCAAAATCCAATGTCGAATCGCCACGAAGGTTCTGACCCGGACTACCGTTCCAGTCTCGTCACCTCTAGCCAAGGCCCACTTGAGACGCGCGATTAGCATGAACAATAAGTCTGATGTCTCGAGAAACGAGCGAAAGGTGAGAAAGAAGTCAGACAGTAAGTCATAGTCTACGAAGGTCGGGGAGGTGATCTCAGCTACCAGGCGCGCTGGAGTCGCCGCTCTTATTCCTCCACTCGCTGAGTATCGGACGACGGAAGGATGATCACACTCTGGTTTGAAAGTAAGAGCGTCAAACATGTCAGGAGTGATGGCTGTCCTTTGTCGAATGATACCAGGGGCAATGGACTGGTTCGAGCCACCGAAAGGACTTGCGGGAACAGCAGGTTGGTAAGGTTGTGGGGACGCGTCGGAGTGACGCCGAGAAAGGATTCGCGGTCGTCGATCGGTACTTTGTTCTCGGGATGCATCTTTGTAGGAAAAGACGCTAGACCGCATGTCATCGGTGGTGGTATAGGACGATCCTCGAAGGAATGCCGTCCCGCGCATACTGAATCTAGGCGTGCCTAACTTGTATGAAGGTATTGGGACCTCAAGTGTCGGTATTCCAATGAAAGTCTCAGCAGGCTTTGGTCCGGTCCCTGGCCTCTCAATTACCACCTTGAAAGCACCTGCATCCGAGTCTAATACCGGTACGTGCTGCTCATCCACGGTCGAATATGAATGCGCACGTTTATGGCGCGGTTTTTGAGTCGGCGATTTGATTTGAGGAAAGTATTGATCGCGATCACGTTGAGCAGGCGTTGCTGGTGAACGCGTAGGAGTCCACAGACTATCTCGTTGAGAGTCATCGGCCTCGTTGCGTGCTACCAATGCATCCAGTCCAGCAGTGCTTGGTGGGGTGATGGGGAAAACGAACGACGGCTGAGGGTACCGTTGATTTGCAGGACGAATTGTAGGACTATACTCCTGTGTCAGCCACTGTTTACCCCAAACATCATGCCTTATAAGAGAAACAACGACATCATCAAGCATGTTTTCCTTCTTGTCTTACCGAAGATATATTTTGCCATTGTTGCCAACCTTTGCAACCGTGAACTGTCGTCCTTCTCGTCCCGCTGAACCACCGTCTGGCGTCACATCATATCTCATATCCTCTGCGTCTCTCCTAGCACGTCGATTGACACTGTTTTCCTTGCGCAAGCCGTCCTGCAATTGCTTCTTCTTCATCAAGTCCGACGATCGGGTTCCAATGGCCTTGGGCTTCGGGGCTGGCGATAGTGTAATTCCATTCTTCCGTGACGGATCAATCTCTCGCACACTCTCCGATATGCGACTTGTCTTCGCGAACCGACCTCGAGGGGAAAGGCGATCTCGTTGACGCTGTCGCAGACTCTCTGGCGTGTGAGTGCTGCTGGGCGTGGGAGCAGCGGCCCCAGGAGGGGCGGGTCCGTCTATGTCCATCTCTCTCGCTCTCTGCCACTCTTTCGACGGGGTAGCACTCAGCTACTTTGAGGCTTTTCGGATCGTCGATGCATTGATGTCGTTCTCAATTGAATCGGGAGATCTATGACGAGGGGAGGATGTTACGATCTCTTTCGAGCGACAGCAGTTCTCGTGCGATGCAGATGCAGTTGCTCGAGGCGGACACTGCAGAAATGGTCGAAGGAAGGACCAAGGGAGTGAGTGAGTGGTCGCGGGAGGAAGGTGCTTTGGTTGGCTGTGATGTGATGGCTGAAGGAGGAAGTGCAGTGCAGCTGCAGGGCATGGGGGAAGAAAGAGAGCAGCACCGGCGTCATGGGTTGGAGAGTGAGTGCTCCGTCAGTTCAGTTCAGGACCCAGGACGGAGTGTAGAAGAGACAGAAACAGACTAGAGTAATGACCAGGCGAGGCGAGGCGAGGCGAGGTTGGTGCAGCAAAGTTGCAGGAGTTCACTTCAGTTCAATCCAAGTCAATTTCCAGTGCTGCTAAACCCAGATTGGCCTCGCGGGAGGTGAGTGTTGCCACTGATTGGCCTTCACACGCAATTGCCCCGCTGGTGGCCCTTTAGCGATCGATGCCTAGTCAATGGGCACTGATCACTCACTGATGAATAACTAGGCACAGTACGTACTGAATGCTGGAAATTATTACAGGGAGCAGCTCAGATACTTGGGCACTGTCACTCCCCCTTGTCCTGCCCCGTCCTGTCCTTGGCTGGTCTCTCTCTTCCCTCCCTTTTCCCTAGCAAAAAAGGCTGCTTTGGGCTAATCGCAGAACTCACAGTCAAATCCCGGTCCGTCAAAGAGTTGCTTCAGGCACGAGCGCTGGAAATAATCGAATCATGAAATAGCCTTTGCACCAAACTCATATCCACCATATTAATGAGAACCCGTCCGCACAAGCAGTCCAGTGTCCACACATCAACAGCAAACCTGCTGCTGCTCCGAACCGCTGCATGTGCGTGTGGCCACCAAGTCTAGTGTCAATGTCTGACGAATATACTGTAAGCAAACCGTTAGGGCTTGAGCGTGCGTGCGTACTTGGCGGCGAGGGAAAAGAAGCAATAAGAAAGCACAACGACATCTAGAATTCAATCTGACTTTGCCTCGCCGAGGTGTTTGTCTTTTCCTTGTGTCTGAGCAGATCCATCCATCATTCACTTCATGGGTACGAGTCGTCGTGAGTGCCGGCCACGCATTCTCCTCGTCCCCTTCGGCTGATACGCTGCCCAAGGAGAACCCACAGGGGCTTTCAGCCTCTTGAAGCCATCCGGACTCGACGATGACTCGTTCGTTCCGGCCCCTCAACCAACAAGAACTCACAGATGCCTCGCTCTCGTAATTCCTCAGCTGGATGACTTCGTGTCCACGAAAAAGAGTAAGTTCGACAGACAGATCTGCCCTCACTATTGGCATGCTATCGAACTCCTGTGCGTCAAAGGCTGCCAATCTGTGCTCCCGTCGCTCAGATGCACGATGACAGGAAGCGGCGAGGCTGGTCCAGGTCACTAATACTTCGTACACTACTGAGCGAAATGGCCCAAACAGGTCACTTACTGGTCCGCGCAGTGACCATTCAGGGGACCCAGACCGATCACCAGATCGTGTCGCCTGCAGCTGCAGCTCAATGCATCAATTCCACACCGCATCAACACTTCTGGGCAGTGGGCAGTGGGCAGTGGGCACACTCAGCAACTGCTGGGAACGAAATCGTGATCCACACACGCACTCACGGTCGGCGGTACTTTTGCTCGCGGCACTGCGCCGGCAGGATGCGAAATCACATCGAGTCTGACTGGAAAGGGAAATTCTGAGCGCCACTCCTCTTCAACCTGCCACTATCACACCCATCTCAATTTCCTCTTCTCTTAGTCAGGATACTTCCCTTGCGGTACCAGAGTTGGAATTGCCGCCATCGGTCGCGGGCGGGAGTGATTGAGCGTTGAGACTGAGACCATGGGGGAAATTGCATGAATCAGCCGGTGATTTCAACACCACCTGCAATTCCAACAATCATCACTCGAAAAAGAATTGGAGATATCAATAGAACAAGATTATTGACCCAAGCCTCGGAATATTATCGATTGAGACTCGGGGAGAAGACAGATCCTGCGAAAACCCAACGGGCTGGACACGGAAAATCGAAGTTCCCCCACAAGAAGAGGAACATGGCCAACCCGAGGGCGCAAAACCACACGAGCAACTCTAACCATCCCGCCGGCTTCACGGAAAGCTGGGAGACATCCCCGCGACGGCGCCGTTTTCTGCTTCCAAGTGCCTTCAAGCTCATGGTACTACGGGGTATTTATGCCCAACATGCAACTTACAAGAACTGTACTATACGAAGTTAATCTTCATAGATAAGTCGTCCACTCTCAACTTATTCGACCCAGCCGAGGAAGAAGTCGAGATCAATCCAACGCAAAGGCTTTTGAGAGAAAGCAAACACAAGAAGATACACGTCGATACGCAATTCAAAGCAAAAATAAGCATTTCTCAAACATCAGTCGAGATTCGCACATCCAAGACGATTCTTTCGTCAACTCACCCCACTTCTATCCTTATCCGCATCATTTATCTCCCATTTCATTTCATCTCGCATACCTGCGATCCGACGCATGAACTCATCCTTTCTTTCCATCCCATCCCCTCCTTCCATCCAGGCCTTCCTTCACCTATGACCTAACCAAGCAGCAGCAGCAGCAGCATTCACTAACCTTGTCTCCACCGAATGATATTCCACGTCTCCCAACCTGAGACGAACAAAAAGCAAATCCCCTTCCCCAAAACGTCAACCCCCACACGCAACCCGACACAACGGCTCACCTCCTCCACTGAATCTCGGATTTGACTCCTCACCAGGAAAAAACACGAACCACCCTCTCGGATCCACGGAACCCGCGAGTCAACAATCCAGTCACATATGATAGAATAATAAGTAGGGCTATGCCATTTCCGAGGTTGGAGGAAACCAAACCAGAGGGTCGGGAAACATGTGCGGAAGATGGGAACGTGAGACGGGAGTGCAGGACTGAGCTGCAGTTTTTGGGATGGAACTGTTGGTTGGTGTGTACAGTATTTTGTGTGCAACTCCCAAGCTTCCTGATCCAGCAGATTCTAGGATTCTATGCAGATAACTCCTTCCTTTCTTCTCCTAGCATATTAACATCCCTAAAAGGTTGCGAATAATATAAATCGAGGCGTGCACAAAACAGCGCCGCGCCCAAATAACCTGTCAAGAATACACTGACTGATCGCTATCCAATGATCAGAACGTGTCAAAACTCTCGTCTCGTTCGTACCCAGCTCTCCGTAACCGAGTCTCTCCCGTTCCCGTCTCTTTTAATTTGTAATCATCCTCCTCGCTCGTCGCGCAAAATCTCATTCTTCCCGCTCGCTCGCTCACTCAACCCGTCTCTCTCTCAGAGGTACTACAGTACGCGTCCACCTTCCTTCATTCCAAACGCCCCCAAAATCATCGGTCCCAAGCTACTGGGAAACTACCAGTACCTAGGTATGTATCATATATATGAGGTATTGACATCACCACGCACTTTCATTTGACTTGATTTGTTGCTTCGCCTTCGCATACGTAGATACCTCCGTCCGTTCTAATCCAGAACCCTCAGACGTGCCGCACGGTGTCTAGAAGCGGGCAAGAATTCCATTTTGTTGTTTGGTAGGTAGGTACCTTCCATTTCCGCACCCATCTCTCAACCCTCAAATAGACCGAGAGAAATCCTGTTTCCAATCCAAACAAACCCTGAAGAAGATTCGCAAAACCCATTTCTCTTCTCCCCAGGTCCCCTTCATCTTCTTCTTCTAAGAACTCAAATCCCATCTCACCCCATCTCATCTCACCCATCATCCTTCCCTCCCGTCCCGTCCCTCCCCTCTCACCCGCACGCACGCATCCATCCTTCATTCCCAGGAAACACGCGGCTGCTGGTGCTGGTGCTGGTGCTGGTGCCCCTTTCATATCCGTGCCTCGAGGGAGGGGCCAAGCCAAACGAAGCGAACCTTCAAATCAGGATGGCGGGATCGTGAAGAATACGCCCCTCGTCTGTATCTCATTTCGTGCATTCCGTGCCCCGCCTCCTCCTATTTCTCTCTTTCTCTCTTTCTGGCAGTGAAGAATACGCCCCTCGTCTGTATATAAATTTTGCATCTGTAGGTACCTAGCTAGATCTCATTTCGTACTGTACCCCGCGCCTCCTCCTTTCCTTCCAAGGTTCTTTCTGTCATCAAAATCGTGAATCCACCCCCTACCTAGCTATCAAAACCACCTACCTCAATTCTTACACCCCAGCCCCTCTCCTCTCCTCTCCTCTCATCGACAACTCATTCCCGGAAACATACACACGACATACACACACGACATACATACAAACCTCCCTCCCAATTCCAATCACTCGTCCTTCGCATTCGCAAGTCCAGAACGGACGGAGATTACACTGCAGCTTGCAAGCACACACACACACACACATGAATGCATGCATGCAAGCCTCCGTTTTCGTCACTTCACTACGTACTTGGATGACAAAGATGTCCGGATTTGGTGACTGAGTGAAATATTCCTTCCGTTCCGTTTCGCTCCCAGAGCTTTTCTCTGCTGATTTTTATCCAGCGTCAGTTTACGTACTGGTATTATACTGTTAGAATTGGGGACTTTCGTATATTGATCAATCGGAGAGACAAAGTGTAAGTACAGTAGGGGGAAACTATAGCCCTGATCCTAGAGTTCGGAGATGAGATGCGTGGTGAGCACGAGGTGTGCGGGGATGGGGGCTTGATGCTTGGTGAGGGGGGTGATGTTGGTCGGTAAGTCGGTCGGGTTCGGTGTGGGTTTCCTTGCTTGATTGCTTGCTTGCTTCGGTTTGTGGGTTTCGGTTTATTTTTTTTTATTTTTTTTGGCTGTTCCATCGTGGTATTGTCTTTTCGTCATGAGATAGATCTCCCTTTTTCATCTGATCTCAAGCAATCAAACATGAGACGAAAACGTCAGACGCAGGTGGAGATAACGTCTGTAACGTCTGATAGGTATTGTAAGTAAAGGGATGAAGCTTGTTTGTTCGTTTGTTCGTTTCCTTATCAAACAGCCTACCCTCTAGTCAGGGCACAAACTCTATCTACATACCGGTATTCCAGGGGGTATCCTTTCTCGTCACGTTCGTTGGGCTGCGTTGCGTTTCGCGTATTAAGTTCACACAGGGCGAAGAAGAAAAAGTTATTTTGAAGTTACTTTGTATAGTAAACATTAAACGGGTACTGCACTTCGTCCCAAGGAGGGGTACTGTACATCCTTCCCTGGCTGTCACGTTGAGTTGCCTTTCGTTTCGCGTATTAAGTTTCCTGCGCGTGATGAAGAAAGTTACGACGTACTTTGTCATCATTAAGCATGTTATGAGCAGGGAGAGGAGCAGGATATCCCTTGTTGTGGGGTACATGATATCTGCAATCATTAAGCAGCTATATTATGAGAGGTAATGGAAGGATGGCCCTTGTTATGCGGTACTTGTGCACAAGGATGCAAGGTTTGTTAGTTCTACCAGGGCATGTGTGAAGCTTTTGGAGGGTCATAAAGTTATTGATTACTTACTTGCCTTAACGGCTTATCTATCAATCAAAAGCTTATGTCTTTGAATATGCCGTTGGAGGGATAAAAAGTCAAATCATTCCTTGCTTGGATGGCGTGGTCGAGATCAGATCAGATAGAAGTTTGGGTTCCAAAGGCACAGTATGGCAACAGTGTCAAGCAGGGTCTTCAAAAGTTCAATAAAGTGGACCTTAGATGTGGGACCTTTTTATTGACAGGAATACCTGCATAGAGATCAGGGGTCGAAAAGTTAAATAAACGGATGCTAAGTGTGAGTGACAGAGAACGGTAGTTATACTGCCGAAAAGAATTCAGACGTTGGTTCTATAGAGTTGTAGCTTGATGATATTTGTTTCGAGCTCTGGTGATGGAGGGCAAGAAAGCGGAATTCTTCCTCTTCTTTGCCTTGATTTCATAAATTCGTCCCATCCGGAGAAGTGATATTCAGTGGTCAGCATTAGAACAGTGTAGTAGAGGATTTGAGCATGAACATTGTACAATATTAGACATGTTTTTCACCTTGAACAGAATATCCTAACAAGGCAGAGACATCGAAATAGAACAATGTAGATGTGTTTTTCACCTTGGACTGAACGTCCCAAGAAAGCAAGGACATCGAAATTCCCACTTTCCCTCTCAAATCCTTCCCCTAACCGCGCATCTCAAATCATATCACATCACATCACAAGAAAATCTCAATGACTACTTATTACATCTTTCATTCGTGATCGCCTAATGTCTGGTCTGGTTCTTATGCTGTTCTCTCTGTCTGTCTTTCGTTCATCCATCCTCTCTCACTTCGTAAATTCTCCCTCCCCCACCTCCACCACCAGATCCAGCATCTCATGTCAAGAAAACGCCAGATCCGCTATGCAATACATCATATTATACAATCCCATCCCATTCATTCCATTCCATACCATTTCCCATCCATCCATCCCCAATGCAGAAACGCCCACCATGAAATGCCGCTTCGATTCGCTGATTCGCTCGCTCATTAACGCAACGCCATGCGAATATCGTATTATCAAAAGAAGAAAAGAAAAAAGAAACAAAAAAACAACGCCCATGCCATGCAACTTTCGTAAAACATCAAATCTTGCCCCCCTCAGGACCAGGAAGTGGATCCAGCAAATCACCCATAACGGTACTCAAGGCCTTAAAATCGACCGGCTTGGTGATGTAGTTCGAGAAGCCCGCCGCGACGCACTTGTCGAGGACGTCGGCCATGACGTTGGCGGAGAGGGCGATGATTGGCATGCGGGGGTGCGATTCCTTCTTTTCCCACTCGCGGATCTCGCGGCAGGCTTGGTAGCCGTCTTTGTTGGGCATGTGGAGATCACACTTCACAGATGTTAGTTTGAGGGAGACGGTGGGAGAGGAGAGAGGGATTACCAAGATAAGGGAATAGAAGGAATGGGATTGAGAGAAGACTTTATCGGTGCATTCGACACCGTCCAGTGCCAGATCAACGTTGATGCCGACCTTGCTGAGGAACTTGAGGAGGACCTTTTGGTTCGTGGCGTTGTCTTCGACTAGTAAGACTTTGTGGCCCTTGTTACCGAGACGCTTGCCGATGTCTAGGTAGTTTTGTCGTTGGTTTGCAACTTGTTGTTGAGCACTGAAGCGGTTGCGGTCTGTACTCAAATCACGCTCCTTCTCTGGGTCGAAAATGACGGCAAATCTCGAGGGCTTGACAGGCTTGTAGATGAATGTAACGCGATTGTCCTTGGCAAGTTGATCATAGTCATAGACTGTAGCGAGCTTCATCACCTCTTGACGTTGGACTGGGTCGGAGAGAACCACGATGGAAGTCTGTGGCAAGGAGATAGATGCAACGATCTGATCAATAAGAGCCACAATCTCCTCAGCGGAACCAAGGTTCAAGACAATATGTGTGAAGATCACAGGATCCTCACCACCAATCATCACTCTAGCTTCCTCAACACTGGCTAGCCCTGTAATTTGATGAGGAATGTCCTTTGGCAAGGTCATCTCGATATGCTGAGTAGTTGCTTCACGACTATGAGTCTGAGGGCAGATGAGTAGGATCGAGAACATTGGCGGACGGAAGTGCTTCGCATCAGTAGGAGTACCACTTTGAATCGAGGTCGAGCCACTAGTCGAGATTGTTTGTGGGGTAGGCGTCAGCCCTTGCAATGGAGGAGATCCAGGTGGTGGAGACAATCTGTCAGGAAGTGCTAATTTCATATTGGAAGGATCAACGGAGCTTGAGCGAGCTGCCTCACCAAAACGAGCCAGAGATCCTGCAATCGACGAGTTGGAAGATCTGGTAGCGTGAGAACGAGCCGAACGAAGAGAAGGTTCTGAACTGCCAGAAGACAAGACAGCTGGTGAGTCGGTAAGTACTGATTCTGTCTGAGGGCTCTCTTCGTGTGGCGAGGTGAGGATTCTTGAGCTTAACAACGAGGATCCTGCGATCTGCTTCAAAGGGCGTAGGCCAGCGTCGGATATTGATGATCTGACCGACGATTGAGCTGAAGGAACCTTGCTTAGGGCCGGTGTCAATGGTGGATCGGGATGGTCGTCAGTGGTAGGCAGACCAAACTTGGCAGTAAACGTGAAAGTGGAACCCTTTCCTGGAATCGCACTACCCTCCATCTTACCACCATGCAACTCAACAAATTGTCGGGAGATAACCAGTCCTAAGCCAGTGCCTCCGTGAGTTCGAGTACTGCTACCATCAATCTGACTGAATGGCTTGAATATCATCTCAGCTTCTTCTTGTGTGAAACCACGTCCAGTGTCGATGATAGAGAACTCCAACATGACTTCGTTCTCGCGAAGATCACCGTCGTCTGATTTCAAAATCGTGCATCGGCTAAAGACTTCACCAACCGTCGTGAACTTAATAGCATTGCCGATGACGTTCAACAAAACCTGACGGATGCGGAATCTGTCACCCTTGATCATCTCAGGTACATCGGGATCAACAACGTAGTTGACTTCCAGATGCTTGGTAATGGCAATAGTGGAAACCATCTCATTGACCTCTTCGACCAAGGAACGAGTATGAAACCAATCGTACGAAAGCTTCATCATACCTGCATCAGCCTTTGCCAAGTCCAAAATATCATTAATGATATTAAGGAGACCTTCAGCACTTGAGGCGATAGTATTGCAATAATCGGTTTGCTCGTCGTTGAGAGGCGTATCCTGGAGAAAACTGATCATGCCCGAAATACCGATGAGCGGTGTACGGATTTCGTGAGACATGTTACTCAAGAATTTGCTCTTGGACTCCATTGCCTCCTTTAGCTTCATCTCCAACAACTTATGATCATTGATGTCGGCGCATGCACCGAACCAGGAACCGTCTCCGCTACCAAGATTGATGTTGTCCACCTCGACACAGCGTACAAGATGCCAACGATATTCGCCACTCTTCGATCGGAGTCGCACCTCAGAACTATAAGAAACGCGGCCATTGCTATCCTTGTCCACCTTGATAACACCCGATCTAGTGAGCTCTGTCAAGTCGGCACTAGGAAACTCATAGACGGAGCCATCGCTAGAGCTATTAGTTCTTGATAACGATTGGTATCTGCCTCGGATGGTAGTTTCGGTGACAGGATCGGAGACACCTGACTTGTTTGACGACTTTCCGCCTGAAGATGTCTGTGACGGGTTACGGCTTGGCTCTGCGGGCTTCTTTGGGCCTGGTGCAGAAGGAGTCGGTGGTGAGTTGAAGGGAATGTGACATCTCGCCAGATCTTCAGGATGAACATAGTCCATGAAGCCAAGACCAAGAGCGTCGTCGAAAGGTTGGCCAGTATAAGAGAGCCATTGCTGGTTAGCAAAAGTAACGCCCTCATCTTCTGTTGCAGAAAAGATGATCTGAGGGATAAGATTCGCAAGCTGCTTGTGCTTTGCTTCCGATGCCTCGATTTCTTCTTGTCTAGCAGCCTTCACTTCGGCAATGTGTTGATCGTGAATGTCCATATGTGTGCCATACCATTGAACAATAACGCCTCTGCTGTCTCTCAATCCGACAGCACGGGTGTAGAACCACCGATAGGTTCCATCAAAGCGCTTCAGCCGAACTTGCATCGAAAATTGTTCTCCGGTGCGGATACAAGTGCTCCATGCCTTCAAGTAGTCGTCTTTCTCTTCGGGGTGGATAGTAGCCCATGGATCCTCGTGCAGGTCCTTAACGCTTTGACCACGATAGGTAAGGTAGCGGCTGTTAACCCACACGATTTCACCAGTTGGTGGCAGAGCAATGAAGATGTGCATTGGTAGCGAGTCAAGCATGATACTCTTCACTCGATCAGACGGTGGAGGCATGTAATCAGATGCAGGAGCAGACAGAGATGCAGAGCGAGAATGTGGCTTTGGTATGGCAGGTGTCTTGAGAGGAGTAGCTGTCGTAGGCAAAGATTGGAAGGTCGCACCAAAGTCAGCTCCATATGAGTGAAGTTGGGTGTGTGGTCGCTCTTGCTTGCTAATACCCTGTGCAGAAGCTGTTCGCATGGCAAGTCGTCGAGGAGATAAAACACCCTCTTGTTGCTGGCGGGAAGGACTGATTTCACGAGCTTCAGGGGTCTCTGGGTGGCTATCACGAGATTGACGTTGGGCGCGAGGTTCCTGCTTTGGCGTGCTAGTAGAAGAGCTAAGATCTTCAGGTTCTTGCTTCTCCTTTGAGGGGGTTTCGGCAAAGTCGCTGATAGATGTCTCTTGGTCCTGCCCTCCCTCTGTGGGTAAGGTCATCTTTTGTAATCTCGTGTCAGCAGGAGACGATTCCTTCGAAGAACGTCTGGCTCCTGCAATACTGCTTGCAGAACCAGTATCAACTTTACCAATTCCAGGTCTGGACCGACTACTGAAATAACTCTCTCCAGAGACATAACTTGGGCTACCGCCAGTAGAGCGCTTGTCCATACTCATGCCAACACTGCCTGGATCCCAACCTGGTGTAGCTCCGGGCGATCCTGCAGTGCTTCTGGAAACACCGGAGTAATCACTTGGGCTGGTAATGCTGCCTCCAGTTGAATGCTGAGGACCACCTTCGTCAGCTGGCGAGTAAGTTGTCTTTCCAAGATAAATCGACTCTTCGCTTGGTCTACCACCGGCGGCCACCGCACCAAATCCTGTAGTCTGAGGACGCTTTCGAGATAATCCAGCAATTTCTGTCTCTAGATTAGAGTAGTGACGGCAAAGCGAGAAGGATGTAGCTAAGTGCGCCGAGAGATGCTGAAGCGAATGTCTTAGACTAGAAGGATAAGGGATGACGGGGCTGAGTATCGAGAGGATTGCAATAGGGATCGGCTTCGTCTTTCGCTCGTCCTTCGGCTTGGTTTTGGGATCTTCAGCGTTCTTTCCTAGTCCTCCCTTCCCACGTGTAGTTCTAGACTCCATAGCAGCGGTATCCAGTCTAAATGATTGAACAGGTTTCGAAAGCAATGGATGAATGAGTGGAATATGCAGAACAGTCCATGATCTGTCGACGCCGATAGTCTCGGGTGGCGGCATGCCGGTATAGTCTTGAGAAGCTGTGCGAGGGTTGAACGACTCTTCGTCGACGGGTGCATTGGCAAAGAAGGGATTTTCAGAGGTCTCTGCTCTTACAGCTGGTGATGGAGCTGGTGATTGCGACCAAGGCGATGGAGGAGCTTGTTCATACTCTTCATATCTGGGCACTGCCGGTTGCGGACTATCATCAAGATCAAGCGATCGCCTCGACGAAGGCATGCTCTTGCCTTTGTCGCTAATTTGACTTCGTGCACGACGTGGTCTCGATTGTCCGAAGAATGACGATATACGTGAACTAACGTCTGGAGATTTATTTCTCTTCAACTTATCTTCAGGCGACTCCTTAGACTTCGACGATGTCTTGCTTCCACGGCTCTTCTCGTCTACCGAAGTTTCGACGTAGGGATAGTCTCGTGTCAAAGCAATAACTCTGCCACGATTTAGAACTCTCATAACACCTTTGTTATCAATGAGTGGCTCTGCTTCGTAATCCAGTGCTTGCAACACAGGGAAGACTTGGCCTCGCGTCTCTCTGCTCGCAGACTCTGGATTCTCCCAAGCAGACTGCTTTGCATCCTCGAACGCCATATGATCCTCCAGGCTTTGCAGGTTAAGTTCAGCATTCTGTAAAGTTGCAGTTCTTGGTGGCAGGTCTGGACGTGTCGAGAGGTAACTCTTTGCCCGTACAAGTGGGGTAGGACGTGTTGTTACAGGTAATCTGTTTGCTTCGGATACTAACGCGGGAGCTCGCTTGCTGTCCTCATATGCGGTGAAAGAATGTCTGCTCAGAAGACCAGGTCGGACCGCATGCAAAGGTGTCGACGTGCCAGAGTATTCGTCAGCTGGGTTCGTGTCCCCAGAGTTCGACGTCTCATTAGTGTCGACGCTGCTTGGTACGAAACTACTACCTCGTGGCAAGTAGGTCAGACTCAACTCATCTTCTTGCACCGCATTGAACGTGGCTTTTTGGCCCCACGGAACGTTTTCGACATCTGTCGCATCAGCAGGAACAGAAAGTGTGACGCGATCAGCTTGATACAATGTTCTCATAATCTCAACGACAGTGGTCCACCACGGTTCGAGTCCAGGTTCTGAAGCCAGCATCAGACTCAAATCATACAGATTGGGAGATTCAAAGTTAGGATCTTCTTGAGTTAAATATCCAGGAGGTTGAAATCTCATTGTTGACGCTGGAGTTACCGAGCCAGAGATGACATGGTCTTGTGGACCGCCATCGAACGTGCCGCCTGCATAGTTCGCAGGATTGACCGTTGGCGACAGTGCAGTGAAGGGTCGATGGCCGGTGAAGCTTTGCTGAGGAGTACGCATTGGTGGGAAAGGGTATGATGGTGTTCGAACAGCCATCGGACCAGGTGTCAGTCCTCCTCGGACAGTCTTCACCGATTCCGTAGATGCTGTTTCCAGGCCAGTTACTGGACTCGCAAAAGCCTCATCAAGTGACGGCGACGAAGTCTCCTCATGAATAGGTGATATACGAGTCTTTCCTCCTGCAATAGGCGTACCAGTACTCTCCCGTTCCCCCTTTTCTCCCAAGTGCTTAGCGAGGCGTTCGCGATGTTGATTCAGTTGGAGTTGAGCATTCATTGCAGCGCGCAACCGCTCTACTTCCTCGGCCGAAGTACTGCTGGGTACTACTCCTTTGCCCCGTCTTGTCTTGCTCTCGCGCTCTTCGCTGTCATCGTCGTCCTGGCTATCCATTGCTGGTACCTTGTCCCTCGATACCTCGGGCCGCGAGCCTTCAGGTGTCATTGTGTCATGAGTTCTTCTTGAATCGCTAGTACTTGTATCTGATTTGGCTGGTGGCTTCGAAGTAGATGGCGAGTCGGGCAATGAATCCTTGAGTTTGCCTTGAGACGATTCGGAGGACTTCATTCCATGCTTCGAAGACTTAGAGACTGATTGCTCACTACTTGAACGCCGTGAACCGCTGGGTCGTCGTGAGTGCTTGTCCAGAGGCGACTTTGGTTGCGGCATACCGTCGTCCCCCAAATACCCCTTCAGCGCCGGCGCAACAGCCTAAGGAGACTCCAGAGTGGTCAGTAGGTATGACCTCTCTCGGGATCGATGTAGTTTGAATTGTGTTTGCGCATAGAAGCTCGAGGTGTTTTGGTGTTGTTGTTGGATTGTCTCGGTGTGATCTAGCAGGTCGTTCCGGGATGACGTCGGTAGGAGGACAAGGGGACCGCGAATTATCTGCAGAGCACAACGCGACTGAGACTATTTGGTCAATATTACAGTAGAAGAAAAACGAGGTCCTTGCGATGTTGCTCACAACGGATAGATGCGCAGAGCAAGGAGTAACGGGAGGGAAAAGTTGAGTATATGTTTTTGGGGTCTAGTGGTCGATCGGTGAAAGCTGGTTGAAAGGCGACGAACCAAAGATCCAAGTCCAAGTGCAAGCAAGTCTCTTTTGGAGTATGCCAGTACCACTTTCTGTGGAGATGCGTGCCAGGAACACACTTTGAAAGCGCAAAAACCTTGCCCGAGAGCGTTAGGTACCCGTAAGGACACCCAGAGGCGAGCCAGAGACGTCTTGTGGTCCCCTTTTTCTTCTCTTAAATTCTATTATTGTATTCCTATGATGAGACCGTCTAAATCCGACTTGATTGGACGGAAGTGGTTTGTTTATTGGGGTCAGATGTGTTCGGTCGCATTCAGATTCAAGATATTTCACTGGAATCCTCTCAATACAGTGGTCCCCCATGCCCGCTGGCGGGTTGCAGTTAGAGTTGTCCATCTACGCCATTATCAGGCCATCCACTCCTGCATCCCTGCGGATGGCCCCCGGTCACGTCTACCAGATACAGAGTTTGTCTCGAGACCCCTAATTCCCGGCATTGAACGATATCTATCACCACCGACATAGCACTGACTCTTGCTTCGATAGGACTTCTAGAAGACCTCCCAAGACAATTCGGGTTGAGCGAGAAATGCGATGATGATATACAAGTGCACGAGATCCTCCAGGAACGCCGCAGGCTGAGACACAGGTTTAAGATGTGGTCATATTGGGGAAGCTGGGAGCTGAGGAGAGACAGCGAATTTAAGATCTGGCCGGGACGTACAGCGAATATCACCACAGGCCTGGATCGAGAGCGAGGAGCCGGGACCTCGAAAGGAAGGCGCCGCAGATGCTCAATCTCCCCACGTTGGTGTTGGAGGTAAGGATCGACAGCTACAAGGAAATAAATGTTCAGGGTCTGGACTCACTCGAGTAGAAGTGTCAACGGATCATCGTCGTAGTCGTCTCTCTATGGTCGACTAACACGGTCAACACTCACCTCACGGCTCAGATCTCGCTCGAGTACAAATTGGTCCCGAATTTCACAATGGCATCCGAATGAGGACAACAACACAGCCTGTGGTGGCCTTCTTCTGCTTCTCCTGAGTTCTGACATCTTGAGACATTGATTGGAGGCAGGTAATCTACAATTCGAATCCCTGTTGACGACGTCAGTGGCGCCCCTCAATGACGCTCTGGCAAGCGGACTGGTTTCACTTCCATCCAATGGAAGTGCCACTATTCGGCCCCATCGTCAGCCTTCGACCTGTCAACCCTGAACCCGCAACGCCTCGCACGTCTCCTTATACAATCACGTGTTACACAATTCGACAGGGGAACGAGGATCAGGCTGTTATTGTCTGTACGACCGTCAGCATGAGTTTTGCTCCTTGGACATGCAGTACGGGCCGGGCAAGTAATAGCGGTGCCGTTCCCGATGGCTGGGATCCCGAGGACACATCCATGGCGAGGATAGCGTACAGTGACATACTCTTTTTGAGATGTGATAACTTTACGGACTCGTGCTTCTTCGTTGGAAGAAAACTGACGATTCCATGGCAGCCGGCAGACACGACAAACAGCGGCGCTGTCGGTTCGACGATAATTAACAAGGCGGTCATATCCATCCGGGCTCCACAAGGCTCCGTAAAGGCTATTTGGAGAGTCAGGAGACCCTTACTTTTAGGGGTCCTTGTTCGGCAGCCGATGAAGATAAACTGTAGGTATCCGGATAACAAGGTCACAACCTTGAGGAAAGTCACGCGAAAGACTTCCTGGTCTCTGTCATCTCGTATCGTCCCCGAGCTCCACCCCGCGATATCCATAATCCCTACATGTATAAATTTGTAGAGGAAGTCAGCCTCATAAAGGCTGCAGTGTCCGAGAGCTCCACGTTCCAGGAACATCGTTGGTGAAAGTCGGCAGGTCGAGCGGAGTACTCCACTCCTCCTGTAAGGTCCGGCAAAGACAAAATAACCAAGATTCAAGCAAGAAATCAAGATAAACTTGCGCAAACGGGCCCACGATAATTTTACTGTTCAATCTAGAATAATCTCAGGTAGGTGAGATGTCTTGGTCCATCACTACACTCGCAATCTTTCGCCCTGTCTGGGCTCCATATTTGTCTGAAGAAGGAAACCCGGACTCATGGCTCTCGAAGAGGAAGGACTGGAGATGGGGTGATAGGATGGGTGAAAAGGAGGGGAGAAATCCGGACATAGAATAATGGAACAATAGAAAGTTAATCTACACGTGTCGAGTATGGCTCAAACATTGCAAGTCGCAAACATGATGTTCTCCATCCAACAGAACTGGACTGGCGAATGAAGGTGCATTATTGAACCAGACGTGTATTTTGGAGTATTTTGGTATTTCGAGGGGCTGGTACCTGAGAGAAGAGCCCACGCTACTCGTACAGTAGCTTCCCTTCCCCGCGCCCGCCACTCAAAAAGGAAAGAAGCTTCAGCTCCGCTCTTGAATTAGGCGCTCTGGCCATAACGCATGACAGCATTTACTCTACAACTCATCAACTCATCGACAACACTTGCTCACTCTTTTGTTTTCTGGCTACAATTTTGGCAGACTGGCTTCAGCAGAAGGTAAGAAGAGAACTCATCGGCCACGGTCGGGGTCCAGGCGTCGCTCAAGCTCCAAGACTCGACGTCAGAAGCCGAACTTCGGTCATTTTGTGATACCTGGAGCGGGTTTACTCCAACTACTGGCAGTGTGCCTTTACGATATGGGGGAACCGGGCTCCAGTAATCAGAGGGAGACTGAATCGGAGCGGACACCACTTCTGCCAGACTCAGAGAGACAGCCGAATAAGAGTTCCAAGGCTCCTCTGAAGAAGGTCGCTCGATGGACTGCCCGGAATGCTGTCATCATCTGCATGAGTCTTTTAATACTAGCAACGATCGTTGTCATCTGCGTCTTTTTTGGAGGCAAGTCAAGATCTCCTTTCATTAATACCTCGTTATAACTACTAACACTTCATAGTATATAACAAGAAAAAACACAGCCACAAAGCTAGTGTATGCCTCACACCTGCATGCGTTCATGCTTCCTCCGAAATCCTCTATAACCTCGACACCGACTACAAGAACATTGATCCATGTACGGACTTTGAGCAGATGGTTTGTGGTGGATGGGACGACCGCCATGATCTGCGACCGGATCAAGGTGATGCTTTCACAGGAACAATTATGAGCGAGAACTCGGCGATGTTACTTAGGCATATCTTGGAAGCACCGTACCCGAATGACTCGAAGGTTAGTTCACCATGCTATTGTTTAGAGCTAAAAAAAAAAATACATTGTTGAGCGAAGGGATCCTGAATTTCGCGCATTACATTGTCGGATGGACTTGCAGCTTTAGCATTGGGACAATCAATACTAATTATTGGCATCTAGCACTCGAGCTTCTCTCCCGCACAACTCGTTAAATCCCTTTCTTCCGTCGACGAACAAAATTTCGACAAATTGAAGTCTGCATACGATGCTTGCATGGATGAGGATACAATCAAGACGGCCGGTATCAAGCCTCTTATGGAACTACTTCATGAAGTTGCCGATCTGTTTCCCGTCATGGAGTCCGCTTTCAACAGGAGAACACCTCTGGTTGCGACCGACAGTAAGAGCATCGCAGAGACAATTCTTTACCTCTCCAAGCAAGGCGTCTCAGCCCTCGTGTCAGCGGGTGCTGGAGCCGACGACAAAGATCCCGACACCGTGGTTGTACAGGTATCACCTCCTTACAGAATTGGTCTTCCGGCAAAGGACTATTACAATAATGCGGCCGTGGTCAAGAAGTATGAAGATACTCTGGCCAAGATTATTGCAAACTTACACCCCGACCACAAGCACGAGAATGCTACCCTCCATGCTGAATGGATGAAGGTAAAAGGTCATGGAAAAGTTGCTGCCAGGGGCGATGGCAAAAATTACGCTCACGATGTTGTTGAGTTCGAGAAGCTGCTAGCTGCGGCTTCTCCCGATGCAGAAGACAGTAATGACGTTACAGTGAGTATAATTGCAGACTTGGTCAAGTGGTGCTGACAACAACAGAAATATTACAATCCTATGTCCTTGAAAGAAGCAGATTCTCTTACTCCCCAAATCCATTTGGCGACCATCATCAATGGCCTTACACCATCGAATTACAAAACCGATCGTCTTATCATTGCCTCTCCCAGCTATATGGCAAATGTATCAGATATTATATCAAGCACTTCGAAAGAGGTCCTTCAAACGTACTTTATGTGGAAGGTCATTCAGGCATACGCTTCCAAGGTTGAAGCAGACGAGCTCAAGCCATACACTCAATTTACAAATGAACTTCAAGGCAAAGTAGGTCATGAGCATCTATCTATTGAGATGAAGGCTGATTTGGATAGGACCCTGACTCTGCCCCTGAGCGGTGGCGAACATGTGTTAATCACGTAGATGATGGACTTGGCTGGATCTTGAGTCGATTCTTCGTTGAGAAAGCTTTTTCAGAAAAGGCAAAAGACTTTGGTGACCAGATCGTGTCTGACATCAAGGAGATGTTTATCGGCAAGCTGCAGAAGACGACCTGGATGGACAAAAGTGTTATCGCGTTGGCTATCGAGAAAGTGCACAAGATTGTGCAGAAGATTGGCTATCCAACCAAGGTTAGTGATCGTCTTGCTCGTTAATTACGATATCTACTGACACTAACAGAGCCCAAACATTATGGATCCGCCTAGCCTACAAACTTATTATCAATCCGTCAACATCACGCCTACTACATTCTTCCAAAATACTCTTAATATGAATCGCTTCGGCGTGGTGGAAGAATGGTCAACCCTTGGAAAACCGGTCGATCGAGACTCTTGGGGGATGACAGTCCCAACGGTTAACGCTTACTACAATCCACCAGGCAACGAAATCGTTTTCCCAGCCGGAATCATGCAATTTCCTGTGTTCGACGTCAATGTGCCGCAATATTTGAGCTACGGTGCCTTTGGTTCAGTGTCAGGTCACGAGCTTTCCCATGCCTTCGATTCAACAGGACGTCACTACGATCAAAATGGGAACTATACTGATTGGTGGACGAACAGCACCGTCGAAGGCTTCAAGGAACGTGCCGAATGCTTCGTGGATCAATATGCTGAGTATACTGTACCTGGACCTGACGACAAACCATTACATGTCAACGGGAAGCTCACTCTTGGCGAGAATATTGCTGATGCAGGAGGAGTAACAGCAGCTTTTGCGGCATGGCAGAAACGCCGAGCTGAGACGCCAAACGAAGATCTGCCGGGTCTCGACTATTTCACCCAAGAACAACTATTCTTTGTCAGCTATGCTAACTGGTGGTGTGGAAAGAGCAGAAAGGAGACAGCGATCAATAGAATATATACAGATCCGCATGCGCCAAAATGGGCGAGAATTCTGGGGACGATGGCAAATTCGAGAGATTTCAAGGAGAGCTTTAAGTGCGCAAAGAAAGACCCCATTTGCGAACTCTGGTAGGCAACATCATTACTTGGGGGAAGGTTTTCTGTTCATTTTGGAACGGCGTTTAGCGCTCGGTGGTAGGTTATATGCATTGTGGCGGACAATTTGCGATGGAATATTGATGCATGTATGATACTCACCAATAGCCAAGAACTCGACAAGTATTTCTGTGGTACTGGCCCACCACAATCTACTACTTTTGGGAGATTCCACCCAAGTTGAACACGAATTGCACTTCAAGTGGCTTTCTGCGCGGAGTGATTATTGCAATCTGTTGGTTCCAGCATCAGCTGGCGCTGACTATAGCGTTGTATTGGATGACTGAATGTTGGTGGCTTGACATTGCATTACCATTTGCACTTCGCTATCGGTATTGAACCGTATCGTTCGCCACTCCATTGCTTTTCGCATAGGTAGTCCTATTATATCTTCGGATCTGTGCCGTATTGTATTTTGGATGTGTTTATCAAGCATTACTCATACACATCTATATTCATGACTTTCTGCAGGTTTGTGGTTTCTTTATTCGAGTTTCGTATTGCCTTGCGAATTCGCTGTTGTTCACGTTTTGATTTGTGCATCGTACGATAAATCTCAGTGAATAGCTTGCATCTGGCCATGACTATAGCTCATACTCCCAAACACACCCCACCGTCTCCTAAGCCCTGACACCCAACAATCCCCACTTTGTTTATGGAATCAAGTCCATAAGCTTATTCTGCTTTATGGTTCTTTCTTTAGGCTCCGTATTGCCCGGCGAACTATTCTTTGCCCTTTTGTCACTTCACAACGAATTATCTAAAAAGATGAAAATCTATACCTCACCGTACCCGGCACCCACCCTCCCAACACACCTCACCCTGCCCCAATTCCTAGCAATAGATAATCCCGATTCTGTCCCCGATGATAAAGTGATCCTAGAAGATGACTGGACCGGAAACAGCCTCACGTATGGAGGGTTGAGGGATAGGGCGAGCGAACATGCGTGGACTTGGCGGACTTGGGCCTTCGAGGGAGGGTTTGAACTCGATGACGGCGTTACAGTTGGGATCGCGGGTGTGAACTCGGTAGGAAAATCAATTGCGAGGCAGAGAGGATGTTGAGATGTATTGTTAGGTTCATCTTGTGAGCGCTATCTATAGTGTTCTTTGGGCTGGTGGTGTCGTTTCGTGAGTCTCGCTCCCCTCTCGCTGCTAGATATGAGAATTAACGAGAGACAGGTTGATGAGTCCACAAAGCACAATCGCGGATTTCAAACACGCCCTCGGGATTGTGAAGCCTAGATATATGATCGTGGACGCCAATATAGTCGGGAAAGTGGCTGCAGCGCTAGGAGATGCGACTACGGATATCATCGTCCTAGGAGAAAGTCCCGTTGGTCACAATTCGTCGCTTGCTCATGTACGTCTACTTCCCCTTATTCCTTCCTCTAAATTCTGTTTACTTATACTATCCAGTACCCCAAACACTTCTCCACCACCTCTCGTCTCGAACCTCAACCGTTACCGAAGGGCAAGACGGCAAAGGATGTAACGGCCATAATACCATTCAGCTCAGGAACGTCCGGTCTCCCGAAAGCGGTGCAGCTGTCGCATTATGCGCTTATTGCTATTTTGAAATGCTCGCGGGCGTCGGATCCAGAGATGTGTGGGAGGGAGGATAGGAGTGTGTTTTTTGCGCCGTTGGGGCATATTTATGGTATTCCCCTCCTATCATATCCCCCTCTCTTACCTCATTATTTTGGACTGATAAGGAAAATAGGGTTTAATACAGTTCTGACAAGTGTGTGGAGAGGAGCGTATTTCATACTCATGCGAGCTTTTGACCTAGAGCGGTTTTTGAGACTGAGTGAGGAGAAGAAGGTTACTATTTTGGGAATCGTGCCGGTGATTGCGAATTTGATGGCGAGGAGGGGTGTCTTGGATAGATATGACTTGGGGGGTGTGAGGGTCGTGCTTTGTGCGGCGGCTGTGTTGGAGGATGAGGTTGTGAGGAGGTTGAGGGAGAGGTTGGGGGGTGCGCCGATTGTGCAAGGGTACGGGTAGGTAAAGTCTCGTTTTGTCTGGATTCGAGAGAGGATAGGGAAGCGGTATATATACAAGAAAATTGCTGATTAGACACGATAGGATGACAGAGGGACTTGTTTCTGTGCAGAGGAGGAGCGAAGCAGGTGAGCTGCAATCCCCTTTTCTCGGAAATATACGGCGCTGATACTTAATAGGAAAGGTTGGATCCGTAGGCAGGTTATTTGCTGGAGTGTAAGTTTCAAGTCCTGCTGTTGGTGTCATAAATATGCTAATAAAAATTTATACAGAGAAGCACGAATCGTGGACGACAACATGAACGACGTCCCACCCGGCCAAGCAGGAGAACTACTCGTCAAAGGGCCACTAGTTTTCAAGTACCTCTTTCATGTCCCCTTCTACCAGCTGGTCTTAACACCATTATAGCGGCTATATCAACAATCCTACTGCCACAAACGACGCGTTCCACAACGGTTGGCTCAAAACAGGCGATGTGGTTCGAATCGACAACGAAGGTTTCCTCTACATCTTTGACCGCAAAAAAGAAATCATCAAATATCAAGGGTCAGTCATCCTCCTTCTCCCCTCCCCACTTACACCAAACTAACAGACCTCCCAGCTTCCAAGTCTCCCCCACGGAACTAGAAGCCATCCTCTCAACCCACCCTTTCGTTCTCGATGCCGCTGTGTGCGCGAAATGGGATAAAGGCCAAGGAACAGAAGTCCCGCTAGCTTATATCGTGCTCTCGCAGAAGGGGAAGGAGATGGGGATAGAGAAAGCGTGTGAGGAGGTGAGGGCGTGGTTTGATGGCAGGATCGCGGGGTATAAGAGGCTGAGAGGAGGGGTGGAGAGTATTGATGTGGTGCCGAGGACGGCTTTGGGGAAGGTTATGAGGTGGGGGTTGCCGGCTAGGGTGGAGATGGTCAGGGAGAGGGAGAGGGAGAGGAAGGTGGTGGGGAGGGCGAGGCTTTGAGGGTGGAGAATGGGAGAATGTAGTATAATCTGAGTATTCCCATAGAAGAGAGAGGTTTTGATTCACAAACATAGCAAGTCGCAAGCTTGGTCTCCTGATTGAGATTGTGAGACTGCCAACTCATCTGCCAGCAAAGAATTTATGCTACACACAAATGGCTGGACGTTTGGTAGAGTTTTTGCCGTGGAGCGTTCCAACCGACGATTGCGACGTGCAACGAAAGATTTCCTAGGAGTCTAATTGGTCGAACTAGGCATTTAGCTCATCACAAAGAACGTTTCTGAGATCAACTTTCCACTCTCGACTCTATTTCTTGCTATTTACCTTGGAAACAAGAGATAGCTCGTAGGTAATACACTGAACGATATACTTGGAGCATGATTGGGATAGACAATAAATTCGTTGCGGTAGAAAGAATTTGAGGGTTGACATCAGGAGTCGACTCCTCCCGTGGAGCAGAGGGGGAAGTCTCGTAGACGTGCAACGAAATATTTTCTTGGGACCTCATTGGCCGCACAAAGGGCTCAGCACAACACTATAGCCAACGACGGGAATCGATTTTCGACTCTCTATCTTACTTTGGAAGAAAGAGACAGCTTATAAATAGCGTAGTAAGTAATGTACTTTAGGATTAATTTGATTAAAATCTATTGACTCTGTGCGTGTTTCTGGGCCTGGTTTGTAAATTGTTCAGTTGTTGCTGATAGCTCTGGACAACACAACTATTCTGAATAGATGTGCATATTGCCTCGAGAACACGAGCTGGGCATTGATTCCCCTTTCCTTTTCAAGATCCTAGGTATGTGCTTCGACTTCTTCTTGGGTCAATTCGTATCGGTTGTATTGGAGACTGCTGAAAATTGCGAGATTGACAGGCGTGGAGGAGTATGCTTGAAGGATTGTTTTGCAGGTGATGCTAAGGCTTTAAAAAGTTGGCGTCGTGAGTTGCACTGCTTTCGTGGGAAGGCTACATTTTAAAAGAGTTGGCCTTGTGATTGATATTGGTTTCAAGATTGACCAGCTAAATGGCTCTGCATACGGGGGCTGATAACCTACCATTTGCAAGTTCGGGAGCAGAGGTCGAGGTAGTTGGAATCGACCCCGTCCAAGAATGGACTTCGCCTCGGACCAGAGCTTGTACGATGCGTAAGTCTTGATGAAGACCTGTTCCACCCCGGTCTCATCTTCCTCCTTTCCAGCTTATCTTCATGACTTCGAAATTTCAACCGCAACATCCAGGCTTCCAGAAACACATTTCAACACCATCACCTTCTGGCTTCTCTTGACTACCATTTCCCACTAGCAAGCAGGTTGTCGTTCTTCTGGGCGCGCCAGAGCTTCAGAGAAAGCACCTGTTTCAGTCATGAAGTCACGGCCTTCGATCCAAGCCATCACTTGAGAGTCGATCCCCTGCAGTTTTTGCACTCGAAACTGTAATTTCATGGTAGGAGATCGTCCATGCGAGGGTGACTGCGTTGGAAGGTAGAAGGAGATGTATTGGGCTTGGAGAGTAAGCAGATTTCTTGTTGTCCCTCGTGAGTCTTCCTTATCCTGCTATTGATCATACTGACGGTTGTACAACAGTGACGAGCTGGTTCGACCAACGAATACACACTCCCTATATCCTTGAGAGCAACAATAAACTACATTCAGGAAGTTACCCTCGTGGCGTCCTTTCCAAGGAGCGGAAGGGGTGGAAATCAAGTCTACGATTGTGGCTTCACTCTGCGTTTGGATGGGATTTTTGAATTCAATGGATCTTGGGTACTACGCGGGTGCTACAACGAATGGTTTTTCGAGCATAGTCACGAGTGCGAGGTTGACGGCTCAGGCGGGAGCTGGGGATATTGAAGATTAAGTTGGACTGGATCGCTCTTGTTGCGGCTTTGACTGTTTCCATACAGAGTAGATAGAGGAAAGGCACGGGAATAGAGGATGGAGAGCACATATCTGGGCAGGGTAGAGAGCGGAGGCATGATTTGGAGTTGACGGAGACGCAAACGCATGTATAAACAGAGAACATCCGTAGCAGGAGCGCCACGAATGGCTGCAGATAATTCAAGGCAGGGGCTTTCGGAGAACAGCATTATATTGTAGATCTATGAAAGGCTATTAGGGCTACATATAAATTAGTAAACAGAGCTCGAGGATGGCGGAGAGCCATATTGGCGCAGCTAACCTACTGCCCTTCTCAGTTAGCTCCTTGGGAAACGTTTCGTTGCACATTTACGAGAGCGGGTCTAGGTACGGCCAATCAACTCGCAGGACAATATTTCGTTGCACGTCTACAGGGAGCTCTGGTGGGAATACGGCAAAAAAAAGACATCGGGAGGTCCACTATCAAATGTTAACCTTTAAAAGTCTCTACTATACAAGCACTCCATAGTCTACATAGATAAGCTCGTTGAATTCTGTAGAATCTGTTTGATTCTTCTGTAGAAAGCAGAAAAAGATAAGAGGGTCGAGTCGACACTCGATTCTCAGATGTTGGGTCCTGCATTGAGCACTTACGGCCAATCACCTCGCAGAACAAATCTTTCGTTGCACGTCGCAACCTGCTTCTAGCTCCACAGCCAAAAAAAAAGACGTCGACCACCGTGGATGTTGACTATGTAAATGTTAACTCACTAAAAACCTAACACTGCCATAATGCCATATGTATTTGATCTCAAATCATGCCATTCATGCACCGTATACAAGCTGTTCAATAGATTACAAAAATAAAAATAGAGTCGTCAAAGCTAGCTCTCGCTCTCATCGAGATAAGTCCACTGTGCTGCTGATCAAGTCCCAGAGGAAGCTTTCGTTGCATATTAGGAGTCTTTTATAGGAGGAGAAGAGGGTGAGAGAGTAGTAGAGGATAGATAGGATAATGAAAAGGAGGATTCAACCTCTAACTACCAAGTCTGAGCCCTCGAAATATCTTTGCCACCACAATCAATACCCAATATAGCTTATCAAATTTGAAAGACACCTTGAATTGCGTTACTGTGAGCCGCCTCATGCTTATACGGCAATTGGCAAGAGACAAGGTCGAGAGTCGAGAGATTCGACCCTCGAAGACGTCCTTAGCCTCGAACCAAGTTGCCAGTTCCGCGCCGGCCAATCAGGACCCAGACGAACCTTTTTGTTGCACGTCGCAACACTCTCTTGGATCCACGGCAAAAATTCGACCGTCGGGGAAAGCAAATTGCCCAATATCAACTCTCCAGAATCTCTGGTGCCCCATCTGGCATGCTGGAGCGATTTCTGACTGTGGAATAGCTTATGCTAGGAGCTCAACATGAATGAGATGTTGACTCAAGATCTGAATTATATGTGTATCATCGCATCTTCAGCAATGTCAGATCAAGAACCAACACCTTGCGACTTCGAATCTCCTCGTTCGTCCTCTTCATCAGACGAAGTTTCAGATGGGCATCAATATTGGCAACGCGTTGTCTACTCTCTAACTCAACTCATGTTCCTTCGTTGCTCAGCTTCGCACTGTTGACATTTCTCTTCTCAGGCTGCATAGTCTTGAGGTATTCAATCCTTGTCGTCGGGTAAAGTCTCTCTGACTGTCTCCATAGTGCTGATCATGTTCGGCAGTCATTAGAACATTCTTCAGAGTCATAATGCTACCTTTGCACACAGACTCTCTCATCCGAGTCAAGGAGAGACGATGAAAGCTCCAGAGAGATGGGATGAAAATTTGACATGGTCACGTGAACCATATTTCCTTTTGAGCAAATCTCTCCTTAAAACTTCAATCACTTTACGCACTCTCCCAAAGATTTTCACTTCAATCCAGTCGAGTTCGCTGTACCTCAAATCTGTATTCAGCATAATGTACCAAGCGGCATTGCCCCCGCGTCTGCAATCTACTCTCGGCTTTCCGTCCGCGCTCGAGCAATTAGGGGGGAGCTGATTGCCTCGCTTAGAGATCTCCCGCGGGGTGAAGTATAGAGTGGGTCAATCCGTCATGGAACGTACGTGGGGCTTTTTTTCTGCCATTTATCCTGAGAACATGAGATATATCCACCTTTCATGGTCGTGTACATATTTTCTCTCATTCTTTGAACTTACCTGTGTTTTGCTTGTACTGTAGCTAGCTTCAGCAACTGCATTGCCTCTATTGTTGTCTTCTGTCTCTTGTACAAAGCTTGCTGCTGGGCAAAATCCTCGATATATATTTATTTTTCAAGCATCACGAGATTCCACCATGGCCTCCTCATCCCCTAAAATCGCCTTCCTAGGCCTTGGCGCCATGGGCTTCGGCATGGCCACCAACCTCATCAAACTCTCCCACCCAGTAACCGGTTTCGACGTTTGGAAACCCACCCTCGAACGCTTCTCCGCAGCTGGCGGCTCAACAGCTACCACTCCCCGGGAATGCGTACGAGATGCTCCGTACGTGGTGTTCATGGTCGCGACCGCGGCTCAGATCATGAGCGCTCTGTTCGAAGGCCCTGATGCGGCAGTGCATGAGTTGAAAGAGGGGGTGAGTTTGATGCTATGCAGTACAGGACCGCCTGAGTATGTGCCGTTGATTCAGGGGAAGTTGAAGGAGTTGGGCAGAGGTGATGTGTTGGTTGTTGATGCGCCTGTGTCTGGGGGCACGATTCGAGCTGCTAATGGAACCCTTTCCATATTTGCTGCGGGAGAAGAGAAAGCTGTCGAGGCAGCGAAACCGATATTGAATGATATGGCGGGTAGTAATCTCTGGTTGATACCCGGTGGGTTGGGAGCAGGGACGAATGTTAAGATGGTTCATCAAGTGTTGGCTGGTATCCACATCGCGATGACGAGCGAAGCGATGGGGTTTGTAGGGAAGCTGGGATTACCGAGTAAGAAGGCTTTCGAGCTGCTGAAAGCCGGAGAGGGCAGTAGCTGGATGTTTGAGAATAGGACGCCACACCTGTTGGTTGAGGATAAGACAATTTATTCTGCCCTGAACATCATCGTCAAGGATATTGTAAGTCTCACCCCCTCCCCGTTCCTCGGGAATTGAAATTAATGGGAAAGCCAGGGAATTGTAACAGCAGGCGGACGCTCAGCCCATTTCCCACTCTTCCTCTCCTCAACCACAGAACAAATCCTCGCCAGCGGAGTAGGCGCTGGACTCGGCCTCGTCGATGATGCAAACCTAGTCGGTGTCTATCTCCCTCAAGACCCAACCGCAATCCTCAAATTGGCCTCTCTACCAGAACCGCTTGCAGCAGATAACGCAGAGTTAAGACTCGTAGAAAAAGCAATGGCAGGCGTCCATCTAGCTGCAGCAGCAGAAGCTATGTGTCTAGCTGCCAAAGTAGGATTAGATGCCAAAACGATGTTTGAGATCATTAGTACAGCAGCAGGAGCGAGCAAAATGTTTGTGAAGAAGGCTCCTTTGTGGTTGAGTGGAGAGTGGAAGAGTGGGAAGACTGTTGACGATGTTATTGCTGAGTTGGTAAGTATCTTCTGAGTGCCGTGGAAAAGATCTCTGGCTGACAATGAGTAGACCGAAGCAATTGAAGAGGCGAATCGCCTAAAATATCCTCTCCATCTTGCGGGGACAGCATTACAGTTATTTGAGCTAGCTTCAATGAAGGGGCAGGGAAAGGAGCCGGATGTGGCGATTGTGAGAATTTGGGACGGTCCGAATGGGCCGCTATACCCTAGGGAAAGTTCTTAGAGGGGTCATATTCGAAAAATAAATCGAACCATTATCGCAATTCACAAGTCGACATAAGCATCTTTTTTTTTTTTGCTTTACCTCTAGATCGAATCATTAACATCATTCACGCATTAAAATTCCCAATTATCTCTGAATCAAATGATTAACATAATTTAGTATCTACATCAACACATTATTAAAGGTTGTGTCGTTCAGATTCTCACCTATACTGGCTCTTCTGTTCCATTATCATATTTTTGTTAAACACCCATTCCATTTCAGCATGTCTGGAAAGCAAGCGGTAAAAGCAAATTCTTTTGTTCTTTTCCTACTCTTCTAGCTCTTTCTTTTTCATATCTAGACAAAACACATTCCGAAAGTTCTGTGTATCGAATGTCAAGTTCAAGGTGATCATTGTTCACCATTACCAGCCTAAATCTTCACCGTTGTCAACTTAAAGCATCACCGTTGTTATTTTAGTTACCGTACGTCAATAGTACTCACTCAGCAACAAAGACGAATACAGTCCGTTGACTTCCAAGTGCAATTGCTGCTCCTTTTACGACGCATGCAGTTACGAGCCCCCTTGGTGCCACCGGCCACCTAGGTTGATCATTCTTTCGCGTTTTCTTTGTGTCTTTACGGAATGGAGAGAGAAGTTCTTTTATGCATCTCTATGGGCGCCTTAGGCGCCCAAATTGGTTCTGAAGTCAAGGAGGAATTGCGTGAATTGCGAAAGTGGTTCGATTCTGAGGCAATTGGGAATGTTAATGCGTGAATTTTGATAATCATCCGATTCTAGAGCAATTGGGAATGTTAATGCGTGAATTTTAATAATTATCCGATTCTAGAGCAATTGGGAATGTTAATGCGTGAATTTTGATAATCAAAGATTCTGAGGCAATTGGTAATTTCAATGCGTGAATATTGTTAATGATTCGATGCAGAAGCAAAGCAATTGGTAATGTGAATGCGTGAATGAAGTCACAAAATTTCCAGTGAAAGTCTGTCTGCGTGCAATCTATTGTCATGATTCCATGGGGTATCGCTCCGTTTCAAACTCATGCCCACGTTCTCGTCATCAAAATCATCATCTCTAAGGCGTCAGAAATGGCCGTGTTCTGTAGTCCACCTAGCGCATCCTTTTCTGTCAATCAATCATATGGACTTGACCACTTCCTTGGGATCGGAAATCTCATCAGCAATCGCTTGCGGCTCCGCATCTGCAATCTTAGTGATTCCCGCACTCTTATTTTCTTCTTCGCCAGTAACCTTCTCATCCTCGCCAGCGACTGTGTCTTCCACACCATTGACACTTATATCTTCAGCGGTGGTGTTTGAATCTTGTGCTGCATCGGTGGCGATCTCCTTGTCATTGGTTTCTGTTGCACTATTGGAGATGAGCTCGGCTGTAGCCTTGTCTTTCTCTGCCTCAGCCTCAGCCCCCTTCTTCTTTCTTTCTTGCTCGTATTCACGGAGAAACTTTGGTCCAATAGTATCATCATCCTCGTCGTCGATTTCGAGATCTGGACGAATGTTCAAGCCTCGTTCAGCTGCTCGGCGCCAATATTCACGTGATCTTGAACTGACGTATTGGAAATTCTCCTCGAGGGCTGAGTGGAATGCCAGGGCTTCTTGCTCGAGGCCAAGAACACGGAGACAACGGATAATTCTAGTGATTCGAAGATGGTTGTGGTCGAATCGGGAGTCCCAATTTTCTTTGTGCTGCTCATAGTTGCCACCTTTGACAACCTAACCTCATGTTAAAATCAATAATTGTACAAGGATTGGGACATTACCTTGAAGACATCTCCTTCCTTCTCCAGATTGAGTCCATAGAACCACAAGATCTTCTGAAATGACTCCCTCAGCTTTGCTCGCAGTTCTGGGCGGGATCGGAAAGCATCGAAGACTCTGCGGTCGATGATGGGCGCATCCCAGTTCACACCAGATCCTTCAGGCAGCGGGAAGACAGTTTGGATGTAGTCATGAGATGACTCCAGCTTAGAGGCATTCCATCGAAGGATGTTCGCGAGCGATCGTCCTCGAAAGTCACGACCGTTGCCTTCATAGAAACTGACCAAATCGGAAGAGCCTCCAGTTGATCGTGATCCGAAGAACGACATGTTGGTTCTTGATGGACGCGACTGGGAAGATCTGACACTTTGGTCAGAATATCTAAGAAGAATAACAGTCGCAACTTACTTTCGTTTTGACATTCTGTTTGCGTGAGGAAGGCAAGATGGAAGTCGCAAGGCTCTGAGCAGCTGCCTTAGCGAGTTCTGATATCGGGCTAGTACTAAACAGGGACTAGCGTATAACCGAGCTGACATCTTTTTGGAAGTCTTTCACTGTGCATCGCTGTCATCCTTCTCCTGCAATCACTTTGATGTCGCCATCATCGCCACGATTTGCCTCGAACGTCTCTTCGTCTCTCACTCGAAGCTCGATAAGGATATTTCCGCGCTCTATTCTGGGTCGACATGCTACCGTCATAGATCTTCGGAGATGCTTGCTCAGGGCTGGCGAGCGTGACCAATGAAGACCATCATTTGAATCGATCGGCGAGTTTTCGTGTCTGTTCACTGCAGGTCTCAATGCAACTTTGAATGCATCTTTCTTGGCCAGGAACCATGTCAGCAGGGACAAGTCGAGCTGAAGCAGAAGAACGTCCACTTTTGGAGGAGTTGGCAGCACGGAAACTCCCCTGAGCCGCCCGGCGGTCATACCCGAATCGACCTTCTTCGACCGACGCACTGCGATAACCATCTTGCGAATCACTGCCGGTATTTGATAGGCTCATTTCTGCTTTGCGTCTACGGAAATTCCCCCAATGCTTGCATCTCTCCATTGGTTTTCAGATCTCCAGAGTTGATATACCGTGCCAGTGCACGGCCAACGGTAATTTTAAGTTACGCGCTAGGTTCCGTCTCGCTTCTCCATAACCTCTGAGTAGAGACTGGGCTCAGACCTTAAATCCTTGAGCTAACCTTCGAACGGAAGGTTCACGAATGTCACCTCTTAGTCCATCTGATATCAGATAGATCATCAACGGTAGTAAGGATATTCATTGGTTCCTTATTCTAATCTGAGCGGGGTTGCATGATGCACCTGCAGGCGTTGCTGTTGACAAGGTAGCTGGACCTGTCAGAAAGAGGCAAGGACATGGACCATGCTGCATTTCTAGCCTTGCGCAAGGCACAGAAGTCTGAGCCGTAGCCTTGCAATCACTGAACATCCTTGTTGGGAAGGTGGTGTAAGCATGGGAAATGGTACAAAATGATGCTCAGCCCCTCCTTGATTCTTGCAGCTCTTCTCTTCCAGTCGAGCCTGAAGTTATGCATTTCTCACTCCTTGCTGTGTGCAGTCTTTTGACAGCAGCAGTAGCTGCTCCAGCCCCCAGTTCAAAGCGACATGTAGTTCACGAACGTCGATCACGCCTGCCCACTCAATGGAGGAAGAACGCCAAGCTTCATGGCGACTCACTCATGCCGTTGCGCATTGCTCTCGCGCAAAGCAACCTCGACAGAGCCGACGAATTCTTGATGGAGGTCTCCCACCCGGATAGTCCCAACTATGGCAAACATTGGTCCGCCAAGAAGATTGCAGAAACCTTCGCGCCTTCAGAAGAGACAGTCACGTCTGTCCTCAATTGGCTGGCAGATTATGGTATCACCAGCGACCGAGTCAAGCAATCACAGAGCTTGAATTGGATTCATGTCAACATAACAGTATCTGAAGCCGAGGGACTTCTCAACACCAAGTATTACGAATACAAGCACTCTTCAACGCATGACACCCACCTAGCTTGTGACGAGTACTCCGTGTCAGAAGATGTGCGCGACCACATTGATTTCATCACACCAACTGTGCATTTTGATGCCAAAATCAAGAATCCTAGAAAGAAGCGATCCATGAACGATAATCAAATCGCTGTTGCGAAACGTCAGACTGCCGCTGCCGGTCACAATGTGCAACCTGGAATTGGACATTCGATTGGTTCTCCGGGAGACGCTTCGCTGCCAAAGGATGGCGGAAGGGTTCCGTTTGGCACCATTCTCAGCGAGTTGGAGAATTGCGACGTATCAATTGTTCCTGATTGCTTGAGAGCATTATACGAGTTCCCGCCTTACTTCCCTGCTAACCCTAAGAGTACGTATCGAAACCAAATATGGCATTCATTGCTAATCAAGAATTTCAGATTCATTTGGCATCGTCGAATATACACCACAGGCATACCTTCCAAGCGACTTGGATATGTTCTTTGCAAACTTCTCTCCATCTCAAGTTGGTGATCGACCAATCTTTGATTCAATCGATGGTGGCCTCCTCCAGACTGAGGTGGAGTCCTTCGATTATAACGGCGAGTCGGTAAAGATAAATCCTCACGTCCCATTGCAATGATCGCTGACAAAAGCAGGATCTTGATCTCGAATATGGAATGACACTTGTCTACCCTCAGAAAGTCACACTCTATCAGACCGGTGACCTTCTTGAAGGAGCATCGTTCAACAATTTCCTCGACGCAATTGATGGTAGCTACTGCACTTACGACGGCGGTGACGATCCAAACCAAGATGGAATCTACCCTGATCCCTACGGTTCTGGATACGGTGTGTATAAGGGACCCGAGAATTGCGGCGGTTTTGCGGCGACCAAAGTGATCTCTACATCTTATGCCTACAACGAAGCAGATCTCACACCTTTCTATGAAAATCGCCAATGCAACGAGTATTTGAAACTTGGTCTTCAAGGTGTCACTTTCGTGTACTCCTCAGGTGATTATGGTGTGGCTGGCAATGGTGGACAATGCATTGATCCTGTCACTGGGAACTACACCAATGGTAAGGTGTTCTGCCAAAGTTCTAAGCGAGTTCTAACATCATTAGGGACATATGGAATGTTCAATCCGTCTTTCCCAGGCACGTGTCCATGTAAGTAATCGATCTAGCACATTATCCTCACGTCTAATTAATGAATTACAGATATCACATCCGTTGGAGCAACTCAAGTCAAACCAGGAGCGTCCGTAACCCAACCTGAAGAAGCAGCCGAATCAGTCATCTACTCTGGTGGTGGTTTCAGCAACGTGTTCTCCGTACCCTCTTACCAAAAATCAGCCATCGCAATCTACTTCGCTGAGCATAAACCTCCTTACGGCCCAGACCGCTACAACACTTCAGAACACTCTCGCGGTCTCCCCGACGTTTCAGCAAACGGCGTAAATTATGTGATCGCCATCGACGGTAGCTTCTCCTACGTCTACGGAACTTCTGCTTCAACTCCTACATTCGGAAGCATATTGACCTTAGTTAACGCTGCGCGATTGGACATTGGGAAGAGTTCAGTTGGGTTCATCAACCCGACAATTTATCAGTATCCGGGAATATTTAATGATATTACTGAGGGCGGTAATCAAGGATGTGGAACTCCGGGTTTCGAGGCTGTTACTGGCTGGGACCCGGTGACTGGATTGGGAACGCCAAACTTTCCCAGGATGTTAAAGGTCTTCTTGGAGCTGCCTTGATGATCTATGTCTAAGTAGACGCACGACTCGCACATTCGAGAAGTATATTGGGTAATGATGATTCTAATTCCAAGCACATATATACCACTTTTGGCTCTATATTCTAGATCTAAGCAATGAAAATTATTGTCTATGAATGTTGCATCATTTCTTCCCATTTCCAAGCATTGGCAACACGCCCACAAGATGCTCATCCCCTTCAGGGACCTCAAAGTCAAATCGAATCACATTCTCCTTGAACGGTTTTATATAATTATCCGCAACTCTATAAAAGTTATCAGCCCCCCATTCCAACAAGAAGGAGAAAACTAAACTCACCGTCCATGCTCAGCACTTGCCTGATATTCCTCCAACGCTTTGCGATCCGGATGAAAGCTCACAAGCCCGAATTCAAAACCTTGACTCACTTCCTTGGGCTCACTGATACTGGGGCCGCCGACTATCAGGCGCTGGTCTTCGACGCAGGGGAGGGTGGCGAGAGATTTTACTTCACGGAGGAAGGTGGATTTTTGCTGGGGTGAGGTGGTGGGGAGGAATTTGAAAAGCACTGCGGGAGAGGAGATTAGTCTGGAGTGAGGGGTAGAAGTGTAGGAAAAGATGGAAATACATACCTACGTGAATGACCGTCATTTTGCGCGTAGTAGTAGTAAATGATCTCCTCGGTGTGCGCAAATAGCGATTCATAACATTCGATTAGCAGATTCGGACAAACTCTTAATGCTCGAATAGCCTTCAAAACAAGATTCAATGCGAGGTATATCAAATGTGTAAGTGGTGGTGGAAGGACATTCACCTTTAGTAGTGAAGCCGAATGAGGAAAGAGGGGCGAGGAGGGGTAGAAAAGTGGGTCTTTCGGATCATTGTCCGTCGTCCAGTGCGGATTGTCCGTCTCACTTTCTTCTTCGTCTTCTTTTCCCAGAGAACATTCAATGTTTGTACTTCACGCATAGGAAGAGTGATTGTTGACGTGATTTGAATATCGAAGTCGTTTTAGACATCTAGAGAGTTTCTGCAGAAATTTGCCAAGGCTCATTCTGCAACAATCATATTTCCTTCCCCGCCGTTCGCCATCTTGTGGAATTCAGGAACAGCATGGATCTCACCCCAGATTCTCATCACGAGCCGAATGATACGTACGAGACACCCGAAGTCGAACCTTCGAGACGGACATCCTCGCGGAGAGCACCTCGGATACGAACCGCATGTGTGAGGTGTCAGAGGCGGAAGATCAAGGTCAGCCACTTTCTTTCCATGACTGAACTTTTGCATCTTAGCAAAAAGTTTGTTATGAATTTGGCTTACATTTTGATAGTGCGACGGACGTGTCCCGTCTTGCTCTTCGTGCAGCAAAGCCGGTGTACCTTGTGTTGACGGAGGTCGGCAGCAGGACAAGTATCCTAGAGCGTAAGAACTCCAGTTTGCGCCTCGATGAGACGAAGAAGTCTCTTGATTTCTGGTGCAACGTTGATTCTTGCACTTGGAGATAAGTCGTGTCAATTTTTGGGACTTTTTACTCATTAAAGTAGGTATATTGCAAGCCTTCAAAACAGAATACAGTGGCTCGAGTCATTGTTGACAGAAAATTGTCCGGATATCGACGTGAAGAGTGGCCCTCGAATTGTTCAGGATGGCACTCCTCAGGACGGAGATTCCGTTGAGGCTGCTCCTCCCGCTCATGAAGGCGCAACCCACATGGAAGAGGAAAACAATATTGATCCAGCTATCGCCAATGATGTCCAGCAAACTTCAGATGATTGTCAGCCCGATAGATTGGCACATGAGATTGGTCTAGTCTCTGTGACGGGAGGTCAAGATCCGAGATATGTTGTAAGTTCCCATGCGGATTGGTTCATTACGCTGACCGACATACTTGTTAGGGACCGTCTAGTGGATATTCCTTTGCCAAATTGATTCTTGCAAGCATTGGCCGTCGCAATACCAGTCAACGCCAAAGCATTCAAGTCAATCCAACAGTCCCAACGAGCGCGTTCAAGGTAGTTCCTTCGGCGCTTCCGACAAGTATAGAACATGCTCTGCAACTGTCCTCAGCATATTGGGACAATATACACTGCCAATACCCATTCTTGCATAAGCCTACCCATCTCAGACTTATGGAGCATGCATACAGCTCAGGTGATCCCAGTCCCATCGCCCTCTTCCAAGTCTATATGGTACTTGCCATCTCATCAACCATACTCTCACGACGACTGAAGTTGCCTATCCCTGCAGAAGGATACTGCGCGTCTGCGATGACTTACTTTGACCGAATTCAAATTGAAGGTTCACTAGAGGGACTCCAGTGTCTTCTTCTGCTCCAAATGTACGGAATGAACAATCCATCCATGGGTCTCAATTTATGGTACCTCAATTACCAATGTATCGCTAACGTCCTTGATCTTGGACTTCAGCGGGACGTCAAAGCGGGCAAGAACTTATCATTCCTGACGCAAGAAATGAGAACCAGGATCTTTTGGGTCGTTTACTCGATTGATAGAACTCTGGCAACCATTATGGGAAGGCCAATCGGGCTTCGAGACGAAGCTTGCGAGCTGCGTGTAAGTGTGTTCAAAATGGTAGACGTCTTGGAATGTTACTGACATGTCTTATAAGATACCAGCAGATGTGGAAGACGATGCACTCCTTACTTCCGAATTCAACAACTCTCCCGAAAGTTCGCCGACATCAAGCACCATGGCGCTTCATTTGATCAAGCTCGCCCAAATTAACTCCGAAATCAAGTATGTTGCCAACAGCGTATCTCACAAGATACCACCGCACTGCTATCCTCGAATTCCAGATATATTAACATGGCAACAAGATGTCCTTGGCCGCTTGAACCAGTGGCTAGCTATCGTTCCAAGATTGGACATCAATCAGATGAAATTGTGCGAAATTAAATACCACGAGGTCATGATCCTTTTGCTACGACCAAGTCCTGCTATTCGAACCCCATCAAGTCATTCATTGCAGCTTTGTCATCAGAGTGCGATCTCAACAATTCGGGGATTTGAAGAACTGTACCGGGCTGATCTCCTTCTGTACAACTGGCCCACCGTCCACTCAGTGTTCTTGGCATGTGTGTCCATGCTTTACTGCATCTGGACTGTCCCAAACATTGCAAAGGACACAAGACTAGAAAGTTTGAGCGCGGACCTAAACTCTGCATCTAAGGTGTTGTGTGCCCTCGCTGAACATTGGGTCGACGCTAAACGAGGTCGAGACGTGCTGGACGAACTTTCACATGCCACAATTCGATGGATTGTGGAGTCCCAAAAGACTGGGGCGACAGCTACGAGCAACATGGATGATGTTCCTATTCCACGAGATGTTCCGAGTACAAACAATGTTTCTCCCGAGAACGGTCAGCGTATAAGCACTGGCTCCAGCGACATCCAAGCACCAGCGATTTCTTCGTTGGATGTCACTTTAAGCTCAGAACCGTGGAACACTCTGTTTGGCTTCTCCGACGAAACGCTCGATTTCGGACTCGATTCGCTCATGCAAGGGGTGTTCAGCGATTATCAACTAGACTTTGGACAGAGTTTGCCGCTAGATAATCAGGTCACGGAAATTGACGCATCGGTCCTCTGAGGCGGCTTACCTACGGTAGGAGGAAAGTAAAGCGACCATCCAAACGGTTGTGCTCCGAATGATCCTCGTCTGGCTGTGCCGTCCCCCATTCTTGCTTACCAACTATCCCCGCAAATCTGGGGCGATCATGTTGGTGATGCACAGGGAGAAAAGAATTGCGGCTTTTTTTGTAGGCAAAGTGGGAGTACAACATGCGTTTCGATGTTGGAAAAAGCGAAGCATTTGAAGCTCTTGGCGAATGAACTCTGCGCATTCCAACGATCTGGTTGACAAGTTGGTCAAGCCTTGCCAAATTGTCCCAGGCAAGCAGCCAAGACCTGCCACCACTTTTGGGGCCCACGAGAATTGATCGGAATTGCACTGATGGCTTGGCGCTCAACTCTCTCGTGGCGTTTTGTGGCTTGTGGACCGTCAAACGCCGAAAGTCACCTCCGAAAATTCATCGGATTTTTCGTACTCACCTGCCTCTTTTGTCCTCCCACTCCACATTTGACATACTTCATGTCTTGGCGGCTCTCCGCAACCCCTCCACGGATTCCCCGCCGTGGAGGCTAGCGAGAAGATAGTGCCGGATTGTGTCCGAGGAGTACCCCAGTTGTTGGCATCTCATGCAGGCTGAAAGCCATGCTTCGTCTGCATTGGCCCATTTCCTTGGTCTCGTGGAAGCTTTCATTTTGCTTCATGGCTAGTGGCTAGTGTGGAGTGGTGAAGATGCGACTTCCTAGTCATGTTGGTACAGCTGAGAAGTCCCAACCTGTATTTGAACTTTCCTTGCTCACAGATGCAAATTCTTGAATTTCAGCTTCCTCCTCTTGTTTTCCGTCCTGTGTATTTCTCACTGCGAACAATCGATATTCCTTGATAAGAAAGAGATCCCAACTTCACCACCAACATGGGTGCCGGTGGCCAGCCCGTTGGGCCTGGCATGTTCAAAGCAGCCTTGGCAGATACCCCTCACGAAGCTTTCAACTGGAGGCTTGTTTTCAGTGTTGTCTGCTTTGGACTTATGGTGAGAATGCTTGAATTCTTGGTTTCTGATTCTCAATACTGATTCTGTAGGGCGCTGCTCGAGGTCTAGACGAAGGTCTCATTGGAACGACTGTTACACAAAAGAGCTTTATCTCAGGTTCGTCCAACCCTGTATTTCCACACAGTCCAGCTCCAACGTCCCCATTATACCACTTGCGTTGTACTTTGTCAGACTTGAAAAACGTACATTCATCCATTCGAGTGCCCTTTGAATGGTGGATATTCGTGGGGCTGGACAATTGAATCGTTGGGTAAATTGTCCGAAAACTGACCTTTTTTTAGAATATGGACTCAGTGTTACGAAAACCCAGAATAAGACAGAACTTGCTTCCAGAATTGGAAATATCACGGCTATGGTCCAAATTGGTAGTGTGGGCGGTGCCCTTATTGCGTTCATCGCTTGCGACAAAATTGGTGAGAGGCCTTGCGATTACACCGTTTGTACACATAACTTATATAGCTCTTAGGACGTATTTGGGCTACTAGACAGCTCTGCGTAATCTGGATTATCGGTGTTATCATTTATATCACCTCTGCTGGCAATTATGGCCAGATTCTAGCGGGCCGATTTATCATGGGTCTCGGCATTGGCCAAACCACCGTCGTTGCGCCAGCATACCTCGCCGAAGCAGCTCCTCGCAGTATTCGAGGTCTCTGTATCTGTCTGTTTTCGGGCAGTGTATACCTCGGCATCATGCTGGGATACTTCGCAAATTGGGGAACTTCTTTGCACATCTCCAACAAGAGCGCTGACCAATGGATCGACGCAACAGTCATGCACATTATCTTTGCAGGAATCATCCTAATCATGAGTATCTTTGCTCTGGAATCTCCTCGATGGCTCGCCAAAGTCGGCAGAAATGAGCAGGCTGAGAAGAACATGTGCAAGCTTCGACAGTTGCCACCAGATCATCCCTATGTTAGAGCTGAGATGATCGATATCCATGATCAGTTGGAACGGGAGCGCGAAGCTACCCTTGGATCAGGATTTCTGGGCCCATTGAAGGAGTTGTTTATGTTGCCTGCGAATAGGTATAGGATTGTGTTAGGTCTTATGTGTCAACTTCTTGGACGTAAGTTATTGTCCCACTTCCTTTTATGGGATTCCAATATCAAAATATTCCACTCTTGAGGTACGATTAGCTAATAATATTTGACAGAATGGTCTGGTGCTAACTCAATCACCATCTACGCACCTCAATTCTTCTCTATCCTCGGCACAACCGGCTCCTCCGAAAAGCTCTTCGCAACAGCTATTTTCGGCGTCGTTAAATTCGTCTCAGCCCTCATTTGCGCCTTCTTCCTCGTCGACTTCCTTGGCCGCAAACGTTCCCTCTCAATTGGAATCATCATCCAATTCATTTCAGTCCTCTACATCGCCATCTACCTCACCGCTGTACCAACAATTACTTCCGGCCAAGTCCAGTCAGCCGCTGCCAGACACGCTGGCACTGGCGCCATCGTATTCATCTACTTCTCCGGCGTAGGCTGGGCTTTGGGCTGGAACTCTATCCAATACCTTATTGGTGCGGAGATCTTCCCTCTCCGTGTCAGATCTCTGGGTACTTCCATGATCATGTGTTTCCACTTCGTCAACCAATACGGAAATTCCAAAGCGGTACCATTGATGTTAATCGATGGCTCCGGAGGTCTATCTCCTAAAGGCACATTCTGGTTCTTCTCAGCAGTGACACTGCTGGGTTTGGCGTATGTCTGGTTCTTCTTGCCGGAGACGGCGGGCAGGAGCTTGGAGGGTATGGATGCGTTGTTTAGTCTGCCGTGGACGGTTATTGGGAGGAAGGGAGCGGCGCTCACGGCTGGGCAGGGAAGTGTGGCTGAGGCGATGGCGATGGGTGATTCGGAGAAGGTGCCGGAGATTGAGAGGGAGGAGAGGGTTGAGAATGTTGAGAATGCGGGGACTTTGGAGGAGAAGAGGACTTGAGGAATGAAAATGGGATGACTTATGCGAAACTATTGTCATTGGGACCTTTGGACGGATTCGGCGTCTGATGAATGAAGTTCATGACTTATGCAACTTGTGCTTTGTAATGCAGAAGCTCTTGAATTTACTCTTTTACGGCGAAATTCATCTCAGTAGTGTTGCTAATTAAGTGAAATGCAGCAAGAAGAACGCTTTGAACAGAGAGGTCGATTCAAGATGGAATTAAACTTTCCACAAGCATTGCGAGGATGAAGACTGCTTCTGGACGCGAACAAAGTAGCCTCGCAAGTAAGCGTGTGCCGTGTTGGAGGGTCGCGACAAGGCCTGAGTGTAAGCATTGGGTTTCTCATGTGCTGTGGCCAGTGTTATGGCGGCCGGCTGTTCTGTATGTCTCCTACGAAGCTTTAGGGTTCTCTGGGTCATCGCTTGCTCGCCAACTCGTTCTATAACCTTGTCTACATTTCTAGAGCAGTGGATGGTTGTAAAGCCTGTACCATCTCATAGGACTTCCAGAAAGCCAGCCTGCTAGGCATAATGCAACGACGAAGTCATAACCGAGTCTTCTTTCGAAAGGCTGGCATCTGACATCTTTGCTGTCAGCCTGTCCAGCGTTCGGGCGTAAATTCTAGCTCATTGGGTTGGGGTGCATGATGGCTTGGCGGCTGTGCAAAACAAGAGATGGTCCTCTCAAAACAACCATCTTCCGCACATTACTGATACCACAGGTTTTGATCTTCGTCCAACAAAAGCTGAGATGTGTTACTATGAGCAATACTCTATGGCTTGTGGAGACTGGAAGTGGGGCAATTTCAGGGCACACTGTAGCAAGGAGTACAGAACAGGTGAAACTTGCGAGATGAAACTTGTCTGGGAGTCCATCCCTCTTTCCGACAAGTGCAAGTATTGTATTAAGATTGACACTAAGCATGGGAAAATTGCGAAGGAGGAAGCGAGGATTAAAAAATGGAGAAATGAGGGTCCTGGGTACAGGAGAGCATCGATTGAGCAAGCCGAGGAGGCCATCACTGTAATGCAAGACGAAATTTGTGAGCTTAACTACCAACGAGCGAGCTACAAGCACCTTGTGGCGCCAACCCGGTCTACCAGTACATCTTCAACTGCTATTATGAAGTCTTATGTGACCGTCCCTATTCCAGAGACGAGTCCTTCCACTGGAACTCGGAAAAGACTATTTTCGACAAAGCGATAAAGATGGATCGTCTTTTCAGCGAAGAAGGGGAGAAAGAATTTCTAGCAGATCCTTTGCACGAAACTTGAGTTCAGACCATGAACACGAATGGAGATGAAATTGCAATCCCTCAGCATGTTGAACCAGAGAAGGAAATGCATACTTCGAAACGCGTGGCCTGTCAAGAAACTACGTAGGAGGATGAGCTAGCGAGATCTCCTTCATGGAAGCAGGATATAGAAGTTGTGTGGAAATGCGTTAGTGAAGTTCTGATTACGATGTCTTAAGAATTTCAACTAACACCAGGAACAGAAATGTGGGAAGGGATTTACTGAAGTTGTTACCGAATATAGAGCTGGCGCTGCAAAGGCATTGGCGCAGGGAGTACAAGATGATACGTCCGTGGACATCGAGCGGATAGCTGGCGCACAGGATCAGGCTTCTTCGGGGTCATCTTCATCTTCCGAATCAGCGCAAAGCACGGACTCATTAAGTCTTCGAGCCGTGAATAAGGGTAGTAGAACGGGGCCTCCGACCAGTGGTGACCCCATTGACCTCGATAATGAGGACCATGAGAGTTCTCACAAAGAATACTTCCTCATGTGTACACCTAAACGCTCAGATATGGTCCTGCGGCATGTTGATGTGACGAGAGCACGGTGCGACTACACTTCGTATCACAATCTGAATCGAGAGTACTATAAAAAGTGGCCTCGATGCCTGCATTGGCTCTTTTTGAAAGAGATATCATCGGTGGACTTCATCAAGGTATGTCCAGAACCATAAACACAAGTCGCACCAAGCTGACTTTGGCTAGTTCCATCTCTACTGGAAGCAGAACGTGAGCATAGAAGAGAAAGATATTGGAATTCTACCACCAAGACTTTCAGATGAGTACTCATACTCGGCTGATACCAACCCACCAGTCCTGAGAACGGCGTTGCGTCATTTCATTCAGCATCCAATCATGCCCCGAAAGCTCCCTACCATCGTCCTCGAATTCCGAGGAAGATTAGAGGGAGACTTGTCCTGATGAAAGACCATTCGCCGAGAGAGGGTTATGGGATATGTATTCAAGAGAGGCTATCGTGGATAAAGGTGTTTGTTGTTGAAGCAGCCTTCTCAACGTGTTGTGTTATGTTCGCAGTGCTATGGTGTGTAACGCACAACGGTGGAATACAAGACGGATTTGCAATTTCTGCTCTGCAGGCAGTTGCTCAAGGACACTAGTCAGGAGATGGTTACATGATGTGAAGTTTGAAGGAAGCTGGATTGCATCAAGTCTACCTGCAAATAGGAACTCTGTCAAGCAATAAATCATGGCATCTTGTTTGGTTACACCTTTGCGCGACGACTGCATGCTTTTGCACTATTGCCGTCTGATGCGCGTATTCATGAGGAGAGCTGTATGCTTTAGCGCTTAGCGGATCTTCCGTCTTTGTCGGACTTTGATCCGTCTAGGTGTCTTCGGCTCGCTCCTTCTTCACTCCCCAGACCATCGAAGATAAATTTTTCTTCACTGATATTAAAACTCTTTCTTTCTTTCAACACCTCATAAGATACTCACTGGAAACTTCAACAGGATACAGTTTTAATCATCTCCCAAATACTAAGCCTTATTACCCTACTACCCCACTATGAGCACCACCACATCACATGACCCCTCCTCGTCTTCCACTCCCCCTAAAATCCTCATCTCTCCCTCCTCTGCTCAAGCATTCATCGAATCCGTCCTCACCGGCAATGGCGTCCCAGCAGCAAACGCCACCATCATCGCCAAAGCACTCGTCCTCGCCGACCTCCGAGGCGTCGACACCCATGGCATGAACCGCATACCATCCTACATGGAAAGAATCCGGCAAGGAGTTCTCGACCCCAAAGCCCAGCCAGAATTAAAACAGATCACACCTGTCGTCGCCCAGATTGATGGCAAGAATTCTTTTGGATTCCTCGGTGCGAGTTTAGGGAGTAAGTCTCTCTTCCTTCCTCATCTTCAGAAAAAGAGATACTGATGAACGAAAAAGTGAAATCATGCATCGAAGCCGCAAAAATCTACGGCATAGGAATGGCGTCTATCAAGCACAGCAATCATTTCGGCATGGCCGCCTGGATCGTCCAGCAAGCGCTAGACGCGGGCCTCATGTCCCTCGTCTTCACCAACTCATCACCAGCCCTTCCCGTTTGGGGCGGGAAAGAAAAACTCATGGGCGTCTCTCCAATCGCTTGCGGAGCTCCTGGTGCGGAAAAAGATTTCATTCTTGATATGGCACCGTCTGTGGCTGCCAGAGGAAAGATCTATAAAGCGTTGAGGAGAGGAGAGAAGATCCCGAGTGATTGGGCGCTGGATAAGGAGGGGAATAGGACGGAGGATCCGGCGAGAGCGCTAGAAGGCGTTATGTTGCCTATGGGGGGACCGAAGGGCTCTGCGTTGTCGGTTATGATGGATGTGTTTTCAGGAGTGTTGTCAGGCAGTGCATTTGCGGGAGGGGTTGCGGGGCCGTATGATGCGACTAGAGCGGCTGATGTAGGGCATTTTCTGGTGGCGATTAGGCCGGATTTGTTTCTGGATGGTGGGGTGGAGAAGTTCAGGGAGAGGATGGGGATTTTATATCAGAGGGTTGTAGGGTGTGAGAAGATGGCGGGGGTGGAGAGGATTTGGTTTCCGGGGGAGATTGAGATGGATGCTGCTGAGGAGAGGAGGAAGAGCGGGATCCCGTATGTGCAAGCTGAGGTTGAGGCGTTGAATAAGGAGGCGGAGAAAGTGGGTGTTCCGCATATTCAAGTCATGTCCTAATCTCGGACATGGGAGAGAAATCTTGGGATATATGAGTCTATGTATCTTCTTCTCTGTCTTCTAAAGTTTCCTCGTCTAAAACAGCAGACAATGCATTCAGGACCAGAATTCTCTCAACATCTCCCCACAATATTTATACGCCTCGTCTCTCTTCCTCTCCCCTCCCCCAAACGGCCAGAACCAACTTGGCCATTTATCCCACCCATGCGGCACCTCCTTCACAACACACCCCTCAACCCTCTTCCCCACCCCCTTCAATCTCTCTTTAAACGTCTCTCCCTCCACCAACAAACTATCCCACTCACAAGTCATCATACACAGATTCTCCGGCAACGCCTCCTTGATCATCTCCTCACTCGCTAACCCCGGACTCAACAGCGGATCCGCCATATCCAGATCTGTCCGCCTCATTTGAGGCCGCGAGAAAGATAGAAAATACGCCTGTTCAAACATCCCGAAAAACAGCCCGGGGATCCGTGATAGCGGTTGAGTTAACGGGTTACTCTTCGCTCTATCTGCTCGACTTTTCGTCCAATCGGCTGGGGCGTAGAAAGTACATACTCCTACGAGTTTCCCTATATCCGTTTCCTCTATCTTGCCTTCGTTTCTCAGCTTTCCTATTTGCTGATGCAGCATGTAGGAAGATGTAAAGCAGAATTGGCCGCCAGCAGAGAAGCCTGAAAGGGCGGTGCGGGAAGTGTCGATGTGGAGAGATGATGCAATGGGGGTGGACCAGAGGTAGAGGAGTGCGGAGACGCAGTCACTAATTCCTGTTGGGAAGGGGAATTCGGGGGCCAGGCGGTAGTTGACTGAGACTGCGATGCAGGGAGTGCGGGATTGGATGGCGGTTATGAAGCGGGCGTCGTCGGCGGCGTGGCCGATTGTGTAGCCACCGCCATCTGGGGGAATGTTAGCTTTGTACGAAGTAGATAGTGAGGGATGGATGAGGAGGAAGAGATGGGAGTGGTTGATGTCACGTGGGTATATTAGGAAGATGGGGTTTCTTGTAAGCCGTAGAGTAGCAAGAGGTGTGGAAGACTCACGGAAGTTAACAAGCAATGGTAGTTTTTCATTATTACCCAAATCCGCATATCCGGGCGGAGTATAAAATAGCAACTCAAATTCTCCCGGACATGACCCAACAGTCGATTTTATCTTTCTTGTGAAAGTTGGAGCTTGGGGGAGTGGTGTGGAAAGGTACAAATCACAGTATCTCCCTAGAGTTTGTAGAAACCGGAGGATATATGTTCGTAGATAGAGAAAACGGGGCATGTTGACTGTTCACAAGAGGTGAGATCTATGACGACATTGATGTCTCGGATGCTGGAGAATGGCAGGAGGGATATGAAGAGCAAGATTGTAACTTAGGTGAATATGTGATTGTGGAGGATAGATGATGGGATTGAGAATTGTTGGATGTTTAGTAAAGGATATGAGATGTGTTTGGTGGTTGGAAAGCTCACATGCATGTAATCAGGTCCTAGCGTGGCGATAGGCGAGCCCCTGATGAAGCGAAGTCTTTCTTGAAGCATGCATCATTAGTATCTTCACTATTGCAAGAGACACAAAATACATATGAGTGTCACTCTGCCTTGAAGGCTCTTTCCAAATTCTGTATCTGCGGTATTGAGAATGGATCACGTGCCCACTAGCGTACTTTCCTCTGCAGATTTGTCTGGGATGGAAACAAGAACAAAACCTGGAAGTTGGCCTTTCGTTGAATATCCCTCTCATCACGATCACATCAAAGTTGATGTCCGGTTGCAAATTTTGCCTCCACAATCTTTATTGTACTTGATTTAAGATAAATCGCGCGTTCTTTCCGTAGTTGCGAAGTTCCAAGGGGCGCATTCTCCAACGTAGCTTTCTTACAGACTTGCGCGTGTTCCGAGATCTGGAGGACCCGACTGCCTGAAGCCTTCCAATCACAAACTCCAGTCGAGTTCCAGGTTATCCAGCTCTTGAAAGGGGAAAAAGGGCTTTCGTGGAAGTCAAGAGGCACGTGATATCCTCGTGATCCAACGAGTCCGTGGACGAGCTAGGTGTCTTGCTTCAAGTATTGGTCCCGTTATAATATGCTGTGAATAACACAGCTGCGCTACTGACCCACTCTTTCCAATGATTTTCTTGGAATTGCACCAACCATCCTCTCAAAACCAAGTTTGGCACACTAGTAGGAGGGGTAGTTGACTGATTTGCTCCAACCCCAGGTCTATTGAGGAGAAGTGCTTCGGGCATCTCACGGTCCATCCACAAGCCATACGGAACGGCATGCTATCAAGTCGGAAGCAGTACCCGTGGAAATTAACTTTTTGTCTCAGATCTCTCCAATTATCAGTGCGTCTATCATACCTAGGCATCAGATGGCAGTCCCGCGATGCAGCCCAACTAGGCCGTCTTTACTCTTCAGACAATCGGGACGGAAGTCTCGAAGATGCACTAGAACGAGCAAGTATCGTCGTGACGACAAAATCAGACGATGCTAACTCGACAATAGAAAGGTCTAGCCCTGAGGGAATAATTTCAGAGCCAGGACAAATCTAATGATTCTTGACTAGAGCCGCACGGTTCTCTCCGGACTAGTGGGAAGGGGAGAAAGTAAACCAATTATGCACATGCCACATGGACGCCATCGGCTATTTATCAACACCTATCACTGTTTAGCGTGAACCCTAATTGAACCCTGAACCTTTTCCGTCGGCTGGCCGCTTCGGAAGCAGACCCGGGCCAGAACGTGGCAGGTTCTCCCGGAGGCGTTTCCCATATGGCAAGTGAGAGGTCTAGTACCTGGACTACGGATTAATACTCGGGTACTGTTCAGAGCTACAAATTCGTATTTCCCTCTTCTGCATTGTAGAGAACAAGAGGCTTAATGATTGCCACACGTTGCAATTTCACATCCGAACTCACCGAGTCATGTGCCGAGATTGTGGTTTTGGTGCATGTCAACCAGTCAACTGCTTCAGCTCCAGGCACATCACTTCTTTGCAGGCAATTACCACTAGCGTTGGCCCAAGAGCCCACAAAAGCGCCGCGATATATCGTGCGCTAATCGTGTCCCCCTGACCTTTGGGAGTGGCCTTTACGCAGGGCACAAGCCATTCCCTTCGGGAGTGACACTTGCCACACGTAGTGACCGGCCACAACGCTAAAGATTGGCGAGGGATACGAGCTACTATTGCATTCTAATAAATACCCGCAAGCTTTTTAGCGTTGTGGCCAGTCACTACGTGTGACAAGTTAATTAGTGACATTCTTGAAAGGAGTAGTCTTACTAGTCTATGCATTAAAAAATTCACCAGACCACGACCAAAGGGCAGTGGGACACGATTATGCGAGCTCAGCGTTGGCATTTAGGCCCACATCTCACTTTAGCGAGAAAGATCTGCAACAAGATCACCTTGATCGCTGTCGGGCTGCGACAACAGGTATATACATTCCTATTTCAACAATGCCTGCAGATGAGATCGTGCGGGGACGAGGAAACGAGCGTCAAAGCGTAAACAAGAGGAGGAGAAACGAAGAGATTACACAGAATTATGCCGCATGTGCTGAAGATCCTGCGTCCCTGCTAGTGGCGGGCCAAGATCTTCTGTTCGTTAGCTCTAAGTCGAGCTTGAACATATCGAACTCTAATCTGAAAGTTTCCTAGGGGTTATCGAAATCTCAGCCGTGCCCGCCGTCCAGACGCGTCTGATTGTACGAAACTTGACCGTCATGGATCCGGATGTAGATAAATCTCTGAGATGTGTGCCACTTATAGCCTCGGTCCTCCCGCTCTGGAGGATTTTGTTGCAATCTCTTGCCCGTGTGTTTTAGTATGAACTCCCAGCGTCCAGGACCAGAAAACGGAGGAGGACACGGGGAGTTCTCTTTCTTTGAAGCCTTGACTTTTGACTCCAAAGATTCCCCCTCTCTCAACATCAGAGAACTAGGCTTGTCTCCGACTCTACCTTCATCGAAACCGGTCGTGCCTGAGAAGAACACCTTGCAAAGGTCAATCACGAGTAACGGCAACTCGAGTCCGGCGAACAGAAAACCAGCTCCGAAAATGGCTCCCAGCAAAGCACAAAACAATTGCTTAGAATCCTGCCACAAAACCACGAGCTCGATCGACCTCATTTCCGTTCACATATTGGAATATTTGACAACGTCGAAACAGATTCCTTATGGCTTCGAACCCTTAGCACACGATTTCCTCGATACCTGCCAAATCCTCTTCTCGATCGAAGCTGGTCTTGGGCAATGCAATCGTTCCGGGCAGAAACTGCCTCAGGAGATGATCACGGAACTCGACCGCAAGTTCCGGGTGACGCAAGCAGACTTCAGCATACTCAATCAGATGCTCACTAAGCTGCTAGCTCCTTCCAATCGCATTGCTCGAGGCTGGGGAAAACTGTTTGGCGATACCGATATCAAGAAAATTTCCACCGCACTGGCAAAGACGCGCGAAAGTCTGAGGATGAGCTCGCTGGTCTTCCAGTGGAGTCTCGGAGCTGACACGATCGAGAAAGAAAAGGGTATAGGATATACGGGCTTGGCTGCTGCGTTGGACAGGTTGGACGACAAAGCAGGGCATAAGAAGGTGAAAGAGACGACGGTCGACGCTCCGAGCCAGCAAACACAAAGCCAAGCCCCGTCTCAACTCCCTCAATTCCCGGCTCCACCACCACCACTACCGTCGACATTTCCTTTTGGCGCCATTGATGTGCAAAGTGCTGTCCAACAATACCAACAACCGAATGCACCTTGGTCCCACAGGTCTTCCTCCATTCATCACGAAGGATCCATTGGCAGAGCTTCAGGCAACGAAGTACGCGCGCCAGTGCTTGGTAGCCCGTTGAGTCCTGACTTTCGACAAAATGGTGCAATGCTCTCACACTTTCCGACATCCAATGGATCAGGCACAACCGATTCAACTGATCGCTACGATCGCCATAATATTATGGACGACGCTCGCTCGATGACAAACATCACCGAGCCTGACAGCTTTCATGAAGATCTCGCGGCACTTGACCTGGACCCTTCGAAGGTCGTTCGCCTAAGTGCTGACCCCATCAGCATGCCACGCCTGTTCCCGCGACATGCTTTGGAAGGAGATGCTGCGAATATGAAAGCTGCCCTTATCTCCGCAGTTCGCAGCAAAAACCATAAGCTTGTCGAGCAGCTGCTTCATCGAGGTGTACCAGCCAACACAGGACCGATTATGCCGGCCCTAAAAGAAGCTGTTCTTGCTCATGATGAAGAGACCGTCCGTCTCTTGCTCACGTTCGGCGCAGATCCGAATGAGCCTGATAGAGACGGTGTCACGCCTCTCTTTACAGCTGTCGAAAAGTCCTTCCTTGGGGGAGCTACTATACTCTTGAAGTATGGCGCGGATCCGAATCTGGTTGCTGGCCCAGATCTTGAGTCACCTCTTGCTGCGGCTGTAATGGGCAATATGGTGGGCTTTTCTCACCTCTTAATTACGTACAATGGCGACGCCAACCACGTTACTGCGGGTGGAGTCCCCCTACTTACCAGCGCCATCAAAAAGAAAACACCAAAGAAGTTCATTGACCTCCTTCTCGACTATGGCTCACTTCCCAACACTAAGAGTAGAGAAGGAAAGACTGCACTCTTTGAGGCACTCCAAGTTGGTCGAGCAGACATCGTCACGAGTTTGATTGAGCATGGCGCAGATCCGAACTTGCCTGGTCCCAAACACATGCTCTGGCCATCAACCTTCTACCCTCAGTGTCTCCAAGTCCTCCTTTCCCATGGTGCAGATCACAAGAAGTGCCCAGGCATCATGGAGTTGGCAGTGAGCACCAACAACGTCGAATCTGTGCGAATCCTACTAAAGGCAGGCGTCAACCCAAACACCAAAAAAGACAGCATCTACACGCCGCTCTGTACCGCCATCCGGGACGATCGCGCCGACCTCCTCAAGCTACTCCTCAGCAACGGCGCCGATCCAAATGTCATGGCAAGCGAGTACCCAGCCTTCAAATGCGTAACGCACAACCGAGTCCACTTCCTCCCACTCCTCGTCTCCTCAGGAGCGAACCTCCACAGCCCCAAAGGAATCCTCGAAACAGCCGTCAGCTCAAACAACAAAGAAGCTCTGAACTGGCTCCTAGATCAGGGCGTCAACCCCAACGACAAGAACCCCAAAGGCATGACACCCCTCACGACCGCCATCCGCGAAAACCGCATCGATATGGTCGACCTCCTCTTATTGCGAGGAGCAGACCCTCACATGCGCGGCCAAGACTGGCCCGTCTGCATGGCAGTCCGGAACCCGCCTATCCTTAAACGCATCCTTGCCGTAGTCTCGGAACCGCAAGCCTTCAAAGGCATCATGGAGATGGCCGTCTCGGCCAACCAGCTCGAGTCCGTCAAGTTGCTCATCGCGGCCGGAGTCTCGGTCGAAGATAAAAACGGCGGCGTGTTCTCGCCTCTCACGACTGCTATCCGTGAAGATCGCCGCCAGATCGTGGCGTATCTGCTGGATGACGGCGGTGCGGATGTCAATGCGCCCGGAGAACATCTGCCGATTGTGAAGGCGTTGCGGAGGTATCATGGGGAGGGCGATACGGAGATCATGGAGCTGCTGTTGGAGCATGGGGCAGATCCGAATAAGCTTTACCGGGGCTGGAATGGGATTATGCAGGCGGTGGAGAATGGAGACGCGGAGATCTTGAAGCTGTTGAGTCGGAAGTCGGGGGTGGATTTGGAGGTTAAGGATGAGTTGGGACGAACGGTGGTGGAGATGGCGGCGTCGAGGGGGTGGGATGAGGCGGTGCAGATCTTGATGGAGGGGGATTTGGGGTTGAGGTTGAGGAAGTGAGGGTTGGGGTTGAGAAGTAATGTACAAGGTCGTTGGGAGGGAGGCAACATGGTGGAGTTGGTTGGCTTGAGTGTGTGATCTGTTTATTATACCATTGACTGGGTTTCTTTTGTAGCACTGATCTGGAACTGTTTTCAATACAGCTGTTTCCTTTACTATTGTTGTTTTTATTAGTAGTAATATGATGAAGTTAGTACGAATGACATTAGCTTCTCTTTTCTTTGGATGTCCTTCCATAGAAGAGTAATCCTACTTGTTATGTATGATGTGCTTTGGTGTTGGATGGAAAACTCCTGTAAACAGACCAGAACTGGATTGTCCAACGAGGACTGGATATTTACCGTAATAGCAACGAAAAGAGTGCAAAGTTTCCAAAAATGCGCACATCGCGCACATGGCGCATTGTGCGCGTTTAGTGCAGATGGCTTTCCTCACAATATAGAGGAGAAGCATTTTTTTGAGACGAGGAAAGAGTTCGCCAGAGGACGTGAGAATAGTAATTGTCTTTAGCTAGTTAAGCTCAATATAGTGAGCCTTCGATGGGCAAGTGGAGGATACGGTTTGGATGACCTTGGAGGCTCGGACTTAACGTCACGAGTTATTAATATCCCAAATTATGCATTATTCGAAGCACTTCAATGTTTTCCAAAGAGCCAACTGTGTTCTCCAGACTTTTCTTAATGTATTTTGAGGTTTTCATTGCTGTGAGGATCAGATGTGATCACGTGATCTTCACTCTAAGGAATTACATCTCCCTTTCCTTGAGCTGCTACTGGATGGAACATCTTCAATACAAACACTCTGTACTAATCCGAATATCCCTCATCTCCACACACGCAATATCGTGGGAAACATAAGCTTTTACCAAGCTTTTCTCCCCTGCACCGTCCCGGGTCTGGCAGATAGCGCCAAGCCTTTAAAGGAAGGCGCCCTCACTCGTCTCCGATATCAGAAGGCACTTCCCCTCATCAACAACCATGCTCACCTACCAGAAGCGTGCGTGTTCCTGCCTCTCACTGCAGAAAACATGCATGATATCACCATTCACGTGATTTGCGCATGGATGACTTCCCGAGGAGTGGGAGAGCTCATTTCACTGCAGATCTTGTGGAATCGATGCATTCGGGGGAGGTATAAGAAGTCTTATCCCCCACGTAAGATGAAGTCTCTGCTGTCTTACTGTTGGAGCAATTCCCTCCTTGGACACAATGTTGTGGTGTCACATTCTCCTCAGCTCGGCGCTCCTTGTGGGCGTATTCTCGAGCCCAACTGGCCATGTGCTACACGAGAAGAGATCGGTTTCCCTGTCGCACAAGAGACAGCGCGTGGACGGTGATTCCATTGTAAGTTCCATTTTCGAAGCCTGGCTGTTGCTTGTGTGCTGTCCAAAGTTGGGGAATTCGAAGCTTCCCTAGAGCTGAGAATTTTAGTGTCTGTCTAATTGTGATTATTTTAACCCCTGCAATTTATACGAATGAAGCATACTGATCTTGGGATTCCGGGGACCAGGTGCCTGTTCGAATCGGTCTCCGTCAAAGTAATCTGCACACTGGTTACGAGAGATTGATGGAAGTCTCCCATCCCACTTCGAAGAACTATGGCAAACATCTTTCCAAGGAGGACGTCCACTCAATCTTCGCTCCTGCTGAAGAGACTGTCGAGACGGCGAAGAATTGGTTGCTCAGCACGGGCTTGTTTGGAGAGGACGAAATCATCCAATATGAGAACAAAGGATGGCTCGCAGTCGATATGCCTGCCAAGCACGCCGAAAGTCTCCTCGGCACCGAATACTACGAGTACGAATCGAGCGAAGGGGACATCAGAATTGGGTGCGACGAATATCACCTCCCAATCCAAGTCTCCAGTTATGTCGATTACATCAAACCAGGCGTGAAGCTCTCTGTGCCTCTCAAGAAGAGACAGATTGAGAAACGCAGCACTTTTTCGGGCCTGTCGAGAGGAAGTCATCGTCCAACGCATGTCAAACCACCACACTACCCGGGCTGGTCAATGCCCCCTGGAGCAGGAAACTTGCCATCAGATCTCCAGAATTGTGGTGTCAATATCACTCCGACTTGTATCAAAGCTCTATACGACATTCCTACAGCCTATCTCGACCAGCCAGAGAATGTCATGGGTTTATATGAGACTTACGACGCTTTCTCGCTGGGCGATATCTCACTCTTCTTCGAGAACTTCGCAAAGAATGTGCCTGCAGACACTGCACCAAAGGTCATCTCAGTCGACGGCGGCACTGCTCCAGTTGCTCCCGACGATGTTCGCAACGGAGGAGAGTCAGACATTGACCTTGACCTGTCCATCTCCCTCATTTATCCACAATCAGTCACCGTTTATCAAGTCGATGACCTACCCAACTCCTCTGGAGAAACCAATACCACCGGCTTCTTGAACACTTTCCTAGACAGCATAGATGGCAGTTATTGTGACTATTCCGCATTTGGGATCACAGGAGATAGCCCTGGCATCGACGCCTCATACCCTGATCCCACAGCAGGAGGATACAAAGGCAAACTAGAATGCGGAACCTACGAACTTACACGCGTTGTATCAATCTCCTACGGCGAAGCAGAAGTTTATCTCCCAAAGAACTACGTCGAACGCCAATGCAACGAAATTATGAAACTGGGTCTCCAAGGTCACACTATCCTGGTGGCCAGCGGTGACTATGGTGTTGCCAGTTTTCCAGGCAGTAACGGGAACGCAGAAGGCTGTCTCAGCGCCGCAGGAATGAATGGTACCATTTACAACCCAGACTATCCCTCAGGCTGCCCATACATCACTGCCGTTGGAGCAACAAGACTCTATCCCAACGACACAGTTCACGATCCCGAGTCCGCAATGCAAGTCAACCTCACAGCATTCAACATCGCTACTGGTGCTGGTCCAACTTCTCCACCCTACGACTTCTTTGCCACAGGCGGTGGTTTCTCAAATTACTTCACTCCAGCACCGTTCCAAGCTGCTGCCGTCTCGGCCTACCTCGCCCAGTCCGATTTACCTTTCCAATCCCTACCTTACTATACTATCAACGAGGAAGCCACAAACATTGGCGAGAATGGTGGTCTTTACAATCGTATTGGGAGAGGATACCCAGATGTATCTGCGAACGGAGCGTTCTTATTGACATTCGTGAATCTGACTGCAGGAACCTATTTTGGTACCTCACTCGCCTCACCGATTTTCGGATCTGTGGTCACCCTGCTCAATGAGGAGAGGACCAAAGTCGGAAAGGGGCCGGTGGGGTTCATCAACGCGGCGCTTTATGCTAGTATGTCTCCTCGCCCTCCTCTCTATGTTCAGTAGCTGACGAGAAATGTGCTAGATCCGTCCGTTTTGAATGATATCACTAATGGCTCAAGTAAGTACTCCTTTGAAAGAGAAGTTAAGGGAAGAGTACTGACGTTGATAGATCCCAATTGCGGCTCAGTAGGTTTCCAAACCTCGAAGGGCTGGGATCCTGTTACTGGGCTCGGGACACCGAATTATCCTCGGATGCTGGAATACTTCTTAAGTTTACCATAGTTGTCATCCCAAATACTTAAATTCAACCAAATAAACATTCACAAATACCTCCCCAAACCCAAACACACTCCCAATAAATTCACCCTTTTCATCCACTCAGCCAACCCCTTCGCTAGCACCTCAGCCTTGCCAGCCTCGCCAACACCAAACCACCATATATAAAGTTAAATAAGCAGGTTCCCGCCGTCGCCAATCCCGATACCTTCCTGTCGCCAACGCGGGGCAACCCGCACGATCGCCCACTACAAAAAACCCGTTCCCTCCCCGGAGAAATGGGTTTTTACAAAGGCACCCCTCCCGCCCGCACGCGCTTCGGCAGTGTGCGGGTTAGAGGGCTGTTCTGGAGTTTTTTGCTTTTTGGGGTTTTGGGAGTTTAGAAATCGTTGTACTGATCTTTTTGAATTTATTTATTGATTTCTTTTTGGCTGATTTCTTATTTTTTTGGGAGGGACTTTCTTTCTCCTTTTCAGCGGAGATTCTCGGTTGGCTTAAGCGAGGGGTCTTCGGTTTTGCTGACATTTTTGTGTGTTACGTACAAGATACCTAGGTAGGTACCGGTAGGAGGTACTTTTTAGCGCTTTCTGTTCACAGTTTCATCAAAAGGCGATTCGGAAATTATGGGGTTTTCAAGGAAACGCAGTGATATTATTACTCTCGGGGTATATGATAAACATGCTATCTTTTGCAAACTCGTTATCACGCAATTCCGGCTGGTTTGAAGCCTCGCTACACAGATGAATGAAATGAAATAGAGAAGATATCAGTCTGGAAAGAAATCAGACACCTATGAACACCGATCATGCTTCCGGATTTTCTGTCTGTCATCATTTTTTCCCTAGTCAGCTTGTGCCTCAGCTCCCGTGCACTTGCCTCATGTGTTGTCTCAAGTGATCCTTTCTGTAGAATCCATTTCTCGGCCCTCTTTCACAGCCTGGAACTTGGCAATGGTGGGATTTGACGCCAGTGTGCCGCCTTTGATGTCGATACAGTTCGAATTTTCGAGCGTATGATCGTGTGCAGCCTCTTTGGTTACATCGGTATGGTTTGAGGCTGTATTGTCAGTCAGTGTGGTAGCAATAAGGAGAGTGATGCTTACCTGTTTGTATCTGAAGGAGGTGACATTTGAGTCATTTGCGTCGGGGAAGCAGCGGGTTGTATCGGGACGTTTGGATCTGAATTCGTTGCGGTATGTGATGTGGCATTCCTTGAAGTTGACCACATTGTATCGCTAGTACAAGATGAGTATGAGTGCTTGAACAGTGGGAAGGAAGCTTACTATGATGAATGTGACGAGGCTGCGGAGCCGGTCGGTGAGAATTGAGGATCCGATAACATATTTTCGAACGAGAGCCTGCAAAGTTGAGTCAATACCTTGGGATCAGTTTCGAGGTACTTACGGGACGGTGCTGCCATCGAACGTATCAGCGGAAGAAATAGGAGCCGGAGTTTGAGTTAGCGTCCGGGCTGGCATTTGGAAAGACGCAATATCAAAATCGGCATCGGAGATGCCTTGTCCAGCTTGATAATTTGAAGTCCACATGCTGGGCTGGGCTGAACTTTCAGCATGATTATATGTAGCAGAGCTACTATGGGCATCGGGTGCCTCATATACACTAGAAGCTCCTTGAAAGTTGGAATGCCCCTGCCCGTAGGCATCGGGCCTGCCATAATCATCCATGGAGCCATATTGGCTATGCGAACTCCATCCTGGATTATAAATGGGATCCTCGGGGGAGTAATTCAGTTGGTCCGGGAGAAAAAAAGATGTAGGGACATTCGAAAACCCATTGAAGGGCATATTGTCCTCAGACTGCATGGCAGTCATTGGGCTATGTGTCTCTTCAGGGGCTGCGTTGGCGTCCATATGGTATGAAAGGCTTTGAGTCCGGGGAATATGAAGGTTTTCACTGCTGTTAGCTAGTCCTGGTTGCGTGGTTGTTGGGACATTCATTGAGTTGGTTCGGCGGTTTGCGTTGGCGCGACTGGGCCGGTTTCCATTCTGGTTATACTCCATGCTGTGGCTACAGCTAACTCCCACTCTGGCTAGAGGAGTTGAGAATGCGGTAATGTGGTGTTCTGTTCCTACGCGGCTGCGATATTGAATTCGTAAACTGAGAGACTAAGAACAGCAACAAGTGTGAAAGCACTGAAAGATCAGACAATATGAGACGAGAACCTTCCCGACTGGCACGTCAGAGTCAAGATATATTCCTGGATGTATCCTCGGTTCGTGTCCTTGGTTCGTATCCTCGGTTCGTATCCTCGGTTCGTATCCTCGGTTCGTATCCTTGGTATATTCCACGGACTCGTTAAACCTTGGGAAGTTTCGTTGTGGAAGTAATTTGGTGTGTAGTTGCTCAAGCCTCTGGGTCTTCTCAAACAGCAAGCCGGTAATCAGATTAGCGGGACGAGGTCGCACCGAAGGATACTCACAATGAAGTGCGCCAGAGTTGGGAAGCGACAATCGATGATGGTTCGAAGATGGTTTGTCCGTGGCGTATGCGTCGACTTTAATAGTGGTCCTGGTCAATGGTACACGGAGATGTCGTACTGTTATTCCGACAGACAGTGGCTTGAAACGTCAAATAGGGCTGAGCCTGGGATAGGTCCACCTGCGAATGGATCCAGTGATCTATTTAGGGATCGACTCCAAAGTTTGGGATTCTGGGAGGTTCTGGGTTGGCACTCAATTGTCTTGGCGGGGTCCTGAAGCGAAGGCGCTTCTCCACGGTATCTTGGCTGATCAAATTCCTCGAAGGCAGAAGAGGTATTTGTGTCGTATGAATGATCGTTAAGAGATCCGGATGATATAAGTTGCGATGACTGTGCTCCGTCTGGCTTGGGTAAGACCGGTAAGAGTTGACTGTTTGGTGATCAACACTTCTGGAAAGTGTTAAAGTTCTGATGAGTAGAAAGCAAGATGTGAGGCAAAGGCGAAAAGAGCCTTGATATCAGTGTCCCGTGCCTCACAAAGCGTCATCCCACACATCTACCCCAAGTTGCCCTTTTCCCCCATTTCGGTCGCTGCATCTGGAAGATGCAAGCCACTGAGTGGTGGTTGAGAGCCGTCATAGGGTACGCGAAGCATGTTCGGGCGAACCGTGTGGCGGAGCCCAACGTCGCAGGGCTGAAAGGGCAAACCGCCATTTTGCGCAGCGCACCTTCAGGGTGTGTCGTTGGCTGTCCCCAGGCCACTCTTTCGATCGGACGAGAGCGAACAGGGCGCAATTGGGCTGTACTGCACCATTTCATGCGATTATGAAGCAGCATACCCCGATATTCCGTCCGATACTGCAATCTGTAGCGTAACGTTTATGCAGATGAATGCAGTGCTTCAGTGGCTGCTTGTAAATGGACGGATAGAATCTCGACTGATTGTACTCGGACTGTTTAGCACTGTGCTAAGCAAAGCAAGCAAGATAGTACCTCGGTGAAGGTCTCTCGGTGTCCATGTCTCGGTGTAGGCCGGCCGACCTCATGCTCAGTAGAACTGAATGCATGTATGCATGTGAAACTCTTTGATATACGTACTCACCGATGAGCATGCACAGATAGTAAGTGGAGAATTGTTGTAGCTGGTGGAGGATTGAAGACTGAAACTTGAGGAAGGCATGAGATGAGTTATTTTTAGCTCACCTCTTAGGTCCAGTCTTTGGTCAAGTAAAAGTCACGTGATATATGTTTCCCAAGAGGAACCTTGGTACTTTCAAACCAGTGGAAGATGACAAGGATGATAGAATTGGTTTCTAATAATCGGTTGGGAAGGACAGCCTTTTGGCGCTCAGGAATATCTTCTACCGTATCGTTTGACTCCCTTTGGTAGTAACTCAAGGCGCAACCGAAAAACCCATCTTAATAATAAGTCGAATCCGAGCAAAAATAATGATTCAGGACACAAAACAAGAAGACTTGAGTACAGTGGCTAACAACTAAGCAGTCATAAAGACATACACAGCAACAAGCTAAACCCTCAACAACAACTTCCCGCTACTTTTCCTCCCCTCCAAATCCCCATGCGCCTTTGCAGCATCTTGCAACTCATACGTCTTCCAAACCATCCCCTTCACCCCCTTTCTCAACTCCTCATCTTTTGCAACCAAGCCAAAAAGCCTCTCCGCCCACCTCACAAACTCCTCTCTGGTCCTCAAATACCCAAACACCGACGGCTTCAACAACCTCAAATTCTTCGCACTCAAATCCGTGATCTTAAACGGCGGAACCGCCCCAGATGTATTGCCAATCGAGACCATCGTCCCATCTTGAGCCAGGGCTTGCAAGCTCGAAGAAAAAGTCGAGAGTCCAATGCTGTCGAATACTGCTGCTACCCCCTTTCCGCCTGTAATGTCCATGACTTTTGCTGCGACATCTTCAGTGCTGTAATTCAGCACAAATTCAGCGCCATTTTTCTTCGCCAATTTCATTTTCTCGTCAGTTCTAGCGGTGCCGATGACTTTGGCGCCAACAGCGCGGAGGAGTTGGCAGAGCCATAGACCGACGCCGCCAGCTGCGCCTTGGACGAGTATCCAATCGTCTTTTTGGACGTGGTAGGATTTGTTGATGAAGGTCAAGGCTGTGACACCTTGGGATATGGCGGCGGCTGCGATCGAGGGCTCGAGGTTGGGTGGGAGAGGGTAGACTTTTGATGCAGGGCAAGCACTGTATTCAGCGTAGGTACCATTGCCGATATAGGCTACGCGATCGCCGGGCTTGAGGTTGTAAATTTGGCCAGAGGATGAGGTGGATACGATGGTGCCTTCGGCTTCGACGCCGGGGATGTAGGGGAGGGGAATAGGATAGAGTCCTGAGCGGAAATTTCTAGATGAGAATGTAAGTGACTATTTATATCTAAAAAAGAGGATAGGATGCTTACATGTCTATGAAATTGATTCCAATGAACTCATTCTTGACCAGGACCTCGCCATCCTTGGGCACGGGAACAGGAAGATCGGTTTTGTACTGTAGAACGTCTGGACCGCCCGTCTTCTCAATAACAACACCCTTCATAATGCTCGGGATTGAGTTCGAAGCCATCTTGTATGATCTGAAATAAACAGAAATCTTGAGATTTATGACAACTTATACTTGTCTTATCAGATCCATCAGGGTGAACCCGCACTAGGTCAGGAAGTGATTGATCAGCGGAAGTGGGCACATTGGCGGTTAGTCCATGGACTTTCTGCGCTGACTAAACAATATCCGCGGACCTCTTAACAGCCCTATCAACAATCTCCGCAAAGTCCTGAACAGACGCTTGTTCCTTAGTTATGTTTCTAGAAGACGGAAATATGTAAGTGGCGCGCGAGAAAGCTTAACTTGCTGGTGCCTAATAAGGAATTAGAGCCAACTAGTTCTTTCAGAATTCCGAGCACTTACTCTTTCTTGAAGCTTGCAAAATCGCAATAGAAGCAAATTAAAATTGAGCAGTAGCTGCAGTTAATTTGAGATTTGAAACAAGCGCGTCACTCTGTTGTCCGTCCCTCTTCTGCGCTCGCTGTCGCGGTCCTTCTGTCTCCTGCATCTTCAACGATCGTCTCGTCGCTATGTGTACTTCCAATGTCTGTTCCAGCCCTAGAGCTATATTCAGGTGGATAGTCGTCCTCGTGATAAATGGGCCTCCCACCTCGGTCTTGCAACTCGTGCTCATTTGTACGCTCTTTGACCACGTTCTGGTTCCTCTTCCTCCGCAAATAAAAATAAGATAAGCAGGCTAGAATCATGGAGCCAGCAGCGGCCGATCCTATTCCAATACCTACTTTGTCTCCCGTTGAGAGGTGACTGGATGTATCGGAAGAGGAGCAATCGTATCCTGTCGTGGATTGGCGTATCGATTCGAAAATCTTCTGGGTTGGAGTGCAAGAGAGCGGGAGCTTGGAGAATATCGAAAGTGTTGTTATATTCTTCAAGGAGGGTAAGAAGACTCTGCAGCAAGTTAGCAATTTCAGACGACAGACATGAAGAAGAACTATGCGTACCCTGTGACATTTCCATCAATAGCGATGCCTGTTACATTGACAAGTGAAGATAGATTCAAAGAGACAGGTGTCACAGATTCAATGGCGATATGCCCAGGAACATTTTGAAGGGATGGAAATGAGACACTATAGCTATCAGTCTTGTACAACCATTAGAGAAAAGAGAATATACCCTTTCATCGTGCCAGCCAAAACCATATCCTGCAAAGTGTCTAACTTTGGAAACGAAACATCAATTGGGACTCCATAAGTCTCAATCACGATTCCATTCGTAAGATGGCCGTTCTCAGCAATTGCAAGATTTGGCATGTATATTTCGGAGATATTTCCAGAGATATCGATACCCGTGGCATTGACTAGAAATGGAAACCTCAAGCTTAAAGGAGGAAAGACGTTACTCGTATTGTATCCGTAGGCTGACAAATCTTCGAACGTGTCGCTGCTGCTAATTTCGAGACTTGAATTAACATTGGCGAGAGATTGGAAGTAGATACTGCAATATCACGTCAGGTGAGAGACATGAATATCATTGAGTAAGGTGACATACTCCCCAACTGGCCCCGAGATGATGATATTTGACGCATACGTTAAGCTATTGAACTCCAGAGCCGTAGGTCCAGATATTTGAAGCTCTAGAGTCGTAACGTTCTGAAGACTTGGCATGGAGATCGAAAGGAGATTGGCGGTATCTCGAACAAAGAGACACTCTAATGTCAAGAGATCCGGCATTATTATAGCGGAAACGTTCTGAAGAGATTCGTGGGTGAATCCATTGGATGCAATCTGGCCCGTAATGACACGAATTCCATCCAGCACGAATTGTCCCGAGTAGTTCGCGCCAATCGAAATCGATGCATTGATCCAATTGCAGCCTTGAGGAGTGAGATTATCGAGATCTTCTGAACTATTGACCGTCCATATTGAATATTCCGACAAGCTAGGGATATCACAAGCTTCTTAAAGGCCGTTAATAGTCATATCTTAGTGCACATCTGCTTGGCACTTACGAAGGCATGCAGTGTCATTTGAAGAGCATGATTGTGCAAAGCTAGCTGATTGGCACGTGAGCAAGTGAAGCACGAAAGTAGAACGATCAACTAGATACACAACGTACAGGATATGAACAGAGACAGTAAGAAGAGGATCTCATAGACCAGAGCGGCGATGCTCATCATTGTCGTGACTTTCGACAGTCTGGCATCTTGCCAAAAAGCTGGCACGAAAACGCAGACATCGCTGGTTGCGAAATATGGCAGTGAGCAGAATAAATAAGGCACGGGTCAACGCTGGCCAAGAAAAACGGAACAAGGTTCCCAGATAGGTAATCTCCGGCATACAGCCCATTATGAAATTTATCCAGCTGATTCGTGTAACAAAGATAGGTAAACTAGTGATGGTCGAGGGCCAACTTAGACTCAACTAAGAACAATTCGGAATTTTGTTTGATACACTTGGTGTCGTGGCGTCTGTCGAGGATTGATTGCGTGAAATTGATGACAAGTAGCACGGAAGCAAAGAGCCGTTCAAGTCGTGCAATCCGAGAGAATCATAAATCCTATAGGGAACTTCCTTAAAGTCATGAGGTAACAAGCAGATAAAAAGGGAAGGAAATGTCAGAGATGGAAGAAGAGGGGACGACTTCTGCAGCAAGGGTGTGTGGATCTGGTTGTTCGCTGTATGAAGCACCAATACAAGAGCACCTTGATATCCCGCCAATTTAAAAACCAATCGACAAACGTTATATATTAGCAAATCGAATTGTGAGGTTACTGATGCTGGATGAAGAAACCAAATGGATCAAGCCCGACATTCACCAGCCACACCCTAAAGTTAGCACGAGGCTGAGAAGCCGCCGAAGATCGCAGGCACAGACGTTCGGCGCCTTGTCTTGACTTGAAACAGCTGAACACCTCCGTTTCGAGGAGACTCGTCTCATCTTTGAACCTTCGAACCACCGAGAACATGAGGCCAGCTCACTAAAGAAAACCTTCTCCTTCCCTTCTTTCGTTATACTTTCGCTCAACAAGATTTCTGTTCTGCATATACTCCTGAACCCAAAATGTCTTATCCGCAACAATCCCCGGAGCTGCATTGGGCCAAGCCCATCTCCGTTGACCTCTTCCTCAAAGTTCTGAATGTTACTTTCCTCCACCCGTTCGTGGCATGGATGATACCACTTTGTATGCGTGCGCAGGCAATGGTATGGCACCATCCTGCCATGCAGATTTCGATCGGATACGCTGCGTTCTTGACTGCGCTGTACTTCTTGAATATACTCAACAGGCAGATTGCATACTCCAAACCACGCAAGGTCGATCTTTCGGAGGAGGTCATTGTGATTACTGGCGGAGCAAGTGGTCTCGGTCTTTTGATTGCAGAGGTCTATGGAATGAGAGGCGCCACGGTTGCGATCCTGGATATCAAGGAACTTGAGTCTGGAGAAGCGCGAGGCGTCACGGCGTACAAGTGCGATGTGGCAGACAAAGAGCAGCTTACCCGTGTAGCAATTGAGATTGAAAGAGATGTGAGTTACCTCTCGAATCAGGAGAGAGACCAATACTGATCCATTCCAGCTGGGAGCACCAACCATCCTAATCAACAATGCTGCTATCGTCAACGGCAAGCCTCTTCTCGACCTCTCGATAGATGAGATTGATCGGTCATTCGGAGTCAACCTCCTTTCGCACTTCTACACCCTCAAGACGTTCCTACCTGGCATGGTTTGTGCTGGATCAGGGACAATCGTTGCAATCTCGAGTATAATTGGACAGACTGGAGCCGCGGGCCTGACAGACTACTCTGCTTCCAAAGCTGCGATAACGGCTATGCACAAGTCACTGGCCGCTGAGTTGAAAGCATACCCAGACATCAAAACAATACTGGTAACCCCAGGACAGCTCAGCACACCACTCTTCAACGGAGTTGAGACGCCAAACTCGTTCTTTGCGCCAGTACTAGAACCTGTCGATGTTGCAAAGGAAGTGATCGCAGCCATTGATGGTGGAAGCAGTGCAGCTCTGGCCATGCCCCTATACGCGCGGTGGATTGACTGGTTAAATGTTATGCCAGTCGGGGTGCAAGCTATTGTAAGAAGAATAGCTGGGGTAGATACTGCTATGAAGGGATTCGCAGGAAGAACCAATAGTGAGAAGGAGAGTTTGATCTAGACGATATTGGTGCTGGCATCATTATCAAACTGTAATGTGGATATGTAAAAATAATAAAAACAAAGAACACATTGAAATTTGGGTTCTCATAGATTCAGAGAATATCGGTAGAAGCTTCTCTGTCTCCTGCTCGCATGGTGGTGATAGGCGGCAGCGCAGCTTGGACCCACATATTTTTGTCGACGCGAATTTCTTGAGTTCACGCGCTTTCTATGCAGCACTTGAAAGAGCTTCAGAACCACCGCTAAATACGTCGCCGCCTTTCTTGATAGCTCGACCCTAATATTACTTCGAGCCAAAATACATCGAGACGTTTCTACAACAGGCCTGAGCCCCTCTTCAAGATGCAGGCCCCCGTTCTGGTAATGAGTAGGTCTACCGCAGAAATATCTAGCAACCTCATATGTTCAACCTGGAATACCACGCAGATGCTGACACTTTCAAATAGACACTCAGAGTGGTGAAAGACAGACCGGAAGAAAAGCCCAACTCTCGAACATCACGGCCGCCAAAACGTGAGCTTTTCCACCAACTCCACCACGTCTACCAAAACCGAGCTCGAGACTGACCTTATACAGTGTCGCAGATATCATCAGATCATGTTTAGGACCAAAGGCTATGCTAAAGATGCTATTGGACCCCATGGGAGGTATCGTTTTAACAAATGACGGCCATGCCATCCTACGAGAAATCGAAGTGTCGCATCCAGCAGCAAAGAGCATGATCGAGCTCAGCAGAACACAAGATGAGGAAGTTGGAGATGGAACTACGACAGTTATCATTCTTGGTAGGCAGCAATACTCCTTTGTTGCATGTGGATTCTAACATCTGCCAGCTGGAGAGATTCTCGCACAAGCACTCCCACAACTCGAGCGAAATATCCACCCCGTTGTAATCATCTCAGCATTCAAGCATGCCCTGAAAGATGCTCTCGAGATCATTGACGAGATCTCCCTCCCAGTCGACATCAACGACGACAAAGCCATGTACCAACTAATCTCCTCATCCATCGGCACGAAATTCGTCTCTAGATGGTCAGAACTAATGTGCAATCTTGCCCTCAAGGCTGTCCGAACCGTAACTTTCGAAGTTGGTGGTGGGAAGAAGGAAGTTGACATCAAGCGTTATGCACGAGTTGAGAAGGTTCCTGGAGGAGAGATTGAGGACAGTACCGTTTTGGATGGAGTTATGCTCAACAAGGATATTACACATCCAAAGATGAGAAGGCGGATAGAGAATCCTAGAATTGTGTTGTTAGATTGCACGCTCGAGTACAAGAAGGGAGAATCGCAAACGAATATCGAGATCAGCAAGGAGGAGGACTGGAATAAGATCCTGCAGATTGAGGAGGAGCAGGTCAAGATGATGTGTGATGCTGTTCTAGCTGTCAAGCCGGATTTGGTCATCACTGAGAAGGGAGTTTCTGGTAAGTCTCTATATTTCGACCACTGGATTATGCTGACAAGATAGATCTCGCACAACATTACCTCATGAAGGCAAATGTTACTGCTCTCCGCCGAGTCCGTAAGACAGACAACAACAGAATAGCCCGTGCCGTTGGCGCCACGGTTGTCAACAGAGTTGAAGACCTCCAAGAATCCGACGTAGGAATCCAGTGCGGTCTCTTTGAGATCGAGAAGATTGGCGACGAGTACTTCACTTTTCTCACCAAGTGCAAATCTCCCAAGGCTTGCACGATTCTCCTCCGTGGCCCATCAAAGGATATCTTGAACGAGATTGACAGGAATTTGGCCGATGCTATGGCCGTCGCGAGAAATGTTATGTTCCATCCGAGACTGTCGCCGGGTGGAGGAGCTACAGAGATGGCTGTTGCAGTTAGACTCGGACAGTTGGCCAAGAGCATTGAGGGTGTGCAACAATGGCCTTACAAGGCTATTGCGGAGGCTATGGAGGTTATCCCAAGAACTCTGATCCAGAATGCTGGTGCTAGTCCTGTCAGAGTTCTCACTGCTCTGAGAGCGAAGCATGCAGAGGGTGGCAGCACATGGGGTATTGATGGAGATACTGGCAAGTTGGCTGATATGAGAGAATACGGTGTTTGGGAGCCAGAAGCTATTAAGTTGCAGAGCATCAAGACAGCTGTTGAGGTATGTTGTATCAAGTTCCTTTGATTTGGTAAACGCTAATCTAGTCTAGTCTGCTTGCCTACTCCTGAGAGTAGATGATATCTGCAGTGCAAAGGCTGCGAGACAAGCTGGAGGTGGAAGCGCTCCTGCAGAGGATTAGATAGCGTTGTCTTGAAAAAGTCAGTGTATGAAAAGCGATGATAATTGTGGACGGCATTACCCTTGTATCATAGCATAGAGCTCAAGGCCAATGTATGTGCGGATATCATGCCATTCGCAATCGAGAGCCGCGTGATACGTTGAGGACATCCATCCAAGTCTCTTTTGGATAATATCTCAATCATCATCATGAATAATCACCCCCACCTCCTCAACAGCATTCCCACCATTCTCTCCACCTTCTTCATCAGCTCTTCCCTCACCACCAAGCCCCTCCATTCCCTCTCTAACCACGACCCTAGCCTTAATCTTTCCCCCACCATCCTTCCCCTCCTCATCCCCCTTCCCAGCACCACCCTTTCTCTTCTTAGCCCTCCTTTCCCTATTCCTCTTCGTCTTCTCCTCATCCCTCTTTTCCCTCTCCCTCTTCTCCTTCACCCACTCCTCCTCCTCCTTCTCATTCCGAACCTCCTCCTCCATGCCCCTCAACCTCTCATACTCTCTCCTCCTACTCGCCTTATACACATGAAATTCGCCGGACCCCGCACCAGCTGAGCTTCCTTGCACGTTCTGCACTATCTCTGGGGGGGCGGAGCCGGGGTGTGTGGTGATAGATGTTGAAGGGAGGTTGATTACTGTATCGGGTTTGGACATTAGGGAGGATATTTGTGAGGCCGTTTGGGATCGGGGTGAGAGCGCGCGTTTCTTGGTAGGGCGTTTGGAGCGCGGATCTGCGGAGGTGGGGATTGATTCGGGGATTGGTTCTGACATCTTGGGTGGTGGTTGGAATGGTGAAAGTGTTGATGTTGTTGAAGTAGAGGCCTGAAGCTATCGAGGAGTGTTTGCGCCTGGATCTCTAGCTACCTATCTAGGAACGGCGAATTGTGCAAGGCCTTGAAGTTGACTACTGTGATGAAAGTCTGAGTTAGGTATCGCTGTATCATGACAGAAGTGAATATGCGCGAAAGGCTGACTTGCAGAAATTGATTCAGAAATGTTGTTCTCGTACCTTTTCTTCAAAACCTTGCCAATATATCTAAAGCTTTTGCCGGCATTTGCCCACTAGCGGCAAATAAATCCACTACCCGATATCGCCTCCCTTTTCCTTCGATAAGAAACGAAACATACCAAGTTCCAAGAAGGTGGAGTGAAGCGCACAAAACCTCATAACCAGATATCAGACCAGATTTTTATACATCTGATCGTAGTTTGCACTGTCTCTACAATAAGAATACCCTACAAACGAGATTAAAACATCACCTGTGAAGGATATAGTATAACAAGATGGGCAAGGTATGATCAGCTCGAAGTATCAAGCTTCAGTAAGACATCCGTCTAACTCGGGAAAAGCCTAGGTTAATAATCCTCGTACGACATGCTCAAAGTGAAGGAAACAGTGAGTTCTGCTACACCATTTTTTGCGTTACCTTCCTCGAAGTTCTCGGGCGCATGGAGCCCTCACAACCAACAAAGACAACAGTAGATTAGACAGATGATCTAACTTGTACAGAGAATCGTGACATACATCAAGGAACGCCCGATCATCGTGTAAAGCTCACGCCCCTCGGATGGACACAGGCATACGATGCTGGCCGACGACTTCGAGCTCTCCTCCGCCCGTCCGACACCCTCCACTTCTTCACCTCGCCGTATCGACGAGCACGAGAAACCACAGAAGGCATTCTGCAGACCCTTACGTCTGATGAACCTTCTCCTTCCCCCTTCCCGAGAAATGGCATAAAAGTGTATGAGGAGCCTCGACTACGAGAGCAGGATTTTGGAAACTTCCAGCCATGTAGTGCTGAGATGGAGAGGATGTGGCAGGAGAGAGCCGATTATGGACATTTCTTCTACAGAATCCCGAATGGAGAGTCTGCGGCAGATGCGTATGATCGTATTAGTGGATTTAATGAGAGTCTTTGGAGACAATTTGGAGAGGAGGATTGTGCTAGTGTTTGTGTGCTTGGTATACTCCCCTTCTTCAATCTTTTAAGAGAGTTTGACTGAGAAGCTATACTAACAACCTAACAGTAACCCATGGTCTCATGTCTCGAGTCTTCCTCATGAAATGGTACCACTTCTCCGTCGAGTACTTCGAAGACCTCCGTAACGTCAACCACTGCGAATTCCTCATCATGCGAAAGAAAGAAGATTCCGGGAAATACATCCTAGAAAACAACCTTCGAACCTGGTCTGAACTAAAACATGAACGTCTTCTCGCAGCAGCCGCAAAAGAAAAGGCCGTAGCCACATCTCCCACCACCGCGTCCGAAAAAGACAAAGAGAAAGAGAAGAAACTGCTTGGGAACGGGGAGACTCCGTCCTCGTCAGGAGTAGGGAGTCCTATCCCCGTCCGCAAGAAATGGGGCGGATGTCCCAACGGCTGCGATCACGGCAAACACTCATACCGCAAAGAAAATAGCATGCACGCCATGCAACTAAACGGCAAATCCGCGGCCCTTCCTCCCGCGCCCGGCATAGAAATATCGCCCTCCTCCTCCTCTCAAACGCTACAGATGCGTCGACCAGCAGCCCGCCGCTGGCAATCCTCGTCAGAAGAAGACGAAGACGATCCACGCGGCAGAGTCGGTCCTCCCGCCCCCTTCGAAGTCGACGTCCAGCGCAGCTTAGACGAACTCGTCTCATCCCCCGACGGAACACCTTCCTTCATAAGCGTCGAAGACCGGCTCCGCAACCGCATGAAGAGCCCGCGCAATGATCTCCTCGGCCTAGTCAAGAGTGCCGGCCGCGATTTCGGCGGCAGCGCAAGCGGGAATACAAGTCATGCCGGCTCGGACGCTGAGCTCTCCGCGGAAGAGGACCATAGGAAACACGCCGCGACCGGGAAAGGGAGACCGCTTGGTACGCTAGGTAGATCGGGGATGGGTCATGGTGCAGGCGGAAGCGGAAGCGGGTTGGGGAGGAGGGAGGAGAGTGGTATGCATAGGGGAGCGTTGGCGGATGCGTTGGGGGATCAGAGTGATGTGGGGAGTGATGCGGGGTTGGAGGAGGAGTTGGATTTGGATAAAGCGGAGGCGGAGGATAAGAGTATTAAGGGGAGTGTTTATTAGGATTAGATTGGTCATGGTGAAGTTATGTTTTGGGTGCGTTTTTGGTGAATAGGGGGTTGGATTAGATAAAATGCAGGGGAGGGAAAGAGTGTCAGTAAAGCATAGCGAGCTCGATACCAATTCGTTTCGTTGTTCAGACAAATGCAAAATAGCCTTCAGATACCAATTACTTTCGAGCCTGGGGACCTTTCCTGCTCAGGTTAGAACTGACGTTCTAAAGTTAGGGCTGCTGTCAACATGTCATTTTCGGACATTGACAGGAGAGAAAGTCGCCTCCTGTGCTAGCGCATTCACGCGCTCAACAAAAACAAACTTCAGAGTGTAGAAACGGTCATTTTCCATCCTCTCGCCAATAATATCTCTTTATCTAGATGTACCTGCTAGCTGCTCTTACAAAACGACAGACGTCCATGCGCTCCCTTTCCCTCCCTAAAATGATTACAAAACTCCACCCAGAACACCATGCCCGAGCATATCAAAACACCAGCCAGCCAGAAAGAATGGGTAGATGCGTACGAAACAAAAGCGCTTTTTAGAAAAGGGGAGGCGACTCCGATGCAAGGCTAAAGCAAGTTCGTTCGTTCAAGTGTCGTTTCTTCGTTGTAGGGATGGATGGAGTTATTTAGCCCCAGCTCATTTCTGTGGATGTTAGTATGTGGAAGAGAGCCTGGGAGAGTAGACGTACCAGCATAAACTGGCGCTTGCCAGGCCTTGGCTTTTGGTTTCGTTTTCCCGTGCGTATTACCGCTGCCTTGGCTCGTACTTCCTTGTCTGCTTTTTCCTTCGCTACTCCTGCTCTTGCTAGTAGCGATACTGCCATCTCTCGTTGGCAGGCGTTCTTTGACAGGTGAAGTAGGTGACGTAGGTGATGTAGGCCAGGCGTTCGACATAACAGACTGAGTCCTTTCAATGCCATAGATGACCCCTCCGTTCAAGCCGAGGGTGCCTCCGTTGGCAGTGACTGGATTCACACTCGCACATGCTTCTGCAGCAGCTCGTTGAGACGCTAAGCGCAGTTGATCGAAGCCGAAGTTCCACTCGTTCGTCTCCACGTTCCGGTTCTCGCAATGGATGCTACTACTTTTGTCTGATGTCTGACCTAGTCCACATTGTTCGTTCATGATATTGTACAGGATATCTTCGACCTCGGTAGCTAGTGGTCGCTCTTCGGGATCGGCTTTCATCATGCGTTCCGTGAGCTCGAGGATCTTTGTTACGCCTCGGAATACTTTGTCTTCTTTCTTGCTGGAATCTTTTTTGAGGGTTGCAATCCAGCTCTCGACTTGTCCTAGGTTCTTATGGAAGGAGGAATCGGGTAGACCGCCGCCTCGACCGGGGGTCTTGTTTTTGGCAGCGCGGTGAGAAGCGAAGTTGCGAGATGTTCGTTTCAGGAAGAAAGTGAGGATCTCGAGGAACATGGCACCGAGACTGAAAATATCGGACTTCTGGGGATCATGTTTTGATCCAGAGAATCCATGTTTTGGTGGTGAATTGCTGGAACCGGAGCCTGTCGAGTTGGTGTATATTGATGCAGTGTCGGGAAAGGTAGAATAGCTCGTGTGAGTAGCGTGAGAAGTGACTGCAAAAGTTGTGCCAGTAGAAGGCGCTGTTGCACGTCTCGCTGTGCTTGGCCGAGAGACGGGTAACGATACGACTGGTGCTGGAGGGGGTCGTGGTGTTTGCTCAGGCGCAGCGTAGTCGTATACTTCCTTGTCGAAGCCCTGCTTCTCCCCGCTCAGATTTGCTGTCGGAAAGATGCCAGAGTCGCCAAGAAATATGTGATTGTCGAGGTCAAGCATCACATTCGAGGGTCTTATGCTGCGATGAGCAACGCCTTGTCCATGGAGGAATGAAACAGCGTCTGCCAGACAATGCATCCAATTCAAAAGCAGAATCCTCCTATCTTGCTTCGCCAATATCTTCACGGACTGAGGAGTTACTGCAAGGAACGATTTGAGACTACTATCGTTCACAGGTGTCAAGAGTAGAAAGCCGCAACCTTGATAGCTGTACGAGGCCCAAAGTGACATAAGATGGTCGTGCTCAATGGATTTCATAGCTTCAATTCCCGATAGAAACTCTTCCTGGGGTAAACGGCCAGGTGTGACTCCGAGCGGTATCCGCCGTCGAATGAAGATATCGTCGGGTCTTCCAGGAAGGTGCACTCTATCAACATTGCCAACCGTTAAACCTGTCACACTGACCGGCCTTTTCTCTGCCGATTCAAGAGGCACTACTTCCTCGTCGTTGTAAGAAACATGCTCCCCGCGTTGAATATTCCGCAACAAATATATAAATTGGCGTTGAAAGAACTTCCTCTCCAACTTTTCATCTCTATCATAGGTCAATTGAAGCCGCTCGACTTGGTCCAGTGGCACAGGAAGGTCGTCATCGTCCCACGAATCATCAATGACGCCGAAGATTTGATCAGGCACGCCCAAGTCGACCAAAATCAGAAAAATCCGTTTTGCCTTCGTCTCAATCCATTCCATGTACGTATCATCAGTCAATCCATCACCAAAGCCAAGAGGCTGATCTAGTCGTGCTTGTTCATCCGGACGTAGTTTTGCCAAGACGAATTGGCGATTGACCGTTGCTTCGATCCGTTCCTCGTCCCACCACATTGTCGGAGAATCGAACAGACTTCCATTGGTGTTTCGGTTTGGCGGTGCAAAGGAAGCATATATGTGGGAATTCTGAGGGGCCTGTTGCTGCCGATTTATGACTAGGGAGGTGCGCCGATACTCCATGGCCGAAGATCTCCAGATCCTCTGTTGCAGAATTAGCGACGTGCGCGCTGTTGGTGATTGGTGCTTTAAAGTCAAAGATAAGCACCGGACCAGTCTGGAAGGGTCGGGGGAGCGGCGATGGGTATTGCGTGGGATGATGTATGGAACTTTCTGAAAGGCCTTGCAGAGGGGCGATGGGTCCCTTGTTCAGTACGGACAAAAGAAGGCCTTGCAGTCGCAGTGCATGAACAGAATGGGGTCGGGGTGTGGTTTTGGGAAAGAGCAAAAGAAAAGTGAAGAGCTTTTCGGGGGAATATGCAGAAAGGCTTCAAGCTGGATCACCACTGCACCAGCGAACGCTGTCTTGTTATTCCTGGGGCAGCAGGTGTGGGTTATGAGGCTTTCCTGCTTCTTCATGGGTTTGTGGTGGTGGTGGTGGTGTTGGTGGCGCTCCGCAGCGACAAGATAGCAGGGATTCTGATAAAGATTGCTTACTTTTTTTGATGACCGGCCCCGCGGGATGACAATCGGGAGCCACAGGCGTGTCTGGAGCACTCGCTGCTGATGATTGAGGAGGCAATGCTGTGTTCTGCTTCAGATCGCTGTCCATGTAGCTCTCATTCGTTTGGCCTCCCTCATGTGAAAATAGTCGGTGTCGATTATGCGGAATATGCCCTGACTGGGACCCTGTCGACCGCCTGGTGTTACGGTTCAACAGGATCGCAGAGAGTCTGTTTGATATGATAACTCTCGGCAAACCGTGGTCTGGGCTGAGGTATACTTGCATCTTGAGTGATTGATCAAGAATCGCTTCGGCGGACCACTTATTGTGCCCCCAATATTTCAGTCCTCTCGGCCACGATTTTGCCACGAGGTGGCCCTGCCGGGTGTCGACATGTGAAGTCGTTCAAGGGGATAGCGTAGCTACATGCTGCTGAACTATACAAGCCATTGAACAACTTTCCGCCTCTCGTTTGGAAGTAGTGCTTCTGCGCGGGATTGTGCACCGAGAGTTCTTGCTTGATAGGGAGAATCGTTCTACGGTTGGCCTGATTGGCCATGACGAGAGCCGGGGTTCATCGCGTGAGTTGATTCAATCAACATTTTGATATCCAAGATAAGGCTATGATGTCTCAGGGTTATCTTGGCGGAAAATTCCATGGGGACTGTGTGAATATTGCCCCATGATCCAGAATGATAGGCCTCAATTATACGCTGCGTACATATGTTGTGCCATTGGGTAGAGACATAGACGGTCTGCCTCCCAAAGCTCATCCGTACTTATTTCGCGGAGGCATGCATGGAGAACACTAGCCGGTGTTTGTCGACAGAAGGTCAAGGAAACCCCTTTCTGGTCACCCTCGGGCACAGGCCACACTTGACGGCTCGGGTCAGAGAACCGGCTTGGTGGAACGGGATAAACAAGCTTTGGCACCTGGCTGAAAATACCAGAGTATGCTTTCCGTCTTAGGGCTCTCCAGGCGAGTTGGGGGGGAGGAGGGGGGGGGCTTGTTCGAAAGGACCATGTGATGCGTGGTAAGGGGTGATCTTCTTGAAGTAGAGAATGTGTTCCTGCTATCTAAGAAAAGGCCTCATGAATTGTCCACGGAAAGGGTCGTCAGGCATTTCGTCGAGTGCAGTTGAGGTACCACGAGCTAGTCTGTCTGATGACAGCAACGCCTGCTGGAAAGGGTAGCCTTCTGATCTGGTACATGGTCTGGCATGCACAAACCCGTCGTTGAGGACGTCTGAGCTGAACGTAAGACTCAGGCGTTTTGCGGAGACGATGAAGCTGTGTACCAGCAGCACAACAGATGGCGAATATTGAAGGACGAAAGATCCAGCATCTCACCAGCTCAGCCTGCTTGAGTCTCCAGAGGTACTCGGCGAGGACATCGAGGACGTCGACAATGTGACCAGTGAGTAAATTTTGATGCTCTCCAAGATCCCAGCATTCTGCAGAATCTGCAGGTTCTGTTCCTGTATTTCTTAACAGTTGATCTGAAATGGGCGTATGATGATCCTGGGATGTAATTGAGAAAATTGAGAAGTCAAATGTTGAAGTCAGATACGGAAAGAGCTTCACTCCAGGGCGTTCATTTCAAAGGCACGTGACCAGAACACTAATCCAAATCTGGTCTTCCTCACTTCCTCATGTCTTCAAATATCTCAAAAACATTTTCTCCGTTTACACACTCATTTGAAGTATCTTGAATTAACACTATGACATTGTTTGGTGCTTGGTATGGTCGAAAGGCGACTTGCTCGGTTCGTCCCGCACCTACCTATGCTATGACTGCCTTGCTTTAGCTCAATCCTGCAACTCCCGTTGTCCGTTACACTTTTTTTTTGTCCTACTCAACGTGCGTCTTCAATTCAATAGAACTCTACGCTCGGCACTAATTTTGGTCCTTCATCAATTGTCTGCAAAGCGGCGAGTGTCCAACCTTGCACGAACCCGCTTAGGATGTTTCGACGTGAGTGGTGATGCGACCATTGCTGGAGACATCATCTGCTGACAAGTCAAATGCCTCAGTTCAGAAGCAGCTCGATTATCGGGCTATGGTTGTTTTTCAACGTGTTATTCGCTTTTATGACAATTTATGCTCCTTTCCGCACTTACAGCTGGTACGTTCAGCGAAGCCCCAATATCAGTTGACCACGTATAATGCTCCTGAAATAAGATAGTTGATGTGGAAATCTGCTTGTTTTATAGTTTCAGTCTTGTCATTTCCTTCTTTAGACTCGTCTTGTATACTGATATTGTAAAGGAATCTCACTTGGCGCGCTGTCTTTCTCCGAGTTCCATCCTTCTACCAATTCAATCGATAAAGCTGCTGAAGGCTTTCTGACATCTGCAACATGTTCTGCAGTGATAGCAGTAATGTTAGCGGTTATGCTTTCCTTCCGCTTTGAAGGTCACGTCTCTGCGACAAGGCTTGATCTTTTGATAGCGTGGACACCTCTTGTTCTTCTTGATTGGAGCATCGTGGGAGTCTTGGTAAGCCTCATTTTGTGGTATTGGCAAATAATGATAATGGGAGAGCGGGGCTGATGTCGGGAGTCGTGGGAACTCTCTTGGCCTTCAGCATCTGGGTCGCGGTGTGGATGTGGCAAGGAATGAGCACGAAAGGAGGCTTGGGTGAAGAAGAGAGCAAAGCGTTCCGGTAAGTGAAGGAAAGGATGGAAAGTTCCAAGTAATTACGCGCAATACTAACGCGTCAAGTTACTCGCTGGCAGCCATTGAGATGGCCTTTTCCATTGAAGAGGTGTCATGCGTATTGTATCTGTTGTATGATTAGACAATGGTACCAACATTTGCAAGCCACCATAAGACAATCCGAGCATCCGGCAGCCTGTCGGAGCTGCTCCCACGAATCAAGCGTACCTAATTGTCGGATGTTCGGTTCTAACGTGTTGGCTTCCCGGGTTGATAGCACATATCAGCATCTGACAGTCATCAATCTTGGTTAAGTCATCATTCAATCACAGCTAAACTAATAAGCAAAGCACATGCACTCCACAGTACGATAGGGGACAGTGTTTCCAACCAATCATTGCAACATTAGGGTATTCTTATTTCAAGCGTAAGGACAAAACTCCTGAGACCAGGTATCACAAACAATTCCAACGCCAAGCGCTAATGGCGGGTGCAAACAGATGTTGAATGCCTCCGTTCCCAAGTGCAAACATATGAGATCAATGCTCCAGATTTGTCCCGCTTGCATAGCACTTCCAAACTTTTGCAAATTCCTCGTGCAAGTCCAAATTCCGTGTTGACCCAAGCACTTTGTCCTCCATCCATCCCAAGTTAATCAGTATTGGGACCAAACTCGCATCTTCTCTCTCAGCTGTTCGTTCAACAAGTCCAAACATAATCTGCTTGCTGTGAAACAGTTAGCTTCTGTTTCATTCACTCATAGTTCCTCTGTAGGTTTTTGTAGTATGGAATGCAAGAAGAAGGGATAGCATACGCATTTGCACAGCATCCTCTCCCCACCCCATCTCCAATGCTTCAACTGCAGCCTCCAGTCTCGCACTGTTGTAACAATGGAACTCCCTCTGTAACTTCAACATCCTACTCCAGCACTCCGCATCACTTTTTTCTTTCTCTGGAATTTCGAAAGCCGTCTCGATCTCAATCTTCTCCGCCTCTACCCTCGGTGTTATTGTCGGGACCGGAAGTCCTATATTTGAGATCCCTAATCCGGGAAGAGTAGGAGGAGGGGATTGAGATCCCGATCGTCTTAACGTATAAGAGAGTGTACGACGAGAATGAATCGTTGGCCGCGATTGAAGCGTTGGTGAAGGAGACGGCGAGGGTGTAGAGCGATTCGATGGGATTTTGGAATAGCTGATACAATCCCGCTTGCAAGGCGTCGTCTGAATAAGAAGTCCTGGCATCGTGTACTGACTTCTTCGTGGTATTCGCACGTGATCTCGATATCTTTCCTTTCTTCAGCTCTGGCTCGGTTCGTGTGTTGACAAAGCAGTATATCTGCCTCCTATATATCCCAAGCGAGAGAAGCGAGCACCACAGAGATCGACGGCTGCCAAGACACGAAAATACCCCACTTTGAAGAAGATCTTCGCGAGCAATAAGGTTAATCCCAAAACGAAATCTTAGAACGGATGAGGTGTCAAGAGCATCTTTATAACAACAAGAATAAGACCAGGTCAAGGGCTGCCGAATGAGCCGGCCAGACCTGCGTCTTTATTACTGTTGCATGCGGGTGCTGACCTCACATCCACGCCTCGACAAAGTTTCCTTCCCTTCCCTTCCCTTACCTTACTGTATCATGCAGCGTCTACGCCTTCCATGCTATCCCATTTGGCGAGAGGCACACACTGCGCTCATCACAGAAAAAAACAACAGGTCATGTCACAGGTTGGGCAGGTATTGGTTGGGGTGGTGAAAGGTAAGGATAGGATGGTATCATTAGCTGTTCATCATGGGATGGCATGACCACCGTTTTGGCTGCCGACAGACTGCCGGCACTTCGCTCGCTTCAACACGCACACCTTTCTTTCTTGAACTGGAAGATAGATGACCCGATATTCAGATTTAAAATAGGAATTCGGCGATGTGGGGATGGGGAATATAAACGTATGACACTCGGATCAGATGAAGAGGTGTGCAACTGAGTCATTCTTCCAATTTTAGCAGACACAAAACCGTTCAGATCGAAAATCGTTATCTTTGAAGTATCATCTGCGGAAATGTGTTTCCTCAAAGTCGGTATCAAGAGGAGAACGGATCGGCAAGGTGCTCGCGTGACAGCGCATCACCCGAGGTTTTTTCTCACTTCACCTCCTCTTTCATTTCCGGTGAAGACCAGTTGGAATGGTGTCGTCTCATGAAAAAATAAAACGAAAATGGAACGATGGGAAAAAGATTAGATCTAGCCCTACAAAAGTGGATATAAAAGTTGTGGGCACGCGGCTGAGATGTGGATTTGTGCTTGCGGCGGTGATGCCCGGCGGTATCGGAGGATTTTCTTCATTTTCTAATTCTGTGTTTGGCGTATGGCAGTGTATGCGGATTATTGGCACATGTCTCGATTAGGATACCCGAACTCAAGTACAGAAACGAAGGTTGCACGCCAGTATTGTTCATGATTGGAGAGATCGTATTTGATATCAGGCTCTACTAAGACGAGGCTGATGGTCCAGGGCTTCTTCACATGTCAGACAGAAAGGGATTCATTCGGCACCCAGAGGTTTTTGGCCCCAGAAAATATGTAGCTTCATGTATGCCCTCACATCATTTTCTTTCGGACAAATATTTCTTGACATCTTCACACATGGTAACCACGTCCTCTTTGCTCCATCCTAGCCCTTTGCAAAGGGGCCCCAAAGCCATAGCTTGAAGACCTTCTATTATGCCAACACGGCCGTACATACCTACTGTTTTCATCATCTTGGTTTCGGACCAAGTACCTATGGGTATCTTGAGTATTTCGTGTTGTGTGTTGATGAAATTGTATGAGGAAAGTTTGGTCAGTTCGTCTCTACTCCGTTCGAGATCTACGCCTAGATTCTTAAGGCCCAGATGAATGGACGTGTAATATTTAAGGAGGGGAGACGTTGGTAGAAGGCTGGAGTCGTCGCTATAGGGAAAAGGTTCCATTTCCTGGAATTCGAGAAAACCCCCTGGTTTTATATGACTGTCTGCAGTCAGTTTGACCAAATAAGGGGCAGCAGGAGACTTACGAATAGGCTCTCCTGATCAGAGCAGGAAAATCCTTGATGGCAGGTGTGATATGTCGTCCATGTACGAGATCATAGAAGTTCTCCGATTCAAGCCAAGATGATTCAACATCATCGACCATAAATCGGACATTGGGAGGAACCCATTCCGACTGAATGGGACTTAAATCTATGCCCAGTATCGAAGCACTAGGATATAAATCCCCCACTATCTGATATCAGAGATTCCTCGCATTCCAGCAGCTTTTTCATAACGTACTCTCCATACACCACGTCCCGGTGCCTGTTCCCAGATCTAGGATGTTCTGCGGATGCTTCCCGATGGGCGCAAAGTGGAGCTTTCCATCACACGTATTGACGACCATCGCATGCTTTATATCCTCTCTTTCTTACTCGGATCGGTCGTTGGGGAAGACGTATGTGCCTTCGCGGAATTTGTGGTAGCGTCTGCCATGCTCAAATGCATGGTCGAGAATGCTAGGCGCTATGGACATGGAGCCATCATCTAGCTGCTCGAAGCTGTAGCCGTCATCCACAAAGTCGTCGAGATTCATCTCAACATCCGCCGAGTCAAGATTCGAGTCGTCCTCATTATCCCAGACATTCGCAGATGGGTTGGTAGGAGTAAAGTGCGAGGCTTTGTCGTTGGACATTATCGTGATGGATGTAGTTTGATCATGGTGTCAGCCATCAAGTAAAATTGGAAAAAGTAGTAGATATATTGTTGGTACACCATAAACTGATCAATTCTCATGGATCTGACAGTGTGTAATCCGCTCACAACCATTGGTAACACATGCCGTACATCAACTGCTGTTGGAAGGATTGGGAGTAAACTAGACTCGACAAAGGAATTCATGGCATGTTGGTGGACGGCTTGCATTCCATGTTGCGCGGTGCGACGGCTCCATGTTCCAACTCTAAACGTGTTCTGGAAGGCATATTGCTTCGTGCGGGTAGATGTGGAAGTGGTACGTTTTTTGAGAACCCTGCAGCTTATCGGTCAGCAACATCTCGATGACTTCGCTCCGAGGAAACTCTGTCTCTTTCACATCCAGCAAACCTTCCTGCCAGGATTGTGGGTTTGATCAGTAATTATCATTTCGATGAAATGTTGTATACAAGCGGCTCGGCCACTACTCCTTCACTTTTTCTCCTTCTTATCGTCGCCCTTGCTTTCCTTGCTGTCTGATTTTGCGTCCTTTCTGTCGCCGCTCTTCTTGTCATCACCGCTATCTTCCGAGTCGCTGTCCTCATCCTTGCCCTCCTCAGAGTCGTCACTCTCCTCTTCGTCTCCATCCTCGTCTGTGTCTGCTAGCGCTTGTCGTCGCTCCTTGTCCTCGCGCTCCAAAGCCTCCCACTGTGCGTCTCGGTCTACCTTGATATAATCCGAAGGACTTCTCATTGCTGCATCATGCTTGACAATTCGACCTCTGCCAACCAAGCTGATGACAATAGAAGCGCCGACGATGAATGTCAGGACGAATCGATAGATCGAGTACCACGCTGGAAACCACCCTCTAACTGAGGCGCGAGCATCTGCGAAGTAAAGGAAGTTGAAGGCAAGGAATTGTGTGATCAAAGCGTATTCGACAGGCATGAAGATGGTTGGCCATGCGACAGCAGTAGATATAACTCCATACATGTATCTTCGGTATCCATGGTGGCCACCATATCCAGCGAATTCCATACCCCAATGGATTGCTCCGAGGAAGGAGATGATCTGCAATCTTTGTGAGTACCACGAGGAGATTTAAAGCACCGTACTTACCACAGCACCGTATCCGATTTGGATGGGCGTCACCAATCCAAGTAGCTGGTGTGCAGTCTCCGGAGAGAATAGATAGCCAGTCCCATGGGCATGGGCATGGTTGATATCATATGCTAGGTATACCGTCGAGAGTGATGTAGCTGCGTATGGCAACACACCAGCAGCTCCGATATACAAGGCGTCTCTGGGCACTTCTGCCAAGGAGAAAGTTTCCTTGATCGTTTCGAGGTCATGTTTCATGCCTCCAGATACTTCATTGCCCGTTGCTCCTTTGCCCTGGCTTTCTTCAAAGACATGTCTTGTAGAAGACCCCAAGGAAACGTCCTCTGGATGCGGCTCGATTTTCTCTTTCGAATGCTTCTCTTCGGACTTTTCGTCAATATGATCATAAGGTGGTCCGGACTTGGTGGCATATAGCAACGAGAGCGTCGTCGGTCTATCACCTACACCCGGAAGCTTGATGTTAGTATAACTGGTTTGCTGTACACAACCTAGGTAGGAGAATGTCCATAAACTCATAGGGCATGAAATATTCTGGCATCCTTGGAAGCGTAGACGTTAATCGAAGAAGATGGCTTACGAGGCAAAACAAGAGCTTTTGGTCGTCTATTGCTCAATTGAGAGGCTGTAGGAGCATTGCGAAACTTGGCAGAAGCTGCAATATAGCTTGATCGTGCAATTGAAGCTTTACCAAAGCTCTTCAGCACTGATCGCGTGGCTGCTGGTGTACGAAGCATTTTGGCAGGCTGGGATAGCTTTCTCGGAAGCTGCCCCGCAATCTGACTGATTGTGACGATAAGAGAAGTCAATTGATGAGCCGCAAAGCTACAGCGCAATTGAAAAGACCAATGTGAAAGAGACGAGATATTGTGAAGTGAGAGAAGAGTTGTAGAAATCAAGGAGATGCCCTCCGGTGCGACCTGAACAATAGCTTCTGGTCCTTTCCCTAATAGCAAGCTCTAGCCAAAGACCGTAAAGAGTGTGACGTCGTTCCCCGATCAAGCGAGCTGCAGAGAAGCAAGGATGGAGAAGTCCAGTCCAGCATGGCATTGCCGTTGACGCGCGCGATCTTGTTTGAAGGATTTTTGTAGGCATCAGCATTTGTCCCACTCTTGTCTTGTTTGCATCGCGAAATAATTCGAAATACTGTGCAAAGATTCACGCTTGAAGCCTTTCACGCTTGAAGCCTTTCACGCTTGAAGCCTTTCACGTTGAGACACCGTGTTTTTCTTCGTTCCACCCAAAGAGAAGCCTGAGCAAAGAGAGCTGTTGGCGGGGTTTGACGATTTGCGACTCTCTTCTTTTCTCCACTACAACATACGATACGAAAATCTGCAAACGCTTGCTACGACCTGAGACGATTTCACGGTTGCGATGACCTGACCCCTATCTCTCTTCCTCGATAGACCATATTCGTGGCAGATGTGGATGACGACGCTGTTCCAGACAATCTGATCGAGTGCGACCCTGCCTGGGTAGAGGCAACCAACACTCAAGATGTTGGAAGGACTCGTTGCGTCGCTGCTCAACCGCTTCCTGGGCATGTACATTCGCAATTTCGATCCTAAACAATTAAACGTGGGCATATGGTCGGGCGATGTTAAGCTGCGGGATCTGGAATTACGGCGAGAGGCTTTGGACCAACTGAAACTACCTATAAATGTGGTTGAGGGACATTTGGGACAACTCACATTAAAGATCCCATGGTCGAATCTGCGAGGTCAGCCAGTGCAGGTCTATATCGAGGATGTATTCGTCCTGGCAGCTCCCAAAGAAGATGCAGAGTGGGACGAGGAAGAAGAGGAACGCAGGAGGCAGGCTGTCAAGATTGAGAAGCTGGACAGTGCGGAGATGCTGAAGGAGCGGAACTCAGAAGGTCTCAGTCAAGAAGAGCAACAGAAGAGCCAGAGCTTCACAGACAGTCTGGTTACCAAGATTGTAGACAACCTTCAGATCACGGTCAAGAACATTCATGTACGATACGAAGACTCGATATCTGCCCCAGGACATCCATTTGCTCTCGGTTTGACTCTCAAAGAATTCAGTGCCATCAGTACAGACGGAAATTGGAAACCTACGTACATTCAAAATTCGGTAGGGACCACACATAAGCTCGCTACCTTGGGTGCATTGGCTCTCTATTGGAATACAGATACGAAATTACTTGGGACTGGTAGAGAAGCCGAAGTTGCAGATGCTGAAGTGACGCCGCATGACGAGATGCTTGAGAAGTTCAGAGACATGATCATCCGTGGAGAAAACCCTGAAGGAGCTGCACATCAATACATTTTGAAACCAGTCAGCGGACAGGCCAAAATCGAGATGGACAAATCTGGAAAGTCTACTGTTCCTCACGTCAAGGCTGGCTTGATCTTCGATGAAATTGGTCTCGTCTTGGACGACGATCAGTATCGTGATGCTCTAATGATGGTTGATTTGTTCCATTACTTCATCCGTCATCAAGAGTATAAGAAGCTCCAACCCAAAGGCGTCAGCCCGAAGGAAGATCCACGAGCATGGCTTCAGTTTGCTGGAAATGCCGTGCTGAGCAAGATTCATGACCGCAATCGACGATGGTCTTGGGATTTCTTCAAGGAGAGAAGGGATGACAGGATACGCTACATTGAGCTGTTCAAGAAGAAGAAGAAACAGACTGAACAGTTGACCCCTGACGAAGTAACGGAGCTCAACAAGCTCGAGTGGAAGTCAAGTTATGAGGACATGCGATTCTGGAGATCACTGGCTCGAAATCAGTTGAGAAAGGAGAACGTTGGTGTCAAAAAGACGGACTCAGCGAAGAAGAATCAAGGCTGGGTTGCTTGGGCATGGGGTTCAAAGCCCCAAGAACAAGAAGAAGACTCTGAGACGACTATGACTGAAGAGCAACGCAAAGAATTGTACGATGCCATTGATTGGGACGAAAAGACTGCTCTAGCCGAGAGCGTTGATCTACCAAAGGAAACAGTCAAGATGCAACTCAATGCGTCCCTCAACACTGGAAGTTTTACATTGAAGCAGAACCCGCATGACGATGTAGTTGAAATACTCAGCCTGTATTTCGATGGCTTCAGAGCAAAATTCCTTCAAAGACCAGATTCTTTCTTGGCCGATGTTAGTCTTGCAGGACTGAGAGTCAACGATGGGACAACGCCGGAAAGTCTATTTCCACAAATCGTTCGCGTCAAAGATGCTCCCGACACTCCGATACCCAAGATCACACTGGACGACGAGAGCGATCCAGCAGATTTGGTTGACCCCTTCTTCAACTTCCAACTAGAGAAGAACCCACTTGATGGGCAAGGTGACATTGCTGTTACAGGCAAGTTGAAACCACTAGAGATCATCTGGAATCCCCACTTCTTAGTCGGCGTCATCCAATTCTTCAAGCCTCCAGAACGGCACATGGAGTCCATTGGAGCACTTATGGAAACTGCTGGTGCAACAGTTGAGAGCTTGCGACAGCAAACAAGAGCTGGGCTTGAGTTTGCATTAGAAGAGCACAAGACCATCAATGCTAAATTGGACCTTCAAGCACCTTTGATCATCGTACCTGAGAGTATCACCACGAAGAACACAATCTGTTTGATTTTAGACGCAGGTCACATCAGTGTCAACAGTCAACTCGTCGATCGAGACACCATGGATGAAGTGCAATCCAAGCAGAAACAGATGTACACAGACGATGATTACAAACGCCTCGAATCTCTTATGTACGACAAGTTCCAGGTCAAACTCTCCTCGACCCAAGTTCTCATTGGACCATCAATCGAGGCAACAAAGGCCCAACTGGAGGATCGAGATGATAAGCAGTCGATGCATATCGTGGAGCAAATCAATGTCGATTTCATGGTGGAACTTTCGATTATTCCCAAGGCTCCAAATTTGGCAAAAGTCCGGATATCAGGACATCTTCCCCTACTTCATGTTTCGGCTTCCGACAAGAAGTATAAGAGCTTGATGCGTATTATCGAGGTTGCCATACCAAATCTAGACGAGGAAGAGGAGAAACCAGGGACTGTTGCTCCTAAGACTCCAGAGGCCTCGCGCCAAAGATCACAGAGCAATCTCTCCAAAAAGCAAAGTATGTCGAAGGAAAACAGGAAATCTGCATCGTTCCAGTTTACTACTCAAGAAGCCGTCATTCTCCAAGATGAATCAGATGATGAAACAGAGTTCCAGGATGCGTCCCATGGAGATGATGCCTCAGAGAAATTGAAGCTTCAGCAACGAAATTTTGAGCTAAAGTTCGAGGTGGACCGTCTCCAGGGTTCTCTTTATCGGAGCGATCCAGATGGCCGGAAGCCAGACCAACTTCTAGTAGAGTTAGTTGCGGACAAATTCAGCCTCAACCTGTGTGTACGGCCTTACGACTTGATCGTAGAGACTTCCCTAGAGTCTCTAATGGTGGATGATTATGTCGAAGAACATCCTACTGCTGAATTCAAGTCAATCGTGTCATCAGGAGATGCAGACTCACAAGAGAACAAAGACCTCATACATGTCAAGCTCGTCAGGGTGAAGAAAGAATCACCAGAATTTATGCCCAAATACGAAGGGGTGGAGACCAACCTAAACTGTGCAATTTCGACTATCAACTTGGTAGTAACACGCAAAACACTCCTCACACTACTCGACTTCATTCTGATTACGTTCACCAACAATGATGCACCAACGACTGCTGCATCGCCTGACGAGATTATGGACAGCGACAACAAGGAACTCGTTCCGGCAGCTGCGCCAAAGCCGGCTGATTCTGGATCTGTTCGAATCAAAATTGACTTGAAAAGCATCAGACTTATCCTTAATAACGACGGGATACGCCTTGCGACCCTCTCCTTGAATGCTGCCGATGTTGGCATCTTTGTTCTGGGCAAGACTTTACGTATTCGTGCTAAATTGGGCGACTTGTCTCTGCTTGATGATATTAACCAGGGTGCATCTCCCGATTCAAGCTTACGACAATTAATCACCATCCAAGGTGATGATCTAGCAGACTTCCGATATGAGACCTTCGATGCAGAAAATACCGAATCGTATCCTGGATATGATTCCTCGATATTTCTGCGAGCTGGTTCCATCAAGTTGAATTTCCTGGAGGAGCCTTTCCGAAAAATCATCGACTTTCTTGTTAAATTTGGAAAGATGCAGGCGATTTTCAACGCTGCTAGACAAGCCGCAGCAAATCAAGCATCACAAATCCAGCAAAGTACTAGTCGCTTCAAGTTTGACATCAATGTGAAGACACCGATCGTGGTCTTCCCTCGGGCAGTTGTTCCAGACCGCCCTCATCGAGATCTCATTACTGCGTATCTTGGCGAGATATACGCTGAGAACAAGTTCGTCCCTCTCGATGACTCCAAGGATTCGATAATTGCCATGAAATTGTCAGCTGGCATTCGGAATATTCGTCTCACTTCTGACTTCTATTTCCACGAAGACAAGAGCGAAGAACTAGAACTCATTGACAAAGTGGATCTGGGCTTCCAAGTCACTTATGCTGAGCACTCGCCTGGTATCAAGAGACCTGACATGGAAATCGAGGGCCACATGACTGATTTCAATCTTCGCATAAGCCAAATGCAGCTGAAGTTCCTGCTCGAGCTAGCACGGTCTGTTCCAGCAGCTTTTGCCGTGGATTCAGACGAAGACGAGCAACAAGCTATTGAAGATGTCCCCGCCCAGACATCAAAGAAAGCCAAGACCATACAGCCCAAAGAACCTGAAAACTCCGATCACAGCTCAGCCCTCGTTGACCTCGGCCCGGAACTTGGTGTTGACTCGAAGAACTGGACCAAACTTGATCTTGCCTTCCATGTCCATACTATTGGCTTGGAACTGCTTCTAGCGAAGGAGGATGAACCGATTGGCGACATTGAAGCTGCAAGCTTATCCAAGTTCTCCTTGGACGATACCAAAGTCAAATTGAGAATGATGACTGATGGCTCCCTGGAGTCGGAGCTGCTTATTGATTCCTTTACAATTCAAGATAGCCGCTCTCGAACCACGAACAAATTCCGGAAGATCATGACTTCTTCCAACAAGGACGTACAGCAGTTCATGGCCAGTGTCACGATTTCTGGAGGCAAAGAACGTAATTTGATCGCCATCATTGCCGTTGACAGTCCTCGCGTTATCTTCGCTCTCGACTATATCTTCGCCCTGCAGTCATTTGTCGCAGGCGGCCTCGCTGTCGATGAGCCGGTGGTACCAGAGGACGATGAAAGTATCGCGGATTCAGCAGATGACTCGGATACAGACATGTTACAATTGAGCAAGATGTCGAGGCCAATATCAGCTCGTTCGAAATCTCAAACACCTACATCGAGTCAGTCTTCTCAATCGAGCGATCCGCCGATGAACATTGCGTTTAGGGTCAATATCGTTGATGCGCAGGTCATTTTGATTGCCAATCCTCTCAGTGCAAGTTCCGAAGCTATAGTCCTTGGCACCAAGCAAGTCCTTTTGGCTCAACAGCATGCGCTTACGCTGCAGGTTTCTCAGATGGGCATGTTCTTATGTCGCATGGATCGATTTGAAGACACTCGGCTACGGATCCTTGACGATTTCTCTCTACAGATGTCTATGGACAGCTCGAAAGCAGATCTCACGAGTATGCATCTCGATGTCGAGCCACTGGTACTTCGCTTGTCTCTTCGTGATATTCTTCTGGCTTTGCAAATTGTCAGTCGAGCATCAGAGCTCTCGAAAGATGATGACAAGGAGGATGGCAAAGCCCTTGCTTCAGATGTCAAGGCCAAGCAGCTCAAAGGCTCCAGTGGTACCTCCCTTAAGCGACGGTCAGCCAGCGGCAAAGCCACTTCAACGATGGCAAAAAAGACCAAGTCAGGTTCAGTTGCACCGTCTCGCCTCCGTAACGAGACGTCAGCTGGTAAAGCTGTGCAGAAGCATGAAGAAATGACCGCGACGCTGGAAGGCATGAGAGTCATTCTCATTGGCGACCTCCATGAATTGCCGATTCTGGATCTTAGCATAAAGAATTTCACGGCATCTGCAAATGATTGGTCGAGCAGTCTACGAGCAGACACGAGCATTGATATGTATATCAATATCTACAATTTTGCCAAGTCTTCCTGGGAGCCCTTGATTGAGCCCTGGAGTTTAGGCCTCCAGGTTGCGAAGGATCAGGACCCAGATAGCATGTTTATCGATCTTACGTCGCAGAAGATGCTTGAGCTGACTGTCACATCCGCTACGATTGCACTTGCGTCCAAATCATTCCAATTCTTGACGCAAGAAGAAGACGTGCTTTCAAAGCCACGGGGAGCAGAGGCACCGTACAGAATTCGAAATTATACTGGATTCGATGTCAACGTCTGGGCCGATGTTCCTGGAGAAGAAAACGACATGGCTGTGAAGTTAGAAGACGGAGAAGAAGGCCCTTGGCGTTTCGAGGATTGGGAGAAGATGCGTGAAAATCTATCTCCAGAGAGCAACACTGGTGTCATTGGTGTTCGACTCGAAGGCAGTGGCTTCGACAGCATCAATAAGATTGGGGTGAATCGTGAAGGAGAATACTTGTACAGCCTCCGACCCAGAAAAGATCAGATTCTCCATCGTCTTCTCGTCGAGATCACACTTGGCACAGATAATGTCAAGTACATCACCTTGCGTTCGCCTCTGCTGGTAGAGAACAAGACTCAAATTCCAGTTGAGCTTGGCGTTTTCGATGCACAAGAGGGTCATCTTTTGAAGATCGAGAAAATCGCACCGGGAGAGAGTAGACCTGCCCCAGTAGGCGCTGCTTTCATGAAGTCGCTGCTGGTGAGACCTGACCAAGGATTTGGCTATTCATGGTCTACTGAATCGTTATGGTGGAAAGACCTACTTCAGCGCCCTACCAGGACGATGGTGTGCAAAGCCGAGCAAGACAAGAACACTCCGCCGTTCTACTTCCAGATGCATGCTACCTTCGACAAGAGCAATCCCCTCACAAAGTAAGTTTCTGAGACTTTTAATCTGAACAAATCACTAATAAGTTGTAGCATCTACCCATACATGAGGATACGACTTTCTGCTCCTGTAGAACTGGAAAACCTTCTACCATATGACTTCAAGTACCGGATCTATGACAAGAACACCAAGAAGGATTGGACAAACTTCCTCCGTAAAGGTGGCCTCAGTCCAGTCCATGTTGTTGAGCTGTCCCATCTCCTCCTTTTGAGTATCGATATGCAAGACACTGTATTCAAGGCAAGCGAATTCGCCATCATCAATTCAAACAATCAAGAAGACTTCCGAAAGGAGTCGATACTTGTTTGCAAAGATAACGAAGGTCTCGCGCTCAATCTCCGGCTCCATTATTACAAGATCCCGGACAGTGGCGGTGCGTTTAGAGTGACTGTGTACAGCCCGTACGTTATTCTGAACAAAACTGGTCTTGGTATCAATATCAGAGCCAAGTCGCTCCTGCAGCAAGCAAAGACAGCCGCAGGTCAAGGTTTCCACACGGACTCGGCAGATACAGAGCGACGCAAAGCTCTTCCTTATATGTTTGCATTCGGAGCCGATGATCAACGTAATCGTGCTTTGCTCAAGGTTGGAGAGTCGGCATGGAGTAGGCCTCAGAGTTTCGATGCCATTGGAAGCACAGTGGATGTTGTCCTACCGTCCTCGACCAAGAATACGGAGATTCATATTGGTATCACGGTGGCAGCTGGAGATGGAAAGTATAAGATGACAAAGGTTGTCACGCTTGCTCCTCGATTCGTGATCAAGAACCAGATGAAAGAGGAACTCAATGTCCGAGAGCCTGGATCTTCCCAGCTGATGACTCTTCAGCCAGGCGCTCTTCAGCCTCTACACTTCCTACAAAAGAGTGCAGTCAAGCAATTGTCTTTATGCTTCCCAGGTCTCAACAATCAATGGTCATCTCCTTTCACCATCTCCGATCTGGGCGTCGCACATATCAAGCTTGCAAAAGCTGGCCAAAGACAGCAGCTTATCCGAGTCGAAATCCTCATGGAGAATGCTACTATTTTCCTTCACCTCATTCCTGAGACGAAGAATTGGCCATTCTCTATGCGAAACGAGAGTGACACAGAGTTTATGTTCTTTCAGGCGAATCCAAATCTGGATGATGAGGATGCTGAAGACAGGTCTGGCTGGCGGCCAATTCGATATCGACTGCCGCCAAGGAGTATCATGCCATATGCCTGGGATTATCCAGCTGCCAAACACAAGGAATTGATCCTCAATGCCAATGGCAAGGAGAGACACGTCAAGCTTGCGGAGATTGGAAACTTGATTCCCATGAAAATTCCACCTCCTCGTGATGCACCTGGTGCAAGAGAGCCGAAGATCATCGACCTCAACGTTGCTGCTGATGGTCCTACACAAACCCTGATTTTGTCGAACTACAAAGCTTCGAAGAGTTTGTACAAGCAGAAAACTCGAACCGATTCGACGACTAGTCTTTCTGGTGGTTTCGAAGTCAAGTCTCAGGACACCGGTGTCACTTTCAGAGCTCAGCTCAAGCTCGCTGGATTCGGCATATCACTGGTCAATGCTCATTTGAAGGAGCTTGCTTATGTGACCTTCCGAGATATCTCGCTCAAGTATTCAGAATCGCCTCTGTTCCAGACCTTTATCGCAGGAGTCAAATGGGTGCAGATTGACAACCAACTTTATGGTGGGATCTTTCCAATGATCCTGTACCCGAGCGTTGTGCCCAAGAATCAGAAAGAGACCGAGTCTCACCCCTGTGTTCATGTTATGGTCACACGAGTTAAAGACGATTCATATGGTGTACTCTACATCAAGTATGCGACTCTTTTGTTGCAGCAAATGACACTCGAGATCGATGAGGATTTCGTCTTCGCGTTATTGGATTTCTCCAAAGTACCAGGTGCTAGCTGGGCCGAGACACATGAAGGCGTTCTCTGTGATGAGAATCTGGACATCCCAGAGCCATCTCAGGATCAATCCGGCCAAGACATATATTTCGAATTGCTCAATATTCAGCCCATGCAACTTGATCTATCCTTCGTTCGAACAGACCGAGTCAACGTGGAGGACAAGACGTCATCAAGAAATCCGTTGATGTTCTTCTTGAATGTGCTCACCATGGCTATTGGTAACATCAATGATGCTCCTGTCCGACTCAATGCGCTCATGCTGGAGAATGCTCGCGTCTCTGCAGGTATCTTAATTCAGAATATCACGAATCACTACTCGCAAGAGGCGCTCTACCAAGTACACAAAGTTCTTGGTTCAGCTGATTTTCTTGGTAACCCTGTTGGCCTCTTCAATAATATGAGCTCAGGAGTGGCGGATTTGTTTTATGAACCATACCAAGGATTCATCATGGCTGATAGACCGGAGCAACTCGGTATCGGCATCGCGAAAGGAGCAACCAGTTTCGTGAAGAAGTCTGTCTTTGGCGTCTCAGACAGTTTCTCTAAGTTTACTGGTAGTATTGCTAAGGGCCTCGCAGAAGCTACCATGGATAAGCAGTTTCAAGATCGTCGCCGCATGACCCGTTCTCGCAACCGTCCAAAGCATGCACTCTACGGCGTTACGGCAGGTACAAACTCCCTCGTCAGCAGTGTCGCCAGCGGCATCGGTGGTCTCGCACGAAAACCACTTGAAGGAGCCGAGCAGGAAGGTGTTGCAGGTTTCTTCAAAGGAGTCGGGAAAGGCGCATTAGGATTTGTCACCAAGCCTGCAATTGGAGTTTTCGACCTCGCTTCCAATGTCAGTGAAGGCATTCGCAACACGACCACTGTCTTCGACGGCGATGGATTGGAACGCGTGCGCCTCACTCGCTTCATCGGTACAGACGGTATCGTGCGGCCTTACTCCCAACGTGAAGCCCTTGGTCAATTCTGGCTTAAGCAACTCGACAACGGGAAATACTTCAACGAGTCATACATCGCTCATCTCGAGCTCCCACGGGAGGACGTGGTCGTAATGCTGACCTACAGTCGTATCATGCTCATCAAGAGCAAGAAGTTGACGAGCGAGTGGGATGTTCCGTTGAAGGATATTCAAACTATCAGTAAGGAGAGGACAGGATTAAGTTTGACACTCAGAGGAGGCACGAATGGACCTTTCATTCCGGTGGCGGAGGAGAGCTCGAGGAACTTTTTGTACAAGAAGATTGGGGTGGCCGTTAATGAGTTTAATAAGAAGTATAAGGCCACGGAGTAGGGGAGGAGGACTTTTGGGAAAGTGGCATGGGGGAAGGAAAATGGGATGATGGAAAATGATTGATGAGCAATGGTATACATTTCCGCGAGCTAGCATAAATGCATGGAGTTTCATCCTTTTTGATGCACAGGTTCTCTTTATCGTCGGTCGAAATTGTTCTTTCTTTGCGCGTGTTGTTTCGTGGAAAGTGTTTCTATTCTTTGGGCTGAACGTGTTTCTCGAGCCACCTATCGTTCCTTCTGCTGATAGCTCTAGGGTAAACTACTTAGGATCTTTTGGATGGTTTTTGAGATTCGTTGGAAATCTGGGTCGTCATGCTTTTCATATTTGCTGAGATCCGAATGCTTCCTAGATAGTCCTTCTGCCGGACGGTCAGGCCAAGTCGCTGAACTTTCATCCACAGCCTAGAAATTTCGTTAGATTCCTGAAAAGAAAGTGCATATTTCTATTTCATTTGTACATACTTTCATCGAAAAGTGAAAGAATGGTGGGCCATAAACTGTCGGCTTCTCTTCAAAGAAGCAATATATACTTTTACTCGTTTGAATGGAGGGTAGCTTCAAAAATGAATCGTCTAGATCCACCAAAATCTTAGAGTTCATTTCAAGTACAGCTCGGATGTCTAAGGCTGATTGGAACCACCAGTATTTTGCAGCTGTGGCAAGCCTCGCGCCTCGATGTGGAGTTCCCAGAAAGATGAAACCTTGAACTCGCTTCGCAATGGTCGTATATTGAGGGTCATTTGCGGCGAGGACCATTGCCTTTTCAGTACGTTCAGCTAAAACATTTTGCGAAATTATATACGTAATGTACCTGTTTAATGACAAGTCCGCCAAAGCTGTGACCTATCAGGATCATTGGGATTGAATCTTGCTATTCAGTTAGTTAGCCAAGTCAACGAACAATATATACTCAGGTAAAACGCTAGTACCTCTTCCTTCTGCCGATCCATAAGCTTTGCAAGAAGCACAATAGCTTGGTCATGAATTTCCGTTGCGGGAGTTGTTCGTAGATTCACAAGGTGCTTCTCGAGATAAAACCAAGCTTGCAGCAATGCAAGCGCCGCGCTCATTGTGAAAGCGAGGGTGCGCCATGGATGGCATCTAGCACCTAGTATGAGGAGACCCAGTATAAATACATCAAGAAGAAGGTACGTAGAAGGCTTCATCTGGGGCCGAGGAGGACGAGGTATCGGACCAAAAGTCATTGTGTGTGCATTAGGGATGTCCAGCGGTAGTAAATCCGCCAGCCACAACACGCCCGCTTTCTTCCAGGTCCATTCTGGGTTAGCCCAGAGGCCTTGTACAGCGACAATACTGCGAAGTGGTCAGTAGCTACGGTGTCGCTTTTGGATGAAATGAAATACTTACTCCACATCAATTTTTGACGGTTTGAAGTTGGTCTTCAACTCGTAAGGCATTTTCCGTGAGGTCATTTTTTCATACTGTTCCTTCTTGATTTCAAATATTCAGATATGCTTAGGCTCTACTTGGGTGAGGATATTATCGCAGGAACGAGCGTTGCCCCTAACTCTTCTTTTCAGACAAGTTTCTTCCTCGCTAGACCGCGGTAGGGTTCGTTTGTCGCGTCTCACGTAATCATTGACTCCACCAGTCATCCTTCTGAAGCCTTCGGGAAGGATTTATATAATATTGGGGACCTCTAGTCAGTGAGCTTTATTTATCGTAAGGCTCAATACTACGGAGTAACTGTAATTGTAATGTGAGGGTCTGAGGTTGAGGCATGGGCCGACGGCCCCCACGTCGAGACTATTTTCCTCCTGTGTTCCTTGGTAATTCGAAAACGAAATCGGTGCCCGTGACAGTTGTTTTTGTTCTATTCATTGAACGATGGAAATTGACTGTGACATGCTACGGGTACATTTTTGCCTGAGCTCATTGGAATGGACTTTGTGTACTGTAAAATTACTAGGGTCGGGTCGTTCCTCTCGCCATGCGCCGAAGCCATCTATGGACAACTTGATTTCGAAACCATGGTAAGTGATAATCCAGAATATCTCAAGCTTCATGTACTAATAGCATTTGGTCCCTACAATAGTTGCTGCAAGTCTTAATTCTCGCGTCCCTCCATTCTCGCGCTTTGGCAGCAATTAATACTACCCACTTCGAAATTCTACCCTTTTCCTATAAATCGGAAGATTTGGCATTCAGCGACTGGATCACGCTCTTTACCTTATGCCTAGCTCCGCTCATAGCCCATATACTTTCAGGTGCTCCCAAAGTTGTGTATTTTGCGAAACGTCGACCAAGTTGGCACGAGCGAATTGGCGTCTACAATCCGACCACCATCTTATGGCGATATTTTGCCATCGCCGACAGGCGCATAAGAGCGAAGCACTGGAGCGCTGTTGATGTGGCGGCAGCTAATGTAAATTTCTGGACATCTCGTGGATGGGATGGGTCCGAAGCACTTTCGAGAAACAGTCGCGAGTACTGCGTATCCCGAGCAGATAGCAAGCATGCGAGATTGTTGTCAGTGGGGGCTTTGGAGACTCTCATCGTCACCCTACAAGGTGTGAATGCGCTTTACACACTCACAAGCAGCATCGTGCCGAGCCAGTATTGGAACAGTGCCAACTTCTCAAACACCTTGTCAATTGGAACTATCTTCTTCCCCTTGTCCGTCTTTGGGCTCTTGAGGCTTTTTGCAGCCTTTTGGTTGACGGATGACTCTATCTATACCAACTATGAGGATTTTCAAACTATGCAAATGTCCCAAGATAGAGAAAGCCTTCAAGACGGAGTGCAGCTACTTGAAATTCCAGAGCTTTCGACAAGCAGATTACCAGAAAACTCAGATGCGACCTCTGAAAACGACTACCATGCACCAAACTGCTGGCAAAGCTTATTATTTCGTGTCTCCTTCCTCGTGCCTATCGTTGGCCTGATTGTTATTTGCCTATATTACACGGTACCGACTTCAATCGACGACAATGTCAGTCTCGAAACGGTCACAGGCTTTATTCTCGTCTTGTTCTACTTGATCATATTTGTGGTTACTCTTTTCATTTATGGATACTATTTCTTTCGGGACCAAAACATAACAACGGTCATTCCTTGCATCTCTGCACTGTGGTACCAAATTTATACCGGTATACTCATAGGGATGGTGGTAGTTCTCATCATCGTCGCCTCGTTGGAGACACGACAATCTCAATGCGGGTATTTCACGAGCTGGCCAAGCGAGTACGATACTTGTTCTGGAGTACCCATTACGGCAGAGTCATACCTCGCGCAATGTGCATTTGGACTAGCTGTCATGGGCACGACAAGTAACGATGTTTTCAACACAGGGGCAGAAGCTGGCAATCAAATGAGCGTCGTGTTTTTCGATGGGTGGTGTAGTAGTTATAGTAGCCCTACTAGAAGTCGAGATTTCGAGTTTGTTGGGAACTTTACTCTATTCTAGTACTGGGACGGTCACACATAGAAGCATATCTGGAATTGGATGAACATTTCCCATGAATGGATCGTGTTAGAGCTTGGAAAAGGCCTGTTGTACGGCAAACACTGCTTTCGGCGAGGTGATAAAATCATACCCCTCAGCCTCTAATAGTATCCTAATCCACCACTATTGCAGCTCTTCCAGTTCAAACGATGAGTGAGATGTGGGATAAAGCAAGCCTTGTTGATGCCACTAGCACGGGAATGCATGCTGGCATACATTGAAGTCATCCCCGTATGCATCCTGGAAGCCGCAAGCAAACTCTCCTCCGAAGGAGTAATCAGCATATGCGAAAGCGAAGTCTACACATTTCCACAGTGGTTAGTTCCAGGTGCAGGCCACAACATATATTGTTGGCTGGAATCAAACTTACAATCATCGTTCGGCCACCCTACTTGGTACAAAACCGTCACGTATGGAAGCTCTGAGTCCAGTCCCCATGGATTGTCATCATTGTCGACGTTGCCATACGCGCCACCGATTGGGTTGCAGGCGTTGTCATAAATCGTGACCCAATTCCATGTCGTTCCACCGTCGTAGTTAAACCCTACGAAACCGAGATTGCAGTTTCCAGCACCTTGTCCGGAGCAAGCAACAAGTGGGGGGACAGGATTCGTTCCCTGGTATTGTTGGGCTTGGGTAGTAAAGGCCAAGAGAGCCAACGCAGTCGCCACGCAGCTCTTAACATTGAAGTACATGATGACTGAGAGTCAATCTGCTTGAATATTGATGAATTATTTGAGAATTGATATGTAAGGTGTTTGAAATTGAAGAGAAACAAGTCTGGTTTTCAGTTTTGGGACGAGGGAGATGCTGTTTTATATATATTTGAAGATTTGCGGCGCGGAGCGGGCGAGGAAGCTTTCTTAGAATTCCTCATTCTTTCAAACCCTACCTTTGAACTCTATGAGTTACTGTCCAAGTGGTACTCGTGCCGCAAAAATTCAGACTGGCGTTTCTGGGGCGTTGTTCTTGTGGAGGTCATTTCTTGCTGCAAAGAAAGTAGACTTGATTATTGGATCATTCTTCCTCACCGATCCCGGCTGTCCTCGGGCTGCTTGCGAATAGATCTTGCAAGTTCGTACTCATGATACGACTTTAGAACAGCGGGCGGGAAGAACACATCCCCGTGGAAGTCTTTCTTCTGGAGGATTTCTTGACTTATCACGTACGTAAGATAGAGAAAACGGACATGATTATCCGTATCTTAAGCTTTTTACAAGGATGAGACTCTCTAGGATCCTCAAAGATGCTCATCCGTACCAGAGACAGTTCTTCTTGTTTGTGTACTTCTCTCAGTTGCCATGTTACAGAATACTATGCGTCTCCCACCACTACACTAGACAGCTTTTTGGGCAACACGAGTAAAACAAAAAAACTACATTTAACAAAGCGGTAGTTCAAGTACTGGAAAGTCAGGAGTAAAATGACATGTTTACGACAAGCGTGGATACAGAATATAGAATTCTCAGTCGTCAACTGCGGCCGCAACATAAACCCCAGAACGACCCTGCAGAACAGGACGGCAACAAGTACCAAATACATGAAACATCAAATCAAAAGCGCACTTAGAGCTGGGGGTCCCGGGACGGTGTAGCGCTGGGGGACCATTATGAGTTCTTGTTGCATGTTCTTTCGTGTCTGCACTGCTGCACTGCCGGCCTGCGGCACGGCAAACAGCCTGAGTCCTCCATGACCGAATCTGGAAGCTCTACTACCTTTATTGTGCGCAGTGCAGGTTTGGATAGCAGAAACTCATGAATATTAGTCAAGACTTCAGCGAGACAGCTGGTTTCATCCGCCTCATTGCCTTGAAAGCATTCCCTTCAAATTTTCCAGACATTTTGGTGGGGTAAGAGTAAGATTCGCAAAAACAGGAATGACAGCCTTGATTTCGAATATGACAAACAAGAAATTGTCAAAGAAAAAGAACCTCAGAGTACTTCGTCGGAACGAGGAATGAAAATATGCATAATTTAAACTCCATGCTTTCCAAAATTCTAAATCACTCCAGCTTTCAGCGTTTGACCAAATCCACCATTTCATCAAGTTGAGCTTGCGGTACATGTATAAGCCATTTCTCATCCATGTACTTCAACAACGTATCCACTTGAAGCGCTCTGTAGCTATCAACAACAGCTTGTTCTGTAACATTCTGCCCAACACTCGTTTTCGGGACGCTCAACACCTTTTCCCGGCCGTGCAAGATGCGAAAATTGTCCCAGACATAGAGATCTTCGAGCTTGAGCGATATTTTCAACAAGTGTGATTCTCGTTGAAGTATCTCATGAAACTTCTGATGAGCTGCGCGAGCATCCAGGAAGTCGGCGTACGGAGTCACGATGGATCCTTGGAGGTGTGGATGCTAGCGAAAGCGCTTGGTCTGGTCTGGATACCCAGGCTCTGTCGTTACAATGGTGTCCGTGGTGGCTTGGTACAAGTACGGCAGGTACCAATGAGCCACTCTGCCGAACGCGGTTGGTGCCGTGTGTAGATGGCTGAGAAGATGAGGAGCTTCTTCTTTGGACGTGTTCAAAGCAGCTTCGGAAGAGACAAATGTGGTCACACTATCTCCCTGCAATGCCTATAAGCCCTGAACTGGACTCGGATACAGATAGAACGTCAGATCTTGGTGAGGAAGAAGAAGTTGATTGGTGTTGTAATTTGGAAGTGCAGTCCTCTTCTTCGAATCTTCTTCATGAGGAGATGCAATGTTGCACGTAGTATCCAGAGCTCGACGTGCGTGCAGAAACACGCTCCTATAAATCTGCTTCAACACGTGGGTAACGATAGCATTGTTTCCATCCCTCTCGTCCTGCACGATCGGATCTGGAAGTCCGAGTACTTTTATAATACTCAATGCAGAATCTGGTAGAAGAAGGTAGTACACTTGGTTAGTACTTCGGAAGATGGTTTGGAGTCTCGCCCGGCTGGGACGAGCTCTGAGTACTGGAGCTCAAGGATGACCAAAGAGTTCGCAAGCCAGCCAATCCGGGGATGTTTCTCCTCTCACTCGAGGCCAGACCCAAGCTTGTGATGACGATCTGGTTTTAAAATAATGTTGTTCAATCGATATTAAGCAAGTCGATATGAATATGGTCACAGCATTCACCATTGTAGTCGAGGATGGCCAGTCCAGCTTTGGAGAGGCCTTCACAGCTAGAAACAGTGTTGGCTGCAGCGCATCGAACCAGTCGAAGACTTGAAGATGCTGCAAGATTGCTTCGGCAATCTAAAGAGCAGAAAGAACTCGAGGATAATATGCAGCGAACCAAAAACAATGTCGATCTTGGCTGTGACAACTCTTGTTATCGTGCCTTGCACTTCGTCCATCAATGACCACTCCTGTGATTGAAAAGTTGCCACGAGCAAAGCAGAGCACGTCTCTCCATGAACAAACTTAGGTCTAAAGTGATGCTGTTGATGATAGATAGCAGTGAGGTTCAAGGTCAAGAAGCAACCTGTTTCAGAAGGAGATTGGTTGGTCTGCCCCACATTGATTGCAACTGCACCTTCAGCCACACTCGCCTTTCTTGAACTTCGCCACGACAACGTCCGAACCTCAGCCTTACCAAAATGCAGAATCTTCACTTCCAGCTTCTGGGCTTCCTCTGGAGTCTGGAATATGAGCTGTATTCCCCCAGCTCTGGAAACATACGTTGATACGACTCTTAGCCGACGAAAGTTGTTGCACGGCTCTCGCTCCAACACCTCAGCACGAGCAGCAGAAGCACATGAACCCTGGAGGACGAGTATTGGAGGTCGACAACTGGACTCAGACTTGACACACTGCATCAAGAACCTGTTCAGTAGCAAAGAACGATGCTTACGCTTATAAATCTTGGTCATCGGCTGCTTGGTGGAAATTTACAATCGCCCTTGCTCACGACCCCTCTTATCAAAGAAGAAGTTGTCGAGAATCCGCCTTTCAACTTCCTGGCACTACCCTTAGATCTCAGGCTCGAAATTTATAGATGCATAGCCAACATTGCGTCTTCCCCCTACCCCGGGGAAAGTCCACTCTACCCATTTTTCTTCGTCAGCCAACAAGTCCGATTCGAAGCTAGCTCGGTTTTCTATGCCGTGTCCGGCTTGATATTCCCAAGTCCATCCAAGTGCTTGTCTTTCCTGGAGTTGACGACGCCTCATATCCACTTCCTCACTTCTCTGGCTATTTCTGTTCCTGACGGAGACACATATTCTCTGGAGCCTATTTTTGGGATGTTATACGAAGCCGATGTACCAATAAAGACTCTGGTGCTTGATCTTCAATGTCGCCGGACAGCGTCTGCCCAACCGGACAAGAAACATGTTCTGGCCCAACCAGTTGGTGAACATGCACTGGAACGAGCACGCGAACGAGCACAGTCCCTGGAAACGGCCTATCAGCGACAGAAGCAAAGCCGGGCAGACGATCTAAACTCGGCGGATGATAGCATTGCATACCCGTGGCCGTCGAACCTTGGAAAGCTGAAGGACATCAGATTCATAGCGATTGATGGGAACCCATCTGATAATTGGAGCGTTGAGTTTGAACTGGCGGTACTCTGTTTGCATGAAAGGATGTACAGAATTGTAGGAAATGTAGATGGTCGGGCACCTGCTTGGTACGGAAGGTGGGGAGACTGGTATTGGTTCGGCAGCCGTGAAGTGACTAAAAGAGGCGATATGATTAAGAGCCTTGCGTCCTTGAACCCTTCCTTGAGGTGAGCTGCTGAGCCACATACAGACCGAGATGGAAGTGGTGCGTTCTATATTTAGCATAAGAAAGCAGTTAAGAGTGTATATATCTCTTCATATGTCACGAATCTCAAAAATTCAGGAATTTGCCTACAAAACAACTAATTTCTTAACAACCTTAATCATTAAGTCGTTTGATCTCAAACATGTTACGGCCATGCTCAAACTTTGGATCGCTCAGATGAGGGAAGTGATATAGTAGCTGCAGAGAGCCAGCGAGGTATTATATAAAAATGAGATTTTGGGTGTTGCCCCCACATCGCGCGCATTCTGTGGAAAAACCAGAAACCGTCGGGAATGCGATGTGCAACAAACCCTATTTTAGGCCGAAGATAAACTCACTTTCAACAGTCAAGTTTCTCTCAAAATTTCCTTTAATATTGCAGTAAATAGTGTTCGATTACCATTTGCAGGATCAAAATGATGCGACAAGGGTTCTGAAGGAGCCAACGGAAGGATGAAATGCGGTGGGAGGACAAGCACATGATGATGACGACGACCATGGGCACGAGACTCGTTGGGACGTACGCTAGCTGAGCTTTTGCCACTGCTGCGGGAGATGTAGGGGGTTCGTGGGTTATGGAATTGGATGGAATGTCTGTTGATGATATGTATTTGGCGTTGAGGTGAGAGGAAGGAATGAGAATAAGAACAATGATTTCATAGAAATCAGGCATTTGGACGTGAAGGAACCGAAGTATATGCATTATATATGTGAACTTGAAATACAGATCGATGAACATTAACTATCAAACATTCTTTCCATGGCCAACGCTCGCAGTTCACTTATCCATCAACGACATGAAACTTCATGTTACTCAATGAGCTCAATTGGGATCACAAATCTAGTCAGAATCAGTATGCATTTGCCGAGCTAGAGGATGAAATACTTACACACATCCTATTAACGTGGGTGATATGATGGCAAGCCCCGCTCGCCGTCATCGCAAGGTGGAGCAGGCCTTCCACATTCGAATTTCTGGTACTGGCTTCTCCATTCTTACACGTCTTAGGAAAGAAACTCATGACATCCCGCTCTCCAAACCTCTTTGGGATTTTGACTCGAATCTTGATATCCGTGATTCGAGAATCAGCAAGGAATGAGATGAGTTCCTCGACGATATCTTCAGTCAAGGCGTAATCAGAAGAGAGCTGGAAGATGCGAAGAGTTCGTAGGTGATTCCGAAGGGACTGGAGAAGTGTTGTGGAAATGTACTGAGAGGGAACGTAGGATGACATGTGTGAGATCTGAAAGTGTTTCAAAGGATTTAGGGATGCAACGACGTTCGGTGTCACAGAGAGGTATTCTGGAAGTTTGGAAGTGATAATGTTGTTGTCAATATCATAACTTTCCGGGTAGCGATATAAGATGACGGTGTCCAGTTTCTCGAGACTTTGAAGAATCTTCAATGTTTCTTCTGGGTCGGACTTTGAGTATCCACTAAAACGGAGGCGACGAAGGTCTTTGAAATGTCCTAGGTAGTCGAGAGAGACGAGATCGGAAAAGACGGTGAGATCTTGAACGCGTTCACAGGCTGTGGCAATAATATCAAGAATGAGCTCTTGCTCGATTGGAAACGCCCGGCGACTGCTGGGGTGGGTTGAATCCTTGAACAGGATCCAGAGTTTCTTGACCTCGCTGATGGCTTTGAAGGCGTCCCACGTTGAAGTAATAGCATCTTTGCTACTGATAGGAACAAGTTCGGGTTTTGACAGACAAAGAGCGCATAGAATCTTCGTTCGCAAAGAATGTCGACTTCCTGCTTTGGTGTTGCTTCGACCGAATTGTGGAGCTGACATTGTCTTCCAGAACCTGGGAGCAATTCTAGGACCTGAGATGGCATCATTTATACTACTTGCTAGAGCATCTGCGATTTGTAGCAAAGAGTCTTCGAAAATGTGGACTGTAACATTTTGAATTTGGCTCAGAAGAAATGGATCTCCCCTCGAGGTCCAGTCTGATATCTTTTCCAGGCTGCTAAAATACCTGGAATTCGAGAGGATGATGGGTAGAACCTCTTGTCGAATTTGTCGATTGACGGATGAAATTGATAGATAGTGTCTAGGGAAGTATCCAAGTCTTTGATCTAAGGCAAGTCCGTAGATTTCAAGACGCAATTCGTATGGAAGCCTTAGGAATGGAGGCGGCTGTGAGGACATCATGAAGTCAAAGGACTTCGAGGAAGCTACTTGGTGGGACAGTACGTTTTATCACACGGCAGATCTGTTATGGACTCATATGTCATTCGTCGCGTCCTCCCAAACTCGGGGTATTGTTGTTGATTGTTGCGGCTGCGCAAGGAGATGATACGGACGAAAGATGCAAGATTGCCCCGTGTCCGCACCAACTTACATAAGCATAGACTTAACCTATCTCGGCAAGGCGCATCTCGAAGACATCCTTTGCCTCTTGTTCCTCATTGTAAAACAACTAATTGATGTAGAGCACGGCAATCGAATACATTGTATAGAAAACGGAACTAGGAGGTTCTCTCAAACTCTTCTTTAAGACAGTCGAGAAGTCCAACACCACATTGGACAATCCTCCTGCAACTTTTTCCTTTCCAGTAACTACGGTCTCATCCCGATTTGTACTCATAATGTTTTTACCTTGTTTTCTTCAGGATCTACCACTTCAATTTTGATGTTCTTCCCTTTGCACAGTATCTTTGGGTGTACTCGTTTGTGTTCCTCGGCACACAATGTACCACTATGAAGACTTGCCGTGCTAAGCATATGTCAACCGACGGAGTTGAAGGAATCTGGGTGTCTTTTAGTGGATGGACTCAACTACTTGATGCTTCGAATGGCAGCTTCAAGAGGTAAGCACGTGACAGCTTCTGACTCGCTGCTTGGCACTTTCCAGGGACAACATGACAGAAATTGACGTAATTAGCCTACCTCACTAACAAAGTACGGAAGGGGGTTGCCATAATTCACGAGACCAACAGGGGTCTACAACTCCTTGTATACTCTACCAAGTCCAGCTCAAAATCTACCAAAATGCTACTAAAATGTGGCTAGAGTCGAGCACTTTAATTCTCTGAATTTTTCTTCTTGAAAAGATATAATATTGTTGTGGTTTGCAAGGAATAATAGACCCCTGTCGGTCTCTTGAATTATGGCAACCCCCTTCCGTACTATATGGACGTCGACTGTTCTACCTAACGTTACCTAAGTCCGATATCCCAACAGCACATTGCCGAAGAATGTCGGCCGAAAACTCGCAAGCGAACCCCAGACGAATAATCCACTTAGGAGTGGATCGCGCCAGTCGGCAAAGCCCTTTCAGAAGAGCCAGTTTGGCTAGATCTGAGAAGTGGGTCGTGATTGAGGCAGCTTGCCAGCCACCGTAAGCAGGCTGCAGAAATACTCGCTATGCGAGCTCTCGCTTCGCGGGGTAACGCCGGTTATTTCGATGAAGTGGAAGGGAACTCACAACGGATTTTGACGGAATTAAGGGATGAATTGGATGTTCGAGAAGATCTTATTGTGGTGGTGAGTATAAAAGAAGGAGCGACCGACTCTAGTGTTTCCTACATTACAACTTACAACTCGTTACTTGTTATTTCTACTTTCAGCAGAACTTGATTCTCGAGACCTCACTTTAGCCTTCGAAGCTCTACTCACGAATCCAATCCAGAAGTAGAGATCGTCCAAGCCACAGATCATTTCATCTTTGCAACCATGACTTCATCTTCCACCAAGCTGAAGATCGTCTTCGGCGCCATGACGATTGGCAAGGAGAGTGAGTAAACATCCAAATCACAAAGAGCTTCCACTGACAAATGAAATAAGACACACTTGGTGCAAGAGTCTACACCAAAGAAGGGGCCAATGCTCTCATTGACCTCTTTCAAAAGCACGGTCACAATGAAATTGACACTGCCCGCGTCTACGGCTTCGGAACCACCGAACAGATCCTCGCTGAAACTGACTGGGAGAAGCGAGGTATCGTCATGGACACTAAGCTCTACCCAAACAGAGGTGGTCCTCTGAGTGACATGGAGGTCTACGATCACACTCCTGAAGATGTCCGTCGAGGCCTGATGGATTCACTGAAAGCTTTGAATTGCAAGAAAATCGACATGTTCTACCTCCATGGTCCAGACAGGAAGCACCCATTCGAAGACACCTTGAGAGAAGTCAATAAGTTGCACCAAGAAGGATACTTCACCAGATTCGGTGTCAGCAACTACCAGTCCTGGGAAGTTGCAAAGATCTGCGAGATCTGCGAGAAGAACGGGTGGATTAAGCCAACTGCCTATCAAGGCATCTACCATGCTCTCCAACGATCTATTGAAGCAGAGCTGTTCCCTTGCTTGAGGCACTATGGTATCGCTCTTTACGCCTTCCAACCCCTTGCTGGAGGATTCTTGACGGGACGCTACACACGTGATCAAGAAGACTTCGAGCCTGGATCTCGATTCGATCCCAAGAAATATCAAGGCACCCTACATCGAGGCAGGTACTGGAATGATAGCTACTTCGATGCGTTGGATATTATCAAGCCTGCAGCTGAGAAACATGGGTTGACGATCGCTGAGGTAGCGATGAGGTGGATTGAGCATCATTCTACGATGAAAAAGGAATTTAACGATGCAATTATCATTGGAGCAAGTAGTACGAAGCACTTGGAGGAGAATTTGAAGGATCTGGAGAAGGGTCCTCTGCCAGAGGACGTGGTTGAGGTGCTTGAGGCGGCTTGGTTGAAAACGAAAGGTGTTGCACCAAAGTATTGGCATTGAGTTGCGGCAGGAAGTAGAAGGGGATCAGGATGATGCCAGCATGATGGAAGCTTTTAGGCATTCATAAATGCGAAGCGTTTCGTCGAAGACTTAAGGACTACCAGCCTTTAAGTATCAAAAGCAATCATCTCAAGCTTGTTTAGGCGAGGCGCAAGTCAGCGATGATATTCCCAACATCACCTTTCGTCATTCTCCACAAAGCGTATTCATTATCGGGTGCTGTATAGTTACAATGATCAATTCTTCTTGAACAATGAGACAAACTCAATGTATTCAATCTCGAACCCTACTCACGACAATCGAAAACCTTAGCATCAAGCGAGACAACCTTCCTGCAACTTTCCCCTCTCACAGCGACTACTCTCCAAATCTGCCATCTGCTCAAACGTTCAGAGCTTATATAAAGGCTTAAATAATGAATGAACAGATTTACTCGTGACTAATGACACTGATATGCACCTCTTGATCTCGATAGAAAGACGTTCGTAACTTATTATGCACTCAATAAAGAGCATGTCCAGGGGCCCAGCCTGCTGAAGCCTGCAAGGCTACCTAAAGCCTCAAAGCTGAAAAAAATCTGATGTAGCTCTGAAAGTATATCCAAATGACGTATCCATAGCCCCTTTGTCACGCTAAGCCCACTTGCGGATAACAGAAGCCACCACGAGCAGCGCCAACTCTACCTGGGTATATAAAATTAAACAAGCAACTCCTTGCCATGTAGTCCGGAAAACCTAAGGTTATCTAATATACTGTTAGCTTAGTTGACAGAGTTCCAGATGGACTTGTAGCCTCTTTAAAACTAGCACAAGCTGCTTGTTTGGAAGAATCATCGATCTCGGTCGATGGTTCTAAGTTTTGACTTTTTGACTTGACGAAAGTCTTCGCTCGCTAAGCTAGGAGTGAGGTCGGATACGCAAAGGCTACACTTTCTGTTTTTGTGTCTTCACCATGACTCTCAAAATACGGTTTTCAGAGTAGGTATGTTGATCGTGGACCAGCATGTGACGCGCTAAGATAGAGGGGTAAGCCTGGCGAACAAACGCCGTCGAACGCTCTTTGCTTTTTCTCATCTCTCTCGCACAAACCACCATTCTCGAGAGTTTCGATTCTTATGTTCTCGCATTCAATTCATAAACCTCAAATAAAGAACCACGATGCCTTCGCGGCGACCAGATAGTCCTGTTGAACGTCCTGATGGATCTTTGGTGTGCAAAGGTCACGGACTCGTCGTTTGTGGCGTTTGCACCGTCGATTACAGCTTCATGCAAGACAGCCTCGATGAGGATACCGAAGTGAGAGGGGAGAGTGAACTGGGAAACGAGAATGAACACCCGGAGCCCAAGGAAGTCAATCAGTTCGAAGCAGTCTACGTCCCAGGGATGCCAAACAGCGTATTTGGCTATCATCAAGAGCCGGACTACGTTGCTCCAGACGTTTCAAACGTCTTCCCAACCAAATTCCAACCGCAAAATACTACCGATACCCCGGACTCTCTTTTCGTGAATGGGATGGTGCTGGATCCTGCTTCATTCAAACCCGCTGGATCCATAGGCATTCGGACTAAGCATTACCGATTTATGAGTCGATCCGGCAATAAAGACATTCTAATTTCTACTGATGGCGCATGTCTCAATAATGGACAGGCAAATCCAACAGCTGGATGTGCTTTCGTGTTCAGACCAGCTACTCTTGGAAATCAACCAGTCAAGTACGGCACATTTTCATTGCGACTCGAGGACTGCGGTCCAAAAGGCGATTCTCAAGCACAGACTAGCAACCGAGCCGAGCTACGAGCTGTAATTGCTGCCCTCCAGTTCAGGATCTGGGTTGGAGAAGGCTGGAAGCGCCTCATTATCGCCACGGATTCTGAGTATGTTGTTAAGGGCGCAACAGAGTGGATACAGGGCTGGCAGCGCAAGGGATGGGTTACTGCGAAGAAGGAGCCAGTGAAAAACAAAGATCTGTGGGAACTGCTGTTGAAGGAGGTACGAAAACATGCCGCGAAGGGGTTGGAGATATTGTTCTGGGCTATTCCGAGGGAGCAGAACTCGGAGGCTGATAAAGCTGCCAAAGACGCGGCTTCGTTGAAGGACGTTCCGAAGTTCATGAAGTATACAGGTGTCATGTGTAAGCCGGACGAGATGGCGACCATGGCGGAATTTTATGAGGACACGGATTAGTTGTTAATGCCAAGGCAAATTTTGATGGGATTTTGACGCCTACAAGCAGGGCTGAGGCTGGTGAAGCCCTGCGAAGGAAAGGTACTTTGAACTACTTCAAGGTCCCAACCTATTTGTGAAGTCTTGAGGTCGAAGGGATCTTATTCGGGGCGAATTGTTTTGTGACATTGACAAACCACCGAGGCAATTGCTGAGGATGTTGAAGAGACAAGAGAACAATTTCAGGGTAAAAGATTCAAACGCCGGGTGTGACAGGACAGTGGTAGTCCACAAACGTGGATATTGATATGAATCAAATATTGACTGAGCACCAACGAGAGAAGTGCTACAAGTGAAACAATTGACATGGAGAAACAGTTGTAAAGTTACTGTGTACACTCTATGAACACGCCTGAAGCCAAATCTACAAGCACAGAACCTATTTCCCATCAAATTGCTTCTTCAAACTCGCCCACATATCATCATCATAACCTGGCCCACTCTCCACATGATTATTCCCCGATTTCGGGCCCCCATCATTGAAGACCTCGACCTTCCTGACCGTACTCCCTACCTCAAATATAGTTCCACCAACATTCTCCTCTTTCTCCACCAAATCGAGCATAACTTTCGCAACATCCTCTGGTGTAACCCATCCAGGATTGTCTCCCACCATTTTCATCTTCTCGGGGTTATCCGTCCACAGCGGTGTCAATATTCTCGCTGGTGCTACAGCATTGACTCGAATTTTCGGCAACCCCAGATGCGTTGGTGGGTTCTCGAGTGGGGCTAGGGAACGGACGAAGCCATTCGTGGCATGCTTTGTAGCGACGTAGACGGGTGTGGGAAAGAAGGGAGCTTGGCCAGCGACAGAAGATATGTGGACTATCACACCAGGCTTCTTGTTGGTGAGGAAGTGGGAGATTGCCATTTGAGTTACGCGAATGGGGTGTGTAACGTTGATGTCAAGGAGAGCGTAGCGGGATTGGGCTGGGTCGTCTTTCGAGGGAGGAGTACCGGGAGAGTTCCAGAAGTTGGAGAATGGCTGTATTGGTTTAGTTTTGCATAAAGAGTGAAGTATGGGATATACTTACAGGCTCATAAACTCCAGCTCCGGGACAGACAATATCTGCCCCTCCGAAATGCTCAATTGCGACGTCGAACATCTTGTCTAATTGTACCCAGTCCGTCACGTCTGTCTTCTGGAAGACAGCTTTGGCACCTGCTGAGGTTAAGGGGTAGTCTGCTACCACTGCCTGGGCTTCTGGGCGGAGTGCGAGATCTGCGAACACGACATTGCAGCCTCTTTCGAGTAGAAGTTTGGCGAAGGAGAGATTGATTCCAGATCCTGCGCCTGTGACAATGGCCGTCTTTGATGCTACGTTCATAGCCATGTCGTCTTGTTGTGAGGTTGTCGAGAAGAGGTGGGGGCTCAATCGAGCAATGATTGAGGAAGAAGATTGGAAAGAAAGAACAATGATGATATCTACCTCTGTTGACTCACCTTCTCCAAGCGTTGGTTTTGTATATTTATATATTTGACAATCCTCATTGCTGTCAGTCTGCGGCGACGCTGTGTCGATGATGTGTCTAGTACGTGCAGTTGGGCAAGGTGGGGTCGAGTTTCAGTCGGCAACTCGGAAATTTGAACTGAAAGGGGCAAGAACAGTCCGTTGACGTCCTCCCGACACACATCGTGATATTTGAATCACAACCAACGGAAAGAATATCTGCGTGGGGAGAATATCCTCATCAGAGAGGAAGGTAACAGGACACGAGAAGGTTGAAGGTATGCCTAGTGGCATAGAGGTGCAAACACTGCGCCAAGCTAGTGAGGCTTTGTTTCTGTCAAAGCTGAAAGCTAGATTCCGTCGGGGCACAAAGCAAAAGTTCTAATATCAAGGACGAAAGGAGGAAAACATCACGATCGTAAAGCGCTCTTTAACTTTTGGCTTTGTGATCAAGATTCTAGAGCAGGGTTGACTCAGCATCTGCCGACGCTCAAGTGAAGCTATTTTGGAAGCAAGGAAAGTCGACCGAAGCCGGAAAACCTTCTCGGAAAACACCTGGTCTGTTTCGGCTTGCTACTTTTGGTGTATTTCCCTTCTCCAAGCTGAGTTTGCCTCCACATATGGGACATGTCCAGCTTCTGCTGGCTTCGGGTCCGTGACCGGCTACAAGGTGACATGCGGGGAAGCCTAGTCGGCTTACTTTCCTTCCAAGATATTTCTGCAGTTTCTCAACAAACGTCGTCACTTTAATCTGCAGAGATCAACATGTCTTTACCCTATCATGGCCAAGTCCCTGACTCGCCTCGGGTCAAAGACCGACGCCAGTGCCTTGTGAGGGCTTGGAAGTGGCTTGATGGCGGGAATTAGTACCTTAGTCTGAATTAATCCCGCTTTGATATCAATCCCCTCATGCACGGAATGAACCCCGCTATTACCCCAGGTATTCAGGGTCACGATGCAGTGAGAAGGATAAAGGTTCCGCTTCCCCATGGGGTAGATATTATTTTTCTCTCAAACATCTTCAGTCCGTTGATAGAGACCATCTAGGTATAATCTTAGAAATTTCTTTACCTCAACGCTTCCCTTCTAGTCTGGGGGCAAATTTTTCACAATGGCTCGCAAGTATCTTGGCGGCTCAGGTGAAGCGTTGACGATATGGATTTCTCTCGCTGCATCTACGGTCCTTGTGTTCTACGGCTATGACCAGGTATTCTTTGCAACCCCCAACTATGATTCTCACTAACCTATACCAGGGTGTCTTCGGTAATGTCCTCGTCGGCGAAGACTTCTTGAGGACTATGAATTTCCCAAGCACTTCCGTTCAAGGAACACTCACATCCGTCTATAACCTTGGCTGCTTCTTTGGAGCTCTTTCAACTATCATTACTGGCGATATTCTTGGACGGCCTCGAGTAATTTTACTCGGTAGTTCCATCATCGCCATTGGAGCTATCATCCAAGCTTCGAGTTATAGCGTAGCTCAGATGATGGTTGGTCGAGTTGTAGCTGGTCTTGGGACTGGCATGAATACAGCAACAGCGGGAGTCTGGCAAGCAGAGACGAGCAAGATGAGAAGTCGGGGAAAGTTGGTTATTATTCAGATGGCGAACTGCATCACAGGATTTTCGATCTCAAATTGGTTGACTCTTGGTTTCTCTTTTGCTAAGGGCAGTGTTGCATGGAGATTTCCATTAGCTTTTCAGATTTGTAAGTCTACAATTTCTCCAATCTATCTTGAATTTATGAATCGCCCCGTTCAATGCTAACGGACCAACAGTTTTCACAGGCCTCATCTGGGTCTTGTGCCCCTTCCTCCCAGACTCGCCCCGTCTCTTGATCCGAAAAGGCAAATACGAAGAAGCATACGAAGTCCTCGCAGCACTCGAAGGTCACGGAGCAACCACATCATCACCAGAAGTCAAAACACAATTCAACATCATCAAAGATGTCCTCGATCGCGAGCACTTGAATAGCTACACTTGGTTTCAACTCCTCTCTGGAAAAGGTCCGTCTGGAGTTCTTAGACGGATGATTCTTGGCGCTTGGATGCAGGCCATGAACCAGATTTCTGGGATCAATGTTACGAGTTATTACATGACTTATGTGTTTATTCATGCACTGAATATCGATACGCTCCGGTAAGTCGAGATTACCAATCTTCACATCCAATACTGACCAGGATTCAGAGCACGCATTCTAGCAGCAGCTGGCTCAGTCGACTATCTCCTCTTCTCCGTCCTCGCCTACTTCGTAATCGAACGCTACGGTCGAAGAAAAGTCATGATGACTTCCGCGGCAGCATGTTGCACCTGCTGGGTCATAATCACAATAGTTCTTGCACTCACAGAATCCGATCCCAGCAATTCATACAACTACGGTGCCGTTGCCGTGACATTTTTCTTCGTTTTCTTTGCAAGTTTCGGGATGGGTGTCCTCGGTGTACCATGGCTCTATCCCACCGAGATCAATGCTTTAGAGATGCGAACAAAGGGCGCTAGTCTTGCTATGGCGACCAATTGGATTGTGAGTTTAATGTGTCCGAAATTTTTGTTTTGCTGGAGACTAATTATTGCAGATGAATTACATGGTAGCTGAAGTTACTCCCTCGGGAATCGCTAATCTGTCTTGGCGCTTCTGGATTATCTGGGCGGTGATCTGCTTCTCGTTCATCCCAATAACCTATTTCTTCTACCCCGAGACAGCGAACCGTTCTCTGGAGGACATCGATCGGTTCTTTGAAACCAAACCAGGGATCTTTATTCATAGGAATAAGATTGCCACGCAGCTGCATAGACCAGCTGTCTACGAAGAGGAAGATGCGAGGATTGGAACACTGGGTGAGAAAGGGGATGGAAATGATGTTGTTGAGGAGAGAGTGGAGAATAGCGATGAGAAGATGGCTTGAAGGATGGGTGTGGGGTGCAGATCCAAAGGAGGCTCGGTGGGTAAGCGAGTCGGTGTTGATAATCGGCTACTTTTCGAAGTGCGCTTCGGTCACCTTTCCGAGACGAGATGAACTAAAGAGATGCTAGACTCATAGAAATTGAATCCTGAGACATTTACTGGGTGGTACAATACCCCATATGAAGTGGACGTTTCAAATTTCGGAAGTGCAGTGGCTCACGTGACAATTCTTCCTCCAGTGAGGATGGGGAAATCTAATTATGGATGGGGTTTATTCCAAAGAATACTAGTTGCAGTCCATTGGCTTTTGCTATTTGAGTTTAGGCTTTAGATAAGGTTGTTTTGCCCATACGCTTGTTAGTCAGCCTCAGGCTCTTCAATGTCTGTTTTTTTCTTTTGCATTGCATTTAGACACTTTTCTCTCTTGAACCAAGAGCATCTTCTATTCATATTTACATATCCTGATGAGTGTGTTCTTTCACAAAACAGACTCCTTTGTTGAATATCATTAGACTATAAAGACTCCTCATGGTCGAGCGAAAGCCATTTCCTGAATGCCTGACACAAGCTACTATCCCAACATCTTACAATGTCCAAACCACGTTCAATATCTCAACCCCACTTATTGTACTGTCTTGGTTATTGGATGGCATTCCAAAATCCTCTAAAAACTATAGCGCCTCAACTTCAGAAGACAATAGCATGTCGATATCACAGACATTCACAGCCTCACCTTTAACCTCCCCCTCTTCCCATCACCTTCAACCCCTCTTAGCGCCTCCATGCAGAACCGACGTCAGTCGATCTATACCATCCGCCTCATGATCGCATTCTATAGGGGGTTTTTTTTCCCCAACTCCCACACAATCAACATCCACAACAAAATCAAACAACACACACATTTACAACACAACACAACGCCCGCAATCCAACAAATGTGCATCCTCTACAACACCCAGGTACCCACTCCCCTCCCTCCCTTCCTTCCTCCTCAAGCTAACACCGCGCTCAGTACATCTGCAACCACTCCCGCCCAATCGAGCTCTTCCCCTGCGGCGAGCAGACCGGCACCTTCGCGTGCATGAACGGGATCGAGATCAAGATGCTGAAGGCGCCTCGCAAGAAGGGGAAGTGTGTTGAGTGTCGGAAGAAGGATGCTAAGGATGTACGTACCGTATCTCTCTGTTCGCCATTTACTTTGCATTGAGGGGAGAGAAAGAGAAAGGAGAAGCTAATTTTTTTTTTCTGCAGTGGAGAGAGGGGAAAGTCGATCTGGGTGTTTGGGGATGGGATGTTGTTCGTGAGAAGACGGCGGTGAAGAAGGAAGAGGAGGAGGAGATGGTGGTTGTGAAGAAGAAGGAAGAGGAAGAGCTGGTTGGAGAGGTGAAGGCGATGGAGGAGGGTGTGAAGAGGAAGAGGAAGTTGAGGATTAAGAGACCGGTTGTGCCTGGCTGTCTTGATGTGTCGGCTCGTCTTTGAGATGCTGGCATGGTTTGCGATCTCTGAGACTGAAGGAAAGAAAGGGGGAGGACATGGTGGTTATTTTTGATGAGGAGAAAGTGGTCATTTCATGAGTTGTGCGAAGATTTTCTGCTTCTGGTATGAAGAGTCTGGGATGTATTACAGAGAGTCTCGCTGATGGTACAATAGATGAACTGATACCCACTGAGGCGTTAATCTGGGAAAGCAGTGAGGAATGATGACTGGTTGGTATGATGCTGCCATGGATATGGTCAGACATAGGGGCGACTTCCAGAGAATAGGATCGACCAAACAACTCCAAGAACTCCAACCAAAAAAGAAAAATTGAACTCAAATTCCAGGCCATTTCATTAATATATGTCATGCCAGACTCACTCCATGCCATCTAACCTTTTATTTCAAAAGTCAACATTTTCAACTCCATCCCCATCCCACACAGTCCTACATCCCCTTATCTCCTACACACGCTCAATTCCTCCCACCCCCCTGCATAATCGGCACCCTCCTCCCCCTCCTCTCCTCAGACCCCCCATCCTTCTTCGGCACCACCAGACTCAAAACCCCATTCTCCAACGAAGCCCTAACCCCATCCTCGACAACCGGACTCGGGAACGCGAACGTGCGGTGAAAATCTCCTACCAGCCTCTCAGAAAGCAAGATATGGCGTTGACTCGGATTTCCATTATCGAGACCGCCACCGAAAGTATGATGGCGTTCATGGTGCGGATGTCCTAACTGCTGACCTTGGGTGGGAGGAGGTGGGAATGTAGATGCTACTGCTTGTTGGGTAGGCGCGGATGTTGGTGGTTCAACGTGTTCTTTGTGCTCGGCAGTCGAGTGTTCGTGGTCTTCGACTTGGACTTTGACGAATTCTCCGCCGCCGTCGGAGCCTTCTTGGGGTTGAGATGATAGGAGGGCTGGTCCGACGCGGATGGTCTTGCCGTAGATTTGGAGGGTGTGGTTGCTGTGGGCTTCGATGGTGATGGTGTCTATTGTTGCGCCGGGAATTTCGCCGTAGAGGTAGCTTGGGGAGGGGTGTTAGCTGGTGTTTGGAATACTTATGTTGAAGGTTTGAAAGAGAAAAGAAGCAGCATTGAACCAGAAATGAGATGTCGAGAGTTGTTACGGTGGCTGAAAATGGCGCTTGCTTGGAAGTGTGGTTGAGAGAAAGTTGAGATATACTTACTAGTTGTGGGCATCCTCCTCGAGATCAAATCTTGGGATGAAGCAATTCATAAAGCGATGGCGGCGAGAGAAGTGACGATCAAACTCATCAATGTAGTTCAGGATGGGAGAGAAGTCCCGATCAATACCACCACCATATCCACCGACTCCAGGAAGACTGCCGAACTGAGAGAACGGAGACATCTTCTCATTAGGTTGGAATGCCAAAGGGGCGTATTCTCGATAGAGGTTCTCAATAGCTGTTAAGGGGCTCATTGATGAAGTATGGTGTGGAAGATGAAAATTGCGGAGAAGGATTGTAGGAAAGCACTTATATGCGGGGGAGCCTGCAACACATGATGAAGCCACACACCAAGCATCTGATCAATCACTTCAATCAGTGAATTTGATTGATCAGGCCATGAAGATATTGCAGTAAACGCGTGTAGAATGACGTCGGTAGAGCAAACCAGGGGCATCAGCCCATCACTTCCCCTCCTCCATCACCCCACAACCACGCGATCACGTGCTAGGTTGTAAGTGAATTGCTGCAAGCATATGACAAACAGATCATGGCGTATATATACAGAAGCTCCTCTCAGAATCTTCTGCCGTACAATCAAGAACACGATTTGTCAACTTCAACTAACTCTTTCGAAATAATTCAAGAATCACAATCATTCAATACAACCAAACAACAAGAACGAAATGGCATCAAACGAAGTACCAGAATTTCTCTACCACGTCAAGCGTACGGTAACAGACTATTATGAAGACAACTCCGGCGCTACCCGCATGGTCGATATCCTAGGAACCTTCACCCAACTCGCTGCCGCCAAGCAAGCCGCATACTCAGCTCTTGCATCAGAAGGCTATCTCCGCGACGACTTCGAGAAGTACGAGGCAAAACATGAGGTTGAGGCCGAAGAGTGGAAGCACCCTGATGGAGTAGTTACGTTTGCCAAGGCACCTGCTGGCCAAGAGTTCGAGGTCCGTCTTGATACGAAGCCAAACGAGATGAAGCTCAAGGGCGATGCTGCTGGTGAGGTTGAGGGCCACTTGCATTATGGTAAGCACTTGCTCGTTCCATACAATGGCATTAGGCGGATTCTAATAGCTTGGTATAGTCTTGCAAACCACAATTAACTACAACAACGACCGTATCGGTGGCATCCAAAATACCGAAGTCGAAGGCACATACCTAACCCGCAAGGCTGCATTCGAAGCCGCAAAGACCTGTCTCCTCGACGAAGAAGTAACAAAGGAGTCTTTCGCCGAGTACGACGAGAAGGAACAATTCAAGGGCGAGTGGCCATACGGTGATGAGTGCTTGGTTCATGCTGTTGGTGAGACGGGCGAGAACTTCTTGGTTTCCGTCAAGGCTCAACCACATCATCATAAGGGACATGGGTGTACGCATCATGGAGGAAAGAAGTGCGAGTGTTCATGCACACATGCGGAGGGTGGATGCAAGCACAAGCAATGCAAGCATGAGGATTGTGATTGCAGTAAGAAGAGTCATTAAGGAGAGGCACTTGCTGGTGGGTTGGTGATACGGCATTGAGGGCGTCTTGGCGAGATTGGGAAACAAAATAATTGGAAATAATTGGTGATAGGCTGGGTGATTTGCCTTGAAGACAGCATGGTATTTGCAGATTTACAATCTTGCACTTCAACTTGATACAGTCTTTACGCAACGTGATCATCATTTCCGATTCATTGAAGGACTTTGCTTTAGTCAAAAACCAGATTGCGATAGCAGACTTATGGCCACGTCCTACAATAATCAACTGTGTACTGGCCTGGAACGAAAATGAGAGGTTTTTGGACCAGACTGGTCGTCCGTCAGCCTGACCTATTGAGGTCAGAGCAAATATATTCTCTTCTGCTTGTTACTGACTTCGGTTATACCTCTGTATACGACTATAAAAGACACGAAGTGACCGAGCGTACTAAGGGAGACATTTGGAGAAAAAATAAAACATCGACGCCAGGAACTACTCTTGGATCTCAGCACTGGTCTCAGCTAACAAGCTAACACAACTGTGCCAAATCTATCAACAGCCCAGTTTTTACTGCCTAGTCACCGAGTATCACATCGAAGGTTCCCATAGCATCCCTTGTGATCTTCCCCGCAACAATAATAGGCAAGAACCCTACAGTATGGTAGTACAAAATCTCGTCGCACGCTTCGTCTACATCTCGCATATAAACTGGTAAGCTAATCCGGACTTTACTCTCGCGAAACGTGGTACAGAAGCCGGACCTCCTTTCCACCAAGCTGAGTTGCATAACGATACGTCATCGACATCCACGATACTCAGACTTCAGAGCATCGATATTCTTGGTAGTAGCACAACTTCATGCTCCATAATCCACATACATCATCTTTATAGAAGAGTATTAAGGTGAGTAAACAAGAACAAACAAGAGTAACGTAGCACCAAAACATGGACTTCCTATCCTGGACCTTGATATGTTGTCTGCTGCCAAGCCACGCATTCCGATGCTCTGAAACGAGGACTACCCCGCCATGCATCGCGTCCACTGCAGCTGTGCCTTCTGACAACACAACGGCCAGCGCTCTCGATATCAACGATACGGCGAGGCTGATATTGCAACATCACTTCCACCATCCATTCGTCCACCAATATTCCCGTTTCGGAGCATTGCAATATAGACTTCGGGCGTCGTCGGCGAAATTAGGAAGCTGCTGATGAAGATGCGATGAATGAGATGGCGGGGAACGGGCTGACGGTCGCTGACTTCGCATATTGGCTGACCATCATCGCATCACTAACAAGAGGAGGGTACTGTACATGGATATCGTGTCGACTTCGCACGAGCCTGCATCCTTTTGGGTTGATCCAGATCTCATCCATCCCAGGGTCACTTTCTGATGTCCAGACTATCAGCTGTTAAACATGCGCGAACCAGCAATGGGTTCCTCCAGACCGAGTTCGCAGCGGTGGGAGCCAGAGATATGCGCGTTCAGCGCGCATCGCGGACCCAACGACGGACAGACAGCGCAGCCACATGAACGACTGCGCATCACATGTACCTACACTTCGTCCTCCACCCAACCAAGGACCATTCTCTCCTGAACTCGGAGAATTCTCGTGCATCGGTCATGAACCCTTTATTTTCTGCCAGCCAGATGGTATGGCATGTATGGTACGGCGAAGAAGGAAAAGAACGGTCGGGCCGGTAATATTCTACAGTACTGTAGTTATGGCGATTCGTGTTCCAGACACAACTTGTCATGCGATGAAACCTCCTGCCTCGACCGCTTCACCGACACGACTCAGCTCAACATGCGATCTACAGGATGAGCCCTTCAGATCCCGCCTATCCTGCCCACCCTTCTGGAATGTTGGAATGTGATCTTCGTGCACTTCCCCCTGTCAGGTCATGATCCGTTTTCCAGTCCTGGAAACCCGAGTGATGACAACCTCGCAAGCTGGTCTTCAAGGCTTGACATTGGACATGGATCCTGCTTGAGCCAGAAACCTGACGCAACCATCATGAGTATCGAGCTTCTCCGTACAGTAGTTTCTGCGTAGTCAGTCCGTAGCCAGTCGCCGTGAAATAGACTTTCCGACATTCAAGGGAATGAGTCGGAGTCCTTCGTGTATAAGTGTTGAGGACCAACCTGCCGAACTTTTGATAAGTTTCCTGTCTTACATTGTACAAATTGCCGTGCAAAACTATTTCCATCTCCATATCGGAACCAGACAAAGTCGAGAAAGATTCTCGGAACGGAAGGTCACCGACGCCAACAAGAGCCAGTCAGCCACCACCCAAGGTAAAAAGGGAAAGTCAACAAGAACCCCCAACAACCGCCCATCAATATATCGGATCAGCCACGCATCACCACATATTTGAATCTTTGTTGAATCAAGATTTTTTTGACCGACCTACATTCCCTTCGAGTAGTACACTTTCGTGAAAATCCTCTCTCTCGCATCGGATCTCGGTAACCGACTGATTTTGGTCACTCACATAATCCCTCACCTCATCAGTACAGTATCATCCATTTCGGCTGGCGCTAAGCTGGTTCCCAAGGTCATATTGCCATCTATTCCTGCATCGCATTCTCGCAAATCCTGATCTGGATCCTGCGAAATCCACCGACGTTATATTAAACCTGCCCTCTTCCCCGGATTCCTGATTTCTGGCTATCTTGAAATTCTCTGGAGGTATCTCCACTCCCATATTAAGGATCAGCACTCCCAACATTCACCAACAAAACAAAGACAACAAACAAAACAACATGGCATCTCAAACACACCCCAAATCCTCCTCCTCCTCATCATCATCATCAAAACCGCACTCGCACTCCCATAAATCGCACTCATCCTCCTCCTCCTCCTCCTCCTCAAGCACATCCTCACAAAAACAATACTACCTAATAACCGACCTCCCCCTCCGATCCAGCACCGACTTCCCCGCTGCTGAAGAAGTAATCGACCTCCACGCCGAGTCCTGGAAACTGCCCTACAGCATCGACGACGAGGACCTAACCTTCGACGGCAAGCCGCTCAACATGCTGTACGAGGAGAATCGCTGGGAGGCGGAACATCACGTGGATTATCACTATTCGAGCTCGTGCTCGAGTACTTCGAGTGCGAAGTCCTCCTCCGAACACGTAAGTCCGAAAATGGGATGGCGAAGGGAAGGAAGGAAGTGAGTGGCTAATGATGATGTAATAGAAGTCGCGAGGACGAAGTCGTCAGAGTAAGAAGTGAGCGACGGGAGGTGGCGAAATGTACCTACTTCGTAAAGATGGATGGGCGGTGTAAGAAAGTGGGAAGCGAGAAACGAGAAACGAGAGGCGAGAGGCGATTCAGGGATGGATCGCATACCTAGGTACAGAACCTGTCCAGTTTCGGATCCCGAGTCAGTGGCATGAAAATCAAACGACCAGCCAGAAGTTTATTTCGGTTCGGAACGTTTCTTGATTCATCGTGATAGATCGGCGGATCGATCGGAATGGAGGTCACGATGACGTGAGGACTTGGTGGAAAGTCAGGTGCTTGGGGTGAATGAAGATGATGTCGAGGGAGTGACGTGATGATGTCAAGCTTTACGTTGCTTTGCTATGCTATGCTATGCTTGGGATGTTGGATGTTGCGTGTTATGATTTATGTCGTTGATGAAAGATGGTCGATTGGGTTTTGATCGTTACGACAATGGAGTTCGGATAGAGCTCGGATGAAGCTCGTTTTTTTAAGATGAGGAGTGACTGTCGGTCTGGAAGAAGCACCAGATGATAGCAGAATGCTCAGGAGTTTGGCGTATGGTATTTTATGGTATCTGGTAGACGGCGCATTCATATTAGAGAGACAAGAAGATTGTCAGCTTGAGATATCCCATTTGCATTTAGCGGTCTGATAGCACGTGGCAATTCAACATCTTTGAAAATCACTGCTGGAATTCTATTGATCTATCTTTTTCTAATACTAATATCTTCACATCCTCCCCTTTGATGTTTCAATGCCTCCTTCCACAACCTCACCTCATCCCCCCAGCACCGCCCTGAAAATCAATATCCCCCTCCATTCTACTCCCTCTCCAACCACTCCCACTCCCACCAAAATCCGCACTCTCATTGCCCGCTCCCCCTCCACCAAAATTTCCATCACCCATCCCATAAACCCTTCCATCGACCTGAGGATGGCCATGACCAAAAAAGTCCTCCTGAAGCATCTGATCCCAAAACATCAAATCCACATTCGGAGCCGGGATATTCGGATCAGACAGTACCTCCGCACCCCCCACTCCCGTCCCAAGATTCCCGTCCTGTGCATGATGGGAGATGGAGAGGAATGGATTAGCATCGGGAGCTACTGCAAACAACTGCTGGCCCTGCGGCGGCTGTGGCGGTAAGCCCAAGTCTCCACTCATGCTCGCTGACGTCTGAGCCTGACTCGAGCTTGATCTTGTTCTTTGTCGATCCATCTCAGCCTCATCCCCCACCATAGTCCTCCCCTCATCCCACCCCTGACGTGCATACAACTCATAGAGGCTCTCGAGCGCTTGTTCCCTCGTGGGGATAATGTCCGGATCCAGACCAATCATCATCCAAGCTCGGGCCCGCATCCTCCATAATAGCGTCCAGCACTCAATTCCTCCTTCTGTTAGGGGCCGTTGACGAGTTTGTGGCGGGATGGTGCAGGTAGAAGCTACGATGCCGCCGTTGAAGGAGGGACCGCAGAGCGCAAAGACGGTGTCGAGGGCGTGGCGGAAGGTGGGAGCGAGATCGGAGCGTGGGAGGCGGAGGAGGGAGTGGAGGAGGGTTATTAGGGCGTGGAGGGGTTGGTGGGCGCTGGAGTTGTTAGTTGGTGTAAATATACCCATAGACGGCTAATTAAGAGAATTGTGGGAGGGGATAGCGGAAAATATCACTAACCCAGGCCAATTCCATTGAAAGTGTTGGAATTCTTCGAAACAAGACAGTTGAGCGATCTTGTAGAGAAAGTATCTGCAATGCTCCAATGCCCTGATTTAAACTTAGCCTCTCATCTCATCTCAGAGCAACAAAAGTGAAGGACTTACTGCGGATACATCTCCTTCCACAATCCATGAATAGCTTCCTTCAATACAGGATGACAAGCCAGAAACCACGTCTTGTCAATCATCGCACTAAAGAACAATCTCGTATACGCCTCGATGTTTCTCGAACTCTTTTCTGACGCCATTTCATAGGATACTGGAATGCCATCGACTCTCAACAGCGGACTTTTCGGTATCATGTTAATTTTGGAAGCTAAATCCGCTGTTAAAGCACGGCATTTAGCCCGCATGGCCATGATGTCTTGACGAGAAAGAGCATGGTGACCGTAGATCTTACTGAGGACATGGCGAGTCACCACTATCTCTTGTCAGTACCCAAGTCCAATACAATAAGTAAAGTGGGAGGAAAACTCACAAATATCCCTAATCCTCCCCGCAAAACAAACACTCGTAACCGAAACCTCCAAATTGCTCCCCAGATTCCCCGGCGGGATATCAAAAAGCTCCTCACTCAACTCACTCACAGGCCAAACATCACAAGTCGACAGATCAATCAGAGGCGGTAAACCAGCTGCCAACCCAACCGCAACATCGACGTGGACAATGACCCACCACACTCTCCTCCTAGTCTCACAAACCACTCTCGAGAGCGACGAGAAGCGCGAAGGATCATGATGCAACCCCAGCATCTGCGCAACCCTGTACGCTAATCCGACAAAAGCGCATGTTGTGAGCGGCTCTTCTTCTTTCATCCACGTGACTTGCAAAATGATATATGCTGTGAGAGTTTCCAGCGTCGGAGTCTTGGGAAAATTAGCCTGTTGTAAAGCTTTCAAGCCTTTTTCTCGGATGGATGTAGCGAGAGATTCGTTGGTTTCGTCGGCAGGGATGAGATCTTCTAAGACTTCGCGGTTGGGACATGCTGCTGCGCCTGCGAAGAGGATTGCTAGGAGGAGGCAGACGAAGTGCATGCTCTTTTGGGGGTTTGGTTGAGGGTCCCAAATTGATGCGTATTCAGTCTTGAAGGAGGGGGAGTGGATCATGGGGAAGATGTAGTGGTAGCCTTCTAGGTAAAAGTCGAAGAGTCGATCACAGATTGCTTTTGGTGGCAAGAGAGTTAATGGGTTGGTTGCTTGGCGTTGAAGACGGCTCGTGCTCAAGGAAGCTGGCGTCCAAGCTGGCGAAGGAGATGCAAAGTCTCCAGTCAGACGATATGGAGCTGTTCTTCGAGAAGGAGTTGCTATCCCAGAAACAGTCGATGCACGGGATGATTGAGATGGTTCAAGGTCATCCTCTTTGTCTTCTGGTATGTCCTGGATATCGTATCTGTTCATAGCAGCTAATAGGACATCAAGGGGATCAGTCTGGAATTCGTCAGTGGAGCAAATATTTCATACAAACGTCCTACCTCATCCTTGTTGTACGCCCAAAACGAAGGTTCTACATAGCGCATTCGTCCACCAGGTTGCTGTGAAAGTTGCCCTATGATGGGAGTGCCGTTTGTTTCTTCCTGGCCAAGACTTCTAAAGCCTAAGAAATGGTTAGCGAAGCAAAATATCATCGATGCGTATCTTACCTGACGCTTCTGCTGTAGTCTTAGACGTCTCGTCTAAGAAAAAAAGAGGTGAGCTAGATGGTCCCCAAGACATAAATCTCGTCGCCTTACCAATAAATTCGAAGTTCCTTGCCCTTGGACGTGATTCGTCATCATCATAGCTACACTTCAATCGCTCAGCTACTGTGCTTCCTAGAGATCGCATCCATGTACTGACCGTTATTCTAACTTTGGAACACTCCGCACAGGTTGGCCGAGTCAAAAGTACCAGTCAGCAAGTATCTCAAGCAGGTTCAGACTTTGTAAATACCCTGTCACATCTCACTTTGCGCCTCTTGCACGGTTGGCACGTCCTCGAAGGTCGGTCCCTCCTCGTTTGGGACGACATAGCGTCCTCCACCTCACTCTGCAATCACAGAAGCATCCCATGAGCTTTAACCTGATTGATGAGGCTTTTCGTCGTCCTTTCAGTGAATTGTGTACGGAGGTATCCGACGCGGAAACGGCATCCGGGACGATCGCACTAGTGAAATTGCCGCCAATGGTTCAGCTACTAAACTGCAGCTAATGGGAAGGGGCCGCGGTGGAAACCCAAATCTATAATCATCTGAGGATGCAGTGAGAATGTCAACGCTTCTCGGGGTGAAGAGAGGCTGAGGTTGCGAAAACGGAAAGCACGATGAATAAAGTACGTGACAGATCTTGAAAAAATATGGCCGTCCGATGTCTTCCAACGTAAGCATCGCGAACTTTCAACGGTGCACTAACTAAGGCACAGTAGCGTTTAATGCTCTTGGGGGGTTATCTGAAGGACTCATGTAATCAAAAAGGGGGGCTGATAGAAAGGTATCACCAGATTGGCTACCACCCCTTTCCACGAGCTTATTATAATTCGCTTGGAAAACTCTGTTAGCAATGAATACACCAGACAGCATTATTTGGTATTAGCTACATGATAGGGTGAAGACTTCCTTCGCGAAATTTGATGTCAATTAGGGCATCAGCAAATACAGTAGGGCCACTTAGCCGAACAAATAGCTGGAATAAGGAGAAGGGTCTTTAACATGGCTGATCCGTATTAGAGGTTGATGTTGGGATATGTTCATTTAGGAAGCTGTACTGATCCCTTCATGCTCCCATTCCATGCAATTCGTAATTCGCTTCCTCGATATCTTACATCCCAGCATGACTGCCTACTTCAATCTACCCTCAACCGCCTTCCAGTTGATAACATCCCAGATAGCACTGAAGTACTCTGCCTTGCGGTTTTGGTATTGAAGGTAATACGCATGCTCCCAAGCATCAACACCAAGCAGAGGTGTGTACTTTCCGACAACAGGGTCTTGATTGGCATATGTGCGGATCTGAACTTGTCCAGTCTCGTTGTCCTTCACGAGCCATGCCCATCCACTTCCTTGAATGCCAGCAAGAGCAGTGTTGAATTTGGTCTTGAATTGAGAGAAGTCGCCGTAGCTCGATTCGATGGCAGTCTGTTGTATAATATGCATCAGCTTGAGGTATTCAAGAGGCAATTGCGATGTCCTTGGGGCTACTGACCTTCAATGAACCTGCTGGCTCACCACCTCCTCCATTCTTGCTTGGAGCAAGATTTTCCCAAAACAGAGTATGATTGATATGTCCACCACCATGGAAGTTGATCAATGGCTGAAGAGCAATCTGAGCGGCAATATCTTCCTTCGATTCAGCAGCTTCGAGTTGCTCGCTAGCAGCATTGAAGCTGTTGACATATGTTTGGTGGTGGTTCTTGTGGTGAAGTTCCATAATCTTGCCAGAAATAGATGGCTCAAGCGCACCGTAATCATCTTCAGAAATTGGTCAGCATGCATGTCACTTGAGCTGAATAGATGAACTGACATGGCAGATCTGGAAGAGTTGCCTTGCCGCGGACAAAGCTTGTGCTTGCCATAGCAGCAGCTCTCTTGGAAGCTCCAGCTCGAAGAGCAGAGCGAGCTGCTGTGCTTGTACGGAAAAGTGTTGCAGACATGATGGATGATCACAAATCTTGATGCTTCAATAGAGCTTCAATTATTGCTTCTAATAGAATCAATGAATGCAAACAAACTGGAAAGCGGAGGTTATATTTCTGGAAGCTCGGGATCTCGCTCCCTCGCACGTCGCTTCCGTAGCGAAATCGGCAGGGATCATCAACACCACCACGGTCTTTCGCTGTCGCGTCGCATGTTGGGCACACAACAACATATGTTTCGAGGATCGCGGTAGTATTGCGCATTTGTCTACAATGTCTTATTATGACATTGACGCCATCTTGACAGATTCACAGGTCTGAGAAACCTCTGCAATTCTCCAACTTCGCTGACAGACATTTAGAAAATACCATGTACTTTCGAGCTCGATGTCCCAAACCTAGGATATTTAGACAACAATGCGGGGCATACACTCAAGAAGGGCACACGTGTTGATCTGCCACTATGGCTCGCAGAAATGTTGGCTGTCTCCTCTCCGAATTCCACCAAGCCCCTGGTGACTGTTGATCTCCCACCGTGTCTGGCTCCACGCGTTATGAACGCATTGAAAGCAGATCCGAAATCTGTAGACTTGAGGGCTCTGGCGCAACACTTCTACGGACTTGGGTCACGAATATTGGAATTGTTTGAGGAAGAGGAAGTCTGCGATGTGTTGATGGAGACATTCAGGACACGCGCCGCAGAGATCAGTGATCATGCAAGCAATGCTGGTGCAAGTCAAAGAGGCGGAGGTGGAGGAGTTGGCAATGATGGAGTGGAATTTCTACGAGGACTGGATGAGACGGAGAGAGGGCTTTTCAGGGCCGCGCACGACAGCTCGAAGTCTATGAGAGTTTGGATGGGAGAGATGAAGAAGAAATGATGAGCTACATTTGGGAAGGCGTTTGCATGGGAACGGATGCATGATACCCGGGGATATGGAACAATTGAAGCATTTTCGACCTTCGTTCTCGCATTTGAGGCTCAAAATCTATGATTCAACCTCCTCTTCAGTCTTGCTCTTGCTACCTCTAAGTGGTAAGTTCTCTTTCTCCTGGGTTCCCAGCCACAGCAAATCTGGCCTGCTGTAATGACCACAGATATCGACAAATCCCTTGGCCCTCAGGATGGCGTCGAAGTCCAGGTCACCATAGATGATACCCTCCTCAGTCGGCTCGAGATCCTTTGACAATTGTCTCCCATCCGGACCAAAAATAGCTGAGCTACCACCTCCAGGCGCTCCCATGAAGTTATTCGCCGTCCCCATCTTCTGGATACCTTCCTCGGTGAGCACGGCTGTCGTGTGCAAGACATATGTCTGGCTTTCGATGGCGAAAGTCCGAGATAAGACCCGACAGCCATCACGAGACATCGAATAGAGGTCTTGGCCATCTCCAGAATGAGGCCACAAAGGAGGCCAAGCAGCAACATGGACATCTGGGCGTTGCAAGCAAGTGTTGTATTTGAGCAATGGCTGAATATGCTCCCAGCAAGCCAAGGCGCTGACGTTACCAACTCCTTCAATCTCAGCCACATTCGCCAAGGTATTTCCACCAGTCGAGTCGCCGAAGATGGTACGCTCCATATGCGTTGGCTTCAGCTTCCTGCGTGTCAAGTGGAGCGTGCCATCGGCTCCAATGATAGCTTGAGAGATGTACAAGCTGTTGTTGAAGTTCTCAGAGAAGCCCATACAGACGGCGATCTTGTTCTTCTTTGCCGCGGCGCAAAGTGATCTCATCTGATCCGAATCTACTTTTAAGCTGTTCTTTGTATACAAAGTAGTCATCTCAAAATCGATCGGACGAGACCTAAGATATCAGCCTTGCCTTTATATTTGGACGCTGAGGACGTACCATATCCAAGCTGGATAGCCGGGAACCCAGCATTCTGGGAATGTGACAATTTTGGCGCCATTCGAGGCTGCTGCCGCCATGAATTTGATCGTCTTTGCAATGGTACCATCAAGGTCGAGCCATGCCGGCTCAGCTTGAGTTACTGCAACCCGAACAGTTTTTGAGGCAGTCATGGTCAGAGTCTTCTTGCAGCGATGGAACAAGTATCTGGTATTATTGCTGTCTCACAGGTTGCAAATAGTCCCGAAGAATGAGAAATTCAGTAGATATATGTACGGAAAAAAAAAACGCAGCCTTCCCTATGTGATGTCGAGGTTGATAGCACAGCGGAATGATCCCGCCACACTGCGGGGATTGTTCGTTGCTACGATAAGGGGTCAATCAGATCCCGACTCTAGGTTACACTCCAAAGTGAGTAAGTCGGTAATCGCCGGATCAGCTTTATCATTGCTTGGCACCACTTGGCACGACTCGGATGTCCAGAGGATTGCGAGGCTTGATATCCGAATGTAAGTCCTCGGATATACACGTTGTTGGTCATGTTTGGGGATAGTTTCACCAATGCCCAAACAAGGGAAGTTCTGAAGTTCTGAGCATTCTGCTTTGTATTCCGCTCGGATGTATGATTGGGACCAAAGAAGGCGAATGGGCGGCTGTTAATGGGGGCTTGCCGACGACTAGCAGCCCCGGGCCGACAATTAGGGGCCAGACCGACTGATAGTAGCTACAAGTATCTCATAAACAGTTCGATGGATTGATTTTATTCCGCTCTACTCCACCTTCTAGCGACTTCATAGAATATATCATAACTGACATCGAACTGACAATAACAACGCTTTAATTTATACTAAGGGGTATCGTAGCTTATAAATCCTTCCAAGACACAACATACTACAGTGCTAAAAATGAATTGGCCAATACCATCCATACAATGACACAGCTTCATCCCCTAGTCCAGGAATATCTTAAACAGATTCTAACACAAGCTTTGAGAAGGAAAGCTTGCAAAGGCTAGGCCAAACTTTCGTTGGTGTTCTGTCTAGCAAAAGTGGAGCGAGGAGTTGGCAGTGGGACATTCGGAGGTGAAGCAGGTCGTCCTTGACTGCTTAGCTCTATGTTCTGTACCTTTAGAGGTAGCTCGTTGACATCGATCGACGGGGTTTTCAAGGGCAGTGAAGAAGTCGATTGCCCTGAAGGTGATACAGAGAGAGCGCATGGCACTAGTAGCGCACCCGAAGCTGCATTGGAGCTGTCGTAATGAAGTCGCAAGGTCTTCTCCTTCGCCTCATGTGCTTCTTTCTCGAGTCGCTTTTCTTCGTCATGCTTGCAGACATAACATGGGCATTCTGGCTTCCCACCAGGGACTTTGACTCGTTCTGTTTCCCATGCAGCCTCAATGGCTTTGCCGCGTTGCTGAGAAGCGTTCTCGGTGTCTCTCCACCACACGAAGAAGAAATGTATCGTCGTCTTGAAGGTCCAGTAACCCCGCCTTAAACTCCAGAATGAATGTTCGAAAGGGCTTCCAAGTACCAAGCCAAATAGCACCAGTCTTGTTGAGATTTTCCAGTCGTCCGATTTCGGGTACAATTTCTTCCTATCACTGCTGGAGTACTTGACGAGCCGCCAGATAGAATATAGAACAACTCGAAGCGTTCGTAACCATGAGTCGCCGTATTTGTTTATGATCGCAGCCATCAAAACAAGCAGTGCACCAACCCAGGTTCCCCATGCACCAACAGCATCACTGTATTCACTGACAGGATATGTCTGAATCATGAATTCGTTTGCAATGACACTTGACACGAAGACTGCAGGGCAGATGATGGCAGTGGCGCCTGCAGTAAACGAGAAGGATGTAGCCATCGCCTTGGCAAAGACGTATTTACACTTCTTCCACAATGTGCGACGAGTATTCTTTTCTTTGACATGGAAGTATGCAAGAGCACGATCCTCCCGCTCTCCTTCAAAGATAACTTTGAGCCACAATCGTAAGTCCGAGTTGCAGAATCGAAAAATCCCGTTGCGAACTTCGTCAGGATTGTATCGACTTATCAAGAGACCCATTATTCCATAGATCACAATAAAGCAAAGGGCAACGATGTTGATGTCGAAGATGTCCTGGAAGAATGGTCTGTTAACGACGTTTTCGGTCTTGACAGCATCGAACCATGGAACCATATTGGCTCCTTTCCGCATTGGCGCCGTTGGGCTCAATGTCCCGCAAAAGTCCATACAATTACAATTCTGGTAGACCGCAAACGGGAAAGAATAGGATTCTACATCAGATGATGGTATACAGTCTTTCGCGCAGATCGCAAAAGAGTTCAATGTATCCAGTTCGAATCCATTGATGTTGTACAAGAGACAGGCCAATGCAGCGAACACGAGACACCCCCACCATATTACAATCCCTTGGGCGTCGTACTTTCGCACCGTTGTCGACCACAGCAGGATGGGCGTCAACATGATTGCAGATGCTGTCAGGTTTGGAAGAATTCCAATGAAATCGAGATCGGCGTAAGCTTGGGCTGAACTCGTGTTCAGTTCTGGTGCATCGGGATTAAACCCAAATTGTGAGACGAGAGCGAGGAGATGAACTGCAGATGTAGCGGCATAAACCACTTTTAACAAGATTAGCAATGCTCTATTTGTTCAACCCGAGGCACTAGGCACGTTCAAAGCCGCCAGTGTCCAACAGGATAGAAGACTTTGTCACTCACTTGCTGCTCCCAATGCAGCTACAGAGATCCAAATGTGTCGTCTAAACACAAGAGAGAAAATCATCAACACATAAAACAAAGCTCTGCTCAAGGTGTCATATTGCCCACTGATAGGATATACACAAGTGATCGGAAATCTGCGAAGATCGGGGTCGAATAGCGTTTCTGCGAGAGCGAAGGTGCTAGCCAGTGAGACATTGTCACCACCAAAACTCGGCGACGTGTTAAAGCCACTGGCGTTGAAAGTGAGGAGTGCTATATTGTTTGCTAATATGGTAAGGTCCAGACCTTGGTCTTGGGAATTCCCGTTGTATACAGTGATGTACTCGGATAGGTTATTGAAACTTTGAAGTTGGGGGAAGAGCGATCCGTTCCTCCAGTTGTTGGAATATAGAATGGTGGAGTTGACGTCTAGTGAAAGCGCCATACTTCAAAAATATAATGCGACAAAAGCACAACGATAGCGAGAGAAAAAAGGCTTAAAAGCAGATCTGAAGCAGAGAAAAACACGAAACGGGAGAAGTGGCAGGGCCGCACTTTTGAATGTCATGGTGACACCACTTCTATCTCACTCGAAAAGGTGCATGCTCCGACAATGCGGCGAGAGATCCAAAATTGCAACGCTTTCCCAAGGCACGGCTCAGCCCCTGAGCAGGGAGTATGTACCTGACTGGAGCATACGTGGAATGAGGCCCGAAAGGTACAAGCATGGGCGAGTGTGCGGTGGAAGCGACAGTGATGGGGGCCAAAAAATGAACGAATGTGGTAGGGCTGAGATGTGATGTCGAACGCAGAGTCCCTTCCGCAATCTTCACACAACAAGCTCCCTTGTAAGCTTGCTTGGCTTCCATGTCGGATCGGGCTTTACAAAGACTTGCGCGATATGGAATGCAGTGTTCGGACCTCACAAAATGATTCATGATCAAGCTTGAGGTCCGAAGTTGCAGGTTTCCATTGACCGCAAGCTACTTCCGCAACACGTCGGAGAGACAGTAATATAAGAAGATTTCGGCGCGAAGACAGTGCTTCGTGATCACAAGGAGATGAGGAGTTTCGGGATCGGGAAACGAGAAGTGTCAGCAATTCCCGTGATGGTACTAGAAGAAACGAGACTAAAGAAAACGCTTTAAAAGCACTTGGAGAAGAAGTTGAGATATCATTATGGTCTCTAACCTTAATCGTAATTACCCAGCCAGGAATCTCATTTCTTCAAAGTATCTAGTCACGTGAAACTTCACTCTTCCTCGAACTCTCTCCATTTCTCTCTGATGACCTAGATGTTTGTGTTCTTGATCTATCAACTTACTTGAATGTTGGCATTGCTCTTGTTTGTCCGGCTTATGCTCTTTGTCCTTACTCCCTTTCGTTCTGGCACTTGACCCTCGTCTCTAGATGGTTGAAAAATCCGTCATTGAACAAGGCTTCATCGTTGTCAGAGGGATACAGACTTGTTCATATATTTAGAATCGATCCAACACTCATGATGCTAATTTCCAAAATATAAATTCAGTTTTTTATAACCAAGACAAAAAATTGTTAAGAGTTGCTGGAGACAGTAATTATATGAGATCTTTCAACTTCTTGGAATCACTAAGTGGGTTTTTACATAAGGCGTGGACTTCTGCCATCCCTTACTTCCTCGCTTTATAGCACGAGAACTTATAGCCTCGTGAACCTGACCCCAGTCACGGCAGTGATGGACGTCACCCCAACCTGAAGTATATTGCGGGTATGCCATAGCATCATCAGGTCTTTCCAGTGTCATGTCACCATGACACATCGTAGCCTGGTTACTGGTTAACCAGTAGTTCAAGAAGTCTACAATAATGCAGATAAAGCTTACTTGTCTGAGATATTCAACACAGTGGTCTACTGGATGGTTGATTGAAAGGTTAGTTAAACCATGAAGGTATAGGGAGGGATATTCACAATGCTCGTTGGGTATGCTTGTCATATTCTCTCTCCGATACTGAATCAATGCTCGCTTCATTTGCGCCTGAATATATGCGTATCAGCAAAAGTTTTGAGTTGAAAATAATTGAAATGCATGACTAAGGGGACAGGGCGAAGGCCAACTACCACGCAATGTATTTCATGCATAACTGCAACAGTGAAGCCTTCTTGTGCTTCATTCCAAATCGATGCGTCTTGAGCGAATTCTTTTATCTTTATCCCTCCACCAAAGCCGATTCTTTGAGGGTTGTCCACCCAGACCCAAGCACCTAAAGCTTTGTTAAAGGAGCGTGAGGAGACGTAGGGGATACATACTTGGATATATTTCGTTCCATATCGATGTGGAAGTTCCTCCGTCAAAGTCCATAGGATCCGCGTCCACAAATCTTTGCTCGCTTTCAAGGGCGACGTTGACCCATCCAACTATGGGACATCAGTATCTGCACCGAAATCTCACCAATGCTACTTACTATTACCTAGCAAAGTATCTGTTGGGAGACCACAGTTGGCTTCAGTGTGTCTTCGAATATAGTGAGGCAAGGTTATGGCAATTATCGAGAGGCCGACCAAGTTCACCACCAAACAAGCACTTTGGAAGCCCAATTTGAGAATCCGCCACTGATAGACTGGTTGTGGCTTCTCTTGCCAACGAGCATTGGGTTCCCTGTGTAGTGCTAGTAAAGCGTCCGTGGAAGATTTTTCGGGCAAAAGCTCATCCATTTGATACTCGCTCAGTGATGCCATACTGAAGATGTTTCGAGATTCGAGGAGTAGGAGGAACAGAATCTTCCTCTGATAGCTTTACAATAGATCAAAGTTGGTATCTTGGTTCCACCCACACTTGAATTTAGGTGAGTATTCTCAAAAGAGCGGATGAGCCATAGACCGCGTCTCGCGATGGTTGCGCGCTGTGGTGGAGTTAGTCGAAGCGAGGTGGCAAGGGGTAGCGAGCCGACTAAGCAGAGGGGAAAGAGAAGAGTAAGAAGTTCTCCACACCGCGCCTCGCCCTTACGTCAAATAATAATGCGACTCACTACCGCGCGCAAGGATAGTCCCTCTCATGCGCGCTTCACTCTGTGTTTGTCTGTGTTTAGGAAAGTGCTCTAGAGATGGAAATTCCGCCTTTAGACAAGCCCTTGAGTTCTTTACTGGTGATACACTTCACATTTTTAGCTTATCATGTTACTCTCATGCTATTCTTTAATGACGAGGGTAATAACTTGATATCGATGCTGATTTGAGATCTTCATCTGTAAACGTTATGTCTAAGGCGAAGAACTCAGTGTCCAATATGTCAGTAACTTGCTCCTAACATCAACATGAAAATATTAATGGAATCTAGGTCAGACTCAATACAGGAACCGATGCTGAAGTCTGGAAAATATCTACCTGTGTGGAACGAAGACCACGATGATTCGCCATCCAATGACTCTTTCGAGGTCGACGGCGAACACGAACACTCTGCCAAGCCTAGTTCCAATGCTGCAGCCGCAGGCAAACAGCTTATCTTTTTCCTACTTGCCGTTACACTCACCTGTTTGATGGTTAATGGTGCACTCGATATCATCAACAGACTTTCCAAGCCCAAGGCATGGGGCTCACCATGTTACTGCGGCAAATCAGTGGAAGAAGCCAAGTCTCTAGGTTGCAAATATGTCACCATGTCTGCCGCATATCTACCTCCACATTGCCGAGACGATGAACTTGATGAAGAGTTCAGTCGACTTGGTCATAAGCCGGACGGTAGCTGGACATATCATTCTGACTTCGAGCGCAATCACGAAACAGATGTAGCAGACATTGCGACCTGGGCCGGATCAGAGAAGCGCTTCTACACATCCTGGGAGTGGCACGTCATGCATTGTCTCTTCTACTGGAGGAAGCTTCACCGTGCTCAGTTTTCAGATGTAATGATTGAACCTAGATTCAACAACGATGGACATCTCCACCACTGTGCGAAGCTAATCCTCAGTCTGAATGTCACGGCTTCCACGAGATCTGGAGTATCTATGGGCGATGAGTATTTCACCGAGGAGCAGATGAAAGCGCCGCAGAGTTGGGATGGCATCAGGAGCCCCGCTTCAACTTTTACACCTCAAGCTTATCCCAAATCGGGAGACAAGTACCTGTAGAGTTAAGCATTTTGATTTTGGGATAGCAGATGGAAGCATAAGTGGAGAGGTTTCTGAACATGTTAGCCGAATCGTAGGAATGCCACTTTTGTTGAAGAGCACAGAACGTAGGCGTGTTACAAAATAATTACCTTCAACGAGGAATCATATCTATGAGGCTCATTTCTCTAACCTTTTGTCTCTTGTGCCCTGCAATGAACATGGCCATTCAACTCGCTCTAGTACAGTGGCGAGACAGACGGTACCGTCTGTCTCAAAGGTCGAGAGGTAGACTAGTCATGTGAGCGTGCCGACATAAATCTGATATATAATATCAAACGAGGTGCTTTTATAGAGATTATAAGTCTCACCAGAAACATTGCTCATGATTGAACAAAACTTTGTTCGATAAGTGCCTTATCATGAAAAGCTGAACATTTCTATGCAGAAACTGATCTATATGAACGGCTGATCTTTCATCCTCATCAAGCCTGGTCCATCTCTTCTAATTTATATTCTTCCGTCGCAATCATTTCACTGTTTTCGTTACCGTAGTTAAGGCGTGTTGTCAGGAAGGCTGCCGCAAGCGCAGAGATTCCTCCAATTCTCAAGACCCAGCCAACGCCATCCTCAAACCCAAGCCGCTCAGAAACCCAGAAAACAAATCCACAGACCAAAGCCGACACTATTTGCGGCACGGCAATCGCAACGTTGTGTAGCCCTATGATTGTACCCATCCCTCGTTCATAGTTATCGCCTCCAGTTTCCTCATTCTCGTCATCAGCGTCTGACAATATCGCTGTGTTGATAATCGCAAATGGAGCCCAAATGGTGACTGCCCAGCTTATACCAGCCAAGCCAACAAGTATAAAAGTCCCTACAAGAGAGGAAACAACAAGGGTTACTAGCATACACGTTGCGTACAGTATCTGTGACAGCATCCATAATCGGCGTGTGCTGCTGGTCCACGTGAAGATAGTGTCAAGAATTGTGGACATTAAGCGCGGCTCACGAGGGTGGTGTTGAGTGCGGTCCGTAGCATGGATAAGAAGTGGTATGGCGATTCCTGATATCAGGGAGATGATAGCAAACATGAGCATGCCGAAGGAACCTGTTCGAGCTGCCGTCGTCATGTCGGCCTGGGATATGGGCGCCTGCGAATAGTATGAGTGTGTAGGAGAGCTATCTAAATCTGAATTCAATCAGTTAAAAGTTCTCTACAGACAGAAAGATGCAAAAACCTACACTTCTCGCCAATATAGATGTTGATATAGAATAGAAACGGAAACCAGCCCATCCAAGAGAAGAACTGTGTCGCGCAGACTCTTTTCACCTCAGGATGTAGACGTCGAAAGCTTGTAGTAAGATAAGTAAGTTTCCGAAATAGCCCCATATCACCACGAAGACCTGCTTCGAGAGTTGCTGCAGGAGACTCTTTGGCCGACCAACATGTTAAGCCAACTGATGCCACAAGTAGGATCGAGGTAATAACGCATAGAACTTTGAACTGGGTTTCTCCAAGGAAGGGAAACCAGAAGGGAAGATCGATATAACCGCATACATAGCTCGAAACATTCGCAGTACAGATAATTCGACCCGCCCAAGCATTGGCGGATTCTTGCTGTTCCTTCGGACAAGTATCGACAATCAAAGTACGGAGACCTCCTTGTACTGGCTGTACTGCTATGTTGAGGGCAAATACAAACAACACTGCAGTAGCTGCTGTGGTACTTGCAGTGATCTTGTCTTCCTGTTCACTTCCAAAGACGGAAGCCAAGCCGAGAATCAATTCCTTTGACCAGGCTAAGCCAATTAACGAGATCACGATAGCTGTTGCTCCTCCCGCGATGAATGGTCTTCGCCGACCCCATTTCGACTCGCATCTGTCACTGCAAAGAAGGATATATGGCTGTACAATGGCTCCTGATATAGGTCCGGAAAGCCACACAAGCGACATTAGCGGTTTACTGAGTCCTAAGCTTATCAGATATGCCTTTCGGATAGTCAGCAATCTCGTTCAATCATGAATCACCAGGGTGAGCGTACAGAGCCATATGAGAATTGTACAGCGAAGACGCCTTGCAAGCTGAAACGTATTAGCGGAGCCGACTACAAATTGCGAAGAGCAGCACCTACCCACCGAGTCCGAGTGTTAGAAGGACTAGGCTCATGAGCGATAGGTGGGGTAAAGAATCCTCTTTGAGTTCATACTCCTCGATCTCGAGGTCTTCATCGTCGTCCTTCGTCGACATAGCTGCATCGGATGGGCCAGTCTCTGTCATAGAGAAGGTGGATGAGTATTTCTAGACTGCTGAAAGCAGTTTGAATGCAATTTGAATCAGCACAAGTGAAATAGCTCAGCTATATTGTGGCGGAGGTCGAAGGATTCAGGCAAAGCCGGATGTGCCGCACTGTGCCACAAATGTGCCGCATAAGTGCCCGGTCTGCATGAAACTCGTCACATGACCGCACATCCCCTCGGTTGCCGACGAAAATCACGTCAGATTATCTCCGGACATAAGATCTTATGAGGGGAAACTATTAGGTCTCTTCTCGGTGTGTTCGTCCTTAGATGCAGATTTAGGTGCAAGCGCGGTGCTGTGCTGTGCTGAGCTTTCCGTATTTCGCATCGAGCCGCGGTGAAGGAGCGTCAAAGGCTGTGATTTGTCCCATCTAGTAGCCCCCAATTACCAGCCAATGCAACGTTTCCAGATCAAAGCATCATGGCTCAATTTTGGACTCCAACAAGCACTGTAACGGCGAGTGGTTTCGAACAGGGTTAGTGTTGAGATACTGTAGATCATACAGATGCGCGGCTTTTTATGTAAGCGAGGTCTGGCCGAGGAGTTGTATCGTAAGAACATGTTGGCGTCTTTGGAAGACGATAACCTTGCGCAGAGCATCGGGTTTGCAAGTAGACGAAATGCTCAAAGAAATTGTAGGTTGAATTTAAAGCATCAGTTGTTTCAGCTGTCGCTCTCCTATTTCTATTTCGACCACCGGCCGAATGTAGGATTTTTATTGCTACAACAGAAATTCACAATAACCCGACTATTGAATACCAACAGTATCAATAAGAAATTGACGATGACCTTCCCAATGATGTGATTTTGCCCAATCAGTAATCATTTCGCTATTTCGACAAGTGTGGCCTTTGCTGATGTTGAAGTGTATGAGATTAACAGTCCCTTGTAGTAGTAAATCAGGACTGCACATCAATTGTTCTCTGATGTAATCGAGGCAATGGAGAGTATGGTCATCATTGCGTGGCCATGCCTCAAGTGATAACTTTGAAGTCAGCATATTTCGAAGACGGTACTGTTGAAATTTTAGCCACAGTCAGACATCAATCGCACGGAAAGCACTTACCACGCAATGCATGGAATGAAACATATCGATTTGATAGATACTCTTAGTTGGATCTTCTGGATGGAGGCGAGAAGGAGACAAGTTGTGTTTGAGAGCCCATTCTGTATCAATCGCTACAACCCCATCCGCTATGAGCTTTGCTTAGCAAGTGATCATATGCCAGAGCGTTTTCGGAAACATACTTTTCTGAATATGTGCAAACAGAGCATCCGATTCTGCAGTTCGACTCATAAGGCTGGAATCGCCATAAAAGTCCTTAACGGTGTCAAATTTCATGAGATCAAAGTCTCTAGGTGGTCAGCTAGAAAGTCTTGTTAAAGTTGCTTCTCGCTCACAAGTATTTAGACCATGCATGTATGTTCTCGACAGCTCATTGTCTTGAGTTTGGTATCGTACCAGCGAATACAAGGCGTATCCTCCTAGAATCAAAACTAGATGCATTCCTTCCAGGACCAACAGAGCCCAAAACCATTTGAACTTTGGAGTGATGTGCGATCGAAATACTCTCAGAGGCAGCTCGTCGTCATCATCTCGCACGGGCATGTACACACTCTCCTTGGCCTTGTCCATCGTATGATAAATTTAAGTGATATCGTCGAGTACTCTTTGATGGGAAACAGAATGAATGAGGAGGCACCGACGAGTATGTTACCAAAGCATTTACACATGTAGCCACATCGAAAGTTCAACGTGCACAACCACGAAACTGCTTCTCAGCTTACGGAATCATCAAATCGACCTTGAGCAATTTGCATCTATCTTCTTCGGGAAGCGCGAGGCGAACGGACGTGAGATCGACCATAGCAGGCGGAAAGAGGGTAAGTGATCCACGTAATTTTTTAGCTGCGTTATTGACTGTCCCGATTTGATATCATTGCAACAACCGCGGCTCCACTGGGTCGCGATGCGCCATCAATACTTCGTCCAGCAATTGTGCCTCCCGCGCGGTAGTCAGACTTCCCCCCTTCAGGATTTCTAATTTGAGTCCAACATCCTTGCGGCTGATACATACGCGGGGTTAATCCAGCAAGGGTGGAAGAAGCGTGCCCCGCTTCTGTGTACTTTCGACACAGGTAATCTGCGAGAGAATAGGAAGCCAACGGGATGACTAGGCCCAAGACACAGAAGAAGGAAATGCAGATCAACGGCACGATTTGCTGCCAGAGCATTTTAACTAGCTCGTGATTGGTCAAGGAGAACTTTGTCTGCGCGCAGATTTCGCACTCAAGATTACCGCTTGAAATTGTCTGGTAAGGAAGAAGGCATACCGGATATCAGAGCGTGTCGCGATGGCAAGTTCATGGTGACGCCGAGATTGCCTCAACCAAGCTCCCGAGTCCGTACTGAGAAAATATTGGAAGCCTGAAAGAAGGACCATCTTGACTCGAATTGTAAGCAAAAGAACAACGTATATAACAAGAGATGTACTCCCGACTGTTGGCCTATTCCTCATCCATTTCGACCTCATTCATCAGCATCTCATTTTACCTCTTCGCAAAGTCAAATTCGGGCTCCCAGCAATCATCGAAAATGCATTTCACTCAATTTGCCATCTTGTCGGCGGCTCTCCTTGCTGGCACTGGTGTTGCGGCTCCCGTCCTAAAGCGTGATGGTGACTCCATTCCAGGGCCTATGTTCTCCACCTCAAATGACATGGCAAAGCGTGATGGTGATTCCATTCCAGGACCTATGTTCTCCACATCTCTTGATTCCAAGCGAGATGGCGACTCCATCCCAGGCCCAATGTTTACTACATCCCTAGATGCCAAGCGCGATGGTGATAGCATTCCAGGACCTATGTTCACCACCTCCCTCGACGCAAAGCGCGATGGTGATAGCATCCCAGGTCCCATGTTCACCACTTCGCTTGATGCCAAGCGCGATGGAGAGTCCATCCCAGGACCTATGTTCTCTACCTCCCTCGATGCAAAACGCGATAGTGATAGTATCCCGGGACCCATGTTCTCTACCACTGTCGACTTGGAGTAATTGCTGCATGCATCATGCCAAGTGAGTGACTAGGTTGGAAATTATTTGGCCAGCTGCTGACGTGTTGTGATAGATAAGCCGAGGCTTACACGGATGACAGTAAGGTTGACCTGGAACATTCTTTCCTGAATGCGAGTGAGTAGGGTGTTGGATGCGAGATCAAATGGCCTGGATTAGGAAGAGGGAGGAACTTATATAAAAATGGATTACCTATTCTTGTTATGGTGCAGTTCAGTCAACTTCTAGAATACAGTCCAAGATAGAATTTTCCAGATACTTCAACATTGAATCGACGTGAATGCCCAACTTTTTTAACAACTCTTGCAGTAGTGTCCAAAATCATATTACAAACACAAAAGGCAAAGTAAAGGCAAACAGACAAAAACAATGACGGGTGAGATAGAGTGGTCGTCAGCTGAAAACAATAACTTGTCACTCAACTTGAGAGACGCGCATGTCGATCGTTGGGCAATAGTATTCGAGTGCGTCAAGGCAAGGTCTTCATCCAAATTTCGACAAACAGCAGCAAGATCGTTGTGATGTATTGAGCAGATATGGTGTGAGTATGCAGTTAATCAGGTTGAGGTTGAAGTCGGGGATTCGGCGTCTACGAGGATGCTCCACATCATTGGACAAAAAGCGCACATTTTGTGGGGCCTTCACTGCATGATTTGACCTCCAAAAAAGAGACCAAGTTCCTCTTCAATCAATACAGAGACATCATCATGCAATCGCAACGTTAGCCGTACTGCTAATCATTGGCAAAAAGGTAGTGTTGTCTGCTTAAAACATCAAGAGAAGGACTGACATGTCCGAAATGAATGTCGTCAAGCTATCAAGGTATCGTCACAAAAGCATCAATTCACATCCTAGGCTCTTCATAGCTGACGTCCAGTCAGGATCTATAAGTACCCCTTCATCTAAAAGCCTCCAACATTCCTTTATAATGACACTTGACCATTTTACACTCATCGCACAACTTGTTTTCAGCATGGCATCATCTGCCAGCTCTGCCATGAATACTCTGTCCTCACCAGTCGCGAGACATCCTATCACGCAAAATGGCCATGCAAGATCTGGGAATGTTTCGGCTTTCGGCAAGCCTCGAAAGAGACCCACGGTATTAGAAACCCATCTGCTGATTTCAGGAACGTCTCGATGCGCGCCCGCAACAATGACCTGAAGGTAGACGATTGCTGTGCTTCGAAATATCTTGAGAATTTGAGAGTTCATTCCACCCTTATACTCCAAATTTGTTGATGCTGGTATTTCAACTACGGTGTAATCGACATCGCTGTCTGCCAGTATCTGTTTCTCGATTGTCGCAGCTCGATTCCTGGTTCATCGACAAGTCAGCCTTTCGAAGTTTGAGAGAATCGCTACCTCTGAGGAATGTACAGAACGATGGGAAGATTCAAATACTTACACCAATTCAACCACACTCAACCGCCCGGCTGTCAATGTGATCGTTTTCCAGTGATCAAGTTCTAGCACCTGTGCGAGGATTGCTGCTACCTGGCTTTGGCAGCGGACTCTGTTCACTATGTTCTTCGAATTTCTCTCTAATATGTCCAGAAGTGGTACTGACATTGATGGCAGGGTGCGAACCGAGCATCCAAGAAGAACATCAAACCAGCGGAGATTTACAATGACCAATTGGAGTATTGCTGAATTTATGCTGCCAGTACCAGAAGCAATCATGGTCAACTCCAAAAGGTCATCTTTAGTCGTCTGGAAATCTGCGAACAGGGTGTTAGCTGCCGACCTGTGCATCTTGCAAGCTTCTAGATTCCCTCTGAGCTTCTAGATACCGTGCAGCTCGTCAGCATCGAGAATGTCATCGCCATCGGGCTCAAAGGCAAACTGACCTCTAGAAACATGAGTTGCACAATCGCGAAGCAGCATTCCAAGAACATATCGAATCGTCTAATTGGCTTGAAGTCAAGCAGCGACATATTTTCTCGAAGTTCGAGAAGAGCCAGATTGTTGTAAGACGTTGAGTCTGTCCTCAATTAGCCTCCGTTCTTCAATCTTCGAAGTCACACGAGTTTGGAAGACATACCCGATCCTTGGTGGTGGCTGGCAACGCTCAATGTTGCCCAATACGCTATATTTGTTCTGGTGGTAGCTAAGTAAAGCCATCCCTTTGAGTTTGATTCCAAATGAAATTGCTTCTCGCACACCACAGTGAAATAGTACAGAAGCAAATCTGCTTCTTCTGCCGTTGAAGGTCTGGTCGAAGACCTGCTATGGCAGCATTCTGCGGACACTTCGCTGTGGGTTGGATACTGGGACCAGGATGATGAGTCTTGGTGCTCGTTCGTCCAAGGCAGGTTATACGAATCTAGAGACCCAGTTGTAATTATTCCCGATCTCTCCTGTTCGAGTATTGCTCTCTTCCAAGTGTCGTCATCCACTTCGTGAGATGCCGACTTTGGAATATTGTACCTAGGTCCGAAATCGACCTGTAAAGGTTCCAAGTGCAACTTCAATGTAGTTTCTGGACAGCGAAAAGATTTTTCCAAGTCAAAATCATGATTTCGAAAGGGGAGTTCTGACCCATCATCAGAAACGTTTGTGGTGTCATCAGGACAAGGGAGATTAGTGCCATCTTCGTTTGGTCGAAAAGACTTTGGTGATGAGCTAGTAGGCACGGATTCCGAAGTGACTACTTCATCCAAAGATTGGTCTGTTGCGCGTCTCTTGCTCCCGAAGCTTAAGCTTCTTTGGACCTGTCTTTTGGTATGTTCTGCTTTGAGTTTCTCTTGTTCTCCTCTGTCCATCCACGCTGGCCTTTCGGAGTAGCCTTCGCAATCAAGTCCTAATTTGGAGCCTGCATTTTGTCAGTCTAGAATTCGCACCATCGTGATGCCTTCCAAGACACTGTACATCGATAGCAAGCTGGTTTCAGCTCATCGCATTTCTTCCTTCTCAAACGACATGTCCAGCACCCTGTCGAACTTCTAATTTTCGACATTATGCGACAGCGCTGCTCGATTGAATTACTTGAGAGGTATGAAGGCTACCTGAGGTCTATATCATCAATATTCAGCAACATCCAAGCGCTTCTTGAACGTTCGCGTGTGAGGCCACTGAGTTTCATCCACGAATGATGATCTCAAGATCTCTAGCGACGAGAAGCAACGCCTTGTGACCGAGCCAATTACAAACTCCTAAACTATATGTATTCCCAAAGATCTACAATTAACCGCTTAGAGCACGGGAGGTAGTATATGCGTATCTGCGCTGCGCAGTCATCCTGATCCATGGCAAAATGCAGGCTGTACGGCGAGACCTTCTACTCGGGTTCTTGAAACGAAGTATTCATCCATGTCATACATGGCCTTCCTATTGTAGCTTTAAAACGATGCTCAAGCGATTCGGTATGGAGTGTGCTCTCGCATACTGAATTCCTGGTTTTGCTGTACCGAAAATGCTGTGCATTCGGTCAGTAGCGTCTCGAGGAACAATGAGAAGGGCCGAGGTCATGTCTGCTCGATGTGAGTGCTACGAATCTACATTTTACGTAGGGATGGGGGGAGGGGGAGAGTGGGGCACAACGAGAGTGGGGCACAACGATTGACTGAAATCCGCGCCCTGTACGAGTACTTACTAATAGCAAGAATTTATTCCTTATATCCCTTTTTTCATTAAGTAAAGAAAGTTTAAAAGGAAAATTATTTATTCGCAAAACCTTACTTTATCGAATATCCTTTCAGCCCCAAAAGTTCAACATGTGGTTGTCCTGGGAGCGGGGAAATCTCCAGCAGATATGGCCTACGAAGCTATGCAACAAGGAAAGACGTTAGTAGTTTATTCGTTTTTCATTTTAACCATGCTTCATGTTTAGCCAGACTCATTAGCGTATCGAAGCAATCTCCAGGCCGGGATACCCAGACACCGCTTTCATGGTCTCATGAAGAGGAGTATATAATTTCGTGATTAGATGGATGTTAGAAAGACTCTTCAGCCTAGTGCTGATTACTTGGAATGGTCTACCACTTAAAGGGTCGCAGTTTGTTGCAAAATCTTGTTTTGTATTGGACAACAATACGGCTGATATGCAAAGCAACGCGGTGAAAAGCTCTATTTTACACTATTTTGGCGCTTAAATAAGGCACAGAATACAATAGTGTGGATAATGCGGCACGGCTAGTTTGCAGCAAGGATAATGAGCCAGTAGAGGTGAGCATGATGAAGTCGTGAAGACATCGCGCAGGGAGAGCAATATAAAGTTGCAAGGATGCATTGGGGCTCGTATTATGACTGGTATAGAACTCGAGCTTACTAATTAGATGGGATAATGCCGCTACGTCCCCAGGAACTTGCGCAGAGAAGCATTGAAGGCACGATACGAAAACAGAATAGATTTCTAGTTGAGGCAAGAGAGTGGTCATCCTGGTTTGGTCTAGCTTCTCTTAGTCAGCTACCCCTCCAACCTAACCCATCATCAGTATCATCGTGTATCACCTGAACAGCAAGATATTGAAATAAGCTGTCAGAATGCTGATCAAGGAGACCCATCAGGATATTGCGACGAAAGCAGATGGAAAGCACGGTTCTATGAGTTCAGCAAGCCTCACGGTCGTGGCGATCAGGAGCTAATCAATCTTGATAGGGATTTTCCTCTTCCACCCTGCAATTCCAAACTATCCTAATGCGTGTGTATCTCACTCACGCAACATGTTGGGGAGAGCTAAACACTATTTAGTCGTTTCCCGGGTGTTGTTCTGTTCAGCGAGATCTATCAAGGTAAGTTAAAGTCATTGAGCATGCAGTTCCGGCACTTTGGTCTCGTCATGCAACATGCATTTTCTCCAGAGATCTTTCTTGGCTTGTGCCACGGTCTGCAAACATTCTCGAGCATCATACTCTCGTTGATATAGCGATTCCAATGTGTCTTTGTCTTGCTTTATTCAAAAATCACATGTTTCATCACGTGGGTGAGGTTTGCTCCGAATTCTGCTAACACCGAGTCCTCTAGTGACGGGACCTGTTGCTAGATTTGCTCGACAAATTGCAGGGCAAGGATATATTGTCGCGGCACCTTCATCATATCATGAGTTCACAGGCCCAGAACCTCTTGCATACGACGGTCCAGGTACAGATGCTGGCAACGAGTGGAAAATCACCAAGGTACGCCACTTCGGTTTGGAGATGAAATCACGAGCATTCCTAAACTTTCTAGACTTTAGCAAGCTATGACGAAGACTCCACACTCTCGATCGATGCTCTGCTGGCTCTGAAGACCTGCAATGGCCGAATCGGCGCCACTGGCATGTGTCTTGGCGGTCACCTTGCCTTCCGCTGCGCACTTGATCCTCGAGTTTCTGCTGCCGTAACATATTTCGCCACAGATCTTCACAGTGCGACTCTTGGTCAGGGTAAGAAAGACGATAGTCTGGCTCGTTGTGGAGAGATCAAAGCTGAACTGGCTATGATCCACGGCACCTTGGATAACCATGTTCCACCCGAGGGGAGAGACTTGATAAGGAAGACATTAAGGGACAAAGGACTTGTATTCAGTTGGTATGAACCTGCTTGGGCACAACGTGAGTCAATTCGGTCTTTGTTCGCATGGTACTGAGACATGGGATATATCATTAACTGATCCAGATGCGTTTATCCGGGACGAGCTTTCGAAAGGTCGCTACGACCCTGCCATTTCGAAGATCTGCTTTGAGATTCTTCTTGAGCTCTTTGGCAGAACACTGAAGTTAGATCTTGGACCTCACGATAGGACGACGCAACAAATTGAAGATATTTGTTGAGTGGGTCGTAAGTGCTTCTATGGACCAAATTCTGAACGAGCAGCGCAACTCTCAATTTTAATAACCAAATGCATACGCTTTGACAATCGATATTTGCAGCTCTTTCTTGATCGCTTAACAGTGTAGTCACGATACCATGCTATATACGTCGGCTCGTGGTTCGAAAAGCCATGAATTTTAGAATCATCGAAGAACCCCAAATTTGCAGTGGTTTTTGTGTCAACCGCGAGGGCACACTGTAGCTCAAGAATCAGGTTTCATCCCTTTCGAAATCAAAAATCTCGGTCGTCCCCTCCGATCTGCCAACTGCTCAGCATCTTTCATCTCCTTTCCCTCCATTCCCCATTCCTTCACGCCCCCAAAGACAAAGCCGGCATCCATCATAGCATTCGCATATGTTCTTTGCAATGAATTAGTAGTACGTAGAGATTCTTGATGTTGGACACGGTGGGTGGCTTTGACAAAAAGATTCAAATCCAGCTTACCCAAATGTCCTGTGTACTTTCAGAACTCCATCAGCTAGCCAATCTGTGGTCTGCTGTCCTTCTTCGAAGTAGTTGTCTCCTGGAAGCGCAGTGGCATCTTTACTCCAAGCTGGGTTGGTGGCCTGCGTGTACAAGAGGTGTTCGACGCTGAAGATTAGCGAACCACCAGGCTTCAGGCTCTCAAAGATCTCCTTCAGCAATCTTGGAAGATCGACAATGTAGTGGAATACCAACGAGCTGAGCACGATGTTGAACTTCTCTTTCTCGAGCCCAACGGTTTCGAGGTCCGCTTGTTTGTACCTGAAAGAAGTAAGCCATCAAACTCTCCTCAATGGTTCTCTTTTCAGGAAATCAAACAGCGGCGCGGAAACGAGGTCGAAACACTTACACTACCACCGCACTTCGTGGAAACTCTTTGGTTTGCTCTAGCATCTTGTTCGAGATATCGATACCAAGTACGGATGAAGCACCATTCACAGCAGCTCATCTACTTGCCCAGCCAGCTCCACATCCGAGGTCGAGGATAGAGGCATTGATGACAGATGGGATAAGTGAGCGGAAGAGAAGCCATTCAGGCGCTCCAGCCAAACCGTGGGTTTGTGATGGGAGGTGCATAAAGTGCTGATGGAACTCAAGGTTGTCGTAGCTAAGTTTGTCCGTCACTCATGAGCAAATGCTTTAATTATACATAGGCGAGGGAAGGTATGGGACAACAGAAGTTGGAAGCGTAGAGGGATATGGTGTAGACTTACATATTTTGCGCCATCATGAGTTGCATAAAGAAAGGTTGCAAATGGGAATTGGGCTGTAATTAGCACGGCAAATATGGTGGAATCTTACCTTAAGAATCTAAGATAATTTAATTTGACGATTCAACGATACATAGAATAGTGTGGTATGATTTCTTGGCCCGATTATGTTCACCATTCATAGATGGAAGATTTGGGATAGTGAACAAGAGAGGTGCGATGATGCCAAAGTGCACTGTCAGTCTCACAACAACTTGATCGCATAGAGTCCACTATCCTTGGCCAAAATAGAATCAGGATATGCGGAATCCTCCATTTAGCCACGGGAAAAGATTGATACTGGTCGCTTAGCATTTGTGTTTTCACTTGACAAGCAGTCATGTTTGACTGCCCTTGTGGCTTTCGCTACCATCTGTTTACAGCTTGATTCATATCTAAGGGACAGGCACCACAAACAGAGAGAACAACACTTCAAACACCACGTCACACGCCTCTTCAACATAGCGCTTAGAGGAAAGTGCAACTCATATACAAGAACAAGCATTCAAAACTCTATTTTCGCCCCAAGTCTGGTGATTCGACGAAAAGTTCGAAAGGGCACTCTTGGAAAGAAATCCCCAAAATCCTCAATGTTGCTCTGAGGAACTTCTCGTTATTCTAGCTAAGAATTGTCTTCGTGTTTACTGCGTTCTCAGAGATCCACGTCGTCAAATACTTTTTTTAACAAAAAACATTACCATATGTAAGCAGTTGATAATGGCTTAAATGAGCTTTGTCGAAGTTCGCAACCTCTGAGCGCCACAATATCTTAAACCCAATAAAATGCGATCCAACTAATATAAGTGGCCGTGTTTCTCTGTCTTGGAAGCGCACGTTGACAAATCCCTCCTTTTGGAACGAATGATCTCTAAGCGCCTCTCCTGCCAACCAAATTAACCGAGACAACCGGCATTTACGTAGAGATCGGCACCCAAACCCTTGTAATACGATCAGCCTTACGGTAGCAAGCTCTCAGTTTCTCTCATTGGTACGAGGTAGATGAGATGCCAAGACGCGAAGTCGACAAATTGGAATAACCGCGAGTGTGACCAAACTTGAACACGAGATCTTACATGAGACGTACAATTCGTTTCTATTCTCGAAGCTCAGTGACGTAGAGAGCCTCGTACTGAGTAGTTACTCAGGATGACACCTAGTAGCAAGTATCCTTCAGTAAGAATGGAATGACAAAAAGTGTAAGTAAATGGGCTACTAAAGAAAGTATAACTAGGGGGGTATTTCCCGCTGAAGAATAGTCCTCCATCATTGTTATCATCACAAAACAATCCCATCCTCAAATCTCAATAATCTCAATCGAACCAAAGAGACTTTCTTCAAAATCTACAAAAAAGACACTCAAAATGCAATTCCCAACCACTACCGCAGTTTTCCTCTCAGCCCTCCTCTCCACCATCGCCGCCGCTCCCGCGCCCCAGACAACAGTCACCCCGGGCGCACCCACAACCTGGGAAGTAACCAACTTCAATCTCGGATGCTCCCCGGCCGGTTGCACCTACTCTTTCACCATCAGCGGGCCCGCGACCGTCGACGTCGGCTCCGCATTCACAACTCAATGCACCGGAACCGACCTCCAGGACAAGTTCGTGGCATGTGCTGATCCGAAGGTGACGTCCAACCTAGTCCCTGAGACGACAGGCTTGATTTTGTCCGTCATTAGGGAAGGACCTGCTGCTGCGGGCGGACCTGTGGGCATTATGAGTGGAAATGCGACGGCGGCGGCGAGTGGGGAGCCTGCGTTGGAGAACTTTTCGATTCCGGCGTACTTTTATGGGGATATTGCTTCATAGGGCAAGGGACACGAGGTGCCGTGGGTGGAGAGAATTGGAATGAATGGAGTGTAGCGGAGTATGTGATGCCTTGTAATGCTTGTAGATGAAGGTTTGCATTGTGCAGAGGAGATCTTCTGTATTTTAGCATTGTACCACGAGCACATATTGTATTTGAGTAAATAGCATACCGCAGATATTCGAACAATTATGTAGCTTTCCATTCCTCCTTCTTACGGCTGCCCAGTGAACAGATCTTACAATACAATGAGGGCGCAAAGGAACGGCGCTACGACGTTCGAGGCAAGCCGGCGCTTGGCTATTATACGAAATGCACGTACGTTTTACTTAGTGTCCATTGCATTAATCGCCTCTTGAGAGTAAGGTGCGGTCTTCTGCTGAGCAATTAGCTAATCGACAAGTGGTTGAGCGTTGACGGACAACATGCCTGGAGGACTGATTCACAATATTCCTCGTTGGTCAGCAGGCGGCTGAGTTGCGTACACGTCCTACCCATAGCAAAGACATCTTCTAAGCTGACAAGGCTGGCAATCATTTTCTTTATCTTTAATGGAAGTGAATGAAAGTTAAGAGGGCTCCTGGTACAGCTGCCGATAGCTCATGAATTGTGTTAAACTCGTAGCGCTTGTCCATTACTAATATTTCTTGTTGACGAAATGCCACATCTTCAGTGGTTGGAAGATGACACAAGTTTGGATGCTCATCTTTATCGAGTACACTCGGTTGGTGCTGAGGAAGTGGAAGCTCGTCGGCGGTTAAATCCTCGTTCGGGCTTGGAGTATGGTACCTTATTGCTTCCGGAGTTTCTAAATTGTAAGCGAAGTCGGACTGATAGTATCATGTTACTTACTGGAATCGACAGTCCCATCAGTCTGTTGATTCGCCACACTCTTTCTCTTGAACTTTTCGATCTTCTGCCTCTTAATTCGTGATCCTCCATGAAAGAAGACGGTGTCTTTTCCATCGTGCTTTGCTCGCTTTTCTCCCTTCGCGAGGACGAAAAGCATTTCGTCTGTTCGAATATTCTTATTGAACTTCCATTCATCGAGCTTTAGCTTCCACTTCCGCATGCTAAAGTCAGTATAAGTTAGTACAGTTGTTTTTGGCATGGTAATGAGTGAAATGAGTAACCAGAGCGTGAAGAGGCCGGCACTGACCTTGCCTTGAGACCATATTTCTGCTCGAATGTATGCATTGTGATTGGAAGTGTATGCTTCTCTTCAACGTAGAATTGATAGATCTCTTCTTTACGCAAGTCCCATTTCTGGTTGTTCTTTGATAGCGTAGAAGGCTTCATGGTCAAAATCAGTTCGGAGGGCGTTTCTGCTGAGGCTACAAGAATGCGTTATACTTAATAAGTATTAAAAGGGTGTTGATTAATCAGAAGCAATATGGTGATAGTATCGTAGACGACTCGGAGAATCACAGGAAATATGTGTTGTGGAAATTGGCAAGAAGAGGTTTGGTAATTGTGCAGCCCCAACACGAGTAGGGCGGGAGTTCTTATTCGAACATCGGAATGGCTGCAAACCTCCGACCGAGCGAGTGAGAACAAAGTCAAAAGTGCAATTCTCTTCTGTCCCCTATCACAAGCACTCGTTTAATTGACCATACATGTGGCCCTTCACACAAACAAAGCAGATGCAGTACAATGCTATCATGAGACTGTCCGATCCTGCTATCTCGCGAAAGAAGCGCGAGGCTGTAAAAAGGATGTACTTGATCCTTGCCCGGATCTCGAGGCGTCTTACAACAAGCTGAAAAGCTGGTAAACGGCTACAAAGTGGCAAAACGGCATCTGCTCAAAAGTGCGATATGCAACAAAGTAAAGAGGGGTAATGGGATAAAAGGCACTTGCTTATGCTTCTTTATTGTTATTTAAAAGCAGTGAGATATTATTGGTACGAGAGGTCGATTGCCTCTGAGAACTTGGTGCATGCAGTCGCTGTCGCTTGTCAAAGGAACGGCAAGCGGTAGGTAATGGAAAGCTCGACGCGAGGCCCGTCGATTCCAGAAGACTTCGAATTGAACCCTATAATCCAAACGCCATTGAACTCCGCAGTACGGAATTGAATCAGGTATCATGGTGTACATTCTCCAATTAAGACGAACCTCTACAGCTCGTCTTTGTAGAAGATCTCCTCACTTCCTTCGTCGTCTTCTGCTTCATCATCTTCGTCCACAATGCCTAGTATCTCTCTGATCTGTCCTGGAGCATCCACCACCTCAATTCTCCATCCCTTCTCCTTGGCCATTTTCTGAACCTCATGCTTCAGCTGCTCCACCATCTCAGGATCCAGATCAATTTTCTTCATCTCTGTTTCACTCAGCATCTCGACGTTGCCGCCTTCAGCCTTACTCTTCGCCTTAGCAATAATCTCTGTGACCTTGCCTTGATTCTCCTTCCCGAAATCTTTGGGAATTGGCATCCGCTGCCCCTCCTTATTCATCCACTTCCCGGCCCCCACAATCAGCCCACCAACGTTAACAGGTTTCTCTTTTTGCGTATCGGCCTCCAGTCTGGCGTCGATGAGCATTAGTTCTCGTCTATAGGTAAGCTCATCCTCTGGAACCACTATGCGACAAACGATTGGATTCGCTTTGGTCTCTTTTGGTGGCATGAAAGCAACATCGCTGCAGAGTCGAGGAGTGTATACTACCATCAAATACGAACATGTTGTGACTTCTTTGATATAACCAATGCGATCTGTGACGTGAGGATTACAGTGGAATTGTACCTCGACTCTTCTCGGCTTGCCGGTAAGATCGCATGTTGTCCCACCATCCATCTTCTGTACCAGATATCGACTATCGCCTTTGACCTGTAGCTCCGTCTTCGGCGGTTCATCCGATTGCTTGCCTCTGTGGACATCTATTTGGTTGCCCCATTCGTCCTCTGTGCTCTCTTTGCCGTGTGCTTTTCCCAGCACAAATTGTTTGGTGGTAGGATCTCGTTGCGGCGGAAGTAGGGGCTTGCCAGGCTGTGGAGGAAGCTGGTGGAATTGGGTAATCTCATTGTTGTAGCAGAACGAATACGACCACCATCCAGAGACAAAATATAAGCAATTGCCCTCGAGATCTTGAAGCAATTCCCAGCCCTTGTCAGTGGCGCGTGCTAACTCCTTTTGTTCTGCAGCTCGAGCTTCGGCGGCGGACGTCTCGTTCTTTGGCGGGGTATCAACTATGGGTATAGTGCATAGGTGTTGTTCTCCGTTCAAGTACATGTATTCGTAAGTTTCGTGGGAGGGATCAAAGGGTACATCGGCAGCAGAAGAGCTGTGAGCTCCACGGCGAGATTGGATGCCATCCGTTGTAGAGCTCTGCGGAGGATCGTGAATCGCGGAAGAGGCTTGCTCAACTATGAGGCTGGCTTCTGCATTGGATACGAAGGAGTCGGAGAAGATTACTTCATACTTGTCCTTCTTAGCTGGACCGCAAAGTGAAGCTTGGGGGGTCGTACCTGGGGGAATGCTAGCAAGTCATCGTGCACGCTGAACACGGTTTGACTTGCCAAAGCTATAGGAGCTGAAGCCAGGAAGGCTGTAACGTATTGACGCATCTTGCCTTATGGCAATTATGAAGCTGTTAATCCTGCATTCGAGGTATTGTTGGTTTTAGGATAGGTATTCTTGTAAAAGTTGTCATCTTAGTTGTCTGCGATTGGTCAAAAGCTTACGATTCGGATTCGGTGTTTAGTTTATCCGCGGCACGTGATAGCGATAAATTTGAAGAAATTCCATCATTGTATCGTTCCTTCTCTGAGCTTCACTCAATCTCAGACTGGCGAAAATTGCCTTTAGTCACGACCAAGAGCTACCATGTGTTTTGGTCTAATGTACACTTTCACATCTTCTCGAGGTGCTTCGAAAAACGAGAGACAGTTCTCTACGAGACCCCTTTCCTGCTATTTTCGTACTTCCCCATTTTCTAGCATTATCAAGACTGGCCGTCATGAGATTGAACTTTAAATTTAAGTCTCGGTGTACTTGCCATCAAAACAGCGATCCCAAGTCCAAATCCATGCGAAGGCCATGGCATCATGTTACATAGCAAGATTTTCTACCCAGCCTGCCCTCGAGCCTAGAAGTCTAGCCCATTGGTGCTGGATGCCCTCATCATCAGTGATTCATATCCGAGCTCTATCTGCAGACAAGTGCTGGCAGTACTCTGCAAGCTCTCCGACCTTCGCAATCACCTTTGAAGATTAGTCAAACATCCTCCCACGTTGTGTATTGAAATTGGGCATCAATGAGAATCATGTTGATGAAAAGAAGGACTCAAGAAGCACCCTCCAAACTGCCAGAATAGATGCATACACTAAGTCAGTCTCTTGCGATGTGCGGATGCGCGAAGACGTGGCATATCTGGATCATGTGATGTTGGGCAGCCTGACACGAAGAAAGGCAGAAAGTGAAGTGCAGGAAGTCCGAGAGATTAAGGACATTTAATTATTGAGAATCGGAATCCATCATAGACTGACTGCCACTCACAAATGTATGAAACAATAGATGGAACTGCAATTCCTTGTCTTTGAGGTTCAGAGCGTACTGGAAAGGCTGACAAAATCGCCAACTCTACAGGACTGCAGGAGGCTGAGTTTGAATCTGCAATGCGACTAGGCTCAACATACAGACTCAGACAATGAACGATTCGCCAAATGTCATCAAAGCTCTCATGTGATATATATATACCGGATCAATCTGAACTTCAGACAATAATGACTGATCTTGCGGATTCTCCCTTACAGGTACAATCCTTGTTCTTGAGGAGAAGGTTCCACACGTGCTGTGAAACATATTGTCAACGAGGCTCGAGCATGTCGAGAATGCAAATCAGGCAATGAGAGCGCCAGCACAGTTTTGGGCATCTCGGCATTGAAGCCAAGGAGATCTGGACTCTTCAAGTTCAACCGTGTGACACCTTCTTTCAAGTCGAGAAAGGTACGATGCCGTCTTACTGGAAATGCCTCAAATCCAATCTACAGATGATATGCAGCTTCAGATACGCCCCGTTTGCAAATGGAAAGGCATCTCGGCTGGCAGCGCGAGATGTCTTGGTGTCGGTGTAGGACTTCAAGCCGTGACTGGTTGCACCGAAAAGCCGTTGGAAAGAATACGGTGAGATGGGCCACTGAGGGGAAGTGTGCGGTCGACATGGTCCGGCTGGGCGAACATGGAGAGCATTTGCGAACCATCCTCACCAACGTGGTGTTTCTCGGTGGAACCTTGGTGACGAATCCGAATCCTTCAACCTCGACGATGGTCGAATAAGATGCGTTGTTTGAGTGAGGCGGACAGAAGTGAGGCAATCTTGCGCTGGTCCCAGTCGGAGCGAACCGCAGGGCAGACCAGGAACCAAATGCAGCCATGATTCGTCGCTTCACTTTAATCTAGTGCACTGTAGTCCACTGCAAGGACAGGGCATTCGCTGACTTGCTGTTGTCGTGAGCCGGTACACCAATGGTGTCTCTGGTGCCAGCAGCACGCATGCAGCCCGCGCCCGATCGGTGTGAGGATTGGGAAACAATTGCTCGCTGGACCGTTGCCTTGCGTCCAATATGCCCGCATGCCACGATGGCCTTGATAGGCTTGATGAAGGTGCAGATGTGCTGTCATCGACCATTAGAATTGCCTTTGGGCCAGTTCCGTCACAAAATCATCCACTGAACGCTTGCGAAAGGGCATTGCGCTGCTCGCCGCGGCCACTAAGAAGGCGTCGAAAGGCCCGGGTCTCGCAAGGAAAGCGAGGACATTGCACACAGCAACACAGAAAAGTAATGCTCATGCATCCCGCCAACACCACCAAGCAAGCATCGTCCTGCATCACCCATCATCCATCATCCAGAAGCAACAGTGCGACTTCCACTCTCGTCATCCCCTCCAACCACGACTCAATATCCCCGGCAACTTATCAAGCCATCATCCTGGGATTGGCACCCATCCCTCGCAGAGCCCCATATGGTGGTCTGCCGCGTTGTGAGGAATACATAGTTTGTCTCTCCTCCATCCATCCATCTCATCCTTCGCCTTACTTTCATGTACCGCCAGCATCACCGCTCATCGCCCTCTCAATCTCAAACACCACGACGAACTGCTTCATTGTCATTGTTCGTGCAATAACGTCGTTCGCTCAACAGTAAGTTGTAGATCTTAATGCCTATCCATCTGACGGCATGGCACCAAGTAAACCTTCGCTGACATTGCAAGGCTGCAAAGCCGTTACAGCTACTCGCAACGTCGAAAGTACTCCTTCCTGTAACCATCAGCATTACAACAGCACAAGATGTCGTCGAATCTTAGAATAGACACTTCTGCTTCTATCAACGACAGTCGACTACAGGCTCTGTTAGCCAAGCAAGCAGAGTTCGATGCCGCACAAGCACAACTTCAAGCCGAGATAGCTTCTCTTATGCCCTCAAGTACACCTTCGATATCATATCACCGATCACCTATACACAAACAGCAACAGCAACGCCGAAGTCATGTCCCTCGAAGCATGTCGAGCACTGGAGTTCCCTCCATGTCGAGACATTCATCTTCTGTAGGACATTCTATTTGGCCTTGTCCTCGGAATTCATCTAATCTGAGATAGGACCGCATCGAATCAGTACAACAACGAAGAACGCTTTCCCAACGGTCGGCCACTTCAATGACACGTACGAATTCCAGAGGTACATCGTCACAACAGACAGGCAACGTTCCCTTCACTCAACATGGAGCAATGCCACCGACCCTCAACACCGAGTCTCGTCGCCGAGAGCATCCTGCCATGATGGCATGGGCTCAAGATCCACCTTTAACCTCATATACATTCTCGCATCAGCCAACACAACAATCTCGGAAACCTGAACTGGATCTGGTTCCTGAGTTAGATCATCTCGGAGAAGATCCAGGTGATTTCCTTTATCGAACGTCAGGTACTCTGACACTACCACCGACTGTCTCGATCACTTCAGCACGACAAATATCATCAACATCGATGTCACAGCTTCAATCAACCTCGATGGCATCGATGCGAGACCCTTCGCAAAGTGCTCCCAGCCCCTACCATCTACCAATCCCTTCAACGCCAACTTCCGACTCACTCACGACAGCGACAACACTTACAAGCAGTATGAGTCGACAAACTAGTCTGTGCACTGTGCCCGAGCCTCTGCTCGAAAGTATTCAGATGATGAAGTTCAATTCGAACGCGTCTTATTCCTCTGATGTTCATGACGATCAACCTATGTATGATCAAGTTGCTCATTTTCCATCCTCTCATCATAGTCGTCGTTCCTCAAATGAGGAGCAGTCTCAGCTTCTTGTTGGTGCTGGTGGTGCAAGTCACGAGTCACAATTTTCACATTCTTTGCAAATGACATCTTCTCCCTCTTATGGTGAGAAGATGGAGAAATCCCAGTCGAATGAAAGTACTTCTTCGTCATTATCGTCGTCGTCTCGAAATGTCAAGCGTCTGCAGGACCAGATCAATCTGGCAGCTGCACGACCGCTCAAGCCCAAAGGTGGCAGCGAAGATTCTACAATGTCTCGCGAGAATTCATCACAATCGATGACACGACTTGAGTCAAAAGACGGGTCACAAGACAAAGTTGCTATCTCGAAGCCTACTTATCAACGACCAAAGCACGATCGAGTATTCTGTAAGCTATGTGATAGTCATCAAGAAGGCTTTCGCGGCGAGCACGAGCTTCGAAGACATCAAGATCGAGAACACAAGTCGATGGTTAAGAAGTGGGTTTGCATTGAGCCAACAGATGGTCAAAGCCATCCCAAGCCAGTATTGGCTCTCGCGAGGTGCAAAGCATGTGCTCAACAGAAGAAGAAATACGGCGCATACTATAACGCTGCTGCGCATCTTCGACGCGCCCACTTCAAGCCTAAGGCTAAGGGTCGGGCAAAGAACAGCAAGGGTGACGACGCCGAGAAGCGCGGGGGAAAGGGAGGTGGAGACTGGCCACCAATGTCTGAGCTCAAGTGCTGGATGAAGGAAGTGGAGGAACAAGCATCCGAATTCCCTCTCAGCGATGCTCAACAAGAGGCTGCCGATGCATCCGACGACGAAACACTCGAAGACGATCAGTTCTACTCCCAACAAACCATCTCAACTATGGGCAGTAGCATCGGTTTCGACACCCCCTTCATCGCCGACAACTCACCAATCCTCAACCTCTACCCGAACACAGTCAGCAACAACGACATGTACGGCATGCAAATGTCTCTCGACCTGTCTGGTGCTGGGCAGACCCAGTGCATGGATCAAACCATGTACACTGGGCCTACCCAGAACCTCTTTCCTTCTTTCTCTCACGATTCTTTCCAGAATGTGTTCTTCAATAATAACCCTTCTGTCTTTCCTCAATACTCTGATGATCAGATCCCTAGCTGGTCTTGAATTAACACACTTTGTACACTCCTCTCTCTGATCATTCTCGAAATGATCTTTGAAAAATCATGTATCCCCTTTTCTTATTCTTTCATGCATAGGGTATGGTAGTAAGGTTTAAATTTTCTTATTCAAATTTACGACTCTGTGTTAAGTACATACCTCTCGCGTTTCCAGTTCATCTTAGATGAATTGAAACGTCTGCTTTTTGGCGTTTCTACTCTTTCTTCTTTTCTTTCTCATTCTGGTTAGGGAAGGCATTATTGTTGATGAGCAATCAGGGTACAAATGATGTTATGAGATATGAATGTATGTTACGATCGATCTATGATTGCTTATTCAGGCGTACGGTTGGAGCCCAGGGGGCGGAATCGTGGGATTGTTTTAATACTACTACAATAGTAATACTACAAAGATCTTCAGAGACCTGTTGAATTCGTTGCCTCGTAGCATCTTCGAAAGTATGTTTGGAGAGCACACTAGTAAATTCCGTGTCGTCTGGTACACTTGAAATCCAGAGGTGATGCCTGTTTACTATTTATATCACAAACCGGATAGAGAGCATATTGACGGAAAATGATTTCATAGAAAGAGGTCTAAAGCCGTGAAATCCTTTTCCGGCCTCTGTTGATGATCCCTCCACTGTCAACACCAAAACGGAAGAGAACATCTTACCAGATGACAAGGCCACGCGAGCCGTAAGCGAAATGACACTCGCTTGCCCCTCTGAACACAAAAGTAAAAAAGGAAAAAAGAGCAAAAAAACTCCATGCGAAATTCTAAATCCTCCTCCCAAAGTTAGAAAATTGCAAAATGGTTCGACCGAAGACTCATCAGTGGCTTCTTGTAATCATCTGTGATCTAACTTCGTCTACATCCTCTCGGGTATTGCGAGGCTCTTCGCCCACATTCCCACCCCGTGAGAGCATCGCAACAATGGCGCATGTTTTCTACTGGGCTCATGTTTCAGAGAATCGATGTCTCCTAGGCTCTGTGGCCGACAAGAAAAACGCTTATTAGAATTTATGTACCAATTTGATTGTGGGCCGAATGAAGCCGTTGTTCAGGGATAGCCTGGATAGTCTTTGTGCTACGGTCTCAGATTGTGGGTGTGAATGCTTACAGGGCTGGAGAGGCTGGGACTTCTACAAGTTAAATCTACAAGTCGTAGCCACAACAACCCGAAATTCTTTCAATAGGATCTTCACAGACTTGATATCTACTGGGTGAAGCTACTTTCGTTTGCCAGACTTCGAATCACGTGAGCCTATGATAGGCGTATGACTTCAAGTTGCATCTAAACTTTCTTTATTGCACCTGCTCTCCTTGAGCGCCTCTGCAATGCTTGTTGATCTTGTCTTCCTCAGTATTTCTCAAACCCTCTTTCAACCTGACACCCCACTTCTACAGCACTTCCATGAAGCTCACAAGGCTCTGCTTATCAATGGCGTGGGGGCCAGGCGGATTCGGCGCTTGCGCCCCCTCCTCACGCTCAAGACGAAATAAGACATGAAGCCTTGTGTAATCCAAAAAAGCACAACTCGTTACCACAATGTCGATATCCGTCCCAGTCGTTTGTACGCACGAGCCGGGCCATGGCGATTCGCCGTCAAGTCCGGGGTCATACCAGACACACTTGGAGGCGACCGAGGCTCGCAAGGCTACCACAACCAGCTATCAGTATACTCCATTAAACGAAGACCTTAATGAGATTCGACTCCTTCAACTACTTCCCGGCAAATTCGGTGACCCAATTCATCTGACAATGGAAATGGTCTCATTCAATCCAGACGACGAAGATGTCGGGAAATTTGAAGCATTGTCGTACTTCTGGGGCTCGGAAGAAGATCCTATTGATGTCTTCATAGGCGAAGGAGAAGAAGTCACTCTCGCCGTGACTGGGAATTTGGCCGAAGCTCTACCTTATCTTCGCTATACCCACAAACCGCAAGCATTCTGGATCGACGCCATCTGTGTCAACCAGAAAGATCTCGTGGAGAGGAGTAAACAGGTGGGGCGAATGGCAGACATCTACTCCAAAGCCGACAGTGTGGTCGTTTGGCTTGGTCCAGAATCTTATGACAGCGATATAGCAATAGCTTGCATCGAAGAGATAGCTGGTCGTATCAAAGTCAATTTCTCACTGCAAGTCATGGAGCCGACGACGGAAGAGACGCACTGGGGCGACGCAAGATATACGCTACCATTCAAAAGGCGCGAGTTTCGAGCACTCTCGAATCTCCTCGGCCGGAACTGGTTCCAGAGATTATGGGTCTGGCAAGAAGTCCACCTTGCTACCCACAATCCTGTTGTGATGTGTGGATTCCGCCGAATTTCTTGGTCAGGCTTGCGCAAAGCCGTCTTCGGTTTGTTCGCAAAGCCCAGACCGACAAGCAGCGCAGATGTCGTGGTCATGGAGCACCTGAGGACAGCATACTCGTTAATGCTTGGACAAGATAGTAACCAGTTTGATAGGCTTCTTTACCAGACCAGACACACCAAGTGTACAGACCCAAGAGATAGAGTCTTTGCATTATGTTCCTTGAGTCGTTCAGACCATGGTATGCTTGAAATGCAGACGGACTTCACCAAGGAAGTGCATGAGGTTTATCAAGATGCCATGCTACACTGGACCCGAAAGACTCGCTGTCTCAATCTTCTATGCATGGTCGAAATGCACGAGCATCTCAAGGGAGTTCCATCTTGGATACCGGATTGGTCCACCAAAAGACTCACAAAGCCTCTCCCTTATGGTCTGGCAGGCGGCCTCACAGAGTCTCTGATACCTTCAGATGTTAACCACATACTGCCAGCAATGGGTGTCATTGTCGGCGAGGTCAAAGCAGCCGAGGATTTCGACTACTCGGACGATGGGGACGCAGAAATGGGGCCCATGGCACGAGAACTGTGCCGTGTGGTCTCCCGACTAGACATCACAGGACCTTTCATCCCAGGCAGCAAGCTTGCCAAAAATCTCTGCGTCGTTGTCGTTGGAAATCGGTATTTGGAGCGATTCTTTCCTCCCAATACGAATGAACTGCCTTTTGAGGATATCGAGAAAACGCTATGCCATGCGCTCAACTACGTGTTTGGATGGACAGAGCACATAACGCGTGGCAAGGAGACGTCTGATTCATCGTCACGTCCAACGCCGACAGCTGAGGATGATGTGGAGCTTGGAACTTTGGATTTGTCCGCGTTGAATATACGAGATGACACCAAGGACGAAGTTTCGAGCACCATAGCAAACGCAGGAGACGATCAGTCAAATAACGACCAAGAAGTTACAAGTACAGCAAGAGAAGAGCTAGCGGACGAAGAACCAAACGCCAATCCGGAAGTGTCAAGTATATCGAGCGTAAACGCAGACGACGAAATTGAAGATCAAGACTGGGAAGACGTAAATTCAGATGAAGATAGAGCATACATATCACCACCCAGCAGCAGCGACTCAGAATCCGTATCTGGCGACTCAATCCCGGATTCAATCTTCGGCGGAGCCTCCTCCGATGAGCTATTCGCCTTTGACAACGTCCGCAACCACTGCCGCGAAAGATCGCTCTACACGACCACGGATGGGAGATTCGGTCTCGCACCTGCCAAGACTTTACCGGGAGACGTGGTCGCTAGTCTTCTCGGCTGCCCCTCAGCCATGATACTCCGCCCCGTCCAGGACGGCAAGTACCAAGTCATAGGAGAAGCTCTCTGTCAAGGATTCATGTACGGCGAAGGCCTTCTTGGTCCGTTGCCAGAACACGTTGAGCCGATCTTGTATTATGCCGATAATCTTGGCGAGGATTGGTGGGCGTTTCTTAACCAAGAGACGACGGAGTTTTTGCCTGAGGATCCGAGGTTGGGGGAGTTGCCGAAGGGGTGGATGAAGACGGAACATGAGTATGATAAGACGTTTAGTATCTTTGTGCATGAGGGGACGGAGGAGAGGTTGTATAATGTTGATCCGAGGATGACACCTGAGAGTCTGAGGGAGAGGGGGGTTGATTTGAAGACTTTTGAGTTGGTGTGAGGGTCCTGGTCCGGGGCTTTCGTAAACAGAGGTTCGCCTGTGGAAGGTACTCGAATGCGATACTCGCGATGCTCAATAGAGCCGGAAAAATATGAGAGACAAAAGCCGCTCCAGGTGGAAGCTAGCCAGAACCACTCCAAGAAGATCCAAAAACCAAACAAGCGGTAAGTCCATCCATCACAGCAGTCTATACCAGTAGTTCTTACTCACAAGTCTCCTATAGATTCACCTTCACGCCTCCAAATCGATCTGGTCTGTGCTCGAGATTTTTGAGTACCCATTGGGACGACGTTTGTTGCACGTCGCATCTCTGACGGTTTCATCTTGGGGTGTTATGAAAACCGAACTGGGAAATTTCGAGAAGTTTTGTTGCACATCGCAGCCCATCATATGCTTTGAACCTTTTGAAAGGCTGGACTGAAAAGTTTTGTTGCATGTCGCAAATACCAAAACATGCTCTCCGGAAAAGGCTTATTCGAAGGCTCGCTTTGATCAGATAGCTTGTCCCTGTTGAATGGGTTGCTCTGTTGGAAGGCTTCATCTGATGGCTTGCTCTGAAGTTGATCAGATGGGATGGCTTCCTCTCCTGGCTTGCTTTAAGGAAGGCTCCTTTGATGGCTTGCTCTGGAAAAGCCTTAGTTTGATCAAACAGCTGACTCTGATCGGATCGCTCTCCTGATCTCAAGGCTTGCTCTGAACGGAAGGCTTGCTCCAAGTTGATCCGATGGGATGGCTTCCTCTCGTGGCTTGCTCTGGAAAAGCCATATTGTGATCGCATAGCTTGCTCTCATCACATAGCTTGCCATGGAAAGGCTTACTCTGGAGAAGGCTTACTCTGAGCTCCCTTCCAAGGAGATTTATTGCACGTCACAATTCCCAAAACATGCTCTCAGAAAAAGGCTTATTCAGAATGCTTGATCTGAGGAATTGGTCTTGCTTTGAAGAGCTTCTCTGATTGGATGGCTTGTTATAATTGCATGGCTTGCTCCAAAAAAGCTTACTCTGGTCAGATGGCTTCTCCTGATCGCAAGGCTTGCTCTGGGAAAGACTTACTGAGATCCCTTGCAAAGGGTTTTGTTGCACGTCGTACTTTGGAACACTTGCTCCAAGGCCTGCTCTCTGTTACGAAGGCTTGCTCTGATAGGATACTTGATCATATCAAAAGTCTTGATCGCATGGCTTGCTTTGATCGCATGGCTTGCTCTGATCCCATGGCTTACTCTGAGAAAGACTTACCCTGGGAAAGGCTTACTCAGATGATCCAAGGCTTGCTCCGAAGTTGATTTGAGGATACCTTCCTTTTGCGGCTTGCTCTAAACTTCGTTCACGCAGTTTTGTTGCATGTCGTAATGCTGAAGTCATCCTCTGACTAGACCTCTTGCGCTGATAGGGTCTGATTGTATTGCTCTGATAGAATCTCTTCCTTTAGGTGGATCTCTTCCTCTGATAGGATCTCATGCTCCGACCGGACCTTTTCTGCTAGGATTGTGTCCTTTGACCGGATACGACTGCACGGCTTGCTCTGATATGATCTCTAGCTCTGATTGGATACCTTGGTCTGGAAAGGCTTATTCAAGCTACGAAGGCTTCCTCTTGCGACGTGCAACAAAATGCTGGCAGTGTCGTCAGTGTAAGGACGCTTCTTCATGCTCATGTATAGCTGCGATATGTGTGCAGTAGTTAACCCAGAAACGTTGGTGTTCGGTATTTCTACTCATCTGGTCTTTCACCAGTCATTTTTAGTATAGTTATGAATAGATGCGACACGTAATAGGAGATCACTCAAACAATCTCAAATTGTCGACCAGTGACCTATACTCTCTACATTTCAATCTTTGGATCTTATCCCTAGCCAAGTAACAGCGTTGCTTAACTAGCAGCCATATGGTGCGATGAACAAAGGGAAATAAAACTCTCCTCTCTGTCGCTGGCGAATAGCTACTTAATCAACTTGTGATTATTTGCCAAGGACAAATACCTTTCACGCCCTGGAATCTTTTCTTGGTCTATCGAGCTGGTCTCTGGAATCAAAACAACTTTGTACAAAGGAGAGAGTGAAGAAAGACAAACTTGAATTTCAAGCACAGAATGATCTTTAAATTGTAAGACTTGCACCTCTGGCAACAAACGCACCAATATAGACAATTTACCATCGCAGCCAACAAATTCACAAGTTATCCTTCAACCCCACCAACTCCAAGCTCTTCTTCCACAGCTTCCCCTCTTTAACCTCATCAAAAGCCCAAGTCGAAGTCCCATGCTCAAACGTCGTCGCCCCCTCTCTCGCAGGCCCTGAAATCTGACAATCATCCAAAAACTTCCCACCTTGTCCCTCTAACTCACTCGCTACCGCGGCCCAAACGCTCGTCGAGGCTCCCTGATCCGGGTTCTTAAACATCGCCAGCAGAATAGGCTCCTTCATCATCTCCGCAGCTTCCTCGCCGGGAAGATGTTGCGCGAGATTCGTCAACACTCCACCTGGCTGCACAGCCCAGGCATGCAGACCCTTGGTGCCGTAACGACGTTCGATCTCGTTGGCTGTCCAGAGATTGGCGGTCTTGGAGGCACCGTAGGCGACCCAGGAGTGATACTTGCCTTCCAGAGTCAAGTTGTCGAAGTCTGGCTCGCTGATGCGGTGTGAGATGGAACTCAGGAGGATGGCGCGAGAGTTGAATTCTGGTGTGCTTGAAGCTAACAGGGCCGATTTGAGAAGGTTAAAGAGGAGGAAATGAGCGAGGTGATTGGTGCCGAATTGAGTCTCAAACCCATCTTCGGTGCGGCCTTCGGGAGTGGCCATGACTCCCGCATTAGCGATGAAGATGTTGAGCTGAGGGGATTGGGACAGGAACTCTTTGGCACAAGCGCGGACGCTGGCGAGGGAGTTGAGGTCGAGTTCCAGGAGGTTGACTCTTGGTGAGGAGACGATGTCTGCTAGAGCTTCTTTGGCTTTGTTCAGGTTACGGGCTGTGAGGTAGAGAATGGCGCCAGTAGTGTGGAGAGCCTTGGCGGTTTCGACACCGATACCAGAGGAGCAACCCGTGATCAAAATCGTCTTACCCTGGAGTCTGGAGCCAAGGTTCTGATCTTTGAGGATTTGGAGGGCTGTGGGACGAGCATCACCTGGGCCTTTGGGGTTCTTGTGGATCTCGGCGTATCTGGAAGACATGATGATTGCTCTTGGTGTTTGAAATATTTTGAGGTAACTAGATGAGTAATGATTGATAGTTGAGGAAGCAGATAAAGCTGATGAGAAAATATGGTTGTTTGAGTGTATGAGTGAGGTTTGAAGATGTTGTTGCAGTTGATGATGGTGATGAGGAAAGATATTTAGAGAGGGAGCATCACCTATCTTATATATTTTGAAGAAATGCAAAGAGCTTGCGATCCACTTGAGCGCTCAATTTCCATTAAGGCCGTTACCATCGCATGGCAAGGGCTGTGACAACGATATCCATAGCGAAGACTTAGTCAACATGAGGTTATCTCGACTCCGTTGACACCTTTGACATCCGTTTTGGATCATCCTAGCGTCAGCGACTTGCATAAGCGAGCTCTTAGCATACGCTCCCCTGATTTTCGTGTCTGAGATGAAAAGACTGAGATGGGGTTGCTGGGTTGAGAATCTCCAAGGTGACGAAGCCTGCAGATAATATCCGAAGGACCGGATTTTAGAGACCATGGGCATCGTTCTAGAAACGTCTTAGCGCTGTAATCGACTTGCATAAGCGAGAGCCATGGACAAGTTCACTGGTCGGTTAGTCTTTTTGTGGTGCCAGGGGTTCTCGGTGTAAGCGACGTGCAGAATGACACGGCGATGGAAATTCAACGTCGACGCTTTTTAATGTCATACACTTGCAGATATCAGGGGATCATTCGGAAGACAAAAAAGCACACGAAAATAGCGACATCTGCGTCAACCTTCCCATCGGGCACCTCGAGCACTCTATCTCCGAAACCCCGCGCACTCTTGCAGCATGGTTGCGGGAATAGAGGCGGAAACCAGCAGCATGCATACCATCCCAATCATACTTGATAGGATGCCTCAGCAGCAAAAGGCCAAGACTCAGAATGACGACTGGACAGGGCAGTCTAACCAAGCGGAGCGGCGGAGGAGGCAGAATCGTTTGAATCAGAGAGCGTATAGTGAGAGCGATCTGATGTTCGGAGTGTCTCCCCGTACTGATCAAGGCATTGCAGGGAAACGCAAAGAAGCAGAGAGTCAGCAAGTACCTCCAATTGAACATGTTAAAGGGTGTGCCTGGCATGTGGCTCACAACGAGGTCAACTCCACCCCCGGAAAGGAGATCAGCAAGCTAAGGCAATATCCAGTCAACTACGACCCCCTGACAGGTCCATGGCAATCATTTAGCGCTGCCATTATGTCGGCCGAGCCTCAGATCTGGGCACTCGCTCAAGTAGCCCTTCATCTAAAGGACGACTACGAGAAGTCCGACAGGAGCATCAACCAGTTCCGAAAGTGGGTTGAGAGAGATCACCTGACCAGTTCTCCCACATCAGATCACGTTCTGACTTTGATTAAATTCAACGTCTTCCGAGCTTTAGTCCACAATGCTATTACTCTTAATCTTTCAGTTGAATCTACACTTGAAGATAATGCTTTATCGCCTTTTGCTTCAAAATCGAAATCCGAAAATCCTTTCATGCCTCTCTTGCCGGCGGTACTGCAACCAACACTCATCCAACGTCAAATTCCGCATCATCCCTGGCTTGACTTACTCCCAGTACCTAGGATGCGAGATAATATCATACTTGCAGGAGAGGATTATGACGGTTTCGACTTATGTAAGGATTTATGTGGACTCTTTAATTAGAAGTTGAGTACGGGACTTATTATCTGGGGTGAACTTTGGGAGCCTTCTGGCTGGGAATTTACACCTAATTTCGTGAGGAGATGGGGTTGGGTCTTGCAGGGGTGTACGGACTTGATGGTTTCGACGAATTATTGGAGGAGTAGGAGGGGCGAGAAACCGCTCAATTTTGATGGATTTGATGACAGAATTTTTGAGGTTTATTGACAAGCTTGACTCAAGACGCAGCAAGCTGTTTCCAATGAAGTATTCATTGCTATTTTTGAGCCCTTGTGGTCAACATGCCTTTTGAGTTCTGTTCGCAACATGTGAGGCGCAAAAATGAAATGGGAGCAAAGAAGTGGCAAAAAAGTCTCTACCAACTTCCGAATCAAAGGTGGTAGATCTCCTGTACCCCTTTGATCATGTGTTAGTTTCAGGTATCTATATTATTCCTGGCAAGTTAGCATATGATTAGGGGGGTACACTGTAGGGAAAGCCTCGGACAATTTTTTTAAGCCGTGGCCCCCACTTGTTCACGTATCTTCATGTCACCCAAGGAAGGGACTAGATGAATAAACATTGCTGAAATGCATTATCTCTAAACATTACTCTCATCCATCATCCATCCTTCTACCGTCCCAAATTTCCACTGCAGAAGAAAAGCCAACCTCACTCAAGCGCCTCACAACAAACCCCCCTCCAGTGCTTCAAACACCAGACACCAACCCCAATCCCAACACCAACAACGCCGAACATCTGCGCCCACTTCAATAACGCCTTCTTCACCACGCCTTCGAAAAACTCTTGCATCGCGCCCGCATCGTTCGCCCTCGGGAAGGGTTCATCAGGGACGGGACAATTGAGAATTTTGCAAAGAGGTCCCCATCCCTCCTTGACATTGAAGAAGAAGAGTCTCTCTGGTGGGACCACGCGCCGAACATAATCTTCGTGGATATCTAGGAGTTCTGGGGTACATTAAACAACTAGCCTTGAGCAATGGAAAGGAATTTCACTCACGAGGACCATCCATGTCTTCCTTAGGTCTTTGATAAGCAATTTCGATTCTGTTTAAAAAAAGAAATTAGTTGCACTTCTTCATCACCAGCCTGAACTCTGTTCTAACATACCTATCACCACACGAATCCCTCCACTTAGCAAAGTACCTCAACGTTGGCATTGGCCAGAGCATAGCATCCAACCACCAAAGATTAATGTTCTTCGTCAACGCCTGCGCACTCTTCCACCACGCTGCTCTTTCCCTCGTCGTGCAAATCACAATTGCGTTCGGATACAACTTCGTCAACTCCTCAGTGAAGAAAGTAGCTGGCGTGTCTGTAGTGGCTACGTATCCTGCTGTCAAGCTTCTGAGATTCTCGTTGATGACTTCTTGACTGGCGCCTGGTTGTTGGATTTTGATCCAGCTTTTGATGTATTCTGTGTCACGTGAGTTGAATGTAGAAGTAGAGAGGATGAGGAGAGGGATGGGTTGCCTTCTTCCCGCATGAGGACAGCGGTTCCGGAGTGGCAGACGGGACCTTGAAGGAGTCTTTCGAGGGCCATGGAGAAGCTGACAGTCCCCGTTCGTGAGAAGCCTGCGCCAATGACTTGGAGCTCTCGACTGAGGTCTGTTGGGATAGATGGTTGTTGACCCATTTTGTCTTCTTGATCGATTGCCAAGTATAGAAGAGTTTTCTTATCGATGTAGATTGCAAACGTCCAGGGCAACGTTCTTGGGGTGGGTAGGATGAGGAGTGGAAAGAGACGTCTGTTCCAGGACGAGACGCGAAAGAGAGACGGAGAAGAAGGCGAGAAAGTGAATTGAGAAGTGCGTTATATCAAAATGAATAAATACGATTCAGCCAGAAAGGAGAGGTGGGATTTGCTGTGCCTCACATAGTGCGGTACGACGAGTCGATATGCGCCACCGTAAGCAGCAAGCAATCACAAACCTGGATGGACTGTGGAACAGAACGTATGAACGCTCGCCTGCATCCATTGTTCGATCGATATCTCCAGATGACTAGATCTAGGAAGATTAATTGTTTTTTTTCTTGGATCGTTTGGAGAGATCGACAAAGGAGATAAGTAAATGCCAAAGACAAATCCCCTCTAATTCTACCCCTGAAAGAAAACTCGCCAAGCTTATTTAGACCCCGCCGCCGCTGAAAACTCCTTCCAACATCTCAAACAATTCATAAGAATGAATGAAAGCAGACTAAAAACCCAACGGAGACATGCCACAACTCGGCGAAAAGGTTTCGACATCGGACCCCGTGGTATCAAGTACTGCAGAACCCCTTTTTGACGAGCGACAGCCGATTAGAAGAACGGACCCAGTGCCAACGCCATCTATCTCAGGGCCCATCACTCTATCCTCCCTCAATATTCATGTTAAACTGCCGTCGCACACTCATTCGCACTCGTAATTCGACTGAGTATGGCTTCCTACCCTAGGATTCGCTGGAGACAGGATCCTCATACCGCTCGAGCTCTCCAGCAGAAATCCGCCTCGTCCCCGCCCCCCTTGAATCTGGCCTCCTCGAACCTTCCTCTCATATCTCTTCTGCTTCTCTCGTCTCCCTTGCTCTAAATCATACTCGCTCGCTCTCTTCCGTTCAGCCTCCCTCCTCGCAGTATCCCTTGCTCTTTTCTCTGCATCTTTCCTATCATAATCCCTACTCCAGTCCAAGAATTCCTTCGCTTCACCCCGCAACTCGACTCGTTCCGGCCAGCGGATGCCGTGCTCGTCAACCATCAAGTTTCGGTTCGGTGCGGGGTGGTGTAGTTCATGTCGAATTCCATCGACAGTGACAACTACTGGAGAGATGGGCAGCTCTTCAACCTCCGCGTCCTGAGATGGGAATAAGAATTGTGGGTAATACGCGCCATATCTCCTATCTTTTGGCGGAACTTTAGGAGGTCTCGAGGGTGAACGCCCAGATGTACTGCGACTGTATTCCGAGCTCTGAGGATAGACTATTCCTCTTGTCCGCATCCGATGCCGACGGGTGATACAAGAGCAGTGTCCAGCCTCACTGTCTCCAGCGAGGTGAATTTGTGAGTCGCATTTCTCTTTGTTGCGGTGCTTGGTGATGAGAGTGCGGAAATAGGTGCGTTGTCTTTGTCGGACGAAGATGACTATGATGACGGCGAAGAATAGGAAAACTATGCCGATGACGGTGAGGATGAGGCCTACTTCGGTGTTGATGTCCATTTTTGGGAGTGGAGGCGGGGTAGAGGTGGGCGATGAACTTGTATGTCTTGAGGAAGGTGTTTGTGTAAAAGATAACGGAGAAGAACTTGACGTAGGTGTAATTGAAGGGGCGCCGAGAATGCTCGCAGAGAAGAGAGAGGGAAAGAGCGTGGGCGTGTAACTGATGGTCGAGATGGCGGGGGCAATCGAGGTGCGTGTAGTCGTTGTGGTCGCAAAGTACACATTGATCGAGTCTGAAAGAGGTACACTTGTCGACGCCAGTGCTGGCCTACTAGACAGAGCGTTGGGAGAGTTGGTGAATGAGCTAGAGAGAAGTGAGGTGAAGTGTTTTGATGGCGTTACAGTTTGTGAGATAGTTGCTGTTTCTTGCCCATTTCCTTGCAAATTGCTGCTTGTTGCTTGAATAAGAAGCCCATTGACTGAAGTGCTTAGTGAAGGAGACAGAGTTGTCGTATTTGAACCTGTTGGCGGAGGTCCAGGATCAACCAGATTGAAGTATCCGAGACTAAATTTCTGTCAGCCTCAAGACTAGACGTGCAGGTGAAGACAAAGAACCTTTCACAGCGAGAAATAATCCAATTTACAATAGCTGCTCAGTGAATAGTTAACTGGTCGTTATTCTTCATTATCTTCCATCGTCTGAGAGCCTTACCATCCTGGCTCGCACCCACCATAACTCCACAGCCCTCGTCACAAATATACAAATCATGAAAGATAACATCACCATTCTCATTAGCAAGGATATTGCAGATCTTGTGAAAATCGTTATCATAAGACAATATTGAATCTCGGAACACATCTCGACAGTTCAGCAGACAACTGCTTTGATCCGGATGCGCAGATGCAGCTTTTGTGACTTCCGGTCTTGGGATAGACAACGCTGTCGAAGTCGACTGGAGCAGAGACGGAGATGCTGCTAGGGAGGAGTTGGCAAGAGCTCGTTCGTGAGGGACATGAGTTGGACTTTTCCGTGACCGATGTTCCCAATCATTCGAATCCAGATCATGGAGATTGCTCATTCTTCATCATCCTCCCACTACCAAAGAGAAACATCTCGAGGATTTAGAATCAGGAACCGATACAATAACTCTTGTTGCATGGGGATTGCCATCAAACATCAAAATACGACCGAATCCCAGCAGCCACCCGCATCTCGAACCTCCATCCCCGTTTGTGCACCAATGCCATGCTCACAACACTTCAGCAGCACGATCCCGGCACTTATTCTCGAATCCGCACCAAGACTTCGTGTTAGCAACACGACGTTATTGATTCCTGCTGCATCTACCCGCCAATATGCCTTAGTCTAGGTCTGAGGGTGCGAGGAACAATGCAAATGTTTGTGTGACGGGTCGTCGAAAATAGCCTCCGAGAAGTGTTACACGAAGATGGAGGGGAGGTGGCTGATACGGAGTTGGCTGGGCCAATTGATTGGAGCTTGGTGTTTGCGCAAATCCAATATCTCGTGGCACAAAGTCAAGAACCTGATGGAAATATGTACTTTTGATCTTTGAATATATACAAAGGAAGGAGAGTGCGGTCACGATATATACAATCCTTTACTCAGCCAGCTCCGGGAATTTTGTCATCAATCCCTGCTCGCACGCAATAACCCCCCAAACAACCCCAAATCACTTTTCAAACTTACAAGCACTGACTATAATACGCATTACTATACGTGCAAGTCGTCCCAGCTACACAGCTGGTTCCTCCCGTCCATCCGGTTCCCCCACACTGTCCCCATTTCGCAACACCTCCTCCTGAACTGCTCGTCGTAGTCGCTTTCGCGCTAGTGCTAGTCACCGTACTCGTAGCCAACGTCGTCGCCGATGAAGTAACGGTCGAAGCAGTCGCAGTCGCAGTTCCCCCGAGCGCAGTCACAACAGAATAATACGCAGGATGAAGCGTAAAGTCCGAATACCAAAGACAAGCATCACCCTGTCCCGAAAACGTCGAAGGGATCCACGAATATTTGTCCGTGAAGTCCCACACTGTGACGCCTACACAATTCTTCGTTTCCACGCACGCCATAACTGTATTGACATAATCTGTTCCCTGTTGTGTCAATCCTGCCGTGGTGGGTGGCAGACTCGAAAATCTGATGTCTAGTTCTGTGTATGCAACTTCGACTCCGAGAGCCGTGAAGGATTCGAGATTCGAGATTTGGGATGCTAGGGATGGTGTTTCGCCGACAATGAAATGGCCTTGTAGACCAACGCCATCGATCCTGATACCGCGGGCTTTGAGTGAAGAGACGAGGTTTTGCGCTGCTGTTGCTTTGGCCCCAGCATATTCGATGTTGTAGTCATTGTAGTAAAATTTTACTGTGTCGTCATATAAGGCAGCTGTTTCGAAGGCGATTGGGATATATTCGGGTCCAATCTGAGACTGTTAGATATTGAGATGAGTAGGGCTGGGAGACGAACCGTGGTATAGAAGACGTCTACACGATATGTGCCATCATCGTTGAATGCTTCGTTTACGACGTCCCAGGCATAGCATTGCCCTTTGTAGTGCGTCACTTCGTTTGCGATGTGATTTTTCATGGCGGCAATGAGAGTTGCATTGGTCCAGGTGCCAGAGGTAACTAGAATGTTCAGACTTTAATTTTATGAGAGACGGAAAGTGAAGCTTACTCCAGCTCGGAAGCTCATTGTACCACACAAGATTGTGACCTGGAATTATTAGTCTGTCGTTCTAGATCCGTTCTAGCCCTTGAACAGATAATACTGATATTTTGCTGACGCATCTAAACAATTGAAATAGAGGAATGGTTCTCACATCTCAACAATTGCCCATTGCCTTCAGCAAAACTGGTGATCACATCTCCCTGAGTCCAACTGAAAGTGTTCTGTGTAGGCTCCGTATAGACCCATTTCTGCGTGTTACCGAGAGTAATTTGTCCAAATTGGCTGATATTTGACAAGATAGAGACATAGGTAGTATCAGAAAGCTCGCTATTGTCGGTTGCTGAACCGAAGTACTTCAGTCCTTTTGCCTTGGCAAGTGCATTGAGCTGACCAAGGGCAACAGGGAAGAGAGCAACAATAGGAAGTAGGGCTGAGGCGTACATGTCTGCCAAGAGAGATTCGAAGATTTGGTTAAAGAGATAAATAAGGGAGACATCATTGCTTTTATCCTTATTGCTACCGCAGAACCTCCTTTGCTAGTTACTGCGGTACCTCTGTACAGTTAGTCCCAAGACGAAACTTTCGAATGAACCTCCCTGGTCATCCACGTCTTTGGCGGAGAAATAGTAAACCCTAATCCCAAATCAAATTTGCCTGTAGGGGATAAAATTTGGGTAAACAAGATGGACTGATGAACGGAATATGGTAGGAGCGGATTTAATCTCGAACAGGTACCTCAGAGGCCTGTCGGAGAGAGACGACCGATTTGTTTCGGGTTGAGTGCCGATGCATATTCTCGTTTATCTGGGGTAGTGTGGGGAGTGACTATCCACCAAGGGGAATCCACGAATCAAATGCAGATGCAGTTTAACCATAAATGGAAAACAATCGGCCCGCACCGCCTGATTACCTGCCCATGAAAGTGCTCACGTGGAGATTTTGCTGATCCGAGTGAGCAATTGAATGCGAGGGGTGAACCTTTGGTTTTTGGGGACGTCCTTCAATTGGAGTGCGTTGCCTCGGTTTGATAGCCGACTGGGTAGAAAATAGCAGACCATTCCTTGACAAAGAGCATCTTGATGCCGGCCCGCCGGTCCAAAGGGACAGCTGCTAGTGACAAGAGTCTGGAGAACTGGATTCAATTAGGAGTGAAAGAAGAGGACTAACGACCCCGCAATTTCAGCCCCCAAAACAGCCCATAACCCATCCCGTGAATCTTCTAATATTTAGTGACTTTAAGGCAATTCAGTTAAGGACTTGAGGATTGAGTCGATTGCCACGCGAGATATTGGAAGGTCCACGGGACCGTGCTCTCGAGAACCTTGAGCACGCCGTCGATGTACTTGTATTTGTCTCCTCCTCGGAGCATCTCCTAGCTTCAGATCTTCAGGCGGTAGTATTGCACAGTGCTTACTCCAAAGCCATCCCACCTTGTTTTGAGAATCATCTTGGTTTACCGCAAGCCAAAGTTCGCCCTTCTCACCAATAACATCAAAGACCTATTTGAGATCAGCAAGTCTCATCTTGAGCATTACAATTCTTTCTTACGTCGCCCGCATTGTACGACAGCCATGTATAGCCAGCTTCGACTTTCTCCAGGTCGAGATGAAAATCAAACAAGCTCGCCACAACATAAAGGACAAGGTAGTCTTCAGTCTCTCCTTGTGTCGCCTCGTTGGCACTCGTAGTAGCTACCGTCTCGGACTGGTGCAGTAACTCAGAGGTCTCGGACATCTTGTCGGGAGCTTGCTCGTGCTCGTCGGAATGCTCAAGCATAGGATTTCGCTCCAGAAGATCCGGAAGTTGGGGTAGATGGCTACCAACGACACTGTTCGGCTCTTTTCTGTAAGAGGCCGGTGATTCAAGATCAAAATCAGGACTCGGCTCATTTTCAGACCAGTACATTTCGCTATTCACCAGATCCTCCCTTTGTATTGGCAGCGCCCAAACAGAAATATTTGAGATTTCTGAAAGGCTAAGTCCAGAGAGTACGGACCATGTCTGTGTCAACTGAGCCGAGCTAGACATGGAGAAAGGACGAGCTCGGGCTCTCCGACCTCGCGATTTTTGATACACCCACGAGCTGTTCAATTCTTCTTCGAAGGCACGAATGACAGGATGCCGGAGATTCGGCTGGGCGACTGGCAGAGGATCATTTGAGGTACCGTCCAAGCCCGTAGTTGTGTCTGCGAGAGAAACGGTATCGTGATTTTCAGAGCTGTATATCGAGCCCACGATTGACTTCTGCATGATGGACATCCTTTTCGATAGATCGTGGTTACCCTCTAGCACCCTCACAACCAGGACTTTAAGTTCGGTAGCGGATATCTCGGCACTTTGGACGGATTGACTTGAGTTTGAAGTCAGCCAGATAAGACCTAGAGAGACATACGTGAGGACATTACCATGTCATTATGGTCAACACCAGATTGAGAGAAATCTTGGATGATTCAAGCTCCCCTCTGTACTTGCGCACTTCTGACATCCTCGAATTCCATCTGATGCTATCGATCAGTTTTAGTTTGTCATCTACCTTGAGCCCTTTGATGCATCCTTCCAAGTTCGACATAGTTAAGACACATGATGTTAAAATAGCCACGATGTCGCCAACAAAGAGCATTGACGCACGTTCGGGATCGATGTTGCCTTGCTTTAGAAGTAGTATCTGTAATTGTTGAAGCACTGAGCGTATGATGTCAACCGTATTCTTTACCGCAACAATTTCATGGCTTCCTTTGTTCCTGGCCGATACGATTCTCGAGGTGGTCGACGAGAGGAAGGCGGCGGTCTTGATCAATCCCCCAACGGCACCGATCACAGTCAAAGGATCCATACTGGAAATTACTGGAATTAGTACAGGTGTTTGAGCATCAAGTACAGGTGGAGGAGAAATGCTTCTTCCTAAGGAGTTTGATTGTTTCGGGCACTTTTCCTTCCGCTGCACACTCGGGCGTAAGTGCTGCCTGTAATCGTGTATGATCGCGATTGGGATAGTCACGGAACAGTACGAAGACGCTGAGGCTGAGGAACTTTCTCCAATCAGATAGAGCAGACAACCGCCACGAAGCCGCACTAGAAAGAGGAGCAAGACTAGAGGATGAGATGGAAGTTCGCCGACCAGCAAAAGCAAAAAAAACATTATCAATCGAGATTCCGCTCAGAGCACGTCCAGGCCAAGCTGCAGCATGACTGAGCCGCCTTGAGCTCCATACTTTGAGCAGTGTCTGATACCTGACAGTTGGACTATTGGTCGAGCATTGATCGAGACTCGTGATCGTGCATATACAATTGACACCCGTATTGTAAGCGGAAATAAAGCGCGTTCGGAAAGGGAGGTTCGAGATGTGTAGATTCTCAGAGGAGTGTTGAGACGGTAATCTCAAAAGTTGGCAATATTATTGCCTAGAGATTCAGGCACCAACTTCTTTTTCCTCTTACTCTCAATAGTGTTTGACTTTCTTCTCTTCTACTAAGAAATAGGAATGGAGTATTGAGAGCAAAACTTATCGAAAGTAAATGTAGAGGTACAGGTTTTGGGGACAAGAGCTAGAGCCGTCATGTCCAGTGTAGGGTGTCGTGAGTGAAGTCCAAATCAGTGTCTTAGAGACATGCATTGGAGTTGCTTATCATCTCCCGATTTCTGTAATGAATTATTCATCGTCAATGTCTTTGAAAGTCTTTTCGTGAACAGGTCCCATAGAATCAGCGCAGCCTCGCCTCGTGCAGTTGCCGAGTCGACCCCCGCCAGTGACGAATGCTTATCCGGTCTTTACTCAGCGCCCCATAATCAATTATTCTCCCAAGGCTGCGGATTGCAATGCATAAGTCTTCATGAAATCTTGCAAAGAACATTCTTTTTCTTTCTTCTCTCTTTCCTATAAGATACCCAGACCTTCCTGATGAGGGTGTTTCTCCTGTTATTTTCTATCACTGTCGCATTCTTCGCCATTACATTCAGAGACACACTCCTCACTACCATCGAATCATTGACCACCGACTTCTTTGACACCAACACAACGTCTTTTAAAGGTCTTCCTCTTTTCCCACTTCGTTCTATATACAGAGCACCGAAAGCTGCAAACATGACGGTCGCACGAACTATCCGCAAGGCATTTCTTGCAGTCGAGTAAGCTGAGGGAGCGAGTCCGCAGATCTATCGGCACGCCACAACTGAAGAACTTCTCTCCATTCCTCATGCTCGACCACTTTACGATCAAACCAGGAGCAGGCTTCCCGGATCAGTACGTCAAATTCTGCCCTTGTCTCATATTCAATCTGGGAGCCGAGATCTTCGGGATCATCCTCGAGAGCTGTTCATCAAAGGAAATGTGTCACAGCTTCTCGGATGTGCTTCTCGGCTCTAGGAACTCTATCAAATTTACATACTGATTTGTCTATAGTCCACATCGCGGGCAGGAGACGATCACATACTTGCTGGAAGGCGCAGTGGACCACGAAGACTTTGCTGGGAATGCGGGCACAATTAAGGCTGGAGACCTGCAATTCATGACTGCAGGCCGGGGCATAATGCATGCAGAAATGCCACGACAAAACCCTGACGATAGCGCCAACGTGGGAATGCAACTTTGGGTTGATCTGCCAGAGAAGTTAAAGAAGTGCGAGCCACGGTACCGAGATCTTCGAGCAAAGGAGATTCCAAGTGTGGACGTAGATGATGGAAAGGTGCATATCAAGGTTATCTCAGGGCAAAGCCATGGAGTCGACAGCGTCAAGGAACTTGCGTATACACCAGTTTGGATTATGGACATCGAGATCAAGCCGGGAGGCAAGGTTGTACAAAATCTGCCTGAAGGATGGAATGCTTTTGCGTATACTCTTAGTGGAAGCACGGCATTTGGTGTTGGCAAGGACAAGACGATCGTTGGACAATACCACAATGTTGTTTTTGAGCAGAAGGGGGATGAAGTTGTAGCAGAAGTTGAGGAGGAGGCTAAGGAGAATGAACATTTCAGTAAGTTTCATCTTTTCTTCATGTTGAACTGCTTTCCAAGCATTATTTCCCTGCCCGATGTTTCTCGCTTCTCCAATCCAGAGCAGATAGCTTGGGCTCTGTCTCGGCTAAAGAGGAAGAGTCCAAAATATCTTCAGCAAAAAAAAAATCGAGTCACCTTAGTCGGGTGACTCTTTTATTTTTTGTTCGTCCCGGATGCCAAAAAATGCAAAACAAAATGCGTTCGCCGGGAATCGAACCCGGGGCCCATCGAAGTTGAAGATGTCTTATGGCAACTGTTTTCATGTTAGCTATTGTTATTTGAAGGTTTTTGATTGGACATACCGATGGATTTTACCACTAAACCACAAACGCGGATTCCCGATTGGGGCAGAAAGTGCTCGGAATGCGTGCTGATTGACAACGAACTTCTTATCAGCTCCTATACCCAAGCGATCATATCGCCCAATCAAGTGCTAACGCTCAATCAAGCGCTTTGTCACGTGGCCCCACTTTTCCTCTATTGGCCGAGCCACTTCTCGGTTACTTGTAAACTACAATATGGGAATTGGGAATGTGGTTTCTGAAGCATTTCATTCACTTTAACTCTTGTGAGTTTTCATTATTTTAAACATCATGTTACTGCAAGCTCTAACTAAGCTTACATAAGTTCGGTTGCGATTTTAGTCCCTATTGCAAGTATAAAGAGATGGCAGCTCCCATCGTTTACTTGGATTCTTGCTTCACTGCTTTTCTCTCTTCAGCCTTGCCTGACTCGATAGAACCACATTGCGTCTTTGCGCAGAATTCGATGCCCACCATATCAATTGCTTAGCATATCCCAGCATGGCAGCTATGCCAATACCGCTGGCCGCAAGCACAACAGTATCATATCGCTGAAGTCGATGATCTTGGCCATAGGGACCATCTAGGATGAGATGGCTCAAGGAATTCTCTTTCGTCAATCTTGCTGTCATGCCATCTCGTGGTTCGATGAGAAAGGTCAGCTGTCTAGCCCTCGTAGGTACGGCATCAGGACCCACTGCAGCAAATGCATCTTCCCACCACATTAGGGCGAATGGATGAGACTGAACCCTATGTCGAAGTTGAAGATCATTAGTACCAAGGTAAAGATACTGACCAGGCTTAACTGTCATCGGCCGTTTTAGGTTGACTTGAAGTTTCAGCGCTCCTACCTTCCGATAGACGCTATTTCCCAGAGTGCGTGGGGAGTGATGGTATTTTGTGATCAAAACTTGTTGATGGGTTATCCTTTTGCCTAAATTGTGATAAAGAAGCTGCCCTAAACGAATAATTGAGCTCAAAAACCATAAAGAAATTGCAATCAGGGGATAGAGGATGTGCCTCGCAGTGCCAGGAAGCAAGTGCCAAAATAGAGACGCAATTATTGCAAAGGAGAGCAGCAGGTGTAGCTTCAAGAACAACTCGTACTTGAATCTTCGAACAGGAGAAAGTGACAGCAGGGCGATACTTGCGAATGCAACGATGAGCTGGAGCATAACAATCAGTGGTCAATTCTTTGCCGTCTGCGCCAAGAGAACTCACAACAACACGGGATCCAAACTCTGGTGCGGTGCCTCCCGCCAATCGCAAGCGCCGCTGATGGGCCTGCCGCGTGCGAGCTCGACGAGTCACGAAGAGGCTTAGACAAACCAACATGAATGGCTCAAGAGTTAAAGGTCTGCTTTTCCTTCATTCCAGATCTCACAATTAACACATTCGCGACTACCACTTTCGCGTCGCAATTTCAATTTCTCCTGCTCCAACTTCTCGGCGACATGCCTAAAATCTTGGACGCCAAAGCTCGGGGTCAACTCAAGTTGACGAGAGAAAGCCTGATGCGCAAATATAACCGCATCTTCACCAGATATGGCGAACCAGTCACTCTCTTCATTTCGGAGGCATCGGAGATTTACATCTATCAATCTCACCCAGAATTCCCCCCAACAATCCTGTGAGTATGCCGTGCCCATGGACGCAGGAAATTGTTCTAATCTGAGCAGCGCGGCATAACCTTACTATCCACACCCGAAACCTACCTCACAACACCAACGCCGATTCGTGCCATCTCCACCACCAACGCCCAGCCGCCGACTTATCTTGTCAACCAACAAATATTTGCTCGGGCGGGGTTTCAGATTGAGGGCGAGGGTAACAGTGAGAACACATCGCCACACGAGTAAGAGATTCTGTCAAGCAACGAAGCCACACCAGTCAGCAGTCCTATGGTCTCGCCTCGGATGGTCGTGAAGAACTCCAAAAAGATGAAAATGAAGCGCAACAGTCTCTCTGCAAAGTCATCGCCAAAATCTAGGAATAACTCTGTGAAGAAGAAGAAAAAGGAAGACAGTCGAGTTACGTTCCGAGCACTTTCAATTGGGATCTCATGATTAGAAGGCCTACTCCTTGATACTTTATCTATGTTTTTTTATTTTTTTTTATTTTTCTGGGTTGCTACTTGTCTTCAATAGTGAGATAGATATATGATTATGAAGTAATATGTTTCAATCCAATTTGTTATTTCCAAGTTCATATGTTCATTGTTTCCGCACCTGCAAATATGCTCTACTTAGCCATTTCGAGGGACTAGACCTGAAAGTTTCAGCATACACTGACTTGACTAAAGCAAGAGTCCTGCTTTGGCTTAGACTCCCGTTTGCAATGTATGCAGTGATGTATTCTAATCTGATAGTTCTAGCTTCCATATTCTCAACGATCATCCCAACCCATCCCTTACGTTGTTCTAAATACTCGGCAATGTTTGTCGTTGATTTCATTGATACTTTCATTCCGTTATGTTCGATGAAGTGCACCACTTGACGAGTCTGATTTTGAAAGACGTCGTCTTTTAGGGGCTCTAGATAAGACCGGTGTCTTTGGGAAGTCTTTAAACTAGCCTCAATACGGTCTTCATTGGACCTGGTCCAAATCATTGCCGATGCAAATGGCTTCGGCGCTTCCTTTTGTGCTAATGCTGAGAAGATTCTTTTTTCTGGCACGAGGAATGTCCGACGGCCTCGATGTCCCGTAATGTGAGGTTTGCTGGGAGTCCCTTGCTTCATCTGCGGTCGTAGGTACGATCTCCTGCTTTTCTGCACCCGCATATGAGGCTTGACTGTGTTCTTGAGATATGATCGACGATGGCGAGATTCTTGCGGATGTACGATTAGTGGCGATGATACGGATTTTGCCCCGCAAAGTGAAGAGCCGGCACTCTGGAATCCGACGACAGTACTTTATCGGAGAATCTGTCAGATTGATCATTCTGTTCCGAGGACGCAGCAGTTGACTCCGAATGCCATTCTGCGCTCTCTCTTGCACCTTTCATCTCTTCCATGTTCATCCCATCATCAGAATCGGTTTGGCTATACAGTATCAAGGGATCCGCGGCTTGTGTCATGAGCTCAACCCTGTCTGCGGGTTCTGATCCAGCTTCAACATAATTATCAATCTGATGGTTTATGTCCTCGGCCACTGGCTCAACATGCACTGCGGTTTGCCCAAGCTGAGACGCTAGATCCTGCAAGGCAGGAGACACAAAGGCCGTACCCTGTAAAGGACTACTCGCTCCCTCGGGCCATGTTGTTTGCGTTTGTACAGTCATTGTTGTCTCCGGCGACGCTGCTTCTCGAGGGGGGCCGAAAACGTGTCGTGAGACATCATTTGCCTCTTGTACAGTATTCATAAATTGATGGTCGAGCTCGACTTCTACAGTCCTCGCCGGAACCAGTACTTGCTGCTGAGGCTCGATTGGCCAACTGTACTCATCATTGACATGATCCTGTCTGCTGGTTGCTATGATTGGATTTGCTCGATGCACATTCCTTGAAGTTTGCAAGTGGTTTACCATGTTACGTGGCTCTGATATCTACAGCAATGAGAGATGGGCTGGCGTGGCAGCTTGAAAGTTTACCGATGTGTATCCAAAGAATGCCTGCAGACGGTCTTGGTGGACAAAAATTGTTGATGGATTGGCCTCAAGCTCAAGTTGAAGAGAACCAAGATGGCCAAGAAAAGTTTTCCGCGGACATGCCTGTGCGATCTTTCGAACGGGCGACCCCACCTTCGTTTAATGCTCTCATACCCCGGTGTGATTGGCACCGCGATCTCTGGAGTGGTGTTCTTGAGAGCATTTTCAAGCGCGTCCAGATTTTTCAAGATCACTGCGTTTTGGAAGCCTAGTAGCTGAGCTCGTTTGAGGAATTGGTATCGGATAGTAGCGTTGGGGATACCTCGCACAATCACTTCACCCTTCTCCTTGAGTGGGCCGTCATAACTTAACTGTGGAAAATTTCTGAAGGCAGACAAGAACACTTGGACATACGCCATGTGCTGTATGCCATCCTCCGAAGATAGTGGCACGTATCGAAAGTTCCCCTCTTGAACCTCTACGATAGCTCGTCTTGTACTTCTCCATATAGATTGCATAGCTTGATATAGCGAGCCAGGTATCTTGTTATCGAAGATCTCTCTCTTGATTATTTTGGCTGCCGTTTCTAAGAACTTCAGATTCTCATGAAAAGACTTTATCGTAGGAATTATCCCTGGGAGTTGGAGAATTGTTTGCTTGATTCTATCACGACGCATGACGTTTGTAACTTTTGAAAAAATCGTAAAATTATCCATTTCATGGGTGATGTGGACACGGTCCGACAAGCTGACAGAAGGGGCACGCATCTGAAGGCTCCGTACCGTGTCTATATCTACAGCCCGACATATCAAGGGGTCTTCTTGTGTTATTTCTGTCCATACCGTGAGAATGTGTCTCAACAGAGGAGCTCCTCATGACATCGTGTAGCAAGATGTTTTCGAACATTGCCTAATTCGAGACCACTCCAGAGGCCAGGGAACTGCAACAGTTGATCGAAAGTGGATTTATATGGCTGTGAGTGACTTAGCAGCTGCTTCAAGTGTGCTCTCTTCCCATTCCCCAATCTCAACTCCCAATCCTCAACAAGGTCTTGGTTATTCTGCGTCTCATGGTATCTTATTTTACGATAAATTTCGCCGTCGGAGAATTTGGTCTGGTGTGACTCTGGTGTGAGAAACTTTCCCCCTCCTTCAAAGCGAAGCCTGCAGCTAGACAATCTAATCTGTTAATACATGTTCAGTGCAATGACGACAAGGAATCCTGCTTACTTGATGAGTCAAAGAAGAAAAGCTTGACCGTCCACCATCTTTGTTCTGCACTGAAAACTTTCTTTGCTGCTTCAATTCGATGTTTTCCATGCAAGCAATGCAGTTCGCCATTCTGCATGTTTATAAATGGACGATATGACCTATCTTGTATTGTTCGATGCAGATTCTCACGAGTCAGCTGACTATCTCTGATGATGGTCTCGAATTCAGAAGAGCTGAGAAAAGCTGGTATATAATTCTGTTCGTTGTTGCGATCGCACCCATGACTGATACGTCTGAAGACATTTGCCAAATGTTCGGTGATCTGTGAGTCTACCTCTCTCCCCTCTGGAAAGGAAAGTGCAGAGAGTTCAACCTTCACAATCCCAACAAGGCAATCTGCAGCCGAAGGATCGAATTCTTCCAGTTGAATCATTACTGAGTGGAAGGTCTCACGATTTCACCCGAGTATGATTTATCTTGAGCTTGGAACATGGCAGGAGTGTACCATTACCTTGCGCCAAAACTTAAAAGCTGTTTGAAAGTAGGATACCAAGTGTACCATTATCGTATCCCAAGGCAGGTTTCGTGTTTTATGGTTCAAGCAATAGCTGGAGTAATGGTATCTCGGGGCTTTTGCCCATATCTCAGAAGTAAATTTGAACATAAGGTAATAGTATTCTGGATTCGTGTTCCTAGGTCTCAATCCCGAATCTCGCTCAAAAAGTAATAGTATACTAAGATTCATGGTTGCCCAGTTTCTAGAATTCAAATGCATTTTCGCTCAAAGGTAATGTTATCAATACAAAGATTAATGGTTGCCCAGTTTCTAAATTTGACATTCTCCAGGTAATGGTATTCTGATTGTCCCAGTTTCTAGATTTCAAATTGCGTTGGACAGTATGTGCTAGGGTGCGACGCACTTCATGGCTGACTCATAGCGTTTGGGTCATGATATTTATTTTACAGTTATTTTTCAAAACACGTCTACGCATCGTCTTTCGCAACTTCGCAACAAATGTTTGGAATATGGCAAGATCAGTATGGCTCGATCTTCGAAGTCGAAAAGAGAATACAGTTCTGCAAGAGCATCACGAAGCATTCAAGCTTATCCGACAAGAGCTCACTTCTCCTGACTCTCAAACACCACAAATGATTTCATTGATAGGAGGTAAGGTCAAGACCAGTCTTATGCAAGACATTTTCGCTATCAAGTGTATACCTGGTCACAATAAGATACATCTTCGCCTAGCTCCTCCCCATGACAAAACAAGGTCGCCTATTCTATTGGCAGATTGCGAACTCCACAGAGCTTCTCACATAGGAAAAGACCTTCGAATTCGAGTTCCTGGTTACGAGGATCAACATATACTTCAATGGCATAATGTCCCCGAGGAGTTGGACGCGAGTACGCTGGCAAAGATTCTCTACACACAAGTTGTCATACCTTTCAGTACCATAGTATGTCTGTTCGCAGATGACTTTGGGGGCACCAAAGGCGTCGCGCAAATTCTTGCTTACTGGCTCCTAACAGAGTGGCAAAAAGGGGGCAAGGGAAAGCGCTTCATGACCTTGCCTCCAGGGACATATCCAAGAGTAATCATATTGCAAAGGTGGCAAGATGCTGGCGCAACCTATGATGAGAAGTTGGCTACTGTTGCTTTTCTGCGCGAAGTTCATCAAGAGGTCAATACTAAGCGCTCCGGACAAATAGCACTTAGGCCGCTTGATGCTGCTGGAATAGAGGATTTGGTGAAAGAGAACTTTGGAGACATATGTTTATTGGCCCTCCCGAACTCAGCTGCGGAAGTGATAAGTCTCCATCCTTACTTGGAAAAGCTACATCGCAGGATCCTCCACGAGTCTGAGAATGTTCAAATCCTTCGAAGAGCTGCCAAAATTTCGTTCACAGCTACACATCTTGAAGCTTTCTTCAGCCTGGCTTGCAAACACTTTGCAAATACCATTGAGGAGTCATTCTGTTTTGTTAAAGCTTCAAGAATATTCAATCCTCCCTCAGTTAATCTTGCAACTCATGTGTCTGCATTACTCAAACTTAACGAGACTGAGCTCCATATCAAATTCGCTGCACCGGTGATAGCATCGGCGATCTGTTTGGACAGTTTGACGCCTCAAATGCACCGTAAGTTGTCACTCATTCAAGGTTCAATAGCTGATGTCCATGCAGAATTTGATGCACAATTAGTCTTTGACAGACACTACGCAGACGCTTTGCAGAAATTCAATACAACTATTTATATCGGCCACAGATAATGTTCGAGCTACAGACCAAGATCGAAAGGTCCTTTTGTCAACAGTATGATACGATCAATGAAGCATTGGAGGACCACATTACGGCCCACAAAAACTTGCTCCAATCATTTGCGAAATTATGGAAACGGATTTTTAGCAATTCAACATGTCTGGCTTGCCTTGCGAGAGAACCAGAGAATTTGCTAACATGCAAACACTCCTTTTGTAACACATGCATTTCTATTTATAGCTGGACAGATTTGGATGACCCGTGGACATTCATGCTCGAAGAATGTCCTTTATGTATGACCAAAAATCATGTTCTAATGCCACTCAAGCCCTCAACAGCAGGTACCAGGTGTTTGTTGATTGAAGGAAATGGGAGTCGAGATATTGAATTTCTCAAAGACATAGAGGACAAGATCAATCTGCCGATGCACATTCGAGAGCACTTTGATGTCGTCAATGGTGCTGGAATGGGTGAGTGATCAGATCAATGTTAAATAGATGCTTTGCTAATAATACAGGTTCTTTGCTTGTTCTTGATTTGTTCTGCAATGAATCATCATCATTAGATGAATGTGCAAAGCATTTAGCCCAAATGGAGCTATTATACCCTGCTATTCCAACATCAAGATTTTCTCAAAGCACAGCAATCGAGAATTCAATCAAGAGTAATACTTTGGTTACTATGTTTAAAACATCTAGAGCATCACTACCACAGATCAAAGAATCTTTTCTTGCCCCACAAGCAATAAATTCCGTCCTGAAACAAGTATTTTCTTCTCACAGGGCTCTTTTTGGTTGTCATAGTGGGGGAAGAAAGATAAGTGTTGCAGTGGTAAACGAAAAGGATTCATCGATAAGCACGTTTTCGAATTACAACGGTATCTTGCTGCCGAAGAATACAGCATTCTCAATAATGGAAAAATCCGAAGGTAGTTTGTGGAACGTGTAAGTGCTCCCATATTCCTTTTAGATCAATTATTAATATGTGCAGTGCAAGAATAGCCATTAGTCAGAAGCCAATTCGTGGCTACCATAGCAAAGAGACAGGAAAACCTACTGAGCTAACAAGCTTTATCACCGATGAACAGGATCACATTTGGTCTGAAAAGGGAAAGTCGCCTGACTTATTGTGGTGCCTTGGCTCTGAAATTTCGCCATATGAGAACGCTCCTCACAAGGAAGCTTGGATACTGGACTTTAGATTTCGAAATAGTCAAAGCCTCATTGACAGGATTGCTGACACCTTATTAGCATCCCTATTTTATCTCGAGCTGGTTGGCATGCCTCAAATTGACGAGGTTGGATACTTTTGTCGTGCTCAAGTACGCTGCAGACTCCCTCCTGCTTCGAGTGCTTACCCGGCCCTGGTCAAAAAACTCTTGCGTTGTGATGCTTCTTTCCACTACAATTCTCTGGAAATTCCCTGCGTTAATCGACTATTGTACAATGAGTCAATAAGAGGTATAGCATTCTCGAGATATATTGAATTTTCTGTACTCAGCTTTCAAGATAAGATTGATGTGGCGGTGGAAGGAATTTCTACAGAAAGAACAAGCATCAGCAATTGCCCTTATCGGCTCCGATCTTTAATCGAGGATCAGGGTTTGAATTGCACTTTTGGCCACAAAGATCACAAGAGGAGGTATTTTGGATCATTAGGCTATAGGTCAAGACGCAAATTGTATATTTGAACGCGGGAGATGCTTTGCTTTTCGTAAAAAATTCAATAATGTTCTAGATCAAGAGGCACTGTGTACTCAATGAAGAGTCAAAGATCTGGAAATTTAGCTTGAATTTATGATTTTGCTGCTACCTATATTAGTGGGAGATGTTCAAGTGAAGTGAAGCACTCGTAATAAGCAGAACTCCAAAGATCTGAGTACTTGATGTAGAAACATTAAGTATAACGTCCCTCCCTGCGTGCCGAGAAACCCTACGTGCCGAGAAAAATGAGAGATACTTTGAATTTAAGTATTCTCAACTCCACACTAACTTATGACTCCATGAAAAAAAAGGATTAGAAGTATTATATAGCTATTTATTAGCAATTTGAGACCATCGGAAGAAATTTTTATATTCGCATTGTCGCCTTTTCGTCTGATCTATAAGAAGCCTCCATTTAGGCTTTAGTACGAGACCTCTACCACAGCTTTACTAGCGAGCTCTTGTTATCCCTTGCATATTTTAAAAGTTTTTCCTAAGCTTTCAGATCTATACTTTTTCATCCAAGACCTCTATAAGCTTTGTGACTGCAGTGGTGCGCAAACAGTTGCAGGGCCGCCATGCGGTTTGGTACTTCTGATCGATAGAACTAACCATTCTCGTCTAGCAGGAATTGACCCCGCATTTCCTGCTAAGCTTTGGTACAGTAACTTACGAAGTAGAAAATTAACTTACATAACTATGTCAGCTCGTTCTAGAAGATTCTAGAAGCGACTGATAATTATCAAATTACTATAAAGTCTTCAATTCCCCTAGGACCCTCTATGAAATAGAGATAAAAGAAGAAAAAAATTATATTAAAAGCTTCCTATACTATTTATTAAGAAACACCGTCCCACTTTTCATATTAGTAGGTGTAGCCCTTATTGAATCTGAAGAAATGATAATCTCCCTGACGAATGCCCTAAAGCCACAATCCTGCCCCATACAGCTTCACAAGTAGGTCAATAATTAGTAGGTAGCCAGAGATATCTAGCAGTACCTTCTACTAGCCATTCGCCAGATACATGTAAAGTTGGAATGTACTTGCCGTCGGGAGAGAAGGCCACTGACCTGACGTCGCTGAAATGGCCCTCGAGCGTCTGTTGTAAGGCTCCTGTCGTAGCGTCCCAGAGCCGCACTGTCTTATCGTCTGACCCCGAGACGAC